GCCAGAAAAAAAAGAAAAAAAAGGAGCCACAAGTCGTTTAACATTATAAACCCAAAGTCGTTTACAAGTACTCTAGTGGCTCCCCTTTTTTTTTTGGTTTTAGTCATTCCGGACACCGGGCGCCCGGATCGGGCCGCAAATCGCCGGATGGGTGGCTGGGTGCCCGATGCACTTAAACCCAGGCCAGCTGGAAATATGTTGATGGTCGAACAAGTACAACAACGGCTATGGGAACTTGCCACTTGCGCGAACTCTTAGGACCCTGTCTGGAATTGCGAAAGGGAACACGGAGTATTGGCACATACTAAGTTACTTGCTAGCTTCGACCTTGTGTGAAATATACTCGTATGATATGTAGCGTTTTACTTGTATTTAGATCTGCCCTAATCTTCTCTGCAGACGTGGGACGCCGGAGAGTGTTTCAAAGCGTGGAAATTGAAGATTTTAGCATGATGGATCTTTTACGATCATACCGTCAAGATTAGGTTTCGCTCTACTGCGCTGCGATGCTCTTCCATCTTGTGTTCCTCTTGATTCTCCCGATCGGCATCTCCCGAGATGTAACTCTCAAGATCCAGTATTCTGTTTTAAATGCTAATTATCTGTGAAGCGTCGTCTTGGTTGTTCCGGCCGGCTTTCCCGGAATCAAGTTCCTATATTGACACGCAATATAATTAAACTCTACTATCTCCGACTAGACTTCAGATTTGAACCAGAAAAACGTAGGTATTAAAGAGGGTTTGTCAGAGCTCCCACACCGTTTGAAACAGGTTGTTGTAAGTATTTCTCAGAATCTTGTAGCTCACAAATCTGAGGTTTCAACGAAGACCAAGACATATAGAGCTTTTGTCCCCTAAATACAATCTACATTAAATTTCCTCGAATTCGAACAATGACGGAAACTGCTGCGCAAAAGGCTGTCTGCGTGTACTGCGGATCGTCTTATGGTGAAAAACCACAATTTGCCGAGGAGGCCCGCAAACTGGGATCGCTATTGCACTCGATGAAATGGAAACTTGTGTACGGCGGTGGAACGACGGGACTGATGGGAGAAATCGCCAAAGCTGCCATGGGTCCGGAAGTGGACGGCAATGTGCACGGTATTATCCCAAACGCGTTGGTTTCGAGAGAACGCACCGAGGAACCCTCTGAAAAACACGAAAAGAAGAACTCGGTATCGTCGTTCAACGATGAAATCAAAAAGTCCGTGGACAACCACAACGGTTCTACGCCATTGAGTCACGAATACGGAACCACAACCATAGTGCCAGATATGCACACCCGTAAGCGGCTGATGGCTACGGAAAGTGATGCATTTGTCGCAATGCCCGGTGGATACGGCACACTGGAAGAGATTATGGAGTGCATCACGTGGTCGCAGCTGGGTATTCATCAAAAGCCGGTTGTGTTGTTCAACATGGATGGATTTTACGATTCGTTGCTAGAGTTTATCCAGCACTCCATAAAGAGCGGGTTCATTAGCGAGAAAAACGGACGCATAATCCAAGTTGCATCCAGTGCGGAGGAGGTAATTGACAAGATTCAGCAGTATGTCGTTCCCGACGGCCGCTTCACGCTAAACTGGGACGATGAGCACCAAGAGAGCAAATAAGAAAGCAGAAGAAGCGGGATCGGTTTGCAGGGCGTGGGGGTACACTCGGAGGAGTAGTTTACGCGTTCTTGTTTTCACATTATATACATATTCCATGTTCAGCAGAGTATTCAGAGGGAACTTCAAAGGGGACTTCAAAGGGAACTACAAATTCCATCAGCTAAATATACATAGGGAACTAAGAATTCCAATTTTAACTAGACAGGAAACTACAAATTCCAATTTCAACTAGACAGGAAACTACAAATTTCAATTTCCAATTTTAACTTAATATACACAGGGAGTCGACGAGGCGGCGGGAAATTCATTTTTTTTTTTTGGTGTGATTGTTTCCAGCATAACGTCTTGTGCACGACGTGTTCTTACAGGTATTTGTGCTGTATATTTTCTTCATGCGGGTTCACGAATACCTGGAACAACCACAGACGGTTGGGTCGTGGCGCATCACGTGACTTGCACGGTAAAAATATTGGGCCTTGGAACGCCCGCACTCAGGGCAAAATGTTTGGTGTCACCTGTAACAGTACGGATTGACAGACCACTATGAAACCGTATTTCAACAACCGAGATGACTGGTTTTTCTTTGACCTTAGGTCGCTGTTAAGTTTTTGTCTCTAACAAAAAAAAAGACTACTACCTAGCACAGCCACCCGCCATAGATAGTATAGATTCAGCATTTTTGCCAATAGAACAGTGTTGCCGGGTCACGTGACCCGTGTTTTTCTATTAGGAGTCTTTCCCCGTCTTGTGCATTCAAACGCTGGCTAATGACGATGACTAGAAATGAGTGCTACTAGCTGGGAAAAAGTTCCGCGATTGCATGTTTTACTGCACTAGAACCACCTGTTGTCTACTACCCTTTCTTTGGTGATGGATGATGATGCATCATAGTTTCCACTCTTTGTCCCGCTAATCCTCCCAGAACATGTGCAAGTGCTTGGCTGTAAAAGTCTTTCACGTTTACAACCGTGACGTCCTGAATGACGAAACCAGCAATGCTTTGTCAGCGGACTTGAAGTCGTATTCGCCCGTCGGACGACGACCTTTTCACACCGAACTGACAGATTCCAGCGATAGCGAAAACGGAAAGCCTTCTACTGCTACTGCTACTACCACTACTACCACTCTCTCCCCTGCTAGATTCTTACAGATGAAACAGTCCTCACAGTCGAAGACCTGAGATTCGCCTCAGCCGCTTGGCTCCCGGCTGAAGTGCTTGGAGCCGTGTTTTGTCCTATAGCCCAATCGCTGACGCGCTCGATTGTGAGATGGTTGCTTGGAGTCCCCCAGGCATGAAAGAATGTTTCGGTATGCAGATCCCATGCATGGACTTTGGGCCCCCAGCCCGTGCTTCTTGCATAAAAGACTCACATACACAAAAGCACACACAAAAGCACACGCAAAAGCACACACGCAACTTACGCGTGAGCTTAGAAGAATTCACACGCGTTTACCCGATGCTCCGGCGAAACGCGCTCAACCCCCTGCCATCCCGGTACCGGCACCATTTACTTTCCATTGGGTTTATGGGCCCAGGCCAACGTTTTCCGACGTACGTGGTAACAATTAACGGTTGTGACAAACCAAGTCTGTAGCAGCCGCCGTACGCTATGCCGTTCTGTGCTGTGCTGTGCTGTGCCTTGTCCCTCAGCTCCGCTTCCTCGACGTCGGGTTTTTCCGGGCTGGACGGTTGCGTACGTCCGCTGTTGTCTCGGAGACCTACACCACTCGCTTGCTATCACCGAGTATTTGGCACATGACGTTGGACGCACATACTTAAGTCCGCTCCGGGCCGGTCCGGTTTTCTCTATGCTTGCTTTTTCAAGCCTACTTGTGCATGCGCGCGCATGCGCGCGCATGCAATGTAATGCAATACGCAAGAGAACGCTTCCGCCGTTCCTCGCGTCGCGTAGCATCAGCCGAATGACGTTTCCCTTACCCGCGTCGAAGCATTCTCAATGCTTATCCAAGCGGGGCTCTTGCGTTTCCAGAACGGGTGAGAAAAAGTTTTAGTCGTCTAAGCAACTGAGCTTCCATACCGATACGACAGATTGTGGAAATATGGATGGAATATTTATTAAAAGAAGGGTAGATCGGTGTTCGCCCAAGCAGAACAACCAACTGGCCGCATCGACCCGACCGCACCTCCTACCTACCAACCAGCCAGCCAACCGAGAACCCACACAAGAATTAGCTCATTTCGCTTTGAGATTCTTCTTCGCCATCAATCTGATATTGTTTTTTTTTTTTCGGGTTTTTTGGAAGGTCATATAGGCAAGGCAACGGACGGGAAGAACGTTTCCTAACACATCAAAGGTCGTTGTCTAACTTACACACTCACAAATACAAATACACAGGCTGGCACAATTTCGTTTTGGCATTATCAACAACGCACAGACTACTGATACAGACTAGTTGGTTTACCTTTCTCCGGTGTCTCCCCCGCTCTCTTCCACCACTTCGGTAGCTTTCCTACTACCTTTTTTTTTCCCGCTACTAATATATACCACGGACGTCTAATTCTCCGGGTCGTCGGTCGCCCGCATAGAAGAAACAAGAGGAAGACGATACAGGCAGACGAGACAGACACGGACACACACACACACGAACGGATACAGATCACCGGCTCGATCCGTCATTTCTAACCGCACACGGACTATGACAACAAAGTCGACCAAAAAGGGTCCCTGGACAGCCAGTGAAGATCAGGCCCTGCTGGCGCTGGTGCGCCAGCTGGGCCCGCAAAACTGGGTACGGATCGCTGCAGCGCTGCAGAATCGATCCCCGAAACAGTGTAGAGAACGCTACCATCAAAATCTCAAACCTTCCCTCAACAAACAGCCCATATCGGAGGCGGAAGGAGCCGTGATCGAAGATTTGGTCGGCCGGCTCGGGAAAAAATGGGCGGAAATCGCTAGAGTGCTGAATAACGGCCGTAGTGACAATGCCGTCAAAAATTGGTGGAATGGTGGCGCCAACAAACGTTTGCGGGCCCGTGGCGTAACTTCTCCAGCTCCCGTCGTCGCATTGTCTGATCCGCTGACACGAACAGAGTCGTTGCCTGCGTCGCCGTCGCATTCCGTTCCGGGCTCGGGCTCGGTGTCGTCTTCGACGACTGCGTCGTCCTCGCCGTTGGCTGCCCCTACAGCAGCTCCGGCAACAATTGGACAGCTCCATCATCATCACCATCACCATCATCACCAGCAGCAGCTGGCACAAGCACAATCACACTCACACTCACACTCACACTCACATTCGGTCGGTCTCCGACCCAGTCTGGTCTCCACAACATCGCTCCCGCCCGTCAGTTTTATCCAACAATCGATTTACAGCGCGGGTCAGGTGGCAGGCACTTCAGCACCCCCAGGACGTTCACTTTCATCCACCACTGCGTCATCGGCATCGGCATCGGCATCGGCATCGGCATCGGCATCGGCATCGGCATCGGCATCGGCATCGGCATCGGCATCGGCATCGACGCCGGCGGTCCTAGGACACCGTTACACGGGGTCGGGACCTTCACTCTTCCACAACGTGGTGGAAAACCGTCATTCCCAGTCGTTTCCGGCACCTTCATCATGGGCTTCACATTCCAAAAGCCATTCCGAGCTGCCGTCTTTGGGCACCGCCGTCTGGGGCCACTCCAGAACTGTGTCTCCCACGGCCGAGGTTTACTGTTCCAACGTTCTGGATCGGTCTCAAGATCCGTCCCGAAGGTCATCCGTAGCGTTTTTGGACGACTTCAGCAGCCATAAACGCCCAACCCCCAGTCATCGGGCCGCTCAGGATCTGCCTGCCATCCATTCGGCGAGCACGGGCAGCTCCACTGGCAGCAGCAGCAGCATTACTATCCCCTCCAATCTCTCCGGCGTATCTGCTTCGGCTCCAGTACCGAGTTTCCCTTCAAGTTTCTTGACTTTGGACTCTTCTCGCCAACTTAACGACGCTGACATGATAAGGCCGGATTTCAAATTTGGCGGCGATCTAGGCAAACACACCACCAACCCCATGTCACGGCCTCTCCAGCCGCAAAGTGCTGTGAGAGAGCAGCAAGACGAATTGCAGGTTGTTGCACGATCAAAAGACCACAACAGGTCTCAATCTCGTGTCACACTCGGCGACATTTTGAATAAGCCGTAAAATGGCTTCTAATGACTTCTCCATTCTTTCTCCACCCCTCTCTTTCTCCCTCTCGCAATTACGGAAATGACACAGCAATCAATTATGTGGAATAATTCCTCGTTATTGTAAAGTTGAGCTGTTTTTGAGTTGGCGTCGTCGTGTGTTCGCCCAGACGATGGACGCAATGATTTGAATAAAGGAAGAGGCATACCCTCTTCGTTGTGCTACAAATCTAATCCAATGCTACGCAGATGTATTCGCACGTACAAGGATTCTTTCACCCTTTCAAGTTCAAGTCTTGTCAAAACGCTCCAACCCCGGCTATGTTATTAGCACATTCGTATCTGCAAGCTCAACTGTGAGTTTCTCAGGCAGAAACGATATTTCACAAAGAGTATCCTGTATATGTAAATTCAAGAATCTTAAACGTTATATACCATGATAAATTTCAATTGAACCGTTACATTTTGTTGATGTGACAGGTTCCTTAAATTCAGATGTCACTTATACTTTCTGGCTCGAAATGTAAATACTATATGGGAACAACTTGAATGCCTAAAAATTTTATGAGATAATGAGATAGAAACTTCATTTAAGAGAAGTAAAGGACTAGACAATACGAGATGGCTACTTCTGACACACCAACTGCCAATGCTGCTGCTGATGTGGTGACTAAAGTTAAAAAACCCGGGTATACCAATCCTGCTTTTAAAGCCATGGGAATACCACCATTGCGCATTCCATCACGTAACTGGATGATCTTCTGGACTGTGCTGACAGTATCTATATCAGGTATCGTTTATGACAAAAGGCAGCAGAAAAAGATCACTGATAAGTGGTGCAAAGCGGTAGAACCGCTTTCAAAGGAAAAACTAGCCTTCAACGAGAAACCACGGAAAATTACAGTTTTTATCGCTCCACCTCCAAGTGATTACCTCGACACTAGTATGACTGTCTGGAGACGGTTTGTAAAACCTGTCCTGTTTTCCAGTGGTGTGGATTACGACGTTTTCACGGAGGAAAAACAAGGCTTGATCAGAGCAGAGGTGGCAGAACGCATACGAAAACTGAGAAGAGAACTGCTAGATAATGAAGCTGAGCTCAAACGGTTGGAAAATGAGCGTCGACTATGGTCTAGATGCAAAACTGCCATTTCCAAGGGCCTCAAGTACGTGAAGGCTGCCGAAGAGCTCGACGAGGAACAAGAGAAAGCACTGGCCGTGAAGTATAAGACAGAATTCGACTACAGAAACTTGCTGGGAGTTTATTACAAGAATCCAGATCGGGATTTGAACACCGTGGATCAGGACGCCCTGGTTTCAGATCCTTCAATGGCTGGAGGTGTCATTTGCATCGGCCGTGGAGCGTATAAGGAATACATCGACGGTGTACATGAGGGGATTTTGGGGCCATTGGAACCTCCGCTGAAGGAAGAAGCAGCAAAAATTGAGACAGAAATTCAAAAATCTGCACAGGAGAAATCTGAGGAGCCGCTCACGGAGCCTACGCCTGTGGAGGAAACTGTGGAAGAAAAACAGGGCGCTCCTGCCTCCGCGGACGGTGAAGAAACCCCCGAAGCCCCCAAGCCGGTACCTCAACGTTACATCTATCCTAATGAGTACAGCGATGCTAATTTTCCGTCTGAGCTCTCAACCTCCAAAGTCATCAGAGAACTGGAGTCTCAAACACCGGCAATTTATCTGCAACCCATTCTGGTCCTTCCCATGCCCAACCTGAGTGGTTTTCTCAATATACCGGAAAGGATTTACCGATTTTACCGGACGCGGTATGTTGCAGATTCTTTCTGCAAAGCTACTACAAGCTGCGTGTTACAAAAAGTGAGGCCGTTCAGCTCTTCCATAGATCTTAACCTTGCCGTAGCTGAAGAAGCTGATTGGCCCAAAAAATGGGTTGAGCAAGGGAAGGAAAAAGGCAGCGAGTGGGTTAGTGAATTGAAAGGTGATGATAGAGTACTGAACCTGTTGAACGTCTTTGAATCTTCCATGGTCGACGAATAAGGACGTTTCATATCTGTATATAGAGTAATGCATCACATTAGAGTTTCCTTTATTCGAATAATTTTGACTGTTGTTACTGAAACAATGATTACATCCTCAATTGCTTGCGTCCCGTTACGAAAGCACTAGCAGGACCATAGCTAGCGGTTCGCAGTCTACTGGAGGTAAAGTCGATTTTCGAATAACCCTGCAAATCAAGAACCAGTTTTCATGCTAACAGACTAAAGAATAGAACAACCAAATTCTCTGAAGGTTCAAACGTGGGAGAGGTGCTTTCCTAGCAGCCCTAGAACTGCAAAGAAACTCGCGCTTTTCTTATAACTTGAGGTAACGAGATCTTGCCCGAGGTTTCGGCGACAAAACCGTGAGCAATCATCGAAACTCCTAGCAGCAATGGCAGAATACAAACTCTGAAGCTGATACTGGCGTTCCGTATTCGAACCGCTTCTACGTGTGACACTTATTCGTCTTGTTTTATTTTACTGACGCTGTCGTGAGTAATGTACTACGAAATTTGAAGCTTTCATCTTATGTTAACAACGCAGTGCCAGCGACCCTAACAGCTCACACAACGATAACCACAGGAACCCGCAATGGCTCTCTTTTTTAAAGCGCCAATCGATATAGAAATTTTGCTAGATGGCGAAGAGTCTCGCAAACACGTTGAAATAGCCAACTCCTCAGACAGTCCGACTGCAAGAACGCTCAAAGACCGATATCCTATCTACGAGGACGGTGAAAGTGTAAGCGGCAGGGTCACATTGAGAGTCAAGGAGGGAAAGAAGTTGGAACATTTAGGTGTGAAAGTGAGCCTTGTTGGAAGTGTTGATTTATTGAAGTCAAATGGGGAAAGTAAGAAACGGCCCGCAGAAACGTTTCTAAGTTTAAGTGCAGATCTTTGTCCGCACGGGGAATTGATGCACTCTCAAAACTTTCCTTTCCATTTCAAAGATGTTGAAAAACGATACGAATCTTATAGGGGCAAGAATGTGGACGTCTCTTATTATGTGAAGGTTACTGTTTTCCGAAAATCAACTGATATTGTCAAACACAAGCGGTTTTGGTGTCTACTTTACAACCGGGATGCTCTACTGCCTGCAGTTTCCAGCACTCCTGCTGATGCTAAGTCTGTAAAACTGAACATTGGGATCGAAAACTGTCTCCACATAGAATTCGAATACTCCAAATCCCAGTTTTCTCTTAAGGACGTGATTGTAGGAAGAATATACTTCTTGCTCACAAGACTAAAAGTCAAGCACATGGAGCTCAGCGTTATTACGAGGGAAACATGCGGATTGGAGCCCAATCAGCTTTCGGACTCTACGTCTATCCGTTATGAGATTATGGATGGTTCCCCAGTGAAGGGAGAGACAATACCCATACGCCTCTTCTTAGGGGGATACGATCTGACGCCTAGCAGCCAATCCAACTACTTTAGTATCAAGAACTATTTGAGTTTAGTGATCATCGACGATGATGGCAGGAGATATTTTAAGCAATCCGAGATTATGCTATACAGAAAGCGGAACTGAGAACACACTTGAAAGCAAAACTTCACTAAACGGAAATCTTAAGTATCAATTGCCGAACAAATTACATCTCAGACAGCTTAACGATGCGAGATTGAAGAATAAGTCGAACTTACCTCATCCCGAAGAAAAAACAGAACAAAGAAAATTCAGAATATGGAACCCAGCCGGCGTTTAGTATCATCAAGGATGGTCTGTGTTTTAAGACGAGCAAGTTCTACTCTATTTTCCGGTTTTAAATCTCTCGACTGGCTCTAACTTTGGTTTTCCTTCGTCCTCTCCGGTAGGAAGGCCTTTTTTTAACTGGCGAAACTTAGTGTGACAATTCAGGCCCAGCTTCTCTAACAGACAAACTTAAAGTCCCATTGGCGGTACGTTCTCTTTTGGTCTACCTGAACATCGCATACTTGTCGAGATGTATAGTACTGACGTTTATTATTTCAGGATCCAATGATTATATAAGAACATCGAACCCTTTTGGGAATAGGATAAACATTGTTGAACGGGCTACTGAGAAACAACCCATCTTGACGTTTAGCACTGATCGCATTGCAATGATTTGATCTGAGTACCTTATTCATCTCAGAACTTAAGTTCTCAGTTTAGCAGCGGTACTTGAAATAGCGGATTTGGTTTACAGGCCATCTTTGCATAACCAAGAAAGGTTGGTTGATGTCAATAAGACAAACCTCAACAGGAGGCATTTTAGTTTTCCGAGGATGCACGATACTTGCTAATGTGGCCGGTGCTGCCCTTTCCATCGCCATACTGGGCACAAGTTCTGATCAAAGTTGTTTCAGCAGACCTGCGCTAATCGTCTTGACCAGTGGACTGTCTTGTTTAACAGGAGCACAACTAATTCACAGCTTGAAGAGGTTGACAGCTTTGGCATGGTCTGTGTTGCTACTTCAACTTTTGAGCTTGGGCTCGGCTATCTCCTACGTGAATATTTTGCTCCAGAGATTGCCCACAGCGTCCTTGTCATCTCTAGAAATGCGCCTGACAATTGCACACATTAGTGTGCTTCTGGCTGCAATGTTGACAAATAGTCTAGTGGCAGATCTCGATCTAGGGTCAGTTGCCGCCAAAATAACGACAAGTGACTTGGAAAGCGGCTCTGAGGAGCTTCGAAATGCGGAGTTAGACTCAACTATGACAGGCATACTCGAGCAAAGCCAAGAAAAACAGAAAACGGTGACAATGAAAAATTCAGCTCAAACTTTAACCCCAGACCTCGATTATGCTACAGCCATGAATATTCAGCAGAACTGGATGAATAACTACCCATCAACGTATACGAGCTCAGAGGACAACTCGACTCATTCAGTTCTTAAGCATAGTGTGGAGGTACAGGCTCCACAGTCCCAAGATTCTGTAATCACCACTGTTCCCATACCCGCCAATGGACTTATCAAGACGCCCAAAAAATCCAAATTGGATGTGTTCTCGTTGATGAGGTCGGGAAGCAAAATATTCAAAAGTCCTTCAGTGCCGGCACCGACTGAAGAAAACAGGTCTCGTTACGTAACCAGGCTTTCCACAATACATGATAGTTCAAAGAGCTTGATAAATGTGGCATTAAATTCTCAAAATTTAGAAGCGAGCTCCAAGAGCATTCATTCTAGTTTGCTTTTTAGCGACACACAAAAGCCGGCCCAGCCGGACGAAACCGCTCTTTCTATGGAAAAGCTTGCGATTCACAGGATCAATAATGCACTTTTACCGCCCTCCTTGCAGTGTCACGAAGACAATCGGACGACCGCAATAGAATTAAACTACGAGAAAAGGCCAGTGACACCGATTGGCTCAAACCCATACGAATTTACACCATCCTCGAGCTCGACTGAAGATGAGATTATTGACGTCTTAAGAGAAAACGATTTAGAAGACATTCCAAAAATCTCCAATCACTACCTTCATACAGATGATGCTCAGGTAAATTGTCAATCTGGGACTCTGCTTCACAGTGTGAGCTTACCAGACTGGCAATTAAATCGATCTAAGCTATTGCATAACGAGAGACTTATTTCCCAAGATAATCCCGAACTTCCTGCTGGCCTTGAACTAGAAGCTTCGGATAAGCTACTTCCACGTCAAGCGTTCAGCTTCCCTCAGGTGAAGCCTAAGCTCAGTTTTGAGGATTTTTATGTGCGAGATAATGGTGATGCGGTAAGTGAACTTGATGTTTTCTTGCAGCATGAAGGTTTCGAAGGAGACAAAAAGGAAACCAAAGTACAAATGATGAATGACGTCTTAAGACAGGAGGATTCCATGATCAGTCAACAGAGACTTTCTAGAGATACGAATATCATTACAGGACCACACTCTCCTACTAAATCAGTGACTTCGATTTTCTCCACCTCAGCCTCGGGTAGTATGAGGAATCCGCTGAAATTTGGTTCTGTGGTTACGAATGCTGGTAATTCAAATATACCACAACAATCATACCATTCACGGTCTAGCTCCCAGCTAACATCATTTTTCAATTCTGCGGCGAATCCAAATAATATCAATTACTCTACACAGTCGTCTCCAACCAAAAGCGGTAGGCTGCGACGCATGAGCAAAAAATTGTCTTTATCGAACATATCCTTTCGACACGAAAACGAAGACAGCTTATATGGCCATGAAACAAACAACAGCGTCGACTTCAGCTACTTGTACACTTTGCAGAACAAGCATTCTCCGTCAAAATCTTTATCGTCGATATCGAGGCGCAACAGTGCCATTCTACAAGGAGATCGTACGCTTCGGACCGTCAGCGCACTATTTGAAAGTAGAGTTGAGCACGATAACGAGGGCGCTGACATTTCTTTGAATCAAACCCTCGAAGCAGATGATACCCGCAAGAAGAAAACAGACGACCAAGAGAGCGCTATAAGCGCTACCTCGAAAATAAGTGATACCCCTTATCCGCAAGCAGTGATCGGTGAATATGACCGTGAAAAATGGACCACCCTTTTAAACTTGTCGTTGATCGACGAGCCTTAACGTGAGCTATTTATCGCTTCTGCAACATTTACGTAACAACGAGCGATGAGGCACACAGTGAATAAACAGCATCGTTTCAAGCACTGCAAATGTTCTGCTTCAATCAAATAGGAGTGTACTTCTCTCCGAAATTGATGCGAATTCCTTCGAGTGACAGTCCCTTTCTGTATTTCGGTGCGTCATTGAGATCGCTGTCGCAGCTGGAAATTTGAAAAAAAAGAAGTTCGATGGGATGATCAATGTTCCCTCAAAAATTGAATGCAGTAAGGCATTCCCCACCGACTGTGAAAAGCAGCGTGGATTCAACAGTCTTGCGACCAGAAGTCTTCGTTGGTGGTCTTGAACACTGTGTGCGTTTTCTTACCACCTTAGAATTAGAACGAAACCAACCCAGAGCTGCCACCAATTTGACAGTAAACAATCCTGCATTTCGAAAAGAGATATATACCGCTATTTCAACGGGCTCAACACCACTTTTTGGCAGGGATGTCTGGACAAGTAGCTACTTAGCATTTCCAATGACACACCCGTGTGGAGTGATCAACTTTAGAAAGCTGTTTCTTCTAAAACTTTGAAACTTTGTATTGATCAAAGCCAATGGTGTTAGCGTAATCTCCAACCACAGTAAGATGCCATTCTGACCAGTTCTTTTCTGGCTTCGTTCTCATTGGATTTCCAATTTCTCTCATAGCTTGTATCACGTGAACGCTTTATTGGTCTATACACATATTAGGAAAGGGGCCCTATAATGACCATTAAGACACCATACCAGAAGTTGAAGCTATAATATTTCAACAGCTCATCGGACAACAGAAATAGAGGCAATTGAGACCAACTAGTCGCCTTTGAAGCCTTAAAACACTTGACAAAGATACCTCAAGACCCGGTCTGTGTCCAAGTCGAAAAAAAAGGCTTTTTTAGATCCCAATTCGCCCAACTACGCACTAATTTTATATCATATTGATCGAGGACCATTTTGCATATCCCAATGGGTCTTTTAAACGCCCAAGACAAGGAGAAGATCAAACGAGCACTACCCAAAAGCTCCAATAAAATCGTGGATGTCACGGTGGCCCGACTGTACGTGGCATATCCAAACCCTCAAGAATGGCAGTTCACTGGTCTATCAGGAGCTGTCGCTCTAGTTGACGACATTGTGGGACATACGTTTTTCCTGAAACTTGTGGATATTCAAGGCCATCGAGGCGTTTTGTGGGATCAGGAACTGTGCGTGGGCTTTGAATATCACCAGGATCGGACTTTTTTCCATACTTTTGAGCTTGAAGAATGCATGGCAGGGCTACTGTTCGAAGATTTGGACGAAGCAGCACACTTACTCAAAAGAGTGCAGAAACGCGAGAAGTATGCGTCCAAGAAGACATTGGGAAACAAAAATGCGATTGCATTGAGTAAAAAGCTACAAACTGAGGAGGAATCTCAAGTGGTGCATGGACCAAGGGGAGAATCTCTCATTTCCGACCAAAGACAGCGATACAAGATTCAGGACGGTTTCGATGCTCCTGTGACGAAAAAGAAAGCTCCCCCTCCACCTCCACCGGCACCTGCAGCTGCAGGTGGGTTTTCACCAGTTCATCACACCCCCGACGCCCCTCCTACCCCAAAATTTTCGTCACCACCAGTACGAGCACCACTGGAAACTGCAACCTCATATGCATCTGAGGCTCTGGAAAGTCCAGTGTCTGATTACGACAGCTCGTCGGCTAACCCTTCGGAGTCTGCTACACCAGCGCCCCAGCCAAAGCAACCAGTTCACAAGCTTCCCCCAATGCCTACTTTTGCCAATGCACCCGCACCTCCTGCACCTCCTGCACCTCCTGCACCTCCTGCACCTCCTGCACCTCCTGCACCTTCTGCACCTTCTGCACCACATTCAGCGGTACCGGCAGCTCCACAATTCCAAGCATTTTCAGCACCTTCAATTCCACAACGATCCAATCACAATCCTTTCCCCATTCCCCAGAACACCACACCGAACGCTCCGTTCAATCAGCCGGGTGGAATGGTACCACATCCGCCTCTGCCGCAAGTTAATAGACCTCTGCCCGGCGTTCCTCCTCGCTCTAACGGACCTCCTGCTCCACCACCAAGGAAAGGGCCTGGGCCGCCACCGCCACCGCGGAGAGTCACCTCCAATCCAACGGGTTATCCGGCACATGTACCTATTCAGCCGTCGCAAACCGGTTATCCTATACAAGCTCCTATCCAACCAACACAAACCGGTTCTGCGCAGGGTCGCCGTCCAGGTCCACCTCCACCTCCGAGACGTGGAGCAGCCCCTCCACCACCATCCAGAGCGGCTCGTGTATCATCAGCGCCGCCACCGCCTCAACGCAATGCTCCAGTTTCATCTCCACCGCCTATGCATACATTTCCACAACAATCTTCTACTCCACTTTCACATCCGTCTCGGGCTCCAATGCCACAACCAGTTTCACAACCTAATAGCCAGCAGTTCATGCCACCACCACCTCCACTCCCCCCTACGTCTCAACCTTTTGCAACACAGCAATCTGGTCTGGCTCCTCCACCACCACCTCCTCCTCCTCTTTCTTCTTCGGCATTTCCATCAAACAATGCGGCCGCAAATGCCATTCCACCGCCGCCCCCACCCATGCCTTCCAGAGAAGCACAGCCAGCTGCTGGTGCTCCTCCACCCCCTCCCGCTTTCCTAGCCAATCCTCAACAGGCTCAACCCGCAGGGGTTGCAGGGGAAAATGCCGGGGATGCCGGACGTGATGCCTTGTTGGCATCTATCAGAGGTGCCGGGGGTATTGGGGCATTGAAGAAGACAGATAAATCGCAACTTGACAAGCCTAGTGTCGTTTTGCAAGAAGCGCGAGGAGAAAACACAAGTCAACCTTCCGGGTCTGCGAGCAACTCCCAGAGTAATGGAGGAGGCGGACCACCTTCTCTTGCGGATGCCCTAGCTGCTGCGCTTAACCAGCGGAAAAGTAAAGTGGCCCACGACGATGCAGATTACGATAATGGTGATGATTGGTGAGCAGCAATTTCTCGCAGAAGAACAATTATTTACTCGCGCGAATATGGGCCAAGTTGCATGAAAAGGTATAATAACATCACGAAACGGTTGTTAAGCTTGAATGTGGTTTCCATAACCGAATGAAAACAAAAAAAGAAAACGGGGTCCAAGTTACAACGCAACAAAGAACTATCTATGTGGCGATCACAACCTATCCATTAGCCTCATACTCCTCAATGCCGTCCATGACAGCAGGCGCCAGGTCTATCTGTTTAATGGTCATGTAATACGAATGTGACGTCCACCCAAATCCGTGGGATCAACAGAAAGCGCACTTCAAAGACAACAGGTTATGGTCGTAAAAATCCTACATTGTTCCTATCAGAGATCTAATCATATCACGGTTAAGTAAGGCAGTTTTTTGACAGTTTTGCAAAGCTAGGTTAAAAGAAAGTTTTGAATTATTTCGAGGTACTAAAATGTGCGTAAAGTAAGCAGGAAGAAGTCATAAAATCAAAGTTAATTGTTATCGAGTTTAGGTCGGTTCTTATGATTATTTCAGGTCTTCGATGCCTCATCCTCTGTGAGCTTACCCTTCTCTCGAATTTTCCAGCATAACTGAGAAATTTAAATATATTATATATTGTATACGTGAATAATATTTGGTCAGCCATTTCAGGCAAGAAAGTTGTTCAACTAAACTATAGAATTCTCATTTTAAGTTGAAGTTAGGTCTATATCATTGAGTATAGTCGTTGCGAACTTATCAGTAGCTTAACACACTTTTTTTCTGCTTCTTTTGAACCCACTTCTGCGAAATTTTATCAAATACAAGCATGTCCACACTTATCAAGTCTGCCAAATCAATTGCGCCTTTGTTGGACCGTGTTTTGGTTCAAAGAGTCAAGGCTGAAGCTAAGACGGCTTCTGGATTGTACTTGCCTGAGAAAAATGTTCAAAAACTAAACCAGGCAACGGTGTTGGCCGTGGGACCCGGATTCACCGACGCTAACGGAGTCAAGGTTGTTCCCCAAGTAGCAGTTGGCGACAGCGTGTTGATCCCACAATTTGGTGGTTCCAGCATCAAACTCAAGGATGACGAAGAAGTGGTTTTGTTTCGCGACAGTGAGATCCTGGCTAAGCTCAACGAATAAGCGAGAATCTACTCGCACATGCGCATCTTGTAAATAAGACCTACGTTGGTATGTGCGAATATTTGTGCGTCAATATATAAATCTAAATTCTAGCTGAAGTACTTGTTATCCCAGACTTGTATCCATTTGCCCTTTTTCTCGTCATTTTTATTCACATCCTTGATGATTTTGACCATTTCGCGAACAGCGAGGTCAACCTGACCGGCCAGCTGTGTGATCTCCTCATCTTGAGAATCGAAATCCTGACCACCCATGAACGTGGATGATATCAGTTCGTCGACCTCGGCCACAATACGTCCATGTAGGGCGTTGAGTCGATCGAGTTGCAACGAAGTAGGCTTTTTATTTTTGTAGTCGTTCGATGCAATGGATTTCGAAAACGATTGGAGCAAGAGACGAATCATTTTCAACTTTGTCTGCCATTCCTGTACGAATTGTATCATTTTCGGTGGTACTTCCTGGGTTTCAGTGTCTTCTTCCTCTCCTTGTTCTTCTTCTTCTGAATCACTTTCTAGACCGAAGGGATCATCGGTTTCTATCCGGGGCTCTGCAAGCCATTCTTCTAGTTCGGTCAATGTGTCACTAACAAGCTTCGAACTGACTTTTATTTTCTTATTCAATAGCCCCAGTTCACCCATGTCGCTAAGCTCCAACGTCTGATCGCAGACAGCCCATATTTTACCAATTGGCACCAACCTTGCACTGGCGCTGTCATCTGAAGCTGAAGCATTCTGTTGATCCGAAGGCGCAGATAGAAGCTGGTTTAGCTCCTCACAAAGACCTCCCACGCCATTTAGAAGACTCAAGACATTAGCATCTAGTAGGCTTGTGAAATACTCTGGATATTCTTCCTGGTAGAATAGCGGAATTAAACTTATCAGAAAGAAGATAGAATTAGCCAGTGACTGTATTTCTTTAAAAACAGCATCTAGGTTGTTGTAGAATTTGTCAGGATGTAGAATGATTCCAATCTTAGTCGCATGAGCTTTCAGGATTTGAGAAAGTTTCTTTAGTTCAGTGATGGGATCTGAGTCTTGAAGTTTTATCTTTGGTTTTAAACGGTGTAGTTTTTCGCTAGACGTAAAGTTCTTGACAAAGTCGGTTTGTAAAGTAGAAATCAGGGCCTTAATGTTGGATTCAGCTTGCGACATGGCCTGGCCGAGTTATGAACTTCGTGAAGATCAATAGTGGTTTAGTTTCTTGTAAGAAGTTCTAGCTTTTCAGTATGATGAGATGATAAAAGAACCACGCATAAATTCATCTAACGACTGTCTGTTATACGCAGATACATAGAAGCTAAATGACGCTGGAAAGCCGGGTCTGCGCCGACTACCATCCATAAAGTATATGAAACAGATGGTTTTCTCTTGTCAAAGTTACTTAGAAACAAACAAAAACAATAGTAATATGTGTAAGCATTTATTAGAGCGAAGAAGTCATGATGCCGCTTAAGAAGATGGAGATGGGTTCATCTTTCTCTTACCGTTGGTCAAAGTGACGTTGACGAATCTTCTGGTGTACAAAATTCTCTTACGAGCGCGACCCTTTGGGGACTTTGGCTTTTCTTGCTTTTCAACCTTTGGGGTCTGAGACTTGACCTTACCAGCACGAGCTAGGGAACCGTGAACTTTACCCTGTAAAAACTGTTGTTAGTATATGTGCAGATGGAGGGAGAGACGAGGAAGACAAGTTTGAAGCAAAAGTGGGGGGTGTACCCAAATGGGAGCCCGACCTTGAAGAAACACGGCGAGCAGAGAACGTCTAGGCCCTCAAACTTCCGTTAAGGTATCTTGTCATTAAGTTTCCCATGGGGTTTGCCACAAATTTCATTGGCACCTTTTTCATAGATCACCCATCTACCTGGACAGCTGGAAAGCTCATTTTAGGCTTATTTTGACCGCATTTTCAACGCCGTGTTCACTACAACTGGGCCCACTAATCCTAGATCTATCAAAACCTGTCTCCAAGTGCTGTTTGCCACCATTTAAACGTACCATTTTGATGTGGTTTGTATGGAGTAAATCTTGGTGAAAAATTCAGATGTGAAGGAAAGATATGTAGTTATAGCTGGATTAAGCTTTTTTTCCTCTTCTGTGAGGCGCCGTATCTCATTACAATGGCATTCAGCTTAAAAAATTTCGAATTTGGAAAAATTAAAGTTTTTCGAAGACCCACGCACTGGATTACACAGAAAAGGCCGCAGAGATCATGTGACTTTGAAGGGTCTCATCATATACTATAACGTTTTATTAGTGTTGGTGTGGTGTATGGGTGTATTGTAGGGAAGAGCAGTCAAAGGTGAAGAGGTGTCAGTGAAGTTGTAGTCGGCCATGACAATAGCGTTTTATGGGGAAAGGTGTCGCTGTCTTGGGGCCAAGCGAAAGTTATTCAATATTAGCGGGATAGAGCTGTCTTAATACGTTTTTTTGGGATCGTTGTGAAAGATTGTTTCATTAGTGAAGCTGAACACATGCAAAGTGATCTGGAAGGTTTCGAAGGTCTGGTGATGTGACTCAAGGGGAGTTCCAGAAATTCCATAGTGTGACTAGAATCTCTCGCCACGAATTCAGCCGGTAAACGAGCAAATCGGTAGAAACGGAATTCGGTCTCTTTGGACGAGTGTGACGTTAAGACGACTAAAAGACGATTCACAGTGGTGTTTGATGATCCTAAATTAAAACCCCGTAAAGTTTAGCCGTTCGTTCGTTCGATAGCGTGGAAGTAAAAAGTATTACTACGACATTTGGAAACCTAGATTACTTCAAATTCGTGCAATGCCTGGCTGTTCCGCTTGGACAACCCTGAATCTCAAATTGTCGCGCGGTCCAAGTGACACACTCGTAAAGGATGATCGACTTATTTCGAGAGACACTTACGTTTGCTGTCCGAAGCTCTAGGAAGTAGAAAGTGCCATTTCTTGGACGAATTCACCTACTTTTGCCAGTTCCAAAATCACATCTATTCTTTTGATATACTTGTGACCCAGTTTCTCCAATTCATTCAAAAATCAACGATTGTCTCATCAACATTAAAACCATGACAAGGAGAGTTGCATACTTAACCACACTGGACACCCCAAGTAATAACAAGCACCTCCATTAAGCTCTACAGCGTCAATTGTTCTTTTAACCGTGATCTCGCATATCAATGAAACTTAATTATCAAATCAACACTTTTATAGCTTATTTCTACAGTTATACCCGTGTGCAACTACGAAGAAGAAGTGCTCGTTGTGTTGATATCATCAAAAAAACCAACTACACCAATTCTAAAGTACTCTCGGCTCCCTGTCACTACCGATGCCAGGGTTTGTTCTATACATCAAATCTCGAACGACACACTCATTTGCTGACTGGTCTCTTTACACGAAAACCAATTTATTGTAGAAAATTGGGTTCTGAATAGAGTCATCCTACGCATCTAAGACCATCAACATTGTTCATCTGTGGAGGGATTGTGTCTTTCTACCATCTCTTGTACGGTCAAGCTAATCCACATCCTGTTCATGTCCCTGGAAAGAGAAGAACCCAGCCATTTTGGTGCCGGACCGGCTCAATTGCCTACCAATGTTTTGCAGCAAGCTGCTAAAGATTTGGTGAATTATCAAGGCATCGGTCTTGGAATTGGTGAGATTTCACACCGTTCAGGCGATGCCACTGAGGTCATTGAAAGCGCCAAGGCAAATCTGCGTAATTTGATGAACATTCCTGACACTCATGAAGTTTTCTTTATGCAGGGCGGTGGAACAACTGGATTTTCATCGCTAGCCACCAACCTTACCGCTGCTCATGTCGGTAAAACGGGCTCCAAAGGTACTGCAGGGTATCTGATCACCGGATCCTGGTCTGCTAAATCTTTGGAAGAGGCTCAAAGACTAGGAATCGATTCAGAAGCTATTTTCAACGCAAAGGACTTCAACAACGGGAAATTTGGTTCCATTCCCGCAGAATCCGAGTGGGCTGCCAAATTGAAGTCCAAAGACTATTCTTACATATACCTCTGTGAAAATGAGACTGTTCACGGCGTTGAGTGGCCACAACTACCAAGAGCGTTGATAGATTCCGATGTGGAAATTGTAGCGGACTTGTCAAGCGACATTCTATCACGCGAAATCGACGTTTCCCAATATGGTGTAATCATGGCTGGTGCTCAGAAAAACATTGGTCTTGCTGGTCTCACCATTTACATTATTAAAAAATCGATTCTCGAGAACATCTCCTCCGCTTCTCTTGACAAACTACGCCAGCTCGGAGTTCCAATTACCCCTATCGCCTTCGAGTATCCCACGGTCGTGAAGAATAACTCTGCTTACAACACTATTCCTATTTTCACACTTCATATTATTGACTTGGTTCTGCGCCAGATTATCGCAAAAGGAGGTGTAGCTGCCCAGCAAAAGGAAAATGAACTCAAAGCTGAGTTATTATACACTGCTCTAGACAAGTATTCTGACTTCTATGCTGTTCCTGTGGCCGAAGAATGCAGATCCAAAATGAACGTTGTGTTCACCTTGAAAAAAGAAGGACTTGACAAAAAGTTTCTAGACGAAGCTGCCGCTCTTAAGCTTACCGGGTTGAAGGGTCACAGATCTGTAGGTGGTTTCAGAGCATCCATTTACAACGCGGTTTCAGTGGAAAGTACCAAAACCCTTGCACAGTTTATTGAAGACTTTGCCTCCAAGAATGCCTAAACGCCTCGTGATAGGCATCAATTTCTGTATACATATAGATGAAATACGGCGTCTTAATCATTTCGCGTCGATTGCATACAGCGCGCACGTTATGATAGAGCGCTAAATAACGATTTTTAGTTTTGCAACGACCCAATCATACCTCTTTTCTATTTAATGCGGCTATTGGACATAACTGGTGCACAATCAATAGAATGATTTTAACATGCAATTTATCGAGAAGCGATTAAGCTGCCTGAACCCTTTTAACCCTTGCCATGTAGTATATAACTTGACCGTGCTCGCGCGGTCTTTCGCCGTCTTCGTCTTCGACGCTACCACGAGGAAGCGTGCAATGGAAGACACACGACTCATCATGGGAGATGGCAAGTACGACTTCCTCAAATGCTTCGTAAAGTTTCGAACACACCTTCCAGTCTTTGCTGCGAACCATCACTTCGTGAACTACTCTTTGTTCGTCATCCACGGGTGCAGACCTGCTGTCACCCTTGTGCAATTCCTCAGTCGTTGCTGGCGTTGTATTTGCCGTATCAACGGAAGCGCTTTCTTCGATGAAAAGACTTTGATTGTGACTTTCTTCTACTTGAACCTCGCTGTTGCCTTTGTCACTATCAACTTCAGGTTCCTCCGGTATTGTGGTGGCTTCTGCTTCAGTTTGAGGTTGTACCATGGCTTCTAATGGCCCGTTCCAGCAAATTTCAAGGTACCAATCGAGCTCATCGACTATAATTTTCAGTTCATGATCACTGGCATCTCGACTGTCGTGGAGCTGCCATACTTTCTTACCACTGAGCTTGATATTGTGAACGGTTGAGTAACGCTCAACACGTCTTAGGAAAGTCGAAAACCCTGAACCCCACTCCCCTTGAGGGCCTGGAAGTCTATACATCATCAATTGCGTGTAATTGATCATAGGTTCTTGGATTTTAGCGTCCTGAGCCCGAAAAAGTAATTTAGCCGGTACTTTGAACGAATGTGAGATGGTTTTGGTGGTATTATTCATAGCCGGTCCGCCCATACGTGCAACAACGTTTGCATCAGGATTGACATTGATGATTTCCTCAAAAGTGACGCCGAGCGCACACACCGGATTGACCTTGGATGCAGACTTGCTATCGAGATTCGACGTGACGTTCACATTCCACTCAGGCATGCTTTGCAGCTTGATGATCAAATTACTGTCGTTTCCCTGACTTATGCTACGGTCGTATTTTTTAAAGATATTCTGTAGCGCATCGCAGCTGCATTCCATGGCGATTGTATTCAGATCACGAGCGCTAACGACCTCATACGTTGCAAACACATCTTTCGGAATCGTGCACCACAGCTGGCCATTATCACCATGCAGAATTGAGCTGTTAGAGACAGAAGAGCTTGGTGTTGACACAACCACTAGACGTTCACTGCTGAATCGTAGAACGGCGGTTTTTCGCAGTGCGGCCACCGTTGAAATCGTGGATCTCAGAAGTTTATAGTCCTCTGGCGTTTCGGATCCATTGATGATCAACTTGAGCTTCATAAACCAGCAGTGGCAGCTACGGTGTCCTGATTCATGAGAATGGATAGCGATGAGCTCTTCCCGTCTCAGCATTTCTATAATACTTTTATAGAAGTCACTACACACGAAAATATCAATTTCGATATTGAATCCGTATATAGTGATGTCAATATTTAAATTGCCCTATATAAAACAGATGGGTGCTGAGCGGCTAACACACCATAAATCAAGAAACTTGTCTCGAGTAGACTTCAAAAATGACTTAAAAAGTACTGTGGCGCAGATTCAAAACCTCAAGCTGAAAGCAGGACAATAACATGGGAGTGTGGACTTTTTTCCGACAAAACTGAGTACTTTTCAGGGCATAAGATTGAAAGTTCGATCCAGGGATGAGGATTGAGGATTAGTGCCAAGGATTGCGACAGAAAACATAGTAATGGGAACTGGAATATGGATATTCATGAGGTACTGGGAAAAGTAATACAGTTCAATCCAGGAAGGAAGAATATAGGCTATTCAAAGCGTTTTGAGACTGTTGCAACCGTGGACAATTACGGCTGATACAGCATTGGAAGATAGATCATCAGGTTACCGAAAAGAGCAGTTTGATAATGCGCTTTCCATGCTGGGTGTGGATATGAACCAATTCTAGAAGAGATGGGGAATATAGTCAGCTCCCTCGTGCATAAGGGACAAAAAATACGGGAAAACAACGAGGGGAAGCGGCGTTTGGCGAACCATTCGTTCAATCAAAAGCCAATTAAACGTATCTCTCACATCAAGTAAGAAGCTCTGTATGAATCCAGCTTTTGATACAGGAGTTGAAGTCAGGTGATACGTCGCATAATATTTATGTGCATACTATTCGTTGTAACTCATGGGAAACAAGTAGAGAAGACAGAAATACGCATCGTTTCAAGGTGGGGCTATTTATATGAACCTTTGGAAATCTTGTTTGGCACCCCCATGGCGGATTTTCCGACGTTATAACCACATTTCGTCCAAAACGGTATCATCGCTTCAACAAAGACTAGACGACATACCACTTGAAAACTACAGAAACTTCTCCATCGTGGCACATGTTGACCATGGAAAGTCGACCCTCAGTGACCGCCTACTGGAATTAACGGGTGTCATCAAAGCCGACGATTCAAGTAAACAGTTTTTGGATAGACTGGAAGTAGAACGTGAGCGTGGTATTACTATCAAAGCGCAAACATGCACCATGTTCTACTACGACAAACGCAGTAAAAAAGACTACCTGCTACATCTAGTCGATACACCAGGACATGTGGATTTCCGCGCAGAAGTATCTCGCTCGTATGCTTCTTGCGGAGGCGCATTGCTGCTTGTAGATGCTTCACAAGGCGTCCAGGCCCAGACCGTAGCCAATTTTTATTTGGCATACAGCATGAACCTTAAACTCATACCAGTGATCAACAAAATTGATTTGGATAGCGCCAACATTCCTCAGGCAGAGGCCCAAATTGAAAGCACGTTCGAGCTGCCGAGGGATGAAATTGTGCGGGTGAGCGCTAAGACAGGTATTAATGTCAAAGAAGATCTTCTGCCTTCGATAGTCGATCGTATTCCGCCGCCTACTGGAGAGATGAAAAAGCCTTTCCGTGCATTACTAGTAGATTCGTGGTACGACTCGTACCTTGGTGTGGTTCTTCTTGTAAACATCGTTGATGGCACTGTCAAGAAAGGCGACAAGGTGATAAGTGCCCAAACCAACAAAAAGTATGAGGTCAAAGAACTCGGTATCATGTACCCTGATAAGATTCCAATGGGAAAATTAAAAACCGGCCAGGTTGGGTACCTTGTACTGGGAATGAAAGCTTCGAAAGATGCCAAAATCGGAGATACGATTTTGCATCTTGGTAAAGAAAGTGTCACGGAGGTTCTGGATGGGTTCGAGGAGCTCAAGCCTATGGTATTTGTGGGTGCCTTTCCTGCCGATGGTACTGATTTCAAGAGTTTGGATGACGACATCAGTAGACTCATCTTGAATGACCGATCGGTCTCACTGCAACGAGAATCATCCAATGCATTAGGCCAAGGTTGGAGGCTTGGTTTCCTTGGTTCACTTCATGCATCGGTGTTTAAAGACCGATTGGAAAAGGAGTATGGATCGAAGCTGATCATCACACAACCCACAGTGCCGTATGTCATTAAGTTCACAGATGGTCAAGAAAAGGTTATCACAAACCCTGACGATTTCCCAGATCTATCTTTGAGGAAAACTAGAATACATTCGCTTCAAGAGCCTTATGTTGAAGCAATCATTACACTTCCCCAAGAGTATCTTGGGCCCGTCATTAAGCTGTGCGATAACAATCGCGGAATACAAAAGGAAATTACCTATTTGAATGTTACAGGACAGGTATTATTGAAGTACGAACTTCCCTTAGCTCATTTGGTCGACGATTTCTTCGGAAAGCTGAAATCTGTTTCCAGAGGCTATGGCTCTTTGGATTATGAGGACATCGGTTACAAACCTTCAGATATCGTCAAGCTGGAGCTGGTACTAAATGGGAAAGGTGTAGATGCCCTGGCGCAGGTGATGCACAGAAGTCAAGTTGAAAAAGTTGGTCGAGAATGGGCCAAAAAATTCAAAGAATACGTCAAATCTCAACTTTACGAAGTCATCATTCAAGCAAAAGCTAACAACAAAGTAATTGCGAGAGAAACCATCAAGGCGCGCAGAAAGGATGTTCTCGCTAAGCTGCATGCGTCAGATGTATCGCGAAGGAAGAAACTACTGGTGAGACAGAAGGAGGGGAAAAAGCAGATGAAAAGCGTAGGCAACGTCCAGATTAATCAGGAAGCCTACCAAGCATTCTTAAAAAGGTAAAACTAAACTAGCATAATTACATGGGTCAATGTCCTCGTAAGCATCGTGTACATAATAGAACTGAGGCACCCAATCTCAAACTTTCAGGCTTTGATTATTTGCTCCAAGCTTACCACACCCTCAAACGTGGGATCTTCGATTTTTTGTATCAACGCTCTGCTCACTTGTTGAGTAGACACACTAGGTCTTATGAGCTGGTTGACGCAGTTGATTTTGCGACCTAGTATCCAGCTATTACCCCAATTGGCAAAGTCAAGTAAATGCTTGATTTGCGTTCTGGGGTCCAATTTTCCTACAGATGCGTCGAGCTCGTCGAACATAAATCCCGGACGCATTAAAATAGGTCTCAATTGCTTCTCCAGTCTCATGATACCTACTTCTGCCGCTCTTTTGGACTCGATGTAGCCCTTTGGAATACCTGGAAAGGACCTATCTGCTGAAATGTAGGTCATAGTTTTCCTTTGGCCACCTTCAGATGCACTATTCTGGAAGTTAGTGAGCTCTTGAGCAAGCGTAAGGGCGCTTTGTCTATTCATAACGTCGTAGGTGAAATTAGGATTACTTTTCATGGGGTTGGGACCCCATTTCAACAGTTTTTTGGCATCGAACGCTAAGTTTCCGCTAAGTTGCGTTTTATAACTAGAGTCTTCCAGCAGAATACCGATACTATGAACCACATTGTTTGCATTTTGCAGGTATTGAGAATAAGTTTTGGGATCCAACACATCGCATTGACGCCATTTCACTTGGTCTATCCACTTTTTTTCCCATAGAGCTTTTGCCTTAGGAGCTGTTCCTGATCGAGTCAAAGAAGTCACCTCGAAGCCATTTTCTACTGCGGTTTGGCAAATACGACGACCTAAGAATCCATTTCCTCCAAAAACAAGCAGGTTCTTGATCATTGTGAGTCTTAACTTGCTGTGATAACCATTTCAGGGGTGTTGAGTTGAGTTGAGTTGAAAGTTTAAGTCATTGTATTTAGAAGTTAGGTTTGGTTAGTATTACATGATCAGCATAGCCAGATGAACTGAAATATCGAGGTTGTAACGGAGAAGGCGTCCGACTAGCGAGGTGTCAAGATTCAAGAATCAACAAGAGAGTGCTACAACGTGTACTATATGTTTGACATTCTAATTACGAGAATAACCATTGATGACAGATAAAAAGTCATTGGTGAACTCGTACTCAAAAGAAGTCTTATGATTAATCTAGCCCATTAGCATCTCAGTTGTCACTTTGTGAGAAAAGAGAAACTATCCAGCTCAAGATCGAGTAATTAGAAGCACTCAACCGAGCAAGGCACAGGGCGATCAAGAGGAAAACATTGGTGGGATTCAGTGTCTTCCTTATCTTTTTATTGTTTTCAGTTCATTGTAGAATTTGATGTTGGCACCGATGTTCATATTAGTTTGCTATCCGTTTGCAAAATACAGACTTCTGGTAATGACGTGAGGGGTGGTTCTAATGCATAGAGGTACTCTTTTTCGTAGTCCCCGTAATTCTCCTGTTTCACCTTTCTTTATCGTTTGGTAGTGTGCCCCAGGTTCACGTCCTGTTGCTTGTAATTGTCCCACACCACACGGTATATGAAGCTGGGAGCGAACCCACCGATATTGGTGATATAGATGTCGATGTTTTCAGGCGGAACATAATCGGCAATGGGATTCACAGTATCTAGCCTGTTGTGATTCCCCATACGATGCGTCTCCATGTTGGGCAAAACGCGCTGTGAGCCACCAACTTCCACGAATTTCTCGATATCGAACGGGTAGAGAGGCGAGAGCTTGTATAGACCAGCTACAGCGAAGACAGGCGTTTTGAATTCACGAGCACACTCACACACGGAAGAAACGCCGGCGGTGGACGAGATAGTCCCACCATTGGTGAAAACGGTCTTTGCACCAATGATGACTTTACCCACACGACTCATGAGTGCAAAAACCGCAGTATCGGGGATAACGGTCGTTTCTACGCCGTGTTCGGACAGTTTTTTCGCAAACTGGTGGGCGACCTGTGTGTTATTGGGGAAACCTTCGGTAACAAGCACGCTAAAGTTTCTGTTATTGCGTTCACGGGCTTTGATAAGAAATTTGAGAACGGTCTTGGAATCCGGGGTCGGAGTCAGCAAGATTTCGCGATCGTGGATAAGGTCGATGGCGATTTGCTGGATGCTATCGTCGATATTTGAGATCTCGTCTATCAGATCCTTAATTCCCTGTATAATGACCTGACGCATATCAGCCTTTGGATGTTCGCTTGACGTTGATGGCGAGTTCTGGTGGTATTGCGATGAGGTTGTAGTGGCAGTTGTAGGGGCAGCAACCGGTCTCTGTAAGAGACTGAACATCGACGAAATCATGGGTTCTGTTGTTACCTGAAGCTGCTGGTTGTGCTGAGCAGCTTCTTCTTCCACTTCGTCTCTGATCAAAGCCAGCACTCTTCTGATGATATTTCCACAAGTAAACTCTGTGGGTTGGGCTTTCCCCAGTCTCAGACCCAATTCTCGCAGTTGTGCGATCAAATCGTCTATACCGGACCATCTGGCTGCAGAAACAAACCGTTTCAGCAGCTGAAGCGTTTCCAGAGAAACCTGGTACGATCCAGACACCTGTCTTCTTTTCAATCTATCTATAAATGATGCAACTGCAACATTGATATCTCCAGACATTATGGGTTCAAAAAAACGGTATTCTCAAGAGTTCCAAACTTTCTAGAGTTACCAAAACCCAGATACAAACACAACAATTGTTGTTCGAAGAGCTATGATCAGCAATTGCCACTTCAAACCAAGAATTCAAGAAGCTAAAAGCTCAGGTGGTTTGAAAAGTTGGTCAAAAAACTCGATGAGATGAGATGAACTTAAAATTTTCCACAATTTCTAATTACATATAGCTTTTATATATATAGGTGAAAAATACCATCAGCAGAGAGAAGAGGGCTTCAACTACTGGACTAGCAGAAGAACTTCTTGAAAACACTGGGTGAGTCAGTAGTTTTAGTGAACTTGACGCTGTTTCTACTACCAAGTTTGTGTAAATTTGGATCATGTCTTTGTTTGAATATGACGTTTTACACGTCACCGTTGTACTCAGCCAGTTTGCGAGTGTTTTCGATATGTAGAACCCTTAGTTTGGCATTGGTAGGGTCCAGACTTAGACCACGCTCGACCTCTGCGCGAGCCTGTTCGTACTGTTTCAGTTTCAGCAGGGAATCTGTCTTTCGGATGAAAACGTCAGACGTGGTGAGACCAGTGTTCTGTAAAAAATCTAGATCTTGCAATGCATCCATGAACTTGCCCTGTACCAGACAGAGATCGACCCTGTTTTTCATCATAAACTGTAATTCTTGCAATTGCACCGCAAAAGCTTCCCAACTGGTCCGTTTGCGTTGGGCCATCTCTATGGCCAGGTTGACGGATTTGAGAGCTTCTGCCATTTTCTGCTGCTGCAATTGCTTCAGTCCGTTCTCAAATAGTTTTTTGATCATCGCAGTCGAATCGTCGCGGGGCTGAGGTGTGAAGTTAGGGTTATTTTCGCTTACCAGGTCCTGGGTCAGTTTGTTGATCTGTTTGACGTTCATTTCAATATCCTCACTCGCATCTGGGACGTCAAGGAGCTTGGAGTTGGTATCATATTGTAGAGCGGAAAGAGAGGTGGCCATGAGCAACGGGTATGGATCACAGAGGTCTTGAGAAAACGGGTGTGTGTGTGTCGTAAGGCCAAGTTTTCTTCGAGCATCTTCAATAGCATCGGTTCGGTTTACGTATTTGAATTTGGTATATAAGCCTTCGTGTCAGAGTGATGCCAGAGATCACCTAGTATGAGCCGATACAAAACGATCCCCAGCAGCACCATAGGCCATGGTAAGTTGGATCAGGCTTTGGATAACTTGAGTTTGGCTAGTAAGCTTTTGAATGACACCCGCATCGTCTTTTTTGGATTTTTTTAGGAGTTCCAGAAAGACGCTAATCTCAAGGCGCAAGTCCTTTGCGAGCGCTTTCAGCATTTCTGAGAGCCAGCAAAACTCCTGCATCGTTCGCAAACTCCTCCGCTGTTTCGAAAACTCTTTACGAATCCTTAGCTATTCCTAGCTCCCATGGAGCTAAGGCTATGACAGATTATTATTATATACCACCGGGCTCTCTCGTAAGACAGAAACCCTCACATACAAAACAGAGCAAGAGGTCAAAAGTCGGAACCACAGTGTATAGAGATGTGCATGTGCTAGTTGTTTTTGTTGTTCCACCCTCCCGTTTACAAATCGGCGTCGTCTTCGTCAGGCAAGGGCAAAGCGGTGGCCTGCTCCATTTCCTGCTGGTACTGGTGCATCAAGGCCTCGTCGACCTGCACCTCTGGAGGTGCTAGCGCTGGAGAGGCCACAAACTCCAATTGTGGGTTACCGGCCAATTTACGGGCAAGCCACAAAAATGGTTTTTCAAAGTTGTAGTTGGACTTGGCCGAAATGTCGTAGTACTGCAAGTTCTTCTTACGGTGGAAAGTGATGGTCTTGGCCTTGACTTTACGTTCTTTCACGTCCACTTTGTTACCACACAGCACGATAGGAATGTTTTCACACACACGCACCAAATCACGGTGCCAGTTAGGCACGTTCTTGTAGGTGATACGAGACGTCACATCGAACATGATCACACCGCATTGTGCGTTGATGTAGTATCCGTCCCTTAAACCACCGAATTTTTCCTGACCAGCGGTATCCCACACGTCGAACTTGATCTCACCGAAGTTGGTGTAGAAAGCCAAAGGATGCACTTCCACACCGATTGTAGCAATATATTTTTTTTCAAACTCACCGGTCAAATGTCTCTTGACAAATGTAGTCTTACCGGTACCACCGTCACCAACGAGCACCAATTTGAAAGTAGGAACTTCAGCTGCCATTTTTCTTGATTGCGAAATAACTGAACAAAGTCGTAAGTCTTGAACAAGAACGTAACTCTTTACTTCTGTCTAACTTTAGTTGAAAAGTGTTATGGAAGATTGTAGATTCTTGATTCAATGGTAGTTTTTTTTTCCAGGTTATTTAGGAGAGGGCAAAAAAAAAAATTCGATGAAGTTTCGTATATAGTGATTAAAACGACACGCGATGAGTTAAGTTCGTAGGGAGTGATAGTGTGTCAGTGGAAAGGGACAAGGATAAGGATTTCAAACGGTATAACAGATAGAGTTGTGTGTATGATCTAGAGGCGTTATGTATGGTGGTAAGTTAACGCATTTGATCTGGAAGTTCTCTTTAGATTCACATTTCTGATTTTCTTGTGTCATGCAAAAATGAGCCTCAGATGGGAGCCAGTTGACGTCAGAAAAAGCCCCTGCATCCATAGCAAGTGAAATTATCATAAACGGGGGCTCTTTTGACCTGGAAATTCCTATCGTCGTTTTCGGACTTTCGCCAGATCACTTTAACATCGCGCTGGCGCGCGATCACGTGACAAGAGTTTGACATCAAATTCAGCTATAACTAGGTTATTCTCTCCAGTTTGTTAACGTCTGTAATGGTGTGCCTTTCCATCCTAGCTTATTGTCACTCTTTTCTGCGTGGACAGCACCTGACTGCTGAATTTCAGAAGTTTTGTCTTTACATCTTCTGTAAGATTTCTGACCCCTACTTTACCATCACCCCTCTGTTTTACCCTTCAGTAGCTCTGCAATATCGTGCCAATCGTTTATTAGTTCTTGTAGTTTATCGAGGGAGCCTCGCAGTTCTGGATCAACCGAGCTCTCTCCCGTAGTAAGATCTAGCTCAATTTTGTCTGGAACCTGACACTCGTAATTATGCACGCATCGCGTGTACAGATACCCGTTACATTCGTGCAAAAAACCTATCAGTTGCTTCAAAGCAGCAGACGATGTAGCCTTATGTGATGCCAGGTTTCGGAGTTGTAAAGTGATACAGTCACTGCTTTCCTTTTGATTCGTCACATCAACAGCCTCCGGTATGGGACGGGTCGACCATGTCAAATCGGGACCCTCCTGTTTCAGTCTTGCTCTTAATTGCTCCAACATAACTTCTGAACGGCGTGCAGAAACCTGTTGATGACGTTGTTGAAGCGAAGGTTTCACAATTTTTTTCTCTGCGACCAACCTTGGCTGATTCTCAATTGGAATCCTCAGCATCGATGTAGTATCTTCTAAACTTTGTACCGGCACATTAAGTGATTCCAGCGCATCTAATCTTTTTAGCAGTTTGTGCACGGTGTTTATGGTCAGCTTGTCGTTGTTGATGCGGTTCGAGTGTGGTTTCAACGCTGCTTCATCGAGACTTGGAAACTGAAGCTTGCGAGATGCAGGCAAAAGCGACCTACGGTGTAGCTCGTCATTAACATATTGCGCAGCATCATGCACGCTCGAAAACTTCGAAGGTGCACCCATAAAACGTACACACTGTGCAAGTCCTTATTTTTCAATGGGTAACTAGTAGTATTGGTTTGTAGTGATGATCTCTCTTACGCACCAAAGTTCAAATTCGATTTTGAACTCTCTGAGTTTGAAAAACCGAGCAGAGAAACCCGCTATGTCTTAGGACAGAGGTTTATATGTAGTATAATGTAGTGTACACGCCCGCCTATTACTCGTTACTCATGAATACATATGGACGATAGCCTCATTTCCATGTTTTCTCTCGCTTTGAAATTGTGAATGTTAAAAATTTTGTTGAATGGATGTTGGATGGAAGGATGTCGTTAGACTGTTGTTACTTTGACTCGAGGATCTCGACTTTACAACGTGGAATGACGACCTTTTTTTATATTTGCAAATATCGTAATGCTAGCACCTTTGAACCGTCTAAAGAATCAGTGGTGAGTGTCTTCCTCGATTTCTTCCAAGACCAACCAATCTTGGTCTTCAGCCTCAGCAGACGATTCTTCCTTGGTCTTAGAAACTTGCACATCCTCTTCAGCGTAGGCCTTCAACGCTTCTGGACCTTGGCCCTCCAATTCTGGCGTCTGGGGCGCCTTTGGAGCACTCCATTGCTTCACGCTGGCTTCAGCGTCTTTGGTACTAAGTGGCTGTAGCTTGACGCTCTTGATTTCTCTTAGGTATAGATCTTGAATGGCATTGGCAGTAACACGAGTGGATCCGAATGAGCGGGTAGTTCTTGGAACAGCGACTCTCAAAGCTTGTAGAAACATTTTGGTATGAGGTTGGAAGTCAATTCAAAGAAGGAATAGGTCTCACGCTTGGGGTTTCAAGCTAAGTTTAGCGTATTCTGTATATCTTTTTCCATCAGAGTGTCAAAGATGAGAATATTGGTGATGGTAAATTTTTAGTATCTATGATTGGTTCGTCGCACATGAGGAGCGTCAAGGAAACGCCAAAAACACAAGCAATGAACAGGTTTGCAGAGATTAGAGAAATATGGGGCACTACAGGTGATAAAACAGTTGTAAATGCTGTGTTAAAGTAGAAATTTATTTACAAACTTCCAAGTTTACAAAACGTCACACTCGTACAAAATGATATCTGATTTTTGTTCTGTATTTCTATTTAATGCTGTTTTCTGTAGTTATCAGAGAGCTGACCAGAGTATCTAATGAAATCCATCCATTTTGCATATGTCTACCTTGAATTAAGTACGATTTTCTATGTTTTCATTTTCCAATTATTATCTCATCACTTTATCCTAAATTGGCACGACACGATAAAAGTCCGAAAGCGAATTTCGCGTGAAGGGACCTCTATCTTACGGTAACTTTTGAAAACGTATTTTGCATCTATGTTATGCATGCACCCTTCAGGTGTACTACTTCTCTCTCTTTTTTTAAGGCCTTGACAATTATTTTATTAAAAAAGCATACATATAAGGAAAGACGAACTAGATAGCTCGAGTACTAGGGTGCGCATCCCGTAGGCTCTGTAGAGTAAATCTTGAGTGGATAGAATAGAAAAAAGTGAGTTCAGCAGCAAGGTTGATCCGCGGGTCCTTAATAAAGAAAGATCCCGCTTTCTGAATTGTTCGGTGTGAGAAAGTCTCGTCGTCACGTGTGCAGATTTTACACGATGACACATTGTGGGTCCCAACCGTAGCCCTTTGAGATCCAGTTGTCCTTGTTCTCGGAGTTGTCTTTCTTAGTGGCGTGGGCAATAGGTTGCATTTTGTTTTGGAATATTGTGTTGATCTGAAAAGGCTTGTGCTTTGGTGATGATGTTTTTCTTTCCATTTCCAAATTCTGACAGCTAAACCTAACTAAGTGAGCCCTTTTTATACCAAATATTCTCGAAAGTTGGAAACCCCATCCGAAACGACTCTGGGGTAGCTTTTCAGAAGGCCCTGAGTGTGAGGCTACTGTAACCTCTCTTGGGAGTAGTAAGTGGTGCCTGGGAATACAAGATGCCAGGCTCTTGATTTACCTATTTGGGTCGTCACAATAAGTTATCGACGAGAACTACCTGCAGACCGACAGCTTAGAACACACTTGACAGGAGAGCTAGTGGGGATACCAAATCAACCACATGAAATGTCGATTGTCCGAAAACCTCATGCTTGGGGTGCCGTAACCTTTTTGGCACTGACATGGTACCGGGCAACAAAATCGTAAAGCAAGGTCAACGAGAACTCCGCGGAAGTGGAGTGGTTCACGAAGGCACTGATACATGAAGCATGTATACGCAAATAAACGTGAGGGACGCTTTCCTGGACTTGAGGACGATGGTCCTGTCGTTATTCCCAGATTGGCGAATATAATTTAGCTGCTCGCTGTTGACACTTTAGCCCCAAACAAGCGGCAGCGCACACAGATCACCGCTGCATTTAGAAATCCAATTTCAAAGGTACTATAGCATGGATCAACAGAGCCCCAAGTCTCAAAGCTCAAGCGTCTCAAATAACATGGCGAAGTGCGGCTAAGCTTCAATTTGTCGGAAAAGAATCGGAAAACTCGCAAATTGTCTGTCATCCTCGAAAGAATTGAACTAACTCATTCCAACATCACTTACCAGCTTCATAGGTCGGCTTTTGGGACACCAGCCTTTTGGATAACAGTGGTTTCCAGATCTCATTAGGCGATGAGCCGTGTGATGCGATCACTGCTGTGAAAAATTGAGCTCATCGGTAGAAGGACAGGGCCTGTCATCCTCGAGCACAGCACATTTGAATCCATCAAAACAAGACCACAGAGATCTAATTCATTTCACTATGGCTTTGTTTCAAGTAGATGGGTGGGATTTGAATACCAAACAGGTTTCTTACGACAGTGCCAACGCCAAAAAAGAGCAAAAGAAAAAGGTCAGAAAGGAAAGAGCCAAAAAGATAGAACAGAGCAGATTGAAGGAGACCGAAAATGAATATGCTGACTATAACATCGAAGAAGATGATGAGGAGGCTGTAGGTTCGAAGCAAGTTTCTGCAGAAGAAGCGGAAAAAGATGCTCATCCCAAGAAAAAGGTCAAGAACACTAGTGACAAACCTGTTTCCAAGAAGAGACCATTGAGCGATGTAGAGCCCGCATCTAAGGTCACAAAAAAACAATCAGACGATGGAAGTGCTTCCAAAAAACCTTTGACTGCACTCCAGCAAAAAATGCTGACGAAATTGAGCGGATCACGTTTTAGATGGATCAATGAGCAGCTGTACACAACGTCTTCCAACAGTGCGCTTGATCTCATTAAAAAACAACCGCAACTCTTTGATGAATATCACGATGGATTCCGGTCTCAAGTTCAATCCTGGCCTGAAAATCCAGTCGACGTTTTTGTCGAACAGTTCCGTGTTAGATCTCAAAAACCGGTTAATGCCCCTGGCGGATTGCCAGGTCTACCGTCTGACAAAACAATTGTCGTTGCAGATATGGGTTGTGGTGAAGCCCAGCTAGCACATGATTTGAACAATTTTTACGCTCAGTACAATCGCAAGCAGAAAAAACATTTTAAAAAGAAGTGTGTCGTCCACAGTTTCGATTTAAAGAAGGCTAACAAACTGATCACAGTGGCAGACATAAAAAATGTGCCGCTTCCAGACCAGTCATGTACAGTAGTGGTTTTCTGCCTAGCTTTGATGGGAACAAATTTCCTGGACTTTATAAAAGAAGCTTACAGACTTCTAGTGCCGCGTGGTGAATTGTGGATTGCAGAAATCAAGTCTCGTTTTGCCGACCGCCAGGGCGACGAGTTCGTGAACGCGATCAAGCTCATGGGATTTTTTCACAAAAAGACCGATGATACTAACAAAATGTTCACCAGATTTGAGTTTTTTAAGCCTCCACAGGAGATCATAGAAGAGAGGAAGGCTAAGCTCGAGCGGAAACAAAAGTTTATCGAGACTGAAACCGAAAAGGAGGAGTTCGACAAAAAGAGATCAAAGGCCCCAGAAGGTAAGTGGCTATTAAAGCCATGTATCTACAAAAGAAGATAGTTGGCGCCACAGCGCTCAATTGCGAAGAGTGTAAGCTGTGCTGTTTGGCTCGAAACTCTCACTTGTATAATATTTAAAGCAGTTAAAAGCGCAGCGGGATATTCGTTCTAGAATCCAATGCTTAGAAAGGGAGCCCATACTAGTTTGAACGGAATATGCTCTGAACTCTGGCAAGGTTTCCTAAATTACTAAAGCTCGTAATGTTGGGAAACTGGAGCCAAGTGTCGGACTGACCGCCTTGCGCCGACGGATCCCACTGATCGCACTTTCTGAATCCGTGTGCATTCCATCCAGTAAGACACACGGCCATGATAATCAGTATGAGGTACAAAACCTTAGCCTGAAGCAGGCACATTATGCCAAAGACGATCCATACCACTGGTGCAGCGTATGTCGAGAGCCAGAAAAGCTTCGAATCGATTGGATTGATGGGAGGACCCGGGGCATACTGTTTATAGGATTCAAACGACAAAGGGCCTTCTTCTGAATTGACTGAGTCGTACCACCACCGTAATTGAACAAGTTTTCGACCTGTTATGTTCTTCGTTATATAGAAGTCTGCTGCCAGTAGTAACAAGACTGTGATGAATTGAGCTGTGAAGGACATGAACCATGAGCCCACCACATAAAACACAATTGGAAGAGATTTTCCTGCAAGGTGTAAGCCCATAGCGACAGGATGCGATGATTTAAGAATCATCTGGTAGAAGTTCCTAACATGGTCCATTTTTGACCGCTTTTAACTGTTTCCTGGATGTAGGTATGTCTCAAAAGCCCTGAAGCGAAGCAATCAGTTCCACAAGCAGCGATCAATGATCCTAGCTAGAAGCCCACTTTTAAATCACAATGAAGCGGTATGATTCGATCTCGATGAGAACCTTAACACTGAGATTCTCGAGTGTTCTTTCATTATTCAATCAACATCTATAGTGAATATATAAATATTTGAACAAAGAGATTGGTCTAAAAGTGATATAAGATCAAGAAACTCGACTCCGTCTCCATTTGGCGACTCTAGATTTGCATTGAGAGTACAATTGTAGCCAAAACGCCATTAAACTGATTATCAGGATCATTTTGCATCATAAAACGTATTATAATATTATCTGGAATCTCTATATGTGTCCTGTGGGGACCTGAATTAAAGAAAGTAATGAGTGTTCTTTAGACTCTCATTGTGAACCATCATTTCCTCTTTTTTGAACTCATTGAGTTGATGCTTCACAGCTTGGATGAACGTCATGTTCTGAGTCTGCATCATGCGACGACGAGCACGGATAAATTTCTTGTCGCTTCTCTCGTAGTCACTCGCAGCATACGTGTCTTTGACGTAAACAGATTGCCCAAATCTAAGTCTCTTGGGTATAATTCCTTTATTTGGCTGCTCATGGACAGTAACAAGGGCAATGACTGTGTCATAATGTACATTTTCCCAATCCCGCTTAAGATTGACATCAAGTCTCGCGTCAGGATCTGCAACCTTGTTTTCGGACGCATGTTTTCGATAAAATCCAGCCATCGATTCTTTGTTGGCCAAGAGAGGTCTTTTGAGAGACCGTGGTGGAGGTGTGACCGCTAAACTTTCAGAAGATTTATTGTCGTCGGCAATTAAACTCCCCAACCGGGAAAACTCTTCTACGAGCCCGTAATCTATATTGCTGTCCTCAACTATCACCTTCTTCTCAATTGCTGGTTCGGAAGATTTTACCTCTGGTGATAAAGCTCGCTGCGTTGTCTTCTGAGATATTGACGTGGCGGTGGTAGGGTGGTCGCTCTTCAGAAGCAAACTGTCAAAAACCAAGTCTATGTCTAGAAGCTGATCATCGTCGTCGTCATAATCGTCCACTTCATTGTCACCGTCATTAGCACCGTCCAGATCGGCTTCGTTGAATTCAGCTTTTTCCGAAACAGTAACGGCTTCATGAGAGGACGAATGACTTGGACGCGATATCGATATGCTTGGCGTTTCAACAAGCTTGGTCTCAATAACACCGGGTGTATTACTTTTGCTCATAGGTGGTTTACCCTCTGGAATAATCTTCTTGGTTTTCTTTGATGGTAACAGTTTTCTGAAAAATGAGCTTATACGAGAAGAGGACGATATTTTGACACCTTTGCTAGCATTTGGTTTTACTGGCTGGATCAAAGGAGTTTTTTGTATAGGTTTGGCCGGAACCATTGGCTTAGCTGTTGTTATTTGAACAGAAGCCGAGGCAGGTACTCTTTTTGGTGCGGACAAAACTTGCGCAGGGCCAGATGGTTTCAACGTGTACCTATTCGAAGGAACGTCCTTGATAGGTGCCACAGGCTTCAAAGGGGTTTCACTTGCATCTGTGCTCGTGTTACTGCTTACAACATTCTCACTTTTCATACTGTTGGTGCTGTTCGTGGAATTATTACTGGAAACGGCCTGCGTTTTTGATGAATGACTGTTGAAATTGCTGGTGAGATATGCAGGAGCTGATCGGAGGGGCGGCTGACTGGCAAGCCTGCCATTAGGTGCGTTACCCGAGAGCGGCAGTTGATTTTTTCCATACGTTGCATCCAGAGATAATCTCGAAGTGCTGGCGGATTTGTGAAAGCGGTTTATTGGACGGATGGGAGTGTATGAAACAGACGCTGCTGTAAAGCTACCAGAGCGGATAGAAGGATTAGGCTTTTCTGGCATCACCAAAGAGTTTGTCCTATCCACGCCAGCGTGAAAATTACTGCAACTTGCCGACTTCGGCAGTCCGGATCCGTGAGATTTTCCGTTATAAGAAGAGAAAGCCTTGATCGGCTTCTGCTTGGGTGTGAAACTCTCACCGTTGGGAAATTGAAAACTGTTCTTCATGAGTTTTCTTTGTTTCTGATAGGGCGTTAAAGAGTGTGAAGGCAAGTAGGGCAGCTGCGTCTGCTCGGGTATCAACGATAGATTTTGGCTTGACCGTTGAACAATTTGAGGGCTGAGTGTTGCAGATGTTGTCGAAGCGCGTTTGTACATCTTTGGTTTGATACGGCCCACGGGTACTTCGAACAAATCCGAGGTTGACCTGGTCCTAGGGTCGAGACCGCTGAACGGTCTTGAGTCCCCAGACGACGATTTGAATGAATTAATACTGACATCGTCGCGAGACGAATATCCGTTACGATGCATTTCCTTTGACTTCTCTATAGTGTGTATGATGTTTATAACCTGAGAAGTGTCAAAGCGTAGCCACGGAAAATGACGAAAAACTGAGAATTGAAGCAGAAATAAAGGAGTTTAGCGAAAGTGTGTGTTTGATTGGGAAAGATCTTAAGTTGCTGAAATGTTCCATATAGCGATTAAAGTCTTAAAACGGTCGATCAGAATCGTTTTGAATACTCAATGGACCTGTTAAAAAAAACCTTAGATGTACCCTTTCTGAGTCAAATTTGCTCCAAAAATTCACGGTTGGAAATAGTATCAAACTGTCGTTTCCAATAGTCCGCGTCTCAGACTCGTTAGGCTTGAGTGAGCCTGTTTGGTTTGCCAAGTAGGACTGGTTTAAACCGTTGTGAGAAGCTTGTCAGGGAAGAAGTATTTAGATTTCATTCTTCTAAGTAATAATTTGTTGAAAAATAAAAGTCACGAAAATAAATAACGACATGTAATTTTAAAGCGTCAGCGTCAGGATGATGGAAGAATTATAGAAAGCTTGAATGATTTGAGTCTATCACAACAGTAAACCTATAACTATGGTTCAGCTTTCTGTTCTTTTCAATTCTATAAATTCGTAAAATGCTTGCCGGGAATAATATTATTTACGCCTGTCATCGGAGCCTGAGGTTTCTGGCGTTATATCGACAGCTAGAGTTGCATAAGTTCCTTTGGCTGAACTACCGTAAAGCATATCATGCTCATCTTCATTTGTCCTGGAAATAGAAGTATCTGCAGTTGTTGAGCGAAGACGAACGTACAGTATTGCTCGTCTGATTGCCAAAACAACAAAGGCGAAAACGATACCACCAAGTGGCGCGACGACAAAAGCACCAAAAGCGCCCCAGTCATTGTTATAGAGCCCGTTTGATATCAGTAGAAGCTTTCCGCCCTCCTTGACGGAACTATAGTAGACGGATCCAAAGATCCATACGGACAACAAACCACCTAAACCACCACCCATCACCTCCCAAGCAGTCAAGAAGTCGAAGAACTGGAACAAGCCAAGCATGAGCACCGGTACCACAGAACTTGATAAAAGGTCAACAATTAAGTAGATACTCAAAACATCCTGAGCCACAAGACCTACCACCACAATGGGCACCATAATCACCGCGACCATGACCCGAACGTACCGTAAAGGCACCTTGTTGCGGAAAATGTCATTTGAAATTGACGAAACTAAAGCACTCTGTAGTGTGTCAATGGTGCATGTTGATAACATGGCCACAAATACGAGCACGAAACCCACCACCCACGACGGCATCTGTGCCAGAAGAACGAAAAAACAGGAATCTGATAATTCAGGATCGTGGACTTCGACAAGTCCTGCCCAGACGGCGATGAAACCGGTGACTCCAATGACTATCAGTACCGCGGTGATGAGGAAAAAGGCTATGGAGCAACCAATGAGCAGATCTTTATCGTTTCTAGCGGCAAAAGTACGCAGCCACAGGCCGCTCATGAATAAATCATTGGTGAAGACAGCCACGATCAAAATATAAATTAGTTGGTAGCCCAGCTTACTACCCTTCAGCAGCCCCGAAGGCTGGATTTTGGAGGTGTCGATCTCAATATACTTACCCATAGCACTGGCAACAATAATCATGAGGACGAAGATAATAGATACCTGCAAAGTATCTGTTAGGAAAGAAATGCGGAATCCTCCGACGGAAGTGTACAGCGTTGTGATAAGACACTCCACGATAATGACGGGAAGGGCGTTAATGCCAGTCAACGTTTCTATACAGAACTTGAGGGACGCAAGTTCGCTGACGGTAAACAGAAATAGCGTCAAGATGGTGCACAAGCCTATGTAAAGGCCACAAGCATACCCATAGCGGTGGAAAACCCATTCTGTGAGCAGAAAGCCGTCTGGAACTTTTTTGCGAATCCGTGGACCCAAGAATGCAAACAAAAACATGGGAAGACCACAGGAGAGTGCGTATACTAGCAAACCTTGCAATCCATCCACGTTAGCGATTTTGGGGAAAGTTGAAAGCACGCCAACTCCTACGGACGACGCTAGAAAATTGAACGCCAATGGGATGGCTTTTTGGGTGCCATTTGCGGACAAAAATGTCTTAGAGTCCCTAAACCAGTACGCCACGAGACACGCCGAAACGAGCACTACCACGTAAGTTGGCCACAGAATTGCATTCGCAGCCTTGTTGGAAAGTTCTCCCATTATCCCACTTGGGCTAGAAGCGATTTTTGTTCGAGCTATTAACTTTGTAGAGTCTCTGATGTTCCGCTGGATGTTATTAGCACCTTTGAAGTAGCATACTATATACGTTTAATCAGAGATCGACGCTGGCTTAAAGTTTCCGATTCGATTTCTTAAACAATGCGTCTGTCACTACGCGATGAAGTACCCTATGGCGTCGTTACACCCGTGGCGCAGCAGAAGGGCTTACAGAAGTAACAGGTATTTTCCTGATGGAAAGCAGATCACAGCGTAGCTTATTCGTGCCCATACGATGCTAACTAAGGTTTAGTTTTTCAGAATGTCGCGAGGTAAGTTTTAGAGCTATGAATGAAGAAGTTCTGTCAGGGACGATTAAAAATGAGTTTTCAAGGTGCTGAAGGAGGAAGAATAAGACACAGGCCAAAGAACAGGCTTAACTTGAGTAAATCAGCCAGGACGACTACGGTGAGAAAAGTGACCAAGGAAATGGGTTTAAGGGAGAGAGGAAGAACATTACGGGGTGTAGAAAGTGCTGATATAAGGACAATTGCTGTTGTTTACTGGGAAGGTTGCTGTTTCCGCCCTGTTGTGAAGTTGTGGTAGTTGTTTGAACTACTACCTACATGTCCGCTTTTGAGTTTCCCGGTAACGACATGAAAGTACAAAGTGATAAACGCACCAAAAGAAGAGTTCGATGTCCGTTGCAGCTGCACATACAGATGGCCACCAACTCAACCCCCTCTCTCTCTCTCTCTCTCTCTCTCTCTCTCTCTCTCTCTCTCTCTCTCTCTCTCGCCTAGGTTTTGTGCGAAATATTACAGAATTCATTACTATACAACGCCTACGCCAACGCCAACGCCAACGCCAACCCGATCCGTCCGTTTCACCATCACTCGTCTTCGTCTGCGGTCGTGGCAGTAGCAGCAGACGCAGAAGCACCAGCAACATCGTCGTCGCCATCGACTTTGCCGTTTTCCCCACATATCAGCTCTCGCAGAAAATCAAACTTTTCGTCTGACATAATCGTCTTCTTCATCACTTCGCCACTTATCCTTCGACATCCCATATCTTTGGCCACATGGCCACTGCGGTTCACCAGCATCGCGATGAAAAATTCCAGCGACCGGCCTGTTATCACTGGTGTGGCCTGCGACACTTTACCGATATCTTCATCTGTTTGCATTATTTTCTTGATTTTGGCCGGTGGAAAATGTGTCTTGATCTTGCTGAAGACTTCGCTTCCGTTGTTTTCTTCACTCATCTTTGAAATGTAGGTCTGATTATATTGGTTATAATGAAGGTGACGATGATGCGATGAATCCGGTAAGACAATACTTGTTGCGAAAGGTAACTTTAAATTCAAATTTTGTTGATAAAGTCTGGTCTTCGTTCGTCTTGAGACTGAACTTTTATGCTTGAATAATACGATACTTGTGATCAGATCTGCAAGACCTCATCGCCCGCACTGTTTTCGGGCATCTATTGAAATTTAGCTTGTTTATATACACTGCAGGGCTAATTCTGGTAAAAAATATATATATGTTTCCATATAGCTGGGAAAAATGATTGAAAAAGCCAGTACGATAATTTAATAAATGTTTCAGAGGAAACGCGACCAGCGGGGTTCGAATAGAAGTTGCCGTTGAAAAGTATGTGTGTCACGTGATTCTTGAGATCTTTAGCACGTTCGTAGTCTGGTGGATATACAACAGGAGGCTGGAAATCAACCCACCCATTGCAATAAGATCGCTAGCCAGATGGGAGAAGGGTCTCACAAGAATGACAATGGATGTTTTCACTTGCCTCTTAGGTCTCGCCTCCGAGATCTCCAGTTTTTCATTCTATTTCTTTGATTGAAATTTCACTAGATTACAACAAACTACACACAATCTGATAAGGCTTGCCATGCGAGATTCCCAAGTTCAACTTAAAGAAACCTTCGAGGGCCCCTGTTGATGCATCGCCCATTCATTTTTTTTTTTCTTTCTCTCTTTCGGTTTTTCCGTTTACACAATCAAGTAGCGGATTGGGATGTGTAGGAGCTTGATGGCGTAGCCGATGATGCCAACGGCCACAAAACCGATACCCACAGCACGGACAATCTTCAAAAAGTCTTTGTTGCCAGGCTTTTTGCACTTCTGGATGAAAGCAGTGCCGTCCTTGATGAACTCTACGGGTGCCTCGGCGAGTCTTTCGAGCTGGTTGTTGTTCTTAGCCATTATCAAAGGTGTCAATTGGGTAGAGTCAGAAGCGTGGAAGCGATGTACTGGGACTCGAAACGTCGGTATGCCGCGGGAACCTGTGTTTTAGATGTGTGTATATGGGTAGGATGTGTGATTTCGAACACTAACGTGTACTTAATTATTAAAAGTTTTCGATACAAGTCCGGTCTCGTGACTAATCGGTTACCCGGGGCGAATCGCGCCCGGTTGTCTATGCATTATCTACGAAAAAAAACTAAAATGGACAGTCCCCTCAAAAACCGGTCCATTCTTCCTCTTCAACATTGTCCGCATCTTCGGTGTCAAGAACACCCCATCTGCGGAATCTGTCATCCTTGAAGATGTCTTCTTTGATCTTATCACGTAAAGTTTTGACGTTGTTCGTATCAGATGACAGATCTCTAAAGATGTCGATGAACAAAACTAGCGGTGTTTCTGCGATTTGTGCGCGTTGAGAGTTTGCTGTAGCATCTGCGTCTGCGCCTTCAGTTTCGTCTTCGTTTTCCTCATCCTCACCCCCGAAAATCAACTTTTCCCACTCGTCGCCCAAAATGTCGATGATGTGGAAAGGAACGCCATTGTAGATCTTCTTGTCACCACTCAAAGGCACTTTACGAAGCACAGCACGAATGTAGTTTGAGACCACGGCTGGGGCCCATTCTCTGAGCTGCAGGTATCGCAGCTGACTTGCCAGCACCCGCCTGACCAGCATCAGGTACTTGTCGAGACGGTGATGGTCGATACTGTACCATTCCAGACACATTACACGCCAAAATGCCTTACTAAATTTAAGGAAGGCTTTATCGTTTAATGTCAAACGAGTTACGGCATCCTCATCCTCGTCATCGGTCTCCGGTGTTGTCCGCTGTTGATTATCTCTGGCGTCGAAGTAAAGCTCGTGTAATTCAGCAAGCGCAGAGGCCAATCTTTGCTGCGGCCTGGGCCTATCGCTGAACCACATTGCATAGTATAGGCCTTTCCATAGTTTGTCAAATTGCAGCTGTTTGCTGTCTTTGAACTGTCTGGTAGTCAAATATTTTTTGAGAGACTCCAGTGCTTCCTCTCTTACAATCCTGTTATTGGACGCCAGTTGTTTGACAAAAGTGGAGGTTTCCATCGTGTCCCTGTGGTTTGTTTGACGGTTTTGTCGATGAGATGAGATGAGATGAGATGAGATGGACGCTAGACATATCAATTTTTTTTTCTTCAATATTGACCTGGGCCCGCGACAGATATATCATGGAAAAGTGAGCGTCAGTGACAAACAAAACATGAGAGAAAGCAACTCTGGGGCCGTTAGATTACTGTACTGTTGAAACGTTCGTTATGGAATTCAGAATTTATTTGGGATGCGTTTTGTGTTTGAATTCTTAAAATGGATAGTGACAGCCAAACCCGAAGAAAATGAACAGTCAAGTGTATCTCGACAAGTGTCTTTACCTTGATCCTATGGTTTCACCGAAAGTATGGCTGCACTTTACAATATTTGCCTGGCTTGACGAGCTTTTGATTTAATGCTATCGGATGCGGAGAATTTTCAACAGGCACTTGCCTAGCCATACTTCTGTAGGAGCTGCGCTTTTTGCTCTTGTGTCTGTTTGGTGCCTGTGATCTTCTTAGCACTTCCTTCTTTGAATGCGTCTTTGCCAGAAATCTCTTCCTTCGCCAAAGCTTTATTTTTCATCAAAAGTTCGTACTTGGTGGGATTTGCCACCAAAACGTGCTGCGTCTTTGCAGCGTTCTCGATTTCGTCTCTTAAGCCAGATTTGAGTGTTTGCTCGCGAGCGAAACGATTCAATTGAGACAATTCTACCGATTCACCGGTCAGATGACGATGGAACATTTTGGATTCAGGATCAATTTCGCCCAGGTCATTGGACTTGTATAGCCGCGACTTAGGATCGTAATTAATCGCATCTGATCCAATATCTTTCAGGTATGCTGCACGATCTTCCCTGAGTCGTACAGAGGCTCTGAGTTTGGAACCTTGAGCGTCGTCTTGTGCGATTTTCCCGCTGATTTCCTGCTTGTAGAGCCCCAGTTTGGACAGTTCAATTTCCTCATCCGTATCCATCTCGTCGTTATTGCTCGCCTTTTTTGTCTCTCGTAATGTTTCTGCTTGTTCCTGACTTTTTTGCAGAACCGTGTCATATTCCTTACCTTCATACCCGTACCAGCGATCTTTTCTGGCATCCCAGTTATCCTTGGAGCTTGCACGCCTTTCTGCTTGTACTGACGATCCTGTTGAACCATACGCTCGACGCTTTCTAGGAGCTTCCAGGCAATCTTTTGGCCTGTGTCCAGAAATCCCACAATTGGTACAAGTGTCACGATGACTGGAGAAAAGATTCTTTTGCGGTCTGACGACTGTGACCTGTTCAAATGCATCGCTGATACCGCGCCCCACCTTTGGTTCTGCGTTGTTGTCGATATCCAGATCTTTGTCGGACGTTTTTGACCTGCGATGGTGTGCTAGATAATCTTCATTATCTGTGGAGTTCGAGGTGTCTTTGTAGAACCACGGCTGGTCCTTAATGTACTTCGGGATATGAGCGTTTTCCTGCTTTTTGCTCATAATACTGATGGGAATAGGGAGTCCCTTAGACGATATGTCATGGAGATGTTCTGGTTTAACAAGTCGGGTTTTTCATACCCAAGATCAATAATATTAGATTTTGGTCAAGAACTTCAAGATCAACTAAACTTTCAGTAGTCCCACAAATGGTTTGGTAGATTCATTGAGTAAATTGTGCTACTTGGTAGGATATTCAAGTGCGTTAGTAGGGTATATATATTCATTCAATTGTAAAATGACCAAAACTGTATAAAACTGTGACTATGCGGACTAAGCTTGACGTACACATTTTAGATGAGCAAATGCACATCTTTAGACTTCGCGAGAGCCCTCATGATGTGCAAATGTGTAGTTCCCTCTGTCACTCATAGCTTCGAACCGAGTATGCTGTCTTTACTGAATTGCAACAAGAGATACCTTCTTTTCTAGAATGAATGAATCTCATTTTCTGTATTGTTACGCCCGGGCTCTGCGATAGATGGCAGGCCTGTCTCCTCCTCGAGTCAAAACACTGATCCCACAAATCGAGACCATAAGAGTATCATTTAAACGGGTCTATGTCTTTACCCTCGCTACAAAAATCAAGTTACCAATTCTACTGTAGCCGCCCTATGTTATCTTGAAAAGGACTATTCAACATGGTCGTTCTCCACTCAATGTCCCTGAAATAGCCGTTTGAAAGTCATTAACAGCCGTTTGAAAGTCATCACTATTTTGGCATCAATGTCCGCACAGAATTGATACTTTTCCTGCTACCTTGGGCAAGACCAGATTCATGCAAGAAAACCCGTTAGAGCGCTAGGCTCTAGGCAAAATATCACTGTTATGAGAACTACTCTACGAGAACAGCAGAACTTCCTCGCTACTCCTCGCAAGACACCAAAGCTCTGTTTGCCAGCTCCTACTAACGTCTTCCTCGTGCTTGGCACACCGCCCGTTTGACGCCACAAGAGCATCAAAATCTTCACGAACAGCAAGTTTAAGCGCCAAGCGTAAGGACATACGCACAATGTAATACCACGACCAAAGTGAGCCCACGTTTCCTCACTTCCGGTTACGAGTCATGTCCCAGTGCTGTTAACGATTGACGCATTCCAAGAAATGTCAAGACAATCTCAAAAGCTCCAGTTCTCTACTAACAACTACACCAAGATCATTCGGAGCACCAGTTGAAGCGCCGTGTGCTTGCAAACTGCACCTTCTTGCATTGGAAAGAATTTTTGAACGGCTCGACGAGAAGCCCAAGAAAAAAAAAATCCTGCAAGGCCACAGCTACAAACGCTTAATCTCCGCTGCACATTAACACACTTTTTCCTTCCCCTTTTCACATGAAAACTCCACACTACAAGCACCTGGCTACTACTCGGGATTAGCTAACGGCATTTTTTGCAGATGCTACGCAGTTTCCACAGTTCAAAACTTTTTTGTTTCTACGACAATGAAGCATAGGCGATGCCGAGAAGTAAGGTTGAATTTCAGGTGCCAAGAACGCTCGCAACGGATGGTGACATTGCCCTAATTACTACTTATGACCCGTACGTCGAAAATACTGTGGTTATACTCTGAGATGATGGGTAAAACCCGCATCATATCTTCCACAGGGTCTAATTTAACCTGGCCAGTGTGTTAAATTGGCTAAAAAGGTTCAATCTGAACAACGTTGAAGATATAAAAGACAAGAAGTCAACTTGAGGCAGCCGGTAGGTGACAAGACCTCGACAATACGAAATTCCAGGTTGTTAAAACGGGTATCAAAGGCGTTTCATAAGAGATTCTTTAATCAAGGCCATCTGTGCTTTTCAGCATCTTAGTCTCTAGACATCTCCTCTCTACAAATATTGGCAGACGTTAAGTTGACTACTTGGAAAGCCTGAGGATGAAATTTGGATCTCAAATACAAGACCGGTCTGTGCCGGAGTGGCGTTTGAACAACATAGACTACAAAAGCTTGAAGGAGGCTGTCAAGAAAGTTACAACATTCAGACCAGATAAGGAAATAACGGACAGCTGGGAAACAGACAAGGAATTAAAATGGCTGTACAAAATTTTTGTGGCGCAGTTTCGCAACATCAACGCCTTTGTGAGCCTCAAGATCAAAGAGGCTTCCACCAGGTTGGTTTCCGTGCAGTCATCGATTGTCAGGTTGCAACAGAACGCTGCTGGACCGACGAAAAGAAACTTGCACAGACAGTTGGGACTTATCCATCTGCATCTAAACAGCTCTAACACTGAGCTTCTGAGAATATGCCGTTTTCTGATCTTGCAGAAAATCGCACTTCGCAAGCTCTTCAAAAAACTACTCAAATATTATCCCTACGAGCAAGCCAAAGCTGAAGGGCTAGTACAGGCACTGAAGACGTGTCCGGAGCTCATAGAGGGCGAAGACGGGATCGTTTTCACTACTGTCGATCTCGACCCGTATTTGCTCGAGATTTCACTCATAGTGGACGTTATGCAGGAACTTGAGCAGGTACGAACAAAACAGGACCACAACGATAAGAGTTCTGAGCAGCATGATGTCTCAAAAAGCATGTCCACAGAGCCTGCATCTCGGAAATCCAGCTCTCAAGTGGATTTCGATGCCTCATTCTTGGGCAAAGCTACCCGACTTCAATCTTTCTTAGTTTCCGAAGAAACCGTTTCTCAAGCTAAATTCTTACTGCTGCAGCTTGGGTTCCACGTTGTCGACGACGAAATGCATACTGTGTCACAGCAGAGTGTCCAAAACGCAAGTCCGACAAACTTGGCAAGCTTAGCTGCCACCGGAAGATCGCCACGCTCCTTCCAGGACCTACGTTCAGCACTAGAGGCTGATCAAAAAAATGTTCAAGCCGTAACCGCATCAGCCGAATTCAAAAGTTCCCATCCAGTGTCACTTACCCTTTTCGACACAGAACCGATCCCAAATTTCTTGGGTAATGATGCTGCGAACCAGTATCCGAACATTGCGATCAAGTGCGCTGATTCGGAAGATTGCGTGTTGATGTGCCATGTTGGAGGGCTGAGAAATCATATCCTTTCTGAGAAAATGCCTTTTGAAGCATTTCAAAGGGCTTTACATGGTCATTCGGTTGAACATGACAACTCTTTGGACTTGACACCAAAAAATAAGCTGTGTCTCGACTGGATAAGATCTCATCCAATGGATGTGTGCAGTCCCAAAATCTCAACAAAAAGAACGCGCTTCTTGAAACCACGGACAGACAAAGAAAACGAATACCTGATATGCGTGGACGAAGATATCGTACTGAACCAATCAGAGAAAGTACCACATGCGCTTCTTGAAATAAGGTCATCTCCCACAAATGTGGTCATTAGAAAACCGAAGAGTGACCAATTTATCATTTCTTTGATCGAGAAATTTTTGGAGTTCAACCTGCAGTGTTATCCACTGGCCAAGGACCTAACCTTATGGAAGTTGATGTACATGGTCCAGGAATCCCAATCCACCGAGTCTTCGTTATTGTCCAGCATACGTCACGATCTAGATCCGCTAACCAGCGATAACTTCTTTAGAGCGGGTTCCACTGAGCTTGCGAGCATAGTCTCTAAAAACGAGGAAAATAAACCAGAGTTGGGTCGTAAGAAAACCACTAATGCCTCCAAAAGTAGTGGTTCTGTAGCTTCAGGTACTTCGCCACTCAAAGTTAGATACTGGAACGAGTTTGATGACGGTGACGAAGCAGGTCAACACATGGGAGGCTTCTACCTTGATGAGGAATCTCAAACTGATCATGATGGCCCTAAGGGATTCATAAGATTTGATAAGAATTTCGTCAACGCCGTTTACGATTTATCCGAAAAATTGCGAAGTTTCCCGACATTCACTCAATCTGCGGAACAAAGACCTTTGCTGGTAGACAGTCTTCATGGGCCATCACTAGGAAGCGTCACCACATTGAGCACCATGGATACCTCACAAAGTGCGAAGAGAGACTTTGACCGCTATATGGGATATACAGCGCAGCAAGAAGAGAGCGACTATGTTTACGAATTTAAACACGATCACGTTGTCACTCTGTTTTATATGACTTCCCTACTGATATCCTGCATTACATCCGGAATTTCTCTGGGAATTGTGGTATCCCTCTTCCGCGAGTTAAATGATGGGGGGTTAACGCTAGGTCCCACCACCACTGTGGCTAGCATTATCATCATGACACTACTACTTTCCCTAGTATTGAGCTGTATGAGTCTTCTGCTACTGTTCAGTCGACTTCAGATGGCGCCATGGTGGCACTACGTAAGTTGCTCCTTCATCTTCCTCATCGTTGCATGTACCGTCTGTTACGGCCTGATAGAAATATTTCTGTAATCAAATAGCATTTTAATCCTAATTCAAACGTTTAATGCAATGAGGTATATACCTATTTAAGACCGACCAAACTTCCTCCTTTTCTTTTCCTCATGTCTTTTCAGCCATTGCTCTTCTTTCTTGTCCTCAAGTCTGGCCAGTTTGGATGCTTGTTCTTCTTCTTCTAAAATTTCCATTTCGTTGGCCTCCATGTCCGACTCATCATCGCTCTCAAAATCTCTTCTCTTTCTGCCTTTATTGAATATAGCCCAGATTTCATCACGATTATACTCTGCCTCTTTTTCATCGTCCTCTATAAAATCGTCCATGTCATTTTCCTCGTCAGAATAATCATTCTTAACTTGCTTAGTCTTCCTCATCAAGTCCAGCTTCTTCCGCAACTTGGCGTTAGGCTGTGCAATGGAGGGTGCAGGCACTGAGATTTGGCGTGTTTTTGGTATTGTTTTCTTCTTGCCTTCGTGAGGCCGTGGCGGCATGCTAATTTTCTTCTTGACAGAACTGTCTCTCTTCGGCTTTTCAAGCTGAACTGCTCTCACTTTTGACTTCTCTTTACCGGATGACACATTGTGAGCCGTAGCACTAGGCTCTATTAACGATTTGGCACCTTCGTCTGCTTGTTTCATTAGTTCTTCAAAGCTCAATTTTTTCATTGGAGCACGCTGAATAGGTTGTACAGGCTTGACACTTCCATTGGAGTAGTCTCCAACTTTCCTGCGAAACTTTGTGTCTGTGTTCATCATACTGGGTCCTTCCTTCTTCTTCCTCTCGGACGACGGCGCCGGTATTTTTTTGCCAGATTTGACAGCTATTTTGACCTTTTCTTTCCGTCGCAGCTCTTTCAGCCTCTTGACCGCGGGATCCTCTTGTCTTACGTAGTTTGAAGGTAGCAAAGGAGCTTCGTTACTCAGTGATCGCATCTGCGATGTACCATTTTTCTTTGCTACGCCATTTGATGAGTCCTTGGCGGATTTTGAGCCTTGTAATTGCTCACTAGACCTTTTGAGCTGTGCAAGTTTGGCCAAGAAACTCATCAGTGTCTTAAGCGGCCCAAACGTGTTGATCCCAGCGCTTCAATTCTTACATCAAGACCATTTTCATCGAGATGAGTTCACATCTGGAAAAACTCACTGTAAATTGAAGATCATTTGAAACGTTTAGGCGATGATCAAACTATGACGTCAAGACAACGATATCGGTATCCTGAGTTCTCAACTCAGGACCCATCTCTTTCCATCCGCCAATATTTTTATTCTCATTTCCTATCGTAGCGTCGAGGAGGACTTTTGTTCGAGTTAAGTTGTTGAGTTACTCGGATTCGTAGTCGAAGTCCAAATCAGATTGTGCAGACATCTCATCTTCACTTTCCTTCGTTTCCAGATCTTTCATAAAGTTTTCGTAGTCTTCAAACTCATCAACTTTGGCCTCTTCCTGTGAGCTTTCTGAGATATCTTGGGCTTCCGACTCCTTTACTGGCTCTTGCGAAACCGCCTCTTGCCGTTCAAAGCCTCCGGCTTGCAAATCACTGAAACCGGTGTCGTCCTCACGAGCTGCAGTTTCAGGGACAAATCCACTTGCATCGGGTACAAATCCACCAGCCTCGAACTCCATGTCGCTTTCACCGTTCCCTATGTCACTATGATCGGAGAGCTCCTTGGCATCAAAAGTGGCGTCTAATGATTTACTTTTACCACCAATGCGGTCGCCTTTCGTAGCATTTACATTTCCGTGACTTGAGATTAGCCTCTGTTTGATCCTCAGCTTCGCCAAGAGTAGATTCCAATGCTGCAACGCTTGCAACTCATGCTCTTGTCTTTTATCTTCTTCAGCGGTGTATTCAAGGCCATCAATCGCGGCTTCGACGGCTTCACGATATTTTTGAGCTGTTACAATTCCAGTGATTTGCGGCTTGGCAACCCTTTTCTTCTCGAATTTGAAGCCAGTGACGGCTTTTGCAAACTCAACTTTCACAAAAGCAGCAGCTTTCACCGCTACCGGACTTTCAATCAAGCAAGCCCCAGCCGGAATCATACTGTCCACGTAGATATCAATGTTTCCATACACGTTTGTGTGTATCTCATCTTCTGGCCCTAGAGGTTCAGGAACAAATAGATCAGTCTGGTCAAATGGATAAAGCCGTTCTTCTGTTAACTCACCAGTTTTGAACTCTCGTGATTTTGTTGTTTTAAGAGCTTTGGCGCCAGGTTTTAGTATACGCCCTTCTGTGTACCATGACCTGGCTGTTTTAAGCACCACAATGTCTCGACGTCGGTAAACTTTTAAGCTGGCAGTATTGTTTTTCAATCGAAGAAACCCGCATTCTTTGCAATTAGTCTTTAGCACTTCATTCCACTTTATATCGTTTTCAACCACATAATGAGGATGCCCTTTTAAATCTTGCATGTTATCAGGAATCCCCTCGGTCTGATCTCTCTGTTCGAAATACGCATCTTCTAAATCATCCGTGCGAGTTCTTTTCCTGCCTTGTAGTCGGGTTAGCACTCTTTGAAACCATTCCTCACCTTCAGGAGTTTTTGTAACGCGTCTTTTCCTTGTCTTTGAGTTGTAATGAATAGTATACCTTCTGGTAACGTCTCGACACCCTTCTTTTCGGTCATAGGCAATAATATATCTAAAAATGTTATTTTTTCGAGCCTTACCTTGAGGTTCAAGTTCCGTGTGATGTCGTATTTGTTCAATGGTCTTCTGACCCATGGGATCCACAGTGATCCATTTTTTAGTAGTTTTATCCCAAACCTCGCACCAAAAGATTGAATATCGATCTTGAGCTGTGTCGTTCTTTTTATTGGCGGCATTTTTTCTTCGTCGTAGTTTGGACGCAGATCCAGAGTCTGCCAGATACTCCCCGGGTGTCAATTTACCGTCCACATTCAATGGTTTGTTATTTGTGAAGTCTGGTGGTTGTATGTTGAAAACTAATCTTGCATTCACACCGCACGCTCTTAACATAGCAACAAAACCTTGTGCTGCTACCTCTAAACTGCCTCTCCCGTGAGCTACCTTTTTGTTGAAGAGCTTTTGCGACATATAGCGGGAAGGTTGTTCCCATGGACCACTCAGCTCGTCCCATTCAAACATATATAGGCCTTGAGTTTCAAGTCGAGTGATGCGGTTGAAGTGTTTTTGCCAAATTTCCATGCATTTCTTCAGGCCATCCAGCAATTTTCGGGTACTTCTTAGCGGCAGTTCTTCGTCTCTTGTCGGATGCAGGAGCTCAAACACACTATCAGGCACTAGCTTCGACAGTTTGGCGTGCAATGCATGATCATTTAGCCATTTGTTGCGGATCGATCCGTGCACCATCAAAGTGATTAAATGCAGCATATGGAAGTATTTGCGAAACTTGCGTTCTTCATTTGAGATAAGGTTTCTGGAATTCGTTTTTGACTTTGCATTGGATCCTGAAAGCTTAGGATCAATGGTCACAGACACACCTTTCTGTTGAGACCCTTTTTCATTGCTGTCGAGATCCGAGATGTCTTCAAATTCGTCAGAATCAAAATCTTCGTCCTCTTCCTGTGAAAAATCGACATCTGAACTTTTTTCGTTAAAGCTTTCCTTATCATGATTCTCATCCGAGTCCAAGACTACCACTACCTTGGCTTCTTCCGGCGACGGCTTGGCTTCGTACTTCGGAAGTCTCCTCTTTTTACGTTTCGGTATCTCTTTTTCTTCCCGAACTGCCTGGCGTACTAAATCAAAATACTCCTCGCTAAGCTTTGGCATGAGGCCGGCTCTCTTTGCTTGAACTTGTAGTCAGGGTTGGCCATGAGATGAGATGAGATGAGCTTCAAACACTATAGGTAGGTAATTCACTAGTGGTATTATACGTACGTCACGACTATATGTTACAAGCGAGAAACGACTGAGACTGTATTTCTCATGCAGGGTTGGTGGTTCCTATCAGAGTTTCTGATTGGCAAACTCTATTTGAGCTTTGTTATCGCTGGCTTCGAAGCTCGTCTTCGAGCTCGTCCTCAAGTTCGTAAGTTTCATGATTCGATTCGCTTCCAGTCTTTGTCTTTCCCGCTGTCTGAGACTGAGATTCTGGATCGGTTGACACTGCCTCACGTCTGGACCAATTGAAACGACAGCACCATATGAAATGGGAAGCGAAAATGCCAAGTTCAAGCGCCGCTACAATGCCGTAAAGTATAATACTCAAAATATCCATGTTGCCTACGATGACGCTGACGATTGAGAGCCAAGCTCCCATAGAGTCAATGGCTAGAAACACAAAATTGATGCCTACGACGCGTCCTTTGCGCTTGGCAAGCTCGAAATAGGGTGGAATCAAACCGAGCGCCAGCAGTACAGAGGCCAAAATCCCGAAAATCATGGCCGGCCACTTCGTTCCGTACGCGTATAAGGGACGTAGCCACAAAGTAAACCCGATTTCCATGCCCACGTCTGTAGCAATCAGCACTAGTACCGTTGCAGCAATTTTCCGTCGATCCCATTGCACTGGTGGGTAGTATAACGACTGTACATAACTGATGCCGCAGAACACCATGAAGAGATGAGGCTGGATCTGTAAAATGATGTTACCCTTTATAACCATGAAATAAATAGCAAAAGGAATACCGCTGATGACCCATAGCAGCATCATCAATGGTGGCAAACCCTCACAGTCTTTACGTCGGTAGTTGAAGATGATCTGGGGAATAAGTTGCACACACCAGCACACCGTTCCCAAGGTGGCCAAGGCGGTCGCAGCCTTTTCTGAGATCATCAAGAGACACTATACAAATTCGATCGTTATTGGCTAGGCAGGCTCTCGAAAAATAGCTTTCTTACCTTAGTTCTGGAGTCGATGCTCAAACATCTACCGCTTCCCTGTCTGCCATTTATAGCTTATATTAGAGTCATTATTAGTTCTTCAGAGGTTAGAATTACATATTTTCCAGCTCGCTATATACGAGGGATTGACTCATAGATGGAGAAAATATCCACGTGACCTTGGCGTAAGATGTTTCTACCCAGCTCTTGTCAAGTTTAATCCATCATGAACGGTCTGTTAATTCTCCCGATGAGAAATGGAGGAAACTCCAGTATTGTAGCAGCTTCTTTATTTAATTGTACTTCTTGGTCTTGCATTACTGTACTTTTTTGGCCCTGGTTAGTTCATGCTGTTGGGCCTGGTCTGGGAAGTCACAAGAGATGCGGAAGGTATGAAGAGACAAAACCACTCGTTGCAACGATGTTCGAAAGATATACCTGCATCGAAACACATGTGTAAGTTTCCCTAGTGTAATTATCTTCTTCGCGTCGCTTTTTCCAACATTTGCTCATCGTGTCAGGTAAAATATGCGTGGGTACTGGATAAGATACGTTGCACTTCTATCTGCAAAGCAAAGTAGCTTTCAATTGCGTATGGTACACTCTTTATTATAATCTGTTGACACTCTGGTATAAATAGGGAAGACAAGAAAGTGATATTGTACAGGCGATCCATCTCAAGACGGAGTTTTGGCATTTCACACGCCGGTGCTGTCCAAGAAAAAGTAATTGCCACTCAACTTCTGTTCCTTGTCCATTTGGGAGTCGAGTTTGTTAATTCTGGGTCTGAAAGAGTTGGGGTCTCTTCTGAAAGTGACGTTCAGGTTCTTCAAAAAACGGTTGCAACCTGTCAACAAACTCTCTGGAGTTCCAGCCCGGGCACTCTGAGAGGGTGTACCGTCGAAAACAATGACTTTGTCGGCCAAATAGGTGGCCATGATGAAATCGTGCTCCACAATGAAAGCAGTCTTTTTGTTGTGCAAAATGAATCTTCTGATGACCTTAGAACAGATGATACGCTGCTCAGAGTCTAGGTAAGCAGAGGGCTCGTCGATCAGGTAGATGTCTGCCACGATACCCAACGACAGCACGATGGCGACTCTCTGCAATTCACCACCGGACAAATGCTGGACTTCCTGGTCGATTATATCGTCGATTCGCAGAGGCTTCACAACGTCGGTTTGAAATTGAGGATTTAGGAACTGTCCTCTAATTCTCTTAAAGAACAATTGTCTCACGGTACCTGGGAACTTGGGGGAAATCGTCTGAGGTTTCATGGAAACGTTCAGCTTGGGCACTTCCGTTCCATCATCCGCTGGCAAAGCACCAGCCAGCAGCTTAATCAATGTGGTCTTACCGGTACCGTTTTCTCCCATCATAACGATAATTTCGGAGTCAGAAAAACTACCGGATTCGACTTGCAATTTGAAATCGCCTTGGGTACGCTTCATGTTGGGGTAGGTGAACGCGCGTGTAGCGTCCCCTACTTCAAGCTGTTCTTGTGCGTCCACCATTCTGAACTGTAATGCCTCCCCTCTGAATCTCATGTTTTCACTTGGAATGTGACCGTCGAGGAAAATATTGATACCTTCTCTCACGGAAGCAGGCAAAGTGACAACACCGTACACCGAGGGAACACCGTAAAGAATACACACAAAGTCGGAAAGATAATCCAAAACCGACAAATCGTGCTCAACACAGATAACGTAAGTTGTGGCGTCCAAAAGCGATCTGATCACCAAAGCAGCGTTCAAACGCTGCTTCACATCCAAGTATGAAGATGGCTCGTCGAACATGTACACTTGAGCGGTTTGAACACATGACATACCGATAGCAAATCTTTGCAGTTCACCACCAGACAAAGCGTGCACGTCTCTTTTCAGCAGGTTTTGCAAATCCAGAGCCTTGATAACGTACTTAGCGTCCTCTTGTGATCTTTCCAATCTGAGTTTCAAAAGCTCTCCCACTTTCTTGACCGGTCCTTTGATTGCTCTTGGCAAGTTATCCACATACTGGGGCTTGATGACGGCCTTGATGTCATCTTCCAACACCTTTGTGAAGTAATTCTGTAGCTCCGAACCACGGAAATGCTTGATAATTTCTTGCCATTCTGGAGGATCGTCGTAACGACCCAGATTTGGTTTTTGCTTACCAGCCAAGATTTTCAGAGCTGTAGATTTACCGATACCGTTGGTTCCGACCAGTCCTAGCACCTGGCCAGGTCTTGGCGTTGGCAGTCTGTGAAGTTTGAAACTGTTGGCGGAGTAACGGTGGGTCACTTCAGCTTCCAAGTTTGTAGGCAAGTTGATGATTTGAATAGCATCAAAGGGACATTTTTTCACGCAAATACCACAACCGATGCACAGATTTTCGGATATAAATGCGATCTTAGACGTTGGAGCAACCTCGATACACAGTTTACCGGTTTTTACCACAGGACATGCCCGTTTACACTCTTGACGACACTTCTTGGGCTTACACCGATCGTCATTGACAATTGCAATACGTGTGTTCTTCGAACTCATTATCTGGCCTTACACGGTTTAAAAAAGCCTTTCTTAGATATCTTTTAACAGCTGAATGCTTGCTTACAAGCATTGCAAGTAATGCTTTCGACAGCTTTAGTTTTTCACCAGTAAGCGATGAGCTGAAAAATTTTACGCGAGTACAGGGACGAGTACAACAAACTGAGATGCGAAGTGTCAAGAAGCTACGCGATGTTGATGAGCGGCAACACATCTGAGAAGCAGTGCTATGCATATTCTTGTTAGGTATTCGACGGTATTCTATGCGATTGAGGACTCCTGACGCTTTTATTCTTTCCTTCGATTTTTTGAGCTTTTCTGTCACCTAAAACCTAACTCGTTGGTCTCATGAAACGCATGTTCGCACAAAAGGTTTCTGAGGAGCGATTGGTGAGCACGGCTTGGGGAGCTTCGATGAAGGTTACCGGATTGTCACATTGCAAGATTTTTGTGGCTTCAAGAGTTTGTCGCGACTATAAAAGTTCAAACGATTGGTGGATCAAAGATCCCTATATGCCAATGATAGTGAACAAGGAGACGTACAGCGTCTCTGATTGTTGTATGTATGGGTAACGAACAAATGGTCTTCTGGCCGTCGTGCGGTGTCAGTTCGATTATCTATAGATATTCTGTATGAATCAATTTACGTTGATATTTTATTAGGGGTATTACCCGGACATAAGATCAGAAACTATATAAGAAGCGAGAAAAATTTGGGCCTTGAGGGAAAAGCTGTAATGAACCAACCACTTTTGGTTGCTGGCCCCTAGTGTGCTGAATTTTTTTTGGGTTTGTGGCGAAATAGAATTTGACAGAAAAACGTATTTGGGAGATGTGTCTAAGTTAAAGCTCAATCAAGTGCTAAATTAGATGAGGTCATTAGAACACGGCTGCTATTGACCACTAGGTGGTTTTGTCCGGTTTCAGTTGGATTGAATATCCGTCCATTAAGGAGTTTCGTGACATGCAGTCTTCTTAGCCGAGAGATTAAAGTTGTGACGAAGTGGGCTATTAGGAAGCCCTGAGAAATCTGGGAATAGTGGGAACTCTACTTGTCCGGCTAGTGTGAAAAGTTTAGGTGGCTTTTTTCCCCTTCTGATTAGGGATATAAAAATGGAACAGATTGGGGGTTGTCTGGTAGTTTCATGGTTTGTGGAAGAAACTAAAGAAGCATGAAAAAAGGCTAGCCAGTGTGGAACAAAAGTGGCCACTTGGTGTGCGTGACATCCTAGATTCCCGTCGGTGATGCAACCTGCAACCAAGCGTAGAAATTGATGGTATTGTCTATTTCTGTAAGAAGGGTCGCATTTCGACTGTTCTGTGGCCCAGTGGTTGAATAACCCAGTGACACTCTGCTTTGGTCATCTCATGCACTTCCAACTAACACATCCAATTGTTCAGTGACTACAGGCCACCAATCATAAGCTTTGTCTACAAGGCAAGAGCTACAATTATTATCCTACTTTCCTTTCCCTATTGGATTGTTTTCCTCTCAGCGGTCTTTGGAAGGTTTGACTGATCAAGTTAATCTGGTACTGTTTCGCAAAGATATAATAATCCAAAAGGTTGTCACTTGTGAACGAAGCAATGGTCATTTCGGTCAGCGAATTTCGACCGTGTCGCCAAATTAATAGGATTTTGGGTACCGGCGGGTAGGGGTCCAGTTGATCTAAATGTTTTGTCTGAGTGTGACTAGGTCAGAGCCGTCATTCATCCTGACAGATTCAAGCAAGTGTTACGATGCATATCTCATGGTATAAGGTTATACCAATGCTTTAATCCACAGGACGAATCCGACTGTGCAATGTTGAGTCCCTCTCATGTTATCAAAATATGTGATGAACTGCTTCAAGTTTACTACGACTAATAATACTGGCACCCTGGTACTCAATGCTAGCTTTAACCGGTCATGGAGCGCTCTTCACTTGGTCAAAGCACAGTCGATGGCTACTGTTACCCTCCAGAGTTTGTAATTTTTTAATAAAAATTTTCTCCCTTGAATAAAGAGGAAATGTTCGAGTGATTGATACAGGTGCATGAATCAACTTTATATCGTTACTTGAATTGAGTGCGGGTCGCTGCCATTTACAAGCGGAACTACTGACAGCTAAACTACTTGATATTTGTTGTGTTTATTCTTCTGGTTATTACTGGTTCAAAACTTCAGTGAATATCCGTTGGACATCTTAGAATCATCACCACAGCTACAACAACGTGAGAACCCGAGGTCGCACATCTTTCTGCTCTACTGAAGATGGTAGCAGAAGACATATCGCACGAAATACTGGATAATCCAGAATTGTACGGACTTCGTAGATCAGGAAGAGCTGCAACTACGACCCGAACGCATTATTTTTCAGATGACGATGAAGATGAGGTTGTAACCACTAGACGTGGAAGAAAAGCCAAACCCGATAAAGATGTTCAAGAAGATGAAATATCAGAGCTTAGCAGTGAAGCAGAGGATGAAAGCATGACAGATGGTGATGAAGATGTGGTTTATGGACGCCCAAAGGTCACAAAAAATAGAAACGTCCAGAAAGGTGCAAGAAACAAAACCAAAAATTCGAATACAACCGATTTTGAAATTCCTACAAGGTTCTCTTCCAGACAAAACAAGTCTGTTGACTACAACATTGATTATTCTGATGAGGATTTGTTGGAGTCTGAAGATCAAGAGGGTGAAGTTGGGAGTGACGAAGATGATCTAGATACTCCCAGACAAAATTCTGTGACGCCCCAGACAGGGCGTGGGGTTGATCTTGTTGTCACACACAGGCCGAAAGCAGACGCTGAAGAAGATAATAAGGGCCCTCTCGACTTGTCCTCCTGTAAAGAAAACTACGAATTCTTAATCAAGTGGATGGATGAATCGCATTTGCACAATACTTGGGAGTCATATAGTGATTTGGCTCAATTTCGTGGTGCAAAGAAGGTGGACAACTACATCAAACAATTCATTATTTTGGACAGGCAAATTCGAGATGACGCATATACCACAGCAGAGGATTTGGAAGTCATGGATATAGAGCATGAACGCCGTTTGGATGAATTTGAAGAGTTCAAAATACCTGAAAGGGTTGTGGATAGTGATCGCGTCACTTTGGAGGACGGCACATCGCAATTGCAGTATTTGGTAAAATGGCGGCGTCTCAACTACGATGAAGCTACCTGGGAAAATGCTGGTGCCGTTGTCAAGTTGGCTCCGGAGCAGGTTAAACATTTTCAGAACAGGATAAATTCCAAAATTCTTCCTCAACATTCAAGCACTTATGGCTCTCAGAGACCTCGCTTTGAAAAATTGAGCGAACAGCCCTCTTTCGTAAAAGGTGGTGAGCTCAGGGATTTCCAGCTGACTGGTATCAATTGGATGGCTTTCCTGTGGTCGAAGAACGATAACGGTATTCTAGCTGACGAAATGGGTCTAGGTAAAACAGTTCAGACAGTAGCATTTATCAGTTGGCTGATTTATGCACGTAGGCAGAATGGGCCACATTTGGTCGTCGTGCCATTATCAACAATGCCAGCCTGGCAAGAAACTTTTGACAAGTGGGCTCCTGAACTCAACTGCATTTATTTCATGGGTAATCAAAAATCTAGAAATGCAATCAGGGAAAGCGAATTCTATACTAACCCTCAAGCAAAAGGTAAAAAGCATGCTAAGTTCAATGTTCTTTTAACAACCTACGAGTATATTTTAAAAGATCGCATAGATCTTACAGCTATAAAATGGCAATTTTTGGCAGTTGACGAAGCTCATCGCTTAAAAAATGCCGAGTCATCCCTATATGAGTCCCTAAACAGTTTCAAGGTAGCAAACCGGCTTCTGATCACCGGTACTCCTCTTCAAAATAACATCAAGGAGCTTGCAGCACTTGTGAACTTTTTGATGCCCGGAAGATTTACTATTGATCAAGAGATCGATTTTGAAGTACAAGATGAAGACCAGGAAAAATACATTCGAGACTTGCATAGCAGATTGCAGCCTTTTATTTTGCGTCGTTTAAAAAAAGATGTCGAGAAGTCTCTTCCTTCTAAAACTGAACGCATTCTTAGAGTGGAGTTGTCTGATGTTCAAACGGAATACTACAAAAACATTCTGACCAAAAACTACAGCGCTCTTTCGGCGGGCACGAAAGGCGTTCATTTCTCACTACTCAATATTATGAATGAGCTAAAGAAGGCATCCAACCACCCTTACCTTTTCGACACTGCTGAAGACCGTGTCTTGGCAAAATTCGGAGATGGTAGAGTGTCGCGTGAAAACATATTGCGAGGGCTTATAATGTCCTCGGGAAAAATGGTGCTGCTTGATCAACTTTTGACAAGGCTAAAGAAAGACGGACACCGAGTTCTGATCTTTTCTCAAATGGTGAGGATGCTTGATATATTAGGTGACTACCTCAATATCAAGGGTGTAAATTATCAACGGCTTGATGGTACTGTTCCATCCGCCCAAAGACGTATATCGATTGATCATTTCAACTCTCCTGATTCCAGTGATTTTGTTTTCCTGCTTTCCACAAGAGCCGGTGGGTTAGGAATCAACTTGATGACTGCTGATACGGTAATCATCTTCGATTCAGACTGGAACCCTCAGGCGGATTTGCAGGCTATGGCTCGTGCTCACCGTATTGGGCAGAAAAATCATGTCATGGTATACAGGTTTGTTTCGAAAGACACGGTTGAAGAGGAAGTCTTGGAAAGGGCCCGTAAAAAGATGATTTTAGAATACGCCATCATATCTTTAGGAGTTACTGATGGTAGCAGTTTTTCACAAAGTAAGAAAACCGACCCCTCTGCAGGAGAGCTATCCGAAATTTTGAAGTTCGGTGCCGGAAATATGTTCAAGGCTAACGACAATCAGAAAAAGTTGGAGGATCTAAATCTAGACGATGTGTTGAATCATGCTGAAGACCATGTAACGACACCTGATTTGGGAGAGTCGCATTTAGGTGGCGAAGAGTTTTTGAGACAATTCGAGGTCACAGACTACAAAGCAGACGTTGATTGGGATGATATTATACCGGAAGAAGAGCTGAAGAAGCTAAAAGACGAAGAGCAAAAGCGGAAAGACGAGGAATACGTCCAAGAACAGCTGCAACTCATGAATAGAAGAAACAATGCCTTGAACAAAATCAAAGCATCAGTTAACGGCAATAGTAGTAATCACAACGACAGTGATGAAAGCATCTCTAGGTCCGAAAAGCGAAAAATGAAGGGCGAAAGTTTGGACTCTTTCGGCGAAAAAGAAATTCGAGCTTTGTACAAATGCGTATTACGACATGGTAATCTAGAGGATAAGTTTGAAGGGCTCATAGGAGATGGCTCGCTTCCAATGAAAACAATAGACGTATACTCGAAACTGTATCGTGAAATGATTGAAAGAGCTAGTAAAGTGTTCAAAGAAGAAGACGAAGCTCGTACACAGATGTTCTCTGCCCTCGAGGCAAGCGCAAAAGCATATAAGGAGAAGCTGAAAATTAGCGGCCAGCAGCTTGATGAAAAGGATAAAAGTACTCCTGTTGCCAAGCTTGCAGCCAAGAGAAAGGAAAAGAAGGCTATTCTATTTGAAATGTATGACGTTAAATCATTGAATGCCGAGACTGTACTCTCAAGACCCGAAGAGATGCATTTCTTGGGTTCCTTTCTATCGAAGAACTATCATGATGATCCGCTCTTATTCAAATTCGTCAACAAAACGCCTAAACCAGTGACTAGTTGGAACTGTTCTTGGAACAAAGAAGATGACGAAAAACTCATGGTGGGGGTTCATAAGTATGGGTACGGTTCCTGGGCCCAAATAAGAGATGATCCTTTTTTGGGCCTTACCGAAAAGATTTTCCTGAACGAACCACAGGGTTCAGGCTCAAAAACTGATGGGGCGGATGCTACAAATGGTCAAAGTCAAAAGAAAGTAAAGAATGTCTCTACGGCAGGGTCTAAAAAAGTTCCTGGTTCAGTTCACTTGGGCAGAAGGGTTGATTATTTGTTCGCAGTACTACATGATGAAATTAAACCACACGCATCTTCAGTTGCAAACAGTGGAAACTCAACACCTTCGCTGTCAATGCCGGCGAACGCTAAAAAGCGTGTCAGAAAAGCAACCGGTAGTAAATCGGGCACTCCAGAGGTGAAGAAGGAGGAAGCTCGCTCTGGGAACGCGAAGCGGACCAAGAAAAATGAGGACCCACAAAGAAGTCCACCAGCTCTAAGCGCTGCAACTAAGAAGCATCCATCTGGAAAGGCCGCGGGCGCGGATCGTAGCATATCTGCTCCTTCCGATAAGGAGTATGAAAGCATGGAAGAGGCTGAATGTAAGTACACCATGCAAGCTATGAAAGGCTCTTTCAGGAACCTTAGTCGCGGTGGAAAGGGTCTAGATCGGAAAGATTGGGCACGCGTCCTGAAAACCGAACTTAAGGCTATTGGGGACCATATCGAGACTCAAAAGGGCTCCTCCAAGAAACATGCAGCCGACAAATTTCGCAAGCATCTGTGGGCCTTCAGTGCTCACTACTGGCCTGCTAAAGTCAAGAGTTCGAAACTTTTGGCCATGTACGATAAAATTGTTGCTAGCGACGGATCATGAGTGGATTGTATATAGCTGAGACCATGCATATAAAAGAGGCTATAACATGACAGAAATTTTAATGCTGAAGGCAATGAGTGAGCGGAAAACTCCTACTATACGTCAGCGGTCTTTTATTAATGACCCAAGTGAAGATCAGCAACTGATCCAGCTGGGACTAAGCTGATATCTTACTGAAACTATTTTATGGGTGTCACCAGCAAACCCTTTGACAGAACAAAACAAAATAAAAAGCGAGAAATCAAAAAATTTCAGAGGTGTTTCGCAACTAGATCTAACCAGGTCTATATTTTGGGAACTCCTACGGGATCGACTGGCATTATGGACTCCTATTTATCAATAAACTCCTACTCTTTTTCCAAATTCTTTTTAAAAGTCAGCATTTTCGACACGCCCTGACTAGCTTAAAGATAACAATACGCAGATTAAAACACGTTCAACGCTAGAAGCTTCACCACAGCTTCTTTCTTGCCACAAAGGCTCTCAACGACAGTGCATTGTCGGTGCGCGCTCGCTTGTATCACTTCGTACTAATATGTCGTTTATAGTCTCACCAAGCTTAAACACGAATTTTAACGCATCAGTTAGAGCCTAAAAATCTCAATTTCCTGTCTATGTCACTATCCAAAAGTCAGGCCCTTTTTTCACACCCGTTGACGGCTGTTTTTGAAGCATTACCAGTCTCTTCATCACCAGTCGCGTAAACAGGACATTAATATAATTGTCTTACGCGTCAGTCAGTTTATACGAGTGGGATACATATATATAAGGGCACACTAAAAGCTCGCGTCAAAACCTGTTCACTCCACGCACACCGAAGCTAGCTTCAGCATCGGGGAAACAAGAACCTGCTCGCTATGGTGCTCCCTACTACACCTAGAAACGTTAGGAAAACTGCTGCATTCAAAAACTCTCCCCAATCTTCGGGGAAAAAAACCTTCAAACAGGCATCTTTACTTTCGTTCTTTGGTAAGAACAAAGCAGCAGGAAATGGTACACCATTAAATAAGTCTAAACATGAGTCTCTGTTTGTCGATAATGATGACTCAACTGATATGGGTTCAGAATTTGTCACGGCAATAGACGACGACGGTGACCGCTCAGCTTCGTCAATAGTTGATGCAAGTGTCGCGGATAAGAATAAAGAGAACAAGGTTGTTGATGAAGAAGAGAATTCCGAAAATTTGGAGGGGGATACGAATGGTGATATTCAGGGTACTCCATTAGATAAAAGTGCACCTCCAAGTCTTCCAGATGAATCGAATCAACCCACAGAAGAAGCTCGAAACGCCGTAATTTCAGAAGTGAACGCCAAGCGTGCAAAGAAACGGCAAGTTACATATGCGGAATTGAGCGACGATGAGCCTGATACTTCGCCTTTGAGGTCAAAGGCTAAGAAAAAGAGACTTTTATCAAGCGACGACGAAGAAGAAGAATACACACCGTCAAAAGAAGACCTTCACGAAAGCGATGGTGATGATGTTGACAATGATATCGATGTCTCAGAATTTAAAAATGAGCTTTTGGGAGGAAGCACCGGTGCTGCAGAAGACTGTCTTGGCGACGAAGATGATGACGAAGACATTCTTCAACTATCGAGCAAAAAAGCCAGGTCTGTAAGTAATAAAATTCCAGCCAGGGACAGATTTTCATCCCCAGTTGTTACCAAACCGAAGCCTAGTCCTCAGCGCAATGGTGTGTCTCCCATTAATAAGGGCAAACACACAAGCTTCAATAAGGAAAATGAAGAGCGTTACCAATGGTTAGTGAACGAGAAAGACGCACAAGGAAGAGCACCAGACCATCCAGATTACGATCCTCGAACTTTGTATATTCCGTCTTCTGCCTGGGCGAAATTCACGCCATTTGAGAAGCAATATTGGGAAATAAAGTCGAAGATGTGGGATTGCATCGTTTTTTTCAAGAAAGGCAAGTTCTTTGAGATGTATGAAAAAGACGCCATGCTTGGAAATCATCTGTTCGACCTAAAGATTGCGGGTGGTGGGCGTGCCAACATGCAACTGGCAGGTGTACCGGAGATGTCATTTGATTATTGGGCAATGCAGTTTATTCAGCATGGCTACAAAGTAGCGAAAGTAGACCAAAGAGAGTCGATGCTTGCTAAAGAAATGAGAGACGGTAATAAAGGGATTGTGAAGCGTGATCTTCAAAGTGTCCTTACCTCCGGGACATTGACAGACCTGGGGATGCTCCATTCCGATCAAGCTACATACTGCATGGCTATACGTGAAGAATCTGGGGATTTCTACGATATTGAAAATGGCACCACGAGTGCCTCTCCAAGTGACAAGAAAATATTTGGTGTTGCCTTCATAGATGCTGCAACAGGTGCAATTGATCTACTTGAAATTGAGGACGATTCTGAATGTACAAAGCTCGACACAATTTTATCACAGGTACGGCCTAAAGAGATTATAATGGAAAGAAACAACCTCTCTAGCTTGGCCCATAAAATAATTAAATTCAACGCACAGCCGCAGGCCCTTTACAACTATTTGAAGGCAGGCGATGAGTTTTACGATTTCAACAAAACTTTCGATGAGTTAACGTCTAAAGACAATTCATACTTTACAGATATGGACCAATGGCCTGAAGTTTTGACCAGGTTTTTTGAACAAGGAAAGAAAGTCGGATTTTCCGCTTTTGGTGGGCTGGTATCCTACTTGAAGTGGCTGAAACTAGATAAGTCTCTGGTCTCCTTGAAAAATATCAATGAATACAGTCCTATTAGATCGCAGACATCGTTGGTTTTGGACGGAGTAACACTACAAAACTTGGAGATTTTTGGAAACTCATTCGACAACACCGACAAAGGGACCCTTTTCAAGCTTTTAAATAGGGCAATAACGCCCATGGGTAAGCGAATGCTAAGAAAATGGGTTATTTATCCTCTTCTCCATAAGCATGATATTGAGCAGCGTTTGGACAGTGTTGATCTTCTACTAAATGACATGGATCTACGAGAGCTTTTGGAGAGCAGTTTGAGTGCATTACCTGACCTGGAGCGCTTACTAGCTCGCATACACTCCGGAACTTTAAAGATTCGCGATTTCAATAAGGTTATAGAGGGATACGAAACTATTACCGCTCTTACGGAAAAACTTCATAATCATGAATTAAACGGTTCCCTGAAAACCCATATCGAACAGATACCCAATACATTAGCGTCTGCTGTAAGTAATTGGGGAAATGCTTTTGATAGAAAGAAGGCCGTTGAGGACGGAGTGATCGTACCCAAAGCGGGTGTTGAACCTGATTTTGACGAATCTCTCAGAAATATCGACAGCATTGAGATGAATTTGAGTGATTGCCTACGTTCTTATAAAAAACTCTTCAAAACTTCCAATTTACAGTACAAAGACTCTGGTAAGGAAATCTACACTATCGAAGTGCCAATGGCGGCTACCAAATTGGTTCCATCGGACTGGATTCAAATGGGAGCCAATAAATCCAATAAGCGTTACTATTCACCTGAGGTTGCGAAGCTGGCAAGAACCATGGCTGAAGCTCGCGAGTCGCACAAGCTTTTAGAAGAAAGTCTGAAAAGCCGTTTATATCAGAAATTTGATCAGAACTATCAAGACATCTGGATACCGACTTTGAACGCCGTTTCCCTGATAGACTGCATTCTTTCGCTGGCTCGCACTTCAGAGTCACTAGGATTTCCTTGCTGCAGGCCTGAGTTCGTTGACCATGTGGATCCAGTAACGGGCCATAAACTGAACGGCTTCGTTAACTTCAAAGAACTCAGGCATCCATGTTTCAACTTGGGTTCCACAACGGTAAGAGATTTCATTCCAAATGACGTATCTTTGGGAGGCGACAGTCCACAAGTTGCTTTGTTAACGGGTGCAAATGCGGCTGGTAAATCTACGGTTTTGAGGATGACTTGCGTAGCTGTTATCATGGCCCAGATTGGTTGCTACGTGCCGGCTCAAAGTGCAGTGCTTACTCCAATAGACAGAGTCATGACTCGACTTGGAGCTAATGACAACATTTTACAAGGAAAATCTACCTTCTTCGTTGAACTATCGGAAACAAAGAAAATTTTGGATACCGCAACCAACAGGTCACTGCTAATTTTGGATGAGTTGGGAAGAGGCGGATCTTCTAGCGACGGGTTCGCAATTGCAGAAAGTGTCTTGCATCATGTCGCTACCCACATCCAGAGTCTTGGTTTCTTCGCAACACATTATGGTGGTTTGAACATGGGATTTAAGCACCATCCAAAGGTTTTACCGCTCAAAATGAATATTCTCGTCGATGAAAACTCAAGAGAACTCACTTTCCTGTATAAACTTACTGAGGGACAGAGTGAGGGAAGCTTTGGTATGCATGTTGCCTCGATGTGTGGTATTCCCAAGACGATTGTCGAGAGAGCCCAAATTGCTGCCGACAATCAGGAACACACATCTATGTTGGCCAAGGAACGCTATCATTCTGCTGGTAACATTAAAGGCAGCATCATACCACTAGGTCTACAAAGCGACTTTGTTAGGCTGGCCTACGGCGATGGTCTCACGTCAGGTAAGAAAGGTTGTGGCGAGGGCGTGACCCTTTATGACAACCAAATCAAAGCCAATGCTTTGAAGAGCATCTTTTTAATGATAGATGGGCTGGAATGAGATCTTGGCATCACTTACTTCTCAGATGAGAATTAAACATGAGCATTGAAGATCAAACATACATATATATATATATATATATATACGTAACACGCCACACCTACAGCCCTAATGACAACCTTAAAACATCAAATTCCTCGTGTAACTCAAACACTTCGCAAAGCGCCATCACTCAAAGTCTCAACATACCGGTCTTCTCTGTTTTCCACCACGAGCTCTCTACTGTTGTCAGCGGATTTTGGTGGTGGACTTTCGCCGCCGTCCACCGTGCACGGAATCTTTTTGTTCAAGTGCTGCAGTACGTGATCACGCCTTTTGAATTTCTTCCCGCACTTCGGACAAGAGTGAGGTTTCTCTCCAGAATGGACTGATTTCTTATGCCGTGTAAGATGGTGTCCAGACGAAAATTGACGCTTGCACTCTTGGCATACGTATACTTTTCCTTTGTCTGAAACGATGATTTCATCAGAACTTATCTTCGATTGCGTGGCAGGTCTTTTTGGGGATTCTGGAACTGATGGCTTCACTTCCGCAGGCGACGAAGGGGATGACCTATCTATCGTGGTCGTTTGGCTTAGGTTGGAATTAATTGCCGTTGTCCCGTTGGTCGGGAGTTTGGTTGATAATGGTGACTTGAACTCTCCATTCAACGAAACCGGACTTCTCGAGGATTCTCGAGATATATTGAGCGTGACTCTATTAGGACTTTTGAGCCTTTTTATGAAAGGAAGATTTGAGAGACCCGGTGAACTAGGTTGGGGTGAGTTGACGGCACTTTTGAATGATGAATAGTAGCTGAATGGGTTATTTTGCTCGTACATCGGTCCTGATGCCAACATAGTATCCCCTGCCCCTGCTGGTGAGTATGGTCTCGGTTGTATAGGCGGAAGTGGGTACCTAGGAGACGAAGCGCCACTCGCCATGGAAGCCAAACTGAGTGCTAGCATGTTGTCATCATGGTCATCAAGCATCTGAGTTGTTTGAGACGGATTCGCGCCCTGTGTTTGAGCCGAAATATTCTTCTTAAATTTTAAAGTCGGATCTTCCAAAGTCGGTTCGACAATATTAGACAGATCCATCATGCGAGAAAGTAGAGGGGATGATATGCGGCTCAAGGATTGACTAAGCCCGCTGTAGTATTGACCAGGGTTGGGAGTGGTAGATCGTATAGCACTCTGTTGGGCATTATCTTCCATACTCTGTAGCTCATAAGAGCTATGGTGTAATAGCTCGTTAAAGCCTTTCATTTTAGTTGTTTCTCGATCAGACAATCTGTTGAATGCCAAAGAACGTCCAGGAGTGGGACACACTACCTCGAAGTTTGATTTCTCCTTCTTTACATCGGCTGTTTTCGCTATTTTTTCTCCTTTCAGTACAGGACTGCTTGCTTGAGCTTCCATTCTTAACTTTTTGACAGTATCTTTTCGTGGGTTACGGAAATCGGAAGGCTCCTCCTTGATTTCATTTATGCCTCGTTTCTGTTTACCAATGGCCCAATCATTTTTCAGTTTTTCGACATCGATGCCGACTGCGTCGTCAACGCACAGACATTTTTTAGCCTTCGATCCTATATCAAGCCAGTCTTCTAATGCAAAATTGACTGATTCTGCTAGGTTGTACCCGTAATTGAACCCAGCGTGATAACCGTAAGGATATGTGATAATGAATTCATTTTGATAGTGCACGATTTTGTTGCACGGTATACCGTTTTTTTCTAGTGTCTTGGGAGAGACAAGAAACGTCTTGTGTCTCAGAAACTCGTCGCACTTGGCCGAGTGCTCCGGAAACTGTTCTTGCATGAACTTGTAAAATTTATCAGAGTGCTCCTGTGGAATCGCATACCACTGTTTAGGAGCTCCAAAGTGAATGTAGTTAATAGAATAAAGATCCTGATCCTCTAAGTGCCAAGCAAATGACGCTTTCCACAGGCCTGCGTATAGGTAGGAGTCGTTAACACCCGGAACCTTGGTGCGCACGTGGTCCAGAAGACTCGGCAGTTTGGATACGTTCCACACATCGAGGTTTTCTTGAAACAGTGTTCCTAGTGTATCTGCACCATACATGGGTGGTGTAAATGCTAAGGTCTTCCAAAAGTAGGACTCCAAAAATTGTAACCTTTTTGGATCATGGAATTCGCTTAGACTATCGTGATTGTAGTGATGTGCAAAGTTTTCGTAGTCTTCTTTGGAGAAGCTTTCGTGATTTCTTAGCTTAACTTTTGATGATTTAAGCGGTGAAGGTGATTTTCTCACTCCATCCGTTTCCTGGCGATGGTCGTCCGTTGAAGAATTATGGGGATTTTCTGCCCCACCACCTGTATAGTCACTTGATCCACCCGGAAGACGATAATCATACGATAAATCTTTCCACTGTATGATATTGTACGTCTTGGGTTTTTCCACATTCTGTACCACGAAAACACCTTTCGAACCATTGAAATGTTGCTGGATGGGTGATTTGATCCGGATTTTTTGCAGTGTCTCAGGCCCCAGCGGTTTCTCTAATTGTGAGACCCATTCTTCTGGCGGAATTACCTTCACTATACCGCTTCTCTTACCATATTTGTTGACTTTTACCATGTACTCGTGGAAATCCCTAAAGTCATCGTAATTTGGTCGGAAAACCGGGACGCCGTTCTCCCAGCTGTGAGGTTCTGCTTCACTCATATTACAGCCATATAACTCACTTCACTTAGGTCTCAAAACAAGGCTTTTAGTCTTGACTTTTTGGAGAACAACTTTTGTCAAACTGCTGCGTCCTTAGACATGGGGAAGTGATGAGCTGAGTCGCCCCTTAGAAATTTTTATTGAATGAGCATCACACTCGTTTACAATGATACTAAATCAATAAAACGGCGAAGCGCTTGGTCAGGTGATCGAGAAACTTTAGATAAGTAAAGTGTTAACTATGAAAACAACCTTGACGGTGGGAGATGAATTGGTGGGTTCTAAGGAACATTTTGTAGCCATTTCATTTCTTGGAAAATACTTTTTGTTCGAGAACGAGGGGTTGTAAAACTATTGATTTATAGATCACTTTTTCCGAAACTTACACAACTTCCCCACTTCGAGGTTTCGTAAGACTGCAGAGGAACACATATATCGGTGTGTGCGGATCTTAATGTAGGGCCAAGCTGATCGAAAACTCGTTGTCGTGAATTGATGCTTTTCAAATTCATGAATAAGAGTCAAAAATGATCTTTCGGCAGTTCAACTCAATCACGACTGGTATGATAAAATTGTTTGGAGTGTTTGATATACCTTGCAGGCTTTAATGTTAGTCACATTCGATCTCCACGAAGCTCCCGTATTCATCACCCATCCAAAGTTTTCCAGTCTTATCACTTCTCATTCCGCGTGTCGCTGACACTTGATTTCATCACGTGACCAAGTTGTCAAATGACAAGCTTTTGAACAAGGTTTGGAAGACTATACACCTCGAAAGAATGTACTTCGATGCTTCTCAATAGGTACCGAAAATTAATAACGAACTCCTCGGCTCCTCTTTGTAAAAAAAATCCAAAAAACAAGTTTTCGATGCATCAATCCTACTTCACGACTAAGTATCGTTTCGTCACAAATATTGATAACATTAAACGTCTGATAAACATTTGAATAGTCCTATAACCATATCACTAATGTACAAAGTGTAGAATTCACAAGCTGGTGAACTCACGCCAGGCCAGGCCAATTTTGTCTGGGTCACTCTACACGAGGTGGTAACTCATTGGATTTGAATATATTAGCGTAATTCTTGATCTCGATGCCCTCCAGAAACCCAACCAGTAACGCTCTTCCAAGGCATCGAAGGAGGTTTCAAAGAGTCTAGCCACGCTTTTCCAAAACTTAGGCTGTGCCGTAGTATGCTAAATAGAGCCGCAAGCACATCTGTGAGTAGAAAAATGACATCGAAATTTACTCTTTCGGCTGTCGAGCAGAATGTGTGCTCGCTTTTGAAAGACTACAGCCGCGAATATAATCAGATAAACAAACTTGCGGAGCCATTGACTCTTAGAATTACAGGAGGATGGGTTCGTGACAAATTGCTGGGCTTGAACTCTCATGATTTGGATATTGCCGTTAACACTATGTCCGGCGAACAGTTTGCACACGGACTTAGCGATTTTTTGGTCAAAAACCACCAAACTTATGGAATCACTCCCCATTCTATTCACAAAATTGATAAGAATCCAGAAAAATCAAAACATTTGGAGACTGCCACTACAAAACTCTTCGATATCGAGGTAGATTTTGTGAATCTCAGATCAGAAGAATATTCTAATGACTCTCGGATTCCAATCGTCGAATTTGGAACCCCAGAACAAGACGCTCTTCGGCGCGATGCTACTTTGAATGCTTTATTTTACAACATTCAACGCGACGAAATTGAGGATTTTACGAAAACGGGATTACAAGACTTAGAAAGAGGTGTGTTACGCACACCTTTACCACCTTTACAGACATTCTTAGATGATCCGCTACGAGTGCTTCGTCTCATTAGGTTTGCTTCTAGATTCGGGTTCTCAATCGATCCTGAAACTTATCAAGCCATGCAAGACCCGGACATCAATAAAGCTCTGGGATTCAAAATTTCTCGTGAGCGAGTGGGCATCGAAGTCCAAAAAATATTACAAGGACCAGATCCTTTACGTGGGCTGAAATTGATTCAGAAAGCAGGTCTAGACAATGTCATCTTTTACTGGCACAGCGACCCTGTGGTGATTGAATACAATGCTCAAATGACCGAAATGAGTGAACATAATCAGGCTTACGCTAATTTGAACAAACACATCGCACAAGTGCTCGAAAAGTTGCCGTTTCTTATCGAAAGTCTGCCCAAATTAGCACAACGCTGGGAAGAAAGTACTATTTTCAAGCAAAACTTTATCCTGAGCGTTTTGCTGGCACCATTCAGGGGCACCAGAATCGTTTGGAACCCGCAAAAAGCGCTTAAACGTGAAATATCGCTATCTGAGAGTATCGTGAAAGATGGGTTAAAGTTGGGTAAAAACGACTCAGACTTAATTGGAAGATGTGTTGAGACGCATCTTGCATATCACAATATGGTACTAGATTACAGGAGTATGGCGAGGAGTGAAATTGGGATGTTACTGCGTGACTACAAAGGTCAATGGGAATTGGCTCATCTCGCGAACTTGACACTTGCTTTCTGTAATGAGGAGACGCATTTGGACAGGTACCAACAATTTTCAAAATTCGTTTTTGAACACAAGTTGGAGGACTCACATTTATTGAGACCCTTGATAGATGGTAAAACTTTATCGAAACAGCTGGGTATAAAACCCGGACCGTGGATGAGCCATGTCGTCGCAGACATGATCAAATGGCAATACGATAATCCCTCTGGGAGCGAAGACGAATGTATGAACTATGTGAGACAAACTCTTCCAAAGTACGTTTAGGTAAAGGAACTTTAATGAGTGCAATGAACAGAAATTAGCTTGTATAAATGCTTGAAAGTTTATAGATAAATATCGACCTTGCTTACCGAGTCGGTAAACTCCGCGTTGTTGTTGTAACCTAAGTACAACCTCAAATCTCTCTCTCTCTCTTTATCATGTTTTTTTTTTTTGGTAGGATATTTTTGATAGATGCTTGCTTACAGGTGTGAATTATTCCAATCGCTTTTAAAGGTACCACTGTTTTCGCCATTGTTTATAGAATTCGCAATCTGATCAATATCATGCATTATGCGACTAGAGAAATTCGCGTAAGGAAGGTTCTCGTTATGATTATGCGAGTTATCCTCCGGATGTTCCATTTTAACGCTATTACTTGCGTGGTTCGTGACTGTAGCAGGTGAATTATTAGCCACGGAATGAATTGTGGAAACATCTCCCTGGAAAAGCGCGTTGGACATGGACGTGTAGTTCTCTGGCAAACCATTTTTGCCTTGCTGACCCACAAAACCATCTGCACCATATCCAAGATCTAACTCCATGTACAAGTTCAAAAAACTGTCATGTTGGTTATTTGATGCATCCGTAGAGGTTACTCGTTGGTTATTGTTGATAGCTAAATCGAAATCTGGGGGGAAATTTGGAACCCGTGCCCGAGTTTGATCAAAACTTTTGGTTGACGGAGCCGCACTCTCTATAGTGGAATGCGAGTTGACCATTGACGAAAACATGGTAACACTACTGCGACTAGTATTGGGCAATGAAGCAGTATCGAAGTCTTTTTCGTCAGAGCCCTCGGTACGCGCTTTGTGGATTTCTTTGAGAGCCGGAGCTTCTTGAGGAGAATAGGAAGTTTCCTCATTTTCTTCCAGGATCTCGTTTTCCATAGAACTTTCACGATCCAGTGAGTATAAAATGCTATTCTGTCTTTCATGCCCGTAACCCATGGTTATATGTGCGGTATCAAAAAAACAAGGAGTTGAAGCGGAAGACAATGAGGACACGGTGCTTGGACCACGCACTTCGGAAAATGACTCCTGTTTTTTCTTATGAGAGTATCTCTGCTTAGCCTGGCTATCTAGAAATGAATCCAGACCGATATTAAGATCCGAAGTGTAATTTGGATTACTATGCAAACTCGAGAAATCGCGAGAAAACCGATTGGAATTGGACCTTCTTAACGATGTAGATTTCCCCGGAGATGTAGTACGGATTGGTGAGTATTTTGGCGCCAATGAGGAGATGGAATTTGTTGACATGTTTCTATGCAAGCCGGGATGATGATTAGACGTGGCACTGGAAACGAGAGAACTCATGGACCCGCCTGTGTTGGCACGTTTCCTAGTGAACATTTTGCTGAATGCAATGGAGGCGTCATTTTCGTCGCCCAAACGTGGCGATAACGATGATTGCAGACTGCTGGAATGAGGGCGTGTTGCAGTGGGATATACAGTCGAAGGATCGTTGTACTGGTCCACGTAATGCGGATCCGTGTGGTTATGATGGAATTGTGGCGCAATCCTGTCCTTCGTGGGAGAAGACGCAGCGCTACCCAATGCCAGAAGCGATGCCTTGCCATTTGTATTCACGAGGGCCACGTTGGACCCCAAAGAACGATTTAGACCACCAAGCTGGGAATCGGATGAGCTGGGGACCACTTCTTCGCCCGACGGCACTGAAACGGTGGGGGATGTAATGGTAGACCCAGATCCAGACCCAGATCCGAAAAAGGAGCTATAGGACCGTTTAGTTGCCTGTGACGATGGTGTTGACGCCCCGGACCGATCTTGTACCGCACTAAAAATCTTAAGCATTCTGCTTTTTGACGATTTTTTCTTGCCCTGTTGCGGTTGCCCTTGCGGTTGCCCTTGCTGTTGCTGTTGCTGTTGTTGGTGTTGCTCGTTTGCCCGGGCCTCGGTCGAAGCCTGTGAGTCAGAGTCTTTCACGGTGTAGTTCACAAACACCATTTCGCCCTTACGGGGCTTCGATTTGGTGCTACGCCGACCATGACTTTCCAGTGGCACATGCTGTGGTGTTGTCATGATGTTGATGTTCCCACTGCTATTGCCGGACGTAACACCTGGACGTGCTCCGGAGGCAGAACTCGTCGCTGTGGCCGCCGGGCTGGCTGCAGGCGAACCTGAATGGGACTTGCGGTAGTAATGAGGGATTTTCCACTTGCTGACACTCTCGGCGGGCGTAGAAACGTTACTATTCCTCCTGGAGTCCTTCATCCTGAAGGTCGAGCGTGGACGTGCAAAACGACAAATTTCTTGAACAGTGCTGCCAAATAAAACTCCACCAAAAACCACCGATTTCTTGACCCTAGTGCGTTCAATTAGATCTATAGCGACTTGATGATGATTGTCTAGACCTGAGACTCGAGTTTCCACTGTATTTGCTGAAAAAGAATCCTTACCAGCCAAAAAAAAAACAACAACCGTAAAAAGCCCTTTTTTAACAATTATTTCCACCCAATCAAAAAAGAAGGCCGAAATAACTAATCCAAATTCTGTCCCAGAATCTATGCTACCTGTCGGATCAATTCCTTAGCCCAATTCCTCCTTTTAAGCTCTGTCTTTACACGTCTTCCGGTCGTCTGTTTCTTCCTCCTGGTCCCTCGATCTGTGAGCGAGTTCTGGAGTGAAGTCGGGATAATCGAATCGATAAAAGTCCCACATATTGAGTCTGGGTTAAGATTGAGAATGAGTGGCATTTTTTTGAGTTTTGATGTGGGATGAGGTCGTTGTGGACGAGCATGACAAGGACGACGACAGAGAAGCCAATAAGGACTGTTGAACAACTGAGAGCGTCAGCGATCAGTTGTGAATGGTTAAGATAGCCACCAGTATAGTTTTCACAATCTAGAGCGTTGGCGATCAATTGTTAAAACTCGATATGGCCGGCACGTGGAAGTGTGCAGTAATCATAGTTTCACATTTTAGAGCGTCAGTTATAGGCGCAGCCGGTTTATTTTTGGGTTGCTCACATCCTCACAAACTGACACATTCTTACGCTGTTTTTATTCCAACTGTGCTTAATGCCGTTCATACCGTTCACACAACTGATGGCTGACGCTCTTAGTGGTGAATGATGTATGTGTCATGATTGACGGTAACTCGTGAGTAACTCGTGAGTAACCCGCCATGAACTATATCGGCATTGAGTAAGTGAGCGTCGAGTACTCTCGTTAATAATGCTCGATGGGTATAGTAGAGTATTGGCAGCTAATCAAAGGTTCATTGAACGTCGGATTTTCCTTTTCTGAGCATAAAACGAGGTCCTATGGCTTGTTATTTGGTCTCCCGGTTGGGACCTTCACATTTGACCCGCCAGAATCGACATAGAGGTGTCACAACCGTATAAAGTGATGGTGGTAAGTATTACACCTTAGCGTCCGGGATTGAGACAGTTGTATTCGCCGTCGTACTTCGTTCCCGATCTCGTGAGACACACTACAACGGTGTTTATCTTTCAATACTGATCCGTTCCTTGTTCTGCTAACTTCTTGCTTCGACGCCTCTTTTATATGTCATTTTCGATTATCTTGGTAATACCACTGTGACAGAGCACTTGTGACAGCGCACTTTTGACACAGCATAAGTGCCATTTATTTAGGGACTGGAAAATTCTAGCAAAACTTACGAGGCCTTTGTTGATTATTGTACTGCGTTCCTGTCATTCCTGTCATTCCTGTTTTCTCAGCGGGTGTCTGCAAGTACCCTGTGTAAATTGGTAGCAGATGTGATTTCAATTGCGAGATGATGAACTAATTGTAAGTATGAGAAGCAATACTGAACACTAGATATAGCATCTTTGTAAAGTGTTAGAGCGAAAGGTGCTGGAAAGCATAGATCGTCTAGTTAGATGACAGCGTCAGAATACTTGATAAACTTCATAATGCCGCCGTCTCCATCACTAATAACGAGCCATATACTAGTTACATTCACCCTGTTGAACCAAAAGTTAACATAGCAAAACACACATACCACCGATCTTGCGTTACAGATTGCCCACTCAACAATTCGATACGGAAATCTTATCCCTGTCCCCCGATCGTCAAACTCTCAACATTTTTTTTTAATATACAACAGAATATTATAGCCCTCATTATTTAATCGTGACGCATTAAGACCTCAGCTCTCGTAACACCAGGTAGCTCGTGAGAAGCTCTTGCCCTCTCTACAGAATAGCGTACATCCAGCTCGTTCGAGCTCCGCATTTGCTGCCGCGTTCTATCAAGCGAAGTTCGAGGAGCGGACGAACGACGATACCGTCCAGGTGAAGTCTCAGTACTGGGAATAAAACTCATAGGAATGTCTTCGGTAACCACTGTGTCGCGAGATATAGCGTTATCATTAACTGCAGCATCAAGGTGGCTTACAGGGTCCATTGACGCGAGGTTTGTCTGAAGGCTGTTGATAGTTGGCCTATCAGGATCTGTAGGGTCATAGCCTTGAGGGTATTGGTCAAAGTGACCAGTTAACCAATACTCGCGAATGATATCCACATCCTTTGGGAAGAATACTTTTTGGAAAACGTCAAAAGTGAAACGAGGTAGAACACAGAATAACACGCCCACAAACATGACCGCCCAGTAAGTGGGTGATCCAAAAACCCTGGCTGCACTCTTGTAAAATTCCCCGCTCGAAGTGAAACTTGACCAAATACCGGTCCATCCAAAAACAATTATGCAGGAGAGCCCATTGAAAAATGACGAAAACCAATCCCATCTGTATTGGTGTATTAACAAGTACAAGTTGGACGCAAAAACAGCGATACTGCACACGAATACGCCAACAAAATATCTGTGATCCAAGGACAATCCCGTGTTTGTAACAAGGCCAGTCTTATAGTACACCAAGTAGGGGAAAAAGAAGCAAATAACGGACTGGTAAATTCCGTCCATCATGTAGTAAAAAAACTTCTTCTGGTTCCATTCACTTCTCAAAATACCAACCCGGTACAGCTGTGGCACCAGAAGCGAGACAACATCATTGACATCTTGGTCAAATATACCCAAAAAGATGACGGGTAAAGATGTAAAGGCCAAATTGTAAAACATCAGATAAGTGAACTCAAACAAGTAAGAACCATCGTAATTGCTGTAGATTCCGTACCAGAACAATGTTAAAGTGAAAACAGCGTTTTTGAAAAAAAATATTGGAATGGCCTCCGCAAGTCTTTTGTAAGACCATCTTCCATGAACTAGTACTAGCCTCGTCAAATATCTGAATTGTCCGATACCATAGTCTGATGACATGACAGCTTGTCTTCCTTCTTCACCAGCAATACCAACACCTACATCTGCCGATTGAATCATCGCAACATCGTTGGAACCATCTCCTATCGCCAAAGTCATAACCCCCAGAGAGTCTTTCACTAGTTTGACAACTGCTGCCTTTTGAGCAGGTGAAACTCTGCAACACAGCACAGCCCGGCAATTTTTGCAAAGAATTAAGAACCTGCGCGCAATTTCATCGTTTTCCAAAGCCAATTTCAATGCCTCACCATCAATGATCACACCACAATTTCCAGTTGGAGGCTCGTGATGCTTTTTAGCTTCAGCCAGCTCCTCAAATGAACCCGTGAGGCCAAACTTTTCACTTAAATGTTTATCAATCATGGATTCAACAATTTCAAAGGGCGTTCTACCATCCGCTACAACGTCTTCGCCAGATGCTTTGATGACAAGCAGTTCCATTTCGCTGTTGAGAAGGTTACAGGAGAAACCAATGTTGATAGCGGTTTCCACCTTGTCCCCTGTTAATACCCATAGCTTAATCCCTGCTTGTCCTAGAATGGAGATGGACTCAGGAACACCGTCTTGAAGACGGTCCTCGATAGCAGTTGCACCTAATAGAGTGAGGTCCCTCTCAATGATGTCGGCAGCTTGTTCCATTTGCTCCTCTCTATCGGTTAAAGACTTTGCAGCCGTCTCATATGTGCTGTTCCACCTTTCGTATTCCTCCCATGAAATTTCTCTCTGGCCGATACACAGAGTTCTCAAACCTTCAGTCGCATACTGTTCCAAATGCAATGCGGTCTTCTCGAGCAACAATTCTTCCTTTTGTCCACCATTTCTTTTTAACCTCGAGTAAATCATAGAATCAGCACCTTTACAAATCAACAGAGCTCTTGGTGAAGACTTTGGCGTTGCTCCAGGTAATTTTACGATGCAACTCATCCTCTTCCTAGTGGAATTGAATTCCAATATGTTTAGAATCTGGAATTCTTTCTTGACACCCTGGACCTCCACAATTAATCCGCTCTTAGTCTTACCGGCGAAAGAAAATCCCATTTCTTTTGCAGCACCCACTAAAGCAGCTTCGTCAGGAGACTGTGCTATTAGTTCCAGCTTTTCGGGGTCAGATTTTGATTTTTCGACGAGCACAGAGTGACAGAGTGCCAAGGCTAACAAGAAATGTTCATTACAGCTCTTTTGATAGTCACCACTGGCGCCTTTCAGGTCCTGAGCCAATTCTTTGGAGACAAATGTCAATTCATTTTCGTTGATGTCTACACCAGGGTTCAAAGTCATCAATTCTTTGATCATCACACGCTTGTCTTCTCTGATGGCAGCACGTTCTTCCCGACCTTCGGCCTCCACATCAAAGCCTTGTCTCTTTCTTAGTCCAGCTAAAGCTTCCGTATAAGCTCTTCCATATGAGATACCATTGATTGTACATTTTTTGAACTCCATGACATTCTGAGTCAAAGTACCTGTCTTATCAGAGAAGATGTACTCAATCTGACCCAAATCATCGGAAATGTTCCATGTCTTTGGTGTACAAGGGTAGTCCAATTTTCTGTTGTATAATAAAACATCTCCGTAGATGAAAGCCGCTTGTGCAGTTCTGATAATTTCCAAAGTGATGTAAAGAGAGATCGGAACCAACGACTGGTATAGAATAAAAGCGACCCAAAATGACAGAACACCGTTGGCTGCAGGAGAACCTGCGACGGTACCAAACTCAAAAAAGTTTCTGGAGACATCTTTGGTACGGTAATAGATACCGTTCACTATACCGGAAGCGAGACACATGACAAAGAGGAGAACAAAATTCATTATGACCGAGAAGTTAAGCTCTCTTGCTATACGCGGCTTCTTGGTCGGTGTGATACCAGAATTCAGCATGATCTTCGTATCGGCTCCAGTGAAAACGACTATGCCCATAGCCCACTTTGTGTTTCTTAATTTGCAACCTCTCAAAAGAACGTTGTTGATATTGACCGGTTCATTTTTTAGTTGATTATCACGACTATCATTCCATTTTAAGTTTCCTTGGTATGAGTACAAGTTACTGTGAGGGCCCTCACTTTCCAACCAAAACTTAGTTCTCGTAATGTCCCGAGAGTTTCTGATGTGATGCGAACAATGAAGTGATTGACGAATTTTCAAGTTGGTTTCTCCATCCAAGTTCTTCGTTTCAAGATAACAACCACCATCTGCATCAGAGGACGACAACAGGACAATGTCTGCAGGTATCTCGTCATCGTTGTGTATACGAACGATATCTCCAACTTGAACGTTTTTCCAGTAGTTCTTTGCAAACTTACAGTCTGTTCTGGGTGTTATTTCTGGGTCGATAACATTAGCTTCATCTGAGGTTACCAACTGCCCCCCGTCTTCGTAATCCAATGAATCGCGTCCGAAATTACCAGAGGGCCTATAACTACCGACGGTGTCTAGGGAATTACGCGGAGTACCTCCGATAGCCATCCTATGATGCAGTTCTCGTTTACGCTGCGCCGCAGCAGCCCGACCTTCCTTGCTGAGATGTGATTTGCAAAACTCGATAAAGCTGAAGAGAGCTCTGGAGTTGGCCTTTTTGAACTTTCTCCACGAAGAAACATTATCCTCAGACGTGTTTGGATTTGGAATTCCCGACAGGATATGGGTGATTGTATTGTTTACCTCCATGTCAGAAATGGTACGTTGCGAGTCTTCTACTGCGTCCTTTATACATGTCAACACAACGATAACAATCAGAGGTACGGTTTGTAACCCTGGATTGGTGACACCGAAAATGTCGACGAAACCAAAGATGATCGACACCAAAAAGTAAATGTTGGCCACATTGCGGAATTGCAGCCCCAAATTCTTGGGAAAGAAAGTAAGGGCGGTGTATTTCGTAGTCCTGATCTTGTTTCGTGCGTAATTGGCTACCGGATTTCCTTCTTCATCCAGATACATGTCTGGCAGCGGCAGATTGTAATACACAAACCGTAACTCCGACGCACGATTGGTACTATCGGTGTTATCACTGTTACTGGAGCTATCGACGTCGTTTTCATGTTTTTTATCGTCCTCGAACGGGTTGTGGAAATTTTTTCGGGCCCATCTCAGAGTTTTTGCACGTCCTACGCTGGGAACACCCTTCTTGTTACGCTTAGTACCCCAACGCATCCGTTTCATACCTTCGGATTGTGTACCAAGGTCCCCCTGGCCGACCCCTAGATCGCTTGTATCATCACCAATTTGACGTTCTTCGGATAGTCCGGGCTCTCCAAAAGTGGTCAGCTGCGTTACTCTTGGCGTTCCTGTGAAAGAATGAGAGTCGTCTTCGTCTGATTCTAGCGACAATTCTTGGAATTCCTGTGGCTTGTCGCTCTCTGCGAACGCTATTTTGCCCGCACTCTTTTTCTTCCCCTGTCCCTGACGTCTAAGAATGGATCCTCCTCTCGAAGCCGTAGAAGGTGTGGAAATCCCACCATTTCGACTTTGGTCAAACACACTGGCGTCGTTATCCAAAGTCATATCGTCTGCGTTTTCAAACTGGAACCGGTCGTGGAATGGCGAAGAAACGTTGTAGTTATCGCTGTCGTTCTTGTTTCTGTTGTTGTCATCCCCGCTGTGAAATGGAGATTCCGGCCGAAAAGACTTACCGTCACCGTTAGACATCTTTCCAGTTTCAAATCACAAGACAGATATCCCCACGTCAAGCTTGAATGATGCCCACAATGAGTGTAATGTGATAGATGGAAAGAATGAACCAAAACGGTCTCCAAAGAGTGTTTCTGATTCTTTGAAGGGTAAACGTTGAAGCTTGAGTTATTTGGCTTAATTTGTCATTTTGGTTGGTATTTTCATGAAAATTTCATAATTTATTAACATTTTGGTATGTACTCGTAATGGTAGTATTAGTGATGATAGATAAATTTAAGAACCCGCCTCGCCGAATTTTAACAAAACTTCTGAAGGAGCCAAGATTAAAGAATAGAGGAGTGATATAGAAATATGTATAGTTTTTGTATGGTAATTAAGACGGCTATGAGATGACTAGGGGAAAACTGGACCTTAAGAATGAAAGATTTCAAATAAGTTCGAAATTATATCGTTCTATACGAATACAGGGAAGTTACAAGAATTATGATTTATGCTGTCCGTGCTCAAGAGTCTTACGGAATCTATGGAGGTGCTAGCTAGTGTATTGTGGATTGAAGTTTCGTTCCCAGAATAACGCGAACTAGAAGGAACTTTTGAAGTTTATTCACACATCACCTTACACGGAGACTATTTTTTTCCTGATTCAAAAGTCAACAAAAGATACGCCAAAAAATGGCAAAAAAGAAACTGCAATGATAAGTCAAGACAGGCTTTAACTGTATTTAGTTGGCAAAGCCTTCAAAAGGCTGAGTTTCGAACACAGTTGAATTTCCGGTCGCTTCTCCCGCGGAAAACGGGCACGCGGGTTTATTCTCCATGGATATGGCCCGGAGTTTAAGTCAAGAAAAAAATTTAAATTAACAAGAAAAAAAAATGGGTAGATATGATCACGTGATCGTAGAGAATGGGGCGATGAAGACGACACACTAGTACAGAGTGATATGAGGTTTTTCCGTTCAAGCCCTAGGTAATAGATAGAAGAATACATACAGCTGTGATGTGAGTGCGTATAGATAGATCGGATTACTTTTACCCCCTAGCTCAACTACGCGGCGCATACAGTTTGGTCCATTCACGGGCCTTGGCAATAGCTGCGTCCTCATGTTGAAGCCAGTCTTCGGCCACATCGTTCGCCAACGGATCGTTGGGATTAGGACTAGCAAGTAGCGCCTGTACGGACAGCAGAACGGTACGAATTTGCAGCGCGGGCGACCAGTTGGTCTTCAACACATCCAAACAGATCCGGCCCAGCCGGTCTATGTTCGGATGGTAGATCTTGGTCAAAAACCGCACTTTGGGGGCCTCCATCGGATAATCGTCTGGAAGAAATAGTTCTAATGCAAACACTCCGTTTTCGTACGGTGACTGTTCCGGACCCTCTATCGTAACTTCGAAATACCGAAGGTTATCGTCATGCGGTGTTGCTGTAATTCCCGGTACTGGGTCGCTAACCAACCGTTCCGTCTCCTGTGGCGCGTTAGTTTCTATCGCAGCACTGGGTGAGAAAAAAAACGTAAGAACCCTGTTCTTGTATTCAACATACTTTGATGATTCTCTTTGGAAGTGAAGCCATGGTTATTTCAATGCTTACAGGGCCAATCCAGCCTTTGCTCGATCCACGAGTTGTATCAAAGATTCGAATTTTGTCCAAGAAGGTCGATGATACAACTACATCAGATGAGTGAGTTATAGGTAATTTAAGATGATTACAGATGACAGAGAAGATGACAGAGAAGATGACGTGAGAAATGATCCAGAGCGAGAAAGACAGAACTACGTTGTACAGTAAGAACATCCATAGCTCAAAACCGCTCGAGCAATGTCGATAGCAGCTCGTACAAACGTCCTTTAAACCCTCGCAGTAAGGAGGCTTCTTCTGAACTGTTTTTGATCAACAGCTTCATCAGCATTAACAAAAAAAACGTTACTTTCCCACAATTTTATTTAAAAAAAAAATTACACGACAACGTCGCCCAGTATCTGCCAGTTTACTCTTCGGCACCAGTGGCACCAGCGGCAGCAGGAGCACCAGCAACGGATTCAACATTGTGCTGAGCGTCCTGGTCCTTCTTAAAAGAATCGTAGGCAGCAAAGGCCTCTTTGAAGTGCTGCTCGAAAAGTTCATCGTTCTCTAGCAATGGGACAACCTCTTGTGGAGGTAGGTCCAAGATCATACCAGTGATCTTTCCTGCAGCTTCTTCGTCCTGGGTCTTGGCTGAAACTCTCTTGTAAAGTTGTTCACCCAAGGCCTGTCTCTGCTTTTGGTGGAAGAATTGATTACCGTTTCTTGGGAATCCACCTTGAGGACCTTGAGGTGGAACTCCGTACATAGGAGCACCTGGTCTACCAAGTTGCTGTGGTGGAACACCGTTCTTAGGCATTCCGCCCATACCACCCATCTGAGGTGGGTTAGGACCGTTGAAAGGCACGCCTCTTGGAGGCATAACACCGTAAAACATAGGCTGCATGAACTGGCCGGGCATACCAGCAGCGGCGGCAGCAGCAGCAGTGGCCTGCTGGAATCTCATCTGGTTTCTGGCTTGGATCTGCTGGGCCAATTGGGAGCGTCTGACTTCCTTTCTTTGAGCAATAGCGACGTACAAAGGCTTGCCAGCAACAATCTGCTGGTTCTTTTCGGTGATGGCCTTGGTGGCTTCCTCGGGAGTAGAGAAGCAAACAAAACCGAAACCCTTGGATGCGCCGGCGTCGTCTCTCATGACTTTGACGGAGGTGATTTGACCGAAAGGAGAGAATTCCTCTTGCAATTTCTCGTCATCCACAGAGTCGTCCAAGTTCTTCACGAACAAGTTAACACCTTGGTACTTGGCGAGTTTTTCCAATCTGGAAGATTCGTACTGTTTTTTCAATTCTTGCAAACGCTCGTATTTCTTCTGGGCACGACCAACGTATAGCTTTTCACCTTTGAAGTCGGTGTCGTTCAATTCTTCGACGGCTTTGAGGGCGGCGGTGTGGTCCTCGAAGTTCACGAAACCAAAACCTCTAAGCTTGCCTTCGGAGTCAGTTTCCAAGACGGCAGAGGTGACAGGACCAAATTGAGTAAACAATTTCTCGAACTCTTCTTGAGTAGTTTCTGGGTCCACGTTCTTAACGTACACGTTAGTGAAGTTGGATTTGACTTCATCCAACTTGGATTGACGGTCCTTCTTGGACACGTGTGGGGCGACGTACACCTCGATACCGTTTAGAAGCATACCGTTGATAGCGTCGATGGCTTCCTTAGCGGCCTCTTCTTCTTCGAAATGAACGAAACCGAATTTTCTAGACTTTCCGGTCTCATCAGTGGCGATCTTGCAAGACAAGATGTTACCGAACACGGAGAAAGTGTCGTGCAAGGCCTTGTTGTCGATAGCAGGGTGCAAGTTCTTGATGAAAACGTTTCCGGAACCTTTCTTTCTGAGAGAAGGATCACGCTGGGACCACATGATACGGCAAGGTCTGCCCTTGATAGGCTGGTAGTTGAGCTTTTCAATGGCGATTCTGCCGGCGCCGCTGTCGTGGAAGTTCACATACGCGTAACCCAAGGAGGTCTTGGTGATGGCGTCACGGCACACACGGATGGAAGAGACAGATCCGATAGGGGAGAAAAGGTCGTACAACAACGCTTCTGTGACGCTTGGGTCTAGTTCACCCACGTACAAGGACGCAGACGAAGATTCCACTTTGCTGGACTCGTTTTCGGCGCCAGCGGCGGCAGACGAAGACGACTCAGCGCCCGTTTGGGGCTGCTGTTCTTGGATGTTGAGCTTTTCCAACTGCTCCGCAGTTTGGTCGGTGACGTCAGACATCCTGAGTTTTTTTTTCCAGATCTTATAGAAACAGTGGGAAATTCAAGCAAAAATACAGCCTTGTGAAAAACGAAAGAGTACTACCACAAATATTGGGAGACAGGAAGTACTATGGTGTTCAGAAGGTGCCAAATTGCAGACGAAGCTGGTTAAAAAAGATCTTCCTTTTTTTTTTGGGCTTTTAGTTTTTTCAAAAAAATAAACCTGTGGGAAACTAGGCTTTTTTTGGGCGAGTTTTTTGTATTTTTTAGTGGTTTTTTTTGAGGACTGAGAAGGACCAAACTGTGCTGGTTCTCTAGTGGTCTCAAATACGAAAAACGGGACGGTTTTTGGTGGCTTTTTAAGTGGTTCGCTGGAGTTTTTCCAAAAATGAAGAAAATGGTTAAGAAGAGAGATGAGTTGAGTTTTAATTTTTTTTCCTATAATTTTCATCATATAGATGGTGATGATGATTGATGATGATGCTGAATCGTTTTACGATTCAGCGTCTTCGTCGATATTGATATAGATTTGTGTGAAGCTCATCGCTGTGGGGTGTGGCGCGTTAGAAAGTGTCGAAGAGATATGAATATTTAAAAGAAAAACAAGGTTTTTTTGTGTTTACCCGCCACAAAAACAGAGTCGTCATCGTGTACGGAGAAAAAGCTTCTGTAATATGGTCATGTGACGGTATCATTTGGAACGGAATATTTCTTATGTAATCTGGAAGTTCAGATTTGGGTAGAGAGACGGGTGGAGGAGTGAGTCGAGAAATGCATGGAAGTACGGGTAGCAAATCGAGTAGCAAATCGAGTCACAAAATGAGTGGAGGTATGAGTCGCAAACTAATATCGTTTTGGATACTCTCAGGTATTCGAGATGGTTGAAGTTGGTTTAGAAAACGGGTTACACACCGAGTTACGTACTCTTGGGACCCTCAATGGTACCGAATATTTCATGACAAATCACTTTCAGCCACACATCAGGATGGACAACGTCAATTGTAAAGCTTCCTGCTGATATGAAAATCTGTGTCGCTATAAGTGGACAGGATCACGTGACCGAATGACAGCGTCACCGAGGTGAAAGGTGACCAATAAGCTTACGATAGAATTCAAGCTGCTTCTAACCTTCAATTCTCCGGGGTCCCAATAATGCTTTTAAGCTTTTTCTAACATTATACACCCTATCTTCATCATGCGCTGCTCGAAATTTTGTTTGCAACAATCCATCTTCTCAAAGATGTCACGATTATCTAAAAGCACGCACGTCGGTAAAGTCTTCCCATGATGCCAGGATCAAAAGAAATTTCCACAAAGTAGTTACTAGCACCAAGTGTAGCTCAATACAACCCACACTTACAACCTTCTTCTTCTTCAAACCAATTTATCTCAAACGCCATATCTCTTTGACCCTAGCGCACCAATCTCGAAATACACAATGCCAATAATCTTCTCATTGCAATGGTTTTCATCCATTTTTTCTCATCCCAGCAAGCCAGTCGACTCTGAGTACATTTATGCCGCCGCTATTCCTGTGCCAGTATTCAAAATTCGACTAAATCTCTTGATTTCTAGAAATGTCATAATTCGACACTCGAAACAAAGAATTCTAAGAAACCAGCAGAATCGTTTATCCACACTCCAATGCATTCGCTACTAATCAGTTTTTAAACTGCCTAGCTATTCTGTCACTAATGCTCTTTTCTGTCTCGAGCGTCTCAATGAGCTTTCCCAACCATATCCAATAAAAGAAAATACTCACACTAATCGAAGATCGGGAAAATGTTTTGAGCTCAAACTCCTACCTTATACTCACCAGCCGGCGATTCGATGAATCCTATTAGACTTCTGCTACTGGGGGCTCCAGGATCTGGTAAAGGTACCCAAACTTCCCGACTTTTGGCTCATTTCAAGCACCTGCAATCAGTATCATCTGGAGATTTACTTCGACAACAAATTCAGCGCGAAACACAATTGGGCAAAGTTGCTGCTCGATACATATCACAAGGGGCTTTACTGCCCGATGCATTCATCACAGAGCTTGTACAGAACGAATTGAGCTCTAAAGGATGGTTGTCCCCTAAGTCCAGCTTCCTGCTTGATGGATTCCCCAGAACTATAAAGCAAGCGAAAGCGCTCCGCAGCAAGCTGTCCCCGCACAAGGCAGCCCTAACCATGGTTGTAGAACTAGATGTGCCCGAAAGCGTTATTTTGGAACGCATTGAGAATCGTTACGTCCACGTTCCAAGCGGAAGAGTGTACAATTTAACATACAACGCCCCAAAAGTGGCCGGCAAAGATGATCTTACAGGCGAACCACTGACTAAACGGCCTGATGACACCGCTGAGGTGTTTCAAAAAAGACTCGACAACTACAAGCAAACGCTGGCCCCATTAAAGCAGTTTTACACGGATTTGGGAATTCTGCATCGAGTTTCGGGTGAAACATCGGATATCATCTTTCCCAAGCTTCTCGCACAAGTCGATAAAGCAATTTACGAATGAAACGGAACAGTGCACGCATCCTAAAACTAAGTTTCTGGTGGGCTCAACAATAAGTCGTTTTTCGAGAGAATTAGAAGGGGCAAAGAGCTAGGAGATGATGAATTAAGACTTAAGAATGTATCTTCAAGCCACTGTTGATAAATTCTAGTTGAACACCGGTATCAAATCTGGTTTCCGGCCTGATTTCAATCTTTCCAGCTCGCCTCTACTTTAGGTCACCTGGTCCTGGATTTTGACATTAGTATATTAGCCTCTAAGTTTGAATCGTCTATGGAAAACTACGTAAGATTTGAGAACCCGCGATATATACATCTGAGGAGGTCCAGAAGATTCAGTACTTGTTGTTGGAAACCATGAAGTTCTTTATCGATGATTTGCCGGTAATTTTTCCGTATCCCAAAATCTATCCAGAGCAGTACCAGTACATGTGCGATATCAAGAAAACTTTAGATGCTGGTGGGAACAGTATCTTGGAAATGCCTTCGGGGACTGGTAAAACGGTGTCTCTACTTTCTCTCGCCGTAGCATATCAAACACACTACTCAGAGCATCGTAAGATCATTTATTGCTCCCGTACAATGTCAGAAATCGAGAAAGCACTCGTAGAACTGGAATCATTAATGGATTATAGGGCTAAAGAACTAGGACATAAAGAGCATTTTCGTGGGATAGGTCTCACCAGTAGAAAAAACCTGTGTTTGCATCCAAGAGTTCGAAAGGAGAGAAAGGGAACCGTAGTGGATGAAAAATGTCGTCGGATGACAAACGGACAGAACAAACGTATTTTAGAGCAAGATCCTGAAGCCAACGTTGAGCTTTGTGATTTCCACGAAAACCTTTACAGCATGGAGCCTGAAAACTACGTTCCGGTGGGTGTGTTTTCATTCGAAAAATTGATAAAATATTGTGAAGAAAGGACGATGTGTCCGTATTTCACTGTTCGTCGAATGATTTCCATGTGCGATATTATGATTTATTCTTACCATTATCTACTGGATCCCAAGATTTCTGAAAGAGTCTCAAGAGAGGTGTCAAAGGATGCTATAGTTATATTCGACGAGGCCCACAATATTGATAACGTTTGCATCGAGTCTCTGTCGCTGGATTTAACCAACGACGTTTTGAAACGAGCTACTAAAGGTGCCAATGATTTGGCTGACAAAATACATGAAGTGAGGCAAGTTGACGCCCAGAAACTACAAGATGAATATGAGAAACTGGTGAATGGTCTTCGTGGCCCAGATATACTTGGTACAACTGAAGAACCTCCCGTGGAATCACCCGTTCTTTCTCAAGATTTGCTCAAAGAAGCTATACCAGGAAATATACGAAGAGCCGAACACTTTGTATCATTTTTGAAAAGATTCATAGAGTATTTGAAGACCAGAATGAAGGTTTTGCATGTCATTTCTGAAACTCCAAACTCTTTTCTCCAGCATCTGAAACAGCTAACTTTTATCGAAAAGAAACCTCTTCGATTCTGTTCTGAGCGTCTATCCCTTCTCGTTAGAACTTTGGAAGTGACGGACATCGAAGAGTTCAATGCCCTAAAAGATATTGCCAGTTTCGCTACTTTGATTTCTACCTATGAAGATGGTTTTACACTAATCATTGAGCCTTACGAAATCGAAAATGCTGCAGTCCCAAATCCTATTATGAGATTCACATGCCTCGATGCCTCAATCGCCATAAAGCCGGTGTTTGAGAAGTTTTCATCCGTCATCATCACTTCGGGAACCATTTCGCCTCTCGACATGTATCCTAAAATGCTTGATTTCGAAACAGTTTTACAAGAATCCTACGCCATGACGCTTGCCAAAAAATCGTTTTTGCCTATGATTGTCACTAAAGGCTCTGATCAAGTCGCTATTTCGTCCCGTTTTGAAATTAGAAATGATCCTAGTATTGTCAGAAACTACGGTTCAATGCTAGTAGAATTTGCGAAAATTACACCTGATGGAATGGTTGTTTTCTTTCCTTCCTATCTCTACATGGAAAGCATCATTTCAATGTGGCAAACCATGGGGATACTGGATGAGGTATGGAAATATAAATTAATTCTAGTGGAGACGCCTGATGCACAAGAAACTTCACTGGCTTTGGAGACATATCGAAAAGCATGCTCCAATGGTCGCGGTGCGATTTTATTATCAGTTGCCAGAGGAAAAGTTTCAGAAGGAATCGATTTTGACCACCATTTCGGCCGGACGGTGCTCATGATTGGAATACCCTTTCAATACACCGAATCACGTATCCTGAAAGCACGACTGGAGTTCTTGAGAGAGCACTATCAAATAAGAGAAAACGATTTCCTTTCTTTTGACGCCATGCGACATGCCGCCCAATGCTTGGGTAGAGTACTGAGAGGAAAAGATGATTACGGTGTCATGGTACTAGCAGATCGGAGATTTGCGAGGAAAAAAACTCAGCTACCAAAATGGATAGCCCAGGGTTTATCTGATGCCGATCTCAATCTATCAACAGATATGGCGGTTGCCAACACTAAGCAGTTTCTGAGGACCATGGCTCAACCAACAGATCCAAAAGATCAGGAGGGCGTTTCACTGTGGAACTACGAACAACTTTTGAAATATCAGAGGGATCATCAAGAAAAAGGAAAAGGCTTCCTTCAAGTTGCGTCGAGTGAAGATAAAGACGATGACGGGGATGTTGATATGAAGTGAATGGGCTTTTGCACCTAAAATCCTTGTTGTAATTAGTGGCAAAGGAGTTGGAGGCATTCATGTGAAGAGGATATTTAAGAAACATGTAGATAATGGTTTTTAGTCGACGCGTATCTGAAAAGAAACTTCCTTGTCTGCATCAATGTATGAGTCACTGACGCACCATATAGTAATATCATGACTGCCTTGATCATCAAGCGCTATTTCGAGTTGGTAGGTCTGGATTTCTTTGTTAAGCGGTACTTTTTTGATGCAAAGTAATTCTTTGGTAGCCGGCTCTCCTGCTACCAGCCACCAGCTTTCATTCTTTGAGTAGGGGAATCTGCTCGCGGCAACTTGCAGGTTCTCAGGCTCCTCGTCCCTTGTAAGTGTGACAGAGATTTTGATAGGCGCCCCGGTCTTATAGTCTGGGGAAGACTCACTGAGCGCATACTCTAATTCTATATTCGGGTATGCGTTGACAAACGACGCAATCGATGCAAGTTCCTCGTGTTCAAACGTTAGTAATTCATCGCGTTCCTCGTCCTCAAGAGCCATTACATCAAAAACAGTTTCAACGCCCTTTTGCTTACACTTCTCCACCATGGAACGATCGAAGTAAGGCACCTGCAATAAAGCACTATCTGTATCCCAAAGACCCTGGATGATCATTTGAGATAAATCCATAGCTATAGTCGCATTCAAATGTCCCTCTCCTGCCATGAAGTCAACTATTGCGTTTATCACTTGTGGTGCTTTTTTCAAGATGAAGGCTTGATCAAGACTTAACTCGTTTCCGAGCGGTATTCTCGAAAAATGGCATTGCAATAAGACAAAGGTTTTGAAAGCCGGTGACTCAAAATCGGTGATCAGTGCAGTTTTCACAGGTATTTTATCATAAAGAGAGTTTAACGTATCCCTGTCAGTCTCACGGAATTTAATAACGCACAACTCGAATGAAGAGGCCAAGACATCTAGTATGCTTCTCAAGCCAGAACTTTTCGACAGATGTCGTTGAAAAAGTTGCATGCTCGTGAATGAAATGTTGTAATATGCGCTTATTAGACAGCCGTTTAATGGGGCTAAGATCGAGTTATCTCCGCCTTCATCGTCATTGACTTCATGAACCTCTTCAATATCTTCCACTTCGATGATGGACCACTTTACCAAATCATCAGTTACTTCTTCAACCTGCTCTGTTAAATAAGCAGATATACCAACTGGCGATACATCTTTCACACCGTAGAAACTCGGGTTACCGTGAATTCGTCTGTAAAACAAAGTAAAAGTGAGCCAGTCAATACAGTCCTGCTTTGTTTCAATCACACCAGTACTGATTTCCCGTGAAATAGCATCGGGAAGGTAGTAGTACATGAAGCTTTCAACAGGCAGGGGTTCGCTGAGAAACTTTTTATAGTATTCCTTTTTGGTGATGCTTGTCATGATGAAAGCCTGGTTGAGCCTTGAATTTGCACAGGCTACACTGAGTACATTCTGGACCTCGTTTATTGTGTAATCGACATAGCGATGTTCATTTCTCTCGTAGTAACATGTACCGAAGACGACCACTGAGCTCGATTGAAGTTGAGAAATTTCTACATCTCTGGAAATGATGAGAATCTTTATATTCCCACGCTCGAAAAGGTCTTCGACAATTTGGCGATCGTCATCGTTTAAATCTCGGTGTAAAGCGCCAATGCGCCACTTCAGAGATTCTTTTAAAAGGTTACTAGACAATGAAGCAGGCATAGAATTCACCAGCTCATTCGTCGGTTGTTCTTGGATCAAGTCATCCCTAAGGGCTAGTTTGATAAGCTCGGTCACGATCGTAGTTGCCTGTACTCTTGATGGAACATAAATGATTGTTTTGTCGTAGTCAAAGCCGGATTTCATCACTCCCGTGCACAGGGGCCACAACGTGTCCTGGATGTAGATATTGCTTTCGTCAGTTCGGGGACCTGCCTGAAATTTTATTTGCAATGGTGAGACTCTATCAGCGGGCGTGAAATTGTAGATATTGTCCTTCTTGGCACCTATCCATTCGCCGAAATCTCTACTATTCGCCACACAGTTCGACAAGCCAACTATACGAAGACCAGTGTCCAGCTGCGCTGCAATAAGGTTCATTCGAGAAATAATGCTTTCGTAGATTGCCCCCACCTCACCATCGCCAACCATGTGGACCTCGTCCAATATCAGCAGTTCAATGCTCTGAATGTTTTTCCTTTGCTTCCATTTTCTTGATGCTAAATCGAATTGTTCGGGCGTGCACAAAATTAAATGACTTCTGGCAAGCAATTGAAGATTGCTGACATTATTGTCAGTGAACTTGCTGATGACCTTTTGTCCCGCTACATCACTAAACCTTTTGGTCCAGTTGTCTGCGATAAAATCAATTCTTTGTTGTGATGGAGACACAAACACTGATCGCCCTCCACCGTTACGCCATAGATTAAGGAGTGCTATCTCAGCCATTACGATCTTGCCGGTATCTGGTGCACTCCCAATGAGCACGCTGTTATTAGTGTCGTAGAGAGAGTGAAACACTTGACTTTGTATTTTGTTGAAGTGGAGAAAATCGAATTTTTTAGAGAATTGGTCGCCTAACTCAGAAACCGGTACTGCTTCCCGGTCAAGTAGTGGTGTTGGTGCGGGAAATTTTCTTGGTAGTCGGACATCATCTAACAGAACCGGAATTTTCACCTCACTGTGAAGCCATTTTTCTGAGGTAAGAGAAATGAAAAAGTTGGGCGGCAGCCTCTGTTGTTGATCAGAGTTCAAAAAAATAGAAAAGTCCAGGTAATGTAACTCATTCGCATATTTCTGTCTCACAGATAGTATATCTTCGTAAAGAAGCTTGTCACCCATTTCATTCTCAACCATCAATATGAACTTTTCACTGTGACCATGAATTTTTGAGTCCCACGTCCACTTTGGTAATATTTCAAGGTCGAACTTTACCACGCTAGGCGTTAAAGGCTGTATAGAGCAGCTCAGCTCCAGCCGTGGAAATTTCTGTAGAAGATCATAAACGAGTTTACCGTTTTTCTCCGATCGTATTGCCTCCCCAACTTCACGAGGTGAGGATAAACGGAAGTAGTCCTGCCATGGCAGAAAAGAAGCCTCTGTGTGCCGTATCACCTCCAGAGGACAAGATTTGAACTGCCGCAAAGCGGAGTCTGTTATCCACATTCTCTTTTCAACAGACTTACACAGGTTTAGCATGAATTTGGCAAGTCTAGGTAATTTCTTAGCATGGGCTAACTCATAAAGAGCTCTCGTCAGTCTAGCAGCGCTTTGTGTGATGTACAGCATATCTGACCTCAGTGCAAAACCGTCCAATTTGGTGCGAGAAATATAAGCTTGTAACAGAACGTTGACTTTGGCAATCGGTTCAGATGCATCCTCCTGAATTGGAATTGGAGCCTTTTCCAGCAATTTTTGAAGTTCGATTTTCTCTTCGTGTCTAACAGGGATATACTTGAATTCATCAGATTTGGAAAACACGCGGAAGATTTCTATGGGTGTCAAATGCTCATTGACTAACCGATTGTACATCGATATCGAGTGGTATTGGATGTAAAAATGCGAGGCAATTTTACCAAGCACCGTTGGCGATACAGCCCCCGTTAATGCGTCATATACCACAAGACTATGTTCTTTTAGGATTTCCAAAGCCGAATGTGACAGCTGTTCACGATACAGAAGCATACCGTCGTCGTCGTCGCTCGAGGGGCTTTTGTAGAGCTCAGGGTTTACCAGCATGCGGACAAATAAGTAAGTGAACCCAAGCCAATCAACAGCCTCCTTCCTATTTTTTATGTTGCCCAAGACAACTTCGGCGTTCAAACTATCAGCGAGTTTACCCACAAGTTGTGACTCAATGGGTAGCTGCTGATTCAACATGGCAAGATAGTACTGGATACTGGACTGATGAGTGATTATTATACCTTCTCCAAAAGTATCGTAACGGGGACGTCCTGCTCTTCCCAACATCTGAAGTACATCTTGCGGTGAAAGACGAATCCACGTCCCTTTCTCCGGGGAGTATACGTCGGTTCCTTTGATGATAACGGCATGCGCTGGCAGATTGACACCCCATGCGAGTGTGGCAGTTGAGACTAGCACTGACAAGAGACCGTCAGCAAAAAGATCCTCGGATAAGGAACGATCTGATTTCGAGAGACCAGCGTGGTGTATACCAAAGCCGAAATGCATGAGTTCAGCCAAGTGTTTGTCCGAAACGGTTTCAGACTCTCTTTTTATGACCTCCTTGGATCCGGGTTCAGATCTGATGAGGTAGCTCAGTTTTTCTTCCTCCTGTAGTTTGTCTTTCAGAAAAAGAGCCGTCCTTGCAGTATCTTTTCGAGAATGCACGAAAACGATGACTTGATGCCCCTGCTCTACCAACTCCAACAGTTTGTCATAGCAAGCTTGATTCATTGCATTGACCTTCTTAACTGCGTTTGTCTCTGTGATTCCGCAAAATTGCTGTGCCAAAGGACAAGGTCTAAAAGACGAATCAAAATAAAAAACATTCTGTTTAGGTGCCCGCAGAAACCTAGCGACATCTAGGTAGTTTGGAAGAGTGGCAGAAAGCGCCACTATTCTTGTTTTCTCTGCAGCCGTCGCGTCACGAAGAGTTCTGGCAACGATACCCTCAAGAACAGGGCCACGGTCATCGTGCAAAAGATGAACCTCGTCAATAATCAAGAGCTCTACTAAGCTCGTGAAATCTCCATCTCTTTTTTTTCTTGTTGTTATATCCCATTTTTCCGGTGTCGCTATCAGCACAGTAGAATCCGCAATCTGCCGCTTGGTTAAGCTCGAATCCCCAGTGAGCTCACCGACTTTGATTCCAAAACCCGCAAGCCTTCTTTGGAACTCTCTGACCTGCTCCTGAACAAGAGCCTTGAGCGGAGCGATGTAGACTATTTTGTAGTTTTTCAAGTTGAACGTTCCGCGGCTTTCATCGCGATGGTTACTTAAGACTCTCAAGACTGTCAGCATAGCGATATTTGTCTTACCCGATCCGGTCGGGGCACATATAAGCATATTGCTATCATTACCGAAAGCCGAAGGAAACACTTCCGACTGTATCCTATTCAAGTGAGTAGTCTCATTGGTTGGAAACGCTCCTCTAGCCCACTTTGGAAGTTCTGTTATCGGCACCGGCTCCAATTTGGTTGATGGCTGCGGTGGTGGTGGAATATGGATCTCCTCGTAGGAGCTTTTCACTCTCTTGAAAGAGTCAGCTGGTAAAGTCACACGCTCCGCGGTAAATAATTCTGATCCTTGCCCGAAGGCCAACTGTTGCAGATTGATTGTTGTTGGAACACTCGACTTCGATTGCTTCTTTGGTCTCTCTTGGCTGGGGAGATCTTCAGCCAGAGGATCGTGAGAAAGTTTCCGCTTGAGCAAAGTTGTTCCTGATGCATACTCATCTATGAGTTCCGACAATTCAAGCTTACGCATTTCATCTATTACCCCCGCTTTCTGTTCCGCTGATGAGCTTGACAGTCTTACGCCCCAGTATAGCCTCGCAGCATTCTCGACCAAGAATCTCACCAAACTGTCCATCAATTGAAGTGAGCCCTTGAGCTTCGCTTCCAGCTTATTTTTTTCTAGATAATTTTCTCCCAGCGCTTGCAGAACTTTTTCTTTCAACACTTGGACGTCTTGCTCTGAAGTTCCTCTCATTATCTTTGAAATCGATCGCAGCAAGAAAAGATCATCAATCTGGTGAATTGGCATGGAAATGTGGTGATCCGCTTGAGCAAAAGTCAGAGTATCGTCCTTGACCTCCATGCCATCTATAGCAACAGGCTCAGCGGGCCACTTCTGATTTTCCATGTTTCTTTTTCCCTGAAGTTTACCATATCCATCGTCGTCTATAACATCATCCCCTTCATCTTCTTCAGCCTCTTCAAGTTCATTCGTTAACGTGTTTCCAGCTTCCTCGCCATCCATTTCTTGCGCTTCATCCATTTCGTCTTCACTCGCCAGGATGGCTACACCGTCTTCGGAATCTCGCTGAGGGGAATTATCTTGATGGTAATCACTTATCTGTTTGCTCAAATCAACTATTTGATGGAATTTGGATTGTGAAATAAAAACTGAAAGGTTTTCTTGGATTTCGGACAATTTACGGTCCATGTGGAGTCCTTCTTCGTCTTTCTTACCTTTCAAAGTTTCCAAAATGTAGTCTGTAGCCGATAAAATGATGTCATGCGGAATATCGTCCCCCAGCAATAACGAGACAAGGTACACGATCTCATCGTAGCGTTCTGTATTGGCGTCATCTGAAGGCCTGTAGTTCAATTTTAGCATTGAGTTGACGCTAAGAACAGTAGAATTGGTACCGTTGCGATTGTTTTTGGCTTTCTGCGGTCTGGTCCTGGATCTCATATTTTCTGGACTTATCATGACACCTTCAGACTGACCATATGTATCCTTTTCCGTAGAAGATGTAGTACGTGTTTGAGCCGCCGATGCCCCCATGTCTTTCACCGATATTCTGCCCAGCATGGATTTTGGCTGTGATTCCGCTGCATCTTTCAGTGGATCTGATCGCTGTGTGTGTAATGATCGATCGGCCCGTAGCACCTTATTAGACATCTCATCATACCTGTACAACTCTCGTATTTTCTTGTCCTTTTCGTCATCGGCTTCCGCTTGCATCTCTGGAAATCTATAATTTGACACGTTCTATCTAAACTGCCAATGTTGGATGTCGAGTGACAGGTCAAACTTAGGCTTGAAACGTTGATTTTACTGTGACTTTTTTAGTTGGTCAAGTTCGGTTCGATGCTCTCTCTATTGACTTTTAATTAATTGGACTATATGTAACTTGGAACGGGCGATGAGTATCCATCAAGAGTTAAGCTTGTATTCGGACGACGACTTCAGGAGCTATGAGCGATTTGGTGACGACAGGGCTCTTGAATCAACTTTGGTTTGCTTTTGAGAATCTGAACAGTGATTTGAAAGGTGCTGTTATCGCTTCCTTCATTCTTTTTTGTCCATTAGAAGGTCGAAAAGATACGGTAATTTAGCCTTGCATTGGAAGTGTGATGGAATCGCAGCGACTCAAACGTAGCTTGAGTTCATTGACTACGGAGATTAACGGTTTGCGTGAAGGCTCATTCTGTTCTAGTACCTCCTCTTCAATTGCCAAGAAAAGCCGGCAAAGTCCTGCTACTATTGCAGAGAGCGACATAAAACACACATTGGAAGACAAATCGCACGAAGTGGAAGAGTGGTGCCAAAAATACGAACCTCATGGAACAGCGAGTCTTGTTCTTCATCAGCGAAAATTACAAGATGTACGAAATGTGCTCGAACCCATGATCAGCGGAAACAGCATGTGTCGAATTCTGCTCTTGACGGGACCTGCCGGTTCTTCCAAAAGCAGTTGTGTCAAGACCTTGGCCAACGAAGCTATACGAGATCGTCTGAATACACTGCCTGCGCCAAATTTCACTCTCGGAAACCCTAGAAAACACCAGAGCTATATCGAGTACGACGGAAGTGCTGTCCCATTGGGCGTATCCAAAGTTGATCATTTCAACCAATTTCTAGCTGAGTCCAAATATAGAGTGGGTCTCAACGTCGCGGTACTGCTCGTAGAAGACCTGCCAAACCTTTTTCATGAGGAAACCAAAACTCAGTTCCAACAATCCTTGTTGAGATGGCTTTATAGCCCACAGTCGCGCCTGCCGCCATTGGTCATTTGTTTGACAGAATGTGAAATTCATGGTTCCAAAGATGCATCTTACAGCTTTAGCATTGATACGCAGTTCATAGCTGAAACAGTATTAGGACCTGAAGTTTTGAATCATCCGTGCCTACGACGCATCAAGTTTAATCCTATAAACAAGACCTTACTCAAGAAGCATCTGAAAGCCATATGCGATAGGGAGAGAAAATTGATCAAGGCAGACCGGTGGGAGCAAAGGGAAGCGTTCATCGCAAGCATAGCTGAGAATTGTGGGGACTTGAGATCGGCGATATCTGCATTACAACTGTGGGCTACGACCTCTGGATCGGCATCCACTTTTACCAGCACTAGAGAACAATCCGTTTCTTATTTCCAAGGTCTAGGAAGGATAATTCATGGTTCCAAAGATTTGCCGAATGACAGCTCAATGATAAATGAGCTGATGTACTCACATAGTGCTGGCACCGGAGAGTTGCTTAAGATGGGAGTTTTGGAAAACTATGCGACTTTTAGCAAAGGTCAGTTTTCTCTCTCACACGCCGTTAGCATCTTGGACTCTTTGAGCATCGCCGATATAATGACAATGGAAAACACGTCAACAATTACACTCACTGAGTCAGTAGAATTTCCTCTACGCGCAGTGAGACATACATTTGCATCTCTGGGCAAAATAGCCACTTCATCGCATCATAGGCCCAATTTCCCTCGAGAGTCGAAGGTCCGTAAGCTGCGCCGAAACTTCATGACTGAAGCAGGTAGATATGCCTCTGTCAGCATTCAAAAATACAAAAGTTGGCATAGTATGAGCAACATCGCTCTATACTATAGCTACTATGCGCCTCTCATAAGAAGACAGTTGAACTACAAAAGAAAATACTTGCAGCACTATTTAAATTCTTTGGGATCTGACAGTGAGCGCAAGAAAGTCATGTTAAGCGGTTCAGATTTATTTGTCGTTAATGAACAGGTGGATGTTTTAAATCGCATTGGCGGAGAATTGAGATCAATTAGTGCCACCTCGGACGTTGTGCTTGAGGAGAACGAAGAGCCTCTTGATATGCGACCGCACATGATAATGGCACACGTTAGCGACCGCCCTGAAGCTGCTGTTGACAACGAACATCTTTCCACTGACGAGGATGATGGAATCAGTGAGGAAATTTTGGATCCAATTGTGGAAAGTGCGAGCGAGCATGACACTTTCAGTTTCAGCGATGAAGATGATCCGATCTATGACGTGTTGGCGTCACAATCGCCACGCAAGACCAACCCGCATTAATGACCTGTGTTAAGTAACGAAAAATAAACTACAAAAGAGTGGGTACAGCCGCGATATACTACCCGGTGATTTCTCGCTATGAGAACAAATACACCAACTTGCTTCCACTGGAAGGACTCTTCTTCTTTTTTCAAGCATTCATTGCATTCTGGAAGAATTCTGCGTCTTCTTCGAGCGATTCTTTTATGATGTCAAGACCACCTTGAAACTCACCGCTGATGTACAGCTGGGGGAAAGTTGGCCAGTCTGAGAATTTTTTCAAACCCTGTCTGACAGAGTCGTCCTTCAATATGTCGAAAAACCCAAATCTCACCTGGTATTCGCGTAGAATGCCCACCATTTGTCTAGAAAAGCCGCATTTGGGCTCGGACGGTGTGCCTTTCATGAAAAGCATCACTGGAGCAGCCTGAGTCAATTTCTTGAGACGTTCTATTAGTTCTTCCTCACTTTCTCCCTCTTCTTCTTCTTCTTCCTCTTCTTCCTCGTCTTCGCCGTTGTTGGACCCCAGAGCCCCTGCTTTAGTGCCCTGGCCTGCTGAAGACGACGAAGCTGACGCTTGTGGAGCAAGACTACCGTTAAATCTGCTTAACACCTTGACGAATTCCTTAGGATCAGCACCGGAAATTTCGTGCAAGATGGTACCGTTTCTGATCATCACGAAATATGGCACCGATGTCACGTCGAATAATTCAGCAATTTCCGCATTGTCGTCTGCGTTGATCGTCAGAAACAGCACTTCTTTGTTGACGGGCTCTTCGCTCAACGCAGTCACCACCGCACTCATCGTTTTGCAGGGTTCGGCCCATGATGTGTGGAAATATAGCGTAATGAGTTTTCCTGCTGAATTTTCAGTTGTTAGCTCGGTGAATTGGTCCTGCGATTTAATGTCTACTAGTGGCATTTTGATATTGTCAAACTGTCTGTGTGGAACCTTCCAAGACGAATATCTGGTCTGAGTCCAAATTTTTCACGGAACAAAAGTTGCGACCAAAGGTAGAGATTGATCAGACGTTTCTGGCTTGGCTTATAAACGTTCTTGAACTCAACCTAACTGGCTGATTCATCTCCTGATGAGGTCTCGATGCCTATGTCTTTCGACAGACGTAGAGAATACTCAGAATCTGACAAAGTTCCGGGTCTCGTGATCCACCACCAATAAAACCCACCAGCATTAGTAAGAGCAGCCAACAGCGATGACAGCGACAGTGCTGTAGCTTAGCGATAACCCAAATTGTCCAAGTGTGCACTACAGGATATCGCAAGAAGCCTGGGCCTGCCGTTGTGCTCGTTTAGGCTTTATGTTCAGCATTTCTTGCGGGCAAACTTGTATACTGTGTTCCAAGTGACATTAATGAGGGATTGAGGTTGCAAGCACGCACGGGCCTTTACTCTGTTGATGAAAATATCTCGGACATCTGGTTGTGTCTTGTTAGCGCGTTTCCAAGCGTTGTAAGCGCTCCAGCTCCCGATATAGTCCTCGAATTCGGCCACGGTCATGGATCGGTCGATTCTCAGAGGTTTTTGAGAGTAAACTGGGTTTTGAGCATCACGAGAGCGATACTGGACCTCGGTGATATCGTCAAAACGTTTAGGATCGAGTTTCTGAGACTCCAAGAGATTGCGTAGAATTTCCCGGCCAGGGTTCTCCCAGTAGGACCCCAATTGGTCTGCCCCGTACTGTAGTTCGGATATGGCATCATCGAGATCCGGGAAATCTGTGAAAGACGGATCCACGTACCCCCATATCGCGATGGTACCACGGTCTCTAAGCGCTTGGAAAACGGCGGATTCGAAAGCGCGGAAATCTAACCAATGGCAACATTGTGCTGCCGTCACCATATCTGCGGTGTTGGCCGCTATCCAGTCCAGGTCCTCTGCAGCGTGAACGCTGAACTGCACATTTTTTCCAGAGCTTTGGCCGCCGCAAGCTGCAAGCTTTTGGAGCGCAGCGTCAATCATACCTGGAGACATATCGGTACCGTAGACCTGTCGGAACTGGAGGTTTTTGGCGAGTTCGAGTGTGAAGTTTCCAGGCCCACATCCAACATCAATGAGTACATCACGCTTGCCTTGGTGGAATTCACTGAGTTGTTTGAAAAACGCCACAGGATACGTTGGCCTGGCGTTTGAATAAGTGTTAGAAGCGTAGTCTTGAGACGAAAACTCCATTAGTGTGTCTAAACCTTCTTCAAACTTTCTCTTACTGGTAATCTTCCTTTATTATGTACAACCTTTAAATTAAACTGACGTCCCACTCTACAGACCAAATAAAGAAAAAACTCCGAACACCGGTTGAAGCAAAGCTCCAAAATGCCGTTAGTCTAGGTTATCCTGAATGTATATAAAAGCACAATCATTTATAGAAGCCCGTTGATTCATTCATGGTACGCTGATGTACGAAGGAGTGTGTTTTGTTCTTGTAAGTTTTTGAATAGAAATCCGTTCTTCCAGCATTAATGGTTTGCATACGTTTCTTCAGTACCGGATCCAAAGTTTTGTCATCATTCCAAGCCCTTTATGCTAGTCCTTAGCCCTCAATGACAGCCATCGACACCAATCACACCAATCGCACTCACGCCTTAGTCGACACGAATCAACTCGCACATTAACAACGGATATCATCCATCGCTGGAAGAGATGGTGTCACATAGCTATACAACAGCAATCCACGAAATAGTTTGCTCCGTCTCCTAGAAAAGTTGGCCCAGGGCATTAAAACTGACACTTTCGAGAAAAGCTCGTTCACGTGACTTTTTCAGAGAGATCTTATATGGCATTGACGAACATATTCGCAATCGGTGACAGAAGAAGCTCTTGGATGTCAAACTGCAGAGAAAGGCTTCTTCAACCCAGCAACGTCGTGCTTTTATACCACATCTTCGGTAACAATATCACAAGTTTGAAACAGTTTTTGATACCAACGCTATGCCAGGGCCAAAAGCGAGTGGCGGAAGCAAGCCAAAAAAGCCTCTTACTCGCTTGGAAGAGATGGCGAAAAAGGCGTACGAAACCAAAAAGGTAAACAGTACAATATCCAACGACTCTAGTCTCAGTCTGCGATCGTTCAAAGGCGTGAAAGCTTCAAATAGCGGAGCAGATTCCAGTTCGGCTACCAGGAAAGACAGTGGTAAGGCCAAACCAGCACGCAATGCAAAAGAACCCAAGAATGGCAAACCAGCAGTGCAGGGCTCTACAAAGCCTTCTGTTAGAAATAAGACCCCAAAAACGCAGCACATCAATGGAAAGAATGGCGTATCCTCCAAAAATGGACATGCCAAGCAACGGCAGCAGCCTGGAAACCCTGTCGTTACCGTTAACAACTCGACATCGAGCGGTTCTGGCACTATTTCACAAAGTGCCCCCCAGACAGCCGATAAAAGCCAGGTCAAATCGTCCAACGGGCCGTCTAAACGTTCAGAACCTTCTTTAGTGCAGAAACCACGCAATAACACCAAGACAAAAATTACAGGTCGCAAAGATACTGCTCGTAAGAATAAACCTAAGGTAACTGCAAGCGCTCCTAATTCAAAACGTGGTGAAAAGTCTAATAAGCCAGCTAATAAGGTCAAGACTGAAAATACCCTGCCTAAACCGCAAGTCCAAACAATAGATGAAAACTCCGAAAGTTTTGAAGAAGGTGAGCCTTTGAAGCGCTTTACCCAATATGTTCCCAAAATGTCTTACCCCAACTTGGAGGAGTACTTCAACGAATTCTCGTTCGCACTTTTCCTTGAGGAGCGACTTGAAAATGACTTTCTACAAGATTTCGAGATTACATGGCCGAAAAATCCAAATGAAAAGGCATTGGTCGTGAAAATGAAGGCTGATAGTGACGAAGTCAAGAAATTGTTGCCACCACATCTTGTCAAGCTTGGTAGGCTGCCTTTTACCAATCAGCAGCCCTTGATGTTGACCAGCCAGGACGAATCGAAGGTTTGGTACACCTTTGTCAGAGAGCTCGACTCCAAAAGAAACTGCATCACGATTCTCCTCGAGCTGTATTCTTGGAACAGGGTTCCTTTACCTATCAAAGAGGGAAACAAGAATTTCAAGCTGTTGCCATGTTCTGCCCAGGTTAATAGAATCATGTTCGCAATGACCAGAGTGCAAAATCCAAAGTTTATCAAATTGATTCTGGGTCAGGAGCGTATCAAACAATTGAACTTCAACAATCGTTTGCAATTCTCTAAAGATACCTTCAACGATTCACAAAAGGCTGCTATTCAGCATGTTTTGAACAACAGCATCACTGTTTTGCAAGGACCTCCAGGCACAGGCAAAACATCCACTATCGAAGAGATTATTTTGAAAGTGATGGAAAACTTCCACACTACGCCAATCCTCTGTGTCGCAGCTTCGAATATTGCGATTGACAATATTGCAGAGAAATTTATGGTCAACAGACCTGACATTAAGATTCTTAGAATCTTGTCGCAGTCCAAAGAGGCACAGTATAATAATGACCATATGCTGGGTAAAATTTGTCTGCACAATATCGTTTACGACCAGCTTCCTGATGATATTAAGGACAATATAGGAAAGCTGAGATCAGGTATTCCTGGTCTGGTTTCGAAGAACCAGTACAATAAGTTATTGACCACACAAAATGCCATCTCTGATCGGCACATTGCACAGGCTCAAATCATTTTCACCACAAATATTGCATCAGGTGGGCGCCAATTGAAAGCTATCAAAGAATTACCAGTAGTAATTATGGATGAGTCCACGCAGTCCTCCGAAGTTTCAACTTTGGTGCCACTGTCACTACCGGGCATCAAACGCTTCGTTTTTGTCGGTGATCAAAAGCAATTGTCCAGTTTCAGTAACGTACCACAATTGGAAATGTCTTTGTTTGAAAGAATCTTGACCAACGGAACTTATGACAATCCTCATCTGTTAGACACACAATACAGAATGCATCCTGCGATCAGTGAGTTCCCGATTAAGACCTTTTATGACGGGAAACTAAAGAATGGTGTGACAGCTGAGCAGAAGAGCTGGCCAGGTCTAGCATTCCCATTATTTTTTTACCACTGCAACAAGGGCCCTGAGTCTAAAGTTTTTAACTCTAAACGTGGGATGAGAGGTTTCACATACAACAACACGCATGAGGCCGAAGCTGTTGTCGAGGTTTTACACAAGCTAATAGTCGAAAAGAATGTGAGGAGAGACGAAATAGGTATCATTACACCATACTCTTCACAGAGGGATCTGATATCGGAGTTGTTGGTGCGCGATCCTGTGGTCAATCCGTCAGGCAAGGCAATGGAACAAGAGATGGACAAGGACGACGTTTTGGGAGGCGGAGAATCTGTTGGCGGAGGCGCGAACAAAGTCACCATCAACATCGTCAACGGCGTTTTCGTTTCAACCGTCGATTCGTTCCAGGGCCACGAAAAGCAGTTCATTCTTTTTTCGTGTGTGCGGAATAACGACGAAAACAAGATCGGTTTTGTGAAGGATCGTAGACGTATGAACGTTGCATTGACCAGAGCTAAAAACGGTCTGGTGGTGGTAGGAAACAAAGACGTGATGAGACAAGGCGACCAGCTGTGGCAGCAATACGTGGATTACGTTGAAGAAAAGGACGTCGTATTTGACACACTGAGTGGTTACTAAGCTAGACGAATCAGTACGTGCCAAATATATATATAGATATATACATATAGATAGAACATACGATCAAGGCACTTAAAAATCTGAACTCCAAAGACTTGAACTTTCACTGGCTAGGTGGTGGGGGGGAAGAAGCCGACAGCTTATTGTAGGATTTAAAAAAAAAATATCTCGTGCCTGGCTGGATTAAAAATAAGGTCCTACCCGGATTCGAACTGGGGTTGTTCGGATCAGAACCGAAAGTGATAACCACTACACTATAGGACCTATGGTGCTGGAAGAAAAAATACCTTGTCTTATATATTGTGAGCAAATATCACGTTGAACAAATTAGTAAAAGTCGTAAAGGCTCAAGTCACGTGAACACTTCCTTTCCAGGAACCAAACTAAACATGAAAATACCAACAAGAACATTTATCAAAGACCTATAAGCGTAAACAGCTACGAGCTACCAGTTTCTGTTCTGACCCCTCTTTTCTACCAACCCAAACCATGTTTCGTGTCTATTTTTTCCCATACACCAAATCCTTGTTCGTTCAGAGTGACGTCACGTTTTGCTTTAGTTATTTTTCGGGGGGAGGGGGCTTAATTTTCATAAAAGCTCGTTCTTACACTATACAAAACAAAGCTTCCACCACTCTTGTTACTACTTGCGTGTTCAATAACGGAGAAACCCCAAACCAAATAGTATGTAAACGTGTGATTCTAAGTTGTGGAGTGTGAAATACGATTCGTTGTATCAAATGCGAGTGCAAGAAGGCCCTTGAAAGGCCTTACGTCCTGTTTGTTTACTGTTTGAGCTCAAAAAAATCGCCCCTGATTTAGTCTTTTCATGAGAAGGTGAGATTGTGCGATCAGTAGATAGATCCAAGAGTTTATGGTAAAAAAAGAGTCGATCACAGCGGGAAACGATCAGCCCATTGAACGCAACTCAAACGCCATGATTTCAAGTTGTGTTTGGTCTTTGTTTTTAGGCCTGTGAGTGGATTTTATTGTCCGTGTTGTTTATCATTTCGGCTCGGGTGGCAAAATAGGAAAAAAACCAAAACAGAGGGCCTAAAAAAATTAGTGGTGCGTAAAAAATTTTGGCCGAGTTGGTGGAGAGAAACACGTGACCGTGCGGCTGGGGTTCGAAACTGCAACGGGACAAGATTGTTTTGGAATTCTATTTTTTTTTTTTTAATTCTTTGGGTCAACAAGCCATAATGTATGATCGATAATCGTCGGAGGGGTTGGCGAAATGACAGCGGTGCTAACGACCTGTGAACTTACAGGAAAGTCGCCGTGTCAAGACAACGAGGCTGGAATGGCTCAATTAGACGTTTCTTTGGGATCTTGGTTTTTTTGTGGTCTCGCTGGCTGGCCAGCACTTGGCTGTTCTGTCGTCACCTCGCCCCTTTTTGCTGCACGCACTAGAGAACGTGCGTTTCCGTCCGAATCGGGATGTGTGCAGTGAGGAGGGGCATATGTGGAAAAAAACGGCACAAACAGATAGGAGAGGGAAAAAAAATTGTAAAAAATGGAAAATTGGAAAAGAAATGAAAAAGCCCAAAAAAAAAAAAATTAATATGGGAACGTCTATCCCGAATTTTTCCAGTCCTGTGTCAATCGAGTCTGCAACACTGCTACTATTTCTATCGCTTGCTTGTTTCCCCCCCACCCCGTTACAGAACGCTTGAATCCCTTCATCGGTATATCAAAGATCACACACTCAATAACCGAAGAAGCATTTGTCACTGCGTATGGGCAAATCCACTCCAAACTGTTACCTGCTTCAACAATTCTCATTTACTAACGTTTTCCACACTGCAGAACTCATTCTAAAACACAATGTCACAAAGTCGCGAAGATTCCGTTTACCTGGCCAAGCTTGCCGAACAGGCTGAGCGTTACGAGGAAATGGTGGACAGTATGAAAGCCGTTGCGTCGTCCGGTCAGGAATTGTCCGTGGAAGAGCGTAATTTGCTGTCGGTCGCCTACAAGAATGTCATTGGTGCTCGTCGTGCCTCTTGGAGAATCGTGTCATCCATCGAACAGAAAGAAGAAGCCAAGGAGAAGTCCGAACACCAAGTCAAATTGATCCGCAATTACCGTTCTAAGATCGAGTCTGAGCTAACCAAAATCTGTGACGACATCCTGTCCGTGCTCGACACTCACTTGATCCCCTCTGCCACTACCGGTGAGTCGAAGGTGTTCTACTACAAGATGAAGGGTGACTACCACCGTTACTTGGCTGAGTTCTCGTCCGGTGAAGTTAGGGATGGTGCCACCAACGCCTCGTTGGAAGCCTACAAGACCGCGTCCGAGATCGCCACAACAGAATTGCCTCCTACCCATCCAATCCGTTTGGGTTTGGCTTTGAACTTCTCCGTGTTCTACTACGAAATCCAAAATTCTCCAGACAAAGCCTGTCATTTGGCCAAGCAAGCTTTCGACGACGCCATTGCTGAGCTAGACACGCTGTCTGAAGAGTCGTACAAGGATAGCACATTGATCATGCAATTGTTGAGAGATAACTTGACTTTGTGGACTTCTGACATGTCAGAGGCCGGCCAAGACGAGCAACAACCTGCGGAAGGTGCTCAGGAGTAAACTTGTGTGTGACGACCCGGTTATTTTTTTTCTATCTTTTTTGTTTGCTGTTTTTGTGCGTTTGAGACTCAAAAATAAAGTTCAAGTGCGAGGAGCGGGGCGCAGGACAGATAGTATCGATTTCCTTTTGTTATCTTCTTTTTTCCTTTTTTCATTGTGGTCTATCGACTTCGCCTCCGATGATAATATGCTGAAATTCTGTCGCAGGATGTCACAGTTTTGGTTTCTCGAACTGCTAATCCTCACCTGTCAATGTCAGCCTTGGCAATGCTCTACAAATATTTCTAACCTGTTTTACTGTTGTCCCCGCACCTCAAAATAAAAGAGAGAATCGAACTGTCTTTCCTGACTGTTCCGTTTGAACACCAAACCCACATGCTCAATACGCACATTCAAACCTCAAACATCAATCAACGACGACCACCCCTCCCCCACCCCACCGGTTACTACCTTATTTTCTTCTAGCACGAACCCAACTATTGAATTAATCCCCTTCTTCTCTTTTAACATTTGAAAGCGCTGGGCATTTTAACGATGATGTACGAGGGCGATGATTTCAAAACCAAACCAACCTGCCTTTATAATTTTCTATACCGCGAATATATCTTTGAAAGATATTCGATCAATTGTAACCAAAGACATCACTACAGGCATCCGTCTGGCGAAGCCTTTTTTTTTCTTGTTGATCGAGGCTGATTGATTGTCACAGACAGTACTTAGTAGCAGTATATTAAAATAGCGATTTTTTTCAAATTATTCTGAAATTTCGTGATCAGGGGCGTGTAGAAAAAGTAGAACACAAACTTGGTTTGGTCTAACCAGATTAATCTAGCAGTTAGTTGAATTCAAGTCCTCAAAAGTTACAATACTAAAAATGTCCAACGTTTCGCCTCAGATCTTCAAACTTGTCAATCTAGCAGCTGGTTCGCTGGCCAGTTTATCGGCTTTGACCCAAACTTCGTACTTGCTGAGCAACTTTCCAGCTTTTTTGATGGCAATTTACGCATTGGGACTAGCTGTTCCTATTGTGTACTTGGAATTTAAAGTCCCTCCTAATCTGTACAGGTTTGCTTCTTTCTACTTCAGTTTTATCGGTCGCGGACTAAGCTTTATCCTGCTGTCGCTGCTATTGAGCTTCGGTGGTGCTTTAAAGATTTTTGCCTCTTTGCTGCTGTTCTTAACGGGTGTAGCCTTCGTAATTGTGGAATTCGTGCCCAGCGTTCAGGAACCGGATAATTTTAGACCTGAGGGAAGTTCCATTGCAGTAGGCGAGGACGCCGATGACATTATTTGAATATTCGATCCGCAACAACAATCCAATAAGAGGGGCCTATATATGCATTCATAAGTTTAATGAATTGTCGCGTTTAGTGATGGTAAGAATAGATGACTACAGAAGAGAACTCATGGTTAGGGTCCTCATTTCACCCATTTCCAGGCTAATTTCTTATTAAATGACACCTTTCCAGTATAATCATTAATAAATTGTAGCGTCGCGCTGTCATACAAGAAAAGAATATAAGATGAAGAAATAAGGAGGCTATGAAAGTACGACTCGTCCGTTTAATGAACTGAAAAGTGACAGTTCTTCGAGCCACTTGTTAGAATCCTCGTTCAACTGTCTTAAACAAACAGCTTCTTGACGTTAAGAATCAAGTAACTTTTGACGAATAAATATCTATAAAAAGTCCACCCCATCAAGCTCATCGCTGATATCAAAAACGGTTCGACGTAGCACTGACATCTACTGAATCTAGCACAAATATCCCGTTAAACAGGTCTGAAAACTACCATATCGTGTACACACGAAAGCATGAGCCATGTGGGTGCCCACTACTACGAAAATATAGCATTAGATGAAGAGGCTTACGCCAAATACGTTTGTAAGAATGCCATCCAGTCCATGCCCGAAAACCGCAAGATTCCAGTTCTAGCAATCCCTAGGTCTTCTTTCACTGCATTTAGACTTACTTATGCGTCTCCTGTGGAAATATCACAGAGCTCCAAGTCTGTTCTCCTCGGTGGAGTTCCCCACTTATGGTACATACAACACAAAAACAACTTTCTCAGGTCAATGTATCAATTGGCATACAAAAATGTGACGAAAAAAGCACAACAGGCTGGGAAATATGCCAGTTTTACGCGGTACCGCTCTAGTCGAAAATTTCGTCGCTCAGCTGGCATTACACCACGAACCTTGCTTCCGAGAAATGGACAAAATCAGGACGGACAAGATGTTACGGAAATCAGACCAAAAGGTCTTCAGGGCGAAGTTTGTCTTGAAGATTCACCTGCCAGTCCTTCGGGGTGGTGCTCGCCTACGAGCTACGGCAGAAACACGATTTCCAGTGACGATGAAGCGAACAGCGTGACCATTGCGGAGGTCGAAGACCTGAATAAATCCTCTTCCTTTTCTTTTCAAGACAATGATAATCACCATTCCGAACAGCCGCAGCACGCACAGAATTCTGAGCAATCCCTGCGATCCCAAATTGTTTCTAGAAATCCCGAAACCCACAGCGATTCCTCAATATTTGAGCATCATACAAGAAATGCCAACATCCAAGAACGTCGCAATAGTTGCAAGTACGCTCAACAGGTTTTGAGTAGAGACCTGCAAACTTTTGATGACCGTAGAAAGCTCACACAGACCACAGATCCGCAAAATTCCTCACCAGGTACCCCTGTCGTTCGGAACAGTATCTCTTCGGAAACATTTTATTCGGCTGAGGACGGTTATATTTCAGGTAGTCAAAGGTCAGAGAGCTCAATACACGAAGAATACGGCCTGCCAAGGCAAGGGTATTTTCACGAAAGAGAAGAAAGGTACACGAACAGCGGACGTAACTCAACTCAAGAAGATCACGAATCAGCATCAGGAAATGGAACCATTTCAGAAAGCTTTCCGGAGACGTTGAGCAGTGGTCCAAACATGACACCCCGTATCTACGATGCCGATGTTCCGCAATTAATCAAATATTCACCTGATTCCGCTGTCGTGTCTTCTGTGAAGTTCGAAGAAAAGCCAAAACCGAAAGTTATTCGGCAGTCGTTTGCCAACGATGAAAGTTCTAGGCTTGAGCCTACTGAATTTACGTATGCAACTTCCAGCTTTCTCTCAGCAAGCTCGGATGACGAGGAGTCTATGGTGTTGCATAACAACTATCGCCCTAATGTCAAAGGCAGGCTCAAGAGATTGAGTCCACAGCCATACGCTTTGGACGAACAACAAAATCTTAACCTTCAAGCTCTTGACAACCATCACAGGGCGCTGAATGAGGTCAGAAGCTTTGTCACTAAAACTGGCAAAAAGATTCACTTGGACAAACTAGAGAAGCTCCACTTTGACCTTTCCAAAGTCTTGGGCAGAGATTCGAAGTTTTCACAAAGACTGTTCACTAAATATAGAGCAGGCGAGGTGGTGAAAATGGAAAAGATGCTTGTTTTCATCAAATCGTCAAAATCTGCTCGTGGACCACTTTTGAACTTCTCAGATGTTGAGCCAATTGACACGAGAGTCGTTGAAAGATGGAAAGAGTACATCGTGGTAGCAAGAGCTACAGGAATGCCCGACTCGCCACTTTACTTACAATTTTACAGCGACAGCAAGATACCACGGATTGAAAACAGCCATCGTGTTGAGTCATACAAAGCGAATTCGATGGATTTCATGTTGGACTCATCTTGTATTGTAGATTTCTACAATACCCTGGATAAAACAGTTCATGTTATAAAGTCTCCCCGCTCCTGCTTGGAAGGAGGGAGAGGAACCAACGGTGAAAATCCCGAGGATGTCGGAAAGTTGAAAATTTACATATTGAGGTGTGGTTCTTTTGCTTCGGCTGAAAAGTGGCTGCTGTTTTTACGACGGTCATTAGGGCGGTCCAATGAGTCCGAAATGATTACCGTCAACGTTCCTGAGGCCAAGGTGTCTCTGGAGATTCCTATGTCAAAAAAGGTTCGTCGCATATTCGAGAGGAAAACCTACGCAGAGGAGGAACAACTTAAAGTATTGATGATGCCAAGAGGCTATAAGCCCCTGGGATTTCCTCTAGCAAGATACCTGGAGGTCGTTGTTTTAGATAAGCTATTAGAGTGTGGTTTTAAAGCAACATCGTTGGGATGGATTCAAGCGAATACAATCACTGGGTTCTGTTGGAAACATTACGACAGACTTGAGTGGTGTCCGGGAGATCAGTATGATTCAATTGTTGGCGGCGTCTCACTGCAAGGGTCCCATTTGCTGGAATATCGAACTTTGACACATTATCCACGAAGTGTTAAAAAGACTCCGACAGAAACGTTGGTCGAGCCCCCAGCAATAGAAGGGTTTTTGCTGAAGTGCACGGATCGATACGGCAGGGACATAGAAAAATTAGTCCACACTGCCTACTACCGGTCCTCATATTTTTTTACGTCAGACGGACTTTTGTTCTTCATGAGTTCTTTCAAAGGAGCACCCCCTCTCCCAGATGAAATGATAAGTAAAAACGGAGCATGTGCCTACGATATTCATCAAATCAAGGCCAACATAGACTCAGTTCCCAAAGTTTTTGAACACAACCCATATCCTTTGGACTTGAACAGTCATATTGAATGGCTCAATGCCAATTTAACGCCAACAGAGTTTGATGAAAAGGATAGCGTTGCCTTCGCTGCAATGTGGAGAAAAATCGCTCTTATTCTCAAAGCGGAAAAGATCATCGATCTGACCGAAGTAGCTTCGGTCTGCAAACTCAGTGCCCATCTATCGAAGAAAAACATTTCAAAATACAAGTTATTAACGAGGGCCAACAACTTTGTGTGGAAAGCTTCAAACACTCTCGAAGAAACTATAAAATCGACAATCATTCTATCACTGAGGAACGGATTGAGCGTGAAGCTCTTAGCTTCTTCGCCAGAGCTAGCGGATGAGTGGGTATCCAGGCTTGGCTCTTTGAGCAAGTATTGGAAGTACAGGAAGGCGGAAGATGTCAAAAATATGTGGTCGGCAAAAGTTGAGAACCTTCGAACTCTGAAAATACCTGAGTCAGAAGAATCTAATATTAGTCAAGTTACTCCTAAATGGGTCACGGATCGTGGCGTTGCAAATGGAGAAGTGCATAATATTAGTGCACAAGCGCTAACAAGACCGCTGATGCAGAGCGGCGTACTATATCAAAAGAGACACAAGCACTCGAGTTTCAAAAAGTTCTTTGTTATACTAGTCCCGGGCTTTCTCTTGCTTTACAGGTATTTTAAAAGTGCGAAAATGAACCATTCTAAAACAGTGATTGATCACCGACACTATCTAACGATCCCGATAGAAGAATGTTATGTCTACAGCGGAAATCTAACTTCATTGGATTTGCTTCAGCGAGACAAGCAATTCGATCGCTTAAACTCTGGTAATGATTCTCTTCCTAGGGTATATCCAGACGGGTGGAGATCGAGCGAGGATGAATCTACTAGGTGCTTCACACTTTGGTTTGGTACAAAGAGAGCGTTGTCGAATTACAACTCTTTGTTTTCACATTCACCAGAAAGCGAAGTTATTGGGTCAGACTCTTCACAGTCAGTAGTAGAGTCTGCATCAGCTGAAATCAACGAGAGGTCTAATTTAAATTCAGCTGGTGAAGGTGATCTTAGTATGGAAGAGAACTTGCAAAGAAAAACAGGCTCATTTCGTTTGGCAAGCAGGCTCGGCGTTGCCGGTAGCTCGTTGGTTTTCATGGCGCGCTCTCGCCAAGAGAGAGACCAATGGGCTTTAAAACTACATTATGAATTAGGACGACTAAGGGCCTGCGAAGACGATATATAAAGATAAAAGCATTGTTACCAAACTGTCAAATTTTTCCTTTACATATAATCGTAATTTGAATGGCCAACGACAGATAATCTCTTATTGCCGCGGGTTTCAACTTGACAATCAATCGCTTCATCCACGACCTTGTTGAATCCTTCGACAAAATGAGCCCACCCCGGAAAATCATCTACCTGGGCCGCCTCAAGAGGGAGAAATGAACTTTCGCAGTTCCCTTTTGAACTGTTGCCATCGAATTGAAGTGAACGTATCTCGGACCTACGCCAGTTGACCTGGTCTTGTAGGGCGTCTTTCAAGTTTGAGTCTTGGGTGTAAATTGGTGAATAGAAGGAGCTGCCTGCGCTTCTGGGCTTATAAAAGTGACTCGTTGTCCTCTTCGAAGAACTCGAATAAGCACCCGACTCCTCCCGCAGCGTTCCGTTACTGTGGCTTAAAGGCGATGACAAAGTTGTGTTCAAACTTTCCCGGTAGGCATCATAGTCTACTAGGTCACTATTTTGTTCATCTTCGCGATTTCCATCGTTCGTATCTCTGATTTGCCCATCAGTGTGCTCAAACAGATTTCTGCTTGAAAGTCCGGAATTCATTTTCAAAGGGTCATTCTCATGAGCATCAATTTCTTCGCCGCTTTCACTTTCGTCATCATCATCATCAAAATCGTCGTTGTCTTCACCAAACGTAAGGTTGAAACCGTAGGACACAGTTTCCAGAATATTTTGAAACGAGGAGACTTCAACCAGCTCAGATACTTGATCCGTATAATCCACATTGAGAAACCCTACGTGTACTTTGAGTTCGTGTGGCCTACTTCGATTGGAACTTGAGAAAGCCTTATAGTCCATGAAAAGACAAGATTTGCCGGCTTCGACGGAGGTGTTGGAGAAAACAACGATGCCGACATCATCGGTCATTTTGGAGCAGCACGCAACCTTGAACTGCGTTGGCGAGAATTTGGGTCTGTTATCAGCATCGGAGGTACGCGATGCAATTTTCAAGATCTTCAGTTGAGCGATCTGTTCTTCGGCCACACCTTGATTGATCATTCTGCCACTGGGATCGACCAAACACATTTGAGTCTCTTTCATGTTCATTATCAAGGCGCGCAAGCTATTCACGAGCGCAAGAAAGTCAGTATCCTTCAAATGTGTAAGATCTACTTGTAGGACGATCGCGAGATTCTTGGGACGGTCGCGCTGCAATGACAAGAGAGATGTTATCGTAGTTCTGCGAGATTTTCCGTCTAACAAAACTAGACTGTTACGAACAATAATATCCGTATCGTTCAGTTCGTCTTCAAAGTCCATATCAATTGTTTTCCTACCTGCCCTCCGAACTGTCAGCTTCGAAGAAGAAAAATGTGTTGTTACTGGCAAAGGTGGTAGAGTCGAGGAAAAGTTGGAGCTTTTGAACACGATCCCTTGGTTTAAAAGCGCCGAAATCCATTTTTCAACGACCTGACTTTTATCTGAGTCAAGCGATTCCGTCAAGTAAAACGTCGACCCTTGCATTATTTTCGAATTCTTCATGGCACTCAGTATCGTACATTTAAGTACTGATGAATTGAGCGAATCAACACTGATACTAGATAATGGATGATGTACCAGAAACTTGTCAAATCGCATACCTGCAGGAGTTTTGGGGTCGACAGTTGGTGACACGAGAGCGATCAATAACGCATCGGTGAAGAGATAGCAGCAGGCATCGTGGTAAGTCTTTCCATCCTCTGAGAACATCAGGCGGTCGACGATTCGCAAGAGGCCGAACTTGGAGTCCAACTCCCAGCTCGGTAGATCTTTCGGAAAACTTTCCAAAAGGTTGTGTGAATAATAAGAACGAAGAACTGTTAGTGGCAACGCAGAGTTGTTTCCCAGATACGATGATTGAGACTCATCTTCAACATCAGAAGAATTGTGGGTTGGCACAGAAGATACAATTGAGGAGATGCCAGAAACAAGACTGCCTCTTCCATTTGGGTTGAATGAGCTCGCGAATGGAGTGAGTTGAAGAGAGAGTTCCTTCACATTTTTCTTTGACGAGCCGTTTCTTCTAAACACGCCAAACTGAGACTTGTTGGGTCCCAATTGGCCCACACTCTGCGGGTTGACAACAAAATTTCCGGGAACCACCGGATTAGAGTTCACAGGAGGGAAAGATTTAGTTGAGGGACTGCCTCTCATCAAAACGCGCGAAATACACTGGTCTTGAAGATCAGGTTCGCAGGGTACGCAACGGACTCCATCCTCACATTTGCGACAAACCGGAAACATATCCACCACACTTCGACTAGTTGAAGCATTCTCGAAATAAGCCATCAAACAGTCTTCATGTGCCAAATGGCCGCACTCGAGTGCAATAACCTTCTCACCCGTTGTTCGACAAGACATGAATTCTTGACACAAGCAACAGGGTTCGTTGACGTAAGATTTCTTGCCTCTGGCATGGCTTGGTTGGTCAAATGGCTTGACTCTCGGAGGAGTGCTCTTTGAACTTATCGAACGGTCAGATCGCCAGGAGTCTTGTGGTACGCTAGTGCTTCTTGGTAGAGTAGGTTTCTCAAATTTGAGTTCTGGATGTGGGATCGACGTTGACCTCAACGGCACTTCCAGCAGGCTGAGGGACCTACTGCAAGGTGTAGATGGGGTATTGGACACCCAACATGGTGTTTCTTGATTGTGCCATTTGTCATTCGACGTTTTTCGCTCCATCAGGTAACTGCTAGGGCTCAGTTGATAATGCGGCTGGCTCTTGGATTTGCCCATCTTGTGGAACCTTCCTGGGCTCCATTTTCTGGAACGAGAGGATCCAGGTGTGACAGTTGTGTCTGATGAGATCGTTGTCCTTGGAGGAGCTGTGTATCCCCCAATATTTGCAAGTTGAAATACCAATTCTTCCTGTTTGACTTCATGTGCAAGCATTGTCGTCGTTGAGGTATGTCAAGCAGAATGGAATATCTGAAGATCTCTACAGGACTACATCCGCGATGATCCGGTACTTATAGACGCGAATCGGGCAATTTTTACCCCATGGTTTCACCGGTGATCCATGCTCTAGTTTTGAGGTTTCATCGCTGTAGTGAGTTTATCGTAGGAATCCCTACAGTCAGGCACCACAGCGTAAAACTTCAAACCCCACAAACGTGAGAAGCTCAGCTGATCAGCCAAGGACACCACCAGTGGCTACAGGGGCAGCGATGGTGGTGGTGGTGGCCCGAAATCCCCTACAAGGTTGACAGAAGTTACATTTATAAAAGTGGAGTCCAAAACCGGTATAAAACATTAACTGGTGTTCCTTTAGTTGAGTTCACGCAGCACCGCAGCATGTGTAAAGGCGTAGTCAGTAGAAGAAGAAGTAGAAAAGGTGATTAACAAGGTTTAACACTGTTGAAGGATCAATCAATCGGTATAACTTCCGCTAATGTAATTTTGTGGAGAAATCGTAGATTCTGGTATGTCAGTCAATCGCTGGAGAGAGAAAGTGCGATTTGGCAGGCGAAATCCAGCGAAGTCGAATTGAAAATGTCCCAATAGCAGGAGAGTAAATTGATCAAATTGCTGAGTAAAACAGAAAGGTGAGATGATAGAAAGTCAGTTGGACCTTCGACCGCTGGAAGAGAGAGAGAGTGAGCGGGCGAGGGAGATAGAGACGACTAATCTCGTTTAACCATTGCATTGAGCTTTCCCTTTGATGATTTTTTTGGAGTGTTTTTTGAGTGTTTTTTGGTATTTTTTGTCTAATAATTCATTCTTTTGACGGGGTCTCTTCGAATCGTTGACTTTTGATGGTTGGAGAATATATTATCGAGAATCACCACCCAGTAGACAACTTTTCAGGTTGGTCGTCCAGGATTTTATGGGTCATTCGCAGCAGAGAGGGGAGGAGAAAAGAGAAGGTGGTTTGAGTATTTTCAGCGTATTTTTTAGTTTAAGCATCAAGAGTGAGACTTATAGACCGTTGAACAAAAAACAAACGTTTTAATCTCTGAAGGCAAAACCACCCTTCTTGAAGTCCCAAGTGTCGTCAGACACTCTTCCTCTTAGGGTTGGAGTTTCGGTACCAGGGATGTAAACGTCCTCAAACAAAATAGACATCTTGGCCTCTGGCGCGGGAGACGCATCAGCAAGTTCAACTTGTTCGTCCACGTATTTTCTTGCAGCCTTGTCGTAGGCCTTGATTTCTTCTTCAGTGGCGATGTTCAAGTCCATGAGGTACATCTTTAGACCGGCAATAGGGTCGTTTTTGGATCTCATATGCTGAATTTCGTCTCTGGTTCTGTAAGTGGTACCTGGGTCAGACATGGAGTGACCACCGTATCTGTAAGTCTCGTATTCCAAGACTAGAGGACCTTTTCCAGAAACACACCAGTCCTTGGCAAATCTGGAAGCTTGGTAAACGGCCAAAATGTCCATACCGTTGACCTTTAGACCTGGAATGTACTGACCACGCTTGAAGTACTCAGTCATGGCCGAGGATCTAGACGCAGCGGTACCCATACCGTACTTGTTGTTTTCACAGGCAAAAACACAAGGTAAGTTGTACAATTTGGCCATGTTGAAAGATTCAAACACTTGACCTTGGTTGGAAGCACCGTCACCGTACAAATCGAAAGTGCAAGCGTCTTCGTTCTTGTATTGGTGAGCAAAGGCTAGACCCGCACCTAGTGGGACCTGGGCGCCCACAATACCGTTACCACCGTAGAAACCAGGGGCGTACAGATGCATCGAACCACCCTTACCGTACGACACACCGGAACGACGTCCCATCAGTTCGGCCAGCACAGATTTGACTGGAGCCCCACGCATGTACGTGAAACTGTGACAACGGTACGACGTAATAATGGTGTCCTTTTTGGTGATAGCGTTTTCGATACCAACGGCGATGGCCTCCTGGCCAACGGTCAAATGGCAGAAACCACGGATTTTCTTGGCCTTGTATAGGGCGTCACACGCCATTTCCATACGTCTCACCACCACCATGTCTTTGTACATTTGCAAGAGACCAGCCTTGCTAGTCGTGTACGATAGGGAAGGTGGTTCCAACATGTACCCTTCAAAAGACGATTCTGGGAGCGTAATTTCCACTGTTTCGTCGGAATTCGAGTCCTGCGCCGCAGTAGCCATCCCACGAGTCACCCTGGTTGCCGCTTGCAACTGTCTTTTGACTCCAAGAGCCGCTACACTGTTCAATTTCACGGATCTGATCATCGTACAACTAATGTATTATTATAGGTAGGTATTCCACAAAAAAATGAAAAATAGTCCTATTTTACCGCAGCCCGGATGTAACAAAATCACCGAGTGTATCAACCACTGTTTTGAATCTGATTACCCGTGAGGAATAGTCCAAGACTCTATACCAATTCTTCTCGAAATGTGGTTGACAGAAGATAACGATGTAAATTTGTCAAGGGACCAATTTTGATGAGGCTATTTATACTGGGAAAAAAATTAGTGTGGACAGGAAGAAAGGGCTCGTCAGCCAATGAGAGGCGAGAACCGAAAAAGCGGGGAAACCCAGCCAAAATTCTAAAACGATTATTGGCACTAAATGCTTGAATTTGGTGCTTGTCTAGGATGTCTTTTGATGTCCTACTTTTTTTGGCAAAGTAAAGGTCTGTCGAGATGCCCAAGGAAAATTAGAAAATTTTTGGGTTGGTTTTTTAGTTTTTTTTCGCTGGATTCGGAGAGCAAAATTGGAATTTTTTGGAATGGAATAAATTATGCTGAGAGTTCTCGAGAATTGTCAGTGGTTCTCTGTTCTGGTGTTTATGCGATTGTTGTTCGAGACATGTGTGTGAATGTATTGGTTATCACTTTAACGTCTCTCTGTCATGGTATAATAATAATAAAATGAGCGAAAAGACGTCAGATTAGTACAAAGTGATATTTGGGTTGGAAACACCAAAATAGAAAAAAGATAGCCTTCTGGCAGGCACTTAACATGGCGTCCATTCAGCTGATTAGCGCACAGTTCCAGAGAGAGCCAGAAGGTCATTTTTGGTGTCCTTTGGGCCTTTTGATTACTATTTTGTTTGGTTGTCTTTCCATTTTTCTTCCCAGAACCGTCACCTGGAAGTATACAGCGCATTTAGTACTACGTTGTGGTCACCACACAGCTCCCCAAGCCTCCCTTAAGCTCCCAATCTAACAGGGCTCACTCAGATTCGTCTTAACTAGTGTTGAGCGTCAAGATCACTTTGTCCTAAACTGACACCAGTCATCGCTTTCCTTTCTGAAAAACTTTTCTACTCGTCTTCGAGAAGAGCATCTCATCGCATCTCATCGCACTAGCATTACTTCAACTAGATCTTCCGTCAAAAGCATAACGCATCTTTGAACACACCAGTAACCCAGGTCCATAATAGGTTGTAGGTAAAGATGGCTTTAGCAATTTCTCGTGAAGACACACAGGTGCTTTTGCATCAGAAAAATGTGTTGCAAGAGTCCACGCTTGACAAATACAGAAGTGCAGGTCAGATCACCCAAACTGGTCTCACATTTGTCACCAAGCTCATCAACGATGCGTATCATACCGGGAAATCGCGTCGTTTAGCCATCCACGAGATCTGTCTTCTCTCTGACAGTTTTTTGGCTGCTTGTTTGGAGTCCAGTTACAAGAATAAAGTTGCTGAACGTGGTATTTCACATCCAACTACCATTGACGTGGACGAAATCGCGTCTGGATGGTGTCCAGAAGTCGACGATGTGGAACAAATCCGTTCTGCTAATAAGAACTTCTCTGAATCTGAAAACGTAGCCGGTTGCAAAAGAAGCGTGGACGGATTTTTGGCCCCCGGTGACGTTGTCAAAATTTCCCTTGGTGTCCACATTGATGGTTACACTTCACAGGTCTCACATTCAGTGGTAATCTACCCTACCCAGGACGGCGAAGATGGGTCTAAAAAACCTGCGGGTCCCTTGCTGGGAGGAAAAGCCGATGCTTATGCCGCCGTACACATCGCCATGGAATCGGTTGTGTCACTTTTGGCTTGCGCTTTGACACCTGAAAAAATCCCACAGTCTCTTCCAAATAACGGTCAGGTCACAGGTCACTTGATCCGTACCGTCGTAGACACCATTGCTGCCTCATATCACTGTGCTGTTGTGCCTGGATCCAAAGTTCGTCGTGTGAGAAGGTTTTTGGCCGGTCAAAATGAGGGAATCGTTGCCGAAAGAGAATACAAAGGTGTTGCCTGGTACGAGTCGCACCAGGAGTTGGCTTTGCTACAAAAATCTGCCGAAGACACTCAGGACTTGGTCAAAGTTCAACCATCGATCCGTCACAACTCTTCTGCCGTGCCGGTTGACGACTTTTCCGTCACTCCTGGCGAAGCATACGCTATCGACATTCAGATGGCCCCACTAGATGGTGTTTCTGCTGGCCTGGTAACGCTGGAAAATGCCGACAATTTTTCAGGAAAATCGCACAAATCTGACCAGCTGATCGCTAGACCTGGCGCATATGTCAGAGACTTTGCTCACTCGTACACTTTGAAGCTGAAATCTTCCAGACACCTTCTGGGTAAGATAGACAGACAAGGTGTTTATCCTTTCAAACTTTCGCATATGAGCGAGACTTTCCCAATCGACGTGGCAGAAGCCGAACAATCTCAAATCGAAGCCATTTCCAAGGAACTGAAATCTTACAGGCTTGGTATGAGTGAAATTTTGAATAACTTCTTAGCCATTCCCAACCCGATTCGCATCGCCAAATGCGTTCCTTGGGAGAAAATTCTTAATACTGCCAATCCAGCGGGGAACCATGGTATCGACGCCGCTGAACGCTCCCTACCTGGACAAGAGCTACCGCTACCTCGTCTCGGAATCTCCTCGCTCAAACTAAAATCTCTTCTGAAACACGCAGTCTCACTTCCCGTTGTTCGTCAAAGTGCCACTGTTGTGCTGTGCACAGCAGACGTTGTTTCCACGGGAAAATCAGAGCTTCTAAGGCTGACTGGCGGAAACAAGACCTGTCCTCCTAGCTGGGTTCATTCCGTCTATCAATTGAACAAAGAAGACTCTATTGTACAGGGCATTTTCCAACTAGCGGAATTAACCAAAGACAAGAGATTCGGTTTGTCAATCAGAGAGACACAACCTTTAAAGAAGGACACCACCACCTCCGGCTTCATGATTCCTTCTACACAGGACATCGACATGGCCTGATCCAATAGCATCGACCATTGGGCCCGAATATGTACACTAAGTTATAGATCTAAACAGATTTTTGAGCATCTACCATCCTATCAAGATTGGTATATCGACTAAGAGGGACGTCGACAAAACGCGGCCTGTGTACTACTTATGGGGAACGAAGCAATTGTCTACTCAGTTCCACATACCGAAATCACAAGATTACTCACAAAGAGGATTCCGTCCAAAATTTACCACGTTTACTGTCTTGTTTTCAACATTAGACGTTCTACCATGTAAATACCTACATATATATACATATATATATATATATATAGATAGGATATCGAATGAAAAGTTCCCTTTACCTTCAACACACCACTTTCCAGTAAAATAAAACAAAGAAGTAGGACATACAAGATCCGCTAATCAAGACTGCAGTTCAGCATTATCTCGCATAGTGTCCTTATTGTTTATATTGTATATTCACTGTGTTTTACCTTTACTTTTATATTTGAACATATAAGTATTAGCCGCCGAGAAATGTCGACGTTAACGGAAACCGAAGCTACGGGTCCATCGTCAATCATAAATGTCGACGAGCTTCAGAACTATGGAATCAACGCTTCTGATTTACAAAAGCTCAAGGGAGCAGGGATTTACAGCGTCAATGTATGGAGAAATTCCCATGAATACAATACCCTTTTGAATTGTTTCGATTGAAAACAACACAAGAGTCACCTCATTTACTAACACCACGAACAACGTTTTATAGACTGTACTCTCTACCACGAGAAGAAATCTGCTCAAGATCAAGGGTCTGAGTGAAGTGAAAGTGGAAAAGGTGAAAGAAGCTGCGGGCAAGATCATACAAGTTGGCTTTATCCCAGCCACCATCCAAGCCGATATTAGAAGGCGTGTGTTCGGTATCTCAACCGGATCCAAACAACTCGACAGCGTTCTGGGTGGTGGTGTTATGACAATGAGCATAACTGAAGTTTTTGGAGAGTTCAGATGTGGTAAAACTCAGATGTCACACACCCTCTGTGTTACAGCACAATTGCCACGAGAGCTGGGTGGCGGAGAGGGAAAAGTGGCTTACATTGATACAGAAGGAACCTTTCGGCCGGAGAGAATCAAGCAGATTGCTGAAAGATACGAATTGGACCCTGAAGCGTGCTTGGAAAACGTGTCGTACGCGCGTGCTCTTAATAGTGAGCACCAAATGGAGCTCACTGAACAACTGGGGGCCGAATTGTCTTCGGGTGAATACAGACTTTTGATTGTTGATTCCATAATGGCCAACTTCAGAGTAGATTATTGCGGAAGAGGTGAGTTGAACGAAAGGCAGCAAAAACTCAATCAGCATTTATCAAGACTCAATCGAATCGCGGAAGAGTACAACGTCGCTGTCTTCATGACTAATCAAGTGCAGTCCGATCCCGGTGCATCGGCACTTTTTGCAGGCGCAGATGGCAGAAAGCCTGTAGGCGGACACGTATTGGCTCATGCCAGCGCGACTAGAATCCTGTTGAGAAAGGGTCGTGGTGATGAAAGGGTAGCCAAACTTCAGGATAGTCCAGATATGCCTGAAAGAGAATGTGTTTACACAATCGGGGAACAAGGAATCACGGATTCCAGTGACTGACGCAACAGTCCCGATACTTTATGAAAAGATTAAACCTTGATTTGAATTTTTGCTTCTATTTCGTTCAATATTCGTCATACCCGAACCTGTCGGGTAGAACCATTGGTGCCACCAACGTCCAGCCGTAAAGACCATAGCAGATCCAGGCACTTATTATTTTAACCCACGAATAAAAATAGGTCCTTCCCACGGGAATGAAATCGCCTACATCGTCTTTGGTAACATTGACGGTAAGTAGAATAGCTATCCATTGTGTAGCCAAGAAAAAAATAATGTGAAACAACGAGTAGTTGTACTTTGTTGAGATACGCTCGTCATCACCATTTTCGCCTGTTTCGTGGGAGGTATTGGCCCATGCTGTGTCGTTGAGTGCACTTTCCGGCAAAACACCCTCCTCGACGGCTTGTCTAATGGCTTCTATCCGGAGCTGAGTTCTGCTTTGTCCTATTCCTTCGTAAGCTATTTCGTCGTCGCCATCGAGATAGACATGTTGTCCGCTAGAGTTGAAAGCAGAATTAGCCGCAGCACGAGTTGTGGTATAAGCTATCGCCACGAATGTGAAGAGAGAGCCAAGAACAACACTGAACTTACGCGTACGATCGGATCTCACGAAAGGGTTGCACTGCCGGTCGTCGGGCTCAGAAGCAAGCGCACTCATCGTCAGATACGTCCCGTAGATGGCCACCATACTACTCTGAGCCAAACCACATTTGGGATTGTACTCTTGAACTTTCGGATGTATTGATAGTCCTGTTGTGATTATGCTGAGTAACAAGTTTACTGTCACAGATACCTGATTCATTGTGCAGTTGCTTTGGCAGAACATGATGTACATTGTGATTGTCATGGCCAAAGACCCCACGTACATGCCACTAGTACCAATGACTAGGAATTTCTGCCATTTTGAAGAGTTCTCGTTCTCCATTTCAACGTGCTGAATGCATTTCTCAGCCCATTCGTGGGCAAAGTCGACTAAAAGAACCAGCCCGATCAAAATGAACAATGATCCCGATGGAACAGACACCCATTTGGAGAAGAAAACGAAAAAGCCGTTGGGGATTGTGAATGACACCACCACGAGCAAAACGTAGATAAGAAGTTTCACAGGCCACCATGAGTTTTGCAACGAAGCTCGACCATCTGTGGTCGACTTTACGTTCACCATGAGTGACGAAAGCAGCAGGTGCAACAGGCCCAATGAGAAGTTAAGACGATGAACCGTAAAAAACCCACATTCCCCTGTTGAGGTACACGACTTGCCACGCCACAGAAAAGCGTAGTTTGAAGACATAGATACCCAAGACACCAGTGAATTTATCAGAAGTAGCACTGCGTAGTTTAACCTGGTAGCTAAGGAGCTAGAACCACCGCTCAACGATTTGAAAGCCGAGACCAACGCTGTTGACGACAGTGACCCTACTAGCGATGCAAAGAAGGAAGCTGCGGCCGTCGAAGCGGCTATTGGAAGTGATAGTAGGACTCCCATATCCTGGGTTCTCTGTTAAGAATGGTTTCTGGATTCAAAGGATGGTTTTCAAAATCTAGTTAGATGGACATTGATTTATATATGTATATGTGAAGGATACTGATATTAATATAAGTTACGTACATAATGATACATATAAGATATATATGGATAGAATGAGTTGGGCGGCTAATGAGGTTTACTTATGGGTATCACAACACAAAAAGATCCAATATTGAAGGAGCTTTGTGGGTTCCGTGATGAGCTTTCATGACAGCTATGGTAACAAGTCGCTGATTTGTATTCAATCATACCCTGGTTGGTCTAGATTATGGGTTTTGTAGGAGACTCCTTCCGATTTTAGATGTTTGGAGCTACGGGTTCGCACGCGGGTCTGCTTCAATTAACAACGGATAATCACAGATGATACCGTCAGTTGAGCCTTTTTCGCACAGGAACTACAAGAATGGGCCAAGTAGCTTCGGAAATTGGGGAATTTTTAGTGAACTTTGTGATTCATTTCTCCCTAGGCTCGTTAGCCACTTGAATGATCACAACTGTTGAGAATATGTGATGAATTCATAAACAGGATGAGCTGCAAGTCAGGATATATACCAGTGGATATTTTGATTTCTCTGCGTTAAACGTTGACCAGTTTTGACAGAATGAGGCTTACAAGCTGGGAAGTACATTAGCATACTCCGCGCAAGAAACGGCTTGCAGTTGGGAAAAAAACAGTTGCAGCGCTTGTGTTTGATGTCCAGTGACGAAAACAGCCCTAACGCGAATGGGCTTAGCTTACCCCATCATTTGAGTCAAGAAGAGAAGAATGTTGACTGCCAAGTCCCCGAAAAATTGCGTCTGCGACGCTTTTCTTGGCATAAAAGTGTTCGAAAGCGAAAATCTCATATGTACTCTACTCTATGATTGAAAGAGCTCAGAAAGGAACCACCCTGGCCGGTAATCTCAGGTATGAATCTTTTTACGCACCCGCTACCCAATGCAGGTCATCGAGGGCAAGGGATTTCTTAAGAACTCAGCTGGGAATACCATGGTGCAAACCTGTCGGGAAGTGTAGATTCCGAGAAGACCGCTTTGCTGCTTTGTGCTGTGAGCGATTGATTTACTATGCCCACCTATCGAGTGAGAAAAATAACTTTTATTACGAAATAGAAGAGTTGACATTATATCCCTGTGAAAGCGTTGCACGAACCAACAATGTCATGAGTTCGAGTTATGTAGTGGTTCAGTTGGGCTCCAGAGTAATTCGAATTGGACACTGTGGTGATCCAGAACCACTTCTCACATATTTTTGGCCCATTGACCAGGCCTACAACGAACGTTTGACTACACGTTTATTTCGGCAATGGGTCCAAGATCCCTTGATGGTAGACTGTCGCAAAACGCATGTCCTAGTAGTTGAAAATGTGCTTCTTCCCGTAGAGACCAAAAAAATGATGGCTCGGATCTTTCAGGAATTGTGCATCGCTGAGGTCATCTTTATTCCAGATGCATTGATGTGCTTAGTGGCCGCAGGGCTAAGAAACGGCTTGGTGATTGACGTGGGTTGGGAGCATCTACTGGCAATTCCAGTAGCAGATCTCCGAATCCTGGACTGCGGTCTCGAAATAAGCACCAAAGGTGGCCACTGGCTGGCCCGCCAGATTTCCTCTGTTATACGTACTGAGCCGTCTGACTTGGACGAAATCGTCGAAACTGTGCTCTCAAAAACCTCAAAGCTCTCAATTGAAGTCAGATCGGTACAGAAAAAGCTTATTGAAGAACTGATAGGCCAAGACAACGCGAGTGATTTCGACTCGGACGAGTTTCCAATTTTTGAGCTCGTCTCATGTTCCCACGATAGCTTGCCTATAGATGTCCGGAAATCAATAAAGAAGCACGTTGTGATGTCAGGATTGGCTTCTCGAGTTCCTTCACTCAGGGCGCATTGTGAGATGTTATTGCAAGACTTTTGTTTTCTAGACACTTTGGGTCCTTGGATAGGCGGCAGTTTATATTTCGAACAGTTGCTTCGAATAAGTACGGAGAGAGACTGTGAGCTAAGTGAGCTTGTTCCAAACGACTGGCATGCTCAGCGATTCAAAGTTTATAAATGAAACATATCTTCAAAACATATGCGATTTGCACCTTTTCTACACGGTCCATGAAGAAAGTATTGGTAATCAGATGAACTTATTCGTTTTCAGCGGCTGCTGAATCAGTTTCCTGTAAAAATCGGGCCCAAGGCCTGTTTGTGAATTCGTTGCGTTCCTGCAGCAAGGAAAAGTAACCTGATCTGTCGATTCCAAAAACATAGTACAAGAACCGGTCAAACGCTTTCAGCTGACCTTCCTTCTCCTTAAGTTCCAGATTTCTCTCGAAACCAGGGCTTTTGCGGTCAACTATTCTCGAGATCTCATCCTGAAGCATGGCAAGACAAATTCCTTCGTAGTCATCATTTTCAAGTCTTCTCTCGGGATCGCATTCGCGGAAAATAGGTGGATAGTCCACACTTTTGGGAAGTTCTTTCGCAAGAGGTCCAAAATCCAGTATTTCATCATCAGAAAGTAGCTTAACGTCTCTGAGATAAATTGGAACGAATAGCTTCGAATCATCAGCTACCGATGCAAATTTAAGTGGCCGCATTGGTCTCGATCTTGGCGTCTTGATTTCAAAGTGGATTCTAGGAGAGGACCAGTTATGCTTATGGTGTAATGCTTCCGGTTGTCGCAAATAAGCGACCAAATCTTTCACATCCAGATCAACAGATGACCTCTTGGATGAAACATTTGGGTGCATTGCTTGAAGGTCTAGCTCTGCCTTTTTAACACCACTGGATTCCGATTTGGCACCTATTTTCATGCGAATGCTTGAATTCACCTCGAGGGTCGCATTTTCATCAGTAGCGGAAACGGCCCGATGATGCCGCTGATACGCTTGACTGGTCATCGCAAGAAGTTCAGACTTTTCGTTAAATTGTGATTGACTCAATGTCAAACCATCAAGACTTGAGGTCCCTAAACCCAAAAACCAGTGAATTATTGTCGTCATTTCAACTATGGTGACGTTTTACGTCCAACTCTACTTTTTTCCGCGCAAAAAGAACCATCAGGCTTATCCAGAGGAATCATAAACTATCCAAGTCTCTAAAAGCTCATTTGTCCAGTACATTGCCTTGTGACATCAAGTTTTCGATGTAATCTTGCAAGTAACGGTTTTCGTGCGATAACTGATCGCACTGTTTCCTCTGTTCGTCAGACCGATTTACAAGGAGCTCTAACGTATCACGAAGTAGCTTGGTTCGGTTTGGAATCTCGCTGTTCACACCGAAATCCGTATCACTACCAGTTTGTATCTTATCATCGAAGTCTTGAATATCTGGTACATTACCAGTCCCTTCTGCCATGTTGTCACTGAGATTGAAAATGAAAGTGTTAAAGCAAACAAACCTGTAGAATTTTCAAGTCTTAAGTTTACTCCGCACACCACGCAACCGATAGTTTATGCTTTTAGCTTGACTGCAAGGTCGTTGATACGACTTGTTCCCGTTGAGCTACATGTCCAAGCACACTTTTGTCAATGAAAAATATAATATGGTCTCTAGCGGGATCGAACCGCTGATCCCCGCGTTATTAGCACGGTGCCTTAACCAACTGGGCCAAGAGACCTGAATTGAAATTCCCAAGTAAAATGTGCTATATAATGCACTAAAGTATCACAGGATTCAGCTTTTCACTCAAATGGGGTCCTTAGTTTTCTTTCATGTCTTCAATGACACCTTTACCGGTGCTGGTTGACTGAAGTATTTCAAAAGATGACACTTGCATTCTGATATATATACTTGATTACATGAGTTTAGAAAGGTTCTTGGTCTTCGACCGTTCATTTCGTTGGTCCACATTTTAGTCAATCTTGATAGACGAGTAGATTCTTCTCACAAACCACAGGCTGCTCAAGAAGCCAATTGTACCGGTAATGAGGCATGAAAGCAGCGAAATCAACAGCGAGTAGCCTAGGTAGAGCACTATCGTAGTCAACCCACCAAGTCTAAATTTTGTGAAAAGGATGGAATGGACAAACATGTAAGTCGCGCAACCAATGCCCCCAATCCAGAATCCTCTCCATTGCCACTTCCAGTTTTCTAAACATAGGGAATAGTAAGTTAGCATAACGGTGACCAAAGAAGTTGTCAAAGTGAGCAACAGGAAAGATACGAACAAGAAACCGAACATGTAGAAGATCTTATTAAACCACAGACTGGAATAAATGAAATAGAGCTCCACAGCGATTGAACCAAATGGAAATATACCGGCGATCAAAGATGCAGGAATGGTCTTGAGATACCACGGCTGGAAGGGTATTTGTCTGGGAATTTGTTTGGTTTTGGTAGGATGCTCATCCCAATGACATTTCTTGCGAGCTACGAACGAACCCACAGCAGACAATGGCAAAGAAAAGATGAACCAAAGGGCTAAAATGGCACACATGGTACCGAACGGAAGAGCACCAGCGGAGTCAACAAAAATTAGGAAAAAGTTTAGAGCGATCATCACGCAGAAAATGGAGCCTGGGACTAGTAAAGGCGTCAGAAGCATGTTTACTTTCCAGTATTGTCCTCCAAAAAACTTGTAAGTGGCCATCGAGGTATAAGAACCAAAGAGACCAAAAAGGGCATAGAGAATGAACATCACGGTAGCCAATGACCCTCTTGAAGATGGAGATAAAAGTCCGAATAGAGCAAATGCAATGGTGCAGGCTGCCATCAAAAACAGCTGTGCCCCCGATCCGATAAGGACCGATAATAGCAGAGATCTTGATGGAGTGCGGAAGACATCGCCATGAACTAACTTCCAGCCGGTTTCCTCTTGAAAATCATCGTCCAAATTCAATTGGTTGTAGCGGGACAAGTCGTCTCTGAGGGTGCGGTACAAACTGTGAATCATCACGGAAGATAGTAGAACCACTACTAGGGAGAAATTGACCAGCGAGTACCACTGAATTTTAGGATCATAAACATGCAAATATTTGTCCCATCTCGTGGCCCATGCTGTGGCGGAAGCTTCAAAATGAACGGAGTAAGAAAAATTGACCTCGGTTTCCTGCTCTTCTGATAGCTCCAATAGCTCCCCTGTTGGAGCACATGAGTCAGAAAGAGATCTTTTGATGGAGACAGGGTTCACAGTGACTCCTACCACTCTGTAGTCCCCATTTCCACGGTCGTGGTATTCGATCTTGATGTCGAAATGGTTAACAAAATAAGGTGTTTCGATCTGTTTTACCATCTCCTTAGTGTTGACAACGTTCTTTCTTTTTGTGAGCTTGTGTGAGTTTGCAGGAGGCGCTTCCAAGTAGTCACCTTCGGAAACCGGGTTAGTGTGAGGTTGCGACTCTGATTCACTGGAACTCGAACCCTGTCCGCCCATTCTCAATTTGGAACCGCCCACATCGACCAAACCAAGCTCGAAGCCCGGTGTGTAAAAGTCTGATCCTGTTCTTCCATCATGTGAGACACGAGCTGCGGGCAAACCGTCAATAAGCCAATTTTGGAAAAATCCGTTGCGGATCAGTTTGTTCACAAATTTTGCGTCTTCGGCTGGGATTTTCTGCGAGCAGAGAGTAACACACTCTTTTTCTTCTAGCATTTCAATTTGGAAAGGCGAATTGTAAATCCTATCACCAAAAATGATCGAACCTAGCGATTCCCGCTGTTTTTCCATCTTTTCCGGCCGACAAAAATGGAGCTTGTCGTAGTAGTAATCGTAGGAGTATAAAAACGACTCTTTGTCGCCCAGATCCTCGTCATTTTCACCTTTATGCTGAAAGTACATTGATGGCGTCAGATGGTTTACCAACAGTGGAATTTCGTCACCTTTATGATAGGTGGTAGGGGCCACTCCCGGCAGATAGAAAGCATCTGCCAAGGACAAAAGCCCGGCCGCAGCCACCATACAAGTTACCAGATTTCTCATAGAATTGAATACCACGAGAAATGGGGTATATAACGGTACGTTAGCCCTCGAGTCTCTACGCAAACTTGTTTCCGTTAGGCTCTGGTTAAAACGCTCATTGTTTTGTATAAATACGTAGAAAACCCGATCTTCGTCTTAGGTGATGGTATTCGTGAATATTACCGAAAAAAAGAATTAAGGACCCGCAGAGGGTTCGAATGGATGTCCGATTTTTTCACAATTAGACTTGCAGTAAATATTGTTGACAATGTTTAAGGTGTCAGCACAATGTATTAAGGGCACCGTAATGTTTTCAGCGCGTGTCTAACTGTAGCGGAGCACAATTCAGCTTTCTTTCTAGAGTTACGACGACTTGTTCAAGACCTAGTCTCAGATGAACAGGCTCACGTGATACAACGACAGCGACGGTGTTTACTAAAATAACCAAGCAAGCTCGACAACTAGAGACTGCAGCAATGGAGAATGACGCTAGCCCTGGTAATACCACTAGGTGCTAATTTCATCGTAGAGAAGGGTGCTTAAGATGCCGATGATGACTATTCATCTGCTTCGATCCAGCAACTAGGACGAATGATCTTCAACTTCTAATAAAGCATACTTCAAACCCGTGTGTTCCAAACTGAATAATAACATTTTTCAATCGCATGAATGTTTTTGTGAGCTTTGTCTCTCGTGAATGCTGATACTCTCAAACCTGTGACTCTATCAACCGTCTTCACATTGATCGCTGGCTCCGGAATGTTTAATCTTGCTGATTCTATGATTCTCTCACTCTCAATAAAGGAAATTACCGACTGCACTCAACGATAATCGTACCAGGACACCCTCGAGACTCAATCTAAATCTCGCAACGAGTTTCAACAGTTATCATACGGCATGTTAATAATAGGATGCGGCTCGATAAAGAGCTGTGGATTACGTTGCGAGGACCTGCCATTCTCGAAGGTATCAATGTAGTAGAACTTAAATTTCATGTGTGAAGCATATACTTTACTGACATCGTCATAGTTGTGCTATTACCTTGAATATGCGGGCAGAAACCAAATGGCATACCAATGCACCACAACAGCACATCCAGGGATAAAAACGGAACAGCAAAGGAAAGCCTTTAGAAGTACCATGAGCTAGCGGGCAGAGTTTACAAACCATTCTCATGCTCTTCCATTTTCATACCCGATACATCAATTTCGTCTCCTGAACTAATCGCCTCACATAGGGGCAAACCGTGCTCATCATCGTGGGGAAGTAAAGAACCATCCAAATACAACGAAGTCTAACTCTGGCACACCTCGTTCCCCAGTTTTGACATCGGAATGAGGTGTGTTAACGATTTTAGGGCTTACCACTTAGGGCTAAAACCTTCAAAAGTTCATTTCAGTCACATGATAGCATCGCGACCGAGCTTAATTACCATCTATGTTCACCGTGTGAGCCCGAAACTCTCTTCCAAACACAACTAGAGCCCCTACCGACTTTGCTGGCCCACAACTCAGCACTAAATCCCTATGCCGCTATCTTATGAGCGGTATATGAACTTGATTTTTCATCGGGACTCGGTGGTAGAACCTGTACCACAAGAAATCTCACGAAAAATTGTCTCCGGAGCTGTATCGCCTGTAGTGACCGTTACATCAAATGAGGTCCTAGATCAGCATATACAAGAGTGTTTTGGCCTCGATAGTCTTTACATGCTGCTCCGCCATTTTGGGGACTGTATTTCAGATAGGGCACAAGCTGATAACGACGATGTTGGAGCTACACCAGTAGAAGCACAGACCACAGGCGGGCTTTTAACAACTCCAAACGTACAGACTAGAGCGCGCAGTCGCTCCAATAGTCTGTTTCAAAGGTCTTCGTCGCAATTCATGCGGTTCACAAGACCATTAACAGATCTTATCGGCACTCGAGAATCTCACGACTTACTGTTCGACTACCACTCTCTTGAGGTGTTTTTGCAGCACTATTTGAGTCTAATTGAAGATAGAACCACTCCCAGTACACCCCATACTCTACTTCAGCATTCCTTATATCACAAGTTTTTCATAACTGCAATATCGTCGACCACACACTTATCCCCTTACGAATCGTTTAATCATCCCGTTGCGTCGCTACTGGCCCTGGATATAAGCAAGGATCAAGACTACGAAACTGCCAAAGAACTGTTAGTCTCATTCAAAAACATGCATAACCGTACACCACATTTTCCATCTTTCATCAACATCAGTGATGTACTACCCGTCTTCTTACTTTGTTACGAAGAGGATTCCCGCGAACAGTTTGAGAAATGCCAGTCTCTAGCTAAGATGCTTCAAAAGCAACTATTTGTTGAAAGCCTCTTACTTCCTTTGTGGGATAAAGATGAAAATGCGGCTAAGCGTGTGTTACGCTTGCCAGTTATGTCGTCACTCGAAGAATCAGTGCTTTCTACAATGAATGAAAAACAGTTCGAGCTTTCTCTTCCCTTGATTGAAACCATATACGACCGTCTAACAATCTTTTCGGAAGAATTGATGATACCATTCATGAAGCGCAAGATTTCGTTCTGGGAAGAGACTATCTTGCAACCTCGCAAATCCATCTTCCCTAACTCCAAATTCTTTCGGAAGCTCATGTCAAGTAATCCTGCCCCCACGGCTAACAACGATTCAGCGACTCATAACTATCAAGGTCTTGCTTATTTCGCTGCAACTTCTAATGAGTTCCTGTTAAGAAAACTAGCAGATTGGTCGTTTATGCTGTCCGATTTCAAGACGGCTTACTCCACTTACGAGTCACTTTCCAAAGACTTTGAGACCAGCCCAGAATATTTGGCATCATGTCTCGAGTGGTGCGCTCTTTCAGTGTTAATGGGTGCCCAAAGTATAGTTACCGTGAAGATGATAAAGAACGATATTGACCCACTGATAACCAGGGCACTGAAATCCTACGAGCTGTCAGCGACAAGGGCCAAGGAACGAAATGCCTTGATCGAAAGTAGCAGCAGAAAGGCCGCTGTATCAGGTGCAGCGCTGGACACCAAACCTAAAAATTCAGCGGAGGATCAATCAGTATCAACGCCATATCAGTCCGCACAAAGTTACGAAACAAGATGTATGCTTTTGGCAGCAGAGCTTTTCCTGAGCCTGAGTGATACATGGACAGCAACACCATACGCTATTAAGTACCTGGAGACGATTTTAGATGACTGTACCGTTGGCACTTTATCAGAAGTTGTGATTTGGGAAAGGCTTGCACAATGCTATGCTTCAAGAATTGATCCCAGAATCAAAAGCAAAAAGACCCTGGCGGACTTCCGTGGTGCCGATGACCTCGAGAAAGTTAATGAAGGGGAAGAGCTCTCTGATGCAGAGTCGGATGATGATGACCAACCTTACAATCACAAGATCGAACAGGATTGTGTGAGCGCAATTGGGCTCACGAGAAAGCGTAAATCTGCGTTATTTCGCTTGATAGCAGCAAAAAAATGGGTCGAGGCCAAGCAATGGCGGCAGGCATCTTGGACCTTCAAAGACGTAGAGTTGATGTATGCGGACACAGCTTTCGCGCTTAGAAAGACCTCAATACTGGACCGTCTACGAAATGAAATCCAATGTCATGAACCATGATCTGACCTCAATTGGTAGCTTCGTCAGCCGTGGTCTATTTTGATAAAGTATTAATATTATTACAAACCTCTGCTGTGTTTATAGAGAATGCGGAAAGGCTAGCTAGCCTTATTGATGCAAAACGTCATAACGTTATATGAATTTCATTAGTTTTTCGGGGGGAACCGTGTCTATCATTTCGTTCTCGTCGATACGTGGTTTGAGAAATTGAGAGTTTTCACCAGTGTCACCAAAGAAATACGAAAGAGCAACTGCCAGTGTTCCCAAGACAGCTATTGTTCCCATGGAGAGTGCAAGGCCAATCAGCACAACAAACCCTCTGTCGATTCGCTTTTCATCGTTTCTGTGATGAGACTTAGAGGATGTTGGTTCAGATGGACGCCCTCCACTGTTAGTAGTATTAACTTGTAAGGGACTCTGTAAGAAACCTTGATAGCTATCGGCTGAAGAGATATCCTTGTTTGTAAATATGACTGGAGGACCTTCGAAATTTGATGCCGTTGTAGCGGATGATGTGGTGAGAAATGGAAACCACTGTTGAGAATGGTAGATTACTGCGCTTAATGAACCGTAACTTTCGTGACGAATATCACCCGTGATAATTATAGCATTGGTCTCATTAGTAGTTGTGTACTCGGAGAAGTTTTGATGCAGAGGAAAAGCCTGAGCTCCTTCAAAAACAGAAGAGGTTTCGAATCCTGAAGATACTTTCGTCCAGCTTCCGTTCATGAGCTGATAAACATTGCGTTCTGAAACTGCAACGAGGTTGCTGTGGGATTCATCCAGGAATGCGAAGTCTTTTACTTCTTCATCTCCAGCTTTCACAACCTCGGATGAGCCATTGGTAAACGACAAAGTAACAAGACCGGCAGCACTTTGGTTGCCGATCTGCACAGATCCTGCGACAATAAGCGTGTCGTCGAAAGCCGTCATTTTATCGATGACGCCGGTCACAGAATTGTTAAGAAAAGATGACCATTTATTTTCGCGGTAATCAAATAAGCAAAGTCCGGAGCAAGCAGACTTCTCATCTGTGAAGTTTCCACCTACCAAAATCGATGTGTTTCCCTCCAAAAATATGAATGAATTGACGGAGGCTTCGTTGGACCAGGAATAATTTGCCAAAGGACTGTCGACACTAAGGTTTCTTAAAATGAATTGCGGTCCTGTGGTAGCATTCTGCAAGCCAATGGCCAAGAGAGATTCGTTCTTCAGGTAGGCCAAAGCTGAGACAGGATTTGGCCATTGATAGGGCAGGTTCTGGGTCTTGGTTGAGTTTTCCAGCTTAATCAATGTGTGCGTATTTGACGAATTTTGTGGATCATAGCATGCATAGATTGCGGTTGAATTATCAACGAAAACAGCATCGTATGGAAACATCCCTCCAAATGCATTCGATGAATTTGTGCTTGGGCTCGACTTGAGTGGAAACGAGAAAGTACCATCGAGCATGGTATACTGGTTCTTTATGATGTTTCCCTGCATCAAGGTGTCGTTCAAAGAGTTGGAACCTGCACTGAGAGCTGATAAGGCCAGCTTAGACGTATTGCGAAGAAGTTGCTTCGAGGTTACATCGACCACGAAGTTGTCATTGAAAATCAAGGCTTCCTCACCATTTAGGGTAATGTTGGCTATACGTGAAGCTTTCAAGTTACCTCCGAAAAAATCAAATACTGTGCCATCGGGATTCAAGGCGATTGCCGTTGTAGAGTTATCAAATTCCCCGATGACAGCCAGGCCATTAGAAAAAGCTTGCACTGAGTCAATTTTCTGACCGATGCTTCTTGAGCGAATCTTAGACGACTCTAAATTTTCATCTAGGTGAGTTGTTATCAAATCACCTGTGGAGGTTAATAGTACAGCTGTATCTTCCAATCTATCAATGAACATGTTCGCATGTTTTGGAAGCGTCGAGCTTGTTGTTAACCCCATCAGATTGGCGCTAGAATTGATTCCTTGGCTGTAAGATATTACCTCTGATTGGGTCACATTGTATTGCATCAGACCGTTCAAAAGATTGTGGTCTTTAATGTCAAACACCGAGCTATCATATGCTTTAGAAATAACCTCGACTTTTTCAGCGACCATAACAGAACTATCAGAGCTACCAGCACTCTTGAAAACCACTGTGATGTTCAAACTGTCATCGAGAGGCCCCGAATAAAGCGTGTCATACTTTTCGTATGCATTAGTTTGATAAATGTCAAATGTGGAAAGGACTGTATCATTTTTCTGGGAACGCACTGTTGCATTCACAACGCCTCTTGACTCACAAGAATTGTCAGCCGTACATCCCGGTGTCAACAAATTGACCGTGTACTCACCGGGATATGCAATGTCGACTAAGTAGGTTACCCACGGAAGATCTTCACTACTGTCAAAATCGGTGTAGACATAATTGTCTCCCTGTGAACTGGACTGCCATACAGAAGTACTTGACAGGTCAGATTTGAACATGGTGGTTGCACCGCCGCAATTGGGAGCGTTGTTTGTGTCGTTAGCATAGACAGAAATTTGATCTTCATAGAGCTCGAATGACTTGAGCCCCGCGCTTGAGCCGTAGGAGTCTAGGGAACTAAATTTCAAGCTTGTAATTGGAACTTCGTCAACGAATGCAAAGTCTTGATACGAGTCAGACCATTCTAGCGTTGTTTGGTTTCCCAGGAAATAGGTCCTGTCGGCACTAGAACTGCCGGAGGATAGGGCACTTAGATTATTAATGGGATACAACGGGCACCAGGCATCACAGAAAGACAAATGGCCACTTGAGGGGTCCAGGTAGGTTAGATTCATAATGCCATTGGAAGGCGAAGTGATAATGCGGAATAGCGACACCTGCTCATCATCCACAGGAGAGTTATAAAGACGAAGTTTTGATAGTCTCGTCCTGGCGGCGAGAGTCACATTGAACTCGCCTTGTGCACTGTTGCTTTCTACCCAACCTGTGCTGTCGGAGGAGGATGGGCAGATTAGCTCTTCTTTTTGCAAAATTCCCGTGGAGCTCCATTCCGCATTTTTAAGAGAAAGAGGCTTACTCAATTCAGGCACAGTCACATTTGTATTGGTGGAATTCGAGCTATTCATTAAAGCTTTAGAGTTTTCGACTGCAGAGAAATTTCCTGCAAAAAAAAGTGTTTGATCATTCCAGGGTAAGATGGAGTTGACTATTGAACCCAAGCCGAACCCTCCAAAAGGTAAAAGTTCAACCTCATTTCTTTCGTAGTCCCAAGAAACCACAGAATGTACAGTTGCATTGACGCTCTGGTATTCGAAATCTCCGCCAAAATACGCCTTTCCGCCCACAACTGTGATGGCATTTACCTTTGACAACGTCTGGGGAAAAATCTGACGGTATTCGATCGTGGAAAGGTTGAGGACCAACTGATGGTCTAATTGGTGGCCCAAGATAGAACCTGTCCCGCTGAGAATAAATGAATCGGACTCCAGCGGTACTATGTGCTCTATATGGAAAGTCTCGTTGTTCTGGGCCGCATAAAGCTCGATAAGTGTGTCACCGGAAGAATAGATGAGCCTTTGGTCGGTGGTGTTGGTCAATTCACCGGTGAAGTTGTTTTGGCCCGAATACGTATAGAAATTGAGATCTTGGAAGTTGCCCAGCAACTGTACTTGGCCATTGACACTTTCTGAAAAGTCTAATTGAGGCTGCTCGATGACCTTGATGTTCAATGCACGTTCAATTTGTTCCAATTGCGCTGCACCACACAATTTCGAACTGGATAGGATCACACTGCAAATGAATGCTGCGATGAGGCCTCGCATTTTTTTGAACTATACTTGCTCTAGAAAACTCAATTGAAGAGCTTTGAAAAAGGGTGTCGAAACCTTTAGAGTCCTCAATATTCCAGCAAAATGCTAAGAAGGAAAGCTGGTCTTTTTTTGTTCCTAATCAAGAGCCAGAGTAGTCCTAGTTACAATTGACCGCTGAGAGTTCAGTCTCGCTATGGTTAACCGAAGAGACTGATCACTATTATATTTCAATCGAAGGTCAAGTCCTGGGAATGCTAAGTTCACTTCTTGACCAACGGTTCTTCGATGAGTTTACAGGTTCACATCTGCATTCTTCGAAAAATTTAAGCTGATGCCAGATTCACTCAAATGGTTAATTGTAAATATGATCTATCCACTAATGACACGAATTTCCAAAGTGATAAAACAGCTCGAGATGACAGAAACAGTCAAAGTGACGTGGAATTTGATCTGGCATCTATCAAGAAACACTGAGTGAACAGAAACATGAGCTTCTTACTTGACTCTGTTGGTCTGGAGTGTTGGTGTGCTTGTGCTTGTGTGTGCCATGAGTGAAGGCAGTTCAAATAAATTATGATTTATTAACAATAACTACTGTGCCTCTATAAATTGTAAAACGTCACCCTTGACATGAATAATTTATACGGATGCTTACTGGGCGTTAGCTAGAATGGTGGTTTGTTCGTTCAATTCCAACCAGAGGTCGTTAGCTTGAAGTAGTTTTTCAAAATAGAGGGAAAAGGAACCGGGCCAATTATTGGTCTCGCGACAGAATATTATCTTAAATACTACATTACAGTTAAACAACACTATTTTGGAGCTCTTGATGGAAGTCATACCATGATCTGGTCAGTCGCAAGCGTCTCATATAAGTCTGGTCGCACAGAGACTTTGCTCTTATGTTTACGAAACCAGAGAAACTTACCACATTCGTGATTTACCAAAAGATCGAATTGACGGCACGAATCTGTTTAGCAAACATTGAAGCACCAAGGACTGTGCTTACTCAAAACTTCTAGTGGCTACACCATCTGCAATAGCACTTTTTTTGACAGCTCGTCAAAATTTCGACGTACTGCTGAGTGTTTCTCGTATGTCAAGTAATTGGCATTTCACTGGTCGGTTAATATGTTGAGCATATGAGAAACAACGATTTGGAGTTTCTGAGGTGTTCAACTAGCGATTGTTCCAACAGATCAAAGTTATTAATGACTTCATTAACAAAATACGATTTTACAACTTTTCGGGCCACAAAAGTTCGTCTCTTTGGTAATTGCCATTTGGTCTTATGCATTAACCTCAATTACTCATCTCTTTTTTCTCTTTCCCTCGTCTTTCTCTCTTTTGCCCCTGATCTAATCCCTATCGGACAATGCGGTATCTCGGAAGTCAGGTCTATGTCTCACAAACGCTTCCTTCATGCTGCTCAAATTATTGCATGACCAAACGACAGAATGATTTTCCATCTGGCGAACTTCGTCAATCATTCCGAGAACAGTTTCGGGACTAAGACCCTTTGCATAAGACATGCGTTCAACCCATTGCACAAACGCCTTTTTCTTTTGGAAAGTGCGCTTCTTTCTGAAATGTACGAGATTTCGCTTTCCGCAATCCTCCACGAACGCATCGATTTGCGGTTGAAGCGACTGATAGTACTCGTTATACATACCGTAAATCGAGTCCTGATCGTTGGCCATAACAATGGCTAATTTCCCGTCTTCGTCCACATAATAATTTTTGCCTTCCGATGTGACGGGCGGCTGATACATTTCTCCCTTGGTAAGAGTAGCGCCCATGAACTCCCTGAATTTATTGCGTGGCTTTTTGATCGCAGATCTGGCACTGCCGCCTGTATTGGAACCACCCGATAGACCTGCCGCCATTAATGGAGCTGACAGCTGTAATTGTGACGTCTGAGATTTCCCCTCTGCACTGAAATCCGTCGCTCCTTCATTAGCAGTGCCAGGATCTTTTAGCTCAAGGTCATTGTCAAAACGAAATGCTGTCGTTGACGAATTGTAAGGTAGTCCGGTGTCAAATGTGGCAGCAGGGTGAGACGGGAGATCCAATTCTATTTTTGTAGTCTGGCCTATGCCATGTACGTCAGACGTATCCATGGGTGATGCATGTCCTAAAGCTATATCACCGGGCAAGTTTTCTGGAAACGGTGGCAGTCCAATTTTGGGAGATGACGGAGATGGAGTTTTAGGCACGGCATTACCCATACTATTCTTGAGAAATGTAAACTGGTATTTGAGATTTCTCAAGCTTTCAGAAAGAACATTGTTTTGCCGCCGTAGATCAACGTTTGCGGCCCCCAGAGATTGAAGTTTTCGTGAGATTTCGGGGAGCGCATGCGAAAATAGGTGATCTAGACGTTGTTGTTGATCTGCGTCTCGATTTGTAGGTTGGGTCGGCATTGGGAAAGATTCCTGGAGCTCAGGTAAACCTGAAGGAAAAGGTGATTGGTGTACACCATAAAATTGATGTGACGATTGTTGTGCTGGCACGACTGGGATGGATGGTGATTGATTTGACAGGTCCAATGGCATGTAATCCGGAATTCCCGTGTTCCGTTGGCTCAAATACTCAGGCGCCATATAAGGTAAAGATGTGACGGTGCCAGGGTTTTTAATGGAAGAGACCACCAAGCCCTCGAGTTGGTTATCATCCAGCGGTGTCCAATTTGGATTTTCGGCCTCTTCATCGGATTGGTTTGTGTAAATGGCAGGTTTCTGCGGAAATAAAGCCATTTCGAGATCCTGGAGAAGCTTTAGCGCTTTGAACGCCTGGTACAACGTTGCCGTGTTGTACCCGTATTCGTTCCAGTTTGCGGTTAGAAATGCAACGCCTCTCTTGGTTGTGACGATAAAACGGTTGCTACGCGTGCCTCTGGGGTCTTGTTCTATCGAGAATGACCACTTGAAGTATCGCAGAATGACTGGAATGTACATTGCCGACAGCACCTCTGCCGGGTATGCCATGAGGACCTTGAATATGCTGTCGATGTGCAGCAGACAGGTGTACTGCGTTCGGTAGCGCGATTTGGCGGCCTTGTAGCAGTCATAAACGCTTTCGCGACCGCGCATTTGCAGCAGGGTGTTCCACAGTGTTTCCTGCAGCAGAAAAAGCGTTGATTCGACCAATTCCGGTGATTGGCTATGGACCGGTTCGTTTTGCACTGTCTGAGCTGCGGAAGGCGATGGATCTGAGATGACGGCGTCATTTTGACCGGTCTGCGTGGCTGGCGTCACGCTGGGTTGTGAAGTAGGCGATGTTTTCAGGTTTGAAGTACTTTGCTGCATTTGTGGTATTGTCCAAATCACTTTTTGTTCCACTTGTATGCCACTCCTCGTCAACCAAACGATTTTATCTGTACGTTTAGCGTTTTTTTCCACACTGGCTTTTCACAAGCTCTGTGAAACCTTATGGAACCGTGTGTAAAAGGCTCTTTTCGAAGCCTCCCTCTCGTTTCGCTTCGTTTCGCTTCGTTTCGCTTCGTCTCCGCTCTCTTTCCCTACTTTCGTTCTCTTTCTCTTTCTCGCTTCCCAAGACCCTTGATGCGTTCCGACCACAGCGCTATGCGCAAACTAAAGGAAGAAGTACACAACTACTAACTGCTATCAAACAACACTTTTCTAGCTACTATAAAATCCCTACTCTCAAGCCAAGCTTCCCCCGTTTGAACCAAAGTCCTTTAAACTTACTTATCTGGTCTCTTTATGAGAGCTTTAGTCTGCGTTTCTGTATCTTTTAAGCAGGGTTTTTCCATTGTGTTAATCCGGACTACTTATTTTTTTTTTGTGCCGCGCTAGTCTAACGAAGACCGTTGAGAATACACATGGTGAACAAAAAGAGACAATGAGACAAGATAACAGGATAACGAGCTATAAGACACGATGAAAGAGGGTTTAAACAGTCAAATTAAGTTAAATACTGAGAGTTAGAGACTCAGAATTGAAGTTCTCTTGATAGAATGATGTATTTAGCTATTTAGTTGTTGATCATATCTGTGATTTCATGAACTTTTTCAACGGCTCCTATATATCGTCAATAGCGGGTTATGCATATTTGTATGTGTATTGCTTGGTAACAGCGGCGATACAAGATTCGATGCATTTAAAAGAGGAAGCAAAGGGAACCCAGCGAGAAGAGGTTGAGGGAGGGACAAGAGGTTTTGAGGGTCATGAATCGGTGTGTAGTAACAGGCCAGATGCCGTAAAAACATGAAGTTGGATGTCTAAAACTCAATTTTCTTGTCAGTCCCGTGATCGGGTATAACGGTTATAGTACCGAGGCACCCCATAGGCACCCATGGGCACCCCAGTACTGCAGATTGAGTGATAGAACACTCCTCAACGTATTAGCCGACAAGACTGTTCGCGAAAGGTGTTCTTCAAGACCCTTCTTTCTTTGTGCGACCCGTTTTGTTTTTGGCTCTATCTGTGTTTATCTGTACTTATGCTATTTTACCCATTGCAGAGCATCCAAGTATAGCCAAGGTTCCTAGTAATTTTCCAGCTCTATCATCACAATTAGACAAGTAGAACTAGTAGAACTGGATCTTCCTGAAAATCACCCTGAAATTTCATGCTTCTTGTGCGACTGCACTTAACTTCCCGGAAACCCCTATCACCTCTTCGCTTGCTTCTTTCCGTTTTTGTTGAATATGCTACGTAATTCTTATCATTATATATGGATATCTTACTCGACTGCATCCACCATCTGTCTGTACTTCCTTTGAGTGTCCGCCATATCGAGGAAAATCTTGTACTTCGTGTTCAACAGCACGCGGTCTGGATGGCTCTCGGCACAAGGCTGCACAACCTTACCGCTGCCGGTCATGGTGTACATAACGTTCCACATGGTGTCTCCGTTATCCGAGGATCTACCCTTCATACGATCTTCCATATCTTTCTTCCATTTAGATTGGGCCTTGAAGTTCAGCTCAGATCCACTTTCCTCATCTTCGTCGAATTGTTCCTCCTGGACGTCATCTGGGGCAGGGAATGGGAAGCCCACAGTGGCAATCTGCGAAGTACTGGCGGTAGCAGAAGGGGCGGTGTAAGGAGACGGCAAATCGTCACCGCCAATACCTCCGAATTTCGCAAGGCTATTCTTAGGGTTGTGCTGGGATAGGTCCCCCGCTATGGAGGACTTGCGGCTCGCTGAAATGGCAGACTTGGCCCCGCTCTTGTCGAAACTTTCACTAGCCACGGCACCAAGTAGTGCGGAGCCAAACACAACGGCAGCATCGATGTATCTTGGAATAACGATCGGTAGACCTGTGCAGTCAGCCAATAGTCTCATCAGCAGACCGTTACGACACTGGCCACCAGACATGAAAATGGTTGACAGGTTGTGACCCGAGACAGTCATTTTCTCGACAATTTGTCTGGTTTGTTGGGCAATAAACTCACAAGCACCCAAATACATAAGTGCCAAATCATCAATCGAATTATCCATAGATTGGCCGATGATGGCAGCACGCATGGAGGAGTCGGCAATCGGAGATCTGTTACCGTGATAGTCACCGTAGAAGAACAGATGCTTCGCCAGGTGAACCACTGAACGAGCCTTGTTCTGATGAGCTAAACTTTCCAGTCTGGAATTCAAATAGTCAAATTTAGAAACGCTGGCAGCGTCGGCGAGCTGCGACAACTCCGTGTATGCGGGATGAGTGGTCAAGACGTGGGCTAGCAAAGCACCTGTGCAACTTTGGCCACCTTCGGCACACCAAAACTTGTTGGCCATGACGTCTCTGTAAGGTCCCCATACACCGTCAACAAAAACTGGGTCGCGAGACATGGCGATGTGACACGTAGAGGTACCTGCCACGGCAGCAAGACGACCGGTGGCGCGGTCGATGCCGACTTTTTCACGGTCGCTTTTCGCCAATGCAGGCAGCGAAACATCGGTTCTGGCGGCTACTGTGCCGACCCAGCCAGCGTAGGCATCGATGACACCGGAGCCAACCACACAATGGTTGGAAAGACCCAGTTCTTCGGCTACACTCTCGTCGATGGCACCGATGAACTCGCCGGCACTTAGGAAGTTCTTACCCTTGTTGTCGTTCTTGACGGAGCCTCCGATTCTACGGTAGTCGTCTTCGACCAACTCATCGAGACCGATTTGGTGGAAGAAATCGCGGGACCAACCTTCAGTGGAGCCCTCCACGCCTACGGGCAAAAGACCTTGTTTGCAAGCTGTGGAGCAGAAACTGCGGGTTTCTTTGCCGGACGCCTTGAACGTCAAGTAGTCTGCGAGGTCGAAAAACTTGCATTCTGCAAACTTGTTGTCTGGGAGATGGCCCTTGAGCCACTTGATCTTGGGAATTTCCATTTCCACGGACATTTGGCCCCCGACGTACTTGAGACACTTGTCGCCCGTGGCATTGATTTCTGCAGTTTCTTCGATGGCACGATGGTCCATCCACAGAATGATGTTCTGGTCGGTGTTGCTGAAGTCCGGCCCAACAGCCACTTCCTTGTTGGACTTTTCTTCCACCACCACGAGCGAGCAGGTGGCATCGAACCCGATACCGTGGATTTTTTCGCTGGGCACCCCGGAGTCCCGCACCACGGATTTCACACAGTGACACACAGATTGCCAGATCTCCTGCGACGACTGTGTGATAAAATTGGGTTTCAATTGCTGTCTTTGAATGGGCCTTTCGGCCAACGACAGAATGTTACCCATACTATCGATAATACAGGCTCTTGCTGAGCCTGTCCCGACGTCTACACCGACGTAGTACAGCATTTTTTGCTGTTCGAGCGAAAGACCGGTCATGGAATGAGACAACATTCTCTGTTGCGAGATGGAAATTGAGGTTCTTGATCTTCTGGATTGCATTGTGAATTTGTGGTAGTCTTTTATTAAATCCACTTGTGAGTTTCACCTTTGGAAAATTGTGTTTGTATTCTGAAGTGGAAATCGTATTTTTATTCTTCAGTGAATATAGTGTTCTGTACTTCAGTGAATATTGTGTTCTATTCTGTATAGTACTTGAGCTTATAGATGAGACCACCTTTAATTACTTCCACTAATTTAAACTAGACCTGAGGCTCCTCCTTATTGAAACGGTAGACACCCTTTTTTTGCCAATTGTTCAACAACTTCCTTCTTATAGTTCTCGAACCGAACCCAGATCATCTCGTTTTGGGTTACCCTAAATTGTTGTTGTCGACCTTAGCGATATGGATACCTCACTCACACACACTCACAGACACACACATCACACGCTCTTGCTCAGTGCGTCGAAACCCAGACTTTCTATGCGGTTACGTGTTTTTGCTTCAGCAAAAGAACCTGTTGGGCACCACATACGAGCCGTTGCGGGCACAAGTATTGTTAATGGCTAGCAAAGAAAGCACGCTTTTGACGTTTATCGCAAAGAACGCGGCGGAAACGCTAGAAATATGGGAGAGCAATTGCGGAATTGAGACGCTACTGTGAAGTGCGTGGTCAACAGTTCGAGGAATAGGAAGAATCAAGCCTGCGAAATATTGTCGTGTGCTACGAACAGGATTAGGTGCATCATTGTATACGTTCTGGTGAGGGCTCGAGCTTATGTGAGCATTATATGCGAATGCAATACTTGAACTGGACGCCAGGTCTGGCACAGAATTGTGAATGGTGATAGATAGGACACGTCACGTTGAATGAGACGCACACAGTGTTTGAAGACCACAACTACAGATAGCTTGGATGTTGTTGTGCGGATTGTAGCCTTCCGCTGCTATTGCCAACGCAGACTGGGCTGTCGTTCTGTACGATAAGAGTTTTCTCCGGGTATCACAAGAGGTGGAGCACCCTTGAGAGGAAGCCTTGCACGGGTGGTAATAACCAGTCATAGTACATATTCGTGAAGCTATTTACTAAACACCCACAGGGCTGAATGCTGTGGGGAGAACGTCTGGCGTCAGATCTATGACAAAGTGATCACGCACACGTGACATAAGATGACAGCGTCAGAATCCCAAATAACTACCGGTTTAACAAGAACGACGTCTATTTATTGAGACTCGACTACGCCGGCAGTGTTCGAGTTGTTAATCTGCTTCGTTTGCTCAGTCATGATTTGCTGTAAGTGAATGGTTATGGTTATGGATTCTACTTATCTCTCGGTGGCTTTCTTGGTTATCAGTTTGGTACATTCTGTTTGACCAAACCACGGATATTTAAACGAGTTTTGGAGCAACAATAACAAACAGTAGGTAACGTTCTGGAGCTCAGCCATTACTAAAGACTACTCTATAGAAGTCCTGGATTGCTTGCAAATTCTGCATAGCGTTGACATATTGTTAGCTTCATTGGTCCATTCACCTTAGAGCTTGATATGTCATTTTAGACTAGTATGTCATTTTCTGATTACGCAATTGGCACTGTACCATATAGTTTACCAATCCCAACAGTAATGCACCCGGGATACCTGAAAAGTTTTGACATCCGTTGGGGACCTTTTGTGCAGCCTACAAGCTCATCTCGAGGCACCACAGAGAGAAAACCCCGAATCCAATAGAACGACGATTTACATCTTACAGTAACGAATAGAATCACTCAAGATGTGGGACGTTTATCGTGCGACGTCACTTGAGAGACAGAGTTTCAACACGCATACAAACACATATCAACTTCGATCCCACAAACCTACCCCATTCAAGGCCGTTATTGTGATGTCTAGCATATGTCTGCGGGTTGCATTCCTAAATGGGTCTTGAAAATATGAAGAAAAACAGTGTCATCAGAAATATCTCATTTCCGTTCCAGTTGACTAGAGATTATCCAACGTATACCCAAGTCTACCATCCAGGTTATAAACGAGTCTTAACACACCTGCTCTTCAAAAAAACAATTGTCGTCTTATCCCTTTACTAGCATCCAATGACATACGCATTTCACTAGCAGAAATTGTCAAATCTTGAAAAAAGACAGTTATAATCAAGTATCTTGACGATCAGCGCTATAACTCATTAGAATGCCAGACCGGGAACTGATCATACCCCTAACAAAAACGATCCAGTTCTTGAAATCTACGTAAAACTAGTACAAACAAAACACTGCAACCGTGAATCCAACAACGTATTTCCATTGAAAGGCAGCCGCCACGTCTTCGTGAGTGATTTTTAAAGTCACATTACCACAAAGTGCAATTCAGTGAAGCGTAGCAGCTTCGCCCACAGATTTAATGACAAGTAACCCCACCAAGGCCCTCAACAGCCCAAAAACTACAGGACTCCTACCTTTTTTTCCCAGAGGAGTTACAAGGTCTTCGCTGTGTCACTGAAACTGCACATAAAAAAGCTCAGCCAAATCTTGGTCGTGGGAAATTCGCAGCATTATAATTGACACCGTTATAATTGGAACATCTAGTTCCAGCCCGAAGCACCTTTCATCTTCGTGAACACCCATAAGTGCAGCATTATAACGATGCAACTCGCAACACCACCCTCCGCCTTGAAGTAACCCACTATGAGAAACAGAAATCACGCCAATAACTAGCATAGAGCCCGAGATACATCTTCATTGAAGGTTGATACCGGTAAGGCAGTACCTAGGACCAAGACGACATGTGTCACGTGCCTGGAGTAACTAACCAAGAGTATCCAACATCAGTGTTGTACCTTGGCAACCACTCGAGCTCCTTCTCATCTTCGAGCATCAATTAAACTTCCTGTTACATGGAGCAATTTTTTTAATTCATCATGTAGCGATTATAGATAATCCTTAGTCCACCCAGTCTGAAACCTCCATACGACCAGTAGCATTATTGCGGTAAATGACTTGAGCTTTGAAGAAGCGTCCATTTGTGATTAATGATTATCTTCCCGACGTTTCCCCCAGCTCTCACTTACAACCAGGCCTGGTATCCAAACCTCTTTGCTGTACACCATTCAACGCCATGCTCGTAATATTCTTCTCTTGTCACACGCGAATCAAAGTAACTTTGAGTGCTTGCAAACTGCTTCATACACTGCCATCCAAATGTAGATTTATCGCCTCGTGGAACAAACACTCGGCAAGACCAATCGGTGGGACATTGCCGTTGTAATTCTGTGGCTAGACGTGATGCGAAATTTGGAATATTGAAATTCCCCCCAGTTACAGTAATGTTTCCGACCATAAGCGGCCGAAGGGCTTCGGGGAGCATAGAAACGCTTTCCAATATCGTTTCGATTATTCCCGGACTCAGTAAAGAAGCAATTTCGGGATGTAGAAAAGTCTCCGGAATAGAAAATAATTCATCTTGAAGGACGATGCTTTGCGAGTCCTCAGGTAGCTTTTGCCCTGGCTTTCTGAGATAGCCTTTAAAACTGGTGTTAAAATCCGGGAGCACATATTCTTTGGCCGTCTTGGATTTGGATTGAAAGCTATCGAAGTAAGAGTGCGGACTCATGAAAAGACAATTCTCCTTTATGTTATCCACCAGAATAGTCTCTTCCATGACATTATAATGCCGAAACGAGAGTGTTTCCCGTAGAAAGCCGTTCAAAAACCTGCCCCCGATGTCCAATTTTTTCACCGCCTTGTAGTATGGAACTCCTTTGATTACCGGTACGATCCACGTACAGTTGTACCCAGAGTCAATGACCAGATGGAAATTGTTATAATCTTGGCCGTCTTGTGTTTGTGGCTCGACTGGTCCATCGTTAAGGGTGGTGCTATTGCCGCTGCTATGATCGCTCTTGGCTTGAAGCACAGTTGTTGTTTTGTCGTTGACGGAAAATGGAACAAATGTCGGTATAGGAGCTTTGAACATGCTAGTAAATTCACACTCCTCGAAAACCACCTGGTCCATATTTTTACTAAGTTCTGGTATGGTCATGCAAGACTCTGAAGTTACGAGATGCTTCCCTCTAGTTGAGTCCAAAGACCATCCATTGAACTCTTCTGGATTGTAGAAGCAATAGTCCCAGACTTGATTTTCGAGTTCCCACGACACAAGTTGTCCCAACTCATGTGGCCTTTTGAATGCTACAGATGAAATGTCTTTGATCGCATTGATTTGATTTGAAAGATGAAAATTGCCATACTTATCTCTGGCAATACAGTTTAGAGCCCTCTGAGGCTCATCTTGGTTGGCCAGGCCAAACTTGATTTCATACGAGCCATTGTCTATGATCACAGGTGTCTCTTCCATCTATTGGTTAGCGAGTTTAGCCAGTTAGCGACATCGATCCAGCTAGCTACAAGCATGTTCATTAATTTATAAATACATGTGAGTGTGTGTGTATCTTCAACTAAACAAGCCGCAGTTGATCTTCAAACGGAACCAGTCCTTGGGACTTCAGCAAGTGAAGGTGGGATTCCATGGCGGTATAGTTGAGCTGTTTTTTGTACCAATTGAGCAGCTAAGTTTGTGCTCAATGTGCTTAATCTGTGAATTACACTCTCGCCTTGTATGTGGATATAGATGCAGGAAAAAACCCTGAAAGGACAGATTCAAACCCTAGCATAGTGTACAAAGCTGCAGATGAGATTATGACAAGCATTTTAAGTCTGTAGAGGCGCATAATTGATTTTTTTCGTTCTAGTAGGGAAGGCACAGGAACTGGTTGAATTGTATCATTTTTTTTGTGCAGAATGTGCCGTACCGTTCGGTAACGCTTTGCGGTATACTGATATTGCTTCTGTACAGGTGGGGTTCAAGAGAATGGCCACGACACACGTTTTGTGTGGATCGACAGAATAAGAAGGTCGTCTTTGGTCGATTCCTCCAACGCCGCGAAACAGTAGCGGGACAAACCAAACGCCTCACATTTAACCAATTTCTGAATTCTACTTTGGCTTGGCACAGTGTGTTTGCTATACCATACTTCCTGTGAGCGATGGCTTAATCCCACATTGACCATCATATAAATCATCAAGCGCCATCATTTTTTGAACGACAGACCAGAGCAAGCCGCATCACAAATTATCACTACTTCTACCACCCTTTTCTGCAGATACACCCCTGATCAGAGTATGCAACATCACACGTTATCACTACTTTTCTCGCTCTACCTTGCAAATCCGCGTTTTGCGAAATGTGAGCAAATGATTTACATTCCAGTTCCGAGATGTACGCAATGCTAACGAACTCATCTCAAAGCGTTGCGGTCCAAGCGCAATTAGCGTGCATGTATGGCTCTTTTCTGGTCTCTTTAGATATGTTATACAACCTTGCACTTATGGGAATAAGAAGCGCGAACAGAGCTTTAAAAGCTAGGTGCAAGATTTGAGAACCATACGATAACACCATTTCATACTGGCACTAATCATCGAAACGTCGAATTCATGCTGCACTTCTCAACCACTCCAGATTTCTGGATTCTCAACTACTGAAAGCTGATCGGGTCACGTGCAACCTTCGACCCTACAAATTACGTGCCTAAACCAATAGGTATACAATGATTCCAGATCATCGATCAAAACTGAAAACACTAACAAACACATCCGAACTCCTTTAAACAAGACACTTCATACTGCCATTGCTATGGACAGTCCTCTGTCTAAGAAGCAGAAAACACATATCGATAGAGATGAGGATTCTTCGCTGGAAGAAGCTTCAATAGATGTGACAAGAGTCTCGAGATCGAGAACTCCTCGGAAATTGGTTTTAGGATCTCCCAGCAAACAATTTGAGATCTCACAGCGGGGAAACTCATCTTCTTCTAATGTTCCATTTTTACAACCGTTGAAAGACGATTTTACAAGCTCTAGAAGCCGAATATATTCACAATCTCCACCAAGATCACCAAACAGATCGCCTACGCGGAAATTAGAGCTGATACAGTTGTCTCCGGCGAAAAAAACAAGGCTGGAGATACACAAGCTTCAAAATAGCCAACACGGGCCGGGAACGGTCCAACGACTTTGCATACACCAACTAGTCCTAACGAATTTCAAGTCCTACGCTGGTAAACAGGTTGTGGGACCCTTTGATACTTCGTTTTCCGCTGTTGTAGGACCCAATGGGTCTGGAAAGTCGAATGTCATCGACTCCTTGCTTTTCGTTTTCGGATTTCGTGCAAACAAAATGCGGCAAGGCAGGCTATCAGATCTAATCCATAAGTCAGAAGCGTTTCCTTCCCTAGAGTTTTGCCAAGTGGATATATTCTTCCAGTACGTTCAGGACGAGCCAGACGGTAGAACCACCCTCAACAAAGATAAACAACAACTCGTTGTTAGCAGAAAGGCGTGGAAAAACAGCTCATCCAAATACTACGTATGTGGCAAAGAAAGCAGTTTTACCCAGGTGACGCAGCTTTTGCGCAACGAAGGCATCGACATGGATCATAAAAGATTCTTGATCTTACAGGGTGAGGTCGAAAGCATAGCACAGATGAAACCCAAAGCTGAAAAGGAGAACGATGATGGGCTACTCGAGTACTTGGAGGATATCATCGGAACTGCAAAGTATAAACAGCTGATAGAGCAGACGGTTCTAGAAATTGAACAGCTGAATGAAGCTTGTCAAGAGAAGGAAAATAGGTTCGAGATAGTCGAAAGGGAGAAAAGCTCCTTGGAGTCTGGCAAAGATGAAGCAATGGAATTTCTTGAGAAAGAGAAGCAACTAACAATGTTGCGAAGTAAAGTCTTGCAACATAATTTGTGGCAGAGTGATAAAAAGCTTGAAGATATTCAACGAAAGAAATCGGGTTTCGAGGAAAGCTTAGCAAGCGAACGCTCAAAACATGCACAATATCAGAAAGAAATGAAGGAGTTAGAGGATCAATGTCAGAATTTCAAGAAAAAGCTAGGAGATCTTAAGGAAAAAGAAAGGACTCTTGTGCTGAAGAAACGAGATGGCGATCGTGATAAAATTTCTGCGGAAGAAAGACTGAAAAATCTCAATCAAAAGAAAGGAAAGTGCGAGAGATCACAAAGCACTACACAGGCCTCAATTGCAAAAACAGAGGTGAGGCTGGCTGAGTTGCAAAAGGATCAAGAAGAGTATAATGCTCAGATTGTAGAGTTGAATAAAAGCTTGAGCGAAGAGAAAATCAAACTAGATGATATCAAATTTTCCTTGAAGGATAAGACTGGGGCTCTTACAGATGAAATAGCGAAGCTGCAAAAAGATCTTGAGCCGTGGAACGCACGTCTTCAGGCTAAGAATTCTCAATTAAACCTGGAAGAGACCAGAATTTCGGTCTTTAAAGAATCACACGCCAAAGTCGTACAAGACATAAAACTCACTGAAGATCAGATTTCATCCCTAAATGAAAAGATTGCTGCGGTGCGCGATGACATACAACGTCTTGGTCATGAGGGAGCTACGATCAACAAACAATTGACTATCGGTCAAAGTGAGTGTGACACCGCATCTGTGAAGATCAAAGAGATGAAGGCGGTTCTTACTGCCCATCGGCAACGGAGTGTTGACGCACGAGCGTCACTCTCCACTGTTGAGAACAAGAGCAAAGTTTTAGCTGCGCTTCTCCGTCTGAAAAAGTCCGGCCGCATCTCGGGTCTTCATGGGAGGTTAGGTGATCTCGGAATAATAGACGACAAATTCGATGTAGCCATATCCACGGCGTGTCCGAGGCTTGATGACATCGTAGTGGAGACGGTAGACTGTGCACAGCAATGCATTGAGTATTTGAGAAATAACAAATTAGGTTACGCGAGATTCATTTTGCTTGATAAGCTACGACCTTTCAAATTAAATCCGATTGTAACCCCAAACAATGTCCCTAGGCTTTTCGACTTAGTGAAGCCACATAATGAAAAGTTCAAGAATGCGTTTTATAGTGTCCTCAGAGATACATTAGTGGCAGAAGACTTACGGGAAGCGAATCGTGTCGCGTATGGCAAACAAAGATTTAGAGTTGTGACATTAGATGGTAAGATGATCGATCTTTCAGGGGCAATGAGTGGTGGTGGTAATTACAAGGCAAGTGGACTAATGAAATCTGAACGTCAGGATAATTCCAACACGCTGACTGCAGAGGATATAATGCGCATTGATGCTGAACTAGTTGAAAGAGAGAAGAACTTCAAAATAGCAAATACGACCCTACATGAAATGGAAGAAGCATTGCAAACGCTGAAAGATAGAGAACCAGAGATTGGACTCGATATTTCGAAGCGCGAAATGGATATTGAATCCTTGCTTCTCGATATAAAGGCAAGCGAGCAGAAACTGGCTAACTTGCGAAAAGAGCACGCGGAGAAGAATAATTCGAATGATGAACTGTCCACGGCGGAAAACAAGGTTGCGATGTTAAAAGATGAGTGCAATCAACTAAAAGTAGAGATGAAGTCGAAAAATGTTGCAATTGATAACCTTCAACAGGAAATTATGAAAGTTGGTGGTACAAATTTTCAGGTGCAAACCTCTAAAGTGGAATCTATTGCTCAACACATTGAGATCATACTTGGTAAGCAGAAAAGAGACAAGAATGCGATCAGGAAAGCAGAAGGTGATTTACGCCGCTCTCAGCGACAAAACGAAGAGCTTTCAAAAGAATCAGTTAAATGTACAGCTGAATTGCAAGGAATGGAAGATGTTCTCTCAAAGGCCAGTGATGAATTAGCTTCATTGGAGGAGCAACTCGAAAAACATCTTGATGACGTTTCCTCGCTGGAAGAGGAGTTAAAGATTGTGGAGGAGCAATTGGAGCAGAAGGTGGACCTTGACAGTGGATTCAGAGTTCTAGAGGCTGATATCAACAGCCAGCTGGAAAAGCTTCGTGAAGTGATCAATGCTATGCAGAAAGAGCGCACATCGTTAGAAACACAGCTTGGGAGCTTGGAGATACGTGATGTCACCGCAATATTGGATCAGCTTGAAGAAAACATTCTTCCTCCTGATTACGTAGTTACGCAAAATGACAGGACAGCCGAACTAGATGATGAAGGTGGAGACATCATGGACGTCGATGAACAGGAAAATGTGAGCCGACAATCCCAAGACTTTAGCCAGGACATAGAACATCAAGACAAAATGGAAGTGGATCGTCCTAGTGGGCTACCAAAGCTTTTACCATCGGAGTTGGAAGCGCTAAATCTAGAAGGCATCAATCTCGAGATGGCACAACTGCAAGACTTCCTCGACAACGCGCACGTTGATATTGAGGTTTTGGAGGAATATGCTAAGAGCTTGGCAGATTTTAAGGCGCGCAAACTAGATCTCAATTTGGCCGTCGAGAATCGAGAAAAGGTTCGACAAGTCAGCGAAGACCTGAAGAAGAAAAGGCTTGATGAATTCATGAATGGTTTCAATGCAATTTCGATGACCTTGAAGGAGATGTATCAAATGATTACAATGGGAGGCAATGCCGAGCTGGAGCTCGTGGACAGTTTAGATCCGTTTTCTGAGGGGGTACTTTTTAGTGTTATGCCTCCAAGAAAAAGTTGGAGAAATATTTCCAATCTAAGCGGTGGAGAGAAGACTTTGAGCTCATTGGCCCTAGTGTTCGCTCTCCACAAGTACAAGCCCACCCCGCTTTATGTCATGGACGAAATTGATGCCGCCCTCGATTTTCGAAACGTTTCGATTGTTGCAAATTACATTAAGGAACGCACGAAAAATGCCCAGTTCATTGTGATCTCCCTTCGAAACAATATGTTCGAGCTCGCACAACAACTTGTGGGTATCTATAAAAACAGCAATATGACTAAAAGCGTGGCGCTGCAAAATAGAGACTTGATTGATAGAGTTTGAAAGCTACATATAAAAAATGATCTTAAATCGATGTACTTTACTTCAGGCCCGACCAAATATCCTGGTCCATTCGGTTTCGGCCAAATGAGCAAGATTCTGCAATGGTATAATGATTCCCTGGTGCGTCATACCTGGGAAATGCTTTCGGTTGACGCCAAACCATTCTATAGGCGGCGTCGCGTTCCCAAGATCCCTCGTCTGTGGAATTTCAATATGAGGATCCTCTAAGCAAACATATCTATACTTGCTTCCTAAGTCGACATCTTTCAACTTATCTTCTAGGTGCTCATCCTCGAAAAGACTTCTCGGTTGCTCATTATGGGACCTTCTGAGTGCCAAAGCGCGTACGTGAGTAGCCCACATCTCCCGTATAAAATTGATTGATCCCAGGTTCCACCTTACGCTTATTTTTCCCCCAAAGCTGTTGCTGTATAGCAGCTCCACTACATTGGTCGCCACATCATGCCAAGTTGTCATTCCGACCAAGATAGCGGGAATAACCAATATTGTTCCACCTTGTGCTTTCGAAGCATGCTTGATGTATTCTTTTACGCCGATCTGCGATGCCACTTTTTCGTTCAACTGATGTTTGTAGGTGGAGAGGGCAAATTTGACATCATGAACTTGCCAATTAAGCTGACACTTGAGCTTCTCATTGCCTTCGATTTGAGATCTTGTCACAAGATCAGAAGCCCTGAATGTCAAAACTTCCGTGTCGAACAACGTATTCGGAAAAATCTGAGTATTGATAAAGTCCATTTTGACCTCCAGGTCGGTCCTCAAAAAACTTAGTGAATCCAAAATTTCACGACTGGTTCTTGTACGCCCTGTGTCTCTTGTGTTTGAGTCACCCAAAGTCTCTGAATAGGATTTCTTGTTTTCTTTCCGCATCCTCAGTATGGTATTGTAAACATCCAGAATATTGGCGGCAGCCAACGCTGTCGCAAAGATGTTAGTACTCCCACAAATCAATGCAACCGACATAAAGTCTTTGAGCAAACCATCGTTTTCTCTCTTGTTGAATAACATTATTTTGAATTGTTCCAGATTAGCAATCAAAATGAGGTGGTAGTCAAATGACAATTTGACTGCGAATTCTGAGAACGCTACATCGAGGGCTATCAGAGGATTTTGGAATACGCTATCACTAATTGGCCAACTGATTCCTGAAATCCAATTGAAATTCCGCAATAAGACGTTACCACCTAACCTCCCATCTGAAGAAAGCGCGGCTTTTTCGATCTGGAAATAAAGCTTTTGGGTCCAGTCACTGTAGTGATCTGCGACAGTCCATAGAGTCTCCGTAGATAAACTCAAGATTCCCAGAGAGACACCAAGATCAATTTTGCCCTTAACTTTCGAAATTATTGTAACAAAACTCCAAGGAAGTGAGCTGGTCGAAGCCAGTTTTTCGTGCTTCGCAGCCAGAAAGTTTTCTGTCACACGATTCGTTCGATTACCGTCAGATTCCGGCTGGAAGAGAACTTTGCTGTCCACTTTCCAGATGTTGATGAAAACGTTGAGATCCTGAAGTTGCTTAAAGTTGAAATAGACGTCGATATTAGGGACAAGTATGACGCCATAAGTGGTTATGACATCCGGATGGGTCAGGAGGAAAACAACTGTCGAATGATCGATTTTAATAGACGTGCTGATTTCTCTCGAGAAAATGTGTCTGGAGGTGGCCGTTACATTCCTGATATCAAGAGCTAAACTTAGCGACCTCGAATGATCTAAACTGTTCGTGAATATATTTATCACCAGGTTTTCAAATCCGACGTCAGCTTGAACTTTAGCTTTAGGTTCGCAGCTCAACGTAATTGACTGCTCTTCGAAGTGAACTTGGAAAGATGCGTCAACATCTCTTAACAGGCTTTTGTAATTCACGCTCTCTTGCACCTGGGCCCTTTGAACAGAAACCGGGCTTGTGCTGAAACTTTTCATGACGCCACTGCTGTCTCGCATTACTTCTCCTAAAATGGGAACACACGAAGGGTAGATAGCATTGTGGGACTTTTCAACATGTACAAAAGATCTTACAACGTGGTAGGGCTCGCCATGAGGATTGAACTTGTAATCGACGACCACTTCGACCGACGGGCTCTCCACTTGAAAGGAAGGATGAAGACCTAACGCAAGATCCTTCTCCGAGTAAAGCTTGAAGATGCCACCCGCGTAACGTGCTCTGCAGTTCAACCTCTTTAAACGCGAAAAGCCCGGGAACTGTACGCCTTTTGGAGTATTTGCGGTTTTCATTGTTTCATTTAGCGCTAAGTAAGAGCTTAAGTGTACAGTTTTCAGTTCCTCGAACGCCTGAAGCGATTTCAACATTCCCTCTGCCACTAATACCGACTTTGACAAAAAGCTCACATCAAGCTGTTCCCCGTTGATTCTAACGAATAATTCTTTAGCTGAGTCGTCACCTTCGAACCAATATCCAAGCTGCGTACTGGGAAGAAAACTTCTGTTCGGCTTGTGAAGTTCACTTTCACGGGCGTAGAAGTCGCTGGAGCTATAACCTCTCGCGACCGAAACGTACGCATCTAAGACCGTCAGCTTTCCGAATGGCCACTCATGCGCGGCGAAAAGTCTTTGGTATCCCCATATGAGGCCCGGATGAGTTGCGTCTTCAATATCAAATATCCAACCCAAACATAAATTGTACGATAAGAAATGGATTGACTTAATATTGCCCAGCATGTTGAAGACCTCTGTTAAAGTCTCTGGTTCCGCTATCTTTTTCGATCCCTTCTGAGAGAATCTGGTACTTAGCTTTGATGACACTTGGCCCAAAGCCAGAAGCTTGATGAGGGACATTGGGCAAAGAGCTAACCTAAAGTGTGAACTTTCTATTTCTAGAGACCGAATAGTATCTGGCTCTTGATCCACTTTCACACTGACTCCAAGGTCAAGAAGTTTGGACAGCTTTTCGGGTAACGCAATATCGTTCACCAAAAATGTGATGCTAGTTATCGAAAGAGTTCCTTGAACATATTGCTTGAGTACACTAGAACTTTCAAGAGCATTACCTCGACCTGAAACTGTGGAAAAAAATTCGTTTAGCTCGCAAACGTAGTTCGTCGACTGCAATGGAAGGAGGAAACCGGCGTACTTCGCTCTCAAAGAAATGGAATATTCCACGGGCAAGCTCTGTGCCACAGGAGTTTCCTCTGCAAGAGGCATCCGACTTCCAATTGATTGCAACCCTTTGAGACTCTGGACCAGCTCGCTTAAACTTCTTTTGGCGGCATTGAACCCATCCACTACAATATGCACCAATTTTTCAGGCGCACAAAGCTTGATCTTCGAAATATCGGATTCCATGGAAAGCGAGTAACTCTTTGTTGAAGGTGAAATAGCCTCGCTTAGTTTGAGGTCGAACTTAGATTGAGAGAATTTCACATATTGATCAGCGTCCGTCACCATTCCCACCGAGACATCGATGCCATCAAAGGCTAGCCGAAGAGCTTTCTCCGATAACATGTCTAATTTTAGATTCAAAGTTTGCACGCGTTGCGAGATGACAAACGGTGATATAGCAGAAACGTCGAAAGAAAGGTCTTCAACGTAGATCTGTGATTTCAATTTCAAAGTAGCAGATTTTGCAAGATTAGAGGGTGGGGATCGTGGTTCGTTTTGGTGACAGAATTTAGACCCTAAGAGATCACCGAGCGGACCTTCTGGTTTGACGAAATCACAGTACGCAGCAGATGGAGAAGGCAATTTGATCCGTAAGCTTCTAGATTGAAAATCAACCAGGTGAGGCGTATCTTCGCTATCCAGTGAAAGCAGCGTGCCAACAGATCCGTGCCGAGAAAATACGTCCAAGAGAATTGCGTCCTCATGCCGCAGTCCCAATTCAAGCCATGACCAATTTGTCGTAAGATTGAAATCTTGATGTCCTCCAGATGAAGCAAGGGCCAGGCTGTTTCCGAAAGATTTGAAGTTCAATTTGGTCGTTCCTGAGATAACCTGAAACTCACAACGATCTATCAACAAAACAATCTGTAGAAAGTCCGAAATTTTAACTCCATTATGCTGTGCTGAGTTGCTTTGCTGTGAAGCTGGAAAAACATCTTTTGATAAAGCCAGCTTCAATGTTGATTCACTGGCGGAAATCTTGACCAGTTTAACCGATGCTGTGATAACCTGCGCTTTTTCCTCCATTTCAAGCTCATCATTAGGATTCGGCTGGTCGTGAGAGGTCTTCTGTGAGGAGGATTTGAAAGCTCGGAAATTTTTTAAGGCGATAGTATCACCGTCCTCATCGATACTACTAGATAACGTCAACGAGAATCTATCGACGTTGAAACGCAATTCAGCATTCTCTAAATCCACTCCGATCGATCCTTTGTCAGTAAACGAGTGTTCGTAAAATAAACCCTTCTCCAAGTCAGAAAACTCCCAACTTCTCCACTTGGAAAAAACGTTGAGAAATATTTCGCCGGCATTGTCCGGCGCTTTAAAGTCAGACTTTTTAATGTTATCATAAATTTCGGATATAAGTGCCGTTGGAAGATAGTTTAAGATGTGACGCAATCTTGTAATAATTTTCCAAGTCCGATCTTCCCTGACGTGCTGATCTGGAAGTCTAGTAATATAAGCAGGTTTCGTAATAACAGGGGGATCATGGACAATTTGGTATTCTTCACTGGCCCTTGCAACCTGGTAAAAAAATTCCTTTCGAGCATTCCTCTTCAAATTGATATACTGAGAAGAGGCGGTTTGTAAGAGGTTAAAATCGTGCTGAAGCTTTTGAAAACATAGCCACAATTCATCTACTGTATCCGGGTTTATGGAAGTATCACTTGACTGAATACTAACCGAAATGACGCCGCAGTCATGCGATGAAAACCAAGCCTCAATTCCTTTGATAGATGAGAATAAGAGGAATTCGTCGTTTGATTTTCGGCTACTTTGGGAACCACCAAGAAAGCCGATGCTCGCTGAGCTGCATTTGAGGTAGGCTGAGCTTCTCTCGTCATTTTCTAATTCCGTTAATTCCTTGTCTTCCTTAAAGTCGACTTTGGTGCTTCCGTCCACGTTTATACCTTTCACTGAAAGCTCTAATCGCGTTGGATGGTTAATTTTGCTGCAAAGCTCACCAAGTATTACTTTAAAGTCAGGACAGAATAGCTTTGAATTCTTGAATGCTTTCATCCCGAGATTTCGTTTGAGAAAGTGGTAAACAGTGTCAATTTCGCTATTATCAATTATCTGATCAACTGAATTTGAAAAAAGTATCCTCATTAAATCCCCGATCAAGAGGAAGCATACTGGGTCCAGCCGCAGTCCCGCCTGTCTTAAATTCACTATCGTACTGGTGACATTGAATTTGGGAGACACATCGTTTTCAAAACTTTCTTTTGCGGGCGAGAATAAATGGGGATGATTCCGATCGCGAGCACCTATGGCATCTTTTTGCCGATCCCTCGTACTCAAAGGCCCAGTAACATTCGTGGCGTCTTCACCTTCCAAAAACCTGTTTAGGAACTCATCACAGTTTTCAGCACTCAGGGGCTTCGTTAAGGACGGTATTGACATGCCAGGCGGTATACAACCTAATAGCTCACTGTAGACTTCTGAATTTTGAATAGCCCGTGGTAGTAAAAATGGGCAACGATGAAAAGGTGCATCGTTGGCGGCAATATGTGCTTTCTGCCGGCGCGTATGCAATGGGAAATTTTCAGATTGAGCGAAATTCGTAATTGTAAGCGAAGACTCGAAGATAGCGACAGTTCGAGTTTCGCTCCCGTTTTCTAATATCATAATGGAGAGGGTAGGCACCTCTAAATCAGTTCTGCAAGTATAAGAATCATTTTCTAGGTCTACGATTGTTCCTAACAAATCTTTTGAACGCACCACTATGTCATGTTCGGTTGAAATGCTTACCGTTAAGTCAATTGACCCAACCATTAAAGTGACGGAAGTCAAATCAAAAATGTCCTCGAGCTTGTAGTTCATAATATTTTCGAAATCCTTAAAACCGAAAGCAAATTTCTCAGCGGCGGCTGCAAGTTGCAACGGGAAAAGGAGATCCGATGACATTTCGACTTGGTGGATAGAAAAATCCCACTTGCATACGTATGTTTCTTCGTTCGGTGGTAGCCCATACAGCCGATGTGCATGTATTTGTAGGTCCGAAAGAATTCCGTCAGGTACTTGTCCCGTATTTTCATGCCGCGTGCGGTTGAAAACTGTGTTAGAATCACAATCTATAAGTCTCGTTACTTTGATAGGGGATAATGCAGTCTGTAAGTCCATGTAGTAATTTAGATCGCGTATATCAATGCTGAGTGAGTCAAATTCAAAAACAAAACAGTTCTCGCAGTCGTATACGTGATCTGGCACTACTATGCATCCGCTGTCCACTATAAAAGTGAACCAAACATCCTTCTCATTAATAAGCCGCTTAAGAGAAAACTTTCGTTGAGCAGATACCTCTGCTGGAAGTACGTGCGGTGACTCTAAAGTTTTCCCGACATCCGGATTGATAACTTGCATGAAATCTTCCACTGCTGCCGAAGCTGTGTTTACCCCTACTTCTCCACCTTTGAGTTCTTCCATGTATTCTTCGGTCGTTTTGAAATGGACAAAATCGCCAAAATAGTTCATTTTCACTCCTACTAGAAATCTTATGACAAAACCATAGCACTTCAGAGTCGTATCCCTGCTGTGGCAATTTATCAGGATTGTGTCAATATTGTCCACATCTAGTTTTGAATGCGTCAAGTAGGAACCTTCAATGGTAAAATCATGAGATCTTCCAACTTCCTGGTCTTTCATAAACTCGTGAAGAGTGTTCCATGAAGGTGTGTTAATACGAAGTCGGAATAATGAGGTCGACAACTTGTAGTCTATGGTAGTGCTAGTTCCAGCAATGCTAGTAAGTGGCACACTAAAGTCAATTTGAAGGTCATCACCATGAAACGAAAGATAACAGTTTTCGTTGAAATCCACAGGGTTGTTCACGATGTTAGCGTCGTTAACATTCAAATAAATAGAATATCCCTCAAACTCCCAATTAAATTTGTAGACGAACGGGCGAAAGAGATCATAAGAAAGAGCTTCGCCCGATCCAAAATCTGAAACCAGATCAGCGAGTAAGTTTACGTGATCTTTCAAAATAAAAAGCTGCGCTTGGGTTGAAGTGAGAAAAAAGCTCCAAGTAGCCAACTCATTCCACCCCAGTGGGTATCCGATTTCAGCATGAATGTCGTGCACGTTAGCACTGAACAAAATGTCGTGATTAACACTAGTTCTTACTTCAGGTTTCATAAGATGCAGGTGCAACAGATTGTCAAAACCAGATGAATCTGGAGTCATCGCGAAATCAAAAGTCACTTCAGAATCGCTAGCAAGAGAAATTTCCAGCCAGCCGAAGGGTCTTGAATCGTCTTGTGTTTCTCGGTATCTTTTTAAAAATTCCAAATCTTTACTGGGCTCCCTTGTTGGTATACGCCATATGGTGGAGCTCATTATAGTGACTGATATTTTTGCCTTTTTATACGTTCGTGTCATACCAGCTTTTGCGGCCCGCGGTGGTTGGCTGTCCCTCGAAACAATTGGGGAAAACATTTTTTGTAAGGGCATTGTTTCATGGTGGGCCCATGGGCCATAATGTATTGTTCCTCCAAACACCTGCATGTCCACGGAGAAGTCAGGCGGTTGATCCAATCCAACGCCATCAACTTCCGTCTTGCTCGGAGATTCTCCTGTTGTTGATAAAGTTCGCGGCGTGACGCCTGGAACGTCAAACGAATACTCAAGAACGAACTTTTCACACTTCATGATCTTACTGTACCTAGCATATTGATGCTTTGAGACGTCAAATTTGAATGTATCATCCCACGCCGTGTCATCCTCTTTGCGGTATAATGCCAGGCCTCTCCAATCTTCGAATGGATTTTGCAATGCTTGAAAGGCGCCTTCTTTCCCATGATATATCTCTTTAAATGTGCTACCAGTAAGAGACAACAAGAGATCAAGCCCTTTATGCCACGCCCTAGAAATTTTTTCAGATTTCACTGCATGCTTCGAAGGTGCTTCCACTTGAAAACCTAGATTAGGTTTTAGACGGATGCAAAAATTGTCGAATTCGTTTCTTGTCTGCAACTTGAAAAGATCGAGACGTGAATTTGCCTCTCCCGCATCCACGATTCCACCCAATCGATCATAGCTTACAACCAAGATGGAAGAAGTATTTTTGTTACCAACCACTACAGCGCCCTTATGCACGGCAATTTCTAGCGGTAAAAAGTTTAAAAATGCAGGCAGAGAGGGCAATGGCTCAAGGGCAGGTTCCACAGTCGAATCTGAGTTGGCATTTGAAGAATCCAAATAAGAGGATGAAGATGATGACGACGTATTGTGGAACGATTTCTGATCGTCTTCACCAAATCCTTCAAATTGTTTGAACCGCGCTTGTTCGGTCTTGGGCAAAGACTGCCACAGATGACTGAAAACCTGCGTCCTGTTGTAGATGAAATGTTCCAGACCTTGGCATTCCAGCTTGAACCTACACAATCTGGAGTCGTCAGCGGAAACACCGTTTTGTTGTCGCTCGAACGGTGTTTGTCTCGAGCTGAAGATCCAATACCGCCACGTCAAACTACCGTTTAGAAAGGAAATTGTCTGATTCTGCGTGATGATGGTGAGGTTTTTGAAAAATATACGTCCGCCGAGGAAAGATATCTTTAGTGACTGTATCTGAATTTTTACGGCGTAACGTCTCCAAACGAACCATTCGAGTAATGCAGTGGTAGTGAATCCAAAAGCCCTTCCGAAATAGAATGCGGCCAGAAGACACACGCAAAGAATCAGAATCCAGTCTATCAGGAAAACCCAACTGAAGTCTCTGCTAGAGCTGAGAGGCACTTTTTTGAACTCATTTTGCATCCTTGGAGCTCCACGAGATTATATTCGCCTTCACACTGTACCCATGAACCAAGCAGCCGCTACTGATAAAGAAGTTGTACGGTGGTCGTGTGCTCTAGGTATACTGTTTCCAGAAGGGTTTGTCGTCCTGGCTGTCCTGTTGCCAAGAAGTGTGTAGTTCCAGGGCATTTCTAGTAGAGAGATGAGATGAGCCAATATTGACACCTCACTTTGTACGAGCCGTTGACATCAAAGTCAAAAACTCACAACGTTGTCGCTGTCTCTTTTCGCTGAGCGGTTCGTATTATCCAGCAGTCTCCTGATTCTCAATTTGAGCAGACTTCGTATTTTTTAGCGACGGGATTTCCTATTTTTTGGACCAGCTCTGATTTAAGTGTCTGTTCGTGACAGTGTGCTATGCTGAGAATCCAAACTTTTCTGGAATGGTTCACACCTCTCTATGACCACAAATTTCTCTCAGCTACTCTCTCGTTTCCTCTCACCATAAACTAGTCCCAAATCATGATTTGTTATAATCAAAATTCAAACTGTCTTTCGATAACATCAAGATCCTACACGTTTCCACCGGTTTTTGAAATCTTGACGCTATTAAGAACACACGCCAACATTGTTTGCAGAATACCATGACCAGCTTGGTACGACGTTGCAATTTCGATGGCCATGAAATGATTTGATCAGTAATTGGCGTATAAACCACCCAGCAGACCAAACTTTCTCATAAAAGTAGCCTCTTGAAGCCCTCTTTAAGCCCAATTCAAGTATACTAATTATAATTCATCTTCATCTAGCATCAGGACTACCAGCCTCTTATAACTATCCCATCTCTTGTAATCCTTTCCTGATAACCGTTTGAGACGTTGGATGAGTATATTATTATTATATACTGTGTACTCGAAAACATTGAAATTTAAAGACTAAGTACCACTTGGCAAAGTGAAAGTCATCGTTCTAGCATTGAACTATCAGATCAGTTAGAGGTTTTTACACTAGCGGTTCGAGTTATGGCATTGATTGAGAGACTTCAAAGAAGAGCTTCTGATTGGGGCTTGTTGCCCAGGCTTTTGCAATTGCTGCCGAGATTGGCGATCATTAGTGGTATCATTGGGTTTGCATGGCTGGCTGTGTATCTCCCATTGGAAGGCGAATTCAGACGTACGTACATTTCAGAAAATGCGTTGATGCCTTCACAGGCCTACAGCTATTTCAGAGAAACTGAATGGAACTTACTGCGTGGCTATAGAACGCAAGTTAAAGATCTTGTCAACAAACATTCCGACGAAAGAAATGGTATTTTAGGTTCATGGCTGGAGGAAATTGGCGTTAAAACGGCTATTCATCACGATCCTGAGAACAGGGACACGCTGTACGGCGTGTGGAACGCTCCACGCGGAGATGGAACCGAGGCAATGGTCTTGGCAGCTCCCTGGTTTAACGGCGATGGGGAATTTAACATCGGTGGAGTCGCCTTGGCTACTGCTTTGACAAGATTTTTTTCAAGATGGCCTCTTTGGTCTAAAAATATTATTGTGGTCTTTAGTGAGGATACTAGGGCCAGTCTTTCATCGTGGTGCCATGCCTACCACAATAATTTGGATCTTACCGGAGGCTCCATTGAGTCTGCTGTTGTTCTAGACTACCCAGGCACCAATGACTATTTCAAATACGTTGAGATTTTTTACGCAGGCCTAAACGGTGAGCTCCCCAATCTGGATCTAGTCAACGTGGCGGTTCACGTCACAGAGCATGAAGGTATGAAAGTCTCGCTCAATGGCGCACCAGAATCCGAAATTGGTGAAGATGACTATCCTGGAAGAATGCAAAAAATGCTACTGGGTATTCGCAAAATGGCCCTAGCAGGCGTCCAAACTTGTTATGGTAACGAGGCCTTCAGTGGATACAGAATCCAATCAATCGTTCTCAGGGCGCGCGGAAAGGAAGGTCCATTCGACATCACTACTTTTGGAAGAGTGCCTGAGGCAGTCTTTCGGTCTGTGAACAATCTCCTTGAGAAATTTCATCAGTCGTTTTTTTTTTACCTTCTCCTGGCGCCTCGGTATTTTGTGTCGATTGCGAGCTATTTGCCGGCCGCTGTGGCCTATTCTGCGGCCTTCATTCTTGCAAGTCTTGATAACTTTCTCAAAAGCAACAAGCATTTACCCATGGGCGCAAATGCAGCTTTCCGCATTTCGTTAAATACGGCGACAACCTTTGTTGGATCTTTCTTGGCGTCGTTCTTCATCTCCCAAGTATTTCTTCAGTGGCAGAAGCCTCTTGCGCTTGTGTTAGCGTCGGGCCTACTTTCCTTGATTCCGCTGTTCCCTACAGACATTAAACTTTCTTTGGCACAATCCCACCAGCTCAAATCCATTGCGTTTTCATACCTCAGTGTTGTTCTGACATCTCTTTTGGTCGTGAACTTTGCTTTGGCCTTTGGCATCGGTCTTCTGGCGTTCCCAATGATTTTTTTGGCGAATACAGTGAGTCCAAGAACTGGAATTAAGAACACAGCATTGTTAGTACTCACTAATCCGTTCATTTGCAGCTGTCTGTTCGCTAATATTTTCGAATCGCAGTTACCAAACCTTGAGATAATTTCCAGACTGATTTCTGCTTGGAAAGAGCTTGGATGTTGGACTTGGTTTCTCATCTGCATTGGGTGGCTTCCAGCATGGATTACCGTCGCTATTTCGAGCTTACCTGCCGTTTTTGGTCAGAGCGTCGTCGATAAGACTAAACCTCTTGATGTTGACACTGACGCTGACGCTGACATCAAGAAGCTTCAATGATCTCGTGATCTGACGATATTTACTGTCAAAAAGAATTTTAGCCCGGACGACGTCGAAGTTACTAGAGATGAGCTCCATGCGCATATTCTTCACACAACTTGTGGAAGCTGATCTTTGGAATTCCCAGGTAATTGGGGCGACTCCATATCAATTGGGTTTACATGAATAAATTGGAGGGAGCAGTAACTAATGCTCAGAGAAAAACCAATAATGTGGAGTTTCTAATGCCTACGGTTGGAGAGGCGTTGGGTGAACACCAGAAAGACCTAAATGCAAAATTATTGTCTCGGGGAAGGTTAGATTTCATCAAATATTTGGAATCTGTCAAGGGTCAGCTCACGCAAGAACAATTTGAATTGGTTCGTTCAAGTGCCTTGGATTATAATAATCTCATGGCAACCAGTGACAAGCTACATGCCAAGAACATTGAAACCAAATATCTTCTGCTTAAAAGGCGATTTTTCTTAGCAGAAGACAATGTGGTTCGGGACCGTAAAAATTCCGACAGCCTTGTATGTGAACCGGACTCGATATTTGATTTGGTGCTTAGTGGACATGTAAAAAACGGACACATGCATTGGCGTCGTTTACACCGAAACTTAAAAATGCATTATGCCAATGTTACACGGGACTTTACCCAACTGTGCGTTCGTTACTGTTCGAAATGCAACGCCGAGAAGAAAATTCCTCCACAACAAAAATATCGTCATTATAACATTTACAGTGGGCTTCTGCCACTGGAGAGAGTACATGTTGAGCTTATTTCCCCACTAGCAGAACCTATCGAGGGTATTTATTCTCACATCTTATACTTTAGAGATTACCATTCACGATTTGTATGGATGCTACCCTTGAAATCCGATAACGTAAAGGATTTGACCGAGGCGTTCTCGACCTTTTTACTTTCATTACCACGAATTCCTATGTTCATCGAAACAGCTTCTGTGGATCGACAGCTCCTATTTGAAATATGTGAGAAAGTAGCTTGTGACTATTCTCTCACACTAGGTCTTGGAATGAGCTCATCTCGATTCTTTCAACGGAATGGAATCGCAAGGCTGCGACAACAGCTCAAGTCGAATTCAGTTCAATGTATAGCTTCATGGCCTATGTGTTTGAAAAACGGAGCTGCCGACCACAATCGATCCTATAACAACCGAGTCCAAGCTATACCGGGAAACCTTCTTCACAGCCAAGTTAGCGACTATGTCCGTCAATTCGAGCAGAAGCGTGAGAAATTGATAGAAAAGCTTTGTGCAACTAATGTTGTAGTGTTACGAAAAGGCGGGCGACGGCAGGGTTTACTTTACCTCGAAGACGAAACGACAGCTTTTCATATGCCAGATGAGGATTACAGCTCGACAGAATATGATACAGAGGGTCAATTTGATACGCCAATTAACAACGGATCTTCAAGAAGTTCTTCACCAAGAGCTCAATCGTTCATTGAACCCACATTTCCTTCATCTAGGACAGTTCAATTACTGTCAGACAAACCTGAGGTCGATCTCAGTCCAGATATTAGCCGGCGAGCTTCCGCCAGTGGCAGTGTCACAGAGCAGAATACTGATGATGTGATTAATGCATCTATTGTACTTTAAATATTAGTTATGATAATCAGATGAGTCCTTATGAAACGGGACTTTAAGTCGCCAGTACTTTAATGAATTTAATCGCGGTGAGCGTCCCAGAAATTTCCGTGAAATTCCTTCCAGGACTCAATCCACTCGGTTCCTGGTGCAAGGAAAGTTGTTCTCACATGGTATGTGCCGGGTACTTGATGGAATCCACTGCCTGGAACTGTGCAGATACCAGTGGCTTCCAGTAGTTCTTTACAGTAATATTCATCGGGAGCCATGCCTAAACTTTCAGCTTTGGCGATAGCCTTCTTTGATAAGTCAATCTTAGGAAACAAGTACATTGAACCCAAAGGCTTCTGACAAGAAACTCCCTCTAGGCTTTGGAATGCACGGTGTAACAAAGACGATCTGTGTTTGAGAGATTCATGGATTTCATTACGTTCTTTCTGATCTTGTTCATATGAAGGTTCACCTTCTCTGGGTGGACGAACCATCAAGTCCACCAGAGCCTGACCAGTCACCACAGAACATAGGGAGATCGAAGCTAGCTTCAATACAACTTGCTTTACTTCTTCGGAGAAACCTACCAGCTCCATGTACCCACCTCTTTGACCACACTCTCCCGAGAGGCCCTTGGAAATAGAATGTAGAGAAACTAATTGGACATTGTCGTAAGCGCCAGGTTGAGTCTTCTGTAAGACTCTGAGTACTTTCTTCATGGAAATGAACTCAACATCGTCAAAACCGTTCTCTTGGTACACTTCATCGGCGATGACGACAATTCCGTACTTGGCAGCGACCTCGAAAATGCCCTCGATGTTGTCCGCAGATAGAATAGCACCGGTAGGATTACCTGGGTTGATAACAACCATGGCATTTGGTTTGACGCCCCTTTCTATTGCTGATTTAACAACCTCTTCAATCTGGTGTGGATCTGTTGACCAGCCAGATTCTTCATCAAGAAAGTATGGCAGGGCTGTTGCGTTGTTCAATGCAAGTGTGGCGGTGTAAAGAGGGTACTGAGGAATGGGAATGAGACATCCGTTTTCAGGCCCGGAGCAGAAAAGCTGAAGAACATGCGCAACCGAGCCGGACGCGCCTGAAGTAAGGAAGATATCATTGGCATTGGCGGGTTCTCCATCACGTTTGGCAATGAAGTCAGCAACCGTTTGGCGGAATCCAGCGACACCTTGTGAATTAGAATAAGCTCCCACAGAACGGCCTACATCTTTCAGCATTCTCTGAGCACGCTCGATGACGTCGGGCTTGTAAAGTTTTGCCAAATCTTCAGGAGCCAATTGATTTACAATTTCTGGGTTCTGTAAAAGTGACACTACCTGTCGATAAAACGACAATGGTTTTTGGTCCAATTGCTGTGGGTTTCCGATATTGGCGTTAATGATTTTGGAGAATGGCAGGGATTCTGGGTTTTGGGCAAGTTGCTCCTTGAGTGACTCAGCAAGTAACGGAATGCGACCTCTGACTGCATATTTAGCATTGAGCACAAACTTGTTTATGTCTTCAACCGTTTTAGGAGGTGCTTTAGCGGGAACAGGCTCTCTTCCTAGCACAGCATTGACGCTAAATTGGCGCGAAGTAACGCTGTATGAGCAGTTCACGCAATGTTTAGGACCGCAACGTTGCACGTTTCTGAGTATTGCAATTCTGCTGATCATCGATGCGGATTTGGTATCTGACTTGAACGGTTCTATGGAGTTCGACTTAGGTCTCTTTCGAATGGTTTTTACAGCTGCTGTTCAAACGCGGTGAAGTCAAAATGCTTTTTCCCTAGCTAAAAATTTCACCGCTATTCCGTTGATCACACGTATGTGATTTTTTCAAGCCGTGATTTTGTATAACCCACTGAATTCTTCTCAATCGCTACTACTTATACGCGGTAAGTGTTGTTGTCGGATATTGAGTTTCGATAATACCAGCGGTAACTCAACGAGTGTCAGAATACATCAAACGCTAGATAAGCGCACTTCGTGTCAACCTTCCCCTTCAGACAAGATCTAGCGATACGGGTTTCCCACGTAATCGTGATATGTGAGGCAGTGATGGTAAAGATCAAACGCGGACATTAACATCCGCCATCACACATGACGAGCTCATGTTAGACGACTTCCGTGTGCTGTGACCGAAATCGGTTTTGTGGATGGCGGGGTGTTTTCACCCGCCAGAGGGACTGGCGAGATCTTCATGGATCATCAAACGCAAGTGTAGCGGTAGACGCTGGAGCTATCGAGACAAATATGTTCTGCTTAAACAGTTGCTTTGTCGAATAGTTAACTGTGCCCTTTTTCCTTCAACAGGGTATAAAGTAACGCTTTCTGATCCCGTTGCAGCGGAACGGGGAAATTTGCAGCATTGGGAAGCCGGCAGCACTGGGAAGCTTGTAGTGGCCGTTTCGGTGCCCGTTGTTTGCTTATTTGCTGCTTTTGGTGTATTCTCAGGAGAAATAAGTGTAGTGTAGAAGTGAGAACACTGGGCGGCAAATTTATGTTTTTATATCCTTTCCGACGGAAAAAATTAAGGGTCGCGTTTAATTGTAGCAATCACTAAATGGTACAGCGACAGACCTCAGTATGCTTAGCATTTAGTTGGGTGAGTCAAAGCACAATTGGAAGAAGATGTAAACGTTTGTTTGTCGTAATTTAAGTATTGATGCTTGTGGGGGGACCTGCCCGCCATGACTTCTTTGCCCATGACTCAATTGCCCACGAAAGGACCAAAATGTTAAAAACTCAAGAATGATTTTTGCTTCTAGTATAGAAAATCAAATCAACACAACAGGGAATATCTTCAGCAGTACAAAAAGAACACCTCCGACCTCGCAACACCAATGACTTGTTCATCGGTGTTGGTTTCTGTAACTTTTAAATCACTCTGAACGAGTGTGTCGCGTCTGCTAAACCATCGTCTCACAGCTCCTCCAAAAGAGCTGTATTCTTTTTTAACTTCCAAGTGAGTCAAGTACTTTCTGCTAAACATATACTTCCATAATCGCCGTTATGTTACCACACTTACCAGGTTTCGAAAGAATCTCGCTGTCACGAAGGGAAATAGTGATCTCAGAAAAACACAGTGTCCGAAGCCGTGGTCGGTCCAAGATCCGTTGGTTGTTCAGACCACAAGCCGAAGCGTAATTCTGTGAGCCGTCACACCCACAATTGATCCCAATCGCCGCAAGTACGTGGCTTTGGAAACCTGAATTCTCATAGCCGTTAGTAATACTCACCAACCACGAATTCTCAACTTTTCATCACTGTGAAGGATTAAACAATCGCTGTGGCCATCTCGACAAACGAATCCCACACTGCACAAGCTTCTGGTAGCCCCATGGATCCGTACGAGACCCTGGGTATAGCAGTAGATGCTTCCCAGGACGAAATCAGAAAAGCTTACAGACGGTTAGCGCTTCAGCACCACCCAGATAAAGTTTCAGATGAATCGCTGCGAGAAGAAAGTGAGATAAAATTCAAAGATATAGCGGCCGCTTACGAGCTGTTGAGTGATGAGCAGAAACGATCCAATTACGATCAATACGGCGATGCTGCTGGGTTTTCCAATGGATTTGGAGACGATTTCAGAGACGGAGATTTTGCCAGCTTTTTTGGTAATTTTTCCAACAATCACTACGGCAATGACTATAACGACGGGCCATCGCATCGCGAGTCTTATACACCGGATGCTCACGTACCGCTAACTTTATCAATGCAGGATCTCTACAATGGTAAAACAGTCAGATTTGAGTCCAAGCGGAACGTTGTGTGCAATCGGTGTGAAGGTATAGGTATCCGGAAAAAGGCTCGACATGCTCCTAAATGCACCCATTGCGAAGGGTCTGGGGTCAAGCAGAGACTCAAGAGGGTTGGTCCAGGGTTTGTTACTCGTGAAACTGTGACATGCGATCATTGCAATGGTTTGGGAAAAATTGTGCGGAAAGAGGACTTATGCAAAAGATGCCATGGTAAAAGAGTCGTGCAAGACACTAAAGTTCTCAATGTGTACATTCCCCGTGGATCGCGTCATAATGATAAAGTGGTCTTAAAAGGTGAAGCCGATGAAGAACCGGGCAAAACCGTGGGCGATCTAGTGTTTGATATCGATGAAGACAGTACCACAAGCAACTTAGAGCGGCGAGGATTCGACCTTCACACCAAATTGACAATCTCGTTATCTGACGCCCTTTGCGGTTTTGAGAAAGACCTGTGCGTTCATTTAGATGAGCGCGTAATAAGACTGAGGATACCTACGGGCCAAGTTTTGAGGCCAGGAAATTTTTTACGTCTTGCTAATGAAGGTTGGCCATTGGATGGTCAAGGAAGCAAATTCGGTGATATGTACGTTCAGATCAATATCGAGTTTCCACCCGACAATTGGTTCAGTGAGCGTCACGACTTACAAACGATCCGTAATATACTTCCGCAAGCGGGTTCGACTTCGAGTGCGTCCAGTTCTCAGAAGGTGACCGATTTCGTCAACACAGAATTCCCCGCTAACGTCGAAGTTGTGAAAAATTCCGACGATTTACCAACATATCTGCCTGAAGAGCCCGAGCAAGAGGGCCCTCAATGTGCGCAACAGTAATGACCGTCATGAAATTTTTGACTTTGCTAGTCTGTAAATAGCTTCCCCAAAATATTAAAACCTTGTACATACATAACAAAATACTAATCCAGGAGCGATTCAAGTTCCTTTACCGTGAGTCCCTCGCCACCATAAGTGGGCTCCAATTCTAATGATTCACTGCCATAATTATCCCCTTGTGCTGGTGTGTGTGGAAGTTGTGCATCACTTTGTTGACGTACATGATACCGTTTGCGTTCCTGATCATTTTCCTCTTCTTCATTGCCGGTGAAACCAAAATCCAATTCCAATAGTTGGCGAGATTTGAATGGGGCACTGGCATCGATGCCATCATCACCTTGTCCGTCACTGTCATCGTCGTCGCTGTAATACAGCCGCAGTGCCGGGCCTACGGGTGACCTTAGTTTTTCGAGCTCTTCGTCTGCAAATGGTGTATACGCACTTGGGATGTGCGGCAAAGGCTGTGGTCTGGGCGGTATGGTCTCGACTTCGCGGTCACTGCTGCTGTCGCTGTCGTTGTGTGATTGTTCCGGAATGAAGCCCAAGTTAGGTTTCGAGCTCAAGAGTCTCTGTAGGCCGTTACTACCGCCTTGAAGACGACCTAAGAGACCCGATTGAGCATCCTGATCGTTATTTGATTCTGTTTTTCCCTGGTCACGTGCTGAAAGCGTTCCCCGCAGTTTGGCCGCTATAGAGTCCGTTTCCAGCTCTTCATCCGGGTCGGATGCATCACTGTATGGCTCTTTTGTGTTCTCATCCACTGAATCTGGCAACACAAGACTTTTGAGGCGTGGTGCAGGGCCTGGTCGTGTTGACCCTATAAAACTGCCGGCAAAGTTCACCACGGGACGGCCTCTTTTCTTTTGCAAAGGTTCCTTCTGGGTCACCAAATTTGCTGTGCGGTTGTTGTCCTTACTTGCCAGCGGTTTCCTGCCCATTTCACGCCGTTGCGGCGATTTTTTGACATCCTTCAAGATCGAGGGTTGAGACCGGCTCAACAGATGTGTAGGCGTAACAGGCACATTGGAGGAAAACCAAACGCTATTTTCCTTGTCGTCACCTCCGGCCATGGCACTAAGCTAGGTTCTCGAGTGTGTTTAAAGATAGCTATGCTAGTTGTTGTTCGAGTGTTTAAAGAGATATATAGATGTGTTGTTAGATCAACGATTTCTTTAAAGATGTTTGTTTATGGTTTGTGGCTTTAAAGAATTTCGTGTGGAGGGATATAATAATCGAGGTAGCGTGACATCCATATCACGTGACAATTCAGCTGTGGTAAAAATAAGTGACGACTTTGCTAACTTCGTATTGGAAGGACACAAACTGAGTTTCAACGACGACAGGAGTACGTCTGAATTAAATTCGGGTGACTAGCTTGATCTGGATAGAGTAATGGTTATCCTTATGAACGGATGTGGTACATCAAAATGAATCACTATATACGTGTGAGTCGCTGGCTATTTCACGCACACAAGTATCTGATCTCTCGAGGTACCAAGTCTCAGTTTTGAGACGATATAGCTTATTTCCAATGCTCTTATTGCCTCCATATCTCGCTTTTTCTCAACATCTATTTCCACGTTTGTACGTGCTACGCTTTTATTGATGTAAGGTACTCATCTCATCTCATCTCATCTCATCATCTCATTAGCAGAAATGAAATATCATGGTAAAATCGTGTTTGGAAGTACTGGAATCGTTGCCCATTGACGTCCGCACAATCGGCCTCTTGGCGGGCAAACTGCGAAGCTCTACAAGATCTCAGGAACTGACATCGTTACTGCAACGCTACGAACTAACAAAAGAAACCAAGACACTGGAAAATATCATTCATTTTACGTATTTTCGATGCGAAAACAACCCATTGCCACCACATCTGTGCTTGTTCCGCAAACACTACGTAGAACTTCGAAACCACTGGCCACATGAACGCCATCGCAGCATCTTATCCATGGAAAACCCAAAGTCACAGTCCTTACGATTCCTGTGGACCAATGACAACCCTCGAGCGCTCACTGCAATGCGGTACGAGCTGCACCGCTGGGGCTCGTCTCAGACTGCAGAGGAACAGCACGAATCGTCTCTGCCTGAGCTCCAACGAAGTGTCCTCTTCCACGAGATTTTCCAGCATTACATGTTTCTCAAGAAGAACCCGAATCTTTGCAAAAATCGAAAGTCAGTCGCCATACCGATTGTGGAAATTCCGATGAAACCCTTGGGCCAAACAATTCCAGATTCAAGGATACGTAACATGTTCAAACGGAGAGTGGCTCACGTGTGGAACGTGCTGGCGCTCGAAAACCCAGCGCTTTCGCCCTCACAAGAAGCCTTGCTCACAGAAATAGTAAACGATCCTTTACCATCCGCCGCTGTTGCTAACCGTAGGTCCTTGCAGCGGATGTACCGACGCGCCTGCAAGGGTGCCTACGTGATACGGCCACATCCAGATCTTGGCCTCGAAATCCTGGAAAGTCCTTTGGTGAAACGACTTTAAGTTCTTTATGAGATTTGCATAGTTATAACGGCTGAGAGTGCTCAACCTCGAAGACCGTAAAATAAAATGGCATCTTCAATTTTTTTGGTTGTAAGAAACTCGATCAACAAGAACCAAAATTGCGAAACAAAAACAGATGCCTTGGAGCGCCTGAATCAAAAGGCCCAATTGGCAAGTATCACGTTCCCTATATCGTTCTGTGACTAACAACATGGCATTGAGACGGACAACGAGAACCACACACGTGACGACATTTTTCACTCAATTAGCTATATGAGTTGGCTAAATTCAAATTTTCTAGAGCAGCGACAATCATCGATGAGCGAGCTTTTGTCGTGCCAAGTACAAACAACAAGCGTTGTCTAACAGCTTCCGTCTCCCGTTGTGATGTCTTTCATTACCAGGAACATACTCGGGCTCCCAGCCAAAAGAAATTTCACGACTTTGACATCGTTTTCACCACTAAGATCAGGTATCATTCGTCCATCGGCATTGCAGACCAACAGCACAATTGGCTCCGAAGTGACAGGATCCGCTTTCCCCGGTTATCTAAACATGCTGATTGGTTTGACCCAAAGAAGATGGAAGAGTAGGGGAAACACTTATCAGCCGAGCACGTTGAAGAGAAAGAGAAGGGTAGGTTTTCTCGCGCGTGCTAAGAGTAAGCTAGGATACAAGGTCTTGAAAAGACGTCGGGAGAAAGGCAGATGGTACTTGACGCATTAGTACCGGGATGAGATCAATTTTGGTTATCAAAGTGACAATTAGTCACAAATTTTAGCATACATCATCTGTAAATAGATAAGACACTTGGAAAGAATTATGAGGATTTCAAGTATATCGAGTAACTTCCTAAGTTACTGAAAGTTGTTCCTATTGAAGTCAATTTCATATGTACAGGGGCTTCTCGAAAGTTTAAATTTTAGGCAAAGTCAATGACGATTCCGGGACCATGAGTGGATGTGAGAGTGGTTTGGCCCAGCAGACTAGGTCTCTTGGCCTTTTGGTTGGCTAGGGCGGTTTTCACGCCCTTTTGAGCAGCTACCAGGTTCTCCAGCATTTGCTTGTCAGAAAAGGAACACTTCCCCACAGCTACGCTAACACTGTTACCACGCTGTCTGAAGGGCAAAGAAGCCATGCTGCCTTCGAGTAACGATTCTAGATTGTCCGAAACGGTGCCCTTCTTCGCTGCAGGCAGCAAGCCACGAGGACCCAGAATACGACCAAGCTGCGATGCTAATGTAGATGCTATTTCAGGTGTTGCAAAACTTTTATCGAAGTCCACGGCCGTCTGGCCCGATTTTATCTGCTCTACGAGCTCAGTACCACCAACGAGATGGCAGTTGTATTTTTCACGAGCCAGCTTTGCCTGGTCTTCGTCGTTTGTGAAAACTGCCACTTTGACTTCTTTTAGAGCATTTGGGAATGATAGATTTCCACTCAAAAGTGGAGCTCCTCGTTCGGATATTACAGCAGTTGTCAGACTTAACGTCTGTTGAGACTGAGGCTGGCCGACCTCAGCTGCTCGCAAAAATCGCAGTGCCTTGTCTACAGGCATATAAAGCGGATGGTCACTTGCGGCCCGTCTGGCAGCCGCCTTACGTTGTGCCAAACGTCTGATTTCTCGTTTCTTCAGCTGATCTTTGCTTAATTTCGAAGTTGTAGAATTGCTTGCTTCTTCAGCAGAAAGACGTGGAAAAACCTGTAAGCATCTTGTTTGGTTTCTATTTACAAGTGCATTGACCTTGGTGCGCACCCTAGATAGCATTTGGGTCTTGACTGGGATAGTAATTCGATATGTCAACCTGACAGATTCAGCTTTTCAGTGAATCAATTGATGATTCTTCAGATTTTTTAATGACTACATATGAGAACTTGACGAATGTACTCGTGCTGAAAACAAGAAAAGTACTCGAAAGCGAATTACTGGGGTCGTGCATTTCGAGTATTCTGAAGCATTGAGAAGTCCCTTATGATTCGTGTTCTAGTTTATCATGTATATTCAACTGTTACCGCCTCTCTTCTTACCCTTCTTCAACTTATTGACGAAGTTTATCCATTTTGTTGGGATGCCTTGACTGTTGAGCAATTCGATAACAGTGGGTCCATGAGGACCCTGCACGGTAACCTCTGGGGTCTTGGGAGCTGTGGTGGTCTCGCCAATCGTAGTAGAGCCGCTGCATTTCTTTCGAAGCATTTCGGCCAATTTCTGTTCGTCGATTTGGAATTTGTCGAAATTCGAGACTTTCGTGACGACCTTACGGCCAATCTTCATCTCGGTGACTATCTGAACAGTTGGAATGCCACCCTTTAAAGGACTCTTGAACAAAGGTGTGCCATCTGGCTTGAGAACCACGAAGTGCTCCGAAAAGTTGCCCTTCAAGATGGGACTCATTATATTCGCTCTTGGAATGGTGCGCACGGCATTTTCCTTCTTGGCAGCACGGTTGACCACTGCATACAACACGTCGTCGAGTAGAACGGACGCTTTGTTTTCTGGACTCATAAGATTCTTCTGAGCGATGTAGCGATCCACACCGCTTTTAATTTCTTGCTGGGTAAAAAGGTGATCTATCTTGAGGTCGAGAGTTCTCAGAAAGTCCTTTGCGCTGCTGTTGGGCTTATACAACGTCACTGCGGTCATCATAGCAGGGCCGGCGTGATCTTGTGAGTGTTTCGATCCAGATTGACCGCCACCAGCTGGTGCGGCGACCCGGTAAGGTACAAAACTGACCAGTTCGGGCTTCGCTTCTTTGGAGACCGCGCCAACAACAACCAAGTCATCGCCTTTGCCCTTCAATTTCAGAAATCCTTCTTTTTCAAAATGCTTGAGAAACTTGGCGGTCTTGCGCCACGAAGTTCTTTTCATGTTCACCTGCGAAAGGTCCACTGGCGGCAGGTTGCGTAAGATATGGTTCGACACGAAACTCGAGCTGCTCACGGGCACATGAAAGTTCAGGTCCTGCGTCAACGTGTAGTACAAAGATCTGGTAAAAAAATGATCCACGTCTTCTGTGCTCAATTGCTCTAATTGTTCAGCCATATCGTCGATATCTGCGGACGGAGTTTCTCGGTATTCTACGTTTGGTTCTGTCTCTGCTTCTGCGTAGTTCTCATCAACACCAGATCCCAATACCCCTGTTTCTTCTTCTCCCTCTTCTTCTTCTTCTTCTTCTTCTTCTTCTTCTTCGCTTTCAGATTCGACAGATTCCCCAGGCTCTGGAGGCTCTACCTTCGCTTTGAATGTTTTGCAAAGCCCATCGTCCCAAGTATGAACGATTTCAACTGCCACTCCGGTTTCGCCGATGACACGACTATATGCTGGTAAATTGAGCTGAACGATCCCTATAGCCTTCACAACCCGCGGGGAACGTGTGCTGGCCACTCCTACCATTCGGGTCTTGACACATCTGGGATCGAACGGTGGTACTGTACCGGGAAGCATCAGATTGGCACCCTTCACAACTTTTTCCTCAACCACGTATTCATGGGCTAACACTACCGGAAGTAGCTCGGGCCACTGCCAGCACGTATACACCGTGGGGAACATCAAATCGCTGAACTTCTCTTTGAACCAGATAGGAACATTGTTTTCGTCTGTGAAAACTGTACCAGTGGTGAACTGGGTCTTAAATGTAGTTTGCTTCACCACTTGGGATGTAAAAGCATATTTGTCCAGTTGAGTTTGAGTTTGACATTGGGTTTGAGTTTTCTTGCGTTCCGAGTTCTTCAAGTTACTCAGGGCCTTGATTTGGGGATCTTTTTTGAACATTTTAGTGGTGGCAAGTGCCAGAGCTTCTGATCTTGAGTCACGATAACTTACAAGGTCCAGTTCAAATGGCCCAGCTGTTCCTGTGAAGCGACTTATTCAATGGTATTCGCCGAAAAGTCTTATTCACCTATCCTAACGTTGAAAGCTTCTGTTTTCACTGTGATCCAATTGTTGGCGTTGTTGCAGGTGAAGGAATCACTGATTGAGCGTCTTGAGTTGTTAAAGAGTTCTCAATGGGTCGTTCCGTAGCTTGTGCCTTGTTTTATAGATTTGAATAAATGCTAATGTAGCAATTCTTGGAATAGTTGTGAGTTAACGTGAAATGAGGTTGTTGTAGTTGTAAAAGATTAGTTTTCGTTACCTTGAAAGGTATTGTAGCTTTAAGAACTCTGAAGGTGAGGTCTAGTTTGTTGATCTAGGGAAGAGAAGCTAGTCTAAATCCAAGCAAGAAGAGAAACAAGTGAACAAAAGGGAAGAGACAGGATTTTGCATTATTTTTCAGTAAGTAGAGCATAACAAAGTGTTCATGTATGCAAAGACAGCAGAACCAGAGGCATTGCGGTTCAAGGGCAAAACCCAGCTTGGTATTCACCAAAGTGTAGTTTGGAACCCTCAATTGGCACTCTATTTGGTGGTTACAGGTAAGACTATTACCGTGAATCGGCAAACGGACAATCAACGCGTAGCTACCATAGTGTTGAAAGACGCTGAACAGGCCATTGCGTACCAATGGGACCGGGATACAGGCAAGCGGTTTGCCGTTTTCTATCGAAACGGTATCGCCAGAATCTACGACTGTACTACGGCCGGCGGTCAATTGCAAAAAGTGGTAAATATCGTGGAAACCCCGGCGTTGCATCCGGGTACACAAACCCAAAACGCAGCTTTGAGCTCCGCTGTATGGGCTACAGTGGCCTGGGATAGGTTTCCTGACACTTATGCGGTGTTAAATGTCGATGTGGCCGCTTTGATGCCGGATATGGTCCGTATTGTGCGAGATTCCAAGCAGATGAGCATGGCGCCAATGGGGCCGTGGGGCCCCGATCTGAGCCATCCAGAAGCCTCTGTGATCCTGTCACACAGCCAAGAAGACCGCTGCTACTTGCTCACGCTCGATGACTTGGTCACAGTGCGTTTCAGCAGCAAAATCGACCGGATGTGCAAAATTTTGCCGCCCAAGTACAAACACGGGCCGTTCGTGGGCGTTGCGCGCGACGGTACGCTCGAACACATACGTCTGCAATTCACGGAAGTTCCGCTTATGCGTGAGCTTGTCAAATGTTCCGGATACGTGCGGTTTTTGTGTGAATATATCATTGATCACATCTTGGTGTGCAAATCAGACCTCATAGATCCATTTGCACAGTTACTAGCGCGTCTAAAGGCTGCATATGGTGGCAGCGATCTATACACTCAGCTGTGTGAGGTCTTAGTGTCCGGATGTGTCGATCCAGCCCTAGAAGATTGGTTGTGCAACAGCGTAGGCGACAAGAACTTCAAGCGCTGGAAACAACTCTCGTCACGCATGTGCGGGGACCTCAACAACGTTCTGACGCTGGCAATAGTGCCAGCGTGCGAGCGTTTGATCTTGGCTTGTGAAAGGTTGCAGGGCATCCACAAGAGCCTAAAACTACAGAAACTCAAGGAAAGCGGCGAATTCGACCCTACGAAATTGTCCAGCCCGGAAATTGACGTATTCCTGCACGAATGCCAGGAGATGCTGGCAGATACGCTGCGACTGGTGGAATATGTGAATGCCGATGCTGTACTACACGCGATTTTTGAAGAGTGGTTTTTCGACATAGTGATGGAGTGCGTGGACGAAGATTACAAGAGAAAGCCCGACGCCGAGAAGAAGTACAACAGCAACAACAGACCGGTGCAATTAGAGCAGTACTTGAAACTGTGCTGGACGTCGTCGTCGTCATCGTCTTATGGGATTGCTGATCATGGCCTAAACGCTTTGGAAAACCGGGCACGTGACCGATTGGTCACGTGCGCCAGTAAACTTGATCGTCTTTATACGGTGCCCTGGGTACTGGAGCTGGTCCAAGTGACCCGCAGTGGAGCTACGGAACCACACATACAGGTGTGGGATGCCATTGTGGATGAAATGAACGCAGACTGCGTCTTCGTGGCAAGTCAAATCATCGGGCATGCGGCAGATCACGCGAACACGAGCAGCAGCAGCACTATTGTCTCTGTTGCCAGACGATGTGCTCCCAATAACAACAACAATACAGCCACATCCGTCGAAATGGTCTGGGAACTGGTTCCTGATTCGTCCGAACCTCCATCACCACCGTCGTCGTTGTCTTCTTCTCCGGCCCCCGCTGTCGATGCCACCTTCATCACTTCCCACGACGATGGCAGTCCCGCCCTGGTCGTTCTCCACGACCGTGACACTCTCACCACGCTAGCAATACATCGGTCATCACTGGTCCCAACTCATTTTACGCTGACCGGTTCCTCGCAGCGTTTGAGGCAAGGAACGACGCCATTGTTCACAACCGTAGCTGCCACCAGCCTCCACTCCTGCGCTTCGAGTGCCCTGCTCTCGGTTCACAGCACATCTGCAATGGCAGTCTACGAAATGTCATGTGACCAGCACAGATGTGGTGGTGGTCGAGCTTAAGGCTCCGGACGCCCTCGCCCATGCTTACGAATGTAACGTGGTAAGCATGCGAGATTGCACCATGCCACACACGTCTCTACAGGGCCAAAACGAGTGTCTTTTGAACGAATGTGGTGGTTGTGGTTGACAGTCATTTTTTTGTTGTGGTGGTGGATGATGACGCTGTTCAAGTGTATTATTAACCAAACGAGAGGGCAAGAGAATTAAACGCAGACGAAGGATGAACGCTGGGTGGGGCCGGAAAAGAGTATATATGGGGCCCCAGATCGACGAGGGATTTTAACTGATCTCCCGGGCAATTTTTGCAGCATCTTACTGTCAGAATTACAAGGAATTAGCTATTTCAGCAAGCCAAAAGCCATTGACACTAATATTTGAGGCCGAACCAGTGTGTGAAAAAATCCGTCACGTGAAGAAGTTTCCCACAGGCTATAGTCCACAAGATGTCAAATTTAGATGCCCTAGAGGCCGAATTCGGTCGTGAAAAGAAGGACGAAACAAGAGTGACGGCCGCCAATGCTGACTCGGACAGCTTCGAATATAACGAGGGTGCCGATCAGTCAAAAAACCTCGACCTAGGCGGAGGATCCGGTCAAACTACCAAAGACCACGGGAAATACGGCTCCGGTTGGGGTTCGAATTACGGTTCCTCCAGCGGCGTGCCACACATTCCTGCGTATGAAGAGCCCAAAGTGGACTTGAAAGACTGGTATGACGATAAGTTGAGACCTTACTTGACGGTGCGCAGTGTCATTTCGTACGTACACAGCTTGTTCCCGTTTTTGAACTGGATCCACCACTACAACGTGCGCTGGTTGTACCAGGACGTGGTGGCTGGTATCACCGTGGGATGTGTGCTGGTGCCACAATCGATGTCTTACGCTCAGATCGCCCTTTTGCCTCCACAATTTGGTCTGTATTCGTCGTTCATCGGGGCGATGATTTACTCGTTTTTCGCTACCAGCAAAGACGTGTGCATTGGGCCTGTGGCCGTAATGTCACTGCAAACCGCTAAAGTGGTGACCGCTGTGTTGGCCAAGTATCCTCAAGATTCGGAAGTCACGGGTCCAATTATTGCCACAGCGCTGGCGCTGTTGTGTGGGATCATCGCTCTGGGTTTGGGCGTCCTGAGACTAGGGTTTTTGGTAGAGCTCATCTCGACAACCGCGGTGGGAGGATTTATGACGGGCTCTGCGCTCAACATCATTGCAGGACAGGTTCCTGCGTTGATGGGTTACAACAAGCTGGTGAACACTCGTACCAGCACGTACAAGGTGATCATAGAGACGCTCAAGCACTTGCCCAACACCAAGTTGGACGCTGCGTTTGGTTTGGTGCCACTGTTCATTCTGTATCTGTGGAAATGGTTCTGCAATACCGCTGGCCCCAAGCTCGTGGAGCGCTACAGTAGACGCCAACGCACTTCCACGATCTGGCGGGCTGTTTTCTTCTACTCCCAGGCTCTTCGTAACGCCGTGGTTATCATAGTTTGCACCGCGATCGCCTGGGGTATTAGCCACAACAAGAAAACGGCTCCAATCTCTCTTTTGGGTAAAGTTCCATCGGGTCTGAAAGACGTTGGTGTCATGAAGGTTCCTGAAGGTTTACTGGCAAAGATTGCTCCAGAATTGCCCGCCTCCGTCATCGTGTTGCTCTTGGAACACATCGCCATCTCCAAGGCTTTCGGTAGAGTCAACGACTACCGTGTGGTACCCGACCAAGAGCTCATTGCCATTGGTGCGACCAACTTGATTGGTACTTTTTTCAACGCTTATCCAGCTACGGGTTCGTTCTCTAGATCCGCTTTGAAGGCTAAATGTAACGTCAGCACTCCTTTGTCGGGTCTTTTCTCTGGTGCATGTGTGTTGATCGCCATCTACTGTCTAACTTCTGCTTTCCGCTTCATTCCAAAGGCCACTTTGAGTGCAGTTATTATTCACGCGGTTAGCGACTTGTTTGCATCCTACCAGACCACCTGGGGATTTTTCCGTACCAGTCCACCAGATTTCGTGTGTTTCATTGTGACCGTTTTTATCACTGTTTTCAGTAGTATCGAAAATGGTATCTATTTCGCTATGTGTTGGTCTGTTGCCGTGTTGTTGTGGAAAGTGGCTTTCCCAAGCGGTCAATTTTTGGGCCGTGTTGACGTTGCCGAAGTTATCAATCCTGTGATCACTGGCGGTGACCATGGTGATTCCAACGAGGGTCAATTGAACTCGGACGGTAGCGTTATTGGATCATACTCCGACGTGTGGCCTGAATACAAGCTCAAGGGTCAAACTGATATCGAAACTGCCGCTCCTATAATAGGCGAGGAGCTGAAACGCACGGCTACTCTAGCTCCTAGAACGGGATCCAGCGTCAAATTCCACACCAAATGGGTTCCATTTGACCAGTACAACAGAGAAGTCAACCCCGGTGTCATTGTGCGTCCTCCTCCTCCAGGTGTTATAGTCTTCCGCCCCAGCGAAAGTTGGACCTACATCAACTGTTCCCGCCAATACAACGCTATTTTCGACGAGGTGACGCGCCTCACTCGCAGAGGCCGTCTGTACCTGCCAAATTCTGGCAACAAGCGTTGGAACGACCCTGGCGAATGGACTCCTCCTACGTTTTACAAGAAGTTGTTCAAAAATAAGAGATCTGGGGGTGCCAATGCCAGTGGCTACGGCGCCCACGACGACGGAAATGAAGCTGTTGTTGTGAGGGACGACCGTCCCGTCCTGCGCGTTATCGCTTTTGACTGGTCGCAAGTGGCACAAGCCGATGCTACGGGTCTGCAGACTTTGGTGGATCTACGTAAGGCCGTGAACCAATACGCCGATCGCCAAGTCGAGTTCCATTTCAGCGGGATCATCTCCCCGTGGATCAAGCGTGGTTTGATCAACGTTGGTTTCGGAACCGTCAACGCAGAATACTCTGATGAGTCGCTGCTGGCCGGCCACGCAAGCTACCATGTGCTCAAGGCGTCTCCCCTAACCGCTTCCGATCCCGTTGACGATACTGAGTCTCGTCAAAACGCCATCTACAGCGCCTCTGGCACCAACAATCCGTTCTTCCATCTGGAGATGCCAGATTTTGCCCAATGGGATTTGGCACACGAGTCTCTTTGAGCTTGCCCTAGGATGTCAAGAAAAGGGCCTGATGTTTTGCAGATACTACTAATTACAACATAATCTTACTTTAAATTCACGTTACCTTCTACTAAAACGCAGTTTTCTGAACTTGTTCTTGTTCCTATCTTTCGAATTTTGACTAGTAGTCTTTGTCGGTCTTTACTCGCTTATCTGCTTTCTACAAGTTATTAGATTATAAGGTGTCTTTAAAGAGCCACAACTTCCATTATATCTGACTTTTTTGGTAGCGGAGTTATGAAGTTGTCGTTGATGCGATAAAGCTATAAAGATCCTATAAGTAAAGTTCGTTTTTGTTAACCTTACGGGTGGTGGTCTTATAAAGTTCGAGTTAACACTAGCATATATATATATTTCATCAGATCATTGAACAAAGTAAGAGGGCCCTCTTGAGATTAGAGAATCGCTCGAGAGATAGATACCGTTAAAGTAAGGAAACTAGGCCGTCAAAGTCAGTGAACTTCGTTATTTCGACCGATCTAGACGGTGGTTAGGATTAGTTGGTCAGTGAGACACAGCTAGAGCCAAGAAAACAGACGGGAGTGACATTACTAGGATATTGAAGCCCTACTGAAGCTCGAAAGTATAATTGAAGATATTATACACACTCAGTGGGAACTATGAGAGGTTCCATATCGTCTTGCGCCGAAGAGGTACCACAAACAAACGATACGTATACAGGACTGGCTGGTGTGGTTGTAGCCAGCGAGATACAGGACCAACAAGAGGAATGTAGAAGATTGTCGTACGGATCAACGAGCTCGACGTCAAAGATAGGCAATGTTGGCGTCCATGCCAGAGAATTTGAAAGCGAAACAGATGGATTGATCACTGGAGACCAGCAAAAACCCGAATTCTGCGCTGCGAAAATCCAAATTATCATGACTTCGATGTATCTGGGCATTTTCCTCGCGGCTCTCGATGGCACCATCGTTTCTACGCTTATGACTCACATAGCATCTGAATTTCAGGCGCTACCTAACATCTCGTGGATTGCTACAGGGTATCTGCTGTCCACCTCGTGTTTCCAGCCGTTGTACGGGAAAATATCGGATGTGTTGGGTCGCAAACCTATGCTTGTGTTCAGTAACGTTCTTTTTGGCCTGGGGTGTTTGATCTGTGGATGCAGCAACAATTTGTGGTTTCTGGTCACTGGCCGTTTTGTCACCGGTATTGGAGGAGGCGGTTTGACCTCTTTGGCCAGCATAACTACCAGTGACATTGTGCCGCTACGTGACCGTGCCCTTTACCAGGGAATGTGCAACTTGTTTTTTGCGATAGGTACTAGTTGTGGTGGTTTGGTTGGTGGGTTTTTCGGCGAACACGGTGGTGGTTGGCGTGTAGCATTTTGGATCCAGATCCCGGTCTGCATCGTTAGTTGCATCCTGATCATCGCATATTTGGATTTACCACCTCGTCATCCAAATGGAGGCGAACTGCAAACCTCGTACAAGCAAAGATTGCAAAAACTCGACTGGCAAGGTGCCATTTCGCTTGTGACAGCGCTGTTTTTGTTCATGCTTACTTCTTCGCTTGGTGGAAAAGAGATTCCTTACAACTCTAAACTTTTCCTATTGTTGTGCATCCTAACGGTGATTGCCGGCGCGGTATTTGTGGGTATCGAAACGTATCTCACGTCAGACCCAATTTTGCCCGTATCCTTTCTGAAGGACAGATCGGTATGCGCCGGTAGCTTAGCAAACTTCTTTTGCGTTATGGGGATGATCACGGTAAACTTCTACTTACCAATTTACTATGCAAGTGTTATGAATATGGGCCCAACCGATGTGGGGAAAAGATCTGTACCCAGTTTCATCAGCATTGCCCTTGGATCCTTGGGGGCCGGTTACTACATGAAAAGAACTGGCAAATACTATTGGTTTACACTACTAGGATGTTTGATAGTGATCCTAGGTCTCCTACAGGTTAATTTCATCAGTGCTACTACGCCTGTATGGCAACAGTATTTGTTGCAAGTGACCCCTGGGCTGGGTGTATCTATCTTGATTACCGTGACATTACTTGCGATGATCGCAGCGGTACCACATGAGCATCAAGCGGCTACCACGTCTATCTCATACGCGTTTAGATCGACAGGTTGTACTCTGGGTGTTTCTCTTGGTGCTGCTATATTCGGTAATCGTCTCAACAACCAGCTTGATGTCAAAGTATTGAGTTTGGTGTCTGAAGAGCATTCTGAGGCTGAGCTACGAATGATAATTTCTAAAGCTGCTCATTCAGCAGAATGGATACATCGAGAGGCTCCGCACTTTGTGCAGGCGACGCTAATCGAATGCTACCATTATGCTTGCAAAGCGACTTTCAAGTTCTGCCTTGTTGTTGCGATATTAGCTTCGATCAGTTGCATTTTCATTAAAGAACACAGACTGCATACGTCGATCAGTCGGGACAAGTAGCCAGGACGAGTAGCCAGGACAAGCAGCCAGGACAAGTAGCCAGCCAGGACGTTTGGTTGTTGACAAGATCAAGAAGATTTACAAAATAGACATCCGCCAGCCAAGGCAGAGAGATCTACATGGTGATTTTGAAGGATCCATTTATGAGAGTCTACGTATAAGAGACGCCAGGAATAGCTTCACAGGGCTCTTGAGGTTAGTGGAACTGGCATGGTTTTGACTTGGGTGCGTCAAGAGTATAGATAATAGGTTATGGTACTGGGGAGAGTGTTTGTAGCGGAGTATAGAATAAAGGACGCACATCCGTACACCCGGAGCGGGACCCGGTAGTATCTCACGTGATACAAAATACCAACTTACCCGGATATTATGTAATCATCAGATGCAAAAATTCTAGCACGTGACAGCTAAAACATTACGTAATTAGAACACTCATACACGTGACAGATAATCGATCTTTCCCGAATATTACATAAGCACACCAACACCCGTGAATCACGTGACTCGATATGTTTCATCCATATGTGTGTTGTGTATGTGTTAGAGTCCGTCTCCCCCTTTACCCTTCCCCCCACAATCACCCCCCCTCTCTCTTTTCTCGGAGTTGGAAACACCAGTATGTCCTTTCCAGGCATCCCTGCCACGACAGACCATACCACTTTTCCCGTCGCCAAAATCGGTATTTTCTTCTCTCATCCCACTAATTTATTATCTGCCCGTTTCTAACCCCGGTCTCAAAATCACACCATTACTGAAAGATATCGGTCCACTTACTGACACAAACGGGCAAGCTTCCGCACACCACACTCATCAAACCGGCCTGTAGAAAAATGGACACACTATTAACATCATCACTCCACTTCCCTTCCCACAAAACACACCACTAAAACAACACCACCCTTTCTTGGCAGAAAACGTATATAAAGAAGGTGTAGCGGGTAGTAATGTCCTGGTGGGTAGTGTCTGTAGTTGTAGTCTTAGTATCTCCAGTAATCATCCATTTGATAATCGCTTCTGATAATACTACAACACTTTTAACCATGATCTCTTCACCAATTCTAAGAAACTCTGCAGCTACCTTGAGACGCTCTGTGGGCGCTGCCGCGCCCAAGAGCGCCAGTAGGGTGCTCTTGAGAGCTTCTCCCGCCAGAATCGGACAATCTTGGGCTGTTATCGAGACCAAAAGATTGGTACCCGCAGTTGCTGGCTGGGCCGCTTTCCTCTCTGCCATGTTGGGATGGCCCTTTGCTTTAAGAGCTCTTGTGCTGCCCAAGCAACTAGATTAAAAGAAGAGGTGGAAAAACCCAAAAAAAAAAAACATGTGTGTATTCTCTCTCTGTGAGCGTGTGAGTGTGTTTGCGTTGTGTGAACTGTTGTCCACGACATGGAGTGTATAAATATTCAATTTCAACGACCTGATGACTATAAGACCAATGTGTTGCCGTCTCCTCTTTTCTCTTCTCTTTCATGTAGGACGGGACTTGGGACCCCAATTACGCTCTGGGTTTTCCTGGAACCGCACGATCTTGAGTTTACGAAGTGCTTCGATTTGGGCACTTTGTTCGTTTGGTGAAAAATCGAGTTTGTCACCGTGCTTGTCGTTGCCCTTAGCGTCACGTCCGATGGCGTCGTTGGCCAGGATCTTGTACCCGAACGAATTCGGATTCATCTTGTCCAACTTGCTTAACTGGTTGTCCTCACAATACCGCTTCATCGTGTACCAAATAGCATCCCAGGGAGCATCGGTCTTCAACGACGACGGCTGAGCGTGGGTCAACGAGGTGCGGAAGCCAAGCGATCCAAGACCAGCAACTACAGTCTTCAAACTGGGTACTTGAAATTTCAAAATCGACGATACCCGATTCGGAGTGAAGTAAAATGGTGTCTCTAGCTCATTCTGCGCCAAAGTCAACATCCCCTCAATCCGTTTACGCGTCTTGTAAACATCGTCCGTGTGTTCCTCACGATTGATCCGCAACACTTCTTCAATAAATTGTTTGTTGTGCAGCGGACCCGCATACATTGGTCCTGTCAGATGGTGCGCTCCGCCGCAATACGGACATTTTTGATCCACAGGTGGACCCTGCGCAAGCGAATATTTCACAAACGTGTTGCCCTTTTTGGTACTACGTTCGCTTTGACGGCCCAAACGCTGATTGTGGTATGCACCACACCCACTGCACATGTAGGTGATCATCGTGTTGCTCTGTAGATTCTTGACCTCGAGCGGATTCGTTTTCACTTTCACGAAAACTCGCACGTAAAAATCGATGCTTAAAGAAAGCACAGGCTCTATACTCTTACGGTATTTGGCAGCACTCTGACCCAATAAATTCAAAACCAATCGCAGAGCGCTTTCGTGGGTTGCATCGTGACCAGCCATGTTGACACCGCCATATAGGGCAAAACACTTTTCAGGATATCCACTGCCGGCCAAAACTGAAAGATCGGTACATGTAACCAGCATCAACCCATCGTCCTCGATGTTCTGCAGAGCAGCATCCACAAATGGCGTCACGGTACCGTATGGATCCAGGTCAATGATGTGGTACCGTTTCCGCTGAGCCTTGTTGCGGTACATTAGCACATTAGCGTCATCAATGTTGGGTTTCACAATGTCCCCGACTTCATTGTGGTCTACGTTCCTTTGAATTGCCTCTACTGCTGCAGGCAACAAGTCGTTGGCCACAATTTCCTTTACGTGCGGAATTTCATGTGCGTATCTGATCGCACGGAGTCCCGTAGCTGAAAGTGCCTCCAAAATGCGAATGTAAGGTCTTTGTTGCTGCTGCTGCTGCTGATCTACAATTTCTCCACTCCCATCGCTCAATTTCCGTTTCTTGGCAGACTCCTGCAACCTGCCCTCTGGTCCACGTTTCTTGCTGTGTTTCCGTGCTCTAATTTGTTCCTGTTTTGGCTGGCCATACAAGTTGTCCCATGCTTTGATGCAAGTAACACTTAGGTCTCTGTTGAACTGCTGGATTGGGTTGTAGAAAACAGTTTCTTTCTCAGGGAACAAGATGTGCCCTTTGCCCTCAGTGACCACATTGAATTTCTCGGCGCTAGGCTTGCTGGCAGGTCTCAGAAACCGGTTCCTGACTCGATTTATAGCGGCTTTTATCATTGTTGAAGTCTATGCGATGAGCTCGAGGAAGCGATGAGATGAGCATAGTATTGATAATTGTGGAAAATTTTATATATATATATAATAGCATTGAAAATTGACCATACTTCAACAGTAGTTGGCGGAATGGAGTGAGCGTTTGAGCATCAAAAGCATCTTTCAATCGACGTTCCTGCTCTTGATTGTGTTTGGACGTTGTTGCTTGAACTGAGAGCTTCAATTTGAGGCCTCAGGGGCCAAATTTGGGTTGCAAACACTAGTCATGGGAAGGTCTGGAAGAACAACGAATAGTATTGTTTATATAGAGAATTCCGTGTATTTTGATCGGAGGGATCCAGCTTCATGCTGATGCTGAGACATTCTTTGAATGTTTTTGAAGCTCACAATTGACCATCGGCGTAGAACTATCTTGTGATGTTGTGACATGACATTTTACAATTAATGGTAATCCCGCAGACAGTAGAAGTCTTGTGTAGCTTGCTTACAGTTCACAATTCTGTGATTTAGATGTTTCTTCCACATTATTTGCGTTTATAAGAAGTGTGTCTTGTTCGAGTGGTAGTGTGTCCATTAATTGTGTGTGGGTTGCCCAAATACCCACCAATTGTATATCTTCAAGAACAGCATTTGAGACACAAGTTGAAACTCAAATGGCTCCAAAGAGTACCAAGCTACCGGTAGCTTCGCATGCCAAAGAGCAGCAGAATGTCTCGATAGAAGATCTGCTGTTCCCCAGAAGTACGATTGCAAATCTAGCCAAAGATAGTGCACTGTCGGGAGCGCAACAGGAAAGACAAGAAGTGGGACAAGAAGAAGAACAGAAGAAAATCGTGCTTTCCAAAGATGCAGTGACTGCACTCCAGCGAGCAGCTACAGTATTTGTAAACTATTTGATGGTTTCTTCGCGAGACGGCGCCACTTCCCAAAATCGAAAAAGCTGCAATGTCGACGATGTACTCACAGCTCTAGACCATTGCGGGCTCGAGGGTCTCAAATCACTAGTGAGAGAGCGTCTTGACGAATATAATCGCGCACTCGAATTGCGGAAACTCGACAAAGAACAGGGAGCACCAGCACAGCCAGAAGCCACAGAACTGGAAGACGAAGGTCAAGAAATACAGAATGAAGCGTCAGCTAAAAGGCCAAAAGTGGATAATTGAAAGAAACCCTGTTGATCAGAGACCTTGCGGTAAGACTTATACACTTACACATTGAATATACACACTCTACATGTAAAATAACAAGTCTGCAACGACTCAGGAAACATCCAGCTGTGGAATCATTGCCAAAAACCAAAAAAAAAGTGCCATAACTACTCAAACCTTTTCTGTCTAACCTCGTGCTACATAAAATGCACCGCAAGTAAGACTGTCGTGACGACTAACACAGAAACGGCTGCGATAGTTGTGCACACTTTGACGTTCTGCCACCACATTTTCGCCTTGATTCGTCCCGCCTTCCGTTTGAAATTGTAGCTCGATTGATTCAGTTTAGAGGTCCGATCCACGAGTAGTGATACGCGCTCCTGTCGTTGCAGAAACTTGTCTATATTGTCATTCATAAGCTGGATAATGTCCTGCATGTCTTGCTCAGTGGCCTCTGCCGTCGAGGAGTCATGGTACGACATTAGCTCATTGTAGAATTGCTCGACGATGGTTCGTACGTGCGAATCCAGTTCCTGATCCGTTTCGTTAGACATGGTCTTCAATTCCGTCAGTATCCGTAGCGGCAAAATTTTGGGCACATTTGCAGGTGAGAAACACACGTATACCATGTTTCCAGCTTCTGTTCCGTAGTAGCATTCAAATCCGTCCAGCAGTGAACTCGACACTTTTGTTACCTTATTTCCCGATAATGGGACCACCTTGGGTATAACCAGTTCATCTACAAGTTTCCGAAACACCTTCGGCGTAGCACTGGATCCGGCTTTCCCCACAGACCCATAACCTTCTGTTGAATTATTGAAGTAGGTGGCTATTACCTTGTTGTCCCGTAAAGCCTCGATGTAAGTAACTAAAACGCGTGTGTTAGTAGCTGAAAGTTATATCATTCGAATCCTTGGAATTCACAAAATACTATCGTGGCGCTCATCAACCCAACATACCGTTGTATTTTTTCATTTTTATCGTCTTGAGAACTTGTTTAAGGTTAAGGTCGTTCTTATTCGGACAGTCAACCGTAATATATATATTACGCATTATAGAGAGAGAATACCGACAACAAGTTCCAACCCTCTCAAATCGGTATTTATATGTAAAGGCTGCAAGAAAGTAGGCCTCAAATAAGGACTATATAAGTGTGTTCGACAAGAGCTTTTAAAGGTTACTTTTGTTGTTCAGTTTGTAGATCTGGAAGGCAGTTTAAACTGTGACCGAAGTGACAAAAGATGTCATGGTTAGTTCGCCCAATAAACATCTGAGAACCCGATTTGTAGATGCTGTTTGGTTTCTATTCTCATGAAGGTCTGTTTAAACCTTTTCAATCGGCCGCTTGACCTACCGTTTTGTAGAAGTGAGAGCCTCGTGTTAATGGCTTGGCAGTCGAAACAAAAAGAATATGATTAAAGCTTCCTAAGTGATGATGCTTCTATGAAAATACCATCATTTAAATATAGACCAGGTCTAACTCCGATATGTGGACTTTCTCGAAACTGCTCAGAATCATCAAATTATTCTTGTCACTGATAAATGTCTTTACCTTCATTAGCGGAACTCTTGTCCTATAACCTTGACAACTGCGCTTGAGGACGCAATGTACACTTTTCTGATGCAGCTCGACCATCGGAGTGGTTCATCAAAACCAAACTATTTGTGACTGGCAGTCAGCTGGCTGCTTCTTACGCTGACGATCAATTAAGATCTGACACAAGGCAGTTCGAAAATAAATTTCCCAATTATGGAGCCACTTGTGGCACCTGAACAGCTGTCAAAGCGTCCAGGGGCCATTCAAAATAGCCCTTCTCGATCAACTCCTCCACGGTCATTGCTCTATTGCCAGTGTCTTTGAAATATGCAAGATAGCCCTCTTTCAAAGGCTTGATTGAGCTTCTAAGCTTTATCTGATCTCCCGTCCACTCTACACCAAAATAGCCACCATTGCCTGCGCGGCGAATTTCTGTATTGAGTCTCTGCGAATACTGTACGTCCATAGGAAAATTCAAGTCGTGATACTTCCCAGTGTCGCCGTTGTTCTCGACAAACCAGTTGTCGTAATATTTCATAACCTCTAGAGACGGCAGCTGGATACGTCCACTCCATACTCTTGCTAGCCAGGCGCCTTGAGTTTCACTCAACCTTGTGGGAAGCACATACTTTGGCAATCCTAAGATACCGACTGTGGGCAGATGGTAGGGCACGATATGGTTATATAAGTTGTGCAAACGTGTTCCATCTGTGATAAGACCGCTCAAAACGGAATCGCCTTGGGATTGAACTTCTGAGGATTTGGGCAAAAACGGCAGCGACTTCAAGTATCCAGTACAGTAGATTACCTTTTCGACATTTTCAATTCTAGAGCCATTAACTAGCTCAATTGACTTGGTGCTGGTGTCGAATCTAAGAATATCAGGCACTTCGCGGATATTGGAGTCATAACCAGCGGGAAGTGCAGATTCAGACCTTTTCGATTTATAAATGGGTCTTTTCAAATGCGTGGCTAGTTCGAACGCTAAGTCTGACCCTGAGGCGCTGTTACCGATGATAACGATGGCGCCTTCAGTATTTTCGAAATCCTCTGGGCAGTCAAAGTCCTTAGCGTGCATGACGGATGTTGGGAACAATTCGTGCCATTCTTTCAGCCCGGGACGTTCTGGCACAAACGGCAGGTCGTAAAATCCCGTGGCGATAGCCACAGCATCGAATTCTTCTGTTTCGGATTGACCCGTCAGCAAATCGGTCGTGGACAACGCATATTTCTGATCCTCGTCGTTGTAGCGCAGTTTGACCACTTCACGATTGAAGACCACGAGATCTTCTATTTTCTTCGAGTATTCCACCACATAGTCCCAAACCTGGTCTCGCAGCGGGAAAAGTGGTGCGTTTGCAGGGAACGGTTGATTATCGTATTCCATCAAATATTTGGGCACGTTAGTGTCCAAATATTTGTACACCGGTGTTTGGAATACTAGTCCGTGTTCTTCATGCACATGGGGCTGGTTACGTGCATGTGGTGTCTGACATGGAATTTCCGGACAAGATGTGATGTTTTTGGTCTTGAACATGGGCTTGGTATAGTTCCATACGCCTCCAAAACTGTTGCGTTTTTCAAAAACCTTGATGCTGGCAAATTTGTTTTCATGCAACAATGCTTTGGTGAGCCCTGCACCTACGGGACCGGCTCCCACGACGGCAATGGATTTGATTTGCTTCCCGATTGCACTCAATAAAATCCCAGACGGCCTCATTGAAAGAAAGAGGCGACAAGGTTCACACCAGATGACACTTTATTTTCCTGTCGTCAAGTATCTCTCGAGAACCATTCGGTCCCAACAGCATTATCATTATATAGGAACAGGAATGGGGTCCTGCAACATTACAAAGGGAGATTTGTTAGGCGGCTTGAGAGAAGAGGCGTTAAGAACTCACGCTAGAATTTAGTAAGACGTCGTGTTAGAACTACCGTTAGATGATTTTTTTACATGGTGTGAAAGTTTGGTTGTGGCTCTCTTTCTGTTTGTAGTGGTAGTAGTAGTAAGTAAGTAAGTTATGCTTTGAGATGAGATGAGATGAGCTAAGAAAGAGAAAGTCATGTGACGTGATAATAAAAAATTAAAAATTGGCGAACAGCGCTTTAAACCAGTGATTACGTAAGGAAACACACACAGACACAAAAGCACGTGACCATGGATGATTACAAATACTAACTTTTAGAAGCACGTGATCAATGAAAAGAATATTTATCGCTTTGAACGTGTGTGTCACATGCACCATTTTAGGCACGTGACTTTTAAAAAACGTTTATCGCTTTGAACGTCACGGTCACGTGAATGTCACTTTCATTAAATTTGAAACCAATATCGCTATGAACGGAAGCTCATCGCATAGCTTCACCACTTGCAAAAAGAGAGAGAGAGAGAGAGAGAGAGAGAGAGAGAGAGAGAGAGAAGAGACGATAGAAACCAGTTCGGCAGAAGAACACACACAGGTTGTTCAAATCGCACTATATGTTGGAGGTTATTACAACAGAAATCCAAAGATAATTGCTGCCTTTTTCAATGAAGGCTGCTGCCCGTTCGAAGGAAGTAATTAACACAGTGCTGCCTGCAACTTTCTTTCATGCAAATGCATTTGTAAAGCTGAACTTGAAGATTCGTTCCTTCTCATCACTCCCATTTAAATGATTGGTTCAATTCTACTTCGTTGAACATTGTTTACACCAAGAATAGGCTCAAATCTGTTGTTACGTCAATGTTGTTAATTCCATGTGTTAATTCCAAGACACTATTGGTAATGATACTAGACTCAGGATTTGCATAAAACAATTTCGTGGTTCCAGCTTTGCTGAAGGTTTGATCATATTCATATGCTAATAATTTTTGCATGTCTGGGTGAAGAAGAAGAATGCATGTTTTGAATTGGGAGACGGACTTTCTCCATTAAGAGTACTCGATCATGCTCGATCATTTCGGATTATCGACTTGCACCTCCAAAAAAATCTCAATTGAGGAAGCTTGACAGCCTAGGTGACACCATCGGGCTGATATGAATTTAGGAGGTTGGCCTTAGGTATCCACGCTCTTAGCTCATTCGCGAGGTATATCATCTAGCATTGGAGGATATAGTGCAGGGCTTATTGAAAAAGGAACCTCTCACAGAGTGTACGGCAGGTATCGCAAAGGAAAGTCACATTCCAATGGTTTTAGGCTGTCCAAATGATAGATCAGAGTTAATTTACCAAGAGAAAGACAAAATAAACTCTGGAGAACTACCATGACCATACTTCGAGGTCTGACGAGCAGCTAGACATCTAAAAAGTGTGGATGAGCTCCGGGGAGTTGATAATACCGATTATTACTCATGCATTACACATACATGTAGCAGAAGGTTAACTGCGGCGCTGATAGATTTTGCAACTCACTTACCAAGAATTATTACATGACACGAACCGATCTTGATACTAGAACAGTTGTCAAAGACCTCCTTCACTTTTCTATTCAGTGAGAATCTGGTGGGGGACTTATGTGGTGAAGTTCTTGTCTAGCGTCGTCTTTGATAGGCCTCAACTTCTTAACACGTCTTTGGTGCCACAGATAACCGATTGCGGGATCAAGTTCATCGGGAAATACTCGTCATGTCAAAAATTCATCACCTTCCAAACCGCGGTTATTCAACAACCAGCTAGGTTCTTGAACGGTAACCCACAGAACTGTGACATACAACGACATCAAACCGGATGCCTTCCCAAAAAACCAAAGGAGAATAGGAGCGAAAGTTTGAAATACTTTGTCTCATAGCAACGTTCACGATAATGCGTACGACCTCGACATATCAGAGCAGCATTAACAAGACAAGCGTGCTCATGTTCAATGGTTAGGAATTACCAAACGCCAGACGTCTTGTTGGAGTCGTTGCTCAGAGACCGCACAGGTGATCGGTTGTGAGATGCAACAAGATCGATGAACTACAGCATTTGGAAGGAAAGGATAAAGACATTGTAGCAATAAAGCATACATAGGTTTCGAAGAATACGCGATTGGTGGGTCTACTCTTTTGATTTGTGATCACACTACTTCTCACTATGTTGTCAGTGTAGCCATGAATCGTCTCAAGCAGTGGGTGGTTCACCGAATCTGAACTCTGAAAGCTCCAGTATTGTGATTTTGAGCGTAGCTGTGCCTCTTACCCTGCAGACTTCTAGATCGACGTATAAGAGCGTAAAATACCAGAAAAGCTTTAAGAAACGTTTTGGCAACGAAGGAATATCACCCAAAGGTGTTGCCAATCGGGAGTCTTGCACAAACCAAGAATTAACATCGTGTCGCTGTCAAAGGAGCCCAACATGCCACTTGAACTGTATGAATATCGTTAGTTAAATGCTGTTGTATGTATGTAATGCTAAATGCGAGTGTGAATGAGAACCGCTACGTCTGGAAGCGTGCATCGCACCAGCCCTTCACCACGTACTGTATTTCTCGTAGCGGCTGATTAGGTTTGGTGCGTGCAAAAAGTTGTAGTTTCCCAGAAGGCCGTAGCATCCGGTTCGAGCTGGGTCCAATCCAGGGCTTGATATCGGAGTTGACACGCACTAGAGAGCTGCTGGCGGACTCTGATACCTTTTGGGGCCCTGTGGACGGTTCGACCACCACAAACTTCATGTTCCAAGGCGCATGGTCTCCGTGTAGGTCTTGGCGAGGCTCACACATCATATCGGACCATAGCTTCTTGCGGGTGATAAGAGCAAGCTTGATATCACGGACACTGACGCCATGAGCCTGTGAAGATTTGGGGATTTCCAAGTTCCAAATATCACGGTAACTCAACCGTCGAAGCACTTGTTCGTCAACGTTGAGGTCCGGTATTAGGTTGTGGGTCTTTGCCGTGGTTTCCATCGCGTAGAGCTTGAGAAAGTTGTGATTGAGCGTTTGTTGTCGTACGCGTCTGTTGGGCACCGACGAAGACGTCTCATGGCAAGCCACATCCAGTCGTGTGGGTGTCTCTTTATCTTGATGATTTTTATGGTTCGCTTTGGGCCAGTTTTCCAGCTCCACCACGTTGGAATCGTACAGTGGAAACGTTGGTTTGTGACGGTTGTCAAGGTACTGAGCGATGCCGACGTTGGTGTGTGGATCGATGGTGAGTTCCACAGACGGGCGACGCGACGGTCCTGGTTGTGAGCGATGCCTGCTCTGTTTGGGACGCTGGTAGACCGGTTTGTAGCGCACTTGTAGTAGTTCTGCTGAGATGTAGCAATCTGCGAGATCCACGTCTTGTGGGTTGATCAGTTTCAATCGTGGCGCGACTTTTGTTCTAGTCGCTACCGTGTTACTGCTGCTACTGCTGCTGCTGTTACCATTTTGTTCCGAACTGATCAGTGGATGGTTGTTTGTGCTGGTCGTTAGACAGGAATTCGACGAATTTGACGACTTTGACGATGTTGAGGAGGAAGCCGACGATCTCGTCGAAGCGGATCCAGGAGTGCCAACGCTGTCCAATCGGCATCCATCTAGCTCACACTGCGAGTCCAACGACAATGTAGCCGTACTATAACACTGGTCGCTGCTCCACGACGTTGACGACAGCTCTCTTTGCGATTTGAGCTGCGCCAGAACCGAACTCATCGACGGTGTCACACTGCTCCCGCTTTTACTTATATACATCGTCTGACCGGCACGTCTTGTTCTACTTTTCAATCTTGCATACCCTCCACCATCAGTGGGCTCGTCGAACTGTCTCTTAAGCCGTACTCCACGCAGTTCGTATGCACTCAAGGCCATCAAGATTATTGACGAAAAACAAGCTGTCTGTGAGCCTCTGTAATGATACACTGGAACACTCTTGAGTCTCTTGAAATTTCTTCTACTTCTTCTACTTCTTTTATTCACTCTGACTACATACTCATCTTGCTCAACACCCGTATCCTACAAAGCCTGACCAAGCCCATTCCGCTTACCCATCTTTCAACCATACCTGCCGTCACTTCGACTCGACGACGCTGTGTCTAACGCTTTCCTTTCCAGTAGGGCTCCTAATTGTATTCTGCAAGGCTCTACAAACAGTGACGATGATGCCGTGTATGACAACAGCAGTACGTTTTCGTAGATGTTTTTATGCCAAAAGCGGGAGTATCTGCGAGATACGTGTTCCTTGCATCAGAATTCTCGCCTTTCGCAGAGGCACCACGCAACGATAATGAGTAACGAGAGCCGTGGATTAGCGAGAATTTGCAGAACAATGGCAAAGCCTGGAAAAGTGAACCGTACACACCGTGGTAGACGTAGTGGAGCTTAGAGAGTACACCACTTAGTACCATGACGATTCTATTCAGAATGCTGGGGTACAGTGAAAGCGAGACAGATTCATAGTTGGGACGGAAGCATCACTGTAGGTACAGCAACAGGTGCCGTTTGGACAGACGGCTTTGCAGAATTTGCAGCAGAATTTGCAGGGTCGACGAGTTTTGCGGGTTTTATTGGTTTTGTAGGTTGAACCAATTTCGCAGGTGTAGAATCGATTTGTAGCTTTATCTTACGCTCTTCTTTGGCTCGTTTGCGTCGTTCGCGCTCTTCGTGTATCTTGCGTTGTTCCGCTCGAGTTTCTCTCAACTCGTGGCCGAAAATAGCACGCAGCTCGGTCTCCAGAGTCTTCATGCACCATCCACACACAAAGGTCTCTGGAAGCGAGTTTGCGGTTGTGAGGGGACGTTGATGCGTAGCGGAAGGCACTTCAGGCTCTGCTATGCGTCGTGTGCTGCGTCGCTGTGTTCCCTGGCTACTTTCTACACCAACTCCTACAGTCCCGGTAGCGAAATCCCTGCGATTCAACGGCTTCTGTCGTGCCTCCCCCAACATCACAATCCATTTGTCGTCCTGACACTCCAGATGCTGCCACCGTAAACACATATCGCAGCATACCAGCGTGTGTTGTTTGATAGCTTCATTGTCGTTGAGATTCACACCACGAGCCACATTGCAAAGACACTGGAATACCCAATCCTGAGAGTCCGGACTGTAGTCCGCCACAGGCACGCCGTGGTTCGCTAGTTTTTGTAGCTCCTCTTGCGTAATGACCAATTCGTCGGGCAATTCTAACGATATCGCCTCCAATGGACCATCCAAGGGCTCTTCGATTCTGATAACCGGTTGCAGGAACTTTTCACCACTTTCCAACACCGCAGCGTCTACTTCAGCCATCTGGGCCTCGTAGTCTTCGTGCGCATCGGTTCTGCGTCTTATTTTCTCCGCTTTGACGTCTTGCTCGAATTGATCCCAAAGTTGTGACCACATCGAGTCCTTAATAGCTTTACTGACTTTTGCCACGGCCCGCTGACGAGTTCTTAAATACTGATCGCGCTCGTCGAGTTTTTCATGCCATTTGGCTTCCAAATCTCGACGTTTGGTGTCTTCTTCGCGTGCCACGAGTCTCGAAGACCGTTTGCGTCTCACTAGTAGTTCCGCCATCGACCGCTCACGTTCGCGATTCACCAGCAAACGACGTCCGTCAAGTTCAATTTCGGCGAGTGTAGGTAACTGCTCTGCCAAAAACTGTTGTATGGACCCATCCGTAGTATTCTTCAAATATTCCACGTATTCATCCCACGTCCCCGTTACTACATTGAATTGAAGGGAGAGTTGGGACAAAAACTCTTCAATGTCGGGACCAAAATCCAATTGTACCACTTCCACACTTTCATGGTCTTCGTATCGCACACTACAATTGCGGAATTTGATCGGTACTCGTAACTCAGCGTTTTCACTTGCAACTATGCTTTTCTCGACAATTTTTCCACCAGGGAGTACCAAAAGCGAAACCCGATCTTCCAAGACACATTCTGGGAACTGGAACCGCGCCAAATGGTTGCCTAGGTACATTCTGAACCCTTGATTGCGCCGTTCGATATATTTGATGCATGCATACAGGACTTCAAACTGTTGCGGCACGCTCAGGTCCGAAAATCGATTTTGAGGATCTTCAGAGTACCACGGTACAGCACCCCGCTGTGCCAAATTGTACTTGATGGCAATATCCCATTCTTTCAATTGAACGGTCTTGTTCTGAGTGACTGTTCTTAAAATTCGACTCCGGATCTGTGTATAAATGTTTTCATCGTGGTCTTCGTGTAAATCCTGTAACAGCAGTTTCTCATCAAATGAAATCCCCGCGTAAAAAGCCTTGCCCTGGTCTGCCGTGTATTGGGTGTCGCACACGACTTCAAGCCATGCAACCACGTATTGGAAATGCCAATTGTGTATCAAGTCAGGACTCACGGCAGGCCCTGGCACCAATTTAGACAACTGTTGCAATTGTTCTTCCGTAAGGTAGTCCTCCAATACCATCGGTTCGGTCTCCAACTCTCTTTTCATGACTCTTGTAGGTGTGTGTTCTTAGCCTTGAGATGTTATACAGTATTGAAAAGTTGAAATTTGGTCCAAAAAAGTGATTGGAAAAAGGAGGGCAGATAACCTGGATTTGAAAATTATGAGTCTAGAGGTATAGAAGCGTTAAATCAAACGTTTGTATCTGCCTTGAGTGTTTAGCCGATGCCTTCTTCACCATTTCGCGATTCCATGCGCTTTATTATATTTACAGTGATAATAGTGAAGATCTGTCACGTGAAAGGTGTCATTAAAATGATTACGTCAATAGTGATTTAGATCACATGACCATAACTGGTTACGTAAGCAAAGAAATTAAATTTTCGTACAGAGGGATACAAATTTCTTCAACTTAAGTCTATTCCTACAGTACTGGTTCTCCAAGGGTTTGTTTCTTGAGATTAACAACTAACAATCACCATTTGGTGTTGCTCAATCCATGGTATTTGACAGTACTGTCTCCCGCTATTTGAATCATTTTATCACATCTCCTACGCCCTATTCTGAGTTCATGCGCAAGCTCATGCATGTTTCATGCATGGAAGAAAGCTTCCAAAAAAAGCAAGAAAAAGTTTCGTTTGATTCTTCTTTTCTGGTTAGTGAACAATTTAAACGGCACCTCTGCGAGCTAAGGCCTTAACGGAACGGAGAACCTCAAATGCCATTCCGTGAATGCTTGAACTCACGGCGACACCCGTGGTTACTCCCAAAACGCCTAAGCATGGCCGTTCACGGCGTACTTTTCAAAAATACCTCGTAAGATATTTGCTCGTCTAGGGTGATGAAGCGGGCATATTGCGTCAAATATAATGATATGCATTCTGGATTCAAACCAAAACTTGGGATGGCGACTTTAAGAAGTCTCGTTCTGAAATGCGTGGTGATGTAACACCTTGGACTCGTTCTCGGTTTAAATTGAATTCGAAACATTGTACAGGGACATTTACGGTTTATTGATCATTATGAACGAAGGAGTGGTTTTTAAAAAATGGATTCTTTGAATTCGTTACCAACTGTCTAGTAAAGGTGATACGGTTGAAGGAAGTGACCATGATTGATGGCACGTTTAATGGGTCTCCTGAAACGTCGAGGAAAGTCAAAGTGAAGAACTACGTACATGGTGATGGATAGTGTATTTCTCAGAGATATGCAGGCTTTGTGACGATACCAGGTACTGCCAGATTCGGGGGTGTGTAGGGTTAGTTGATGGGAATTTTCGACCATGCTATTGGTGTTTATATGTCCATCACAATAAAGGCAAATGGGACGAGCTAGCGTCACGTGACGTATATTACTGCATTTATTCGTGAAATGTGGCTATTATCCAGTTCATACGATATTCACCTCTGTTGCGGCTAGTAGCGCCCTCTTCTTATTGATGAGTACACTACAACTGGTCGAGGACATTATACTGTCATCTGTAACGTGCGCCGCTCCTGGTTAACTACAATTATTAAGATTATCTGGATAGCAGTGAAACTTCCTAACCTTTTTGAGCTATTCTTACCACTTTGAAGTCAATCGCATGAACTACAGGAATAGACAAGAAATGAGAGCTTTTTGCCGCAAAATCCAAGACTTACACAAGATATAGTCACTCATCACGCCATGTCAAAAGAATAATGTTTACACTCGTCACGAGTGTCGCTGGAGCTTTTTCTCTTGATAAGCGTTCCCTCCTCTTGGTCTTGTTTTTCATTGCTTTAAATCGCAAACCACCAGTGTATTGACATTAAAGTTGGGCATGCTTAAGCAGTTGAGAGTATACGATGTCTGTGACTTAAAAGTTCAGAAAGTATTGTTCATCTTAGATCAATTCTTCACTCATTAATATTTCAATTTCTACTACTCCAGATCGCTGGTGCTATCCCTCCGTATCGTATGTTGTAGGAAGGAGAAGATCTTATGAGTTGCATAAGAAGCCACCCATTTATGACATGGAAACGACTTCTGATCCGACCGCTTCACCGTTTAGTCACTATAGTGCTCATCTGAAATGCTAGTCTACATACTTTTTTAGCCTGACGCTGTCATTCTATATCACGTGACTGATTTCACTGGGACAGAGAAACAGACCTCAGATATGGGTGTGCATGCAGTGATCAGCCACAGTTCAGCACAATACATCTTGATGAATGTACAATCTTTCTATCCTTTTGTAGTTGCGATTCACTTCTATTTGACACAGCCAAACGTTGCATTTCCCCGAGTCACGTGATAAAACGACAGCGCGATTCTCATTACAAATAACACCAGACGCAAACCAAACTGATAGACGAGAACCATAACTCATCTTTATGCTGTTCAGAAATTACCCAGTCAGCCTCCAAAATAAGCAGAGCTGGCGTATCAAAAAAGTTTCAAAAAATTTTATACACAATCTTAATAAAACGTCCGCAAATACTGGTACACAACCTCATATAACAGCCAGCACCAATCCTTCACATTATTAATCTTATTTTGAACATAGTCCTCATACTAAAAACGTTATCAGTTGCTTTAGTTTAATTTCGTTATTTCACAGCGCTCCCGCCACATAATGTCAAAGTGATAATCCCCGTATATATAGGGATGGATATCTTATTATTGACGAAGTAATATGTAAAGTAAACTCTCATCTCACTCATCACAACTTCCCACAACTTCACTAAACAAAGCCTCGAAACCACCCCAATTGCAGTCTCCCATGCCTTCCAATACTGACTACCACATAAACCGGGAGTTCAGGATGGGTGGGGCTGCCAATTCGTTGGCTACAGCTCCTGCTACGCCGCGAATGATGGGAAAAAGGAGTAATCACGGAAGTTCCTCTAGTCACGGAAACGACACAAGTTCGAAGCTTATGCCGGCGGTAGACGTCTCAAACACATCGCACACTGGGCTGAAAGGTGGTGGTGCAGGTCAGGAGGGCTCTAATGTGGCAGCCAAGCAATTTCACCGGAAAAGTCTCGGAGATTGGGACTTTCTCGAAACCGTGGGAGCAGGATCGATGGGTAAGGTAAAACTTGCCAGACACCGTACAACACAGGAGCTGTGTGCTATCAAGATTGTAAACCGCGCCACCAAGGCGTTTGTGCATAAGGAATCGCACATGGCACCGCCCAGAACGCAAGAAGAGGTCTTGGAACGTGAACACAAACTTGAGAAGGAAATATCTCGCGACAAACGTACCATACGAGAGTCATCATTGGGCCAAATCTTGTACCATCCTCACATTTGCCGGCTTTTCGAAATGTGCACGATGAGTAACCATTTTTATATGCTGTTCGAATACGTTTCTGGTGGTCAACTACTGGACTACATTATTCAGCACGGTTCGTTGCGTGAGCGTAACGCTCGTAAATTTGCGCGTGGTATCTCCTCCGCATTACAGTACCTGCATATGAACAATATTGTGCATCGAGATTTGAAGATTGAGAATATTATGATATCAACATCGGGTGAGATTAAGATCATTGATTTCGGTCTGTCAAACATGTACAATCCCAAGAAGCAGCTCCACACATTTTGTGGCTCACTATATTTTGCCGCACCTGAACTACTAAAAGCATGTCCGTATACGGGACCTGAAGTTGACGTATGGTCCTTTGGAGTCGTGTTGTATGTGCTGGTATGTGGTAAAGTCCCCTTTGATGATGAAAACTCGAGTGTACTCCACGAAAAGATTAAGCAAGGTAGAGTCGATTATCCCCAGCACTTGTCCATCGAAGTTATCTCTTTACTCTCCAAGATGCTCGTCGTTGACCCAAATAAACGTGCTACCTTGAAGCAGGTCGTTAACCACCAGTGGATGCAAAGGGGCTATGATTTTCCTGCTCCTTCTTATTTGCCTCATCGTATGCCTCTAACACCGGACGCACTGGACTCCACTGTAATAAAGGAAATGTACCGTCTTGAGTTCGTCGATGACGTTGTGGAAGCCACTGCGTGGCTCACCAGAATACTTACAAGTCCAGAGTACGAAAGTCTACTCAAACAATTTTGGGCCAACGCGGGTAAGGGAGGTGTACATGAAGATCCCACTAGGGCGTTTCATCCATTGCTATCAATTTATCATTTGGTAGACGAGACAGTGAAAAGAAAATTCGCCAAGCAGCAGAAAAGAGCCGCACTTTTGGCAGCGAACCAAGTACCACAGGCCTTGGATGTGCCCACTACGGGTCCTGCTGTTGGGACTCCTGCTACTCCAGGTGTGACACCTGTTTCGACTCCCGCAATGGTTGGACAGACGCCACCCCTACAGCATAAAAAGGAACCCTCTGTAAACGCGAGAGTACTGAATGTGGTCCCACCTTTCCCTATGGTGAATGCTGTATCGGCTGGCTCCCCTACAAAACCACGGCCGACAGTGATGATACCTCCGAAACTCGCTATTCCAGAACAAGCTCACACTTCGCCTACGGGAAGAACTCCAGTCGAAACAGGATTTACGCCTACAGATCTTGACGTAGTCCTGTCCCCAACACCGCAATCGCATGATTTTGACCAGGCCACAGCAGCTTTACAGAAGAAGGCCGAAGCAGCTCATAAGCCCTCAACACAACCAGTCAGTTCATCAAATGATAAATCCAAATTTGGTACGATGTTCAGACGCTTTTCTCAGAAGCGTCATGGACATCAACAGCAAAATTCGCAGCCTCAACAATTGCAGCACCAATTGCATGTACAACCAGCTCCAGCGCAGCAGCGCTTGGCACCACAGCCAGTATCCGGTACTACCATGAAAAAGACGCACACTAGAACTGTTTCAGAGAACGTGCCGTTTACACGAATCGAGACCTATGGTACTCAACCTTTACCCGAAGGTATAACGAACGCCAAACAACATATGAAACTACCGGCACTGCCGTCTAATGCTGCAAACATGGTGAAAGATCAACAAATTGCTGCAGAAGGCGTTCAGAAACTACAGATATCGGGTGAGGATGAACCTGTGTCCCAGCTCAACGTACCCAAGGGAAGAAAGATGCATCCTTCCGCCAGAGCCAAGTCTGTCGGACATGCTCGTCGTGAATCTCTCAAAATTATGAGACCACCTGTATCTAATAATATGGACCAACAAGTGATGAATATGAATGACGAAAAGTTTCTGGAATATGGAAACGAAGGAAAATCCGACTACCTCAGCAATGTCGAAGGCCCTCCACAGGGTGAACGCGATCTCACCGATGAAGAGATTATCAGTATTGCCTCCAAGGCGCCTATGGGTTCAATGCCATCCATTGATTATCCCCGCTCTTTGTTTTTGAAAGGGTTTTTCTCTGTTCAAACAACTTCATCAAAGCCGTTGCCAATTGTAAGGTACAAGATCATTTCTGTCTTAAAGAAGCTAAGCATTGAGTTCAAGGAAGTGAAAGGTGGGTTTGTCTGTTTGCACAAACAGTCATATATCGCGCCAAGTTCTCAGCCACCTCAGCAACCAGTAATAATAGTTAATGATGCTTCATCAGTGGGCAGCAATAATAGTTGGGGAGCAAATTCTCACAGACGGAACTTTTCTATCCCTGCTCAACAAAGCTCTGTTTCCCGTAACAGCTCGCTACGACGTCAAACATCCATGGGTAAATCTCAGCAACCAGCAATTGCTGCCACTCCTCAGGCTGCTAGTACCCACGAAAGAAATCTCTCTATCATTTCACCAAGCCATGGTAATGTTAGCATACCTGAAGTTTCAAGCGCATCTTTGGAATCTTTGAACCAAGATGACATTTTGACAACTTCTAAAGCTCACAACTTGAATAATGCTGAAAATGGGGGAATCACCAGCGACTCCAAGGAACGACCACCACTCAAATTCGAAATTCACATTGTAAAAGTTCGCATTGTTGGCTTGGCTGGTATTCATTTCAAGAAAGTGTCGGGTAATACTTGGATGTACAAAGAGTTGGCGTCTCACATTTTAACGGAACTAAATTTATGAGTTGTTTTCGAAATGATTTTCGGTTTAACTATTGACAATATTTTAATGTACAGTACTGCTCGAATCAATTAGTTTTTCTCCAGAACAAAAGAACTGATTAATGGATGTCGTGTGAATGACCATCAATTGATGTATATAGATATATGCGCACGTTATGTAATATTCAATCCCTTTATTGGTAACTCCGAGTTCTTCTCTGCCTCAAACAGATTGGCTTTCTCTGAAAGATTTTAGTTGCTCCTCCAATTTTTGGTTGGCCTGAAGCACAGAATTCATGTCCTCTATCAAATAATTCAGAAGGACATGTTTGGGTATCCTTTTATCAGCAGGCCTGTCCTTCTTGCTTCTCTTTTTGCTTCCCTTGGGTTTGCCATCCTCCACGTCTTCCATTTCGGAAGGTACAGACCTGGGAAAATGTATCAGCTCCACCAGATCATCGAAATACTCCTTTATGGCATTCCGACGCTTTTTTTCCAATGCCACATGTCTCCACTTCCTGCGCTTCGTAGGGTCATTTCGTATCTCCAAAGGAATTTCAGAATCTAGTACCAGTATTTCTGGAGATTTCAAAACCTCGGGAGCATACACAGATGATGATGAGACGCTTTCTTTAGGGTGTATGTCGGTGACCGTTTCGTGGGCAACTTGATTTAATTCAGCCGAAGGATGTTCGCCTAGGATCACCTCCTTCGATCCACATTGGTTTGTTGACACATCATTGGACTGACTTAAGCTAATAGGTGGAACAGTATTAAGAGCAAAAGACCCCAGACGCTTTGGCGATTCCAGATCGTCCAAATGACTAAGATGCTTCCGCACATGATGGTCATGTTCCCCATTTTTAGCCCATGCAGGATTCGGCAGCCCCGACCAGCTAGCTGCGGCTTTCCCACTCGTTGTGACCAAACTGTCCAGAAATTTTTCTATCGCGCTGGACTCAAATGCGCTTAGCAGACCAGGCATTGCAGTGTGTTCGAGTCCAGCTAATGTTAGCGAACCATTATCTGTTGCATCATTAAGTTCTCTTTTCAGTCCACCATGTTCAGAAGGACTCCACTGGTCTACAGCAGCGTCAATAGTCGATGCATTATGATTTAGGTGCATCTTGTCGAGCTGGTCGTCATTGTTGACCATCTCATATGCAGTTTCGAAATCTATGTCTAGATCGTAGTCAAAAACATCCAGAAGATTATCGGTCTCCATGTTGGGCTTTTGGCATTCATATAAGATGGCAATTGAGCCTCCAAAGGCCCTTGTAATGCTGTTGCTGGGCTTACCACCTGTACGCTTGAAATCGAGATGTCCATCTATCTATCTTCTCTTCACATGGACTAGGTGAAAAAAAGTGTTGATAGCATTCCATACGAAGGCCTTGAGATTGCCAAGATGAGGGAACTTGACGGGGTTTGAGACATTGGCAAATTCATGTTCTTGTCTTGTTGTGTTTCCATGATATCTCAGTTTTCTTAGAGATTTAGGTGTAGCGTCCGAGGTTGAATAGATTTCCGTAAAGTAGCGTACTCGGATTTGCAGAATGGGGTCCTCAACTATTTTGTGTGTAGCGGTTTAGGGTTCGTTCTTATCAAGTTTGATGATGCGTGGCATTATCTAGTCTATAAGCGTTCACTCTGGAAAAAGAGAATGGCTTTTCATTTTGCATAGAAAAGTCGATGCGATCACCGGTGTCCTGATACGCTTCTGATCGAATCCAATTTAGCCTGTGATATCGACGATGACCATGGGAACAGATTCGTAAAGTTTCTTCAAACCTGTATTTATCATTGCTGCGCTTTATCGTCAATACTGAAAAATCGTCATCGATCGAACACGACCACGCACACAACTCTGCATGCTTCACAGTATGCTCACGATGAAAATGCCTAACCACCAAAGACGGGGCGTCAGTGGATACCAGTCGTAGACAAGTTCCATCCGGATAAAATCTCAGGTATCGGTAGTAGGTGATCATATGCACGGGACTGACCAATGAAAGCGAGCCCTCCGGATTCGCACCGTGTCTCAAATAATTTACAACACTGATGTAGCAGCCTTGGAATTTGACAAATGCTCGCTCTTGTAGCATGCGTTTGTAATCGGTGCCCCAGAGAGCCTGTTCGAGCACTTGCATATTGCTGAGTCCATTGAGCGTCAACGAAGCCTCATCATATTGTTGCAACGAATATATATGCCTTGCAAATGTACGGTAAGGTTCTGGTCTCCGAAAACACAGCCTTTGGAGTCTTTTGCATGTCAGTGCCAAATTGACCCATGAGTCTCCCGAAGTAGCCACAATTTGCAATACGATTTGTTGCAAAATATCATCGGTCAACAGTTCCAGCAGCCAACAGGGTAGTGGCTCTTCGTTTTCCTTACCGTTCGAAGAAAGTTGTTCATCATCGTGTCTAGCTTTTGGAGCCTCCGTTTTTGCCGTTACTGTAGACACCAAAGCCGAAGAAGCGACCTTATTGGACAATTTCTGACGCACCAGCTTGCGATACTTGTTTTCCACCTCTTCATCAATCTTCAAAGCCCTTCTGTAACACCCTATTGCATCCATCATCATACCATCTTTCTCTTTCGAAACCCCTAGTTCCCACAATTCGATAGCGTTAGAGCCAAAATTTCCCGCATCTTGTACCATCTCTAAACTCCTCGGAATTTGGAGAGTATTAGCCCGTCAGGTTTGAAGTATAAGTGTTGACTTCTTGTTGCGTAACAGTTCTGATTCATGTTCAAAACTCATCTCAGCATCAAGTTTATTACATATGACTAGCTCATCACCATTTCTCGACAACATCGAAACAGCGAAAAGATGGATAAAACTAGCTTGATACTGCTTGGATGAGCCTGTAAGACTGGGATTTAGTATTTGAAGCGAGCAGCTGCTGTTCATGTGGACTGTTAGAGACGATACCCGGGTTATCCACCTTGCTTGATTCAATATCAAGTGATCCAGGCGAAAAGAACATGGAAACACTGCTGAGAGCGATTGAAAGTTTGGAAAAAGACGGTTACGAAATTGCTGCTCTTGTACAGGTACCGGGCGACAATAACCCTCCTCGAATAGTGTGTTCGAGAAGTTTAGATGCACACTTGCAAACGACACTGTGGGATATTTGCGAAGCTCATCACCAACAGAAAGCACAAAATCGGCAAGGATCTCAGGTAAAACCAGATTTGGCATTAGACAATAATGTGGAGTTATTGGATTTGGACTTGAGAAACCCATATGAGGTGGAGAAATACCTCAAGAGTGTGTTTTCCATGCTGCGTCAGTTGCAGTGTAAAGCTATTGCCAAGGCATGGATCAAAGTGGTTGAACCTCGCAAGAAATCCAGGTACCCTTACATCAAGGGTGAGCTCTTTAAACCGTATTGGTGGCCTTCGAATGTAGAACATAGGGAACCAGATCATTTGCGCAAGCCACAAAGGATCATGCTCATGATCGCCATTTTGACAAGACTTGTACCGCATTGCAATGATCCCAATCTATTGCGCAAACTCAAAAAATCAACCATGTCCATCCATTTTCCGAAAAATACGAGTCAGCATCAGATTGCGCTTGAATACGTGTACAATATTTGCGGAGCGCTGTGTTTGGGCTTGGCAACAGTTGCGGCGGTCGATTGCGACCTTTTACAAATGGGTTCAGCAAGCTCAAAAAAGGCCAAAACAATCAAAATGGATCCTGATCTGGAGCGGCTAACTCTACTTGGCACTATGAGCCCGGATAGTCTGGATGGTGCAGAGAGTAGGCCCGGAAGTGGTCCCTTGCATTCATTGCTTCAATCGTTCAATGGCGACCACCCAAGTGCAGAACGAGCAGATGCGTTGTGTGTCAACAGTCAGCCCGGCTCATCAAATGCTCACTTCAACAATTCATCAGACACGCATTCTCAGTCTTGTACTTCTTCCGCTTCCAATGAATGTTTAAGTACCGACCATTTCAATGATCTTGGCAATGACTTTGAAGGGTTCTGCGACTCCGAGACTGGCTTCGAATATTGAAAACAGTGCACTATTCAGAAGTATTGTAATATGTACGGGAAAAGACAATCTCTCTTAAGCTTTTCTTTAAGCTCAGCTTCACCTTTGAAATTTCTCTCGGTGTATCTATCGCCTGTAAAAAGGATGAAATCAAACTTAATTCTGAGGCGTAATGGTTTACCACTTCAGTGAATTCAAGAAAGCCGAGGGGCCTTGATTCCGGCTTCTTTTCCAGACTGGTTTCCTGCAAGTGATTATTACTTTCTAAAAGCTCTTCGGCCAGCGAAACATTGTCAGACGGAAACACAACAGGATTCAGTTACGCAAAATAGCATGCAATTGTTGACTGAGGTCTTATTCTTATTCTAACGACTGCCCGCGCTAAAAAGCTTCTATTGCCGAAGCTTCATTTCTGGACTGGGGCAGACAAGATGCTCGCTTCAGTATCTTCTTCCGGAACAGCAGAGACAAAAGTTAAAAAAGTGCCAACCACCCAGCAGATCAATCCGTGCAAGAACTCGTGGTCAGTATCATCGTATTGCCACCAATATGATGGTCATTGAAGACTATTGTCAAACGAAAACGAGGGTCTCGTCTGCAGAGCGCTAGCTGCCAATACACCATGACCCACAATTGGGCAGGCAACGTCACCATCTCAACAAAGTCTCAAGGCCCATGGCATCGTGGTCTGTTGAAAACGCAGAGCACATCATCACCAAAGAGATAAGCTCTTTTTTTGACCTTCCCCCGTTTGGTCTTCTACGAAACCTGTATAAATGGTTTCACCGCTCCAAAAACTGAATCACTCGCTGATCAAATTCAAGTGGGTTATCCAAGAACAAATTGTGTCCTGATGATGAAACTTCATGATACTCTGAATCAATCCCACAGGATTCGGCTTCTTGCATCAAACATTTTCCTGCTTCTCGGTTCATCCAATCGTGGTCCCCATACAGCAGCAGTAGCTCTTTAACATGTAGATCTTTGACACCATCCAGAAGCGGATCGCGCGCTAACAACCGGTTGGTGAAGAGACCCAAAAACACATCCTTGCTGGTCTGACTCAGGCCATCTTTGCCGTAGAACATTTCGAACAAATACTTCTTGTAGTGGAGACTAGGAACACGCCCGTATACCGTAGCGATGTAGTTCCAGCAGAATTTGGCGCCCAGTGGGCCCAGAGCACGCAGTACACTCGTTTGAGACTCAAATATGAATTTAGGTATTGCTGGACGTGACGGAACATAGTGCTTTGATGCCGGATTGTTCCGGTCTACAGGGTATGTCGTATTACTGCACCATTGGTTGTTGACAGCGAAAGCATTGCGTTCCACACCTAACGGCGAAATCAGACACAATTTGTTCACAGATTCTGGATATTTGGTCGCATATCTGAATGACAAGTAACCACCGAAAGAGTGAGCTACCAAGTTGATCGGACCCAGACCATTATCGCGACGCCATTGTTCCAATGCATCCACATAGTAATTCTCGAATACCTGCACCAGTGCATGATGCTGTACTTGCCCCAGAGTGTAAGGAAGCGTAAATGTGTCGTCTTGGAACTTCAAACGCAGCGGGAGTGGTCGATCAACGTAAATGTCGAGCGGTATGTCTTTTGACAGTCCATTGGCAGGCAAATCGATAGCGTAAAGGTCCTGAATCTCATTTGAAAGGTCAGCAAAGTTACGATGGAACGCCATGGCCGAGGCTGCATGGCCGTGAACTAACAGTGTAGGAGTTTTGAGACGAGCATTTGGGTTATGAAAATGCCATTGGTTGATCTCGTCTTTTACCATAGTATGCACCGCTCGATCTGCCAGCCCTACGTCTTGTACAAGTGCATTTTGGAGTTCTTCCATCTGTGGTTTAGACGACCGATTCAGGTTTTGGGCCCATAGTTTCCAGCCCGATGCTCGAGGAACTCCGGTTGGTGGTTTCATCAGCCGTGCGGCCATTCGGCGAGGCAAACTGCGCGATTGAGAGCTTGAATACCGTACAGCAATCATTGAATACTATAACACACCAAATTCCAAGTAATTGTGGATTAATCTTCGACTCTTTTGGTGAGATGAACCTGGTATTCCGAGTGAGTGCTATGAACAAGTACTATGAAAGAAATGGTAGAACAACTACAACAGTGTTGAAATAGTAAAATACCGTTAAGAAAAGGCTGTTAAAAGCCATTAGTCGGCTCAGAAACTATCTGGATGAGTAGTGTGTGGGATAGAATCCGACAAGAACAAGTCCTGGAGACTTTGCAGGTACCGCAGAGCTCACAACCGGAGCAGAACGAGCAGAATGAGCAAAACGGGCAAAGCATCTGGACGTCTGAAGATGAGAGCCAGGAAGAAGATGTAGAACACCACCATGAAGACGACGACGATGAATACAGCGATTTATACACAGAAGATATCGATTTTGAGGAGCATTTGCTTACTGCCCAGCAACAATGGGAAGAATCGTTGGAACAACTGAGTCAAGTACTCAACTGGGTGTTGTTGCCATTGATTGGCAAGTATCTGGGAAGAAGAACGGCTCTGGGGTTATGGAAACGAGTTGTCACTCACCTGTGGGGAATATAGATGGTTCTAGCTTAGTTGGCAAACTATGTAGTACAACAAAGCATGAGTTTTGGTTTGTGTCTGAAGGAAACCTGGGAATTATGCTGAAAGGCGTTTGTGGAACGGCTATGGTTCGGTATTACTGACCATCGGGTCTTCCAGCATCTCCCATATCTCCTGTGTGTATTCTACAATGAACTGCTGGCGAATCGCTGCAACAACGGATTTTTGCAACGATGGCCTTACTTTCGATGTCAATGCATCAGCACACACCACGTTGCAGATCCTGATCAGCAGCTCCATCAGAGCTACGGTCAGTGCTCTCACGTCCAGCACCTGAGGCTCTTCCCATTGCGGACCACGCGAGAACAACAGGTTCAACTTCTCCAGCAAAGCGTACAAGGCCACATCCGACAAAGCGTGGTCGTCCCGCATCACATCACAAAGCTCATACAGCACTTGAAACTTATCCAGCGTTCTGAATGCCCAAACCGCGGCGTTACACTTTCCTAGTTGTTCAGGTCTTACGACAAAGCTATTGAACAACGGTTGCTGTTCACGATTAACCCGCAATAAATGCTCCAAGAGCACTACATTGTCGGCCCCGAGCTCTTGATCCATCAAGCACAGCGCCAGCAAGCCTCTTGGATGTTGTTGGTAGATCTCTCTTCTTTTTCAGCTGGCTACTTGTACAACTTGGAAACTTTGTCACTGGAAGAAACAGCACCAACTTTGAACATTTTGACAAGTCACTGGTATGAAGGTTATTGTGTGGACTGTGGTTTTAGCACAACTAATCCTATTGTTGTTCTCGCCGCTTTTGAAGACAAGGCCCGTTTTCCGATGGTACTACAACAAAGTGTTCCATCCAGTTTTTGAAGATGTGGACCGGCTGCGATGGAAACTCGCGGTAGTGCCGGCATTGTACCTTGGTGTTTACGGATATTGTACAGTTCTATTCTATCAAGATGTGGAGCCTTTGGTGAGGGGCCGCTTGACTCTGATAGAGAGATGGGTTGTGATCCCAGCGGTTTTGGTTACACCGCTCATCACCGGCATTTTAACAATGGCAGTGAAACCAATGACATCGCGCGATGCCCTGACAACTAAAGGGTCGCAGTGGTTGCCAGCATACGATAATTTGATATTTCACGAAGGTCTGGAGTGCCGTACGTGCAAGTTACCTAAATATGCACGATCAAAGCATTGTGCCATCTGTAATCAGTGTACATTAGTTGCAGACCACCATTGTATCTGGGCAAACAATTGCATAGGAGCAGGCAATTATCAGTACTTCTACGGATTTTTGGTCGCTAATGTGTGTCTTACAAGCTATGGGTGCGTGAGACTGGTATGGTTGCGACATTCTGGGGATAGTAGGTCGCTTGTGGTGTTGTGTTCACTACTAGGGTGCTTTGCGTTGATTTTGGCAGTTTTCACGTACTTCCAACTGGCGTTGGTACAGGCCGGGATGACTACTGGCGAGGAATCCAAATGGTTAGTTGTTCATGACATGCTCCGCGAAGGAAAGTTGGTGATAGACGGCAGCGACCGATACTTTTATCGTGTGGGAGGCGAAAATGGCAGCCAGTACGAATTTTACTCTACGAATGTCTACGATGGCAGCACGTATAGTGTTAGGGATTACCGAGTGGTGCGAAGTCCGGGAGAAATCACAAATATTTACGACCGTGGTGGAATTTGGTCGAATTTGAAGATTCTGGTGAAGCCTTGAAGATATTGGAGGCAGAATGGCCAGCGGTCCTACATTGTCGTCGATTGGGTGAGAGTATTAGCCAGTACACGAAATTTCCAAATACGTTTGGGAAAATTTATGGGTTTGAACCGTGGTGTGAAGCGTTTATGAGGAGTTTCCAATTCAGTGCGTGTAACTCAAGAAATTATCGCAATTCTAAAAGTAAGGACTATAACCATGGATTGGAAAACTGCTCTCTGTGAGCGTTTCAAAACCCGAACCGCAGAGATCGGCAGGACAAAGTGTCGGCGAGACTTGAAAACTAGCGTCTACATCAAGAACTGCTGCTGAAGAGACACAGTGCAAGCAGCGAAATAGATAAAGTTATAGGATTAGATACGAACCAAGAGCTCTGAGAACCGACCTTAAGCTGATGAGATCCTACACACTATTTTTCAATGAGGATGTCAAAAATCAACTCTATTGTTCCATGCAGTCCGAAATTCAATAAAGCATCTCGAGGGTGACGGAGTAGAAAATAGTGATAAAATAATTACCACCACCGACGACTTTGGCAACTACATTTTCCACCCGCTACTACGTCTGGCCGAAGTATCTGTACACTTTTAAATCGAATGGTTCCAGTGCTCCTGCCGGGGAAAGCATCTTGCAATTTTTTCTTGTCGATTTTGCTCGGTAGCTTCGCATTTTAACATGTCAAATGTCAAATGAACGCAACTCGCGATATACAGTGTAATTAAAAGGTGAATTAAACGTTAACCAATTACTGTATGCCTTTAAAACCCCAGTTTTAATTCGAATATTGGCCAATTCTTGGCAAAACTGAGCCTCCTTAGTATTAAGATGAGTATTGTTCGTATTCCTATGTCCATACTCACTCCGGTTATCAAGCCCATCTTGACTTCCGATATGAATCATATTATGAGGACCTTAATAAGCAGAGACGTTAACCAACCTTAAATTACGTAAAGAATTCTTAAAGAGGGTTATCGAAGCACCATGCACATGTCGATCAGTGCCCCGTCAAAAATCCTTTAACAGAACTAGGCTGCCTCCAATGCTAAGACTTTACATTATATAGCGTCCACGGTATTACCTACTGCAAGTTTCAATTAAGCAAAGAATTGTATTGGCCGTTCTCAGTACTCTAGGCCACCATCGTGCAAAAGAAAGCAGCGCAATGAAAGTTGACACCCAAATCCTTATAAACGCACCCTCATCTGTGGTGCGCAAAGTAATCCTGGACTTCGACAACTATAGCTCTTGGAACCCGTTTCTCACATCTGTAAATGCGCTTGACAAGAAAACAGATGAAATTGGTGCAGGTGACTTACTCGACGTTTACATGACAAACGCCAACGGTAAAGTTTCGAACTTTAAACCGACAGTGACGGCCAACAGCCCACAAAGGTTTGAATGGCAGGGCACTCTTTTGTCAGCGTGGGTTTTCAGCGGAATCCACCGGTTCGAATTCAAAGACGTTGATGGTGGGAAAGCGTGTGAATTTCGCCAATCGGAGAATTTCAGCGGCTGGGCCTTGCCGCTTTTGAAATTTATGCTTAGTGGAGTCTCCAAGAATTTCACATCCATGAATGAAGCTCTCAAGAAGGAGTGTGAGAAGTCTTGAGAAAGTGATGTGTGAGGCTTTGGCGGGCACCAAAAGCCCCGTCATGGATTTATCTGACTGGGTGCTGACTCTTGGCGCTACAGCATAACCTTAGGGAATAACTACTGTTGCAACGGGTTGTCTTTTAGAGGTCCAGTTTCCTAAATAGTATTACCCCAGACAGCGCATCTATTTAACGAACTACCCCCAAGACCACAGCAATCCTACAGAGAAATAAATGGCATGGTCAAACCATAAATCGAGCACTTACTCATTAATGTCGAATTGACGACATACCAGCCTATGCTGCTTGTACCTTTAGCTTCCATAGATACCATCATTTTATATCACTTTGACCAAGCCTGTCATCTGTCATTTCGGTCACGTGAACAATTGTATCTGCTTTCTATCTCTCTATATGGATTTTAAACCAAACCACGCTAAAAAAGGACGGACTACCCAACGCTCACAATCTTTCCTTCTTGCCACATGCTTAAATTTTCGCAATCCCATGCTATTTTAACTCGTCTTCTTCGCAAACTATTCGCGCCTCAAAAAGCATGTCTACAGAGGACATGAAGTCTTACTTTCAAATCAATTGAACAAGTCCCTGACCTCTTGTAACCCTGCCTGTCACACCAGAACGTCTTCTCTTGTATTATCGCTCCTTTGTAGCTCAGTCGCGTTACTCGTACTCGAGATTCGTATTCCAACTCGTGATGGTTTTCATCTAATAACTGACTCAATAAGTCGAAAACTTTCAAGAAACTGATGAGATGAAACTTTCTTATAAGGTTTTTTGGTAGTTCCTGGACCTCTAAAAACAATTCTTGCCGCTTTTGTGCTGCGTATCAATTGACCATTGAATCGGCCACGTTAAATTCTCTAGTGGTGCGGCAATGGAGCTCACTAAAGTGCCAATTTTAGGTAAGGAAACCATCCATGTTGGTTACAATATCGCTGACCACCTTGTCAAGACTATTGTCGAAGGGTGTTCGTCTTCCACGTATGTGGTCATCAATGACACAAACGTGGAAAAAATTCCGTACTACAATGATCTGGTGCTTACTTTGAAATCTGCAGCCGAACAGCTGGATTCCAGACTTCTGAGATACTCGGTTAAGCCTGGCGAAGCACACAAGACCAGAGATCAAAAGGCCTTAATTGAAGATTATCTGCTAAGCGAAGGATGTACTAGAGACACTGTTATCATTGCCATTGGCGGTGGTGTTATCGGTGACATGATAGGTTATGTAGCAGCCACCTTCATGAGAGGTGTACGTTTCGTGCAAGTTCCTACGTCGCTGCTGGCTATGGTGGACTCATCTATCGGTGGGAAAACGGCAGTAGACACCCCCTTGGGTAAAAACTTCATCGGTGCGTTTTGGCAGCCACAATTCGTGCTGGTCGATATCAAATGGCTCGAAACGTTGCCAAGACGTGAATTCATCAATGGTATTGCTGAGGTCATCAAAACCGCTGCTATCTGGAATGGTGAGGAGTTTGCACGTCTTGAAGATAACGCAGAGAGTTTCTTGCAGGTCGTGAACGGAGCCAAGTCTACCCGCGTCGCCGTCGCTGGTCAAACGCACCAATTGACCATTACCAATATCGAGCACATCCTAGACCATGTGTTCAAGCTGGTTCTCGAAAGTATCAGAGTCAAGGCCCATGTTGTATCCTCTGACGAAAGGGAATCGGGACTAAGAAACCTGCTAAATTTTGGTCACACCATTGGACACGCCTATGAGGCGATTTTGACTCCACAAGCTTTGCATGGGGAGTGTGTTTCCATTGGTATGATTAAAGAAGCTGAGCTTTCCCGCTACCTTAACATTTTGTCACCAACCCAGGTTGCACGTCTAACCAAAATTTTGGCGGCTTACGGTCTTCCTGTTTCGCCTGATGAGAAATGGTTCAAAGATCTAACTCTCCACAAGAAAACCCCACTGGACGTTTTACTCAAGAAAATGAGCATAGACAAGAAAAACGATGGGTCCAAAAAGAAGGCGGTTCTTTTAGAAACAATCGGCAAGTGTTACGGAACTTCTGCTCATCAAGTCTCAGATGAAGACCTACGTTTCGTTCTAACCGATGAGGTCTTGGTTTATCCTTTTACGCCCAAGGTTACACAAGAGGCCAAAATCATCACTCCTCCTGGTTCCAAATCGATTTCCAACCGCGCTTTGGTGCTTGCCGCTCTGGGAGAAGGTACCTGTAGGGTGAAAAATCTTCTTCATTCTGACGATACGAAGCATATGTTACATGCCGTTCAACAGCTTAAGGGTGCCTCTATATCTTTTGAGGATAACGGTGAAACTGTCGTGGTTAAAGGACACGGCGGCAAAACCCTTGAGGCAACTTCTGATCCTTTGTACTTAGGAAACGCCGGAACCGCATCAAGGTTTTTGACATCGGTCGCCGCACTTGCTAAATCATCTGCTTCTCAGAAGAGCGTTGTTCTCACTGGTAACGCCAGAATGCAAGAAAGACCTATTGGCCCCCTGGTGGACTCGTTGCGTGAAAACGGCACCAAGATTCAATACCTCAATAAGGAAGGGTCATTGCCGCTAAAGATTGACACTGACTCTCACTTCAAGGGCGGAAGGATTGAGCTAGCTGCTACAGTATCCTCCCAGTACGTTTCTTCTATTCTCATGTGTGCACCATATGCAGATGAGTCTGTGACGCTTTCCTTAGTTGGTGGTAAGCCGATTTCTAAGCTTTACATCGACATGACGATAAAAATGATGGAGAAGTTTGGTGTGAAAGTCGAAGTGTCAACCACTGAGCCTCACACTTATTACATTCCTAAAGCAAGCTATGTCAATCCTCCAGAGTACGTCATTGAAAGTGATGCTTCCTCCGCCACTTATCCTTTGGCCTATGCCGCAATGACAGGAACCACTGTGACTGTGCCAAACATCGGTTTTGAATCGCTACAGGGTGATGCCAGGTTTGCCCGTGACGTGTTGAAGCCAATGGGATGTTTGGTCGAGCAAACAGAATCCTCGACAACAGTAACAGGACCACCCCTAGGCACGTTGAAACCCCTTCTACATGTCGATATGGAGCCTATGACTGATGCATTCTTAACTGCTTGTATGGTTGCCGCCGTTGCGCACAATGAGGGTGCAGACACTTCCAATGTTACTACGATTGAAGGCATCGCAAACCAGCGTGTCAAAGAGTGTAATAGAATCTTGGCGATGGTCACTGAATTAGCAAAGTTTGGCGTAAAAGCGAATGAACTACCTGATGGTATTCAAGTCCATGGTGTGAACTCTTTGAAAGATCTCAAGGTGCCCACGTCTGTTGACTCTTATGATGACCATCGTGTCGCAATGAGCTGTTCGCTTCTAGCGGGTACCATCAAATCTACGACGCAGCAACAAAATAAGCCAGTAAGAATACTAGAAAGACATTGTACGGGCAAAACATGGCCCGGTTGGTGGGACGTTCTACATACACAATTGGGCGCCTCTCTAGATGGTGCTGAACCTCTAGCTACCACATTGCAGGGCCAAAGAACGAGCGTTGTTATCATCGGTATGAGAGCTGCTGGCAAAACCACTTTAAGTCACTGGTGTTCCAATGCTTTGGGCTACAAATTTTTGGATCTTGATACAGTGTTTGAAGAACAATATCAGAAAGGCTCTGTGAAGGAATTTGTTCAGGAGAAAGGATGGGACGCCTTTCGTAAAACTGAGGCTGAGATTTTCAAAAGCACCATTTCAGCTAACAGTAACGGTTATGTTGTGTCTACTGGAGGCGGTATTGTTGAAAATGCGGAATCAAGGAAAGCTTTGAAGGCCTTCGCCGATCAAGGTGGTATTGTTTTGCATTTGCATCGTGATATCGACGAAACTATTAACTTTTTGCAAAGCGATCCTACTAGACCAGCCTATTCTGAGGACATCAGAGACGTGTGGAACAGAAGACAACAATGGTATAATGAATGCTCCAATTACGTTTTCTACTCGCCTCATTGTGGCACCCCTCAAGAATTTGGTCAGTTGAGAAAATCATTTGGCGCTTTCATTCGTACCATTACTGGTAAGCGCGAAATTATCATCCCAAGAGACAGATCTGCTTTTGTTTGTTTGACCTTTGAAGATCTGTCCCAACACAAGGATGTACTTTCCGATATAACGTACGGATGCGATGCTGTTGAACTTCGTGTTGATCACCTAAAGAGCTTCGATTTGACTTTTGTTGCTCAGCAACTAAGCGTGTTACGCGCTGCCACCGATAACCTACCGGTCATTTTCACAGTAAGGACCAAAAGTCAAGGCGGTCGCTTCCCTGATGATCGTCAGCAAGAGCTCTTTCAGCTTTTCCAGCTTGCATTAAAATCGGGTGTTGAGTTTATCGACCTCGAATTAACAACCTCTGTTGAACTCCAATATCAGCTTGTTAACAGAAAGAAGAACACTAAAATCATCGGCTCTCACCATGATTTTGATGCAAAGTTCGACTGGGAAGACGCTGAGTGGGAAAATAGATATAACCATGCTCTCTCGCTAGATTTGGATATTATCAAGTTTGTTGGCACTGCGAAAAGCTTTGAAGATAACCTCAAATTGGAACGCTTCAGATCGGCTCACACACAGAAGCCACTAATTGCCATTAACATGACAGATGCCGGCAAATTTTCTAGAGTGGTGAACACTGTGCTTACTCCAGTGACGTCTAGTCTGCTACCTTCAGCTTCTGCTCCTGGTCAGCTGACTTTAGCCCAGATAAATCAGATCTACTCGACCCTGGGAGGTATGCCTGCCAAAGAGCTGTACGTCGTTGGATCGCCATTAGGACATTCCCGATCTCCTGACATGCACAACTTGGGTTTCAAAATTTTAGGTCTCCCACACACCTTCGAGAAATTCGAGACTACTTCGGTAGAAGAGGTCAAGAACTCTATCCTGTCCATGGCAAATCTCGGTGGACTGGCAGTGACCATCCCACTGAAGCTGGATATCATGCAGTACATGGATGAACTCTCTGAATCTGCAAAGCTGGTGGGGGCCGTGAACACGGTTGTGCCAGCAAATGGCAAGTTCCTTGGCGATAACACCGACTGGATTGGAATCTACGATTCATTCCTCGCACAAGGTGTTCCAGAGGATGTTAGTGGTGCCTCCGGTTTTGTTGTTGGTGCTGGTGGTGCATCTCGTGCTGCCGTGTACGCCCTTCATAAGCTGGGTTGCCCTACGATTTACACTGTCAACAGGACAGTGCAGAAGTCCTACGAAATGAAGGACCATTTCCCGGCCAACTTCAATATCAAGGTATTGGAGACTCCTGAGCAAGTCGACGCTATTCTTGAAGATAACGTCGGGCTGGCGGTGAGTTGTGTACCGGCTGACAAGCCTTTGGACGATAGTCTGCTTGCCAGAGTTGAAAAACTATTGGCCAAGTCCAAACATGTCAAGTTTTCTCCAACACTTCTCGACGCGGCTTACAAGCCTAGTGTGACTCCACTAATGACCATTGCCGACACCAAATTTGGATGGCAGGTAATTCCTGGTGTCCAGATGCTAATTTACCAAGGTGTGGCTCAATTTAAGCTCTGGACAGGCTTCAAAGCGCCTTTCAAAGCCATTCAAGATGCTCTCGCCCAATAGGTTGAATAAAGACTACTGTCATTAAAGGGTAGTCAAGCCTCCCATCACCTACTTCTCTGACATGCGTCCAACATAATTATAAAGCAGTGGACTGTCACCTACTCGAAATCCTTACATAAATACAATTCAGTTGATCTAAGACCATCTCACTGATGTTGTGCTGTCGATGTCAAATTTCCAGCCATAACGATTGGTGTTGCACTCTTCACGTAAACTGCTGGTCAAGCTCGATTCCGTTTGCCATGATGCCTACTAAGATAGTTTAAATGATGAGTTCAAGTTGTTCAAAGCCGCCCGTGGTTGTTCTAATCAATGAAAACTAGGACTAAAGTCTTTATCACATATGCCTTGGGGGCTGTTACTGAATGACTATATACTCTCAAGCGGAAAATGCACACGACTCGAGCACTTTTGGTAAATCACTGTCTCTTAGGGTCGATGGTGGGTTCAACGCTCTTTCCGTAAGTCCATCGGGAAGAGATGTTGTTTTGGCGAGTAAACAAGGACTTTACGTTGTGGACTTGGATGACCCCTTTTCTGCTCCACGTTGGTTGCATCATCTTACTTCGTGGGAAGTAGCCGATGTGCAGTGGTCGCCACATGCGTCGAAATCTTCATGGGTGGTCTCAACATCTAATCAAAAGGCATTGGTGTGGAATCTGTCAAGAAGCTCGTCTAATGCCATCGAGCATGTACTGCATGGCCATTTTCGGGCCATAACGGATATCAACTTCCACCCTCAGCATCCCGAAATTCTGGCTACTTGCTCAATCGATGCCTACGTGCATTCATGGGACATGCGTTCGCCTCGAAGAGCTTACTATAGTGCAAGCGTATGGTCTGCGGGGGCATCGCAGGTTAAGTGGAATTTCAAGAACCCAAATGTGATGGCATCGGCTCATGCCAACGATATTTTCATCTGGGATCTACGAAAGGGCTGCACCCCACTACACGTTGTTAAAGGTCACTCAAATAACGTCAACAGTATTGACTTCAATCGCGCTAGTGAAACAGAGATTATGTCCTGCGCCAATGACGGTACTGTCAAATTTTGGGATTATTCGAAAAGCTTACAAGAACCACAGCGAACGGTGGTGACAGACTTTCCGGTAGCGAAAGGCCGATACTTGCCGTTCGGGAAAGGATTCTGCGTTATGCCTTTCGTTGGTGGTAATAATTCTGTGTACTTGTCGAGTAACGTCACAGAGAGTGAACCCGGTGCAGTGTCGAAGCTTCAACCCATCTATGTTTTCAAAGGACATACCGATCGCGTTTCAGATTTTCTGTGGAGAGTGAAATATAGCGGCGGATCAACAGTGGATGACCGGGATTTCCAGCTGGTGACATGGTCCAAAGATAACGATCTGAAACTGTGGCCGGTAAATGAAAGCACCTATGAAAAAGTCGATTTTCAGCGGCATCGAAGTCTTGAGCATCCATTTACCGAGTATGATTATAGCACGTTCCGTCAAGAGCCGCTAAGATCGCAGAATTTATCGAGTCATGCCCATTTCCCCAAGGAACGATTCGTTACCGGTTCAGGACTTAAAGAATTTCATGACAAAAACAGAATCAACCACCTTGCGTGGGTTTCGGGCGTAAGGATGCATCATGCTGAATCACCGCGGAGCCTCTTTGATCTCGACAAGCTACGAAACCTGGGTGAAGAAGTCACTGTGATCGGCCACAAATTTCCTAAAGTTGTTTTCGAACGAATTTCCGTATCCACCGGGAGCTTAACACTGACATTATCTGGGCCCTGGTCTGAACAAAATCCAGATGATCTGGTGTTCTTACGTATAGATTGCGTCTTCCCACCAAACTATCCATTTAAGAGTCCACCGCGATTCAAAATTGAGGAAAATCGCGAGCTGGACTCGAAAAAGATCGAAGAGATTACGGATCAACTTCAAGAAATTTCTCGCAGACATACTGATCTAGGAAAATTCTGTTTAGAACCTTGCTTGCGCTTCCTGTTAGGCGAGAAAATAAATCTCGATGTTTTGCAAGAGGAAGAGCAACTATTGAACTTGGACGTTGTTGATTCTCTGGGAATAAATGATTTGTCTTCTTTAGAGAGTTCGGACATGAGATCGGGTGCTATTTCTGTTACTTCCAGAACATCTGACGAAGATGAACAGGATCTCGATAATAAAAGCAGCAACGATGGTTATGTTTCTCGCTCTGCCCACGCCTTGGATCTTGATTCCACACCAATCCCAAAAGGATGCGGCGCAACTTGGACCTCCTCGGGAAAACTAGTTTGCTTTTTCACCACTGAGAGTAAGCCAGAAAAGAAGCAGCAAGGCACTCAAAGACTGGGGCCGCGCGGTTCGGTTGGAATTCACACTGAGAATTTACCAGAACAACTCTACGATGAGAACAAACCACATGTCCCTAAAAGACCTAAACGTTATGTGGAAACCCTTTCAGCTTCCTCTGCCCACAACAGTGAAACGGGAATTTCTGGGAATGATAGCGATTCTGACGCCAGCTTTGATAGCTTTGGTGATGATGATTGGAACGATATCATGCGTACAGATATCACCCTTAGGACCAAGATGCCAGTATTTTCAAATTTTGGTAAATCGTTGGCCTCTGTTGCATCGGATGATGGAAAAAGCAATGTGTCTGTCGCGAAATCAAAGAATGCTGTTTTCATTCAAGACTTCAGCCATTTGATCGCGGATAAAAGACAGCTTGCAGCTGAATATATCTTTACTGGGGACTCGTTGGAAGCTGTTTGTAAGCACAATGCCAATGTCGCGGGGAACTACGGACTTGAGAATATTGCCCATTGCTGGAAAATGGTTGGTAATCTTCTGATTGACCGCGACGAACGGCATAATGCCAATTTTGGGTGGCATCAAAATGGTGAGGGCGATAAGCAGTTTATCAAAGACGTGATGGAGTTTTTGGAAAGATCCAAAAATGTTCAGATGCTGGCCATGTTTAGCTGCATACTAATGGATCCGCCTTCAACAAAACGCGACAGTGTTGGCGCGAGGTCGAGTGAAGCCAACATCATTACCTTTGAATACGAGGACCAAAGTCATTTCTCACAGTCTCGTCAAGGTTCGGTTGCGCCGTCGATCAGATCTGAGGACTATTTTTCGCCGCGCCAGCATGTTGTCAAGAACCGCAAGCCGCGATTATCAAATACATTAACTCCTTCAGAGGTGATAGCTCAGCATTCCCTTTTACCTGACATTAGAATTGAGATCATGAACAGCAGTGAACTTGGCTTCCTTGGGGGTAGAAGTCCATCTCTTTTGGATCCCAGCGATGAACCCAAATACCGCTCCTACAGATACCAGTACTCGGAGCTACTTTTTTATTGGGGTCTTCTTATTAACAGGGCGGAACTCTTGCAATTTAATAGTAAACAAGAGAATACTACGCCTGACCTGTGGCATCATTCTTTGGGCTATGGACTAGACCTTCGGGCAGAAAAGAGTTATGCGGGAGTTTCTTACAAAGCACTGAATAATAAAATAAGCTTTTTGACTACCCGCATTTGCAACTACTGCGAACTACAAGTCTTGGGAAGAGCTACTGTGTGCGGTAACTGTCAGCATGTAATGCACGCACAATGTGCCAAATCGTGGTGGGAGCAGAGCATCGAATGTCCTTCTGGATGCGGCTGTCAGTGTATTGATATGTTCGACGTCACGTGATGTGATTGCTTATGTAAGAATCTCGAACCCTTTTCGGCATGTTTCCCAATGTGGAAATAACTACCTTATTTGGATTGAAGAACTGAAATTTCGTTTAGGCTCTATGAAATGAGCCCATCTGGATGAACTGAATACAACTATAGCACTGCAACAAGACAGGTGTGCACACCACAATTGAGCTATAGAAGTGCTTTCCATAACCATGTCTTCAACGAGAAAAGTTGCCGTTATTACGGGCACAAACAGGTATGGAATTTGCGTTCTTTTCGAGGTAGTTAGGTCCTCATAAGACTAACATCCAATCTCAGCAATTTGGGTTTGAACACGGCCTACCGCTTAATAGAGCAAGTAGAACAAGACGTTCGGTTGACTATCGTGGTGACTTCTCGAACATTGCCCAGGGCTAGAGAGGTAATTGATCAAATTCAGAAATTTGTTGTGCAAGCGAAGAGAACTGGACCGGTCGATTACGATTACCTTTTAGTGGACTTCACTAATATGGTCAGCGTCTTAGGTGCGTATTATGATCTTAACAAACAGTACAAGGAGATCCATTATTTTTTTGTGAACGCTGCGCAGGGTGTATACGAAGGTATCGACTGGATAGGTGCAGTCAAAGAAGTGGTGCGCAACCCGATAGACGCTGTGACCAACCCCACTTATAAACTGCAGCGTATTGGTGTGAAATCAGCGGACGGTCTGGGTCTCGTATTTCAGGCCAATGTGTTCGGGCCTTACTATCTCATCCAGAAGTTGATTCCTCAATTGCAAGCGGGTCGGGCTGTTGTGGTTTGGATTTCGAGTATCATGTCAGATCCAAAATATCTTTCTCTAGACGACATACAGTTGCTGAGAAGTCCAGCCTCCTATGAAGGTTCGAAACGACTTGTCGATTTGCTACATTTGGCAACTTACAAAGACTTGAAAAATCATTCCATCAACCAGTTTGTGGTACAGCCGGGTATTTTCATCAGTCATTCCTTCTTTCAGTATCTGAACGTCTTCAGCTACTACGGCATGCTTTTCCTTTTTTACATGGCAAGATTTCTAGGATCACCCTGGCATAATGTGGACGGATATCGTGCTGCGAATGCACCTGTTTACGTTGCGACATTGGCAAACCCAGTATTCGAGCAGCAAAATGTAAAGTACGGCTCTGCCACTCACAAAGATGGGAGGGAATACGTTCGCACGGGAGAAATAGATCCAACAGGCACACAAGACGTATACGCCTACATCAATCAGCTAAAAGATGAGTGGAACGAAAAATTGAAAAATCAGATAACCAATTCGAGACAGGTCTAAATTGTTTCTGGTAGGCTTCATATCTTTTTTCTACATATAGAATACAAGGTTCAACTAACTGCAAATGCACTTGAGCTCATTGCTTCAAGGCCATCAGCGAAGCGACGAACGTTAAAATCAACCTCGAACGGACCTCGTTGATGTCCTCCGGAACTAGCCAAATTAGAGCACCCAACTTTCTCGCAATAGAGATAGCCAATCTAGCGTTGGCGTATCTATCTTCTTCCGTAGAACCAGCAGTCACTAGATCATAATCAACATAACCAGGCGCAATCCCATTCAACACGTCCAAGAGGAAATGACCACTGGACAAAGCAGAATCGCTGAAAGATCTGACATGTGAGGTTTTCCCACCCTTCGTGACTTGTTCTTGAGCCCATTTCAGAATCTGGGAATCGCTGAGCTCTTTGCCATTGGTGGCCAGAGTTTTCATCGTGTTGACAATGTTTCTCCTCATCAATTGCCATACTAGGCCGAGGGTGAGAAGCTTATTACCGTCGACGATGTCTGAACCTTCAATACCTACCAGTGAGAATCCACGAGATTTACCTAAATCCACAGCGTAATTGGTATTTTCTAGAGCCTTAAATCTAGAGAGCTCATTTCCTGAAGCAGGACGTTTATTGACATTTTTCTGGTCCACAGCACTAGGCATCACTTTATCGTAAGCCTGTAACAAGACCAAACCGTCTTTCAAGTCTTCGAACAGCGATACCACAGGAGGATCGACGTCTAACGAATTGAGCCACAAAGTGAAAACCCTTGCCTCTCTTTCGCCTTCGGCATCAAATTCTTCAATTTCTGGCTTTTCAGACTCTTCGATGGGCTGCAATCCAGGATGTGTGTTGAACAAATGTGCAACAAACGCCAAGTTTAGCTTTGGATTGCCAGCCACCAAAGAACTAGGGGTTAAGTATTTTCTGCAATCCAACTTTTCGGCGTTCTGCAAAACTTGCTCCGCCCTTTGTAATAGATCGGAGGTTTGTAAAGGAGCGCGCGAACACGATTCTGGGGCCAACTGGTTCAAAAGAATGGTGTAGTTCTCACCGTCAGCCACATCTTTGGAGAAATTGCTAACCCTTCTCTCCCAACCAGCCTGCTTTAAATGGTAATTGAACCAGCGGAGCAAGATTTGCTCGGGAGGAAGCCTCAAAAATTGCTCAAGGGTCTCGTCGTCTTCTAGCAAACGGTACAGTTCTGGGTGATGCTTGATATCGATTTTGCTCAATAGACCTCTGCGGATAATTTGCCAAATAAGACCCAAAATAAGGTGTTCTTTACCCTCAATGATATCCTCTGAATGCACGTTCACAACGACACATCCAATAGCCTTGGCAGAGTTGATAACAATGTTGGCGTTTTCGCTCGCGGTAAAGTTGTTGAGACGTTTGCCGTTTTTAGGCCAGTTCAAAACTCTTGTGTCAATAGTGTCTGGCACCGAGTCATTGATCAATTTCGACAAAACCAGACCGTCTCTACATTCGTCAAACAGCTGGAAAGTGTCAGTAGCGAAGGGCAGCTTGTACCCGATATCGGAGTCCCCAGCCAAGACACTGTTAATGTGTTTTGTGAATTCTGTCCTTTCTTCTTCATTGATGGTGTGTTGACTGCCTGTAGTGGAGCCACCAACGATAATCTTGGCCTGTGCTCCGGTTCCCGTGTGCTGTAATCCGGTACGCACTGGTGTTACGGCAACGTTTACGGGAGCTGAAGCGGTCTGAAAACTGGTGGTTGGAGGAGGCCCAATCTTTGTATCCTTGAGCTTAGCAATGAGCTCAACGTAGTCGTCCAACTCTACACGACCCGAGGCATCCACCCCGACCTGTTTGAGAGTCTCTCTAGCCTCATCGTAAGAAGCCTCCCCGGACTTCGATACTGCTGCTAGCAATTGACCCTTTTCTACCCATCCATTGTCTTCAACGTCGATTTCCCGAAACTTTTCAACGGTCTGGAAGATATCTTCCTGTGTCAAAACAGGAAACTTTCTCTGTAACAACCCATGTTGGTTTCGAGCGTTAGTATTTTGCTGGCGTTGTTGGGTCTAAGCCCAGATCTAGTTGGCCGGTTTTTAACCTAGTTAAAATCGGAAAAAACATACCTGTAACTTGATGATGTTCATTTTGGAGATCGAAACCCTAATTAGAACTAGTAAGTCGAGCAATTGCCAGTTTAAAGCAAGGTTTCTCTGCTCTGTCGGATTTGAAGTTTAGTCAGAAAACTTGAGTCAGTAAGTCACTTTTTAGTTTGTTTAAATTTAGGAGCGCTGAGATGGACCCCTTTTGATAAAATCACGTGACTATCACGTGTACTATGTGCACATGCTTTTCACGTGTTGGAGGATACGTCGGTGCTGACGTAATCGGGCGTCACATAATTCGCACTACCAGCACTAGGACCACCAGGACCACCAAAGATATCCAATTGCGGTGTCCAAACCCATGAGTCTCTATCTGAAACGTTTTGACAATACTTGCGTAGCCATCTGTAGAAATCCGGCTCGGTCTCTGGTAAGACAGGCTCGTTTTGCTGGATTTGACGCTGGTGTTTGTTAATTAGGTCTTGTTCTTGAAGCAGGAGCGAGTGGATGTCGTGCAGCTGACTTCGTTCCAACGCTTCCACCGCATCTGAACCATTCCAAAACTGTCGCAATGTGCTCTTTTCAGCAGACACACCGGTGTCAAATCGAGAGCGAACGTTGGGGTGCAATAGATGCTGCGCTGTGGAGAAAGAATATTGGTGGTGCTGCTGCTGCCTGTAATGATCTCTGGTGCTCTTCTTATTGAGGTGAGTGTTACAAGAATTGTCCACCAAAGAAGACGATTCACCTTCTTCTTCTTCTTCTTCTTTTTCTTCTTCTTGCTCGTCCTCAGAGCTGTCACAACACCACAAATCCAGGTCCGGCCTGAATTTTTTCTTACCAGCGGTCTCTAAAGCCCTATGTTTGTCCTTGTGAAATACCAGACAATGCGTAGCGCTTTCTGAACTAAGCATGTTGTCGAGTTTACTGGCTGCCAGCAGCTTTTTGTCACAAAATGGTGTAAAGTCATAAACTTCTGGATCTTTGGCCCGCCGTTGGTGACTTGACGCAGCAGCATCCTCTATGGCGTTTCTCGGTGATTCAAAGATATCCCGATCGTCTAACAACGATCGGCCTTTTGAAGGTGTGTGATGCAATATCTTTATTTTGGGCGTTCTCCATGGCGGCAAAGACGGCAGCTCGAAGCTGGGCTGCTCTGGTGAGCCCAAATGCTTTCTAGGCATACAATACAGATGCCTCTTCGATGCTTTCGATGGTGTTAACAGTCAAAGTTTGTGATCTTGATCTGTAGGGTAAAGAATTAAGAAGTAACGACGGTTAATATATATAATATATACACATCTATACAATAAACTCTCGAACTTTTGACCAAAAAGCGTCAAAGTGGAAAGGGCGGCTATAAAAAGGACCGTTTTGCGATGCTAAGGTGGATTCTTATTTGCGTTCAGTTTTGTAGTGTTACCTCCGTTTTTCAAAAATTCGAAACGTGGTTTTGAAGGTAGCTTTTGTCACTTACTTGCTCGTCCATCATCTTCAAGTGCCATTGTTTTCACTTTACAGTTCATGCGTTGTATACCGCTTTGATGCCCCCCCCCCCCCCCCCTCCCGAAAATGTGCGGATCTCTGTACTTTGTTCCTCAGAGAAGCCCACTGAGAGTCAACCTTTCGAGAAATGACGATAAATCGTCACGCTGCACTTCGATGATGGAACTCTCAAAATTGTCTATCCTTACTTTGGCTCCAGTCTCTGTAGCTATCCGCTGAAATGCAACGCTGAAATTATTCAAGAGCGGCTTGCGACTTTCCAGATTATCGATACCTCTCGGATACCTAGGTGCCAGTCCGGCTACCAAATATACGTCAGCTGAAGCGTCAAAGCTGCCAAGAACCAGAGGCAATAACTGTCGAGCATCGTTTTCAGCGCAACACTCTAAAATCCAGTTCCCCAATCGCATCAACGTTAGTGGATTTCTGTACAAATCCAAGTCTGGTCCATCCTGCAAGACACATAATCGATATAACCGCAGGTTCTTGATAAGCCGTTTTTCTAAAATGGCCATCCCCGTGTTGAAGATTGCACGTTGCAAATACTGTGCATGTTTTACACCACGTCGCATCAATTCTATATTGTCGTCCAATGCATCCCAACTCAGCCAGAAGTTACTGACCCATTTTCGTTCTCTGCGTGTGATGACCTCTTCCAAATCGGTGTTTGACTGCTCTGTAGCAGAACCATCACGTTTTGTAGTGTCCTTGGCATCGACTTCTTGCCCAACTTCAAGTAGCGCTGTTATCGCCTCCGCGAATTCGCTCGCACTTATAGCACCACGGTATCCAAAAGTACGCACAAATCCATCACGTACAATTTCTTGAAGGCCGTACCTTTCCAGACTTTTATCAAAAATAGTCCCCAGCTCTCTTTTGACGCTGTTATCCATATACAACCAATTTTCTTGAGCCGTGGACAACGAAATGCCCATGCGCGCGAATATCTTGTGTAGCTTTTTCTTGCCGTTTTCATTCCAAAGCGAAAGCTTGGCATTGACGTAGTTAGAGTAGAGGAAACTGTCGTACAACGATGAGTGCCGCAACATGAATAGATAGTAATCGGGCTGGATCTCTAACGAAAGTGTGTCAGGCGTCTTATGTGTCTCATGCGGCGACAAACGCCGAACCTCGTCTTGCAAGAGCGGCAAAATTTGGTTATAGATCCGTGGGTAGGCAGCATCCAGAGAAGAAACCCCCAGAATTGTTAACCACAGGTATGATATGCTTGTTTCTCCGAGTGCAGACAAAAGTGAATAGACCTGAGCGGACACTGAGTTTGACACGGAGGTACCTTGGGCATAATAGTCCTCGATAATCTCCTCGTATTGATTCATGAGCTTTTTTCGCGTTTTTCTTTCCTTTCTGGAGTCTTGTCCGTGTGAGCTGGGCCGTTTGGGAGTTCTCGAAGCTTTATTATCATCATCGTCGTCGTCGTCATCGTCGTCATTATGATTATTATTATTATTATTACTGTTATTATCATCATCGTCCGCCGTAGCATTACCGCTGTCGTCGTCGGTATCCTGTCCATCGCTATCTTCCTCATCTTCGTCGTCTTCTAAAGCTGCATCCTCCTGGTTTTCAAGTTCTATCAGTTTGAGATATGCCTCCTCTTGCGAATGCAGCGTTTCCTCTACTGTCCCGTCGTCAAAACAGGTAACCATACGTGAGCTGAACAAGTTGAACAAGTTCCAAGGTCTATGCGTATCTAGCACGTAGATTTTACGTCTTGTAGGATCCTCAATTTCTTCGTCCTGTTCTTCGATACCCAAAAACTCCTCCACGTCTATCATTCCACCGCATCCTACGAAGATGACGCTATTGATATTATCGTCTAGCTTCTCGTAGAACTTTTTGAGCTCCGCGTAACCAAATACGGGCACCAACTGCAACTGCACCAGCTCCTTCTTGAACAGTTTGGCAAGTATTTTACTGGCACACAGTGCGTCGATATTCAAACACGATACAAAAATTACCAATTGACAAGCCGAATGCGACGAAGAATACCTCAGAATTCGATTATAAGCATCCTGAAACTGTCTAACCTTGAGAAACATGCTTTAAAGAGCTCTATAAAGCCTTCAAAGCTCGGTTATACGTTGTTTTGTTGGTACTCGTTGACTCGATGAGTACCATGTATATGGTGTAATTCAATAAATTTCCAATACTTCTTGTTACTTGGGTTGATGACAGCCAAACCATACCAAAATAGGTTTCAAGACACCCGCTTAACAGCGTTTAATCAGTCAATTGAGTATCAGTATATATAGCGTTAAATATGTTCGCAATTTGGGCGCTTCTTCTCACGTCTGTGTCGGCCTTTTTCTTTGATTTTGGTGGACAACAGCAGCATCAGCAACAGCAGCAACACCCACCAATTTCATATGAAGATCAAGTTCTGAACAGTGATTGTGGGGAGTACCTCTGCCCCGATACACTAGCGTGTGTAAAAAGAGCTGAGGACTGTCCCTGTCCTTTTCCGAGATCTCAACTGAGATGTGCGCTTCCAGAGGGCCAATATATTTGCATTTCCAAGCCTGCGACGCAGGACGAAACGCTCAATGCGCTGTATGATGATCCTGCAAAGGGCCCCAGAACTCGTTCGAAGGGCTTGAGAGACTGTGGGTGGGTTGAAAACGCTTTTAAAGGCTCGTCTTGAGCTGCCTGTCTGATCCGGGGCATCATCATCATCATCAATATCAATCAATATTTGCATCTATAGAGGTTAACACATCTGTACCCACCGAAATAAAGAAAGACCGCTGCGTTAAGTCTAATCCCTGTTTTTACCCGGCACCCATCTTCTATACATTACCTCGCCCATTTTGTAGCTGGCAAACAAGCGAGCGAATTTACCTTGCTGCCACAGCAGCAACGCTTCTTCGCGCGGTATCAGTAACTCAACGTAGCACAAAATAAAGCTTTTCTTGGCTCCTCCCACAACCCTTGCACTGCTGGCGTACCATGTGTAGTCCATAGAATCGTCGCTGTTGAGGACCATGATACCGAACTCAGCGTGGTGGAAAGGCGGCCCACGTTTGTAAAGCAGGAAATCGCATCCGAATTTAATTCCCGATCGTACGCACCATCCGTGAGATCTGTAATGATGATACGCAGCATATTTTGTGCACAGATCGTTGATGTCAGCGTAAGAAGGATTATTGCCCACAAGAGAACGGGCCAAGGAATGTGCCGGTAGATCGAGTACCGGAAGTGCGAAAGTTAAAAACATGGCTTCCACAGGCATTAGCTCCAGCACTTCTAGATCCACAATTTTGTTGTTGTCATCGAACAGCTCTGCGTCGGCTTCGCGAAATTGTACATCTGTAGTTGTTGTTTCTTGGTCCTGTGTTTCCTGTTCTCTTAGCGACTGTAAAAATTTCCGCTCTTGGTTGGTAATTTCCGACTCTTCAACTCCTTGATGCCTTAATTCACGTTTAACGGCTTCGAAGTTGGCCCTTTCTCGTTTGAATTCCAGTCTCTGCAGTCTTCTCTGCTCAGTGACATGCTCCAGAGCGCGGGACGATTCTAACAGCCCTAGCCTATTCAAAGTCCTCTCCTTCCAAGTTGGCTCACTTCGAGATAATTGAGCGGTGCCGAAAAACCCGTTACGCCATAAATACAGCATCTCGTCTGGGTCTGCAACCGTTATATGCTTACCGCTTGAAAACTTGACATGTACTTTGGATGGCAGCAGATTGGTGCTAGAAACGTAGCTGTAAAGCCAGAACACCCATGAAATCGGGTTGTGTAATACTAGTTCTGGCAAATTATCCAGCGGATGGATCGGCAGTGGGTATTTGTAGTATTTAACGTTGGGCACATATTTGGGCATCGCGGCGATGAGCTAGACAAGAAACAATGAGCACTGATTTCGCCCGGCAATTTATCAATGAAAAGAGCTAGCAACAAACAAAAGTCGCACCAGACCAACTGAATTCAACTAACTAGCACTTAGTTCAATTCTTTTCGAACTCCCAAGAATGGAAAACTCACTCAAGAAATTTTCTGTTTCCAGCTACGATGTTAAGATCATAATATACTATACAAAGTGTTTACCAAATACTACCAATACGAAAAATATCAGATACCGTTGTAGTCTATTGAGAAATCATAATGCTCACAGCGATGTTACTCTTCAAGCATTGTGGTTGTATCATCATTTTATAATTCGTGCTACTTCAAGATTGACCATTTTAACGGAAAATTAGAAAGCATGCTGTGCCTTCTGGTACAGAATTCTTTCAGAAATCATTTGTACTACAGTGGGAGAATAGGGATAAATAGAAACAAGCTCACGGTCTAAAAATTTCCTTTCACCGTTTCTTGTTTGGATCGAGATAAGTGGTCATCAGATGCGATGGTCCGAAGTCGAGTACCTGTCTTTTATAGTGACAGAACAAACTTTCGTCACTGATGATCTAAATCTTCCAGCCTGAGGGTAAATCGCAAGAATAGCGTTTAGGTTTTGGGGAGGTCACTTTGAAAGACGTTTATGGTCCGTGTAAGAGCTGAATATGATGTTGAAAATTGAATAATATACCATTTGAATAACTATTGTGTTACCTTGTTGAAATTATTAGAGACGTACGGTGCAGGTAAAGTTACGTCCGATTGAATTTTTCAGAGACGAAAAATAGGTGTACAAATGGTTTTCTATGTCGAAATGCTTGAAATTGACCAGGAAGGATCTTGAGCCCTTAGTCTTGTGAACAGGGTCATGTCATTTGAAAGCAACTGTTCATGAAATGACAGTTTAGTATGAAGTGATACTCTCATTACAGTTGGAAGACTATGCAAGAAACTTAAGGTACCTGGCAGTTTTGAATTGGCCTGAACTACCGGTGAGATCTTTAGTGACAGATTCCAGGTAACCTTTGGTTTTTCTTCTCAATTGGCTTACAAAATCAGTGGGAGCGCTGTCCCGTGACCAATGGCAGCGACGGAGTAAGACCACAGTGACAATCTGAAGCTTGACGATCTGTCGCTGGGCATCTGATAATACAAGAGCAAGCTGTAAGCGGTACCAGACCATTGAATATATCGCAAATTTACCATGAATCGGGACCAGAAAAAGCTGCTATGATCAAGCTTTATTTCGATGATGATTCTGAAATGTCACCAAAGCAGCACATTTCATATAATTTCCGCAAATGTCGCTTGATTCAGACAACGAGGTCTGTTGGCCCGAATTTGAACATCGATATCAGCTTCTTACAAATTTCTATAGATTTCTGTCGATCCCATTAAATCAGGGAACGAATAGACGACTTCAGTTTCAATACGCGTTTTTCTAGTGAGATGCAAGCTCAGAAAAATACTGGCGTAAAATAACTGACAACATTTCTGGCAACTCTGAGATATCGCGGACAAGCACATAAAATTCAAACGGGAAAGTATCGAGATATCTCTCTACTTTTAGTTGAAGGTTTCCAAAGCTATCTGGAACATACTTGACCTGACTCATTTCCATTATCGATTCCGATGTATTGATGCCATCGATGATAACGAATACTAGCATGATTTTATTGTCTCGGGCGCGACGAACCAGCCTTTGAACCGTTTCGTGGTCCTCGCAAACACCATCAGAGATAATTATCTGCAATTGCCACAGATCGGCGTTATTTAGGTTCCGACCACGGTCAAAAATGCGAATAGACTCAGCTACCAATTTTTTGACGTCTGTTCTAGTGTCCTGGAAGTCGAACCATTGGAAAATTTTAGCACCAGCGTCATTTCCAAAAGGTTTATCAAATTGATGAACTTCCTGTGTTGTATCTCCAAACTTTACGATGGAAAGCCCTCCAGATTCCAACTGTGTGAGTGCTTTTGAAACCAGGCAAATGCTCTGAAACGCTAGGTCCACGGACTTTGATTCACTCATGGATTTGGAATCATCGACGGCGATCATGATCTGGTATTGGCGTTTGCTTGGCTTGGTTCGTTTTAACCAAATCTTGTCCTTACGGAACTGAGATGCGATGTATGGTATTATACGCTTCATGTTTAGCCTTTTTCCGGTTTTGTAGTCGCCCTTTAGCTTTGTAGCCAATGTGGGTTCCAAAATGAGACGCAGTTGTTCGCCTAGCCCAGCAGCTAGATCAGCAGTTTCGATTTCACTCTTTCTCCAAAGGTTGCGAGCATCCTCCAAAGTTCTAGGTGGTTCAGCGGTGGCCTCGTCGAGAACAACTTTTTGATCAATTGCATCTATGATATCGTCTAAATCATTGTTATCGGCTTCAAATGGCTCTGGGTTAGTGACGGTCTTCTGCTGGCGCGCATCCTCTAGTAGTTCCAATGGTGAACCATTAGCCCTTCCTTGACTGTCCCGGTCATGGGCCTGTTCTAAAGGCATTTGCTCGGCGTTTTCTTCTTCAGGAAGAGCCTCGCCTTTGGGAAGAGCTTCTTCGGTCTGTTCATTTTCTTCTTCTTCTAGATCTTCCGCTTCATCATCAATCGCCATCTCGTCGTTGACAGTGGTCGTTTGGTCTTTGTCAGCAGAGCCTAGGGCTTGTGTGTCATGATCAGTATTTGGACCATCCAAGTGCTCGAAACTGTCAGGCCGCTCGTTAGCGCTTGCCGCTTCTTCTTTCACCTCTTCGTTATTGGATGCTTCTTTGATCTCCTGGTGTCTTCTGTGAAACTCTTTCAAGCTATCACCTAATTGCTTCAGACTATCTTTGGCTTCTTGTCTAGAAACTTCAGGGGCATCGCCTGCATCTTCCTGCATTTCCTGTTGAGCATTACCGGAATCCCCTATATTTTCGTCTTCTTGGTTGTTGACAGCGTCGGCGCCTTTACCTTGCGCGCCGCTTTCTTGCTGCACATTTGGGTCGAAGTCGTCATTGTCAACATTCATCATGTCATCTGCGCCGTCTAGGCCTTCTAAATTCTCGTCGGCACCCTCTTCTCCACCTGCCTCTCTACTGTCCATCTCCTCATTTTGATTGTTAAGAAGCTCTGCAGAATCTTCCTCAAGTGGATTTGTTTCTGTTTCTGAGTTTTGATCTTCCATTTCGTCATCACGCGCATTTTCATCTTCATTGGCAGGTCCCTCGTCGGGATTGGTTGGATCATCATCATCATCATCCTCCTCCTCCATATTAACATCATCTTTGTCCCCTTGAATGTCATCCTCACCGACTTCTTCATCGTCTTTGTCGTTCATTCCTGTGTTATTCAGAGCATCGTCCTCTTTTTCGCCGCCAGAGCCTTCTTCATCTTCACTTTCGCTGGCATTATCAATTGAGTCCTCGTCTCCTGAGTCTAAATTCATGTCCTCTGGTAAGTCCATTGTTTCAACTTCGGGCACCGCGCTATCGATGTCACCATTTTCATCGTTTTTAATCTCGTCGTCTTGTCCAGCGGCGTCATTCTCTTCATCAGAGTCTGCGTCCGAGTGGTCTTCATCCCTGTCACTTTCATCTTCTTCTTCACCGTCTGCAGCATCTTCAGCTTCAGGTCTTTTGGCCTCTGAGGATTGATCGCCATTCTCGTTTTCAGCGGCTTGAACGTCATCATTGGCAGAATTCACTGGAGCGTCGTCTGCTTGCTTCTCTTTGCTAGAATCCTCGGGTTCTTCATTCCACATTTTCTCATCAATTGCGTTTGGATCGTCGTCGTCTAAGTTGTCAACCTCCTCGTCCAAGTCTTCATTCTCTTCATTTTCCTCATTACCCTCATCATCGTCACCGCCGCTAGCATTTTCCAAGTCGCCTGCCATATCTCCATCCATATCGACAGCATCATCTTCGCTGTTTTCTTCGCTATCGTTTTTGTCTTGATCCTCGTTTGGCTTTTGCGCATCTTCCAAAAGATCCTCGTCCTCCTCGACATCTTTAGAATTTTGCGCTCCTTCACCATCTCCGAGCCCGGTCCCTTCCTGGAGATTGGAGTCCTCGGTTTCTTCTTCGGGGGGACTGGGTGAGCAGAAACCGTTCTTGCCCAGATTGTAAAGGATTGACGCCAAGGTGAAAGTTGCATAGGACAGTGAATGATACTCGGATTTTATTTTGTTCATCAAAGATACCAAAAACTGGAAATATCTCGATATCATTGGCATTGTGAACCTCACAACAGCAACTATGATCTGGGACTGATCAACGGAGAAATTTTGGGATTGAATCAACCCAAGAGCTTTTTCAACATTGGACGAAACTCTAGAAATGCTAACACTCCTCGACAAAGTGGTGATCCTCTTATGAGAGTTGAGTAACCAGTTGTCATCTTCCGTCGTGATTCTTTCTGTTTGGCTTTCCAAAAGTTGCTGAATTGTGAGCATGATCGATGTACTCACTTTACGGAAAGCGTTTTCAATGTTTTCCAGACTAACATCGGTTGTTGATGAATCTGGATGGTAGTGAGATACCTTATGCTCAGCGATCCAATCAATGACCACTTGGGAAATGAAAGCGGTTTTAGTTGAGCTGTTTGTTGACAGCCTGTCGACGAAGTCGTCACAAAAATCATTGAACTCGGTAAGAACTGTGGAAGAGTCACTGTCCAAAACTGGTCTTTCACTAGCCACTTTGAACTGAGAAGTTTTCTCAATACCCTCTGAGAGAAGAGTAGCTAGCCACCCGGATTCTGAAGTTGATACTGTCATGATGAGCGTGTCGAGAGCATAGCGTAAAATCTTTGGAAGCCACGAACACATGTAAGCGAATTTGTCAAAGGTTGTCACTAGCGATCCGTGCATTAAACCCTTAGTCGACTGGGAAGTTTGCTCCAAGGTTCCGTATAGTTTCTTGAGACGCACATAATTATTTGAGGATTCATGAAAGGTTTTCCGGCTTGTGATCAAAAAGTACAGTAGATTTTCGACCACGGCTAAGCCTTTCTCGATAGGCGCGAGAGGAGCATCAGCCGCGGGGCTCGAGATGACGAAGCGAAGACGTGGCATCAGTTCAAGAATCCTAAAAAAGTAGGAATCGCATTTTTCTAGTGGAGAATCCTCGAAGTTTTGTACGCAGCTTAACACAGACGTTACTGATTCCTGAACCTTCCGTATATCTTGTCTGAATGCGGTCTTAAGACCCATTCTTCTCAGCTCTTTCAAAGAGTCATTCAGCAATTTTGATTTTTGAATTCTCAAAGCAGCCAGCAGTTTCTTTTCCTTCTTGTTATACACTTTTGGTGTCTCGTCGCGCAAACGACGCACCTCTGCACTCACGTCATCCGCAAACGCTGTCAATTGAGGGTATTCTTCTGACTCTATTGATGAGCAGTGGCTGAACATTTTTCTGGAGCTCAGCTCCGAGTTCTTCAAAAAAGCCGGTCTATCACCCCAGCTAGAGATGCGGACCACCAAAGCGTTGATATCCAAAGAGGGAGTATCACTAGCTTTGCTCGCCACAAAACCTTCAGTCTGGAAGCTTCTGTGTGTACTACCTTGTAGGCCGCTTTCAATAACTGAGAACACATTTTGAGAAAGCAAAGTGCGATATTTCCTCACCAGCTTGTAAAGACTATTATGAGACCGGTGCGAGCTCTGTTTGAGAGCATCAATATTCACGTCCTTCCAGCTGGCAAGTAAAATCACGTCAGAAACCTCTTTTTCCAATTTCTTTCTACCTTCCTTTATAGCTTCGGCAATGGTTGCGGAAAATTGATCAAAGAATGTTATCAGGTTAAACAAAGCCTGGGTGACATTCGAATCCTGCCCCATCGAAAATTTGGCGTGGTTTGCAAATGCTCTCAAAAGGGCCAAGCGACCACTGAACTCTCCGTAGCTACACTTGCTTAAGAAGACATTGAGAGATCCAAGTAGCTTAGCAATTCTATCGAAAGTATTTGTATCTCCTGATTGCTCTTCCGAAAACGTAAGAGTGATCGTCTCGTAAAGATAGAACCACCATTTACCCATGGTCTTGTTGAGCGCCAAATGCTCGTGATCAAACAAGCTGTTCCAGGTACGGAGCTCCAATCTTCTCCACGAAACAACAAGATCAGTGAGTTCTCGCACAGAGTCGTGCAACGAAACAGAGACCGACGCGTACTTCTCCCATTCGGTAACAATCGTAAATATTTGCTCAATCTTTTGGAGGAGGCGTGCGATGGGCGTGTTTCCGGAGTAATTCATGAACTCTTGGCACACCCGGAATAGATCATTAAGTGTAGAATGTTCAGGCCATTGGGCCAGCAAGTTGCTAGTTGAAATCCAGAGTTTTTCTACCACTGCCACAGCCCTTTTTGTTTCGTACAGTGAAAACCCACGATAAAAGTCCAATTCATTCACCTGCTTTTGACTCTCGAAACTTTTCAACTCCTGGGTGAGCTGACCTAACACCGAAATCAAGATGCTTGGGCCAGGAGAGCACGTTTTGCATGCTGCGCCAATTTCTTTTAGAGCATCACTGACCCGGCATCCATCGCTAATCATTTCTGGCAGATCAGCTGGAGGTTCATCACCAAAAGTTCTTAGATAAGTTTTAGCAACATCGTAATAGATATCTTCGAGACCCTCTTCATTCACGGACTCTGATGACGGCTCCTCGCCCACCAAAAGAACTTGTTCATAATCTGGAAAAAGTCTTCTGAAATCCGATTCGACATCTGCGTCGACGTCGTCGAATTTGTAAACCCCAACCTTAGCTTGAGCCTCCTTCTCATCCCTCAAGCGGCGCATGGACCACCTGTAATACATTGTTTGAAGGGCATTCTCAAAGGTGTTCCCGAGCCGGACATCCTTACCGTGGAAACTGAACAGCTTGAGGTAAAAGTTCGCAATGCGTTCAACGCACAATGACTCGACCGTAAAGCTCTTGAAAAGAGGTTGCAGCTGAGCATACGAGTCGTTGATACGCTCAGGGTTACTCAACACATGCAGATCGAGGGTCCATAAAGGCTTTAAATTCATCTTCTTCTGCGCGTCGATCCTTCCCTGTTTGACTAGATCAAATCCAAATTTTAGACCAAGAACATATCCGCGGAAAATCTCGTTCAAGTCAGAGTACACTCCATAATTTGATATTAACCGCTCGAGAAACTGCGACGAATTTTGCTGGAATAGGTTGAGCTGACCTTCTGAAAGAGACTCAAACCCCTCTAGCGACGTAAGTAGCCTCTCGACAGGCTCTGCCCCAATTGTAGATTTCATGAGTGCGCCCCATTCCTCGAACAATGGGTCTATAGCTTTTTGCGGTCTGTAAACTCTGGGCTTGGCTGGCGGATGATTATGGGTGGCTTCGCTCATTAGTTCCTCCATAGCTGTGGGTTTATCTCCACTTAGGACTACTCGACAGCATTCCCAACTGCGCAACAACTCGTTTGACAGTGACTGCTTGATCATGTAGTTGTCATAGAGGACATAGTCATTGATGGCTGGATCAAAAGAAGTGCTGGGAACGAACAATTGCAAAGCGCCAGCAGAGAACAAAACCCATGCTTTACCGAGTGAGGACAAGGTATCTGATTCTAGGGCGGACACTGCACCTGCCAACAGGAATTGCTCGTGGATATTCTTGAACCACGTATTTTCGTAGTTGGAAAGTGCCTCCTGAATTTCTCCTAAAGTCGCTTTAGGTTTTACTTCAACATGTAGAGAGACGATTTTTCTGTACCACTCGAGGAGAGCATTTCTGTACAGATTCAGTTGATGACCGACGATCGAATGCGATGACTCAACAAGTTGATCCCGTAATACCAAAGCGTCTTCTAACGCCTGCGACAATTGGCTCCCAATAACCTTGCTGAATGAAATTGCTTTGTTTGCAACATTTTCTAAAGTGGAACTATCAAAGATGGAAATGGTGGAAGACTCAAATTGCCCTTGAGTCTTTTTCCATAGTAGATCAAAGACTGCTGGACGGTCCTGCGAAACTTGCTTCATGCTCAATAGTGTTTCTGTGGAAATAGAGGTGTACGAAGCAATTTTATTGAGGGCATAATCCATTTTTTGCCCTTCGTTGCAGACCAAACGTAACAATGCATCAAACTCAGGTTTGAAGAAATGCTTTCTCGGATTTAAAAACCGCCTCGATATGGTGTCTAGTTGATCCACACCCTTCTGCAAAGTAACTAATACCTCATCAAAATCTGAGGTATCGCCAGACAGAATACTGAGTCTGAGGTCCCCGATGGTATCTCTTAGTTGAGCTATCAGCGCATAGGAATCAGAGAATTGTCCGTCAGCAACATCGTCAAACTTTCTGGAGACAACCAACAGCTGTTCAAGTCTTTCCCAGTCGTGCTTTGAGCTTGGCTGTACTTGCCTGAATGCGTTCCAGATAGACGTCATTGAGCGACCCGTATCCATCAATAACGCGCCGCCCAGTTTTTTGGCAATAACAAGTACGTCTTGGGTTTCGTGACTTTCCAAGTTCGATTCTTGCTGCCACGATTCTAGTAAATCTTGATAGGCCCTTAACTTGGCGTTATCATGGTTTTTAGAAGTCTCAAAAGCACCAATCCATATAGAACAGAGGTCGAAGTAATCTTTGCACAGATTGGGGAAAGTGAAAAGAGCTTTTGACATCAAACTCTCTAAGATATGTGCTTTCAAAAGTGAAAGTACTTCGAATATTGGAATCTGCGGAGGTTTTTTGATTGCACGACCTTGGTAGTTTGCGGCGCTTAACTCCACATAGGTAAGATCACTCAATTTCGCATGCTGTGCCCTCCTTGTAGTAGTGTCAAGAGCAACTGAAAAGCTGTTAAGTAGCCTTAGGGTGTCGAAAAAAAAGGCCGGTTCAGATGTCGTGATCGTAGGGTGACTGTGTGCCAGACATTTCGAAACATACGCGTTAACAGAAGGCATCAAAGATTGTGCTCTTGGAAAACACTTTGGATCCTTCAATAGTCCTGAGGCAAGTTGCTCGTAATCATCATAGATTTTAGCGAGCGACTGCAATATCCCGTTATCATTGAAATATTGAGCCAACATAACGAGCTTTGATACAAATTCGTCCTCGCGGTAATATCTCGAGTTGCAAACATTTGTCTCCCAGGCGGTTAACGTTGGGAACACAGAAAGGGAGGTAATGAACACAATCGACTCAGCAAGATTTGAAGTTGAGATTGCTGATATATCGTGTAGGTGGCCGTATTCTGATGCAAACGAGTTGTCTGACATAATGTAACGCGACAGTGGCACTACTTCTAAGTTGATTGGCTTGTCTTTCTCTATAGCGGGAGCAGTGTCTCTGGCCTTCTGCGACTTTTGACCCGCCATATTGACCATATCGAATGAAGAACATCTGGTTGATAAGTCGTCGACATAGATTTCAATACTTCTGTTCCGCATTGCCCTGGACAACTCTCCGAATTTCGGATCTACAGTCAAAAAGAGCCTGAAATCTGGGTGCGGGTCAACAACCTTGGGCCGTCCATCTTCATGACTGCATTCGTTAATGATCAAGGATCCGTCAGTTTCCAAAAGCGAGTTCAACCTATCCAAAACAGATGGAGAGCACAGATTCGCATTTTCGAGAATGAGCCACGATCCTTCTTCCATTGCCTTGAGTAGTAAGCCGTCAAACCACTCAAAGGTGACCGAAGACGGTTTATCTAATTCCCCCCGTATGGCTTGAAGTTCAGCAAGTGCCTCCGAAATCGTATCGTTGTTAATAAACTGATCGATCCTCTCCATCAGCTGCAACAAAGATGGTAAATTTAAAGTATCCATCGAGTGTGTCGTTATGAATTGAAAGAGAGTAAGGGCTGTCATTTTGGCATCATCACCACACAGTCTCGAACCAAGATTGATGGCAATCAATTCTCTAAGAGTCGTTAGCATGCGGTCCACTGTCTGACCAATTTTTCTATTGAGATCAACTTGTTCGTAACCACCCAAAATGTCCATGCTGTCCGTGTCTGAGTTCATAGGAAAGCTACTAACTTTCGCGCCTAAAACTCCTGAAACATACTTTATGATTTCCGATTTTCCAGAGTTGGTGGGCCCGCAAAGAACGAGCGGCCAGTTTTGTTTAACGCACCTCAGAACAGATTCGTACACCTGAAAGTTGCACTGCAGGGGTGTCAACCCGCGAAGCGAATGATGCTTGACAAATGCTGCTCTTGGCATGATTTCGCTATTCACCTGCAAATACTCAGCTGTAATTCTGAAGTAGCTGGGACGTTCATCTTTTTTACCGAAGAAATGTTCAAACATCTTTGCAACTCTGCTACGATCTTCGTGAGTCCTAAATCTCTGCGTTAAGATCATGTCCAGATATTCAACAGGCCCAGCACCGGTGGTCAAATTTGGGGCCTTGAGTAGTTTCAACCACCTCAAAGTATCTCTTAGGTTGAATTCCCACGGAGATCCTGCGTGACCCCACAGTCTCCGATTGGACACTTCATCTTCCATTGTGGATATTATCTCTATCAACTGAGTACACCAATTAGGGTTTATCTCAGGGTACAGATGGGATGCAATGAGAAATAGATCCTCAGATGACAAGACGTCTACAAAGACGACGTTGAACCGGTTGACAAAAGATTTAGGTAGACCTTTTCTGCCTCCACCTTGATTTTGGGGGTTTTGAGCGGCAAAAACCGTAAATCCAGGGTGTTTCGTAAATGCCTTATCCAGTTCAGGAATGTACGCCTCTCCTCTGTGGTCCAAGCAGGCATTCAAACCTTCCAAAACAGACTGAGAAGCAAGATTCATTTCGTCTAATAAAACCCATTCCCCTAGCTGCATTGCCCTGAGGAAGGGTGCATCCCGCCAAACAAATTCTCCGGTTGTTTCACCAGGAGCATCTGATCCGAATAGATCCACCAAGTCTGTCTGTTCTGATAGGTTTATCCGTGTCAATTTATTTCCAGTGGATTCTGCCAAAGCTGAAACAAGACTGGTTTTCCCGACACCAGGGCTACCCTCCAAAAGGATTGGTTTTTGAACCTGCATAGCTCTTACGACCCTCATGAGGTTATTCAAGGTTGTGGGGGCATTCAGGTTAAACTGCGGGCTTGAAGCTGACACTCCTCTGTCAAGCGCAAACATCCCTACTTGAACGTTTCGATCCTCAATTACTAAGGTTGGTTGCTGTAAGTAGTACGGACGCACATCCTCGCCATAGAATTTTCCTAGCACTTCGAGGCACTCCATTCTCTGCAATTTCAGTGTCTCTGCATTCTCCGAAAGGTAAGCTGTGTTGTTGGTTCCAAGAGTATCAATGAAGACCATTGCGGCACCTTGTACTAAAGCAGCAACTTCGTTTCCTAGTCTCTCAATTGAGACATTCACGAACTGGATCCAAGACAAAATATCACGCAAAGAAATAATACCATTGCTGGTCGTGCCTCCTCCAAACCTTTCGCCAAACCACTTCGAAAATTGAACAATGGGGTCAACCAGCGAAGAGAGTTCTAACTTGAGCTTCGAGGACACGATCAAGCGTACGTCATCAAAATCTTCCATAGATGGAACCCATATTTCAGTGAAACGATTTCTTAAAGCTGGAGAAAGCTCTTTCTTCCCGTAGTCACCGCCTGGGTTCATTGTCGCGAAAAATTGGAATCCGTCCGCAGCCTTTACTAAGCTATCAGGCCCGGCTTTCTCTGCCAGCAGGAGATTTCTCTCGGGCTCCAAGACACTATTAAGCCTTTCTAAGACTGAATCATCCGCTAACGATATCTCATCCAGCAAAAAAAACTTTCCTTCGTTCAAAGCTTGCACTAAAGGACCATCGCACCACTCAAATAGAACGTTTAGCTTATCCTGTAGATCTCCAATTGCCTTCACCTCAGCAGGATCCATGAACGTCTTGTCCGCTCGCTTATATGTGCCCAATAGCTCATCCATAGTGGGCATGCTATGACTCGCAAATTTAAGCACTTTCATTAGCAGTTTGAGCAATTCTCCTTGAATTTCAGAGCGATGTCTATTAGGGCGCTGAGCACCGAGGATATCGCCGGTCTCCGTGTTCTGGTGAGCATTCAAAGTAACGAGCTGGTGACCGGTGAAACGCGCTATGAGTTGACATATTGTTGTTTTTCCGCAACCTGTCTCTCCAACTAAAAGAACTGGCTCATTATTTTTCAAACACGTAGTTACCAAGACAGCAAGTTTACGCATAGCCTTCGTCCATATGACAGAGCTTTGCATGGCCTGGAGTCCTTCGATTTCTAACGTTTCGTAATATTTGTCCATATCCAGCTTGACTTTCATCACCTTTTCGAGAACTCGCTTGACGAGAGCTCTTTCTTCTGTGGTTCTACACCTCTCTGCGAGCAGCATGTAGCCATTAGCTGCCAGATTTTCGTATCCCACAGCGTCTCTCAGGGCCCACCTGAACAGATCACGAAGCGTGGCAAAACTATTCTTCTGCTCGAAAAGACGCATAGCTGAACGTTGAACTGACAATTGGCGGTAAGCTTCTACAATCTTTTGAGCATATGATGGCGCGATCTTGCATCTTTCTCTTAAAATGATTTCGAGTTCATCTTGAGGTATATCGTCGAAGTGTAACTCAAGGAAACGGTTGCGAAAAGCCCTAGATAAAACTTTACGCCCACCATAAATGCCAGGAGGGTTTTGAGTAGCAAAAAGCATGAAATCAGGATGAGGATGAATTACCTCTTGGGTTTCAGGAATAAACAACTCACGATTATCATCGAGTAATCTGTTTAATGCCTCCAGCACGTCCGTGGGGGCCAAATTAAGCTCATCAAGAACAATCCAGTGACCCTTTCTTAGTGCATCGACCAAAACACCTTCCCGGAATGATAGCTTTCCAGTTTCGTCGGCCATATATGTGCCAAGGTACTCCTGGAGATCGGTGTGCTCATGATTGTTGATACGAACAAATTCATGGCCGGTGATGTCGGCGAGGTATTTGATCATACTCGTCTTACCAGCAGATGTTGGGCCTTGTATCAATACAGGAAACCTACGTCCTGAGGTTGCTCTCACTAGGTTTAGCATATTTTTTTCAACGAATGGTGTTATGATGTACTGCGGTTGTTCTTGAAGTTCATGCGCTCCCTTTTTCATCCAGTAGTGTTTGAACTGTACATAATCAGTGCCAGGACAAGGCGGAGACTGTGAAATGACCGATTTAGGGTTCTTCAACCTTCCTAACGTGAACTTCTCGATGAGCGGTCTCAGCAAGGCTTCGGAGTTTTCATTCAGCAAAGTGAGAAAAGACATGCAAAAGCCTTCATACAATGATCTGCGCAACCCGTAGACCTTGACGATGTCTCTAACATATATCAAGGTTCGAGTCAAGGTACGGATACTAAAGTGAGGTTTCTGATTAGAACCGTCAACAAGTTTATTCGCTTCCGCAAGTTTCTTTGCTGCCAGGTATAGCTCAGCAACATCGTTTCCGACCCATTCGTCGCTGACACTGAATAAGCCGATGTATTTGTCAATAATTGCTAAAAGATCCGTGATGTCACGATCGGGAGAATGCACGTATATCTCAGTGAACCGTGAGCGAACACCGAGTGGTAAGTCTCGTTTGCCGACGTCTGTGGCGGGATTCATACAAGCGAATATTCTAAAATTTGGATGAGCCTTGACTGGTTCAGCTTGACCCTTCTCCGATAGTAGCACACTACGAGTTGTTGGCTCGGACAAAAGATCTGATATACTTTCGAGAGTATCTGGTGAAGCTAAGTTCAACTCATCCAATAAAAGCCACTCGCCATTGCGCACGGCCTTAACCAAAGAGCCTTCCACGAAACTGAAAACAAAGGAATTCTCTATGGAAGAGTACTGAGCTTCAAATTTTGAGATACTATGATGAAACTCGGACCATCTATCCAGTAATATCTTATTTTCATGTGAGTTGAGTTTTCTTTTCTTTTTCTGGTTGTCAGAAGAGGATTCGACTTCGTCTTGGCAAAGAATATTCCTTGCCAACTTGATAGCTTCATTCAAGAGTTTGATGACATTTTTCCACTGGCCCTTATTGAAGCACTTGTGCACCATCGTATAAAACCTTTCATTTTTCTTCATCGAGAACGTAGCAGGAAAAATGCTCTCAAAATCTTCCAGTAATGGAATTGCAATTGTTTTAGTGTTTACCGGTTTGAATCCGCCAAGTAGATCACCGCTCTCAGTTTGTTGGGACACATTTATCACCGTTAACTTTTGGCTGAGGGCTTTGGCCATTTCCTGGACGACAGTTGTCTTACCGGTACCAGTTTCACCAACGAGCAAAACGGGCTCGCACATTTTGATTGCTGTTCCGACCTGTTCCATCAATCTGAGGGAGTGATTTGTACGTGCAAAGGAGGTGTTATTCATAGATTTCTTTACCAGTCTTGCGCGGTTCTTGGCTAATATTGTCCTACCAATTTTCAAAGTAGTTTTGGACTCTTCGAACACTGGAACATGTTTCGAGAGATAAAGATTAATTCTTGAGGCGGGTATTTCTAATGCGACACCTATGGTTTCAACTATAGGCTTCAGAGCTCTCAACTCGCCAATTGCGCAGGCAAAACAATCGGCAGCTTCGAAGAAAATGCTATCGTAGACATGGGATGGGATCAGTTCTTGTGAGCTTTTGATGCTGTTGTCTTTGAAAATCTCCTCAACTCTGCTGCAAAACTTGACCAAATCACGTACCGTCACAGCTCTAGGGTGCACGCCTCTATTCATAGAAATGAATTGAGGATTTGAATAGACATTTTGGACTAGGTGATAACTGGTGATAAAACGTCCGATCAGATGTGACAACGCTGAAAATTTGTGAGTCAAGATTTGTTGGAGCTCCTTCTCGTCCGGTTCCGTAAGGTTAACCACTTCCCATAAACGGATTCCGATCAAGTCAGGCTTAAAATTCTTCTCGTCTCTATGATCATTATCCGTCACCCTGATAGTGGATATTAGCTGGAAGCCATTTGCAGCTTTGATCGTTTCTCCTCTGGAAGGTATGCTCAATTGACGTTGTTCCAATAAAGTGAGAAGAACTGAAAGTACTTCCGTTGGTGCTTTGTCTATGTCCTCGATCAAAACCCACCGACCTTCTTTCACCGCTGTAGTCAAAACGCCTGCTCTCCATTCGAAAGTTCCCGGCTTTTCGCCAGAGGTGTAAGTGCCGAGCAGAAGTTTCGCATCGGTTTGTTCTCCAAGATGAATTTTGACCATCTTTTCATATGCACCCGTGTACTTACTGAGCTGATTCACAAGGAAGGTCTTACCGGACCCAGCCTTGCCCACCAACATGACCGGTTTAGAGTGCTGGACGCATCTACTAAGTTCTCGTATGAAAGAAACCGCCTTTTTAGTGGGGACGAACCTGTTCTCCGAACAGGCTTCATAGCGCTGAGCGCTTGCGTTGACCCTGGGAACAAGCACCCCAAAAATTGCCATTATAGAGGCGCTCAAGTGGCACGGTTCTATGACTAAGGAATCGAGCTCCACTTTTTTCTGCACTGCAACCTGGTTATCGTTGTACTTATCCAGCAATGTTTGATATTGGGATAACCTCTGGGCTTCGTTGAGCTCCAGAAACCGGTAGTCGACATCATTGTCACCATCAAATGGTGCCAGAATGCCTTCGGTGTCAGCAGGAGCGTGCTTTTCGATCAAATCCACCGTCGCCTGCTCGGCCATATTCAAATAAACAGAGAGAACTTTGACCGCCAAAAACTTGATGGCGTGATTTGAAAACTGAGTTTGCAGCACTTTGTAGAGCGTTGAGGGGGTGATGAAACGGGTAAAGCGCTCCCGATCAAATTGTAAGAACCGATAGTATGCGAGGAGAATACCGTGCAGCGCTGGCTCGGGCTGCGATACACCCATCTCCAACATTAAATTGAGGTTTTGGTGCTGCGTCTGTAAAAAATGATCACACAAAGTAGCAGTCTCTGGATATACTGCGATGGCCTGTGCTAGCCTGTCTGCAACCATAACAAGCTGATCCTGACTATTCGATTCTGCCCATCTGGCCACCAGATCTAGCAATACTGGCCGGTAGATGAACATGTACGCTAAAGGCACTTGGCTTACAAGTGCAGCTTGTGCCAATGTTTCTAAGTTAGCGCTGACGCTTCTCTCCAAGTCGATCTTAACATATTCCAGTATCTGTTTCCGTTTGAATTGATTGTTGTACATATGTGCCCGTTTTTCGCTCAGCGAAACGCTAAGCAAAAGCTGGTTTTGGCCCTCCAGCATTCTTGGTTATAACAGATCAATTAAAGTTCTTTTCCACTATCTTGAGCAGGTGCAACTGGTCATATAACCAGTCTTGAACCTTTGACTGTACTTCTTTTCAGCAGAGAAGACATTATACGCCAGGTAACTTATGCTTAATCCAAAATTTTTCAGAGTGCATCGCGATGAGCCGTGCAAAGTGTTCGATGTTTTGACCCTCTGTAAGCCAACAGTGAGAAGGACAAAGAAACGAAGAATGGAAACCGGAAAAAGTCAAGCCAAGCTGAGTCACAGAGTATCTATTGAGATTTGACCTTTATCTTCCATGGTCGCAATACGGCCAATAGACCTCAAGGTCCAACCGGCACCCTATCAGATACGATGTACGGTTCTTCAGAAAATACTGAAGACCTTGGAAAAATACCCGTCACCTGCGGCGAGTGTAGGATGCCGAGCGGTGGAGTTGGAGGGCAATGTGGCACGTAAGAGTGGCTCAAGTCAGAGCTACAGGTTCAACTCCAGCGTGCTTCTGCGGGATTTGATCAAAACAAAGGGCAAGCTTGAGGATGCTGGAAACTCAGGTGTGCGGGCTGTCTCTAAAAGATCCGCGAGTAAAGCCACGCTGACGAAAAGTAAAGTTGTAGGTCTCTTAGAAACGGTGCTGGTTAAGGAAGCTGATCTGGTTGCAAATGGTTACAACTTGGGGATCGTGGATCGGACTTCAGACCAACCCTTGCAGTTGCCAACAGATTCGAGTTACAACTACATTAGCTGCATTCGCTGCAATTCCAAGTTTGATAAACTACAAATCCTGAGTCCCGCAACATGTCGCTTCCACGTTCAGCGCAAGCGGTACAACCGCGAGACGCGTGAGGGAGAGTACGTCTGTTGCGGGGAAACTACGTCGTCCACATCTTTCCTTGCCCTAGGGTGTAAAACACTGCCTCACCACGTCTTCCGCGCAGAAACATTTGATGCAATGGCCACAATTTCGCCCTTTAAAGACACCAGTGAGATTTCTGGTGACTCCAATGTACTGGCGCTAGATTGTGAAATGGCCTTCACCTCTCTGGGATACGAAATGATACGATTGACAATAGTCGACTTTTTCACAAGTAAAGTTGTATTTGATAGCATTATTAAGCCATTCGGAGAAGTAATCGATCTAAATTCGGAATTCAGCGGTGTGCACACCATAGACAAAGCCAATTCCATGACCTTCGAAGAAATGCTATCCCAGGTGCTCGATAAGAAGATGATCAATGGAAACAGCATATTGATAGGGCACGGTATGGAGAACGATTTGAATGTTTTGCGACTCATTCACAGGAAAGTAATCGATACGGCCATTCTTTACCCTAGAGGTAAGTTCAAATCATCTTTGAAAGATCTGGCGTTCGAGGTTGTAAGCCAACGCATACAAACTGGTGAGCACGATAGTTCAGAAGACGCAATAGCCACCATGAACGTTCTAAAGGCCAAGTTAGAGATTCCTTTGAATCAAAATATGTGGACTTAGTTAAAAATGCAGACCACATTTTATGATTTACGTACGCGATCCATAGAACTTACTTTTGCCTCAAGCCGGTCTTGTCGCTCCATAATTTCTAAAAGCATAGAAACTATTTTTGATAGTTGTTCTTGAACGTCATTTTCCGCCATATCTGATTCAAACTTGACGCTTTTCTTTGGGTTCAAAGATCTTGGTTTTCGTATCTTGAAACCGTCATTTGCGGAGATTTTGGGGAGACTTGACCGATGTTTATAATTATCGTAGTCATTACCAGAGCTACTCTTATTTTCTAGAGCTACTTCATCTTGCTCCTGAAGTTCGGGAAGCAAATTTCTGGCCGAATTGACAGTTGTTGTCACAGCACTTAATGTTGCATTTGACACTTTTCCTGGTGACCTTTGACCTCCGCCGAACCTTGTACGAATTCTACTCAGTGATCCATCACCACCAGATGCCGTAGAATTGCTATATGTTGTCCGTACTGGAGACGTGGGGAATGAAAGCTGTATGGAATTGTCTTCCGGATCATTTTTGAAGTGCACACGATCAACACTCAGTGTTCCACCTGGAGGTTTGAGATCGAGAAGATATGGGGGTGATTTCAGCCGTTTTGGCGTGGCCTGGTACACAACAGGTCGCTCCCACGCGTTCTGTCCCCTCTCAGGCGATAGTTTACTAGAGCTCTTTCGATTTGTGTTTGGAAGCAGTTTTTTGTTCGGCGAAGTACTCAATCTTTTGAAAACATTTTTGGTTGGTGAGCCTCGTAGCTGTCTTTCAATGGTATGCTCCGACATCTTCGAGCCCAAAGCCTTCGACAGGTACGATGGAGTTCACTACCTTTACTTTGACATTTGACACTAGTTCGCTTTTCTTAAAATTATCACTATTTATTTACTTGGCACACGCGTCAGATTATCTCCAGTTTGTCGAACAAGATTTCAATAGTAAAAGGACACCACGAGAAACATTATCTTGAGTATTATGTCGCCCCGATGAATTATCTAATTGAATAATATAATCAGAAAATATAACAACGGTGTATGAATGACTTTATGAACACATTTTGCATTGAAATTTATTTATCTCAGGCAAAGAGGTTGTCGTCGTCCACTAGTTCGTAAACCTGATTAGTCCGGTACCCTTGGCTGTGATAAATAGGCAGGTTGTATTTTTGACCACCCAGACCTTCTTGTACCGATGTGGGAACATCGTTAATGTTCAAAAATGCGAGATTAGGAAACCTTTGTAAGAAATAGCCGAATGTTCTTCTGAGAGAATGCAGATGTGCATGGTATATCTTGATGATATCCTCGACAGCAAAAACATCTTGCCCAAACGCTTTATTTAGAGTCGAGGCCACGGCTTTCGCAGGATCGTTGATGTATGATTGACCCGGTCGAATATCAACAAAAGGCGTGTAGGGAATGATTGGTGAGAGGGAGATGATTCTGGTGATTACGTCCCTATTAGGGATGTCTTCGAGTCCTTTGACCAAATACGAAGATTGGGTCGAAAATATTTTCTTGCGAAGGATGTTTTGCACTACGTCGCGGCAAGCGGGGCATACGCAGGATTCATTTATCTCGAAACGTGCCGTTCTGCCACGTACCACTGTCACCAAGTATGGTTCGAGTGGTGAACATTTCAGATCTAGGTACTGGAGAGACAAATGTGCGGGGCTTTGGGAAAGCAGTGTTAGCGTACCTTGGTCTATCATGTGTCCCAACATGTAATCGAGTCTTAAGCGACGCAATAAAGGGAATGATTGTATGCATTCCCGCAAAAAGCCGTCATTGGCGTAGAATGAGAGCAAAGTCAATTCTTTGAGGTTTTGGAACTTCAAAAGTTCATGCAAATGGTATTTTTCGTAAACGTCGATATTTTCCTCTTCGAACCACGACAAAATGGTGAGACTTTCGAGGTATCGCACATCGAATACATCGCTGTATGTGTATCTAGCCTTAGGAAACGAGTCGGGTTCGTAGTTATCGCCCCGCAAGCTTAGTGACAATTCCCGAAGCCGCAACTTGGGTGCCCAAGGTGCATAATTACTAAAGAACTCTCCTGGATCCATATAAATGTTCAGCGCTGTGATATTTTCAAACGAAGAGCATCGTACCAGCGACGCCAAACGCGGGAGATATGAGCCTGCCACTTGCCCTTGTGGTAGTACGCCCGGTGGGGGAAGATCCAGCGATTGCAGTTGAGGCGCGACTTTTTTGAGGTCATCGATGATTGCCGGGGTCAGAAAGTTTCGGAAATGCCTTAGATTAGGAGCATTGTGGACCAAAACTGCCAATAGGTCTCGCAGAAGTGCGATATCTAAATGCCACGTGCAATGAACTACTTCCACGTTGGAACTTAGAAATGGCGATTCTTGTAGTGTACGGATCAAACAACTCAATTTCTGATCCGCATATTCGTTTTTGTGCTCTGTGATACACAAAACTGACCAAGAATTGGCCAAAAGAGGGTTTGAGTCGCTAAAAACGCACGGTTCTTCGTTTAGAAACAGGTTGCGATACAGTATTGGCGAGATAGCCAATCTAACTTTTGAACTGACATATGTCAATGCTACTCTTTCGTCTTGTGTAAGATATTTAGCGAGCTCATTCCAGGTCTCAAAAGCCAGTCTCTCCAGCATCAAGTATTTGAATCTTTCAGAGCTTACGAATTGACGCTGTAATTAGTAGCCCTTGACAATACAATCATCAAATACCTCAGCAGTGTTGATTGAGTAAACTTCACGTGACATGAAAGCCCTATAAGTAACATTTTTTTTCTTAAATATTTCGTCCAGCCCGTTTTGGCGGACTGGACATTTGGTCAATTTGAAACAATACAGAGATGATCAGCAGTTCCCCTGCATAAGGATGAACCGTTTTACAAAGAGATTTACTATTTTTTTTGGCGATTTAGACGCTTAGATCCTTGACACCTACAGCAACTCATAAGTCGGAGCAGAGCGAGTTCGTATCCACCAACAGCTCACTGTCAAACATAGTTTTTGGTTCGATTTTTAGTTTTGGTATTTTTGTACTAGCGTTCGAAACTCTTGGGGGACCTTAAAGAGAAATATTATATATAATCAAGAGCCCTATAGTATTCTTTAAGACCAGATACCGCTTCGGCTTTGACAGCAATCATGAGTAGCTTGTTGTCTTGTACACCAAGCTTCCAAAGCGATTTGGTCAAGTCTAGCTTGAGCCCCGGTACTAACTGGTTGATGTGATTCGGATTATTGAAATCGATCACTTGTTCCTTGAACTGCATCTCGTCAACCACAGAGGAGATGTTTCTGCATGGCATGCCGTTCACATGCATGGAGCTCAAGGACACACACGCGGGGAGAACCAGAAGCGAGTTTTGTCGCTCGTAGGCGTTCAAATCTATGTTATTTTCTGCCAAAACTTTTTGGAACACAGATCTGAATCTCACCAAGGTGTGGCCCGAAATGGCTACGTGAATGGTCTTGGCGTTTTTGATGAAAAACAGAGTGACTTCGCAAGCGGAAATCTGGAAAATCAGTTCGCGGGCTTGGGGAAGATCCGAGTCCAAGTACGGCCGTTTGTATTGTACGGCATACCAATGACAATCGGGTAACAAACGACGCCTTTTAGCTGCCGGCTCTTGAGATGGAGATTGGTCAGATTTGGGAACCGACACAAACTTACAACGAACGTCTTTGAGATTAATGATAATTTCTTCAGTCTGTAACAACGGATTCCAGGATATTTGTGCAGGAACCAGTTGTTGCTCGAGTCGTAGAAAACGGTAGTAACGACACTCTTGCATGAGCGATTGACGTCGTTCCGGCGTCAGATCCAGCATGCCGCCTTGTAGAAGCGTGATTAGATCCGCGAGAAAAGCTGGAGACCGATTCACATACGGCGGAGACTGTGGTGGGGGTCGTGCTAAGTTCATGGTGAGATATACTGCCTGAACATCGTCAAACAGTGACCTGCACGTAAGACCGAAATAGTTGAGCGAGTTTCCGGGCTGTGACAATAACGCTTTGGCCAATTTGAAGTGTTGTCCGCCCACACATATGTAGTAGTATTCACAATTTTTTAGCAAATCCTGGAGTCGTGGAAGTTTGAAATATACGGCGTCTAAGAAACAAAACGTGAATTGACTTTCATCTTTGATATTAACGCTGTAACCCTGAAGATGATCCATGATGAGCTTAAATACTTGAGGCGATCGATCGATGAAAAGCGTGGCATTTTTGTTTTCAACGAAAAACTCCGTGAATAGACTGGGTGAGTCTGAGTTGAGCGAGTATCCTGACACTTGAAACAGTTTGGTACCCACTTGTAGTGAAAACATCTGTTCTGGAGGTAAATGGGTGGTATTAGCCAGCACAACGGGAAGAGACATCGTGATGAGGGTGGGGGTCTATATGGTGGTGTGTGGTGCGGTGATGATATGCAAACAGGTCGTTGTATGCCGTTCGTTAGCCCGCTGGTACTTGCTTCACGGTGTAAGATGGATGAGTATTAATCGTGCTTCGCTTACATTCGTTGAACTTAGTTTTTTGTCAAGTCTTGACAATGACTGATGCTGGATTAATAATGTGAAAGAAGTTCGCAAGATAGTTCAAGATATTGAAAACGTAAAATGGAGAAAGCCAAACAAGACAAAAAGAGAGAGCCAACGGAGGAGAACAGTAGAGAGTTTAAGAAAAACAACACTTTTTATCATGTATCTGTTTTTTACCAATTCAATTGATTAATTAACGAACTATAAACACCCAAAATTTTTGTACAATTAAAATTTCCCCTCGAGGATTACATGTGAATGATGGTGAGACAGGGCAGTAGTAAGTGTCTAAGGATCTAAAAGAACACGGTTGATATAGTGTGAAAAATACAACAAATGTTTTTCATGTATCAAACACAAAATAATTTGAAGTAAAATAAATCACACCTCAAATCCGGCTTTTTCAAAACTCAAACTTAAAACACTAGCAACCATCGCACAGCACCCACCCACATTTGGAATAATCCTGTTTGCATAGTAAGAAAATCGTCTTGTGATAAAAAAAGGGTTCGAATTATGGATTTTTATTTTGTTTCAAAAAACAAAAACATTTTGTATCTGTATTGTTTTTATCCGCAATTGTACGCGCACCTCTTTTTGTGTCAAAAAGTTTTCTTTATTATTTGCGGGAAAGAAGAAACTAATATTCTAGTTGCTGCACGCTTACAACAACAAGGCAGCGGCACCGGCAACCAAGGCACCAGCAGCTGGCAAAGCCTTAGCGGCAGCACCAGTGGCGGTGTAAGAGCTGACGGAAGCGGTAGAAGACTTGGAAGCGGAAGTCATGGTACCGTTGGTGGCAGCTGGGGCAGCGGTGGAGGTCTTCGACATAGCGGAGGTCGAGGTCAATGGGCACCAGGTGGTGTATTGGGTGACAACGTCGTTGATGGTGACGGTGGCAGTAGAGACCAAGGCTGGGGAGACAGACTCAGAGCAAGCGTGGGACTCACAAGAGGTGATGGTCACCAAAGTGGTGGAGTCCTTCTTGACGGTGGTGGTGTTAGCAGCGGCGGCAACGGCGGTGACGGTGGCAATAACGGAGGCGGTAGAGAATTGCATTGTTAGAATTTAAGCGAGTGACTGGTAGATAATGGATATGATCTATGAGAAGGGAAAAAGTAAAATAAATTCTAATAGAAAGTAGTAGGTACCAGAAATACTTCGAGACCCACTACCTTTGCCTTTATATACGTCGTTCGAGCCGTTTGCAAGGGAAGAGAAAAAAAACCCCCCAACCCGCTTCTCGCACGCCGGGTAACGGGCCCGCGCCGTTTCTTTTTGTCTGCTACGGCTGTTTGAGTGGCGAGATACGAAAGTGACCAGATACGGCAAGCAAAAAAAAAGTTCTCGGTTTTTCTGCGGCGTGTTCTGTGGATGGCACGTTCCAAAAATAACCGGGAAGAACCAAGAAAAAAAAACAACGGTAATCGAAACTAGATAGGGCACGCGACAAAGACCCCTCCTCGCGTACGTAGTGATGTTTGTTTTTTTCGGTTTTCTTTCAAACGCGACGCAGACTAGGGCAGTAAGAAAATCCCACTCGGCCGCGTGGACGTTAGTGGGACCTGAATACTTAGAAAAGCCTGTAGAGGAGTGTGTTGTTGTTGTTTTTTGCACTGTTGCTACTGGTTATTGTTGTTGTTGTTGTCTTGTTTAGGGGGTACGAAGGACTTTCGAGCAGCGGAGTTTTGTGGTTGTTTTGACTTTGCCGTTTTTGGGAGACGGTACGACGATGGCTATTTATAGCCAGGGACGCGTGGTCGAAGCTACACCGGACGGCCGGACGGCAAGAGCAAGCGACCGCATGGACGGGTGTGTGGGTGTGTCACGGGACCGCACATTTTGAAGTTTACCAGTAGTCAAGAGAATAGTGTGAGTGTGAGTATGCGTGTGTATAGGTGTGTTCTTATAGGGACTGTACAAGAAACGGTGTAAGTAAGTGTTAGCTGTCCTTTTCGTGGGGATAAGACGAGAGACGAGGGATTATGTAGTTGTATTGTAGAGTTACGCTCGTAGGAACATCAAGCATGATTTAAGAGTGAGAACGTTAGTGAGTCTGAAGCACCGGTTGAACAACGAAAGCGTCGGCCTTAGCGTTGGGCGGCACACACTTTGACAGGTTCATGTTCGAGATTGGTTTCATGTGTGTGTGGTTTCTTGTGTTTGTTTGTTTGTTGTAGTTGTAGAGTATGGAGGATTCAATGATGGTTTTGAAGATGGGGTGGTGAATATAGGGTTTGATGACCAAAACATGAAAAGAGAGGGTGGATTTCAAGACCGGGAAAGCGGTGTAATAGAGGATGTAAGCCAAGAGCAAATGGGTACATGCGAACGTGTGCAGAGTCATTAGTAGGCGTTAGCAGGAATGGTAAGGGACTAAGAGTGGAAATCGAAAGTACAGACGTATAAAATGACTGGTAGATCTGTTTAACTTCAGCGGTAGCATGAAAGACAGCTATCCTTGACTATACATATTATTAAGGCTCGACTACGTCGACAGTGTTCGAGTTGTTAATCTGCTTTGTTTGTTCAGTCATGATTTGCTCTTAGTGGATGGTTATGGTTATGGATTTTACTTATCTCTCCGTGGCTCTTTTTCTTACAAGTTTGGTACATTTGGTTTGACCAAACCACGGATATTTAAATGATTTTTGGAGCAACAATAGGAAACAGTAGGTAACGTTCTGAAGCTCAGCCATTACTAAAGACTACTTTATAGAAGTCCTGGATCGCTTGCAAATCCTGCGTAGCGTTGACGTATTGTTGCTTCATATCTTGACGACTGGTCCATTTCACCTTAGCGCTTAATATGTCATTTTAGACTAATATGTCATTTTCTGATTACGCAATTGGCATGTGCCATGTAGTTTACCAATCCCAACACATATAAACAGCGAACAGCCACGGGAGTTTGTAAAAGATTGGTTCAATTCTTAACAGTGACGCCGTTCTTGGTACTAGAGCATGCCACATAGTACCTGTATGCCCATCGGGATGAAAGGTTCCAACCAAGCGTCTTCGAACTGAGCTCGGAAAAATGACTCAATTGGAGAACTATCGTTTGTAAGTAAAACACTGAGCGATAACTCTTTCATTTGGAAGTCACCCATACAATTTCTCAACGCTTTGGTAAACATTATTGACATTTCAACTCACAGGGAATGGAATCATCGGATCTGCAAAATACGACACTTGAACAGGGATTTGATTAACATTATTGACATCTCAATCACAGGGAATGGAATCATCGGATCTGCAAAAATACGACACTTGAACAGGGATTTGAACATTGCCCCAGTAACCACTTCAAGCCTCTGAAACAAAATCTATATCCCAGTTTCAACTGTCGTTCACATTTCTACAATAGTGCACCTGGAAAACCGAACGCCAAGAGAGGATAGAGATATTGACCCGAGGTTACAAAGTAAACATTTAACACGCATGATACAATATTTGAAGCACCTTAGAAGAAATTTCGAGGCGTGTGCAAACCTCGCAAATAGTCATTCGAATTACCACAATCAAAACCTCATAGGAATGAGCGCTGAAGCCAGAGCCAGTGATGAAAGGCGCATAGGAGTTTTGAGCTGCCCTTTTCCAGTGAAGTAACACACTCTTAGTGAAGGGGAAGCGTTCAATCAGCTGCCGCTCGGCCACAGACATGCGAAACTTCTTGTCGGATGCTCTGTCTGACTGGCGTCAGACCCGTGACAAAAGGATCACGTGCACGTGACACAATGCCAGCGACAGAATTGGCAAGAGTCAAGAAACAGAGATAACTCTAAACTCAATAAAACAACAGTTCACACTTCACAGTAATGGAAATCACTCAAGATTTGAGACTCTTATCGTGAAACGACATTCCAGAAACAGGATCTCAAGACAAAAACGCACAAGACTCTCACGTTCGAGCTAGAATCTCATGCGTTCAATGAGGAGCTAAGAATCCCGTAAATGAACGAAATCATCGAGGCTCGACTACGTCAGCAGTTTTAGAGTTATAAAACTGCTTAGTTTTCTCAGTCATGAAGTATTCTAAGCGAATGGTCATGGTTTATGGACTCTAGTTCTTTTGGTCATAAGTTTGGTATATTCTGTTTGACCAACCCACGGATATTTAAACGATCTATGGGGCACCAATAGCAAACAATCGGTAACGTTCTAGAAGGATTGTTTAATAGAAGTTCAAATCCTGAATAGCATTGACGTATTGTTGCTTCATATCTCTACGATTGTTCCATTTAGCGCTTAAGGTCATTTCGGACTAATATGTCATTTCCTGATTACGCAATTTGACACAATTCCATATAGTTTACCAATACCAACGAAAATCATTACGATTGTTTGATGAACGGGTCTGACATGAAATTTCGTCAAATTGTGACCTGGATTAAAGAACGAAGAGACACTCTTGTGAATTAATGATACACAAAACTGCTTAGATTTACCATAGATGATCACTTCTAGTCGCTAGTCGTTAGTGTAGTGAACCCTATTTTTGAGACAATGTGACTGGCATTTCCAGGAAAGTAGCCACATACCACAGGTCTATTCGTGGTTTTGCTGGTAGCATATTCATGACATACGCGTCTACTCTTCCCCAGTTCTGATTGTTGGGTTAATGTCTCTATCACTTTGTACGTCAGCAGACTTTCACAATGTGTCATATCCACACTATAGCTTCGAATACTAATGCAAACAAGTCCTTACAAACAAGCTCAACATATTACTCTTGTGCTTCCTGCAGCGTAAAATCCATCTCTCTCTCTCTCTCTCTCTCTTACCGCACTCAAGACATCCACAAGTCATACTTAACGATCTGATTTATTAACTTGCGGAACGTGACTTGTTGTTTCGTATTCAGTGACTTGAGGTTTTGTTCTTTTACAAATCTTACGTATAAGATGACCATTTTTTATGTCGTATACAGCGACCACTGAAAGATATTAATCTATTGTTAACGTCGATCCTGTTCTGAACTCGGTTTATTGCCATTGTCAATAAGGTTTCGAGCTACAAGAACTGGATACCAAGAGCAAGTTCTGAGTCCTATTTCCACTGTTCCTGACTCCTTAACCAGCTTGTCTAACCCTGTCAGTGCAAAAAGCGTTCAAAAAGGACTTCTCTAGCCTTATTTTCGCCAAAGGAAAAAAAAAGGAGCTGGACAAACCAGAACAAGCACGTCACACTCTCTCACTTTTACCATGGCAGCTCAAGAAGAATTCATCAGAACGCAAATCTTCGGCACGGTTTTCGAAATTACCAACCGGTATAATGACCTGAACCCGGTGGGTATGGGTGCATTTGGTCTCGTGTGCTCTGCTACGGACACTTACACCAGTCAGCCGGTTGCCATCAAAAAAATCATGAAGCCGTTTTCGACTGCAGTTCTGGCTAAAAGAACGTACCGTGAGCTGAAATTACTCAAGCATCTCAGACACGAAAATCTCATTTGTCTGGAAGACATCTTTTTATCACCTTTGGAAGATATTTATTTCGTCACTGAATTACAAGGCACAGATTTACACAGACTTTTGCAAACTCGTCCATTGGAGAAGCAATTTGTGCAATACTTTCTATACCAGATCCTAAGAGGTCTCAAATATGTGCATTCAGCTGGCGTTATCCATAGAGATTTGAAACCCAGTAACATTTTGATAAACGAAAACTGTGACCTAAAGATCTGTGATTTTGGTTTGGCTAGAATCCAGGACCCACAAATGACTGGGTATGTGTCTACCCGGTACTATCGTGCCCCAGAAATCATGCTAACGTGGCAAAAATATAACGTGGAAGTCGACATCTGGTCTGCCGGTTGTATTTTCGCAGAGATGATAGAAGGAAAACCGCTTTTCCCCGGTAAGGATCATGTACACCAATTTTCCATCATAACCGATCTATTGGGGTCACCTCCAGAAGACGTCATAAACACCATTTGTTCTGTTAACACCCTCAAATTTGTTACCTCTTTGCCACACAGAGATCCCGTTTCCTTCTCAGATCGTTTCAAAAATGTTGAACCGGATGCCGTTGACTTATTGGAGAAAATGCTAGTCTTTGATCCTAACAAGAGAATAACAGCAGCCGATGCTCTAACACACCCATACTTGGCGCCTTATCATGATCCATCAGACGAACCAGAAGCCGAAGCGATCTTTGACTGGCATTTCAATGACGCGGACCTACCTGTGGATACCTGGAGGGTGATGATGTACTCTGAAATATTAGATTTCCATCAAATTGGTGACAACCAAATAGATCCAAACGCTACTTTTGACGATCAAGTTGCTGCCGCCACAGCCGCAGCACAGGCAGCGCAAGCGGCGCAACATCAGCCGGATTTATCACAATCACACACTGATGGCCCTTCAGATGTACCACAAAAGTCTACACAGCGTTCATCCGACAGCCATCATCAGGAGATTGCTGACACGCGCCAAAGCGAGACCTTGAACTCATATGGTAATCAAGCAGCTCAATACGCATCTGAATTTCAGTAGACTTCAGTTTAAATTACTATTTACTTGGTAAAGTTATGTACCTTTTTTTAATCCTTTGTTAGACCGGCTTCATGACAAAGAGCGTAAAACAAACTTTCAGGATTTTTTAGTAAATTCTGAGGTGCGTCGATTTCCGCAACCCTACCTTGGTCCAATACAATAATCCTGTCGCTATCGAGGATAGTGTTGATTCTATGGGCTATGGTCAAAATTGTTCGATTTTTAAAAGCAGTGCGGATCGTTTCTTGTATAACCTGATCTGTCTCAACATCGACAGCCGCGGTGGCCTCGTCTAAAACCAAGATCTTCGATGGAATGAGAAGTGCTCTTGCTAGACACATCAGCTGTCTTTGCCCAACAGATAAATTGCCACCACCTTCGGTTAACATTGATTCAAGTTCATCTTTACCCAATCCTTTGACGTGATCTTTCAGGTGCGAAAGTTCGAGGGCATGCCATATTTGCTCATCCGTAAATTGACGGGTGGGATCAATATTATCTCTCACAGTGCCTTCGAATACTTGTGAATCTTGTGGGATGATTGAGAGATGTCTTCTCAAATCCTGAAGGCCCATTTGATCTATTGGCCGTCCATCGATTGAAATTTGACCACTAGCAGCTTCTATGATGCGGAAAAGTGCCAATGTCAAGGATGATTTCCCAGCACCAGTACGTCCAACAATTCCAATTTTTTCTTGCGGCTTGATGTCAATATTGACGTCCTTCAAAATTAGATCCAACTCCGGTCTATAACGAGTGGAATAATTCTCAAATTTAATTGAACCCTCGGTTGGCCAATTTTCAGGTGGTCTACTATCCTCGATGACAGCTGGTGCTTCAGATGGCAGTTCGGAGTACTCCTTGATTCTTTCCACAGACACAATATTTGTCTCCACTTCTACGGTCATGCGAACAATCCAGTTTAGAGACTGAGTAATTTGCAAGGCGTAACTCAAAGATAAACCAATCATACCGGCACTCAAAGTTCCCTGTCTCAAACGGAATACACCCAAAACTGCGGCTCCCAAAATGATAACTGATCCAATGAATTCCAGACGAAATGCTAACCAACGATTTGCGTTAACAGATGGATAATAAGCGCTCATGTTGTTGTCCACTCTCGCTTGGTTAATATGTGTGAAGCGTTTTTGCTGACCATAGCCTCTGATCGTGCTGATTCCTCCCAAGGACTCCTGGAAATGGGCATAAATAGGAGATCTTGTGACCGAATCCAAACGGCGGAGCTCTCGAGAAGTTCTCAAATAATATTGTTGGTAGTAAATGTAGAGGGTACTCATAGGCACAATAATGAAGACGAATTGCCAAGTCGAATAGCAAATGACCAAAATTGTGAAGGAAACCTTGATCGTGTTCACGAAAAATTGTGAGAATGTTCTGCCTAACATCTCGTCAACCTTATAAATGTCGTTGGAGAATCTGTTCAAAATTCTTCCGATAGGGGTGGTCTCGAAAAACGACATAGGTGCCTTTAAAACAGACGTCGTCATCGCATCATGTAAGTAACGTGAACCATGTATCGTACAGTAGACCCACAAAATGACCGTCTGAGCTAGTGTGGAAAAAGCAGAGCCTAGCCCCAGCAGAAAGTAAATGCCCAGGTACATGCTAACATGCGGGTTTGCGCCGTATTTTGTGTTCACTTCTGACCAGTGCTTCAACCATACGCTTCCGGCAACAGACAGAAACATAGAGAGGACAGCACAGGACATAAACACGACTACATGCCTTGGATTGCATGCCTTAGCGTATTCAATGTAAATGTCCCACTTGACTTTACCTTGTTCACGATGCTCTCTCAAAGCTGGGCGTTCCTCGTCCCCAAATCCAAGACTTCTTAGAGTTGCGTCACTTGCTCTACGTAGACTGCGTTTATCCACGTCAACAAGATTTTCGTCAAGTTTCTGTAGGTCAATGTTGTCGTCAACGGTGGCACTGCTTTCAGAAGTGGATTCATCAGGAGAACGCTCTTTCAAACTTCTGTTACTCTTCTTTCCGTAGCTGTTTATGATCTTGAATAAAGCAGAAGATTTGTCACTGGTGACATCCTGGTAGGAACCTTGCTGTATGATTTCCCCATTATCCAAAAGAGTGATATTATCAGCGATCGACAATACTGTTATCTTATTTGTCGCCAACACTTTTGTCTTGGTGCCCAAAAGACCACTTGAACCCAAGACGTATTGGATCAGGTGTTTGGCTACATGCTCGTCCACGGCTGCAAGTGGGTCGTCTAACAAATATGTGTCAGCTCTTGCATAAACCGCTCTGGCGAGAGAAAGACGAGCCTTCTGACCACCCGAAAGAGAGATACCCTTTTCACCAACCATTGTTTCGTCACCTTCGGGGAGCGTCGTAATGTCGACATTTAAAGCGCATGCTTTGATAGTCTTTTGATAGAAGGCTGCATCGTACCTGTGGCCGAAAATGATGTTTTCTTTGACCGACCCGTTCATTATCCAAGGCACTTGAGAGACGTAGGCGACGCTTCCGTGAAGGGTAGCAAAACCCTTGACCCTGAACAGATCACCCAAGACCGCCTGGATAAGAGCACTTTTACCACTTCCAACTCTTCCAACAATACATGTCAGCTCACCTTTCTTTGCTTGAAAATTGATGTTTTTCAATGCCACCTTGTACTCTGGCTTTCTTTGCCACAAGAATGTGGCGTCTGCGCCAACGCTTACTGCTACTTCACCACGAGCACTTACCTTCGGCTTGCGCTGAACTGAATCGTTTTGCAACTCCTCACTAGTCAAAAAGTTGTGCAGACGGGTGACCGATACAGAGGCTTCAATGAAAGATGTAATAGCAGTTGGGATGATAGCTAGCGGAAAGCTCAACAAATTGAACAAAGTTAATGCTGGGAATACCAGATCGGTTGTAAGTGGGCGGTCCTTTTGGGTTAAAACAAAAACAGCGAATGTGGAGCAAGATACCAAAAAGGGAACAATATTAAATTGAAAGTTAGCCACTGCAACTGTGATTCCCATTTTCGTCAAGTTCTTGAGCTCTTTTTCGTTTCTGACATGTTCTAACTTCTCCTTGTAGGGCTTTTCCCATGCGTAAAGCTTGAGAGACTTGATGTTGTTCAAAATTTCGCTAATGATACGAGTCCTTTCATCTTTGTTCTTCATCTGAATCTTTTGGAGTTTCTTTTGAAATCTAACAATGACAGAATTCATTGGAATCATTATGATCATGATAGCCACACCTACCCACATGGATGGTCCCAGCAATTTGTACAGGGAAACCAAGCAGAGAATCAATTGGAAAGGCCCTGACCATATAATTTGACCCCATTGTGTCAAATCTTGCAAACGTTGAACGTCAACGCTCATGAGATTAACAATATCGCCGGTAGATGACGCGGCAGAAGCCTCATTTGACAGCAGAAGGGATTTCTGATAAATAACAGACGTGAGCCCACTCTTAATATTCATTCCAGTGTCAAATGCTCGCAAGAAATATTGGTGTAAGATAGACGTTTGAAGAACACTTACCAAAAACATACCGATGGCGATCATGAAGCCTTTCACGATAGGTACTTCATCAAGGGCTTTATGTTCGGTATAGTCTCCCACAAACTTAATCAGAATTCTTAGCAGCTGGGGCTGCGTGAAGGCCAGCGTGTCGAAACATGCTTTGAGGAAAGCGGCAACAACCATTTTGCCACCAAACGTAATGCAAAGTGCCCATGTTAAAGATGGTTTAGTTCTGTGCTTCACCTCGTGGTCCCAGTTACGTCTGAATGAATCGGAGATTTCAGCACTTCCAAAGCTTTTTGGCAGTCTATACAAGTCGTTTTCGGTCAGATACTTTTCGTAGCCCGTTTTCATCATCTGCGTCATCCAAGAGAAGGAAATGCGGGAAAAGATGTTGGCGGCATCGTAAGGGTTTACCTTCCGTACGCTATCACTCGCAAGTTCTCCACGACCTTCGACTGACTTGGTGAACAGCGACTCCAAGGCCAAAATTAGAAAACTTGTGATGCATTGCACGGTTGCAATTTTGTATGAGAACTCGGATATTGGCAACACACCTTCGTAGTTTTCCCTGATCTTGACGTTCAAGACTGCACTCAATCTAAAAAGACCTTGAAACAGCCAGTAAAACAGCACAATCCCGTTAGAGACGTTTGACCGGAAATACTCGACCCAGTGTAGCGCCAGCGCCACCAAAACTGACAAGAAATTCAGAATTCGTTGCGACTGCGACGCCCACTGTTTTTCCACGCCTAATTTGCCGTGGAATAGTGGTAAAACTGCCAAAGCCACTTGAAGTGCCACCAAAGAAATTCTAGACACCAATAACCAGTTTTTCCGATATTTGATACCGGGATGTGGCCCACGAGACAATCGCACCAGTTCCTTAGACCCAAAAATGAGCATCAGCAGCGCAGCACCATTGAGCAAAATACCGTCCACAAAACAAAGCGTGAAATCTCCATATTTTGACGAAATTGGCCCCCATCCTTCTTTGTCTTGGCAAAAATCACACCAAAGACTAGCAGAAGAAGAAAAAGAAGAAGCCATGTTTGGTTTACACCTGTAAAATTGTTTCCTATGGATGCGATCAAAGATACAGGGCTTTCTTCCAGACCTACTTTATTGTAATGGTTGTGTCGAATTGAAAGAGTTGAAGATACTTAGATGGTCCAACTGTGGAAGATTATTCCACATTATATATATGCATATATGAACAAAAATTTGAAAGTAGTAAGCTTATCGCTGACAAACGTGAACCCTTTGAAGACAGAAAGCTTCCGGTACATCGAGATTTATTGAGAGTTGTCATGATATGAAAAATGGGAAGCTATATGATGGTTTGAAATCAATTCGGAAAGCGTTTCCAGGGCTTTTTTAGCGTTCTTTTAGCTTCCTTATGGTTGACATAACTGTTTATTGACCGATTTTCAGGTTGAAGAACAGGATCGGCTGCTAGTGGTGTCTGATATTGCGAGTTTGTCGTTTGGGAGCAGTCTTCAACTACTAGTGGGTTGAATCTTGGATATCGCAGAAGTGAAGCACGAGATGTGCAAAAAAGGTGATCTTTATCGTCTTTTTCTAGACTACATGGGCTTAAGTCAAGACTGGAGACCAGTTTAACCAACCCGTTATACAGATCGGCTCGCGGTGAGAAGGAAAAGAGGCGACTGGAGAAGTGAAGACGGTTTGTCTTATCGTTAAGCACGCGATGTGTATAAGCCGATATAGCTTTCTTACAAACTCATTTCACCATCAAAGTTCTTATTCCTCGTGGCCCAATGGTCACGGCGTCTGGCTACGATTGTATCCACTTCTGAAACCAGGAGATTCCAGGTTCGAGTCCTGGCGGGGAAGAACTTTATTTTTTTGTCAATTAAAATTGTCATTTTGCAGTAAAGACTTACAGGAGGAGGATACCCTTTGGGATGGGGAAAGTGTTTTATGTACACCCATTGGGTTCATCATATTGTTTTCAAATTTCTTGGTTTACAGGTTAAGCGCGCTATCATCTCACTTTGCATTTGGAATTCATGTTTTCTGCGTCAGTAATTGCATTCCGTAATTTATAAACCGTTGATTGACAAAGCCAAAAATAAACACAGTATGTCCCTTGGAAAACGTCTTGGGATGGTCGTATATCTACCATTATACATCCAAAGCTACCTGTTCACTCCCAAACGTTGAATAAGTGGATCGAACTTCGACTTAAAACAATTTGCCTCCATTCGAACCCTGAAACGCGCATTTTATACTTTAATTGTGCCATTAATTAAAAGAACGTCAACCATGTATTGTTAGTGGAATCGACGACCTTTGAACAATTATAAAGTTATCCAAACTTGAAGCATTCACCACAAGGACTCTCACGAGCACCATAGCTCGCTTGTACCCCAATACGCTTCCTTAAATTCTGGCTTTCGTTCAAAAGCGATTACTGAAACATTCTCTTCAAGTAGTGTAAAAGAATAAACATTACCTTGAATTTTCATTACAGCTGTGCTGTCTACAGAAAGCCTATTGATCCAAAGACACAGAGCACCCGCTTGCTTCCCAAAACTTTGATTCCTATAAAGCATGCGAAATCACCGAGTAGACTCGCAAAAAGTCGCAGATAATGTCAAGCTAGAGGTGATTCATGAATCCAATCCGTACTTCGCAGGCGAAAGTTTACAGGTTCTAATACGTCTCAGACACTTGGGTTCATTGCAAGCCAGGGATCAATTGGAAGTTAAACTTCAAGAACTGAAGCAACAACAGCAGGATTTGCAGAAAGAAGCTCAGCAAGAGAAGAGGAAATCCTGGGTGGTAAAGTCACTCTGGGGGTCCCTTAACAGTGAAGATAAAGCCGCTAACGAGAAATATCAAGCTTCAAAGGTAAATTTAGAAAAAGAGCTAGAATTCAATAGCCCTGTGAGACTCGCTTCTTGTTACACCCAAATATATGGCTGTTTTCAATACGATCCAGAAACAATAAATTCAAAGGAATTCGAGCATCAGGATCACCACAAATTAGCGGGTGTAGGCTCTTTGAAGCTGTCTGAGGGAAAAAATTCCATCACGGAAGGCTTCGCGGGACTTCTGTTTTCCAATATCGAAGACGTGGCGCGTGAATCCCTCGCTGGACCTGTTGTTGAATTAATAAAAGCGCCTTTTTTCGTTATCCCACAAACTCTCATTTTCTCAGAAACAATGTTGGATCCAGGTCAAACCAGAACATACCAGTTCAAATCTCCGCGACTTCCCCAAGATTTACCCCCATCTTATCAATCCTCGAAGCAGCTCAAAATCCAGTACTTTCTGAGCTGCGGACTGACCCAAATCGAGTCCGCCATGATCAATCCATTCAGCGTTGAATTTCCAATTCATGTATGTCCCTTCATTGACGTGCATGGTCGTCAATTAACGTCGAAACTGGATACTGACATTAGCATTACAGCTGCAGGACGAGCCAAGGAGCTCAAAGATAACATACGATCGCGCCGTAAGTCAAGTTCTTCGATTGTAATGAGGCGAAGAAGCTCACTACTTTCAATCAGCACTTCTGAAGCAAAAGGAGACGTCAACTTAGAATGCAAGAAGCTCTTTACACAATTGGTAAGTTCTCAGGAATCTTCGGCTGCGCTAGCGGACGGTATTGAGGGTTTAGTTGATCAGATGATGGAGTGTCAGTTTGGCGTCGAGACGTTTGATACGTCAGAGGAGGACGACGGCGATAACACAAACGACCAAAGTCTAAGCTCGGTACGAAAAGACGCCGTGTCTGTGCGAAATAATTTAAGCAACCTCTTCCGCAATCTAGCGGAGGTACCTTCCACCTGGCAAGATGAAAAACCAAGTGGCGTGTCTGAAGCCGCAGACCTCATATCTCAGGTAAAACGGCTACAAAAGGAATACATCATAAACCGAGATGGACTTTTCATTGCGAAGGTGGTTTTATCAAATTTGTTTTACACGACTGCTGATGACATTGATCTGACTATACATTTGGGCAACGAAGGTCCACATAAAGTTTCTGCTATCACTACGTCACTGGAGTCAATTGAGCTAATAAATCCAAAATACCGCATAGATGTCACATCAAGTGCCAGCAAAAAGGGTAAAACAGTGGACCAGTCGCGAGCAATTTGCTTTGATGAGCTATCGACAATTCATATGAAATTGATTCCGCAAAGATCTCCTAGCCGCCAAATGACCAGCCAATTCAAATCTGATATTTTTCAGCTCAAATGGATGCTTTGTCTGAAATTTGTGCTTATCAGTCGTGAGGACATGCCAGAGCTAATGCAAAAGTACTACGAAGATAAAAATGGGTCGCTATATCATGCGAAACAAGCTCTGGATGGAAATGAATTCATTTGTCATCTTCCCTTGACGATGCTGCCCACAGCTAAGAATTTTGGCGGCTGGTAAATGAGCAATAAATCCAATTCTTTCAGTTTATCTATTGGGTCAAAAAACATGTAGTTCCTTACTCAGCCCGAACATTCGTTTCGCCGATGTCCGTATCAGATTTATCATCCTGTAAATGCCTATCTGGGTTTGTGCTCGACGAACGAGACTGCTCATGACTCTCTTCTTCAGCTTCGCTTTGTTGACCACTTGTACCGCTTGGAGTCTCAAGCTCCTCATAATCGTCATCAGTCATATTTCGCGGAAAGCCTAAGCTGAGAAGTGCGTTCCCAATGGCTGCGTGAGTTGAACCTGAGGTTATCGTATGTGTAGAGGGCACCGCTGCCGAAGGATCTTCCCTTTCTTTCAGTCTCTTTTTTTTCCCGAAGTAGTCTTTCCAAGATGCCCACTCGTTCTCCTTAATACCTTCGCTTGCCGGTTTTTGTTTGGAATCATCTGTGGCTCCTAAAGATGCTGCTTTTCCGGTTCTCTCTTGTTTATCCTGAATGTAGGAATCTTTTCGTATAAGAGCCTGAAAAGACTTGCCTAATCTTTGCTGTATACTAGCGTTCCCATCACCCATACTAGAAACATGCTTCGGCGGGAATAGATCGAACAATCTATCATCAGTTGAGACATCGAATGCATGATAATTTTGAGTTTTGCGCCATTCATCTACCCAGCGGGCACCATATAAATCAATCGGACTATAACCTAACCAATCCTCGGATATAGATTTCATGGCCATTTCATTGTTTTCATTGTTGTCGAAAAAGATTTTTAGCTTTTCGCTAGATACCAGACCCGTTAGATAGTCTTCAAACTGCCACCTGAGGAAATCCTCGCTGCCTTCGAATTGTAAATTTCTTGGGGTTGCAGCGTCGTTCTCATTCCAGGTATCCACCACTGCAGAAACTATGGAGTCCATCCATTTTTTATCATAAGGAGTCAATTGTAGAGCCCTGTGTAAAGACCGATTTGAACTGACCATTTCCACCGAAAATGTGTTGACGTTTACGAGGACATCACAGACTCTTTCTTTCTGTTCTAGAAGTAACGAGTTTGAAGTTCCGGCGACAAAATGCTTAGTTTGCGTAGATTCCAAATCGTCTAACTGTTGCAGTGGGCTATAAGGTGAAAACAATCCTCCTTTTCCGAATACTTGTAAAGGAAAACCCAAAAATGTTAATACCGATTGACGATCGCTAGACTTAAAAGAGTCTACGATTTTGAGGTTGTCAAAATAGCTATGCAGCGAGGGTGATCCACAATCTTGCAAATGTGATATAAGATTGGGAATAAGACCGATGAAACCGAATTGGACGTTGCACAAAGCCTCAACGTCACTTCCATAGAATAGAACTTTACGCTCCAGAAGGATAGCTTTCAGAATTACCAAAACGTCCTTTCCAAAATCATGTACAACGCGCCGTAAGCACAATCCCACGTACATGTGCGATTCATCTGTGACAACAGACATGCTGAACATGGAGCTCAGGTTTGAATAAAGAGTGTCTAGAATTGCCTTATTCGTGAAATCGCGCTGCAAAAAAAAAGCATTTGTCACTATGCTGAGTTTGTCCTTGATCTGGCCAAAAATGGGTTTCCGTGCAACGACAACAATTGCCTTTTGCACAGTTGATCGCGTAACATCATTGCCCTTCAAGAGAAGCTCTTCTGTCCGGATTTGTCGTGAGCAAGATATCGCAAAAAGTGTGGTATAATCTTGGATTTTGTCCGAAGCAATGGTCGCCGCACCTTCTGCTGGAGGTCCACAACGTTCAACTTTATTATAGACCAGCGTGAAGTATGTGAATGTCTCTTCAAAAGAGTGCGATCCATCCGGTAAAGCCTGGAAGGGCAGGTATGGCCACAATTTCGATGCTTCTAAGCCCTCTGGTAAACCATATGAATATTCCACTTCCGGGCCCTTTGAATGGTGAAAGTTGACCAAAAAGACTCCAAAAATAACGTTAGGCTCTTCAGAATCTGCCATCACCTCTCATGAACGGTCAATACCAAGCAAAGACTCAGATCGACGTTGATCTACCCTACGTTTCTGTTAGCTTGATGGATAAAGGACAAGTTCTTTAAGTTAAGCCTGGAAATCCTTTAGTACAAAGTGACATCAACACTTTTTTCATCACCACCACTAATTACTACTAGAGCTACCTCTGAAATACGCCAAAAGCAGTAGCATTCTTTAGTCTGCGGAAGAATCCTTAGCTCTGAGATGTCCGTCGAAGATCAATGGCTAACAGATCATGTTGAGATTTTAAGAAAGGGTTTGTTTCTTGCGGAAAAGCGGGACGTAAACTTGCTTTCGTTACCGCAGAATAGTGATGAGAGTATACCGAAAGTGGTGGTAGAGGCGCTTTCGTCTAACGATGCCGCTGGTTTGAAACAAGAGATTGTACTAAAGAAACTGTTTTTGGAAGCAGCGCAAGAAATGGACGAGAGGACAAAAGTGGAACGGTTTGCTATTCTCATGGATCTCTCGCATCACATGAAGCGTGCAAACAAGGTAGGGGACGATGCGAACGCGAAGTTTTGGACTTCGGTGTTTTTTGACCTGTTTAGGATGAGTTTGACTTTGCTACAGCTACCACACGGTCTTTTACAATTTTGGCCTTATGTGGAATCGCGCTTGCATTGGTTTAAAGCTGGATTCCTAAACGAAGATTCACTGCAGCACGGACAGACCACTTTGAGCGCAATCAAGGCACCTTTTTCCAAAGTAACGTACCAGATCAACAAGATGCTGTTGGGGCTGCGGCTCAACTCTAAGCTTGCTACCCCCGCACATCACGAACTCAGCATGAAGATCAACCTGTTTCTGTGTGACTGTTTGTCGCCTATGGAGCAAGCAAACACAAACAAGCGCGGAAACATAGCAAAGGGACTTCCCGAACAGTTATGGGACATCAGGAACGATGAAAAAGATGGTTCGGCTTTTTATACCGATTTCTTAAAAGTTAAACAAGAGTTTATTCAAGATCCAGTTTCGTGGACGTTCTCAGATCCCGAAAAAAGACTCAGCTTACAGGATTACGTCTTGCCAGTGGTGGATGAGATTTTGCTGCACGAGTCTGACTTTTACACTCAAATCAAAACTAGAAACGTGCGACTAAACCGACTTAATCAGAAGGCCAATGTACAACTACCTCATAATCTCCAGGCACTCAGCGAACCACAAGATAAAAGCCATCATAATTGGAGTTTCGCCTCTTCTGGACTGCGGCCACTCATATTTGATGAACCGGATTGGGATTCAGAGCTCCTAATGCAACAGCTACAGGACCCTTCTAATGACTTCCACCGAAAAAAGTTTTTGCTCGAGCTGCTAATCACCGCTAATATGATCAAAAGAATTCTAACGGATGAGGCCGTTAGGAGTTTCTATCGAACTCAATATGATCAGTCACTTCGAATCACGCATAGCCATGAAGACAGAAACAATGCTACAGCATTACGAGACATAACTCAGATAATCATCAGTAGGGTTGAGAACTTTTACGACCATCAGGATCAGACTTTTAAAAGTCTTTTGGTGGACTTGATTGCTGGCGACATGTCCTTACTGGACTTAAAAGCTAAGAAGAGCTTCAAAATATTCAGTACCTTTACATTCCCTACTGGCAGTGGAGAGTCAATTCCGGAAATTAGTTATTCCTACAAAAGTTTCGGATGGATAAAACTGGGAAACAAGAAGCTTGACAACGTTTGGAAAGTAAAGAGTGGGCTTGAGTCGATCGATAGCAAATTACCCAGCTCTCAGGAAACGTTTGATGAAATACGCGATAGATATGAAAAGCAAGATCCTGACGTGTCGTCCTCATATCATGGTGACAAAACCGTTGAGCAGTGGAAGCAATTACGTCGTTTAAGGCCCAAATTTCTTTTCCAATTGAGTAACGTTGACGAAAACACTGGTGTCTCGGGCCTATTCAATTCCAGCTTAATTCAAGAATCGCGGGAGAAAAAATCTCACCTACCGACACAATTACAGGCTGCAAAAGATTACTTCGAAGCGAAGAAGAAGAGAAAATTAGAGCCGTTGGGAGAAGCGGATGAACCGGCGGATAAAGAACAAGACACTAGTGATACCAAAACCAACCTTACCGTGGAAAAAACAGATGATAAAATAGTAACACCTTCGATTAATACTCTTGAGCGGGCGACCAGTGGGGAAGAGGCTATCCCAAAGAAACTGCCTCGAAAGGATTCATCAGAAAGCGGCGACGCACCGGCTGAACAACAGGAGCCCAAAGATGAAACCACGGATGCGCTCAAAACCAACGTTCGAGTTGAGGAGCCCAATACAAGTCCAGTCAATCAACCGATACCGGAAAATGACAAACGAGAAGGAGGATCGCCAAGTTTAGATCAAGAGATCGCAGTGCCGCCGTCCAGTGATATTTGAACCCGCAATTACTGCCCATAGTAGTGACAATGACAATGTGAGATCTAAAAAAAATATTCCAAATGATAAATTTTGACAACTGTGCTAACGTGCTTGTTGCACTCCGCAGGAGCACTCGTCAGCTCTCTTTCTTAAGGTGCAGAAGCGCTTTTCTGGCGTGGAATTTGAAATCAAATGTGGTTTTTAGCAGCTCCCGGCTATTTTGGTCGCTCAATGCCTGGCATTACCGTACAAAAAAGAATGCATTCGAGCAAGAAAAAAAGAATCCTAGCAGTCAGCATTAGCTAATATCTCCAAAAGCTCTGATCAGGCCAGATCCTTCAACTTTAATGCAAAGTTCAACCGAACTCATCGCCATGATGTTGATTGCAAGAATCACGTGACTAAGATATTATCTAATTTAAACTCTGTCGGCAAAGTATGAAGTGACATAAAACTTCAAACCATAAAACTGACGACAGGGCACATTCTTCGTCTCATTTCTAATAGGTTGAACAATCAGTCCACTTTGTTTTCACAGTTTCTCACTGGAATGACTAAACGAATCCTTCCACAGTTAATTGGTTTGTTGATCGTAAATCGGCGTGTTTGTAAGCAAAAAAGTCCACCAGTACGGCAAAAGACAGCTTGTGACATAGAAAAAACAACTAAAATATACCTGTTCACCAATTGGTCACTAGTGCCAATGTGGCCTTGTCCTTTACCATCTTAAACAATAATACGAGACCGATCACTAATGACGAGTTTATTTTTTAACATCTTATTAGAGAGCATCATTGAACATTTAGCTTACTATGAAGGCTCGAGACTGTCAAATGGTTGAGTGCTTCTGTCCTTCCAATCGCACGCCATACCCCTGATGACATACAGTTTGATCTGTCACTCGGATCCTTCCGGCCACCACCGGTGTTCCCTTCTCAAATTTGAGAATGTCACGATATTGATGGATCCTGCTTGGGATGGGATTTCTGAAGACCACGACGCAGCAGTAGATTTTTGGGCTCAGCTTATAAGTCAAACCGATATAGTGATACTGAGTCAACCAACTGCTGAATCTTTAGGTGCATATGCGCTGCTGTATGCTGCATTTTTGGCACATTTCTACTCGCGTATTGCGGTATACGCTACCTTGCCCGTGGCCAACTTAGGCAGAGTCACTACACTTGATTTATATACATCTCAAGGACTAATTGGACCCGTGGACACCAATAAACTGGATTTGTCAGATATTGAAGACGCTTTTGACCACATAATTTCGATCAAACATTCCCAAATATTGGATCTCAAATCTAAATTCGAGGGACTTACAATCGTAGCTTACAACTCGGGCTACGCCCCGGGTGGATCGATTTTTAGCATTACCACATTTTCCGATAAGGTTATTTACGCCCCGCGGTGGAATCATACCAAAGATACAATCTTGAACAGCGCAGCTGTGCTGGATATTTCAGGAAAACCTTTAACTTCCTTGATGAGGCCTTCGGCGATAGTCACGTCTACTTCGCATCTGGGTTCCTCATTACCGTACCGCAAGCGAGCATCGCAGTTCAAGGAGGTCCTGAGAGGAGTGCTCTCTAAAAGCGGCACAGCCGTTATTCCATGCCAGGTTGGTGGAAAGTTTTTGGATTTACTTGTGCTGGTGAATGACATGATTTATGAACAAAGAAGGTATAGAAATCAATCGGATCCGCCAATTTTCTTGGTTTCTTATTCTCGAGGCAGATCTCTCACCTACGCCAGAAGCATGCTGGAGTGGTTATCAGCGTCTGTGATCAAAACCTGGGAGGGCAGGAATAACAGATCACCTTTTGATCTTGGTTCTCGATTCTCCATAGTGACTCCCGAAGAGCTCAAGAAATATTCAGGACCCAAAGTTTGCTTTGTTTCTGAGGTGGAGAGACTTATCGACGATGTGCTTTCAGCTCTTGGAACATCGGATAAAACCACAGTTGTATTAACTGAACCTGATGGCGTCCCTGAAAGATCCAACAAAATTCTCTCAAGCATGTACACGACTTGGTTGAAGACAATCAAGAATCGGGACAATAGAGCTCAAGATATCAGGCCGATCCTGTTTGCCCAAACTGTCAGAGCAGGATTTGTCACGACAGAGGAACTCAAAGATGAAGAACTAAAAAACTTTAAAGTAAAGCTTGAGAAGAGAAGCACTGATCGTGCAGCACTAATGGAAAAGCTGAAAAAAGAGGCAAGAGCCGATGGGTCGTCCAATGTAGCTGGACTTATTGACGCAGTAATTGAGGAAGAGGATGACGACGACGACGATGATATTCCTGATTTTATTACAGCCGTCAACAGGAAGGCCAATGCTACTGCAAAACCACTGGAAATTCCCGTTGATGTTTACATCAACCCTGAAGCACAGCCTAGACATAAGATGTTCCCATTTCAACCGGTGAAGATCAAGCGAGATGACTACGGTGATGTTGTAGATTTTTCTCAATTCGTCCCCAGTGAACGGTTAGAGGAGAATGAGAAAAGATCTGCTACAGATGCCTTTGCCGAGGATGAAGACCCGTATGAGATAGAGGTAACATCCAAAACATCCAAAAAACGGCGTGGGGCAAACACTGCAAAAGGAAACGGGAACAAGAAAGAGGAAAATATGGACGACGTATCTTATCTGAATGCGCTCAACAAACCCCATCGACGTTTCCTGAATGAAGTCAGTCTTTCTCTGCGATGTTCGGTATCTGTTGTAGATCTTACCAGTTTGGTTGATCAGCGGTCGATGTCTGTTATTTGGCCAGCCCTGAAGCCGCGTAACGTTTTGATGGTAGCTCCCAAGAAAGACCAGAATGTAACAGCCCTCAAAATGCTGAGGAACAAGCTCGTTGACGTTACAGAGCTCGAGTTTAATATTCCTACAACTTTTGAAACGTTGATCCGGTCATTGGATGTTTCTGTAGATCCGGAGCTCGATCAACGGCTCAAGTGGCAAGGTGTCAGTGACGAATACACAATCGCACACGTTGTCGGACGCCTGGTATGCGATAATGCTTCATTCGTCGACGGAATGCAACACCATCGCGACAAATGGGTACTGAAACCAATCACCAACGGCTCCAAAATGTATCCCAAGGTGTCCCTTGCCATTGGAGACGTGAGATTAGCTGAAGTGAAGCGTCGTATGACTGAGAAGAACCATGTTGCCGAGTTTAAAGGTGAAGGTTCGCTCGTGATAGACGGAAAAGTCGTTGTCCGGAAAATTAGCGACGGTGAAACAGTAGTCGATGGCTCTCCCTCAGAGCTATTTTACAAGGTCAAAGCAGCTGTTGCAGACATGTTGGCCAAAGTATGACCTCATGAGATCTTTTTTGAGCACCTTTGACCGAATTTACTGTCGTCGCCGCCCCAGGTCTCGTTAAACGAAAGAGTAGCTATAAAATCTGCGAGATGAAAGAAATATCTAGGCGATGAGCTTGCTCCCGAGGTTAAAGAAACCAATGACAGACAGAGACCCGAGTATCAGGGGTCGATCAAAAATATCCCAGCATGGGCTATGGGGTAGCTCAGAGAAAACAGGTTTTTCTAATTCTCAAAATACGCTTCCTACGAGGATAACGGGTGCTTTGAGTCAGGAACAAATTGTTGCTTACCAGGTGATGTTTCGCATCCAGGAAATCACTACGAAGCTGAGGCTAAACCAAGTTAATCCTCCAGCTCGGCGCAGTCGATCTGTGTCGCCTCCACCTGTGTACGATGCACGAGGCAAGAGAACTAATACTCGAGAACAACGCTATAAAAGACAACTAGAAGACGAGAGGCACCGACTGGTGGAAATAGCACTGAAAATGATACCTCATTTTGTGGCTCCTGATGATTACAAGCGACCCACGAAATTCCAAGACAAATACTATATTCCAGTTCAAAATTATCCCGAAATCAACTTCATGGGACTTCTTTTAGGACCTAGAGGTAACACATTGAGAAAACTACAGGAAGATTCCGGTTGCAAAATAGCCATTAGAGGACAAGGTTCTGTTAAAGAGGGTAAAAGTGCGTCTGATCTGCCGAAGGGTGCGATGAATTTCGAAGAGCCCTTGCATTGCATAATCAGCGCAGACAGCGAAGATAAGATACAAAAGGGAATCAAGGCGTGTGAAGGCGTGGTAGTAAGAGCAGTTACTTCCCCAGAAGGGCAAAATGAACTAAAGCGTGGTCAGCTTCGAGAACTTGCGGAACTCAACGGAACTTTACGTGAAGATAGTAGGCCGTGCCCCATATGCGGTTTACGCGGCCATCGAAGGTTTGAGTGTCCTGATAGAACAACGTTCTCACACCAGGTCATCTGCCAGAAGTGTGGCCAGTCTGGTCACGTCAGTAGGGACTGCACTTCTGGTCAGTTGGAAAACACTGTCCAAAACGACTTTGCTAGTCCAGCTATGCTTTATCAAAGAAATGTCGAAAGTAGTATGAAGAGGCCCCACATTCGAGATGAAGTAAACGATCAAAGAGACTGGAAAAGGCCCAACATAGGCTTCAACGATGATCTTGACAATTTTCAAAATATTCGTCCTCAGTCGACAGCGTACCGGCCGAGACATGGAAGAGATCCATCTGCAGTTGAGACAAACACGCGTCCCGGTGTGATGAGTAGAGGTCCTCCAGGTCTAGAAAGCTTTTCATCGTCATACCAGCCTTCCTTTAGTGACGCGCCCGGCATCATGGGCCAGCAAGAGCTACATGGTGGTGCAATCCCCCCTAGCATCAATGGATCAACTTTTGGTCAAATTAGTAGCCAAGCCGATGCTACCGAACTTCCAGCAATTGATAATCAACACGCAGAGAGCGTCACAGGCACGCCAATGAGCGGGCCTCCTGGCATCTCGATCAATGGGCCTCCAGGTGTGTCAATGATTGGCCCTCCTGGTACTCTGCCTAACGCTGGTGTCGGTTATAACGCCCCTCCTGGCATGGCAAAGTTGTCACCCCCACCTGGAGATCATTCAGGGTTTATTCCTGATTCTCAACCTTTGTCACGGACTCCTGGACAATCTCCGGCGTTAGCTCCAATTGGCAGTCTTCCTCCTGGCATGTCAGGCTTACCAAATATTACTGCACCTCCTGGGCTAGAAGCACCTCCCACTGCTTCACCGGCACCTGAAGAGGAAAAGAAAAGTAGAGACAATATATCAGGACCTCCAGGTTTAGGCATTTAATAAAAGTAGCATATTCAGAAATGAAATCCATTGAACTTCTATGATTTTACAAGTAAAGCTATACAGGCTTCTTCTTCTTTTGCCACTTTTGTGCCATGGCCAAGAGCTTCGATCTTTTGTCCGAATCCGCAGGCTTGTTCGTGTCCTCGGGAAATTCCAAATCAGCGTACTCAACTTCAACGCCGCCTTCAGATTTCGTTTTATACTTCAACAGCGGTAGTCGTTCTTTAACTTTCCGTTGTGTATCGAAAGTGCCGTGTACATTCTCATAGTCACTCAAAGCTCTCAACACAGACTCTCTTTCCCGCTTTTGATTGCTGTTTGCATAATGTTTAAGTGCGTCCTCAAAAGTTTGCCTCGTATTTAGCTTGTGTTCATCCGTGACTTCTAACCCGCTTCCTGGGTCGAATGACGAGGAAGACTCTGAGCCCTCAGCAAGTTGCTCTTCGGTGGGTATAGAGCTATGGTAGAGAGCCATTTCTATCCAGACATGTGGGTCGTATGAGCTCATTTCTAATAGCTCTTTGTAGGCGCTCAAGGCCCTTCCATATTCACCCTCTCCAGACTCATATTCAATTAGTCTCTTCATTACTTCATAACGTTTCTCAGCATCGAGACCAATATCGCTTGATGCAGCCAAATGGTAGATAGCTCGAGCTCGTTCTTCATCACCTAAATTCTCTTCGAGTTCAGCGTAGTCAAACCACGTCGTAATGAGCAAAGGATCATAAGCAATGAACTGTTCATATATTTTCCTAACGCGATCGAAATCTTTCAACTGGATTTCGAGTCCAATGTAATCTTTGTAAAGCTTTCTTTTCGGGCATATTCCTAGCGCACTCCCTAAAAGTTTCCGTGCAGTCGTTAGGTTTCCCTGTCGTAGCTCAAATTTGGCATACATAGTCCAAATTTTAGCGAACGTGAACTGCTTGTTCGGTAAGACTTCCTTCGTTAGTCTATTAAACAGATCTCGAGTTTTCGTTATATTGCCCAATTGTAGTTCGAAGTAGGTCAGCACCCGAATCCATAGATACACGTACCTGCGCCAGCCAAGGCTTTTATCTTGATCCTCAGGAGCATTCCCCAATATAGACTTTTCCAGCTCTTCAGCCAGTTCGTTAGGATAATGCTCTGTGAGTAAATCGAGGTAAAGCCACCATAGATCGTAATCTCTAGAGTTCCTGACAAGGGCAGCTTTATATTCTCTTCTTCGCTTTTCAGCAATAGACTCGTCAAGATTAGAGCTCATATTGTACATTTTTTCAAAGGTCACTCGTCCTGAGATCAGAAACTCGTTTTTGGGCCATTTTTCGAGTGCCAAGTGATACAGTGTAGTTGCACGCTCCTTTTCCTGTTGACTGGCCTCCCATTCCGCAAAAGCACCAATAATGCTGGCGATGTCCTGATCCGAAGTTGCTGGATACAACGCCAGTGTGTCTAATGCTAGAGAGTACGCTTGACGTATAGTGTTGGTTGTTCCATGCTTCTTCTCAAACTTTACCCATTTGAGCCATGTTTCGACGCCTGGGTACACCAAAACGTACTGACCATAAACTCTGCGTGCGTTATCAAATTCGAGGTACCGGATTTCAAAATCGACAAAGGCGTCGAACGCATTTTTGCCCGGTTGTAAAGAGCACCATTTACTGAACAGTCTTCGTACTAGGACGATATTGCCCAAAGACTCCTCTACTATCACATATTTCAGCCACAGCTTGTCAATGCGAGGAAGTAGGTTTGTAGCTCGTTCCAGCAAGTTTCTAGAATGGTTTACGTTTTTGGCCTTTAATTCACAGTCGATGTACCTCAGCCATAAGGGCACATAGCTATTGTTCACCAAAAGAGCCCTTTCAAACACAGATCGGGCCCTTCGCAGATCATGCTGCTGAACCTCAAATTGAGCGTATCGGATCCACTGTTTGACATCTAGTCTTTTCACTTTTAGTACATTTTCAAACTCGGTTCTCTTGCGTCCTTGGTAGTCCTTCAATTCTTCCAAATCGAGTATTTCCACTTGTGCAGTGGGCTTGGTTACTTGTTTACGCTGTGTAGTATCTCGCAGAACATCCTGGTGAGCTATTTGGTGAGGCTCTGGGCTAGCAACTGCATTTACTTGATCAAAATCCATTGATGTGATGGATCAGCCGAGAGTCGAGTCAAATATGTCTTCTTTGCAACGCGGGTTGGCTCTAAAAGATCAGAATTCAATAGGATTTCTTGTGAGCCAGCTTTAGAGTGAAGAAGAGGCTCAAAATGGGTCAGAAAGCGATCTCGGAGCTCCTTCTCTGCAAGATTTGAATTCGAGATGAGCTTCAAATATTTCGATGTCATTTACGTAGTATATGCCATAGTAATTTAGACGATATCCACATCTCGACAGGACTCACGCAATTCACTGGATGTAACAGTAATAAGAACCCGCTTTGAATCTTGCAGAGCTATTTCAGCGTCTTCATAAATGTGGCTATCTAATGATACTAGTTTCGAATGGATGCTACTTCTGTTGCGAGTATTCGAAAAATAAAAACAACCTCTTAAAAGTTCTAACGTCACACAACCATTCTAAGGTAACGTAGTTTCTCTGAGCTATGCTCGTCTTCCTTAAAATCCGCCTCGCAGCGTTAAAACAAGGTGCAATTGCATCCCAGAAGTCAAGTTGGAAGCCGATACTGTCATTTCGTCATCACTGTAGCGGTAGTGGAAACCACCTTTTTTCGTTAGTAGCTGCGAATCAATGACCACAATGTCTTTGAGTTCAACGTCTGAAGCTTTCTTCTCACTGTAAAACATACATTTGTTTGCCCTGGAAAATGAGCCTCTGCTGGGATGGAGGAATACCCTCTTTTTCTTCTAGATACTCCTTGATACGGGAAACTTTGTCTTGCGGGTCCACCACAACTTCAACTTCTTTGCCAGTGAGAGTCTTGACCGTTAGCTTCATAATTACTCGATGAGTTTTGATTTAATGGTGATAGTTCGAGGTATTATCACTATAGGTGAGATGAGATGAGATGAGATGAATTTTATATATTCACTGTAGAACTTGAACCTACAAAAAAGTATTGATAATGCTGCCAACACCCCACGTTTCATGCGACTACGACAAAGTTTACGAACCGTCTGAGGACTCTTTCCTCTTGTTGGATGCGCTGGAAAAAGACCGGGCGTTTTTAACGCAGTTTTTGGGCTCACAAGGTGTCAACCTGGTATGTGAGGTCGGTTGTGGATCCGGGATTGTGACGACTTTTATGATGCAGAACAATATACCTAGTAAATATTCTATATATGTTCCCACAGACGTTAATCCGTGGGCTCTCGAGTCCACGGTGGGCACGGTGCAACGTAACGAATGTGGACAGCGATTTTTTAGTCCCGTACGCACGAACCTGGTGCATTCGATACGTGAGCAAGAAATCGACCTCTTGGTTTTCAATCCGCCTTATGTGCCGGCCGAGACAGTCCCAGCAGTACCGCAGGATTGGGAATTGGACCCAACAAAGGTAGCAAGTGAGCAGCGACCTGACGATTGGCTGGATCTCGCGCTCCTAGGAGGTGATGACGGGATGGTTGTCACTTGGCAGCTACTCAATAATCTGGACAGCTTTTTGTCTGCTAAGGGGGTGGCATACATTCTATTCTGCGCGAGGAATAAACCTCTGGATGTGGTCAAGCACATGCAGGAACAAGGCTGGCAAAGTGAGTTGGTCGAACACCGCAAAGCCGGTTGGGAGGTCCTCAGTATTTATAGATTTCACCGTTAGTTTTCTTCTTCAATATCATTCCATGCACATTTTGTCACTGTTGTTTCTCCCACTAAGTCATTATGAAAGCGAATATATCAGCAAAGGTGTCATCACAACACGCTTTCCAGCCCACTGCTTTCAACGCATACATTTCCTCATAATGTGCATAACTTACGGTGTGGAAAAACTTTCTTAGCTGCGTGTGTTTCTGAATAGCATGTACTCCCTGTAGTAGCGGAACTCTGTCCTTTGAACCCTCCACAACATCGAATTCGCCGGCATCCGTTTTTGCAAAGTCCTTGCAATCGCTAATTTCATCAGCCAAGCTGATATAAGGATCCGTCTTGTAAATACAGTTGATAGTGTCGATCACGAAAAGCCACTCGTAACTGGCAGAAAATTCTTCAAAATTTAAGGTCAACAGCATGTCCACACTTTTAGCAACCTGAAAAATCACATTAGGCTCTACGTCTTGCTGCATCTGCAGACATTCATAGAATTTTTGAAACCCCATTTGCAAGCTGTAGGACAACATACTCCAATACTCGGCAAAGTGCATTGCCGAAAACTGCAGTAACACACACCTCAAGAGTAGGAAACAACATGACTTGATTTGAGCTTCCTCCGAGACTAAATGTTGCTCTAATTGATTCATTAAGTCCTTGAAGTGCAAAAGATAGTGGTCTTGAGGAGAGATCAAAAGGAGGTAACCAATTCTGATAATGTTGTGGCATTTAGTATCGATCTCAGATTCACTCCAGGCCGTAAAAGGATTAATGTTGGGACCCAAAGCATTGGCTTTGACACTGGTAGACGTGATTAGCTCATTGATCAATTTATCCTTGTTATCGGGGTAGTTCGACCACTCGAATATGACCTCATTCCAGGGAGAATAGTCACCCAGAAGACAAAATCTTCTGTCGCTGGAGAAAACGTCATTGATCAGAGTCCTCAGAGCCTTTGACTTGCCTCCAATCTTGGAAATCGTCAGAAGAAGCTTCAGAACATGTGTTGGGACACGCTGATGCTGCCTCTTCACGCTAGCAAAAACCTCAGATTGAGCTACTAAAGCGATAGCCGCAATGCACTTGTCTCCTGCTGGAAAATCAACAATAATGAACCGCAGTCTTGAAAAAACATAATCGAGGTCATTGTACGTGGAGATATCAGCAATATTAAAATCTTCGTTGAGCGCGCTTGGGAGATATTTGCTGAAAATGTCGGAAAGCTCTCTCCTTACCTTTTTGTCCTCACCAAATCTGGTATTGTGTATTTTCTCACTTACAAGAGCAATAGTCTTCAGAACTAAGCATGATATCTTCTTATAATGCTGAGAGTAACTCGAAATCTCCTTTATAAGCAAGATGAAGTCATCGTACAAGTCCTCCACCGCAGCGTTCTCCAAAGTTGCGAGATATTCGAGGATAAAGTTTAGCATTGATCTTGCACTGAGCTGATTCATTAATAGAGGATTGGGCGCTGTTCTCGAAGGCGTGGTATTTGAGAATTTTACTGTCGATAGTTTGTTACATCGATACACGATGCCTTGAAACAGGTGGGGTAAGGTTAGCGCTGGCTTGTTGCCATCAAGAGCGTGTATGAGCGTCAAACTAACGTTGTCAGGGTGCTCTGATATAAACTCTTCAAGCACTTCCAAAGGCTCGAGAGCAAATATCGCAATCAGGAGATTTTTAGATTGCGATTTATACTTGTAGGCTTGATGATGTAGAGATTCTTCGAAAAGATCGAACTCGTCTCTGCCACTTTCATTTTCTTTGGACTTCGAATAAAAGTGTGACCAAGTCCAAACTTGCAAACAGCAGGAAACAACAAGCTTGAATGACTGTATGATGATTTCACGCTCGTGCTTTATTTTTGATTCATCGGTACTTTCATTCGAAAAGACATTTGCTACCACGCTCTGCAAGAAATCATTTCTTGAAGAATTGTAGTGAGATGCACCCCCACTCTCCTCTGCCGCTAGGTAGCTGTGAGAAACTTCCATTAGTTCTCTTAGCCCACTCATGAGGTAAGCTATCGATTGGTATCGCAGGCCTCTTTCCGCGTCATTGCCAAACAGCTCTTTTATCCGCTCTGTGATTGATGTCGTCAAGGGCAATATGATGGAAAAAATGGAGTCTTGGAAGTACACAAGGCTTTCCGATAAAAGTTTGACGTACGAACAAATTATCAATGGGCTTTTCATGCTCAAAACTCCAGTGACCAAAAAATCGATGTAGCGTAATTGGGACTTGTCGTCATTAAAAATTCCCAGCTCAATGTGCTCTTCATGTGAAAGCCTTAACACTTTAGAAATGAGGTGAAGTAAAGACACAGATATCAACTCTGACTCTTGAGTGCCCACCCCAAATTGCTTGTTCGTCAGCTCTAGCAAAAATACTACAATGTGCTGAAAGTTGTGTTCGGTTCCGTCCAACAGAATATCAAGCAATAGTAAAACTGTGCGAACGCTCTTGCCCGTATGATTTTCTTTCGCACCCAAGAACTTAACTATTATTGCGACCACGAGGTTTTTGTAATTTGATATGTCATCGCCTTTCCACGTCTCTGTGGATTGAATAGAGGTTCGCTCTGCCTTGAAAGACTTCTGAACAAGAAGACTGTCAACACTCAGGACGTTAATAAGGATTTGACAAGAATAAACGAACGAGTCAATGTCATCCAATTCACCCAGGGTTTCCTTGTAAATCAACTCATTGCTGAGAAGATTTTCACATAATATGTGATATAATTTGTTGGCAGAACCTTGCTTTACGACTCCGGTGATCCATCTCGATGTTGTAAGGTAATTTGGGTCCTGATCATCAAAAAGTTCATCGAGAACCAATTCGAGTGGCCTGCGAATGATAGGTGTGTTATCCTCGGAATGAATCCAAATGGCATCCAGCGCACTCGTTTTCATATTTATGTCTGTTTCTCTGACGAAGGCAAACGACAGCGCACTTTCCACAAACTTCGATCCTAAAGCAACCGCTAATTGATCCAAGCACTCGACTGATTCAATTTGGGCATCGGAATTGACCAAAAAGGGCCAAAGGTTGGAAACCAATAACTTGGAGATCTTCGCAGTCTCTATAACATGAAGTTTGGGAGCAAGATATTTTGTACAGATCTTTACCCAACCGAAGACAGTGTCGCTGGACCCACAGGTCGAGTCAGCGTTTATTTCGAACAATGTGTCCGTCAGCGGTTTCGATAAATCGTTTGAGCCGGAGGCGTCATTCTCTAGAGGTCGAGATATAGGTGAGACGTCTGCTCTTTGAGGAATTTTACTTTCGAGCTGCAGAAATATTTCAACGCTTTTGTTGAATCGGTAGCCGTTCTTGGAGTAGTAGATTAGGCATTTTCTCATCTTTACAACAATGAGTAGAGTTAGATCTGCCCCTGAATATGGAGGTAGAACATCTGATGAATCTTCCATATTCGGTGCTTTCGTTGAACTCAAAAAGTTTGAGTAATAGTCCGCCACAGCTCCGTATTCGTCCCTATCTGTAACACCTGATGCATTCGAAAGCTCCGAATGTTCAATGGGTAGAAGAGCTCTTTCTGGAATTATTGAGACGAGAAGCTCACAAATTGCGTTGAATTCATCCTCATGAAAACTTGTGTGTCTGCAGAGGATGGCGAGCAGGATTAGCGGCAAATGTCGCACAACGATTTCCTCATCATGGCCGACCCTGAACCGTGAAAGTACGAAGATAAAAAGGCCTAGATTGTTGTTCTCAACAGTCGACTGAAAAAGGTGACTGCATATTATATGCGTTTCGACGGAGTCAAAGAATTCGGACGCATTTTTCATGATAGCGTCGTTATTTTGAAAACGGAAAGCTGCGCTCATCAATGGTATGAAAACCTTCGGTATGATATGTGATGCAATTTCCCAGCGATCCATTATGGTAAGACAAATTTTGTAAGCGTCTGGTATTTGCTGGTCGTGTTTTATCATCTCGGTGAGCCCTGCAAGCAGGTAAGCTTCACCATAGCGTGGGAAATAGTCATCTGAAGGACTTGATTGAGAGTTGGTTGCAGCGACTGACGAAGGTCCAAGTAACCAGCTCCATATTCTTCTGCTTATTGACATGTCCCGACTGAGCATAGTTTTGCAGCAGCTCATCATAAGCAAAGTTTTATCTGATTCTGTAGCCAATTGCTGCAGTATTGGAGAGTTTAGGTTAATGCGTTGTAGAAGTAAGTCCAATATGCCTCGCTTTATAAGCAGTTCGCTATCTTCAGCCAAGCAGCTCACTAAACATCTGATGAGAAGGCCAGGTTCGGGATGCACTACATCCTTTGCTGCCGGCAGCAGAAGCCTGAGCGCCGAGTCACGTTTGCTCCTAGTACTATCCTGGTCGTTAATAGAATCCTCCGGTGACGATACTTCTTCATTTTGGCGGCGGATTTTGTGAGGGACGGCATTAAAAGAGGGTAGGAATTTAGTCAACCACGCAAGGCCGCCTGGCCTTCTTTCCTTGTTATTTATCATGATCATAAAGCAGCTTTGCCAGAACAGAGACTCGTCAGCAGCATTTTCTCGAATTGTTTCGATCAGAGCCAGTGTGGCAGGCTGAGATTCGCTGCTTTCGTCATCGATATCTGGGAAAAGACTGGCCAAAAGAGGCTTCAGTATCAACCGCAGTGTTGAAGCTGGCATTTGAACCACATGGTTTTCATAAAGTTCGATCAATGGACCTTTCACGGACATAGAAGCATACGACATCAATGGTAAGAGTCCCGGTATCCATATATTGCACTCTTTGCTTAAGTTATCTATTCCGATTTTGTCAAAAATGATGCTGTACACTTCAATTGTTTTCAAATGTACTCCTGATGGTAAGTTCGGCGACAGGGACGAAGCCAATCGTCTGCTGACCTGGTAGGGGAAAGGAACATAGTATCGTACGTTTTGGAACTGAGGTGTCCAACTTTGCAGTGCTTTTAGTAGCTTACCCAAGCTGGCGATGTAATCTGCCCATTCTGTAACCGAATCGAAATGCTGTAAGGCGCGTTCGATGCTTGCGTGGAACTTCTTCTGTTTGCCGTCCAATTGTCGATTATTGAAGTCAATTGAAATAGGCTTGAGGGGCACCGACATTGCGTTTTTGGAGGGCCTAGAAATTTTGAAAGCGCAAATTGAAACACGTTAGTGATCTTTCAACGAAATCAGTACAGGACGAACAATGATGTGTTCTAAACTGTGTCTTTGTTCGAGCTCGAGTCGAGTTTATGGGTAGTGCAAATTGGAATTTGTATGGTAAAGGAAATGATTATGAAAATGGAAAATATCAGGTCATGTGATATTTGATTTTTAAATTGGTAAGAAAAAGTTTACATACTCATATTTCATCACGTGTTAAAATACGATTATGTAATGAGGAAAGGTTCCTGATATCCATCCACGTGATCAGATCTTTCTCATCTCCCGTACAACATTCAAACACTAGTCCTCCTAACTCTGACCCCCAATCCACTAGTCCTCACTTTTCGAGTTTCAACGAGGCATGTAGAAAACTCACCACGTCGTCAATTTCCTGCTGGCAAGTACTATGTGGCATGCCCGGGTACACCTTCATAGTATAGTTTGTAAGGCCACCGGGTCCCGTATAGAACTTTTGAGCCGTTTGTCCCATATCCAGCGATATGACAGGATCTACAGACCCGTGTCCGTGGAAAACGGGCGTATCTTTGTTGATCGACTGTTTGTTCTCCAACAGCTTGTTATTTATCATGGAAAAGCCCGAAAACGCAACGAACCCGCCGATTTTAACAGGCAGCGAGACCGCACTTGCCAGTGCCAAAGACGCACCTTGTGAAAATCCACCCACCACGATGTTTTCCGCTGCAATCCCATTTTCCACCTGTTCATCTATCAATCTACGCACTGTCTCCAAAGACTTCAGAAACCCATCAACATCTGGCCTTGATTGCACTTCCTCCCATTCACGGATGTCAAACCACGCTGGCATTGGGTAGTTTCCATTAGCAGTGATACTTAGCACTGGTGCGTTGGGAAACACAAAGTTCGTGTGTTTGAAAAGAGCATCTCTCTGCAGGAAATCAGCAAAGAAGGACCATCCTGAGCCAGTATCACCTAGACCATGCAGGAAAATCACCGCCTGCTTAGCAGGTTGGACCCGAGCAGCAACTCTGATGGCACTTATGCTAGACATTGGCTGGTTCTTTCAGGTGTGTGTGAGTTTATACCTTCAACCTTTTACTGAACAGATAGTTTACCTTATACCAGGGTAGAATAATCAATTAAAATTGACCAACATGAAGCTTGGTCAAATATCATCGAGACATGGAAAACGACATGGAAGGACCTGATTTGCCACCTAGATTAACTGGAAACAGCACGAATAACATTGCTGAGGATGACTGTGAAATGCCTGAAAATATAAACTTGGTTCCAGCGAAGGTGATCGCGCAATTGGCCTCAGAAGATCGAGAACACTTGACGGACTATGTGATGCGATTTGAGAGCTGTCAGGACGTGGAAAACAGCAATTCAGAGCTGGAAAAAAAACTCAATCTGCTTTTGGAAGGATTTGAAAGCACTGAGGAGCGTCGTGAGCGTTTGCAACAAAAATTGAGCGAGGTCGAAAGGCTGGAAACCGAATATGAGAGCAGCTGGGCCAAATTGAATACTTTGATGGCCACAACGTATAGTGACCAAGCGTTGGGCTTGAAAATGCAAAAAGAGCTGGGAGATCTGGATTCACAGGCTGCAGCGTTGGAATCGAACCGTGACCTGGAAATTGACAATTTCATCGCCCAGTACTTGAAAGTCCGAAATCGGCATCATCACAAAAGGGAGATACTGTACTGTTGGCAGCACAGCTGAGGTGAGACTCACCTTTTGAAAGCGTTCCATATGCAAACGTCACCGTCCCATGCCGTAGATGCAATGTAGCCGGGCTGGCCCCACAGACTCCAATCTGCTCCAAACACAAATTCGCTGTGGTGCGGAAACACAAAACGACAGCCCTTTGCTGGTTCTACGCTGTTGGTTCTACCGGTTGGTCTGCGGCCATCGGTGCTGAGATCCTGCCATACTTTGCAAGTCATGTCGTAGGACGTGGACAGAAACATGTCCGAGTGATGTGGTGACCAAGACACTTTCCTCACGGCTAGGTCATGCCCACCACCGACCTCATTCACACTCATTGGTTGCCGTGAATGAATGCTCATCTTGCGAACCATGCGAAGGTCCCAAATTTTTATCATGTTGTCAACGCCTCCCGTTGCTACAATGGAGGGCCTGTATTTGTTGAAATCGCATGTTAGCGTTTCCATGCCACCGTGCGCCAAGAAGCTGTACTGGTTCGAAACAGGTGGTTGGCGTAGATCAAATAGCGTCACGTAAGAATTACCGGAACACGACATAACAGTGTTGGGATCGTGAGGCGAGAATTGAGCCTGGTATATACATTTCTTGTTTTTAGAAAGTGAACTGTGCTGCCTTTGATTGGACATTGGCACGTCTTGATGCGCCAAGACCGCATTGTGTCTTTTCATGGGTTTTGGGACTAAAGTGGCCATGCTATTGTTTCTTGCAGGGGTCCATACTTTGATAGTGCCATCCCAGGAGCTGCTCACAAACAGATCCTTGTTGATCAAATTCCAATTACAGCTCAAGACCTCTTTCTCGTGTTCTTGGAATATGGCAATCGGATATTCATTTAGAGAAATATCAAAAAGTCTAAGCGATCCGTCTCCTTGCGCTGCCAGTACCTGGTTCTCATGAAGTTCATTCCAAGCAACGTCGAAAAGCCCATCCTGGGTCAAATATGACCTATTTTCCAGTATCCTTCCTTGGCTATCAATATCTAAGATATATAGTTTACCGTTACCTACAAGTCCGAAATTGGAGCCGGAAGCTACCGCTAGCTTGTTATCATAAAAAGGTGAGTACTGAACTCCATAGCCACTAAAGCCTTGCATATGATATCGTAACATTGTGAGTTCTCTGCTCTGTTTTGCCAGGTCTTTTCCTTATTCTAAGCCGTTAGCACCATTTTGACGTATAAGATCGTAGGTGTACATCATTATACCTTCATAATTACATTTGATAGTAGAGGAAAGTAAACTAAAACAAGTAGGTGAGATATACACGAGGAGATAACATCTTTATATAACGTGGAGAGATCGGATTGAAGCGATTCATATGCATTGAACGGGAACGGTGGTTTGTGGGGTTGAAATCGCTGCCAATTGGCGAGAGGGCAATTTAATAAAGAAAATATCATTGGAATTGTCATCTTGAAGAGTTCTCTGCTCGGTGGGAAGCAGGTGAGTCTTGTACATCATCGTGCTGTTGGTGGGATGACTCCTGTCCCTGCCCCTGCTCTTGAGATTCTGGATTAGGCATCTGGCCGTTGAAGTTTACGGTGGAGACACCGTCTGGAGTTCTCCGGCTAGCCACACCAGTACTGAAAAGTTGATCCGAATCATTCCTGCGATGATTGAAAGTACTAAAATTTCGAGCGAGTCCCAAAAGACTATTAAGATTGAAACCTCGACGACGCTCTGGACCCTGGCCTCCGGCGGTGGTGGTGGTGGTGGTGGTGGTGTTCCCGCTTGGCTGGGCGTTGTGTGGCTCCACTTCGTTTCGGTCGTTATTAGTACTGGAAGCAGACTCAGCTGTTGTGTCTCTTTGTGGTTCAGTGGATGGTGTCGCACTTTCGTTGTTGTTCATATTGAAGATATGATTCAATGATGAAATGAAGCTGTTCGTTTCTGGAGATGTGTCAGTGGTGATCGGAGGAACTTGAGAAGCTGCGTTATCAGGATGAGGCACCCCAGTATCTGTAGAGCCACTTGTAACGGACATTGCCTCCTCTGGTGCATTTTGTGGCCGCGTGGGAGATCTCCCACGTAAGTGAATGAAGGTTATAGGCATCAATCCTATTCCGCCTGGTCTTGCACCGTTGAGAATCAGAGGTGGACTCCGACCGGCGTTTGCTGGTGCAGAAGTTCCATTTGGTATAGGAGGAGCCTGTGGCGAACCATGATTTGTCTCCATGTCATTAGTGGTAGGACTGCGATTTGGTCTGAAAACAATGAAATTAGCCAAAGCGTTCATAGGCTCTGCTCTTGGTGAGAAATTCGTCCCAGCTCCCTCCGCAGCTGATAGTGGACTTTGCGCTGGAGGCGCTGGATCATGTCCAGGACGATTTGTGTCGTTTGCACCCGTGGCCAATGGACCATACAGAAGCAATCTGATCCTTTCAAGGGTTTGTTGATCGAGAAAGCTGTCTTCGTCTTCATTAGGCGGAGGACTGTTAAGGCCCGAAGCATCGACAATAGGTCTTCTGCAAACTGGACATGTATTGTGCTCCAGAGTCCATTCTCTTATGCAATCCCGTCCGAATATATGACCACAAGGAAGTTGAACGGGAGAATGCTTGTATTTCACAGATGGTACGTTTTTGACATCAGAATCCGAGTGATTCGAGTTTTGAGAGGTTCCTTCTTGATGATCTCGCTCTACGTAAGACGGCTGTGACGGTGCTTCAGATGGCGTCCTCTGTCGTTTTGTGGCGTCAAGGGAAATATCTCCTTCCGAGTCCAAAGTTCTCTTCCTGCTTTCTCTGCTCTCTTCTTCCCGGAGCACTTCTTCTTCAAAAGAATCGTAGCAGATACTACATGTTTCTTGCGGCACTTTGTCCAAGCCCAATACTGGCAATTTTTCAAATGCCTCTTTAGTAATACCTTTAGGACGATTAAACCTAGTATGTAGCCTGTTGATAGCCAAATTAGAGGCTAAGGCTACCACCTGTTCCAACCGCTCTTGCGTAGCAGATGGCGGAACATCCGTAAAATTCAACACAAACGGGACTCTGCTTACCGTCTCATCGTTGTCATCACCACCATTCTGTCTACCCCCATTTAAAACAGCATATTGTATTGTGACTGTGACATTTCTTGTTTGCCGGCTATTTGCACCAGTAGGGGTACCACTAGAAGCCAACGGATCGGGCCTCTGTGGTTCATCGTTGTCTCCAACCGCCATTCCTCTCTCAGATGTTGCAGAATTTAGTGAAGGACAGTTTGAGAAGGTACTAGTGATCTTGACACGTACTGAGTGGAGAAAAGAGCGTAATCTTTGTGCAAGTCCGACGAACGTCACTTCTATTGACCGAATTTAGTGTGAAGAATTCAAATATGATGCTAGAAAACTGGATTTTCTTAGCCTTTTCTGCGCCGAAACTTCTTAGGAAGCTTTTACTTAGTGAGTTACCAGGGTAGTAGGCTTGAAGGCCGTATTACTCGCTCCAGATCAACAGATCTTCGGTAGTTGATTGCTAAGGCTATTCAAACGGGTAGTATAACCTCTTATTTGTCAAGAGTGATCGCCTCGAACGGGTATACTTGATCCCATGACTATCGCACGTTGAGCCGACGTCACGAAAAGAATAACCGTTTACCAGCTTGAAGTGCGACGTTGAACGATTCAGTCAAACTTAGGACAATGTTGAAGAAACCTTGGAGATCAAATTTGTCCAAAGTTTGGCCGTGAAAAAAGCCTTTTTTCTTTCCTCTTCTTTGGGATGTCAGTAAATACCAAACGAATTTTAACAATGTACCTTGGTTTGCATTCATTTAACCAGCTTGAATGTTCCATTCGCATTACTGACTAGTTTTCCTTCATCGACCAGAATGTTCAAATACACTTCTAATTGGGATACTGTCGCCACAAATCCAATTTCTTTCGGCACAGCTATTTTCAAAAAAGAATGTATTTTGTCCACTTTCATGGTCCCCAGGTTGGTCAGCATGCCCTTGATGAATGGCCAGACCTTCTCCATCGCATCAGTGATCTCCCTTTGCTGCGAATCCACAGAGAGGTGAAATTCACTATTTTTACCGGTTGCAATGCTCTCAGAATCTTCAGTGTCAGTCAAGGCTTTAGTTTTTTCACTTTCCAGATGTTCTACTGGTTTGTATACACCAAGCTGCTCGTCATGATAAAGCACAGAAGCGTTACGCCAAAATTGAAGCGCCTGGACTACCTCATCTTCGCTTGCCCCAGTGCGCTCAATGATTTGGGTTTGCGTTAGACCCTTTGATTCCTCATGCTCGGAAAAACATGACAGAACGACAGCCCTCTTGAGTGGTACTTCGAACTTCACTGTACGCTTATCCTCAAATGTGAGATTCACCTCTACAATGCTTTGCTCTTGATGAACTTTAAGTTTTCGACCCTTTTTGATGTCCGAGTAAGCTTCTCTGTATCTCTCAAGGTCCTGCTCGAGAGCCAGAGGAAGTCTTAAATTTTTAGAAGGCATACAGAACTCTTGAGAAGTACCCCAAAACAGATAAGATATGATTTTGGGGAAGATGGTAGGGTTCAAGCTGGCCCAAGAGTGTAGATCTGAGCACAGCATCTCGCTATGCTTGATGTCCCGTAACATAACATCGATGTTACTGACATTGGAGATTTCTTGACTGCCAGGAAGCTTTTTGAGGTTGAATTTTTGCTTCAAGAGCTTGAGGCTCTTTGCCCAGTTTTGCTCCAATTTATAGCCTTTGAGATCAAGCAGCTTCTTGGTGTATAAAGTAATAAAAGCAGTTATGATGACGTCTTTGGATTCGAATAGGTCTACCACGATGTCAAACAAACTTTTGCTCATCAAAGCATCGTCACTGCTCGCTTGTATCGAGTCCATAGGCTCAGGTGTCCAGTGAAGATAGTAGTTGAAGACCTGTTGACAGATAGGTTCGTATGCGTTCAAAACAGGTGACCTTTCTGGTAGCATTTGAATCCCGCCCTCAAGAGTGGAATTCATTATGGGCTTATGAGAATCCATTAATTCTTCGGCAAGTTGGGCTGCAATCCTGGTATGCTCCGAATTTTGGCTTGTTCCTTTAGATTCCGAAGAGCCTAGTCCAAGCAGAGCGTAGAGAAAAGTAACGACTGTATCCCGTCGTTCACTGAGAAAAGGCCGAACGAATTCGGTCAACAAACGAAAATATCGAAACGACACGTCCACAGTAAGTATGCTTTTTATGGCTTTAACATAAGATAGCACGATTTCTGCAGTCGTTACACTGGGCTTTAGCATTTTGGCTTCAAAATGGTACAGAAGTTCAGTGATGAGCTTTGTGTACCTCGACGGCGTCTTCAAGACACTTCGGAGTTCGAGTAATGTTGGCTTCGATACAGGATACTCTGTAACAAAGACCTCAAACACTTGTTGCGTTCGTATGCGGATGAACTCGTGCTCAAAACATTGATAAATTTCCTGAGTGACTGCATGATCGTCTTCTGCACACTGTAACATTTCACTCAATGGGCCCCAATAAGAACTGATGAACGAATTGAAGGTCTCAACGATCACAAACCGTTTGGTCCACACAGCACCCATTTGGGCAGCAGCGTACATCTGAACTTTAACTAATATAATATCGATCAGCAACGTTGTGAGAGGCCTGCCCTCTGCTTGACAAAGCCATTCATAGACCTTACGAGCCATTTCAAAGTCGTCTTCAATCAAAAGTTGTTTTAATCGTAGCATGACGTTTTGCTTGAAGATAGGATGGCTGAAAACCAAGTAGCCGCGGAGTCCATTGATCTCGTCCAACCATTCGCTGGCACTGAAAACAACCACAAAGTTGAGAGGAAATTCGTAGTACTTTTCTAGTTTTTGCACATCTTTGAAATTAAGCAATGCCTCGAAGTTAGCGAAAAAGTGTCTACGGGTCTGGTAAATCAGAAACTGACGCAGCAACTCAAAAAAAGTATCATCAACATCTTTAAAGTTGAACAAAGTTTTCACCGCTTTTTTAATTCTAAGGATAGGAGGCCTTAGCTGGTGGTTACTGTCCGGATCGTTTGGATTGATCCACGTCAATACACCATCCAGATCGTCGCCAAAATTGACGTCGTGGTCACCCAAGGCATTGTGTATACTTGCAATTAACCTATTGCCCTCTTCTGATTCATCCATCGACCTCAAAGACGATCCAGATCTTGTTATATCCTACCTCATCTTGTTCAAGAGTTACAAGATGTCATTAGGTTATTCTAATGTACAAATTTAAATCACATCTATGAGCGATGAGCTTCCCTTGAAAGAAGACAAAAGATTATACAACAATGCTTCTAAAAAAGTAATCTGATCTAACTAAAATGGTATGTGCGTGGCGAATGTAAAGACAATGATTTTGAGCGATTTATATCGTGAAATTGTGGTTACTGACACCTTTATTTGATAGAGAGATGACGATGTGGATGAGTTTATTGCATTGACCAAATCTTCAAGAGAGACCGCCCGCCAATTCCTTTCGAACAACAACGGAGAATTGAGCTACGCTCTGAATGCCTTTTATGACAATTTCGAAAATGGATTTGTGGAGGACATCAGGATTGTATCGCAGCAATTGGTAGAGCTTTTCGAGAAGTACAACGATGACGACAAGAGCGACGCGAAGATGAACACGGACGGACTGGTCCGTTTTGTAGAAGATTTAGGATTCGAGCTCGAAGACCCTGCAACACTGTGTCTGGCACACGATTTGAATTGCAAAAGTCTGCAAGACCCGATCACGAAGGATCAATTCGTCGGAGGATGGCACTCGGCCTTCTGCGACACTTTTGAGGATATCAAGAACACGCTTGTCGAACAAAGGGGCAGGCTACAAAGAAGTCCAGAGTATCTAGAGACCATCTACAATTATACTTATGGTCTGATTCTCGAGCCCGACCAGAAAGCTCTTCAGTTGCAATCTGCTGTGGAATACTGGAACCTGTTTTTCGATAGTTCAACAGATGTAAAACTCGCAGTGCAGCCATCGGCGACTCTATTGGAGCTCTGGCAAGTGTTTTTAAGCTCCCAAGGCTACGTGAAGATCAGTCGTGACGTATGGCAAATGTTTTTCAAGTTTATAAAGAAATATTCTACCGTAGAGGCTATCAAAAGCGAATACAACGAGCTGGACGCTTGGCCTCTACTTATAGATGAGTTCTACGAGGATCTTGAAGAACAGGGACTCGTATAGTTAACCTACACTTATAGTGTTGTCTTCAGAGTTTGATGCTCATCGAAGTCTTTGGTGAGTTACCCGTAGGTTTTAGTTCATATACTTGAATAAATGTTAGCATCGACAACATCATCGAAGTGGTGAAAATAAACATAAAACAGGAGAATCTGAACCCTAAGTTGCATTTGGAAGCTGTCTAAAGGGCTCATTGATCGTCTCTTAGTTGTGGTAAAATTGAATCCTGAGTTGAAAGCTCATAAAATCTTCATTTTTGAGATTTTAAGCGTTTCGAGACGAACTACAATAGTTATTCGAACAGAACGGCATATTATCATTTAGCGTAGTACTAGCCATGTCTTCAAATCAAAATTCTGGTACACCTGTAGCAGGCGGTGGTAACAATGCTCAGGGACCACCAACGCAACAGTTGACACCTGATTCCGTCCAGCATTTGGCAATACGATACCAACAATATTTCAAAGAAGCACACAGGCTAGGCCCCACAACACCCCAAGGCCAGGAATTGTTGAGAAGAGCTTCCAAAATCAAGGCCATGTATGTTGCGTACAACAGACAGAACCAACAAGCAGCCCAAGGTGCTGTTTTGGGAGCTGGTGGGCAATCTGGAGGCGCTGATAATAGCACAGCTTCACCAACAGCTTCACAGGCTTCAAATGGGACCCCTACCAACAACCCGATGACACGTAATATACAGAGCTTGCTAACCCCGCAACAAAATGAAGCGTATGGTAAACTCATGCAGGCTTTCAATGAAAACGGCGAGAAAATCAAGGGCGAGTACGGATATCTGAAGAAACAGATCGAAATCTTGGAAGAGGAAATCAAGAAGAGACAAAACAATCCGGCCATGGTGAAGCAGCTGGAGAGCAACAAGGCTGAAATACTCAACAAGTTGACGGGCTTTGGTGTCTCTTATCAGGCATTGAATCGCAAGCTTCGCGAGGACAAGAAGAATTTCTACATTGAATGTGCTGCTTCGAATCCACATCTCAAACGATTTCTACAGGCATCGAGCCAACAACAACGTGCCAATGCTGCTAACGCGTCAAGCGGCAACTCACCAGCAGCCTCAGCCAGCGGTGCGGTGAATGCAAATAGTCCGGCCCAGCAGCCTGTCGTGCAACCAACGCAGGCTCACCAACAGGCTCAACAAGAGGTAAAAGACACTCCTGTACAACAGAAATCTGACGTCAACAGTCGGTCTCCCACTCATGTGACCTCTGTTAATGCCGCTGCACATCTGGCCAACACGGTCAGTCCCGCTAGCAGGCAGGCCATTTTCAAGCAACCGAATCCCTTGGTTCCGATTTCAGAAAATGTTACACAGAAGACACCCACTCCTGTGGTGCATCGATCCAACCGCCCCACCATCACCGGTGGCAGTGCCATGAATGCTGCTGCACTCAACACTCCTGTGATGACCAAATTGCCTCCATACGAGATAGATAACGAAAGGGTTATGTCCAAAAGAAAGTTGCGTGAGCTTGTCAAGTCGGTCGGAGTTGACGAAGGTGACGGTGAGACCACTATTGATGGAGATGTGGAGGAATTGTTGCTTGACTTGGCAGATGACTTCATCACGAACGTGACAAGTTTTGCTTGTCGTCTTGCCAAACACAGGAAATCTGACAATCTGGATGTTCGTGACATTCAGCTACATTTAGAAAGAAACTGGAACATTCGTGTCCCTGGATATGCTGCTGATGAAGTCAGAAGCACCAGAAAGTGGAACCCTACAACCAGCTACAACCAAAAAATCCAAGGCATCAATAATGCCAAAGCTGCCAAGACAGCTAATGCAGCTCAGGCTATGGCAGCTCAAACCGTAAGCGGAAATTCGGGAAATAAACCACACTCACTTTCATGAATGTTGCTCATCAAATAACTGGAGACCAGTGGGAGAAACAGGCGCTTTAAAGAACTTGGACCGAAGGTTGATGAAATGCGTCGTAACGAGTTCTGTACTCGTAAAGTTCACCTGAGAGTACTCGGGACCAATTTTAAGGACAAAATAATGATTATCGTCTAACACGGCTCATCGGCAAATATCGAAAAATTTTAAGCTGGTGGTATCCAGAACTACACGCCAATCGGCTAAACTACCAAACAAGCAATTGCGAGCTGGCCTTCGAATCAGTATGGTCAAGTCTTATCAAAGATTCGAGCAAGAGAGTGTGCTCGGTGTCATTGCTAGCAGCACAAATTGCTTGTGGATTCCTGCGGAGACAAGAAATGGTTCAGGCCAAGTTTTGACCGGGGCACTTGAAAATGTTAATTGCTGGTCTATGAAATCCGGGGAGCTATTAGGAACCCTTAGTGATGGGCTTCCACCAGGGGCTGTTGATGGTAAAACCACCAGACCTGCAGAGTCCTCATTTCTGCAATATCAAGCAGAAACCAATCTTTTAGCAGTAGGGTACTCTGATGGTGTGATAAAAATCTGGGATTTACTTTCGAAATCTGTGCTAATTCATTTTAATGGACACAAATCAGCTATCACAATGATGAGGTTTGATAACACCGGTACGAGGCTGATATCGGGATCTAAGGACTCAGATATTATAGTATGGGACCTCGTTGGAGAAGTAGGGCTGTACAAATTGCGCTCACATAAGGACTCTGTGACAGGATTGTGGTGTCAAGGCGAAGAGTGGCTAGTCAGCACATCGAAAGATGGCCTTATTAAGGTTTGGGACATGAAAACGCGGCAATGCGTTGAAACGCACATGGCTCATGTTGGAGAATGTTGGAGCTTGGGCGTTCATGCCGATCTGGCAATCACTACAGGTGCCGATAACCAGCTCAAAATATGGGAGCTGGATTTCGACGCCAAGCCCGGTAATATCTTGACAGAAAAGGGCATGCATGAAAAGCAGAGCAAGCAAAGAGGCGTGGATATCGAGTTTCTAAGCGTCAATGAGAATTCTGTTTTTTTCGTTGTGCAGAATGCTGACAGAACTGCCGAGATATTCAGACTCAGGACTTCCGAGGAAATTGCTAAAGCGCTCAAGAAAAGAGAGAAAAGGCTTGCAGAGAAAGGTTTGACCGAGTTGGAAATCAAGCAGAATTTAAAAGACTCTTATAGCTCGTTTGTGATGCATTCTTTCCAGATAATAAGATCAACGTTCAGAATCAGGGCAGTGTGCTGGGCCGCTGCGACAAGCTCAAAATTGGAGCTTGTTGTAACCACCTCAAACAACAACATTGACTACTACTCCATTCCTTATAAAAAACGTGAGGCATCTACTCCATCCCCAGTAAAACTGTATTCAATCGACATCAAAGGTCACCGTACTGATGTTCGTGCGGTCGATATTAGTGACGATGGAAAACTGCTAGCCACTGCGTCAAACGGCCTTTTGAAAATCTGGAACATGAAAACCGAAAGTTGCATAAGGACTTTTGAGTGTGGCTATGCTCTAACCTGTAAATTCCTTCCAGGAGGAGCCCTTATTGTTTTAGGGACCAAAACAGGTGAATTGCAACTATTTGACTTGGCCTCTTCGACGCTGCTGAGTACAGATGCTGGGCATAAAGACGCCATCTGGTCTCTGGATGTTACTAGCGATGGAAAAAGGCTTGTCACAGGATCTGCAGACAAGACGGTTCGGTTTTGGGAGTTCCAGGTCGAACAAGAGCTAATTCCGGACTCCGTTAACAAGACTGTTTCTAAGTTGAAGCTTTTCCATGATACTACATTGGAGCTCAACGATGATGTACTTGCGGTGAAAATATCGCCAGACGACAAGTTCCTCGCCGTCTCGTTACTTGACAACACGGTAAAGGTATTTTTCTTAGACTCCAAGAAGTTTTTCCTAAGTTTGTACGGGCATAAACTCCCCGTCTTGTCAATTGACATATCATTCGATTCAAAGCTTCTGATAACTTCGTCTGCTGATAAAAACATCAAGATCTGGGGCCTAGATTTCGGTGACTGTCACAAGTCTTTATTTGCTCACAACGATTCCATCATGAAGGTCTGTTTCGTACCTGAGTCTCACAACTTCTTCAGTTGCAGCAAAGATACATTAGTCAAGTACTGGGACGGCGATAAATTCGAGTGCATTCAAAAACTTGCCGCGCACCAAAAAGAGGTTTGGGCCCTAGCGATCTCTTCTGACGCCAGAACTGTGGTCTCTGCTTCCCATGACCAGAGTATACGTGTTTGGTCTGAAACTGACGACCAGGTTTTCTTAGAAGAAGAAAGAGAGCGTGAATCCGAAGAAACGTATGAGGAGACTCTGTTGACTTCATTAGAGGATGGGAATGGCGACGACATGTTTCAAAAAGGTAACGATGAGAGCGAAGAAGGAGCCGATCACGCAACAGGTGTTCACAAACAGACCACTGAATCATTGAAAGCAAGTGAAAAGCTGATTGATGCAATGGATCTCGGCATGGCAGAGATCAGAACCATGTCTGAATACGAAAAGGCTGTCAAGGCTTGGGAAAAGAAAAAATTAGGACCACAGCCAGGAATACCGCAACCAAACAGCATATTGCTAGCTGTTCAAAAGACTCCGCTCGAGTACATTATGGATGTACTTGTAAGAATCAAGCCCTCTCAGCTGGAAGATGCCTTACTCGTGCTCCCATTCTCATACGTCCTCGACATGCTTCAATACATATACCTAGTGGTCGAAGACAAGAGTATCATGACAAGAAGATTGCCGTTAGTATGCCGCATTCTTTTTTTCCTCATACGATCGAACCACCGTGAATTATTTTCGCAGAAAAACCCAGAGCTGAAGGTGCAGGTCGATAAAATCAGATCTTCACTTAGAGAGTCCATTCAAAGCAAGGCCGATGATTTGGGTTTCAATCTTCAGGGTTTGAAATTTATCAAGAACCAGTGGAATTTGAAGCATAACTTCGATTTCACGGACGACGTTACTAAGACTGCCGTGATGGACAAGAGGGTCAAAAAGAGAGTTTTTGAAACCTTAGTATAGATTTAAACAAGTTTTTGCATAAGTGTAATGAGATGGGTACATTGTTTCTAATAATTAAGTTATTATATCTGATAACACTATCAATGCATATCAGCTTCCTTTCCATTCCGACTGCTCGGACCAGCCACCACTGTTCGAATAGGCTGGCTTCAAAAGCCCGCTTTCGATCATGTCTCGCTGAAGTTGCTCCTCCATCTGAAGGGCTATTGTTTCGTGGTTATTACGAGCAATGGACTCCTTTACAGGGCTGCTGGTGACACTGAATGTGCCATCTTTTCTCGGTCTACCTCGCCGCCTGGGCGATTTCTTTATTACAATGTTGTTGAACTTTTTACCTCCCACACATATCATTCTGCATCTGTGAACAATGAGTGCGTCCTCGCGTACAAATTTCTTACCGCAAGGGCAAGTAAAAGACTTCTCAGCATGAATCTTTTTGTGCCTTACTAGGTCATGATTTCGTACAAAGGCTTTATCACATCCTTCATAGTCACAAATGTAAGGTCTATCTTCCAAATGTGTTTGTATATGTGAACGGATGTTGTAGCGTCTTTTAAAGGTCTTACCACATCCAGGGTATAAGCATTTGAAACTTTTGTCGGGTAGTTCAAGCACGTACTTGTCTATTTGACCAGGCGGCAAAGTAGTAGGCTTTTTTGTGATCTTGAGCGGGCTGCTGTGGTGAGAGGAATGTTCATGAAGATCCGGATGACACTCTCCACGATCATCACAATCTTCGCAATGATCCTCGCAGTGCTCATGGCTAAGATACGGACTGGAGTCTTCAAAACGGCCCTGTGACCTCAGGATTGGTGATGGTGTTTGGGCGTACTTGAATTCACTTTCTGTGCCTTCTTCTCCTTCAGCGTCGTCGTAGTTTCTCTCTTCTTCACTGGGTGGCCTCAGATCCTCATTCAAAGTTTCAAATATAGGCCTATTGGCTGGATATCTAGAATTTGAATATGACACATTGCTGGGATCCAGGGTAGCTTTCGTAGGGGTATGTTGAAATATGTGTTTTTGAGGGAGGCTTCCAGAGTCGAGATTTCCAGGGTGTTTTTTGTTAACTGGAGTGTTTTCGGAAGAGCCAGGAATTGTTGGTAAAAGCTCCAGCGGGGGTGGTTTATTCAATAGATATTTCCTCTTGGAGACGTCGTTACTGGACCTAATTCCCAGGCCGACTGGACCTCTTCCTGCCGAAGTAGATATATGGCTTTGACGGTCATCATCGTCGCACAGTTGAGGGATAGTGGAAGCGCTGGACGAAATGGATTCTTTCGCTCGGTGATACGTTGCTTGTGGTGACGAGGAAGTCGAGGACATCCCACCCACAAGTATTCTATTCTGTGGCGTTATCGGGTTGTTATTTTCTGCACGCCGACCAGAATTCGCCGCACTTTTGGCATTTACATGTTCAAAATACTTGCTCATCTTTTGAACGGTCTCGGCGGATATCTTTGGTTTGAAATGTGAGGAGCCAAAAAAGTTTTCTGGACTGGAATAATCTTCACCACTATCGCTGAAATTGTTAAGGACATTTAGGTTCAATGGTTGTGTATTATGCCGTGTGTTACAGTTTTTACGATTTGGTGAGCCATTCATTGATGTTCCTGAGACTGGCGATATGACACCATCTCTTGACATACCTGGGTTAGGTTGTTTTAGCTGGTTCGGGGCTGGAAACTGGTACCCACCGGACTTGCTATTGCTTGTGACGATGATGTTTTTACCGTCTTCTCCAGAGTGCGACGTTCGCGATGAAGGTGTTTTAGCTGGTGACACATTGACTGTCAGATGCTGTGCAGCGTATTCCTGCTCTTTAAGCGCCATTTGGAGCTGTTGCTGCTGGCGCTGGCTACTTCTGAGTTGCTCTTCTAATTGTGCGTTCATTACCTGCTGCCGTTCGAGGGCCAATCTCAGTTCTTCTTGCTGCTTCAAGATTAGCGAATTCAAGTTGTTGTTTTGAGCCTGGTAATCAGCATCGTAAGAGGTTGTTGGCGCACCAAATTGATTTGTTGAGGTCAGTATGTTCTCGTCAAAGTTGTTTTTTGTAAGGCTGAGTTGTTTGTTATGGTTGGCAAACCCAAAGATCGCTGTTCCACTGGGTCCACGTTTGTGAGACTTCTGCGGAGTTCCCGATGGCAGATTTGAGTCACGGTTCCAGACCGTATCGCAGCGCGCTGGTGAACTCGAGCCAGCCCGGGGATTCAAACTCTGCGGTATCATGGGAATATCGAGGTCTTTCAATTCCTGTGTCAAGAAATCATCAATGTCCTCGTAACTGCTGGGGAAAAGGTTTGCCAGCTCTGCGTCTGGGATTCCCAGATTAGAGGGATCAAAGTTTTTGTTTTCCAGCGTTTGTCCGATCCCTAAATCCAATCCTGCTGAATCTGCATTGTCCAAATTGAGCAAATCACTGTCGTTGTTGGTACTGAACCAATTGTGACGATTTTGGTCTCGAGTCGACGTCATTGGCTTTGTACGGTTGTGTTTTGTTTTATTATTGATATTGTGTAGGTGTGTTCACGATATGTTGACGATATTTTGTTGTCGGGTATTTCCACCGTTCACAACCGTCAATATTGTTTGTTGTCTAGTTTTAAGTTCGAGTGCAGTCCAAATGCTTAGTGTGGTAGTATCACTCGTTGTCCGACGTATTGTTATTATAAATTCTGTTACCCAAGATTAAAACCTCAAATTTCCCACTTGTTGCTATACTAAAAGCGCAGTTCAGTCAAGAAACGGAGTGTGCGATGGGAAAGAAAGTTGAGCACTTCTAGAGTAAAGAAGAGGTGCCTTTCCTTCACTGTCAAACTGCGCTTGTCAGGTGAAATAAATTCAAAGGCGAAGCTCAAGCTCTAGTTGCGCTGGTGAAGTGGAATACGGTAACTGTTCGAGGAGACAGTGTAAACAGGTTGGTAGAGTGTCAAATAATTCAGAGCTTTGAATATGGATTTGCCAATATAGTATGTCGAACCCAATTCGTAAGGGCCTCTGATGAGCCTTTAACCCAATGCGGCAACATGGTAAACAAATAAAAGAGCACCGGATTTCCCAAAGGGGATCATGTGCTCGGAAAAACTTGAGATGAATTTATCCGGGCACCGGAAAAAACAAAAGTCTCATATGCAGCTCGACGCAGATCCGGAAAAAAGATTGTCCGGGGGATAATCATGCATATGGTGTTCTATGCATATGGAATACCCTAATGTAAACGCAGACTCTGGACCCTCCTAGCGGGAAACTAAGTGTTCTCGGGAAAGCCAATCCATACGTTTGATCTTTGTTTGGTGATCTTGATGCCAGTGCACTCGAAGGTCAGGGCTTGAAGGAGTGTGGGGTCAATTGGAGTGGCTTCCAGAACCCGGTTGAGCTCGTCGATTTGGCGAACAGAGGTAGATGCGTTTGGATCGAAAACGGGACCTTGGAAAGAAAAAGCTCTGGCAATGGACACGTGGGAGCGTTCATGACCCGAGGATTGTTGGCTACGGCTCGAGATATCGCTTTCGTGCGTGCTGACACTGTTGTCCCCAGCAGGATCGTTGCGACGACAAAAATCAAACGACTCATGCACGGCTTGCCACAGCTGTCGCAAAACCCCGTTTTTCTGCTCTGACTTGACGCCCAATGCCAGAAACAAGGCGTTGCGACCGACGTTTTCGTAAACTTTCAAAGAAGGCTCGAAATCGACTTGGAATGGGCCCGCCATTTGCTGCAAAACTTCGATTCGCAACATATGCTCAAACGCGTCGACCTCAGCTGCGGAGCCAAACTCAAGATTTCCGCTAAGCGAGACGTGCAGCGGCAACGGTGAGCCCAGATCGCTCATGTGCAGAGGCTGGAACGACAGTCCGTGTCGTTGCATTTGCCCCGCTATCTGGCAGGTCACTTTATCGAGGATTTGGCGTTGCTGCAGTGTTGGACGCATTTCTATAAACGCGAAACTAGTCCATTTGACACCCTGTGTCGTCGCCGGTACTCTGGTAAAAAGATGGTTCATTTGCGGCCGGTGTGGTTGTTGTTGCGTAAATTTCTCGATATTTGGCGAAACGTGGAATTTGTCAAGCAAAGCACTTGGTAATGCTGGTAGATCAATTCTTGTATATGTTGTAACTTCTTCTTCGCTTTCGTTGTCGCTAGGGTATTGATCTTCCAATAATTCCATAACTTACTCGATGTTGGTCCAAAAAGAGCCGTAAAACCGTCTTTGGAATCCTGAAAAATGCAAGAAATAGCTCAAAAGCACCGTTTCCAAATCACTATTCCGATAACTTCCCTAAATCTTCTTTCTCTGAGGGGCTGTGCTTCATTTCTGAATTCTAAATACTCTTTCTATATAGCTGTCTTTCTTTCACATGCTTGGAAAATCTGCCCTCACTGCTAATTTAAATAGCCTGTCGAGACTACAACGATCATCAACAACTTCTAACCCAAGAAAGAAAGTCAAATGAGCACCCAATTGACTCATTCTGCACAGTTTTAAGATTATTAAACTCTCAAGATTGTATTGGGAAACGTATATAAATGCCAGACAAAACTTCCCGATCAAGACACTCGCGATCTGGGTCAAGATCAGGCTCGCATTCAGCAAGTGGGAGAAGATCATCTTTGCCGCGACTAAAGTCTTCTCCAAGACTGGTGAGAACTATAAGTGCTGAAATCGATTCCGCGTCCCAAGACGTCAGCCATTTGAAGCTGGAAAACGACTCGTTGTCGCAATCGCTGGAAGTACCATTTGTGAAGAGGACCCTTAATGCAAGTCTCCCACTAGAATATTTACGTACAGATGTTTTGAACTTGGCGAAGGCGTTGAAAGTGCCCAAATGGCATAGCAGAAAGTCTAATTCTACAACGCAATTGGTGGCCAAATCTGTTGTGCTCACCAAGATCACTGGAGCGCTAACAAATGCGATTTTCCGCGTGCAGTATCCAGGACTGCCATCTCTTTTGTTGCGGGTGTACGGACCACAGGTCGATAGTATTATCGACCGAGACTACGAACTACAAGTGCTGGCACGCTTGTCGGCTCACAACATCGGTCCTAAACTATACGGATGCTTCACAAACGGTCGTTTTGAGCAGTTCCTTGAGGATTCCAAGACTTTGACCAAAGATGACATTAGAAACTGGAAAACCGCACAAAGAATTGCTCGTAGAATGAAAGAGTTGCATTCCGGGGTTCCTCTGTTGCCCTTTGAAATCGCTCGTGGGCCAAGCACTTGGTTGCGTCTCGATAAGTGGGTCAAAGTAATCAACGATTCACCCTGGTCCCTTGACGTTTCCAACATCCAAAAAGTCCTAACGTGTCAAGATTGGCAATTTTTTCTGTACGCCATGCAAAAGTACAGAAACTGGCTTGAAGAAACATACAAAGATTCGCATCGAGGCCTGGTGTTCTGCCACAACGATGCACAACATGGCAATCTACTATTCACAGCACCTGTGGCTTCACTCCCAGCCACTCCCTCCGTCTCAGCAGATTCAATTGAAACTTCGGAATCATTGTTCCCCACGACTTCCAACGTTTCTTTGGAGCAGATTATCAGGCCTTCACAACAAGAGCAAAACCAAGATTCCAAATTGGTAGTTATCGATTTCGAATACTCGGGAGCAAATAGGCCCGCCTTCGATTTGGCCAACCATTTTAGCGAATGGATGTGTGATTACAATTCAGCTGATTCCTACAAATCTGACGAAACAAAATACCCAACCAAGGAAGAACTACTGAATTTTTTATATTCATATGCCTCCCACCGTCGAGGCTCCAAAGTTCACAGCATTGATGCTGAGGTCAAGGAACTTTATAACGATGTTATAAGACAGCGTGGCTCCGTCTCTCTCCATTGGGCTACATGGGCGATCATTCAAAGCGGAGAATTGAACGATCTACCTCAGAAAGAGGTTATAGAAGAAGCTCCAGCAGGCGAAAAATACGTCATTACCATTGATGATGAAGATGACGAAGAAAGCGATGAAGAAAATGTCGATGCAGATGATGAAGCATCACCCGAGGGTGTTGACATCAATTCTTTCGACAACTTGAATTTCGCAAAGGATAAAATGGCACTTTTCTGGGGCGACATGCTTCAGCTGGGTCTCCTCAAAAGAGAGGAGCTTCCGGATTTTGTTAGCATCAAGTATTTAGATACAAAATTTCTATAGGTGGGGAGGAATTAGAATGTTTCCTATCAGCTAATCTAAGAATCTCAATATCAAGATACTCGACTAGAGAAAGACCCCGTTACATTAAAATATTTGCGGTTAGTTGCTCTTAAGTATACTTCGTAATAAATATGACGCTTCATGGCAGCTAGATTTACCATCATATTCTGCGTCTTGTCATGCTTTCCAACTTGTTGCACTTTCAAAAGAATAAAGACTAAAAATGCGCGATAATCCATTGTTGTGGGTACCTCACCTGAAGAAGTTCACTATTGGCAAGCGGGTGCAAACACAATAGTGTCCCATCAAATGATATGCGAGTTTGTGATACATCAAATTTTCTCATCAACAAAGGAAAAAAAGATGCTTAAGAAAGCATCATCTTTCTTGGGTCTTCGATGAGCTCTTTCACTGTCTTCAAGAAAGTAACGGCTTCTCTTCCATCCAAGATTCTGTGGTCGTAAGTCAAAGCCAAGTACATCATTGGTCTAGACACAATTTGTCCGTTGACGGTGACGGGTCTTTCCTTAACACCGTGCAAACCAAGTACAGCAGTTTGAGGTAGGTTGATGATTGGGGTACCGTACAAAGAACCGAACACACCACCGTTAGAGATCGTGAAAGTACCACCGGCCATATCTTCTAGGGTTAGCTTACCATCACGGGCCTTCTTACCCAAACGGCTAATTTCAGCTTCTACATCTAGCACTGACAAAGATTCAGCATTGCGAACGACGGGGGTAACTAGACCCTTTGGTGTCGCAACGGCAACGGAGATGTCTGTGTAGTCACGGTAAACAATCTGGTCACCTTCGATGGCAGCGTTGACAGAAGGAATTTCCTTGGCGGCCAAAGTGCAGGCTTTGGCAAACAAACCCATGAAACCAAACTTGATACCGGTCTTCTTGATGATTTCGTCTTTGTAGAGCTTACGCATGTCCATCAAAGCAGACATGTCGCATTCGTTGAAAGTTGTCAGGGAAGCCGCGGTGTTTTGCGATTCCTTCAATCTTTCAGCGATTCTAAGACGCATACGGTTCATTTTAACTCTCTGTTCGGAACGAGAAAAGTTGGCAGAACTCTTGGCTGGCTCTGGAGCTGGGGTGGGCTCTTTTTTAGGTTGAGATGCAGGTGCAGGGGCAGGCGAGGATTTCTTAGGTTCCTCCTGCTTAGATTCCTGTTTTGGAGGCTTGGACTCTGGTTCTTTGGTTGCAGCAGGTTTTTCCTCCTTTGGTTTTTCATCCTTTGGTTTTTCCTCCTTGGAGCTTTCCTGGGGAGCCTCACCGGCTTCGATTTCGGCCAAGGCGTCGCCAACGGTAACTGTATCGTCCGGCTGGAAGTTCAATTTGGAAACTTTACCGGAAGTTGGGGCGTTAACCTCCACATCGATCTTATCGGTTTCGATAGTTGCCAGAAGTTCATCTTGTTGAATAAATTCACCAACCTGTTTGGAGAACTCCTTCAAGGAACCCTCAGTGATGGATTCAGCCATGGGAGGCACTTTAACAACTGTAGACTCGTATCTCGAAGATGCTGCAGATCTCTGATATTGCAGTAACAATGAGTTTTTGTGCTGGAAAAGGCCACCGAATTGAGGGGCAGCAAAGCTGAGCGACCGTTTGCTATAGGTTGAAGCCAGTGGTTTGGCCACTTTGACGCTTGATCTGATCATTTTTTTAGTTTTCTAAATGTGGGTGGGTTTCAGTTCAAATTGATGAATATCTCACGATCGAATCACGCTATTGGTATGGTTTCAACGGGAAAAATTAGCCTCTGTAGTCTATTTTGCACCAACAGCCGTATTTTCAATAATAGACAGACAAAAGGGTTCTTTTAACTGTGTTTTGTTGTATAAAATTGTGGAGCAAAGAGTGGTTAGTTTAAATTCTTATATGTGATTAATTAACCTTTTTTCATAATATATAATACAATTTTCCCTCAAGCTTTAAGAACAGTGCCAAAAAAGTCGGTTCCGAGAACGGAGTTTGAAAAACCGTTTAGGCAAGAGAAAGAGAGAGAAGATGATGTGAATCAAATAGGGGTTTATGCTGAGGAACTAGAAACATATACACACATCTTAAGGTTTGAAATTGATGTTCAGGAAAAACCATAAAATATTGGGAAACAGTAGATCGTTTTGTACGACGTTGGTTTCGAAGGCAAGTTGTCGCGGGGTAGGAGTTTGGCTTTTGTGTGTGTGTGTGTGTGTGTATAGAGAATCGCTGTGCTGAAAAAGCCCAGGCTGCAACAGTATTTTGGTGTGCTCGCTTTTGAAATGAGGGCACGTGACCTTGATTATCCAGCGTCAGATGTGGTCGAAAGTGATACCATTTTTTTTTAGAATTCGACACGTATAGGAAGCAGTTGAATATCCAAGTGGATCAAAACTCGCCAGATATGTGCAATACTTTCTGTAGCAATAGTTTTCTGCCCCATGCACACATTCGCCAAGTGAGGGTTCGAAGCTCAGAGAACGTGGTGTTTCATTCCCTTGAGTGCAAAAAGTTCTCTACCGTTGGCTTGTGAATGTCTCTCCGAGCAAACGTCCTACATGTTGGTCTTCTAAGCAGCCCAAAGAATGCCTTTTTACACAAAGTGATTTCACCATATACGGAGGGTTTTGGCTCGAATTGAAGCGCTATGACGACAAATTAGGCCACAAGTGCCGGTTAAATACAAGTGGTGCTAATTGCTACTAAGAACTCAGAAATGTCATATTTGAAACAGTCAGTTCATCAATTGTGACGCTGTCGTTAGTCACGTGCTCGTGATCCTTCTGTCATGCATCTGATGCTAGACAGACTGAGGCTCCAGCAGAAACCATCACATCACGCCATTTGCTTTGCAATGAGTTGTAAGTGAAAACCGTGGGGCGACAGCTCTATTGAAAACTTGATTTTCTGCAATCAAGCAAGATACTAGGCTTTCCTCCATTTCATAGCACCACATTATTCAATTAATTAATGATTGGGATTTTAACAAGGGTCACGTGCCCATCTCGTTTTTGTTTTTGTTTTTGTTTTGTTTCAACATGCATTTCCATGTGGCGCCAACGCTTACCACAGCCTACCATCAACACCTACAAATTTCTAGCGATGAGCTTCCTTTTTGATCAACGAAATTCCAAAAACATGAATCTCGATGCCGGTGACCCGATGCTATCACTTGGTACTATTCGAGTTGCTCTATAATTGGTGATTTAGCTCATCTAGGAGCTCAAATACCAAGGGCAGAAACCCTGGTCATACCAACTCCCTCTTTCAAGACAGTTAACACTCGCAGATCGCCGTAAATCTAGTTCCTCCTTTAGTTTTACCGTCGCATCTGCGATTGGGTCACTTTTACCTTTCCTGGCGCGGGACATCCGGCCGGGATTCCCTCGATCCTTGATAAGGTGCCAGACATCATCAATCTATACCAGTAGTATAAAACCTCGAGAGATACACAGGGGAACCATCATCAGAATTCTTGGTACAAAAGATGTAGTAGCGTTAAGTGCCTCTTTTATTCAGTGTGCTTGAGCTAGTTTTGACCGCGTACGAATGTCCAAATTTTCGGTCTTTTATGGAACCTTTGTAGATACTCCGGCTTTGAGCCAATTGAGGATTCGTCCTAGAACTAGCATAGGAGTAAGTGCCGATGGAACCATTCAATTTATCAAAGCAGAATCACAAAACCCACTTCAAGATGCCTTGGAATTTGACCCAACTTTGAGATCGTGGGAAATCAATGTGGTGGACACTTTTGACCATCAGGGAACAACGTTTTTCTTTCCTGGGTTTATCGATACGCATATACATGCTTCCCAATATCCAAATGCGGGCATTTTCGGTTCATCGACTCTTCTTGACTGGCTTGAAACTTATACTTTTCCACTGGAAGCAAACTTTAAAAACCTGGATAGTGCAAGGGCAATTTACTCCAAAGTCGTGGATAAGACATTGGCAAACGGAACAACCACTGCGTCCTACTACACAACCATCGATGCAGACTCTTCGAATCTAATGGCAGATTTGTGTGCAAAGCGAGGCCAGAGAGCCTTTATTGGGAAAGTGTGTATGGACCAAAACTCACCAGATTACTATATCGAGACTTTGCCAGAATGCCAGCATGCTACTCAAAAAGTTGTAAATCACATTCAAAATGAGCTCAAGGATGACAAAATCAAACCCATCTTAACCCCCAGATTCGCTCCTACGTGCAGCAGCGAAATGATGACATGGCTGGGTAACTTTGCCCATGAGCAAGGCCTGCACATTCAGACACATCTTAGTGAAAACCGGAAGGAACTGGATTGGGTCAAGGAACTGTTCCCTGAATCGGAATCGTATACTGACGTGTATGACTCTCATCGCTTGTTGACGGAAAAAACAGTGCTGGCTCACTGCATACATTTGTCGGACAGCGAATTGGATTTGATCAAAGCCAGGAAATCAGGAGTTTCACACTGTCCTATCTCGAATTCCTCTATTACATCTGGTGAATGTGAAGTGCGTCGGATGCTGGATCAAAATATCAAAGTTGGGCTAGGAACTGACGTTTCGGGAGGATTTGATCTGAGTATACTCTCTACCGCAAAACAAGCATTGTTAGTTTCAAGACACTTGGCCATGAAGGAGTCTGATCCGGAAACACAGGAACGTTTGAAACTTTCAGTTGACGATGTGCTGTTTTTATCCTCGCTGGGTGGGGCCCAAGTGCTGGATCTAGATAAAACTGTCGGCTCCTTTGAGGTTGGTAAGCAATTCGATACACAGTTGATAGATTTGAACGTGAAGGGTTCCAAAGTTGACGTATTCGATTGGCAATATGCCAAATGGAGTGAAACCGACCGCGACGCTGAGAGTGAGACTCTTTTTAAAGATCTTATGGCCAAGTGGCTATTTACAGGCGACGACAGGAACACTGTTCTTGTGTGGGTGGCTGGAAGACAGGTGTTTTCGAGCTTGGATTAATTGGCTTAATTTGTTCGGCGGCAGGTGAAATGCTAGGAATTAGTGTTCTTTATATTAGTAATATGCAGGTGAATACAGAATCGGTAGATTGGGGTGTGCATCTTGCCACTCGGTCACAACTCCCATAATGCAGTCTTCTAATGGATCGCTTGACTTCTCCGTCTCCAAAGCCTTTTGGGAGAGCATATCGGCGAGTTTCAAGATGGCCCTCCCACCGATTTTGGCATTTTCGTTGTCGTCTCGGATGTTGATATTGAAAACATGCACAATTTTATTGAGTTGGCCGCCACGGCTCATCAGATCTTCGCACACCGCATCGAAACATCTTTCTTCACAGGTAATCACGACGTCAAAAACTTTCATTCCTTCCTGCCATTTTTCAGGAGCGCGCTTCAATTTGCGGTTTCGATCCAGCATTTCGAGTAGACCATTCGACTTGTAGCGTTCTACTGACTGTGACCGTAGATCATTGTAGATATCGTTATAAGGTGTACCAAACGAGTATACATTGGGCTTATCTTCTGAAAGACCCGGAAGTCTCACTGCAGACCCCGTGCCATACGATGACACATCGTATCCTGCTTCTTTCAAAATACGGTGACTCTCCATCGACCGATTATTGTTCGATGCGCAAACTGTGCAGAATTTCAATTCTTTATTCGCCTCTGAAGTCATTCTAAAAATGATAATACAAGGGTCAACAAGGTTCCCGTGGAAATGGTTGGCCAAAAACAATAGACCGTGCAAGCGGGTTTGCTACTCAAAGCTACTTGGCAAGAACCAACTTTAATCAAATTCTAGATGACAAGATGTATAGGTACGTGGATGAATATCTCTTTAAATTTAATATCACACCAGACGGCTGTGTCGTTCGGTAGTGATTAAAGAAACTGGATGAAGTTCATGACAGCGACAGAATAACAACTTTGAAGCTGTGTACACCAATTTAATGCAGATTTAGCTCTGTTCTTAGTTTCTATGATCTATATCTTGATATTTGAAGCTAGTTGAAGAGTGAGAACGGACATCTTGCTGAATCAAGGCATAACGAAGAAAAAGAAAGATGCATGCGTTTTCTACTGACACCAAAGAGTAATCGGAATAAACGGTAGAAAGTGGCTTCAAAAGATATCGTCACTACTATTTCTGTTATGGTAAAAAGTTTGTATCTCGGATTATTGCCTCATGGTACGCATATTCCTTGAAGAGTGGTCGTAATTACTTAATGACAGAATACCGGTAAAAACCGATTACATTATGCGTCAGTTGAGGTATATTAAGCGAAGTTTGTTGTCAAAGTTGGCAATTCTTACGTTTCACCTGCAAACGTGTAGATATGGTCAGCATCTTAAAATAGTACTAAATGATAATTCGAAAAGAGCTCACCAGTGTTATAGATTGGAACCAATCTTGCATGAGCCTGATTGGGGTGCCAGCCTCTGAAAAGGCCGTAACTCTTGGTATCATCTCTTCACTAAGACCTGGGATAACTGACGGCGCTAATCTGCAAATCTGTTTTTTCTGCGGTGAACGGAAAAAGGTCGGAAATCCAGCTGGTTGACACCGAAAATCTAGTTGTGGAATCACACAGCGAAGTTTAAACGCATTTTATCGCATGCTGAGACTTGACCATCAAGTACTCCAGATACTTTCTCGTACGCATGCGTCTAAAATATTCTTACCAGATAGCACATTGAAGGAGCCTTCCATGTAATGTCAGATGACGGTGATAATTCTGTTACCACCGCTGCGTCAAGCCTGATCGTTGCTAGAGGAGTCAAAGACTTGAGTGCCGTTATGATAAAATGCTCAAACAAGCTGGCGTAAAGTTTTACACTGCCCAAAAATTAACCCAGATCAAGGTCTTCCCCCGTAAGATCCAAGGTTCAGTCTCGAACAAACAGACGAAGACGAATCTGAATATTCTCGGTCATTAATCTCTGAAAAAATAGCACGCATTTGAACTCGAGTAGCACCCGCTGCCACATCGGAACTTGTGGTAGGGACCTTAATTTTACGAAAAGCGAACTCCGGGATACCTTATCCCATGGTGGGCACACTTACCTATAAGCTCAAGCTGTACTGAACTCTTACACTTAATCCTGCACTGAAAGTCCTGTTAGACTAGCCTAGTAGCGTGTCTGGCATATTTTTCATGCCTAAAGATATCCTTAGCTCCCACCAGTTGACTTGAACGCTACACTGATAATGAAAAAGCACATGAGGGTTTACACAAGCCATTACATTACGAAAAGAAGTGGTAAACACACTGTATCTACTACTTTCGATTTTTCACAGAACAGACGCTGCAGCAGGCTTCTGAATTTCCGGTGGCATTACCAAAGGTACAGTTTCCTCTCCAACTAGCACACGTTCCACTTCTGTATCAGGAGTTGTGCCATCTTCGTCACCAACCACAAGTATATTCTGGTTTTTGCACTGGACGTCTTGAAAATCATCATCACGAGCGGTAGAATCAGCCGGCTGATCCAATGGCGCCACGACATCAACGTATTCCCCTCCTAGCGTCGAAGTTTGGGCACCCAATTGCTCATTCTCTTCTTCAGATTCACTGACAACGCCATCATCTTCGAAGAAATAGTTCTGAGGTCTTGAAGGAAGAACATGGATGATTTTGGACTGCGAAACACCGGCTTTCCAAGTATCCCAATCGGCGCGACCTTGCAGTAACACTCCAATCAACATGGAAGGATCAAGCTCTGAGAAATGAATCTTATTGAACCGCTGTGAATGCACTGAGTTGAATTTCTCCTGCGGTGAGTCAAGCGATGCCAGATCCAACTGTGAAGTGTGAGGGTCTAAGTAAAACAGATACTCGTCTTGGTAACCAAAAAAATATAGCGAAGAAGAAGGGCGACCGCCAGCGATGCCCACGGATTGTTTGGAAGCAAGAATTTGCCGTATATCATCCCAGTAACGAGCATTAACCTTGTCTAGGCCGAGCTTGACTCCCAAAAGCAGTAGAACCACCGCGTCGCAATTTTCAGTAAAGATAGGTTCCATATCCTCGTCGTAAACGTCAGCAGAATCAGTAGAAATGACGCATTTCGAAATTCCGCATTCGGGGAATCCAAGCACGAGACTTTGAATGCTACGTGAGGTGGCAGAGGGTCCGAACCACTCTCCCGGCGGCTTTCGGGATAGTTTGGCGCCCTCTTTGACAAATCTGTGTAGCGAAAAAGGTGCAGAATATCTGTCTTCAAACCAGCCGATCATTTTCGCCCCGTGGCTGTGTGCATTGTCTGGGTCTTTGCCGTCGTTTGCCTCGTCTCCCAAACGTTGCAATGCATTTCCCAAAAGGGCTTGCCCTGTTCGAATCATGCAGCCCCACCCAATATCACTACAGAAGCAGTCTGGATGGTTGATAGCACTTTCAATGGAGTTAAGTGGATTGTCCTTAAAAAGGGTTCCAAAATTCATAGGCGATGGACCTGCTGGATCCTTTGGAATCGGCTCGAATTTCGTCCTGTACGTAAAATGAAGCAGTTTCTGCACACAAGACAAAAACTGTGGGTTCCAACCTCTGTCTTTGGCAAAAATCTGGCCAAAAACCCCCGTAACCGGTGCATGTTCTTGTTGTGATCCCGATTTATCTACAGCAGCGAACGTTTTACCTAAAATAACAAGGTCATGCTGGGTGTCCGTATTGTCCAGCTCGAAAAGCTGCTGGGACACTCTTTGGAAGAACTCCATAGCTTCTGGAGTTGTCTGGAGCCCGTTGCAAGTTTCGGATGGATTTATACATCAGTGTAAGTAGAGATCATTAATACTAATTGTCACTTATAGTTACTGGGATGGTCAGATGACAGTAGTAGATCGAGAAAGGAAACAGGACCTCGGACATGTATAGCTTCAAAGGTATTTGAGGAAACAGTCGAGAATGTCAAGGAATTCAATCTACGATTATTGAATCTACTTTGTGGATTTGGGAGTTAGTAGTGAGGTCTTTTACAGCTTGGTAATCCTTTTGAAATATAGAGCTGTTTAGCTCCAAATCTCAGGGTTTAGAATCAGATGGACGATAAGCCTTCAACTGTCCTGGTGTAGCGTCAACTGACTCTTTCTTGGCTCTGTGAAGAAATCGACAGGGTATGGGGGTCGAGCCGGAAAAGGTATTGGTATACGACAAATGTTGAAGGTGGTGCTGGTTGCGCATTTCTCATCAACCCAGTAATTTCAACTTTTGAGACGTTTCCGAACATCTCAAGCTTTTTGGATTGGAAATGGTCGCATTGGACATCTACAGATGCGACGACAGTATACTCAAGTTTCCACCGATTGTAACTGATGACGGCTAAATTTAACTACGCACGAGGACACACGATTTTACAACACGCTTCATCTGGCAAACTTTAGCCCCCACAGGCTCGAATGACTCGCCATGATGCTACATACTGTGCTTGTGTCTACTTCTGCACGCATTCCGCAACACCTAACTTTTACCCCAGGGTAAAAATCACTACCACCGTCATTGACATTCGTAAGATATATTGACCGCGACAAATATTCTGCGTTTGCAGCACTCCCCGTTTAAATAGCACCATGTACGCAAGGACCTACCAATCACCATTGTGATCCATTCAAGTCGTTCGTTGGAATCCTCGGTCGGATTGGCATATTCCCTACAACGGACGAACTACCACACGTATCAGTGACAACCTTGCCACAAGAACAACACCTTAATAAACCTAGCTGTCAAAATTCTCCAACTCCGTGCTGAAAACTCTTATCGACGGTCTATTATGTCTTATCCATGGCAATTGAAACTTTTCTTGGCCTTGATTGAACAATATTTTTGCCCAGTGAGCGAACGGCATCGCTAATTTTATCAGGCTTATCTATCTTTCACCGTTGCCAGGAACGACTAATGGCTCGAAGAAACACGAAGATCAAGAAGTCCGATGGTGATACGAGTCGGTAGCTTGCGAGAGCTTTAAGTTCAGTTTGCTTAGATTATATCAGTCGAGCACCCTTGTTGCCCCGGCTTATAAAATTGTAGAAAGTATGATGTTCTCATCTTTAGCGTAAAGTAGCTTCATCAAAGAACGCAAGGGGAAGTGTAATTCGAAGATGTCTGCACTCGCCAGCTTCTTACAAAAGCTTGAGGTTAAAAATAGTGGGCTACCAGTATCGGCATTGCGTAACCCAGATCTGGAGCCTATTCCACACGCAAAGCGACAATGGGCATTTTGGTCCTTTTTCGCTTATTATGGACTGCCCAACGTCTCAGCAGCTACTTTCAGCATCGGATCAGCTCTGTTAAGTCTGGGTCTGAATATCAAGCAATCGATTGGAACGATCATCGTTGGTAACATCGTCATCACCTTGTACACAATCATGAACTCCAACCCGGGTTTCAAATACCACATTGGATACACACTGGAGCAGCGCATGTTGTTCGGTATTCGAGGATCTGTTATTGGTATTATCATCAGAGTGGGCCTTTCTGTGGTGCTTTACGGATACCTGTCATGGTTAGGAGCACTCTGTCTGAATCTGATCTTCAGCTCATGGTCCAAGTCTTATATGAACATGAAGAATACCTTTCCGGAGTCTGTGCCCATGACCACACGCGATTGCGTGGCATTTTTAATCTTCCAACTTATTCAAATGCCGTTCAGCTTTGTGAAACCACGCAAGATCAATACCATGGGCATTGTTTTTTGTTTCATGGCGATGTTTTCCGTCATTGGAATCTTGGCTTACACGGTTTCCACCAACGGTGGACCCGGACCTTTGTACTACAAAGGTCAAGATTTATCAGCGAACCAGCGCGCCTGGACATGGCTTTTGGCCATTACCGTGTGGTACAGTGGCATGTCTCCTGTGATTGCAAACCAATCGGACTACTCTAGATACGGATCCCACAATATTAAAATGCAGATTGGTGTCGCTCTCGGGGTTTTCATTACAGGGACGTTGGCCCCAGTAGCAGGTATGTTTAGCGCTTCGGCTACCGAGCAACTGTATGGAGAGCCTTTATGGTTGCCCACAGACATGGCACTCAAATGGCTTCAAGATGGATACACGGCAAAGGCTCGTTGCGCAGTGTTTTTTATCGGTTTGAGTTTTACTGGAACGCAGCTTGTTGTAAACATGACTCAAAACGGCTATGCGTGCGGAATGGATCTAGCTGGACTATTTCCCAAATACATCAATATCACTCGCGGTACGCTTTTTGTTCAACTCATCTCCTGGGTCGTTCAACCGTGGACTTTTTTCAATACTACTTCGGCATTTCTGGATAGTATGACTTCTTTTGGGATCTTTACCACGCCTATCATGGCTATCAATGTGATAGACTTCTATATTGTACGCAAAGGTCGTGTTTCAATAACCGACCTTTTCACGCAAGATCAGAACGGTGCTTTCTGGTTTTATCATGGTATAAATTTCCGCGCTTTAGCTGCGCTACTAGTGGGAATAGCACTTGGAATACCAGGCTTGGTTTTTTCTGTTCAAACGGACCTAAAACCAAATGCTGCAATGAATAATTTCTACAGCGGTTACACCTTCTTTACAGTGATAGTGTCCGGCGCTCTGTACTATATTTTGGTCTTACTGTTTCCAATCAAACAGCGTGTTGGGATATCGGATGAGAAGGACTATTTTAACGCTTTCAGTCCAGAAGAATGTCGGAATTTGGGTATGGAACTTTACTCCGAAAGTTTTGACACTGAGTACCTTGGCCTGGAGACCGGCGGGGCAAAAAGTCGTGTATATGGCATTGGAAGTCAAAATCACACACCTGTATCACAGCGCTCAAGCAAAAGTGAAGCCCCGGTAGTCGTTGTTGAGACTGCGGCTGAAAAGAGCTAATTGGGGTAATTAATTTTTATAATGGCTTCAAGAGCTCAGGATTTTGATTATGAATTAACTGGGTGGATAATTGGAAAACATGAATGCAATTGTAAGGTGTTCAGATATCACCATTATTTGGCGTAGGTGCTGCTGAAGTGATCGATCCCACAGGCATTGAATTGCTTACCAAAATGGAAAGCCTGCTCTATGTTGCATTTGGGAAGCACAGGTCTGATTGAGCGTCGCACATTATTGCTTATGAATGAGTGAATTCGAAGATCGAGCAACCGTTATAAAACATGAGAGACGCACTGTCTGTCGATGGAAAAAGACATAATAATTAGATTTCACGATGGATTGAATGCGAGGTTTAGCATTGATTGGGATCTTACATGCCGATGATACCAGACGTGGACTCGACAAACCTATGTTGCAGCATCAGGTCTTTGTATACCTACATTTCTTGTCATCTTTTGTTTTTTTTCGTCGCGCTGAGATCCCGGTCTTGAGCGCGTGAGATTTGGTGCTAACCATTTTGAAAACCGCTATAGACTCGAGACTGGCCAAAACATTTGGTCAAGTGTTCAGTCTTATATGTGCAGTTTTACAATCTGGAGGCCAAATTGACAGGTTATTTTACATTACGATGCCTTATATCTCAACTGATGTTAGTGCTGCGACCAAATGCTATAGGCTTAGCTAGTCAATACGGTTTGACTAAATACCTATACTGCATCCACTGAAATTAAAGCAGTAGATTGCTGACCTGACATGGTCATCGTACCTAAAAGTTATTAGAACTTAATGGTAACAAATCCAAATTTAAAACACTTTACTAGCCACGGAAACACTTCTACTTGAACTTGTCCATCTTTAGCACTCAATCGTATTCGTAAAATCTAATTTTGTGCATAGCAATCGTATAATCAGTTCCTTCTTCCAGGTTGACTACGTTTTGGCTGACATGGAACTAGAACTTAACTGTCTGAGACGAAAAAGCTCCGATGCACCTTAGAAAAAAACGCCTGAAGGGCTTTAAAGTCCTATTTAGTTCTAGAGCTAACTCTCTCAAGCCTTGTCTCAATCACTTTTCATATAGTGACGTTCTGTTCTGGCTAGTCTTGATGAAATAAACACCTTAATATTCTAATATGACATGAACCTTGCGATCTTCGCAACTTAATCTTTAACGTCAAATACAAGTTCTATAAGCTATAATGGCCAAGAGACATGGCCACTATCGTGCTAGAGGCACTGGAAGAAGCAAGACCAGTGGTAGTAACTACAAAAAGGCGAAAAACAACCGGAAGCAGAACCGTAGTGGTTCTAGCAGAGGTGGACATAATGCTAACTTCCTTCCTGTCGGAGGTGGAGACCTAAGTAACACGGATATGATGGACGACTACTATTTTGGACACAACCACGCTCAAAACTCCATGCATATGGGTGGTTTTAGGCCCGGAAAAGAAGGATTTGCACAGGAGGAGAAGGAGGCCCGGACTCTGCCATTGAGAAAAAGGCCTGTGGAATTCACCAAAGCTGAACAAGTTTACGATCCAGCTCATGATTTTATTCTGAATCTGAGGAAAAAGGAACAGGAAAGGCAGCAACTTGCATCAAACAACTCTTATGAAGACACAGAAACCGAAAGAGTAGCTGTGGATGCGGCCTCCGACGAACCTGTTGAGGAACCTGTGGAAGTGGACGTAGCATCTGATGATTCCAGTGTATCAGATAGTGAATCTGAAGAATTGAAAACAGAGTCTTTTACCGAGCCATCAAAGGATATTTCAGATGAAAGGCTCTTCTTCGTTGATGAGACGCCACTACCGCGGGCGAACGTTAAGACTGTCCATGTAGACGCACCGACGAAAAACGTCTCTGAAATAGGTGCCTCGGCAACAGAATTTGACCCTGTGCTCGTGGTGGGCAAAACTGAACTAAATTTGTTGCAGGACAAAGATGGATCAGCTTCCGTAAGCATGCCACAAGGTTACAAATCTCACCCTTTCAAGCCAAGTTCTCGAGATCAACTGGATAGGGACAGTTCGTGGGATGAGATCGGTGACTACGATGATTATGACGAATTGGATAGTATTGACTATGATGAATACGACGAAGCCTATGATAGTGACTCTGAAGGCGATGTTTCTTCTGAAAAAGAAGCTCCTAATGCAGACACGGTCGTGAGCGGCTCTTCGATACTTTCCTCCACGATCCAGAGCCTGTCTCTGAACGAAGATAAAGAGCCGGAAGTGAAATCGGGAGAAAATGAGCCAGAGTTTGGCTTCCTTGACGAGGATTTCGCATTGAACGTTTCTGAACTCGAAATCAGCAATATCCGTATCGGTTCGCAAGACAATTCTTACTACATGTCGAGCTATCGATATTTTGGCGACTATGATAAACGATGGGTAGACCAAGACGATTTAGAAGAGTTTGTGGCGGAGTTGGGGTTGCCTGATCATCGAATCAGAGCTTACCTACGCTATGTCATGGATGCTCTTGTGCCCAAAAACGACGATGACGATGCTCGCGAGACGCGGATTGCTAAAGAAGCAGCGCTTCTCGATGATAGTGATTCAGAGAATACTGATGAAGAGTCAGAGGTAGCCTATCCAATAAGCGAAGACGATGACGAAGACTTGGGTGAGGGTCTTGAGGACTTGGTTGCTTACAGTTTGAAGTACGAGGCAGTGCGGAATAAATTGTACGATACTAAAAGTCTCCAAACAAGTGGAAAAGGATCCAAGAAAAAACTACTGCTAAATGAGCAACTGGATATAGACTCAGACCTGAAAAGTCAACTCGAGGACAAATTTGCTACTCGGGTGAACGACAAACGAATAAAGAGGCAGACAAAAGAGGACTACGTATCCGCTTCCAATAGCGCATCTGATGACCTTTTTTTAAAATATCCATATGGATTCCATGTGGAGAACATCAAGGACGAGTTTGATATATTTTTAGCGAGCAACAGGCCCACCTTGTCTTTCCCGCCGTTTGATCCCCATGGAAACAAAACTGTGATAAGTTTTGCTGGTGCCTATTCCATGAAAACCAGGAAAATGGGCAAAAGTGGGAAGAGCCATGTTTTGGTAGAGAAAGTCAAAAAAACGAAGTGGTCTCTACCGAATTATAACTATGTGAGCCAGTTACTAAGAAGAAGGAGGGTTTTCATGCGAATCGATGTACGGAGGCCGCGCGAGGAACATCATTTTACGGAAAGAATTAACGTCGGGAAGGTCAAGTTCCAAACGAAAGAGGGCGAAATTGTTGGGGAAGATGCTCCTGAGATTGGTACAGACAACATAGGACGGCAAATGCTTGAGAAGTTGGGCTGGTCCCGTGGGCAAGGTCTAGGTGCTGATGGTAACCAGGGCATCAGTGAGCCAATTTTCGCGAAAGTAAAGAAGAGTAAATCAGGTTTGCGTCATGGATGAGATTCATCTAGGGTGTTTATGAACACGAGAAATCCAAGCTTCTGACGTAGAGCATCTAGTGTGAACTCATTTGACAAGAAAAGACATTGCTGCAAGGCACCAATATAATCCAATAGAGTCTCGATACAGACGCACCACGGTTGGAGGAATGAGACGAGACAATGGATGTTAGATCAGATATAGCACGCCCTGTAAGCTTTTGAAGTCAAGATTTACTCTTCACTGACGCTTTTTCGTCAGTATAAATATGTCTGTCTTTTAATGTGTCTACTGGCGATATTTCGATTATTTATGTAAACATCATCACGTCTGTCAATGCTGTACTTGAACAAGATACTAAGCTCAATACACAAAGGTTGGGTTCAAACGATAACCACTGCGACACACGTCTAGAAATGCTGGGACTGGGCAATAGTCATATATACTCAGTGGCTAATCAAAGTACGGTATCGAACATTTCAAGAGATGAGAAATACGACTATGAAGATGAGATTTCTGATGAAAACGATGAATCTGGCATTTCTCTAAGCAAAATAAGGGCCGAAACAGGATTTAGCTTGCGTTCATTCATCGACCAAATAAATGCCAAGACGAAAGCCTTGGCAATGGCGAGAGAATTGGATGCCCAAAGAGGTATTGTTCATCAAGATGCCACCGCCAGTGCCGGATCAATTGATTCAGCAACGAGTGCTTCAAGCGATCTTCCAAAAATCAATGAAAAGGGCACACATCGAACATCAATACGCAGAATTCCATCGGGCGCTAGAGCTTCCACTGCACAACCGGATTTGAGTGCTACGCCAATGAAAGATGTATCTCAAAACGGGAACGCTCATGCACAAACTATTAACGATCTTCTGGTGCAGTCGACGCCTATAAACACCAGCAAATCGGCTCCTTCAAGTAGAAACACTCAGCCGCGAGATCTGCTAAGAGAGAAGTTCATGGAAAATCACCGGCCGCAAGCAGATGTAGAAAAATCGGTATCAGAGTTTCCTCAAGACCATGGCCCCGAAACTGATCCAAAGCGGAGAGCTGGATTTGAACTCGATGGTGCTGATGTAAACAATACAGGGACCAAGTTTTCGACGTCTGATCTTAACGAAAAAGATGGTAGGATTGATGAACTCCAGGCCATTGTGAAGAATCGGGACCAGAGGGCTACAGAATTGCTTGATCGCATAAAAACTTTACAAGATCAACTCTCCACCCAGCAGATATCGGCTCAAATCGTTCAGGAGCAGATGGCTTCAGAAAAAGAGCAACTGAAAAGGAGCGGCGATCAGATCACTTCCAGGGACCAAGAGTTAGACGAGGTCAAGGGACATATGAGGCTTCTCACTGCGAACTATGAATCTCAGATCAATGAACGCGAACAGGAAGTCAAAGAGCTGCGATGTGAGCTCGAAAATTGCAAATCATCTACCCAGGGTCTGACTGAAAGGATATCAGCTCTGGAGAAAGATAAAAGTGAACTTTCAGGTGACCTACGCTTACGCACTGCCGAATGTACAGACCTTCAATCTGCAAGCAAGATTCAGCAAGAAAAGACTGAGACGGAAAGGCAACAATACAAGTCCAAACTACAAGATTCAGATAGTATGATTATGTCACTCCAGGCGAGCATAGAAATCCTTCGAAAAGAACTTGGAACGGTTAAGGAAGCTTTTTCGGCTAAGAACAAGTCTGCAGAAGATGAGATCGGGTATCTAAAAAGTCAAAATGGAGACCTTAGAAGTGACCTTGAGAAACTTACTGCTCAATTGACGGAACAGAAAGCTGTGCACAAGAGAGAAATCCTCGAGGCTGAGAATATAGCAAGTGTTGCGCGGCAAGCAACTGACAAAGCTAATCGTCGCCATGACATGTTAGAGAAGCAACACACGGAATTACAGGGGTTGAGGGATTCATTAGAGACAACTAACGATGAACTCAAGAAGGTCGTCAAGAGGCTCGAACAGCTTTCATCCGAGCAAGTCCAAACAATAGGCAAGCTTGAAGAAGAGGCAGAAAGAAAACTGAAAAAAGAATTCAATGCACTGTCAAACGCAAAGAAGCATTCCAAGCAGCTTGAAGACAAGGTAAGGCAGCTTCAGGATGTTTTACTGACCAAAAAGAATGAGCTGGAGTCTGCGAGAAAAGAAAATGCGATGTTTACGGCATATGTTGAGAAGGTAGTTCTTTTCGACATACCTATTGGTGAGTTGATTCGCGAGCAGTACGGTAAAGACATCTTCTGCGGTCAATTGGATGCCCAGTTGAAATCCAGACGTCCTGAGGTTCTAGGCTTTTTTACCGATGCTGAAAAGGAAGCTTCCTCGTCCACGTTGCTAAGTTTGCAGGCTGCAACTTCTGATGTTGAAAGATTACAGCGCAATATCAGCGACGAGTGGGTGACGAAAGTCAATCTATTAGAAAGTGATCTCGCAAACAAGGTAAAGGAATTGCCGCCGCTGCGTGAGGAAATCCGAGTCCTCGAGCACAAGTCTCAGGTTCAAGAAGCACGTATTTCTGAGCTTGAAACAGCCAAACAAGCACTTTTAAAAGACAAAGCAAAAGATTTGGAAGCGTGTCAAAATTTGGGAGATGAGGTCAGCGCCTTAAAATCAAAACTAGTCGAGAATCAAAGCAAAAACTTTGTGGAGCTTTGCAACAAAATTGACGATTTGAACAAAGATAAAAGTGGGTTGCAAGCCGAACTACGAGTCCTGAAAGCAAATTTTGAGGACAAAGATGTATCTGCCGCACAGGTTTCCAAGCTTTTGAGTCAGGAGCGTGAAAAACATGCTGTCTCGCAGGAAGAGCTCCAGCAACTGCATCATGAGCTCGAGAGGATTCGGGGCAACCCTGCTCGTGCCATAACGTTTCAAGTAGCCTCGCAGGCGCGGCCAGACTTGAATCGCAAGTTTTATGACTCTCTTATGGTTGACGCCGTGAATGAGATGGATCTCACGGATCTACAGAACGTGGTCAAGAATCTCATCCTGCTTTTAGAAATCCCGCTTCCCAAAATTACCAAAAAGATGCCTCTGGTGGCAATATACTTGCGCTACGAGAAGAGTGTATGTTTGCATTTTGCCAACAAGCTTCATCATTTGATGTTTGGAGAAACAATTGACATCAAACGATACACAAACATTGTGTATGGCCAATACATCGAGCATCACGACATTAGTCGATTGAACCATCCATTAGAGGCATGTTTGGATAACTTATACAAAGCGCTTAGTGTCAAGATCGTAGCGTCACAATAAACGGTAATACTAAAATCTTCAGTTCAGTTAATCAAGCTATACAGATGAAATGGTCTTGAGAAAGCGATGAGTTGAGATTCTCTTGGAATGAACAAGAGTTGTAAAGTGTGAATGGAGTCTTGATATAGAGATTCAGGTAGCTATGAAGACTTGTTATTATGAGCTTTTGGGAGTGGAATTTACGGCTTCTGATTCTGACCTGAGGAAAGCTTACCGTCGAAAAGCATTGCAATACCATCCTGATAAAAATCCCGAGGACATTGAGGCGGCTACAGCAGTGTTTGCAACGATACGAGCAGCATATGAAGTTCTTTCTGATGCCCAGGAAAGGGCATGGTACGATGCTCATAAAAACCAAATTTTGAGCGACGAAAAGGACGCTTTTGATGATGGATACGGTGATGGTAATGAATATGAGGTTGATGGCTCAATAACGGGAATTACCACCGACGATTTGCTCAAATTTTTTAATTCTGGGTTGTATTCTAGGATCGATGACTCTCCAGCAGGGTTGTATCAGATTGCAGGCAAAGTATTCGCTAAATTAGCCAGTGAAGAGGTCAAGTTTGGAAGAGTGCAAGGACTTGACAAATATGATAAATACGAGGATCAATGGTTTGAGACGGACATACTTGAATCAGGTTACAAGAAAGCGTTTGAAAAATATACTTCCAAAGCATCGATGCTTTTCCCGGCTTTTGGGGACTCTACTGCGTCATTCGAGCATCTGCGAACATTTTACCGTCATTGGTCCAGTTTTAGTACTGTCAAAACTTTCAGTTGGAAAGATGAGTATATGTATTCGCGCAACTACGACAGAAGGACGAAGCGGGAGATCGGGAAACGCAACGAAAAGCTGCGACAGCAAGCACGAAGTGAGTATAACAAGACAGTAAAAAGGTATGTGACTTTTATCAAGAAGTTCGACTCCCGAATGAGGGAAGGGTCAGCCAAATTCGAACAAGAGAAGCGCAGGAAGATGCGTGAGGATCTACAGCGGCAAATCGAAAAAGATAGAGAGGCTCGATCACAGATCGTTGGAGATCCGTTCAAGCTGCAGACTTGGCAGACGGTAGACGATTTCGACTGGAGCGAAATCGAAAAAAATTACGACAGAAACGATAACTTGACTGACGATGAAGAAAAATCGAAGACAAGCGTTGTTATTTTTGAATGTTTTGTGTGCGGCAAGACGTTTAAATCCGAAAAGCAGCTCGAGAACCACAATTCCACCAAAGTACATAAAAAAAACCTGCAGCAAATACAGAGAGAAATGCGTAAGGACAACATGACTTTGGGGCTGGATGCCGTTTCTGACGCCGAAGACTTCGATTCTGCTGCTGAAGACACGAGTGAAAACGCAGGGAAATTGGATCTTGACGAAATTGAAAGCGAGTTGCAACGCATTGAACGAGAGCTTGAGGGTATATGCGACGATGACGACGAGGACGATAGCTCCCTCGATGACATAAGTTCAGAAGCGTTATCTCAAACTTCAGAGCTTGGCCTAAATTCAGAGCAAGTCAAGGTCGACGTGGAAGTTGACCAAATTGATGTTTCTGATTCAGTAAGCGACTTGGAAGATGAGGAGCTATCCAAACTACTGGATTCTCTCACTTCAAACCGAGATAAAATTCACAGTGATAAAGCAGAGTCCAGCGATGAGTGGGACATATCTAAGAGAACCAAAAAAAATCACAAAGTGAGGACCACAGAAGCGCATAACAAACCATCTGTATCGGAGCCATCATCACAATTTGCATGTCAAAAATGTTCAGGAACTTATCAATCGAGAAATGCCCTGTTTGACCACATTAAACGGGAAAACCATGCGGCCGCTTTTCCCAAACAAAAACTCACGAAAAAGTCGAAAGACAAGGCAAAACAAAGGTAACGAAATAACGCTCTGATGATCAAAGTAACAACCAAATCACTAAATCTGGGTTGTTCGATGGGAACAATCAATGAGAGAGTCTTTCTTATAGTCCTGAGTGTTTGGTCACGTGCGTTGAGTGGGTCCTGTCCTAGTCAAATTATATATTACCTACCAGTTAGTTGTCCGTTGGAAAAGTTTTCTTGAACAATGCTCATCACAGCTGAGAAATAAGGAACACAGGTTCTCCAGTGAACTCTTGTAACAGCTTATTGTAGTCTTGTTGGATAATCCTGAAATTCGGTTTAATTTGGTGAAAAAACTAGGCAAAAATTCGACCTTTTTAGACCTTTTTCAATGCAAAACAACGCTAACGACAAACCATCGCTCTCTGGGAGTATAACTGGCAATGCAGCTGTCTCAAACCTTTCTAGTGCCCTTCGCCAAGTGAATTTGGGGAACAGCAACACCACGACGGATCAGAGTAACATAAATTTCGACATCCAGAGCCGAGTGAACCGGCAGCAACTCCTGAGTGAAATTCAAAGAAACTCATTAAACGCCCAGCAGGCAGAAGAGCTGCTCCGTGGGCGACTAAGGGAGCAGGAACAAGTTCAGCAGCAGCAGCAACTACAACATGAAGCTCAACAACAACAACAACAGCAGCAACAGCAGCAACAACGGCAATTGGAACAACAACAGCAACAGCATCAGCAGTTCTTGGGGCCAGCACAAATAGACAGCTCCAGAATTACGAAATTCTTCCTTAATCAACCTGAAGAGGGGTACACCCTTTTCTCCCATAGATCAGCACCTAATGGCTTCAAAGTTGCCATAACGCTGAGCGAACTGAATTTCTCCTACAACACTATTTTCTTAGACTTCAACCTAGGGGAGCACAGAGCCCCTGATTTCGTGGCTATAAATCCTAATGCTCGGGTCCCTGCTCTTATCGATCATGCTATGGACAACTTGGCAATCTGGGAGTCCGGGGCAATCATCCTTCATCTTGTCAATCGTTACTATCGCGAAACGGGTGACCCACTACTGTGGTCCGACAACATTGTCGATCAATCTCAGATCACATCCTGGCTGTTTTTCCAGACTTCTGGACATGCTCCCATGATCGGACAAGCTCTGCATTTTAGGTATTTCCATTCACAAAAGGTTCAAAGTGCCGTGGACCGCTACACTGATGAGGTAAGGAGGGTCTATGGTGTCGTTGAAATGGCTTTGGCGGAGCGAAGAGAAGCTCTGATCATGGAATTAGACACTGAAAATGCTGCGGCGTACTCTGCAGGAACCACGCCGCTATCGCGGAGCCGATTCTTCGATTATCCAGTATGGCTAGTGAGCGAGAAGATTTCTGTCGCCGATCTATCATTTGTCCCTTGGAATAATGTCGTTGATCGTATTGGTATAAATATCAAGCTCGAGTTCCCCGAAGTGTACAAATGGACTAAGCACATGATGAGAAGACCTGCTGTGATTAAAGCACTTCGCGGAGAGTAAGAACAAGGCATTAACGGAAGCATGGGTAACTACTGAATGAGAATCAAGACCGTCGAAGCGTCAAACAGTAGTCCGGTCCCTCGATAGATGAATTTTGAATAATCTGATTGATACAAAGTTTGTTCTTATTGACCTCATATAATACACTATAGGAACAGGTCTTTGTCTTGATGGCATCCCAGACGTATGTAACAAGATTTTTGCTACTCAAATTCTTACCAATGTAAAATGGATCACAAAGTATTGTTCCAAGAGTACAGACTTGGGTCGAGTTCCAACTGTTCATGGTCATCAGGTTTGCTTGGAATTTTGGATCTATATATTGTAATATACTTCCTAGTAGTTTAACAAATACTAGTTCACAGAATTTCGCAAATAGTAGAAAGGATTTGATATTCGTCTGGATTTGACTCGTTCCAAGATAATAGCAAGCTTGTCAATCTAGTGCTTTATTGGGACCTTCCGGTATGAATTCCCAAAATTCGAGAGTCAAAAGTTTAAGCGAACTGTGCGAGCTCACGCTAATGAGAAATCATCTCGTACTGCGAAGCGTCAGCAATGTACCCTACAGACTGATCCGAAATGTTCTCATGAAACTTAAAGTGGAACAGCTTTGCAAACTAGAAGAGACTAATGTTTTGCTCATCTTTGAAGATGATGAAATTTGGCGTAACTTACTGGCAAAAGACTACCCGTTACATGCAGGTGAATCCTTTCTTCGAAAACGGGATGAGATAATGAACTACTTTGTGACGTTTATCGAGCAGCATGACCCCAACCTTCTGGATGATGCAGAAGTCATGAAAGGTTTCCTGCGATTTGCAATCAAGAAGGATCCAGAAATTCAGAAATACCGGGTTCCTTCCCGAATGCTTTACTTCAAGTACCAAGCGGACACAGTGCGGAAGCAGGAGCTCAGCACACAAAGGCTGCGATTTCAGATGCAGCAACTACAACAAGAGAAAGCGAAAAATCAAATTGCACCATTGGAGGATCCATTGTACTGCGAAAAACGCACCAAGTCGGGCATGAAGAACAGTAATAGGTCAGACCTGTTTGTGAAATCATACAAAGAGCATCAAAGGCGACAGCAGCATTTCAAAAATGGCGGGTTCGACAGTGCAAAGCGTCCAGTAAACCGAGTTGCTTTTGGCGGTCAGGTTGGCACGCCCGTAAGTCGAAACTCAGAGGTTAGTGGAGACGTTTCTCATACAAATGTTAACAAGGCCAATGTGGCAAGCTCACAAATATCAAGAAATTCTTCACAGCATGGAAGCCCGAAACAGCTCTCAAGCCCGCCGCGCGTGAGAAGACTACAGGAAGGGCCTAATCCATTCTTGAAACGGAGAAAACCAGTTTTTCGACGTCAAAACTCGACTACACCAGAAGTTTCTAATCGTCCAATCCAGCATTCTACAGAACCTGTTGTGGTGAAGGTTGGGTGCAAGATCACCAACAAGTCTAAAAAATCCAGCATTTTCACGGTCCCGTCGCCACAGGAGCAAATTGCCAGACAGCATGGAAATCAACAAAACGCTTATATATTCGAGAATAACACACATCGTTGATGTCGTTGATGAAGAAGGGGCGTTTATGAGTTTCCGCTTGCAAGATGCACCGTACTACTACAAATTGGGAGAACGGAAGGGGAGGGAAGTGATTTTTGGGTACAAGAATAAGAACAAGAGCCAGGATGGTTGTGGATTCCAGTAATCGCTGTCTGATACCTAGACGACTCAATAAGCTGGCACCTGGTAAGAGAAACGAACTCTTTTCTTGGCCTTTGTGTGCTTGCCCGCCCCCGCAACGCCGCATAAATGAGAAAGTGATAAATGCTGACGTAATCAAAAGTTTCGCTGTTTTGCTGGGTTATAGGCCTAAAGCGTGGGCGTCACTGTCGTCAAGAGGAGGAACAACGAGTCCAGCTACTTCGACAACTATCCTTTCACCATCGCCAACCCCATTTTTTTGCAACAACAACCAAAAAAAAAAAAGCCAAACGAAAATCCCATGAATTTTTGCAAACCCAGGGAGACTATTCTTGTTTTTCTCGAGGAAGAAAAACCGGAGGAAGGAAGACGGCAATTTCAGCATCCCTCGGGGAATCTAAGCATGGACTCTGTGCATGGACCCCACCCACAGTCCGGAATATTTTTCTTACGGAATTTGGCCAGTCTTTTTCTCACCTTTCATTACATCCTCTTTCCTGTATTCACACTTGCATTCAGAGGCCCAGCTACTAACAGCAACAATCATTAAACCAACTGCTAATATTCCAGCCATTATCTTTCTCATGGTACTCTCTCATTGCTAACAAACGGACCCTGACGCACCCCTACAGTACAACGAACGACAAATCATCACCTTATCTTCAACTGCATTTAGTATATATCCCATGAATACTTGGTAGTATTAGCCTACCCGTTTCCACAAACCACAGCCTGGTTTACTATCCGTTCATTTAAAGCGGATATTTGTTCAGGTACTTAGACGAGTTGATTTAAGAATTCCGGGTACATAGCCAGGTACTTACTATAACTCAGCCGGGTACATTTCGGATACTTATTAAAAAATAATCGGGTACTTTCAGGTACGCGTTCAAACTTTTTCGGATACTAATTCGGATACTACTTCAGGTTATTTGATAATACCCTTCACTATTTGATCGATACCTTCGCTGTCGCCCTAGAAAGTTACGCGATCTGCACGCCACGCCTTCCAATACTATTAGTTTTTCGCATCCATTATTCAATTAGGTAAAGAAGGCTTGAAAAATTAAACTGTCAAAGCCTCTGCTACTATTCTTAATAAGACTGTTCGTTCTGAAATCAAGCTTGATTGTGGCCATTGAACACTCCTGGAAGTTCAGTACAGTAGGTGGAAACTGAGGAACTTTTAGGCCTTTTGGAACCAATTTTTTTGGTATTTTTTTGAGCTCAAAAAAGCTGAAAACAAGTGTCCTGTTTGAAGACTGGTTGGCACTCAAGAATTAGAAGTCTAGACTAGATTTTTGACCGAAGATGAAGTTGAGCACGGCCGTTTTGGCTCTCGGAGCCATGTGGCAAGTTTCGGCTCAATCGTGGACCTCAAATGCCACCACTGATGATGATCTGGACATTCCGCTGTATGAATCATCAGCAGCCTTGAAGAAAAGGTACGTCAAATTTGATTTCAACAAGCTCAGGGGCGATTCTGCTGATACAGCAGTTGCAGGAGCCCCGGGAAGTGCGAAACTGACCAAGAGGAGCGACGGAACCGCTTTGGTGTACTTAAAAAACGAGCAGACCTTCTACTCTGTGAACATCGGTGTGGGTACACCCGAGCAAAACCAGACTCTGCTTATCGATACCGGATCTTCGGATCTGTGGCTAATGGGATCCAATAATCCCTACTGTGCCAAGTCGTCGTCGAAGAAAAATGTGGATGTCGAGGAAAAGGACTTACGTAGCTGGATTTCGTCCATTACAGCACAACTCTCCACCGTCACTCAAGTGACCGGAACTCAACCGGGTCCAACATCCGTTTCTGCAGGAGACGCTACGTTGTCGTGCTCCCAATATGGTACTTTCGCCACCGACTCGTCCTCGAGTTTCAAGTCCAACAACTCCGAATTTTACATTTCTTACGGTGATGGAACCTACGCATTGGGTACATGGGGCTCTGACAAAGTCACCTTGCAAGACGTGCAAATCCCTAGTGTCAATTTTGCTGTCGCTAACGAAAGTACATCTGAATTTGGTGTCATGGGTATTGGTATGGAAGATTTGGAGTCTACGAACACTCTTTCTAAGGACCGCCGCACGTATATCAACTTCCCTTCTGCGCTTGTGTTGCAAGGCGACATTCAAAGCAGAGCTTTTTCTTTGTACCTGAACAAACTAGAAGAAACACAGGGAACCATTTTGTTTGGTGGCGTCGACCACAGCAAGTACACTGGATCTCTTTACACAGTCCCCATCATCAATACCTACAAAAATCTAGGTTATGCTAATCCTATTAGATTCGAAATCACTTTACAGGGGTTGGGGATAGATGCCAACAATACTCAAAAGACGTACACCACAACCAAGATTCCAGTTGTCTTGGATTCGGGCTCTACTATTAGTTATTTGCCAGCTTCGCTAGTAAGCGCGGTAGCCTCGAGTCTGAAGGCCCAATACGATTCATCGAGTGAGCTGTACTTGTTTGATTGCTCTGAGGTTAGCGACGACGACTCTTTTGTTTTCGATTTCGGCGGATTTCAAATAAGGAGCAGTCTGGCGAACTATGTGATACAGACCAGTGACTCTTCCCAGTGCGCTTTGGGAATGATCCCACAGACTTCAGGTAGTTACATTCTTGGTGACAACTTCCTTACTGCTGCGTATGTCGTTTACGATATCGACAACATGCAAATTTCCATGGCCCAAGCCAACTACAATGGCGGTTCTGAAGACGTGGAAGTGATCTCGAGTTCGGTGCCTGGCGCTACAAATGCTCCAATGTACTCGTCTACTTTCTCTTCTGCTGTGTCTATTTCAACAGGTGGTAATATCTTTACCCTGTCGTCCGACGGAGCCGTCGCAACTGGTGGCAGTTCCAATAGCTCATCTAGCAGCAACACTCGTTCTGGTTCCAACTCCCGTACCAGTTCGGGTGCTAGTTCCACTGGCGGCTCGTCCAGTACTGGCAAAAAGAATGCAGCAGTGGGCGTCACTGTGCCTAATCATGGAATAATCAGCTTTTTAGTCACCTTGAGCATTGGCCTTGTCGCTGGGCTGTTGTGATTTTCTTAACGAACAAAAAAAAAAAAAGGAGTACAGAAGCTAGCATGAAAATTTCCTCACCTACGCATCAAACATGCAAGCCTCACGCTTGTAAATCAACGTTAGTCGCTATTAGTTGAAATATCGAGCTTTTAAATAAACTACTGAACCAAACTCGGAGAGTACAATTCTAGCATGAACTACTTGAGAAAGAAGAGAGAAAAAACAAGATAAAAACGTGAAACCTAACGACTGCCCTACCAACGAGTCACAAACAGCGTTTTAAAGTCATGTTTGTCTGCAAGGATCAATTCACCGGGTAGAGCTCATCACCGAATGTATTTATATCACTTTGTCGTATTATGTCACCGCTAAGTCCCGCGTCCTCTACCCGATCCTCTACTCGCGAACCAATAAATTCACCTACACGTCGTCAATAATCGTGAAAGATTTTACGATAAAGCCTCGTCCATTAGACAATTAGCCAGATATACACACACACAGTACACAGACAGGTCTGGTCTTGAGCCTAATCAGGGTCTTCTACCCTCGAGGTTTCCATCGAACTTCCCTGCGTCCACGAAAAATTAAAACACAGCAACAACGCAGCCTTTTTGTTAAATGCTCTTGATCTTTCTCCGCCTCGCGTTTTCTTATCGGACAACTCGTTTCTTACCAGTAATCATCGTTGTTACTCTTCGCGACGACTAAACAAAATCAAGCCAAATTTCAAGCTGAACGTATAGATCTTTATTCTGCAGACGGCTTTAACGGGCCCTATTGTTCTGTACTCGAGCGTCGGAGGCCATTACTCATCGTCGTAGCTTCTAAAAATGTAAGAAAGCCGTGCCGTGCTGGCAAGTATTTCGTGGATGCATTTAACTCTAAACGGATAGGTGATTGAGGGTGTTGTGAAGATTTCGGGCGATGTTCGTCCGTGGAATTAAGCCCGAGTGACTATATCGCTCCGGAAGGAAACGCACTAAAAATTGACGGACGGCACCTGTTGATTCGTACAGTGGCTGTAGTCGAAGTTTTTATACTAAATGTAAATAGCTTCAAGGTAAACTGTAGGTGACATCGACGAAGTTGATTAGACACAACAACGCTTTAATTCGTTCAAGATTGTTCAAGATTGTTCAAGATTGTTCAAGCTTATTACGAATCGTCAGTAGGACTGCTTGCATTACAGCCAGGAATCAAGAAATTAGACGGTGACTGTTGATTTGATCTATAAGAGAGTTAGTATAAGAAATGTTTAGACGTAAGAAAGACAAGCCGGAGGAAACAGCAGTGGACAAGTCGAAATTAATACCGATCGAAACACCCATAGCAGAATTGGCGGATTCCATCCATCCTCCTAAACCAGTGGAATTGTCATCGGAACAGCAAGCCAAGTACATACAGGTGCTTAAACACTTCCAGGATCCAGAGCTGAAGGTTCCAACAACAGAAAAGGCTAACGGCCCAGAGACGTCTTTGGAGCCTATAAAAGTGCTGGAAAGGGCATGGCTCACCAGAGACTGTCTTTTGCGGTACCTACGGGCTACTAAATGGAATGTCACAGACAGTATTTCCCGTATCACGCAATCGCTAGCCTGGAGACGTCAATTTGGCATCGACGATTTCGGTGAAGAAAACGGCGACAAGCTAACAGCAGCAACCGTGGAGGAAGAAGAAAGGACAGGAAAACAAGTTGTGTTGGGGTTTGAAAACGACGCCCGGCCAATTCTGTATTTGAAAGCCGGACGCCAAAACACCAAGACTTCGCATCGCCAAGTCCAGCACCTGGTTTTCATGCTCGAGAGAGTCATCGATTTCATGCCCGCTGGTCAGGACTCCTTGGCATTGTTGATCGACTTCAAAGACCACCAAGATGTGCCCAAAGTTGCCGGTAACAGTAAAATACCACCCATCGGAGTGGGCAAAGAAGTGCTGCATATTCTACAAACTCACTATCCCGAAAGATTAGGCAAGGCACTTCTTACAAATATTCCATGGCTGGCTTGGACTTTCCTAAAGATGATCCATCCTTTCATCGATCCAATGACCCGTGAGAAATTGGTCTTTGATGAACCTTTCCCAAAATACGTTCCTGAAGATCAGCTCGATAAGCTCTACGGCGGTCTTCTGGACTTTACGTACAACCACGACGTGTACTGGCCCAGACTACTGGAGATCTCTGCAGAAAAGCGCTCTCATTACCTGTCACGCTTCGAAAAGTTCGGAAGTAAGGTCGGGCTGAGCGAATATGACCTTAGAGGAGACCACTCGGAGATCCTTCATCCTGTCGAGTCCTCCAGCACATAGTTGGGTTGCAAGAATAAAAACAAACACGTTGAAAATGGCTTCCGACCTTTCAATGCTTACTGTATTTAGATAGACTCTTCTTATAGGACGAAATGTCAATGATAATATTAAAATGCTTATGCTACTCACGTCTCTCTTTCCCTGTTTCTCTGCCGTTTTTGCTCAAAAAGGCTTTGCGCATTTGCGCGACTCCATAAATCCCGTGTTGGGTGCGACCATCGTTTGCCAGTCAATAGCATACATCAGCCCTCCAGCACCGTTAAAGGCCCTTGCAAACACCACACCTAAGTCGTTTCTCGCTGTGGACAAATGGTAATTAGAGCCGTCACCTAGCGAGATGACCTGTGCTCTTACTATATCACCCGGTCTAAAACTTTCCATGATCTTCACTCTGTCCCTATCAGTAGCTCTTACATCACGGGCGCTGATGATTCCTTTAAAAGTTTCTCCCAGATCTGCTGCTGCTTGGGAAACCGATAGGGTAGCGGCGGCAGACCCTCCACCTGGAGCAGTCACGCCAGCACCATTGCTTCCAACGCCAGAGTCCACAGGGATAGTTTTATTCTCTAGCGCTAGGATCTCAACATTAGCCCTTTGCGAAGAAATGCGTGTGATTCTTGCCAAAACAATGCTGCCCTCGCGAGGCAGATTGTTTGCAAAGTCCTCAGTAACGTGCTTCCCAGCGAGATTACTATCAGCAACAGTTACAATAAATACCTTTTCGGGATTGTCCTCGCCTTTGTCTTCCTCTTCCTGTTCTTCTTTTCCTTGTTCTAGTTCAGCTTTAGAGGCTCCAATATCCTTTTCGTCTTTTGATTGGTCTTCATCCGTCGGTACTGTCTGTAAAACCTGCTCCAAGAATCTCACTTCACCGAGCACGGTTGCTGTGAGGGCTCTCATCTTCTGTCCGTTAACTTCATATTCCTCATCGGTAACACCATTGCCAGGAACATATCGTATGATTTCTTGAAATGTTTCGGTCTTTTCACCTAACTCAAAGGTCGGGCAGAGCAACTGCCCGGGATATGCTACAGGATAATTCTTAGCGTGAAAAGCCATCGCAATGTTGAATGAGAGCTTTCCCAGAAGTTGTTGGTTGGATCATCTTGAATTGCATCTTCGAATATTTCCGAGAAGGTATTAAATTTTTTAGCAATGTCTTCTTACGAAGACCCAAGGCCTGAGGACAAACTCATCATACCATGACACTGCAGTTGAGCACGCTGGTGCCAAGTGAATGAACCCTTGAGCTCAACACTCTAAACCTTTTCATTAATTCCTGTAACTTCCAATTCTATCAGTAAAAGTGTGTATAGCATTTTGATTCCTCGTGAACCTCCATCTCCGATTTGAGACTGTTCAGTTCATCCTTGATCATCTGCGCTAGTTGTGGGGTAAGCTGGTTGCAGGTCGCGATGTCCGGATGCCTGTCGTATTCGGATTCGGTGTAGGTGGCATAGAGAATAATATGAGATGAAAATGCAACGGTTTTCGTGGACGTGGACGCCGCGAAAGAGTCCGTCATTGTGTAAGCACTTCCAGAGGGCTGCATCAGAGTTTTCGGGGGCAGGTTGTTGAGTTGATTAGCATGCAGTCCTTTGAAGGATAACGATAAAGGTCTGCCACCCTGCGTGAGGGGGCTTTGCCATGGCGATGCGATTTCTTCTTCGGTTATATCTTCATCCAGCTGGTTGAAGTTTTCATCTTCAAAATCCTCCTCATCATTGTCTGCTGTCCCGATCCCTGATGCCAGATATTCGGATACAGAACGATCACTGTCTTTACTGCGTTGACTCAAGGCGGCCAATGAAGGCCCGAGTTTGACATCGTTGGCGTTCGAATCCTGTTCTTTGGAAGGTAATCCAAGATTGAGAGAGTCCGACTGGGGAATGTTGCTCTCGTTCAAAGAATGCTTTGATTTTTGCGTCGGATTTAAAGAGCGGTACGCATTATCATTAGAGTTGAACTCCAAATTCAAATCTAAATCTTTTCCAAAATCGATAATATTGGCAAACTCCATGATGTCTGACATGAACTCGTGTTCGTAGCTGTCTGCCCCCGATACATTAGTTTTTTTCTTTATGCCAGCGTAAATGTCCTCACTGTCGCTATCTACCGTCAGATCGTTCAGCTTCTGCTCGATTGAAGTAAAGGAAAAATCTCTATCCTCAGGATTGAGTGAACTGCTCTGAGGTGCGGAATCTTTCTGACTTCGACTAGTACTTTTTTGAGGAGAGAACTCCAGGCTATCAAAAGTTCCGTTCCTGAGTATACTATTCGTAGGTGATTTGGTTAAATCTGGCGTGGAAAGTTTAACACCTGATGGTTCAGTGATATACATTCCTCCATTTTGTACTTTAGCTGAAATATGATCAGTAAAGGATCTGCGGTGCGAATTGATTGAATTTCTCTTGTTCGACTTGACCGAGCGAGACCTTTCCAATGACACAATGGATTCGACCTCTTGGGCACTGAGGGATTTGGGGAATAAAACTTCTCCAAAATCTACTTTTCCAGAATCGATTCCACCTGTCTCTGGTATTTGTGGAGCAGGACTTAATGATATGTTTTTCGCGAGGGTAATTGGAGTCTCTTTAGATGATAGGCCAGGTGAGCTATGTTGAGGAGCCTCGCCTTCATCTAACAATTTATTCTCTTTCTTTTCAGCAGGAGCCTGAACGATTGCATTGTCTTCGAGGTGAGGCATAGTTTGAGCACGGTGTTCAAAGTCCAGCGGGGTCGGCTTGCGGCTTCGGATATCGCGTTTTATTGGGACGTCATCGTGAATGGAAATTGAGGATTTTTGTTCGTTGCGTTGCTTTGGCAATGCTGAATTACCAGCCAGCCTTTCTCTGCTACCATTTTTGTTCTTCCTGAAGGCGCTAAAAATACTACCGTTGCTGTGCGATTTTTTCGTCAGACGAGTTGATGCTGGAAGACCGTCATCTTCCTCAGTCTTCGGAATGGAAAATGTTGACGAAGTCGGCAGTGAGACCCCTGGATCAGGGTTCTTGACAATGAAAGACGCAGATTTTTGAGGTTTTCTTTTCAAAAACGAAAAGATGTTTTTACGCTTCTTAGCCTCACCAAATTCCTTTCCCGAGGGCTCGATGGAACCACGAGAGCTTGAGGACACGCCTGAAAATGACCTTATCGAAGAAGCCTGCTTCTTTGTAATCGGACGTGGCGTTTTTGAGCTTCTTGTAGACTCTGTGTGTACAGAAAGGACGCCTGAAGTTTCGGGATTCATTTTGGTATCAGTTTTCGCTGCCTGGGGCAGTGAATCTTGTCTTGTTTCAGCCGAATTTGTGAATTCCAAACCCGCAGGTTCAACTCGAGGAGTTGGGGGGTCCAGCTTCGGGGTCATCAGAAAATCGGGCTGCTCCTGCACTGCATCTTGTTTATATTCTTGCTTGAATCTCGCAAAATTGCCTTCATTTGATCCGTCAAAGTCGATTAGATTTGGTGATTCTTTGACCAACGCCTCGGAATCACTCTTGAGAGACGGACTTTCTTCTCGTATCGATTGCTCTAATAGCGTACTATTTCTCATGCGGTTTTCCACTCTACGAGTTTTGTCGGTCAAAATACCTGAAAGTGCACTCAAGGAAGGCGAAGCTGTCACTTTTAGAGTTTTTGTCTCTGTCTCTTCCACGTCTGAAAGGGCACTAGAATGGTCGTTGGCTTCATGAAAATCTTCAAATTCGTGCATATTCTCTGCATTTGGAAGTCTCAACCCAGAATCGTAACTGGTGTCTCTCGACATCTCCGGTAGTATTACAGAGTTTCGAAAGTTGCGTGCATGATCAGAATTGTCAATGGAGTTTGACGAATAAAACGAATCGTTGAAGTAGCTGTCACTGTCATGGCCTGACTTAACCTGGTAGCTGGACATAATACCTTGACGCGTATCCCTCCTTTTTCAGCCAGGTTTTTTGTATATCACTAGGTCGTTATTCTGCGAACTATATGTGGCTGAAAAATTACTCTTTTCCACTATGTTTTTTGACCAATGAAGACTAGCTTGCGTTGGCCACAAAAACCGCTGACGCAAAGTATGTGAATTAGAATTCGGTAGCGAATGCTTCGGCTTGAAGTGGTGTGCATCTTCTATCGCCTTTACGCGCTCTTCACAATTTTCGTGATCTTGAATATATAATTTTCGTTCGAAATGACAACATCAACTACGTCAGTAAAAGTAGACCTGAGAATTTCCCATCTATATGCCAGCGAAAGGTGCCATGAAAGGTTCCATGAAAGCATTGGCCAGTTCGATCAAGCTCGGAGCTATCTACTTCAATTCCATGTTAGTAGACATGGCATTTGCAATTTCTTCCGGAAAAATTGGAGCATTTTTTGTCTTTTGAGTGTAGCTTTCTATACCCGATGTAAGTCACATAATCACACATTCTTTATCAGAGGCACGTCCCTTAGTATTGGTGTATAGTGATCTGGCTGGAATAGTTTCCGGGTTTTTAACAGCGGTAATCCTTTTTATGGTTCTAGCTCTAGGAACATGTGTCGAAGCTGTTGTATTTGTATCAATGCTCGGTTTTTGAGTGCTGGGTGTCGTTGCAGGTGTCGTTGCAGGTGGCCAGAGAGGAGCCTTGGTGGTGGGCAAGCCCTTGACCAGATCTGGAACGGGGAAAACTATCTCGTTATTAAGTGCGTCGATTTTCAGCACTGGGTCGATACCAAACTGTAATATGCTATTAGCCAGAAAACTGTAAAGTCTGGACCAAGTTTCTTCAAGCTCAAGTGTGCTGTGGTGTCCAAATCGCTCCTTGATGGTTTTGAGGAAAGCCATACCCATGAGCTCGAAGTGGAAAGGCTCAATGGCCAGAATTCGTGAATGGCGTTTCCCCAAGCTGCTTAGATACGCCTCAAGCGTTGACAGATCGTCAAGGTTGTTGACGGCCATTGTCAAGACACCTGCAAATGCAACAGCCTGGTGACGAATCGATGGAAACATTTGCTCGATGGATGGCTCCATGTACATCAGATTGCCGTAAAACTGACTGCAGAAAATGGAGCTTGCAAATGCGGCGCTGCCAACAGTCTCTGTGGCGAACGGAGTGCTGCTCTTAGGGCCGAGAGGTGGTACAGATGCATGTTTGAACGATAGATTCGATGTAGCACCCGCTCCTGAGGCATTGGTGGACGCAGAACTCACACTGCCGCGAGGAGTGTGGCCCTTCAAGCTATGACCACTGCCGAACACGTGCGGTGGCATCCGGCTCGAATTGGTAGAGGTGCTTTGGCGGTGAGCACGGAAACTATTGGTAGAAGCATTACCAGCACCGCTCCAGCTCTGGGGCGCTAAGTTGTGCAACAATCGACGGATGGTAGAACGGAACTTATCGTTAGGCACATCGTCATTGAGCATCACAGTCCACGAGCTGCGCAGAAGACTAACTTCGCGAGAGGTAAGTTTCAGCACAATTTTGTAGCGAGCGCCATGGCTCATGTCAGTGCCACGGGAAGATCCACTCGACACGCTTGAGAGCCGCTCGAAGTTCTCCAAGCTGTTCAGCGATCTTGTGGGCCGGCTGATCCCATCACTGAAAATGCTTTGTGACGTCTCTGAAGTGACCAGCGAGTCCCGATACGAAGCATAGTGCTCACCGCTTGTTCTTGAGTGGCCAGGAATGCCCAATTCGCACTCTGGGATCGATTCTTGCTCGGTTGCAATGAAATCGATCTGCGATCTATCTAGAGTGTTGAAAAATGGTTTGCTGCTCATCTACGAATAGTGTACTTGATAAATACCTTATAGAAGTGCCCGACATTGACTAATGGGTCTCAAACATACCTATGCTCTTGTATTTTATTTCAACGCTATTTGATCTGCCCGGGGAAAGCCCTCATCTTTGAAATTTCGGATCTGATCTATCTGCAGGCCCACCATGCATGCTTTTGCTCGATTTGGTTATATCACTCGAGGTACGCCAACGGCTTTGGGAATTTTTCACATTGCAAAAAAAGTAAATCGGCAAGCCAGTTCCTGTGGGAAGAGAATGCAATGTGGCTGCAGCTACGGGGAATGCCATTATAGTGGCGCACAAGTAGCTTTTGCAAGGGACGCCAGGTCAAATGCATGATTCGCATTTAGCCAGATGTCTGTGGCTATTGTTCGGGGTGTAGAGCATTTGCACGCCCTGCGAGGATCGAGAAGACGTGCAGGATACGCTAGAACCTTGGCAGTAAGCGGGATTCACATGAAAAGAGCTTGTAGAACATAACTTGTTTTTTCCGACAATACGAGCCTCGTATCGCTGGTTTTAAGATCCTTTTACACAGAAGAAGTTTTACACGTAGCGTAAATCAAGAGTGATCGGGCCACCACCGCGGAGAAGACTGGCACAACACAAGAGCATTCTTAAAGCCGTGCGGTTCTTGATTTATATATTATTGTAGTCACATCGAAGAGCTTCTAAAAGTTACGTTTCAAAGCGATATTAATTAAATTTTCCACTAGACATGTAAGAAGAATTTTGGAAACCGTGAGTGTAACTTGAGAGGCAGTGAATAGCCAAGTTTAAATCTCATTTCGTCTCGTCTCGCTGTAGCTGTATATACCTAAACATTCAGGCCGCACAACTCGTCTTTTTCTGTAATCCTTTTGGAGCGGAGTGAGGTCTTAACGATGATGTGGCCTCTTCAACCAGATATCAAGTAAACTCGCCGCCCGTCATTCATTCACCTTGAAACTTTTGTTTCAGGCGGAAGCGACACATAAATACCGAGTGACGGCGAAGTAAATTGGTCTGTAGCCTTTACAAGGTCTAGAATGTGAAACGGATAACCGATGGTTGATGTCATCACCTCTCATGCAAGACAATGCAGAGGCAATCGGGGTCCGCTAAAAGTAAAGTTTCAAGCATCATACAGGGGTTAGTGATTGTCGCGGCTGGCAGCAAGAAATCACGTATACCACAGGATTTGCGTATTAGCTACTCTATAGTTGACAACCATCAAGATCGTGATAAGTTCTGTCGAATTAGTATGTGAGAAAGGAAAAAAAAAAATATGCTGTGCATTCTCCAGGATATGTCTGGTGGTAGTAGCACTGATGACACACACCTCTCGACAATAAAATGCGCAGCGCTTGAAAATCGGGGGCCATTTTTTGTCCAAACGATCACTTTCGACTGTGTCGAAGTGTCGCATTTTTCAACATTGGAACGGCATTTTTGCGAGAGTCCCGACGTGCGCATTGTGCTGTACAAACACAGCCCTGTAAATTCCCTTCTAGCTGAACGCTCGATCTGCCTGGGTGTTTCACAACGTTGAGAGGCCCCTAATTCATCACTTGGCTTCAAGCGAAAAAATTACTTTCCTACAAGGGCGCTCCGTCTGCTAATTAATCCAAAAGACTTATTTTGGCAGTAGTGTTCTGACGTATCAACATGCGTTGGAATACTTGGGAATCATCAAAGATCGACTGTCAAAATGTAGATTCAAATATGTCGTTTCTCTTGGTAAGCTTAGAGTAAACAACAATTGCGGATCCCCTCACCCCTATAGGACAATGATGGAGTCCCATCTCCATCTTAAAATACTGGTTCTTCTGCTTCCTCCTGTCGCTGTCGTCGATCACGTGACTACCGCGCAAACTGACCATAATATCACAAAACATCCAGTAAACTTCACAAATCTTATCTATACAGAGCTTTCTACAGTTTACTGAGCTCACCGGTCTATCTGGAATCATTATACCTCTGCTCAAAGTTCAGTTGGAACCTTTTGTTTCTGTTTGTACTCATGAGTACCTTCAATGGTTGAAGGTAGTTGAACTTTATTACAGTGTTTACACTGAAAATTCGCAAAAGATCAACTTCTCATGAGATTCGAAGGCAGTCCAGGGCAACTGCTAAACGGCCATGGAGGTCCGAAATCATGTCAATGACATCTGTCACCTTGAAACGTTGCAGGAGAAAAGTCTTCTGTCTCGTTTGGTGAACTTTCAACCTCTTACCAGTTCACATGCAAAGGTTAAATCTTATCCGCTCAACCAGATCAAAAACCAAAGGGTACAAGAAGCTCTAGTGGTACGAGACCTTCTAAACGTGCTAATTGGTCTAGAAGGTGTCTACATTAGGTACAACAATAGTTACCAACCAGAGTTGGGACAACAAGACGACATTCGGGGTCCTGATTTTAGAATCGCCAAAAACATGGATCTTTCTCTCAAAAGCTTTGCTAAATGGATTGTCAAATTTGGCAAAATTTTCGTAGTCCTGACACGTTTCAGTGAGCGCTACAGTGAGCCAGTTTACGGATCAGTGATGCATCGACTTTGTTTTGAGATTCGACAATTTCTGACCTACGATTACGTGCGTAATATAATAGAACAGGCAGAAACTGAATTTTTAACCAATCCACTGTTCAGTATTCGAGGTCTGGGGCAGCTTTTGACCCAAAATTGTGCACATAAAGCCCAACTACTCTACGATCTGGTCCAAGAAATAATGCGAGAAATGAACCGTCGAGCGCTTCTGAATCGAGAAGAAGCAGATTTCCAGAATTTCATGCAAGACTTGAGAAAAGAGAAAAATAACACTGATTTTTCTGTAAGTAATGAGTCGAACGCTCTTTTCATTACCGATTCGCGCATAAATGTTCATGCTCGCGGTGGTGTAATTCTGCAAATGATCCAAGACAAGATTGATGTAAATCGAGGCAACGAACGCAACGTAACCTTTCTCCAAAAATTGTTTGAGGACGTTTCAGTGCAGTATTGTTCCATGCTGGACAGCTGGCTCATTAATGGCTCCCTGGAGGATCCTTACAATGAGTTCATGGTCGCTGATACCGCACAATTGTCATCGCGTCAGGAAGCGATACGACTTACTTCGTTGAATAGTGAACGCCTTTGGGACACACAGTACGTGATACGTAAGGATGGAGTCTTGAATGATTTTGAAAATGGGAATATTGCTTTCAAAGTTTTAATGACGGGCAAGCTGTTAAACCTCTTCCGCAATTGCTGTAATTTACAAACCACTACGGGAATTTTACCCGATGAAAATTTGAAATATCCACTCACTAGGCTACCGCAAAGAACAGAGCTCCTGTTATATGTTGATTTGCATTATTCGCGCGCCAACAAATTGACACATTTTCTGTTTTATAACGGATACGATTTGCCACAAATACTTCTCGAGTTTCACCACAACTTCTTGCTCTTCAACAATCCAGGCTTCTTCAAGGAGTTTTTCAACCGTTCGCTAGTGGAACTTACCAAGCTTCGAACTGATACGGTCGAAGAGAAGCTTCGAAGAACTTTCCAGGAGTACCAAAGGTCTCGGGAAGATGATGGGGGCAAGGTGGTTTTGCCTTTGCTGAATTTACAGCTCGATAAAAGCTGTTTCCACCGCGTTATCCAGCAATTTTCTATGGAAACAAGCACTGATAAAGACAATGCGAACCTCATGCAGGCGCGTAACTTTGAGAACCTTCGTGATTTACTATTACAAGACCTCGACATGCAAGAAGTGAGCGAAAGCGGCCAAACCAAAAAAACAGAGTTCGAATACTCTATCCATCATCTACAATTTGAAATCGTTGTACCTTATCCTTTCAACACTATCATTTCTAGGACGTGCATCTTCCAATACCAGGCAATTCAAAGGTATTTGTTGCTACTGCACTATTATAACAAGGTTCTCGAAGACACATGGTTTGAAATTAACAAAAACAAAATCTGGAGGCATTCGGGCTTCAACAAGGATGTACACCTATGGATCCGACGATGTCGAGTTGTTCACTTCCGGATGGCACAATTTATGAAGCTCATGCTAGAATATACCAGCCTGGACGTAATTCAAAACGAATGGTTGGAGCTAGAGAAGCAAACAAGAAATGCAACATCAACAGGGTTTGATTTACCGCAATTTCAAAGCGCACTACAAAACTTTCTGACGCAACAAATGACACATTCCCTGCTGACGAATGCTTCATTAGTACGCTTACTTGTCCAAATAACAGACATTGTCCATCGGTTCTGTAAATTTGTCACTTCGCTAAGAAAGACGTTGTGCTTATTAGACGTGCGTCTTTTTTCGTACTATCATGGACAGTTGTCGAAGGAAATGCAGTACGACGAAAGTGCTGCCTTGCAGAAGCTTCAAGAATTGCAGCAATATCTGGATTTAGTTTGGAATAGCTTTAGCCAGCATAAGAGTGCGTTTGCTGAAGGAGTAAGGTATTATTGTAATCACGGATCTGCACGAAGCGGAATAAATCCTGTTTTAGCCCTAGAGGAAAGGCTTCGGGACATAGAATTTGACCGTTGACAACTTTTTTTTTTTTGGAACGTCCAAAGGGTCAAAATACACAGATAAAAGTAGATTTGAATGGATGTCATTCCCAAGCTTATTTGATCTACCAATGCGGATCAGTTAGCGTTTCTGACATAGCGGCTCTTGCAAAAGTATCAAATCATGCAAAAAAAATTGGTATTCTCCGCGACGGGGAATTGAACCCCGGTCCCGGGCGCGACAAGCCCGAATTCTAGCCACTAAACTATCGCGGATTAGTTATTATTGTATGAATTTCAAGATCAGTTTATACTTTCAAAACCTCACAGGATCGGGAAATGTAAGAATGATAGCGCAGTTTCAGGGTAGCTTATTTATCGAAGAGGAACAAAGCTGGTGCATCTTGATTAATTCCGTTTCTTCGTATTTTAACACATTCAATTGTCCTTTGCAGCTGGCAGACGCAGTTTCCATCCAGCAATGTATATAATTTGAAAATAATTCCTCTTTCTATGAAGTCTCATCTTGATGAGACATCACGATAAGTATATCGTGCGCCATTCCAGCTTCAGGCTTTTCTTTCGATAAAACAAATTATCGAGTACTTGGTAGCTCTCCCGTTCTCTCTAAACTTACAATCCCAACAATTTGATCATGGTGGTTGGATTTTCGCTCCTGACCCGCTCAGTGCGAGTGAAGAGTTCAATTCGGGTTAGATGGGGGTGGAACTAAGTCGGTAGTGGTTGTACCATGAGGTGTCTTCTGAGGATTCCACCATAATAGTCCAGATTGCCTTAAGCGACTCACTTCGAGATCACTGGGTCGTAATAGATACTAGCACACTTAAAATGCACCGGAGGGTTGTTTTCTTCGCAACCTAAAGCTCATCGGATGAAGACCCGCTAGAATCCGATAGAATTATGGATGACTGGTCGGCACCGGAGGGCAGGACAGTCTCGAGATATTTGCCGAAAAGACCCAAATTGTAAAAACGGCTTCGTAGAATCATCACTCTTCTAACGTCGGTGCTGGCAAAATTATAACGATCTTTGTGCATCGCCTTATTGTCTATTGATAACTTCTGCTCCATTTCGCTTGTGCTGAATTGTGTATAAATCATTGATACCGCTAGTGGAAACAGATTTGGGTAAGTTAAGCGTCTAGATTGCCACCACTCCAAAACATCAGTGATGGAATCTGCAGAAAGCTGGCTGTCAGATTTGTAATTCTCCCATTCCTCCAACATTTGAACACTTGGCTCAACAGATCTGAACAATGGTTTCTTTTCACGCCGGTCAAGACGGGGGATTTTAAAAACCCTGTAGTTCTGTTTTGGTTGACTCTGCAATTGTGAAAATGGCAATGGGGCTTGTTTGGTTTGAGGCTCGCACTGGGCAAGGTAGTGTTTCATATATCTTTCCACCTTTTGTAACTGGTGTTCTCTCTCCGAACCGACCAAGAGCTGACTGAAACAGTCTAACTTCGAGGTAGGATCCAGGTAGGCAGCCACAAAATATACCTCGTTATTCCAAAACATATCAAAGAATTCTTTGAATTTGGGCTTTGCGGACCGAACGGCTGCAAGTACAATGGCTTTTGTCATTCGAGATAAACCGACTTTTCCATTGATGAACGTGAAGTCAAAACAGCCTTCTGACGATGGTATGATACTTTCGACGTCCGCATTACTGCATAGGTCAAAATATTCTTTCAACGTGTAATAGAAAGAAATCGCATTGGGAAGCTGGTTGAAAGTTTCATTTTGCAAGCTGTCATGGAGATACTTGAATATGGAACAACAATCTACGAAATACTCTAGTACTTCCCGTGTTTCCGAAGAAAGCTGCAAGTGGGGTGCCATCCTTGCAGCAATGTTTCGATGTTTTGATGATTCTTGAAAGCTCTCAAACCATTTCAAATATGCATCGTAATGATCCAGATACTTCGCGATCTGATCCCACACAGAAACCCACGAGGACTCGAGAGCGGGTGGTATTTCGGGTAATCCGGCTACTGCGAGAGAGTCTCTGAGTAGAGATGACTTTTTCAAAATTCTTGTCAATTTTGTGATGTGTTGTAGGCCGTTGTGAAATTTCTCGTTCTCTTTCATCGTTTGCCCTATTGTTCGGAGTAAAGCGTTCAATATATGCCTTGCACAATTAACATGATACAAATGTTTGGTTTTCATGGATGTTTCTGGCCTTGAAAGTTTCATGAGATCGCAAAGCATGTCTGAATGTCGCAGGATATTACTTGCCCCGTTATCAGAAGTGATGGACCTGATCTTCCCAACTATTTTGAATTTTTTGATCACTGAGCTCGTTATCTCATATAGATACTCTGCAGTCTGAGGTGAGCCACTGACATCCACGAGATCCAAAAGATGGCTCTGGAAGGGTTCATTAAATTTATTGTGAGTAGCTTCGGTTCCTAGTGCATTTGGTTGCTCGTCTGACAGATTTGGAGCAAAAGACGCAAATATGCTCAGATACGACCGTTCGTCGCCATCTGTCCATACATCCAATTCTAGATTAACAAAGCCCGTTCCCTGCAAAGATGTAATAAGCCCTTCGTCCAGCCATGTAGAATAAGTCTCTAATTTGTCCCTTACAGCTGTTTCGGATCGGAAAAAAGACATTTCGGGTAACAAGTCACCCAACCACTTCAATGCATATGCATTAACAAAGGAAAATGGTAGAAGTTTTTCGATAACGAGCGCTACCATCGTGAAGGCTCCAGGATTGTGTTCCATCTCAAAAACTAGTGGTTCGGGAAGTTGAGTCGACGAAGATCGCAGATCAAATACATCTAGGATGCGCCCTTTTGGTTCCTTGGTTTTTCGAGTATTGAACTCAGCTGGGTGAAGCTTTTTTACATGCTTGACAAGATTGCCCGTGGATTTGCTTTCCTGGAAGGTTTTACCACAATGTGTGCATGTTGCAACCTTTATACCATTCTGCACAGATATTTCAAAATGATTGCGGATCCCGGATCTTGCCATCCATTTGGATTCTTTGGATTTACTTTCTGTTGTGGTAACGTCGTGTTGATCATCTTTAGATCCATTTCTGAGGTTTACGGCTTCTGCTTCATAATCTGAAGCAGACTCTTGGGCTTGGATTTTCGAACTTATTGCAACCTGATTGCTCATAGTCGTCTTGTGTAGAGACGTAGCGATTTTTCCACCACTGTTCAGCGCAGTTGAGTGCGTCTCTTAAATTTCACGCGCTTTCTTTGAAATTATATTATATCACACTAATGCAACGCGTCAGGGGATAACACGAATTTAAAGAACTGACTTTCGTGTCGTGATGGACACAGAGATATTTATGAGACTCTACGAAGTGGAGAGGAATGTGGTGGAGCAGGGGCGAGCTTTAACTGGATAGAAGTACGCTTGAGCCTAATGGTTCTGTCTGTCTCTTTCATTTTTAGTTGCTAAATTTAATCACGTGATCTTCTTATATAGTACAGTACATGACAGAGACGTTCCGATACTCATTCTTCGCTTAGTTTCATATGGTTTGGTCCTTGTATGTTTGAGCTCTACTCAGCTTTTTTCCTATTCTATAATATTTACCAATAAAGTTGGCTCTATGCGGGACTGGATTTATAACGAAACTATGATCCCAAGCGGATTCGTCGGGGGTGTCATTGTGCATGCACCGTTTTTCCGTTCTGCTGCCGATCCAAGACAGGTCTAATGTTTTCAGGAGCAAGGTAAGCAAGCTCGTTAGTCTTCTTATTAGTTGGAGCTGCTTTAGCTAGAAATACGTTTTCGGGAAAGATTTGCCAATGCCCGAACCCAACACAATCATAATCAAAAGCGTTGACGCACCAAGTTAAAGATCATTCCTACACGTTAGCAATGCCAAAAAATAAGTTAACGGATTACCATCTTCGTAAATACCACTCAGTATCGTGTTTACGAGGTTGACACAGCTTATGGCATCAGGATTATAATTGATATGTGTTTAAGAACTGCATGGAATCGATGGAAGTTCATGGCGTGTAGGCCATACTGATCTCTCACGGTTTTCATGACATTAAAATCCTCTACAGAAAGGCGCTCTTCCATTTTTTCTGCTTCTCTCGACGATCCTCTGACGATCCCAGAAAGCTTCTGGACCGCAAGGAGGTAGCTGAGAAAGCATAAAGTTTTACAAGGTCACAATTGACAATTCAACGAGAAAATCAACTATAAAGAGCCATTTATAAGTCGGCAGGCTTAGGCGACCATTAATATTCGAGTTCAGGCCGTTCACAATAAATGATGATATCGTGTGTGCGATACCTTCCGAAATAATGAAAGCCGCAGATCTTTCACCGACCTCTGACATCTGGGAGTACAAATTTGCTGTACGGTCCTGCTTTTGAACAACAAAAAAATCAACAACTGACTAGTGGATATTGGTCAACAACATGGTACTCAACACTGCCGCAGTACCACTTCCCATAATTGAACCAATAGAGAAAATGGTTGTCAACCATGATAGCTAGTTCTTGTCCATATTGAAACCACCGGTGCTTGAAAGATGAGTTCATATTCTTACTGACTTGATTTTAGGAATGATATGCAAGTGGTGTGAGATCATCGGGGTAAGCGATGATGACGGAAGATGACAGTAAGATCAGATGGAACGTTGTTGTAGCGGCTTTAGCTCTCCCCACGTGACTGGTGACAGCGACAGAATTGATGAAGAAATGGTCAACGAACATGCATAGCTACTATTCACCATGAATCCCGCAGAAACCAGGAACTTTTACCCTTAATAACGGTCAAACGGTAACTGGAAATGTATTAAATGACATAGGGATCTATTTTTCGACGGAGTTACCTGTTTTCTTCACACTGGATTTCACAGAAAAGTCTGAAGCCTCGAGCCTATCGGACGGTTGTGCTATTACAGGTTTTTCAGCTGGCGACGGAGCTAGAGCATTTTTCAGAGGTTTCGGAACCACTTAAGTGCCGCATTTTAGCTCTCGTCTGTTTTTATTCCTCTCGTTGAGCTCTCTTTATGACTTCATGAAGCCTTGAAAGACCTTATTTATATGACCTCTGAGCATTTGTAACGTCAAGATGGATACTAAAGATTGTCTGGACGCTTTGGAGAGTCATGGAAATACTAAAATACTATTGTCTTGGAAACTCGGAAAAAAACGATTGCCTTGGAGAGCCATGGAAACATCGAAATACAATTATCTTGTAGTCATCAAAACATCAAACAACAATTTCTAAAGTGGTGCTTGTCGTTTGTCCATATTCGGTCTTGGTGTTCTGGGATCCTGCGTTAAGAAACGACGGTCTATACGGGGTTTTGCGTGTGTGAATAGTCTATTAAAATGCAGAGATGGCGTTACGTTGAGCCACCAGCTCAGCTAGATCGAGGGCTCGCTTCTCAACTCTCGTGGCGCAAAAACAAATGCGCTCTACGGCAGATGGTCTGTGGGTAGCACAAAGACTATCCGCTTATGAAGTGCGAGTGCGATGAGCCGTGTAGAATGACAAGAGAAAATGGCCAACTTTGGAGGTGTCAAAAAGACAATTTGCCACTTTCCTGCATCTGTCCCAAGGTGATTAGTAGTAACAAGCGTCCATTTGTGCACGGCTTCGCTTACATATATAAATTCTTAGATCACGGTTTCTGAGATAGCACGTGACCATCTCGCAACGGCAGTAAACTAGCCATATCCATACGGGTCGACAAACACCCCAGTTATTAAACTCGTACCCGCATGTGAAGATCACGAACGCACCTTCTCACGGGGTCAAATCTCCGGAAACTACTGTCATCATCATCATCATCATCATCATCATCATCATCATCATATATGAACACACGTAGCCAAGTCGAAACCCCATCACTTTATACGACAACGGCCATGTGTAGTCCGTCGTCATTTATTGCTAGATGTATGGGTCTAGTCGTTCTTCCGTCTCTTGCTTAATTGTAACTTCCACTATTCACAACTATTTGCTGACGCTTTCAATTGTTCTCTTACTGTACTGGTTGCCGTCCCTCTATCACTGCTAATTCCCTCGAGAGCTTCCAGCTTCCCAGCTTCCTACAGCTTCCTTGCCCCGGCCCGGATCACGTGCCCGTCTCTATCGTGACACTAAGTTTTTTTGGAAGCTGACCACACCACGACTGTTGTCGTAGCATCCTTCTACTAACAACGCCAGTCGTCTCAGTGGGTCCACCACCACTACGACTACTACCACCACCACCACTACCACCACAGCACACACTCACATCACAACAAAAAACAAAATGATGTGGTGTGATCAATGAGACAGGTCTGGTCAAGTTTCCTGGCAGATGAAATCCAAATTATTCGGGTATATATATAGCGGACCTTTTCACCACTTCATAACACTTCTATTCGATACTGGTTCGTTCTTTCTAGCTTTTCTTTATTCCCCAGAAGTCTTCTTTCCAAGAAACTACTGAACATCTTCCATTCATAAAAATCAATTACAATGGCTATCTCTAAAGTTCACGCTAGATCCGTCTACGACTCCCGTGGTAACCCTACCGTTGAGGTGGAAATCACCACTGAAAAGGGTTTGTTCAGATCCATCGTCCCATCGGGAGCTTCCACCGGTGCCCACGAGGCCAACGAATTGCGTGACGGTGACAAGACCAAATGGATGGGCAAGGGTGTTTTGACCGCTGTTTCCAACGTTAACAACGTCATCGCCCCAGCTTTGATCAAGGCTAACATCGACGTCAAGGACCAGGCCGCTGTTGACGAGCTTTTGTTGTCTCTAGACGGTACCCCAAACAAGAACAAGTTGGGTGCTAACGCCATCTTGGGTGTCTCTTTGGCCGCTGCCAAGGCCGCCGCCGCTGAAAAGAACGTTCCTTTGTACCAGCACTTGGTCGACATCTCTGGTGCCAAGGCCCAGCCATACGTTTTGCCAGTTCCTTTCTTGAACGTGTTGAACGGTGGTTCCCACGCTGGTGGTGCTTTGGCCATCCAGGAGTTCATGATCGCCCCAACCGGTGCTGACTCCTTCGCTGAGGCTCTAAGAATCGGTTCTGAAGTTTACCACAACTTGAAGTCTTTGACCAAGAAGAGATACGGTCCTTCTGCCGGTAACGTCGGTGACGAAGGTGGTGTTGCTCCAAACATCCAGACCGCCGAAGAGGCTCTAGACTTGATTGTCGACTCCATCAAGGCCGCTGGCCACGACGGTAAGGTCAACATCGCTTTGGACGCTGCCTCCTCTGAATTCTACAGAGACGGTAAGTACGACTTGGACTTCAAGAACCCAGAATCCGACAAGTCCAAGTGGTTGACTGGTGTCCAATTGGCCGACATGTACACCTCTTTGGTCAAGAAGTACCCAATTGTTTCCATTGAGGATCCATTTGCCGAAGATGACTGGGAGGCCTGGACTCACTACTTCAAGACCGCCGGTATCCAGATTGTTGCCGACGACTTGACTGTCACCAACCCTCTAAGAATCAAGACCGCCATCGAAAAGAAGGCTGCCGACGCTTTGTTGTTGAAGGTCAACCAGATTGGTTCTTTGACCGAATCCATCAAGGCTGCCAACGACTCCTTCGCCGCTGGCTGGGGTGTTATGGTTTCCCACAGATCTGGTGAGACCGAAGACACTTTCATTGCCGACTTGGTTGTTGGTTTGAGAACTGGCCAAATCAAGACCGGTGCTCCAGCCAGATCCGAAAGATTGGCCAAGTTGAACCAATTGTTGAGAATCGAAGAAGAATTGGGCTCCAAGGCTGTCTTTGCTGGTAAGAACTTCCACAGCGGTCAAAAGTTGTAAGTGAACTCTACTCGCTGCAATTTATATAGATTATGAGTAAGTAACGAAACATAACATTTGAAGCTACGACGTTGAAGAAGTATCGAAAAGTTAAGGAAGAATCGTTTCAATAGTGGGTAAAGTTACTAGCGTCTGCAAGAACGTGTCCTGAACCACATGTGCCATATTTCGCGGACTCTTCCGTTCAATCTTGTAGTAAATTCTAAATTCATCAATGTATATAACGTATATAATATATATAAACTATATTGAAATCGAATTTCAGTTCTCATCTCGTCTCAGAAACCGAACCGCAACATGAAGCAAAGCCAGATGGATCACGGCAATATGGATCACGGTGACATGGATATGTGTTCAATGAACATGCTGTTCACTTGGAATTACAAACACACTTGCGTAGTGTTTAAATGGTGGCACATTCGTACCGTTTCACAATTGATTTTAAGTATGATTTTGATTGCGATAATTTCGCATCTGTATGAGTATTTGAAGTACTACGCCGGAAAGTCTGTTGCCGCTGGCGGCTCAGGCAACGGACGGTCTGCAAAAACCACTCGAGCCAGCTGGTACGGCGCACAGGTCGGATTGTCGTTCATGCTCATGCTGGTGTTTATGACATTCAATGGGTGGCTCATGCTTGCGGTGATTTTAGGCGCCGCCTGGGGCAATTATTCATGGGGAAATAGCACGGTTGACAACGGTACGCGGAGTTTGGCGTGTCATTAAATCAAACATGACCTTTTACCATACACCACAACGTTAAAGGGTAACTTCGTGGCATTTCATATTTCAAACACCAGTTAAATACACACACATACGACAATAATCACAATCGAACAATTGAGAAGCGCAGCCACCAGTTGTGCATAAAGATTACTACGAAGTAAGTTGGCCTTCTGAGCGCCACTGGTCAGTTGTGGATAATGGATATTGCTACAATCATAGCTGAGCAGCTGAGAGCAAGTAGAGATTGAGTGAATAGTAGTTAAATAATTGAGGGCGAAGACGATCAATTCTGACTAGTAGAGACGGCTATAAGCAAGCTGAACTACTGGGATCCGCGGTGAACAAAGGATCGATACTATTGATAATAGTAGAACAATTTTGAGCGCCACTGAAATTCTGTGAACAAGACGGACTTTAAGTCACTCGTGAAATTCGAAATGACGATCACATCACACCGTAAGCTCTTTCACGTATTCTAGAATGCAGTCAAACTAACGTGCTGATAGATGCTTTGAAGCGCTACAAAATTGACGCTAATGACATTAAACGCTATAAAGACCACTACCCTCTGATAATCTAAGTCTTCATCAGCCTCGAAAAATCCCACACTTTTTTCCAATGCCTGGGATGGCCTTTAGCTGTACCTGTTTTTCTGACATTCCGGTAAAGTCATGGTGAAAAGGGTCCCAGGAAGATATTCAGCACGTGATTTGATGACAGCGACTTTACAAAGGGTTAGCTGATCTCAAGCCGCAATACCGTTACAATCGCTCGAGGCCCTCTCTGTGAAATTTCGCAGAGACATGGACTGTGGTGTTGCGCTCACGATAACTTCTTTGATTTCACATTTGCTACCGTTTCTGTACTTCACCATTGATAAAGACCTTTTCAACCGATTAAAAAGAAAAAAACCTATCAAGTCCTCACCAACAGTTTCTTAATTCTTGCCACTGTTCTCTCATCTCCAACTGCTATCAGGAGCGTTGCTTGGAGCTCATTGACGTTGGGCCAGCTCTATATCACTATATACTAATTACAAGTCCCAAGACTTGTCTGTCCAGTCACCTCTTCTGATTTTCGAGACACCAACGTTTTCCCTCGAGCAACCATGGCTAAACGAGTAGCTATTATAGGTGCAGGACCTAGTGGTCTTGCCACAGGAAGAGTGCTATTAGCCAATACCGATTTTGACATTGTTATCTACGACTCCAATCCGCAAGTTGGCGGAGTGTGGTATTATCCAGATAACGAGCAACCTAGGGAAAACACGGCAATGTATGATGCTTTGGAAACCAATTTGAGCAAGCAAATAATGACCTTCAGTGGATTTCCGTTCCCTGACGACGTACCAACATTCCCGAACAGAAAGCATGTTTGGGAATACCTAGTCCGCTTCTACGAGACGTTCATCAAGGGCCAAGAACGAATTCTTACTCAATTGAACTGTAAAGTCAAGTGCGTGGAAAAAATAGGAGACTTGTGGCGTGTTACCCACAACGATGGGAAAGCTGTCGAGTTGTTCGATTACGTAGTGGTCGCTAATGGCCATTTCGAAGCGACTCACGTGCCAGAAGACATTCCGGGCGGCGACGAATGGCGCAATGCACAACCAGGGTCGCTTCTTCACTCCAAAGATTTTCATTCCAGCGAGAGGTTTCGTGATCTGAGGGTAGTTGTGGTTGGTAACGGTAGTTCTGGATCGGATATCGCCAACCAGATCAGCTCTGTGGCCCAATGCGTATACCACAGCGTCAAAGAAGTTAATAAAACCAACTGGGACGAAAACCCGGTTGTGACAGCGGTTCCAAAGATTTCAAAGCTCAGCGTACACGACAATCAAACCGTGACGCTTGAAAATGGCGAGCAACTGAGAAATATCGACCGCATCATATGGGCCACCGGCTACATGTACTATCTACCCTTTTTGGGTAGCTACCAAGAACAAATTCTGGGTACCGACAAAACTTCCAATGATCCAGTTTCCCGACTCCACGGTCTGTGGGAGCAGTTGGTTTTCGTGCAAGACCCTACATTGGCTTTTCTGCTTCTTTGCAAGAACGTGGTGCCTTTTCCCTTAGCCGAGTCGCAAGCATGCACTGTAGCCAAAGTGTTTTCCGGGGCAATTGAGGTGCCGTCCATCGATTTTTCTGCACGGGCTGTGCAAGAACCAAAGGACTACCACTCGCTTGTTACACCGAGAGACATAGAATATTGTCGCGAGCTACAGGCAATTTTGGATTCCTGTGGCGGGCAAGACGACGAAGCTCGACCCAGACTATGGGACGATCAGCTGGCTGCATTACGATATCGGACAGGTCTCGCAAAAAAAGAACGCACAAAAATACTGATCCACAGAGCATTGGAATTAAGAGACAAGGGCGAAGCTTATTACTTGGAGTGAAAAGAAAAATCCGGAGCCTTCGATCTCAGGAATAGCTCAATGAAAAGCTTCAGGTTACAAACTACATTATTTTGAAAACAATACCCAATGAAGGCTACGGTCTATAACGTGAACCAGGTATTCTTGGTCGAGTGTGTCGTTGCCACGATCTCATCGTGAACTACGCTACTCATGATGTCGTCACCAACGAAGGAGATAAAGAATCTACTTCTCGATATCACAGGTGACGCCTGTATAATACAGGCAGATCATTATCAAGAGATTGAAGAAATCGGCCAAGCTTTATCGCAGTTAAGCCGATTCTGTGTTGATCATCGACTCCAAGTCGATCAAGGCCACAAGGCGGGCTCGACGAAGTCTTTCGAGCGTGCAAAAAAGATGGAACAGCTGGATAATGAAGGTCTAAGCTTTTCAGCGGTGGTTTACGAACCGTATTCGTGTGCAAGATGCCGAAGATTGAAAAAAAGATGTTCGAAAGAATCGCCCATTTGCATGAATTGTAGCAAAGCTGGAGAACCTTGTAGCTATCCGGGCCGGGCGCCAAGAAGAAGTAAGAGAGAATTGGAGCGGGAACGCAAAGAATTGGCAACTTTGGCACATGCCGATCAAATGATCAAACGGGGCCACAGCAGTGATACAGAGCAGTTTTTGATCTCTTCCGAGGAACATGAGCGAAGTGACAACGGTGTGTACTACGGTGGGAAACTTGAGAGTGATACAGAACGGGTAAGTGAGCACTCTTCCGAAACACGGTCTTCCAGTGCCCCCACAAATGCCAAAAATGACGCTATTGTTCATTACATTCCAGAACTGAGGAAATCTCAGCAGCAGCAACAACAGCGGGAGATAGAGCAGCGTCCACAAAAGGAGGTACTGTTCCATGAAATGTGTAAGATAGACTCGATTCCAATTCGAGCATCATCTCTGCAGATCGCCAATGTAGCAGCAGTTTTCAAAGGAGGAAGACACTCAAGCTTGCTTCAGCCACATGGTAAGGGTGTGAGAATTGAAAGACGACTTTACGACCGATTTATTGCCGCATACTTCAAACACAATCACCGGTCGTATCCTCTTTTAAACAAGATTGGGTTTTTGAATGAAGTATCCACGATACATGAGTTTGAAGACATGGAGGGCAATTACGAAGACACTTTTTACTTTCAGTTGTACATGGTAATGGCAATAGGATGTACTACTCTCCAGCGGGCAGGCATTCTAAATAAGGAAGAAGAAGAACTCAGCGAGCACTTCGCTTATCTTGCGATGCGGAAATTTTGTCCTGTGATGCACTTACAAAACGTTGAGACTATCAAGTGCTTGCTCTTGCTGGGCATCTATTCTTTTTTTGAGCCTCAAGGGGTCTCGTCGTGGACTATTAGTGGCATCGTCATGAGATTAACAATTGGTCTTGGACTGCACAGGGCACTTACAACCCGGAAAAAAAAATCTATGTCGCAACTAGATATTGAGTTGCGGTACCGTGCATTTTGGAGTTTTTTCAATTTTGAGCGTCTCGTATCTACGTCGCTCGGCAGGATATCAGCGATCGACGATGACGACATTAGCGTCCCTCTTCCCCACGCAATGTACGCAGAAGAAACTGAGGACATAGAAGTGACACAAATGATGATCGCTCTTCGAAAAATGGGCGGTATCATATACAAGCGAGTCCACAGCGTGGGGGCCGGAAAGCAAAAACTCTCAGATGACGGCAAGCAAGAAATAGTCGACGAACTAAGGAAACAACTTGATGTGTTATACGAACAGGAACGGGACAAGATACGAAGACACAACTCGATAGCTTGTCCAACCAAGTCAAATTCCATTTCCTTCCACACTTCCGATATTTGGCTTGCAATGCGCTATGCACAACTGCAGATCATGTTGTATCGGCCTTCATCTTTGATACCAAAGCCTCCCATGGAGTTTCTGATAATTCTGGGTGACTTTTGCTTACAAGCTCTTAAACACACTTACACGCTGTACCGGAAGAAAATGCAACCTCTCAATTGGATCACCCTCTTTCGCACGCTAACCATATGCAACACCATGTTGTACTGTTTATGTCAGTGGAGTATTGACCTGATCGAGTGCAAAATCGAAATACAGCAATGCGTCGAAATATTACAGCATTTTGGCGAAAAGTGGGTATTTGCTGCCAAATGTGCTGCCGTCTTCCAGACCATCAGTAATGCTATCCTGGATATAAGTCTGAGCAACGGTCAGGTACCTAATATGGACGACCTCACACGTGAGCTATTTGGTGCGAGTAACGAGTATCAAGATATCTTGGATGAAAACAACGTTGATATTACTTGGGTTGAGGATCTTACATAGAACATAATAATGAATGCTTAATGAACAATTGTGTTATTCTTGACGCCTATACAGTGCTGGAAGAGACCACGGTCCATGTTAATGGACGATAGAGCTTCAGATTATCTAGTTTTTCTGATATGTAATGACAAGATTCTGAACCCTATAACAATTATTGCCTCCTTAGCTTAGTGGTAGAGCGTTGCACTTGTAATGCAAAGGTCGCTAGTTCAATTCTGGCAGGTGGCATAATTTTTTGGCTACAACATTCAAATTCAATGGATTTTTGTCATTGAATACGATAAGACCCTGAATGACTTGAACTAGTGATTTTGAATGTTCTGAAAGAACCTTTTGATGAGCATTGTTGGACATGTAGTACTGGACCTTCTTATGCTACGAATTTCGTTTTTCTACGGGCTACTTTCCGGGCAAACCGAAGTGATAGTAAATACTGTTCTCGTATATAGCGATATGTCATAAAATACAGTGTGGTATGGAAAACCGATGTGTGGATGGACAACTCCTGTAGACAAAAGACAAGCGTAAGAGGGGAGCAGTTCATCCGTTGCTCCATCATGATCCTTCAAGCATTGTCATATGTGGGAACGGTGTTGGGCTTTTTGTTTTTGACGCTTTCCATCGCAGCAGGGTTGTACTATATCAGCGAATTGGTTGAGGAACACTCGGAGCCCACGAAACGCTTTTTGACGAGAGCGATCTACGGAATAATTGTGATTTATGTACTGCTATTGATTCTGGACTCATTCCCTTTCAAGCTCAGCGTATTTTCTATTGCATCATATGTCGTCTACTTGCGAAACCTCAAACATTTTCCCTTCATTTCGCTGAGTAGCCCTACATTTCTGGCCAGCTGTGTGCTGGTTGCACTCAACCATTATCTGTGGTTTAGACATTTCAATGACACCGATGTTCCACCTCAATTCAGGTACGACCCTAACTACATACCTCGCAGAAGAGCCAGCTTCACCGAGGTAGCTTCGTTTTTCGGCGTTTGTGTGTGGTTCGTGCCATTCGCGCTTTTTGTATCGTTGTCAGCCGGTGACAACGTTCTGCCCACTACAACTTCTGGCTACTCCAAGAAAACAGACGGATTGAACACCGAGACACCCCATTTTCGCAAAAAGGCAACCGGTCTTGTACGTGTAGTGATCGACTCCGTAAGAGACTATTTCTACTTGGCAGCACGAGTTTTCGGGTATGACAAGAACTCAGAGAGAAGTCGATTGGGTGTATGAAATGCTACAGGAGCTGAGAATCTGAGAATGATTAAAAGAAAAAAAAGTTGTGGGAACAAGCGGCAGACGAAAGGATTCAAGAGAGCACTGAAGTTTTCCAAGTCACTCAAGGCAATATCATCAGTCTTTGTAAGTCGTGGATGCCAAGCAATTGTGAGATCAGCAAAAGACCGGTCTTGTTATGTGTTTCGAGTAACACTCACTGAAAAGCCAAGTCATGTTTAACTCGAATTGTGTCTAAATCATTAGTCTGGAGCTTGAACATTATCACTCATCGTAAATGGCCACTTAACACTTTTGAAGAGTGGCTACACGAATTCAACTGGCAAGATATTCGGGCATTTTGAATCGCACCATTTTGTACATAGTAAAATACGACTTTTCAAGACAGGAGAACTGAGATCAAGCTAACAAGTTGTAATTCATATTATTGGGTCATCCTTGACTTGATACCATTGATCTCACGGTGAGCTTTCGTTTCGTTTCTTTGTCTGATGTTGAAACATCTAGATCATAACTACTTAGCTGTGTAATTTGATGCATCCTTATACTCATCATCTCTCATGCTCGAAAGAAAACATGACGACGAAGAACGATGGCTGTGAGCTCATGAAAGCGACGTTCTGGTCAGAAGATTATGCGACCGGTATTGAGTCTCTGCTAGGAAAAATTCAGACCGATATTTCAGAGCTGACGGAGATGTTGATCTTAATCAAAACCTATGATTCTGAGATTATATCACCAGCGACCAAAGCATTGAAGAAACTGGTTATTGGCGGTGAAAAGCCCGAAAACGATACCTCACTTTGCACAGTGATTCAAAAGCAGCAATTGAACACGTTAACGGGAATTCTTGTGAAATTGGAGCATTCGAGCCACTCAAAACTCGAATCTCAATGTCAGATACCACTGGAATCTCTCTTGTTTGAGTACAATGAATATTTACAAGAGACTAAAGATGCAACAAGCCGCGCCATGAAGGGGTACTCTAAGCACCTTCTGCTAGCCAAGCAAATGCAAAACGAGTATGAGGCAATGGCAGCACGATTGCGACAAATGCTCAGGGATTCTTTATTTGGAGACGACAATCAAGTTCTGCCATCGCAAGAATATGCTATAAAAGATGTCTCGCATGCATTTCCATTGACCATTGACAAGAGCATAGTCATTGATGGTGAAGAACAATTGATTCTTTTCTGTGCTAAACTCAAAGAGAACATCATAACCTCAAATAGACTCATAAAGATCCCCGGTATAGCCAATGAGTATTTTTCCGGCACAAAGCTCTTAGACGCTCTCAAAAAAATAGAACCAAAGCTAGAGATATCGCTCTTCAACCTTGAGCGTGTCGGTCAAAAACTACTGGCGGCTGATATCATACGACCGTACCAGAATATCATGGGCGCTCAATCACGCTTTGCAGCAGACGACTATTACACCTGGGGATCAACACAGTCCAATCAAGAATCTGTTAGTAATACAAGACCGGCAGTCAACACAGTTTTTGGTGGGTTTTTCAAAAGGGTTAGTGGCGGCTCCGATGAGCAAACTCCAATCACAACGTTGGCTGAGTTGGAATCGTACCGTCACGAGTTCACTAAACGAAGATCATCTTTCTTTCAACAATGCCAAAATCTGGACTATTGGCGCTCCCAGCTCGAGCTTGAGCTGCAAAAAGCTATGCACCATTATTGGAAATTACTTCTCAAAAAGATCGACCAAGCGCATCTCGCAAACAGTCAATTTCTCTCCTTGTTACAAGGATCGTTTCCATCGCATTTTGAAACTGAGTCAATAGATCCGACTCAGGAATTACAAAGAGTGTATCGGTCGAATCACAGTACCATAGGCTTCTATGTGCCACAGCCCGGTGTAACATTCTCAAAGTATGATGTGAATGGGGAATTGACAGGGACTCCTCTGTTTCACTCAGAGCTGCGGAATTCGCAACTGGATGAGACCGGTGTTGCAGTGATCTTGAGATCTCTCCTAAAACAGCTTGAAACGCATAACGCTGATGATATTTTGAAGGCATGGTCATTACCTTTAGATTTGCAACGAAACTCCAGACTACGACGGGACTGCTATACTGAGTTTTTAGCGGCCGAAGGAGACCATTCAACAACTCTTACAAATATGCTGGCCAGAAAAGGACAAAACGTCAATGACGTTGTTGGACTTTTACAGAGTTGGCTTTTGGAGTTACCTGATAGTTTGATTCCCATGGCTTGCTATGAGGATGTGAAAGAAAAGGGTATTTCGGGCCTTAAGCGATGTTCCAAAGAGCATGTGCTACACTTGGCTGCCATGTGTGAGCATTTTCAATGGCTGGTACACCATTGTGGTGATGTAGAGGTAATGCGCACATTTACGAGCCGAATAGATTTTCCACTGTACCATATCTTTGCGCGTGACAGGATACAGAAACCTCGAGATTACGAGGTTATGTCAACGGCCGTTCATGATGTATTGTGTGGCGAGGGAAATTCGCAGCGTCTGGTAGAGATGCTGGCTGTCGATAGAGAACCCAATGTGGCGAGACTCAGTGTCGAAGTTCCCATGCATTCGTCGTCTGCGACGTTTGTACCGCGACCGCTGAAATCCTTGAGTACAAGCACATCTGCTGCATCCTCACGGCCTGCCAGTCAGCGTATTAGCGGCATTGACCTATTAGGTAGAGATACTTAGGAGCAGGCGAACTTTGGGCATAACGAAAATTTTCGTAGAAATATCATTTCCCTGAAATGAACTATAGAAGCGGAAGATAGTGGACATTTTAAACCTTACGGTGGTATTATAGCAACTGATGACAGGATCATTGATGCGTCTTTCACTTTGGATCAAGCTGTCACTGGCTCTGGGTCACGTGCGACATTTTATTCCTCTCTGGATCGTATGAAAACCATTGTCACTTTTCAAATTCACAATTTTATTTAGTGAAAGCCAGGTCGGCTCGCACTCAACTCTGTTCACTTTCGTAGTTTCCATGATGCTGGCTTTCTTGCAATTTTTTATATTTCGACTCACGATATGACACAACTAGATAAATTTCATGTTTACGAACCAAACACGCACTTTCAACAAAGGAATATCGTCAGAATGCTTTAAACACAAGCAAAGATGATGCGCCGTTGGCGCTACTTTCAAATTATGTTGGCATAAGAGAGCACCATGAAGCCTAGCACAAACTTCCAACTTACCAAAAAAAATGGGAAAATTATTTTTCTCCAACCTGTACGGGACTCGAACCCGCAGTCTTCCCCTTAGGAGGGGGATGCCTTACCATTTGGCCAACAGGTTTTTCTAAGCATGTCACATGCAACCACCGAATATCAGACGCCCGACCACAAGGCCATAAAGGCGACTATTGGAAGATGTGTTGGGTATTAATGGGATGTGACGACAAAGCACAAGTTGAATGCCATGCGCCATTGGCATGGAAGTACTAGCATACTCCGGACTGGGTATGGTTAGCAACGAGTGGACACACTTGGAAGAGAAATGAGCCACTAGATTACTCTCGATCAAAACTTGGGCTAGATTGTATATTTTGTCTAGTATACACTAACATCTGAATGGCCAGTACAAGAATTTCCTGGCTCACTCACTGTAAGAATCCTGATCACTGAAACTGTTTTGGTCATCAGAAGAGCCATTTGACATGTCTTCTTCTGCCCAGCTGGTATCTTCGATAGAGGTGATATGCTTGAGTTTTTCCCGAAACCCAAAACACTTCAAGCGGTTTCTCAAGACTATCATGCGCTCAAGATTCCCGCTGGACAATGAAAATCGCCCTTCGATAGCCTTCTTTCTTATGGAGAAAGACCGTTCTACATCACCCGTGGATAATCTGGTATAGTAGAAAGATAATGCCAAGGAAGACAACCGTGGGAACCTGCCTCTGTTAGCCATCCAATAGGTGATAAAATCGCGGTGAAGATCGAGCGGCTCTCTATTGTAGCATTCCCATTCAAAAAACGCCTCGCGCTCGAAAGATGTGTTTCGAAGTGCCTTAGAGAATCTGTCGAAGGCTCTGAGCTTTCTTCTGGGTCTCTTCTGTTTGTTGGAGCATGAACTTCCTGCATCCGGGTACGCAAATTTTGTTGATCTGCCGGGGTAATGACAGCCAAGGTAGCAATAAACATAGTTCGAAGCCTTGCTGATTATATGCGCTTCCGTCCCTCTGTCGAGTATTTTGGATAATGATCGGATTTTCATATCTGGTCTTAAGATGTGAGCAACCCAGTACCCCATCTGCGCGCTGGCAAGATTGTAGTATCTTTCAAACAATGATCTCGACTCGATTATGGTAGACAAAATCTTCGATTTGTTTTCTTCGCTTACTACAACAAGATCATTGAATTGGATACCTGCGATCTTCAAATTCTCGTCGGAATTATTGCCCATTGAAATTTGAGAGCATGCTTCGAAGTACCTGTGAAGTAAAGTGTAGAACTGTATGCCATTGGGCAGATTATTCATCGCGTCATCCTGCACATCCGTTGTTAACTCCAAAAATAAGTTGGTGAGCTTGAGGAACAGTTCTAGAGAAAAGATCTCTTCTGGTTCGTACACGAAAAGTCTTCTGTCTTCTTTCTCGAGCTGGAACTTCCTATAGGTATAATAATTAGAGTAAAACTGCTTGAGAGAGTTGCCGAGGTTCATAAAGGAGGACCATTGCTTATGGCGCGACACAAATCGAGTTTCATTATGTTTTGGAACTGCTCTTCCAGCGTAGGTTTTGAAATGATCACTCAGAAAAACGTTGTGTTCAATTTTCGAAGTTAGTTCATCAATCCTCCCAATCAGTTCTGCGTTTTGCTTCTCGAATCTCTCGACAATATGTCTAAAAATTAAGTTTAAAACATCTTGCAAACAATGAATCCTTACAATGCCACCTTCGGCATTGACCCCCTCTCCAGTCAGTTCAAACTCAATTCTGTCAAGCATTGTGAGGTTTTGGGCGGCATTGCCTATTGTCACACTCGCGACTTTGTGTTTGAGTGAATGTTGATCTAACGAATCAACGAAAACCTGACTCAAGTATTCCCCTGTATAACGGGGACCACTTATATCATGGAAACCAATTACGTGCGGAGTGGGAGACCCTCGGCCTATGACGTCGTTTCTTTGGGATTTTTGGTCGAGACGATCCAAATTAGGACAAAAAGAAACCAAAATGGCAAGGTAGCTCTTGTTAAGACCAGAGGTCCAAATGTCCAATTGTATATTTATTTTTGAAGTCCTTTTCAAAGTGAACCTCAGCTGTTTTTCGAATTGATCGTGGTAGTTTGTGAGTTCCTTTATCATTGACTTGCGAGAAAAAATGAACGGGCGCTTGTTATTGCCAGAGACAAGACCTATTAAGTCGCGAAAGGACTGAGACTCCACGGAGTTGAATGGTAGTAAGTTTTCTACAAAAAAATCGAGCTCCTTGATAACGATGGGCTTACTTTTGTAAAAGTCGATAAAGCTTGTGCAAAACTTGAAAGGTTTTCGAGCTTCGAAGCCAAAGTTGTCCGTGTTCGTTAGTTCGTTTTGCTTGGAGTTTATTTGTGAGTTAAACTTCTCGTAGTCAGAGCTGTGGTTTGTTTCCAGGTGCTTCACCATACCAGAGGAATTACGGTTTCTGCTAAAGCTGAAGGTTTTGCGACAGTGGTCATACTTGCATTGCGCGTAAAGTTTGTTTCCGCTATGCTTTGTGAACCAGATCCTGAATGGAGATGTTGATAGCCAGCTCTCAAATTTTTTGGCAAGTACCTCGTCAGAAGCCGTTTCGTTTGATTTGTAATTCAGATTTGGTATTTTGCATGGATTCATGGAATATTCGTCGAAATCGATGGAATAACGCTTTCTGAACATGGATTCTAGTCGCTTCATTTTTCGCTGCAGCACGTCTTGAGATTTCTGATCCATTGAATGCCAACTATTGCCGCTGTCACCGTCACTGTCACTGTCAGATGTGGTATGATCGTAAAAATTATCGCACCATGGAGTCCTTTCGTGATTCGCACAATCATGCCTCAAGTTACCAGCCTGGGACCCATTTATGTTCTGAATAGTGGAGAAAGAAGGTCTTTCGAAATGGAATCGCTGAAGCTGCTGGAGATCTGTCTCATTAGGCTGAGAATTGGAGTTTTTTCCGGAAGAAACATCAATTGAATCCTCTTCTAACATGAGGGTGTCGCGGTAGTTTTTATCGAAAAGCATATCTGAACATACGTCGCTGACCAGAATTTTTTGTCCACGGTCGTTTGAGTCACTGCTTTTCGCCTTTTCAGTCTCAAGGTTTGTAGAACATCTTGGCTCAGCCAGTGGATCGTTTTTGAACGAAATATTGTCGTTTGTGTTCAGATCCTTACTGTAGCCATTTTCTTGGTCCCCGTCTAATGTTCCGTTTTCAACTTTTTGGTTGCCGGAATTGAAGCTCATAACCACTTGTACCGTCCGGGCCTAGATGTCTCAATTACGTTAAAATGTATCAGAAGTTCATTATGGGGTTTGCATTAGTTTTCAAAGTTGTTGTCAATTTCAGCAATTTCAAGAGATCTTGTTCATCTCATCAAAAACAAAGGCTACCCGCGCACCCTACCCGCGCACCCTACCCGCGAATCTACTCGCGAATCTACCCGTGAAACTACTCGTGGAACCACCAGTCACGTGTTACACGGAATCCGCTCCACTACGCTGTAAAATCGTCTCCAGTCCCGATAATACGTGAGTAAGATTTCCAATCTTGTTAATCCATTGTCATTCTCCTACCTTGATCCACATTACGAACGGTAATTTTCCCCTTCGCTAAATTGTGTCATCAGACACAAATCTCACCAGCCGTTGGTGTGACGCACCCACATTCAACGGTTCCTGTAGCCATTTAACAACTATCTCATCATTTGAGTGCTAAAAACACCGCAAAATGACGACAACTGTACGTATCGCAGCCACTCACTCCTCCCTTTCAAACTGCGAATGCTCAGAACAGCCTCATACCTTCACTATTCCGGTAAAACAACATTCTTGATCCTTGATCCTTGTAGTACCGTTTCATCATCATTAACATTCAAAATCCGGGCTTTTGCTTGGCTTGGCGTGGTCTGGCCTGTGTTTCTCTATACAGCGGTGGCTATGCGGTGGCTATGCTAATGCCAACTGTTGGCCAGAACCCTTGATTTATTGCTCCTGTGCCTCCAGCGTGGTTCGAACGGCGGCCGCCCGTTAGAGTTTCTAAGCCGTCAGTGTGCTAAACCCATAATAAATGAAAGTCACGTCTGTCAACGCGCTATAGCAATGGCCGTCGGCATTAAGTCAATATTGCGCTGTGTCGTGGTTTATTGCTAGACAATGACCCCGGCCCATTGCTGCCGCTTAGCGAACTGGTTCTCCAACGGGGGAATAAAAAAGGTATAAAAGGGGCATGGATTGGGGCCCTGAATAAAGGTACAAGGAAGATGATTTTTTGTTTTTGTGTTCGTTTTTAAATCATCACAGACAACTTTTAAGGTTTTAAACCCCGGATATCTGTTTTATCAATCTCTCTACATTTCTCTACATTTCTCTAAACAATGGCTCTCACCCTAACTGATTTTTTCAAACTTCTAGGAGCTGTGATTATCCCACCTTTGGGAGTGTTTTTGGAGCGTGGCTGCACCTGTGACCTGTTGATTAACATCCTTTTGACGTGTCTGGGTTACATTCCAGGTATCGTGCACGCTGTCTACATCATTCTGAAATATTAAAAGCCAAGAATAGCATACCTATAGCATAACAAGTACTACAACGAAAAGAATGAATAGCTTACAGATGAGAAGAAAAAATTAGTGATTGCGCATGTAGCGTTCGGTGTATACGATCTAATAAGTAATGTTAATGACCAAGATGACGCCACAACATACTCTTTGATAGGAAACTTTTCTAATACGATAAAAATTTGTTTTACAAAGTCAACGTCTACGTAACAGGAAAATTTCACTCCACTCACTCCCACTTATTGTGCCTTCTTCTCCTCTGCACTTTGGGCTGCGGCGGCTTTCTCCGCAGCAACCTCCTGTCGCAGCTGTACCAACCGTGCCAGTTGTGGCCCGCACTCGAAAAAGCCGTAACGACGGAATTTGCGGATCTCCTGGTTGATCTTGTACACTTCTTTCTCGTCAATGGTCTTGATCTGGTCCTTAAGATCGTGTTCCACCTGGATCAAGTACTCTTCACTCAAGACAAACTTGCGGCTCTTCTCCATCGTCTTGAACGTCGACTCTGTGAACCGTTTGTCCAACGGTGTTTGGAATCCCTCACCTGTCTCCAAAACAACGCCGGGAGTCGCTGCTTTTTTCATAATACCACTCTTGTAAGCTGCCACCATCCCGCCGGCTTTTTCCAACCGATAGTTGTAGTACGTGTCGCGATAATCATCGTAAGTAGCACGTTTCACACCGATCCATCCGATCGAGCGTAAAGTTTCCTTCAAAGCCTCCGTGTTTTTGGAAACAACCGGTTTCCGGGTGTAGTAGAAGTTTAATGGGTTGACGGTGAGCGGGTTTACCAGCCCCGTGTACATCACAAGCGTCAAAAATAGCACTTTCAAACAGTGCAACGTGAAAAACAACCATTGGGCTATCGTACCGGCGGAATTGACTTGCGTTTCTTCCACCAATTTTTCTGCAATCGCATTGTAACCAAACTGACGAGCCACCACTATCAATCTTCTGGAAAACTGGTTTGTCAAACAGATGCCCGGAGTGGGCGATACCACATCAGGCAGATCCGTGTATAGCCATGCCAGCATGAGCACAACAAACGTGGCAATGTTGGAACGCGATAGTTCCCATTGAGGCAGCACCAATTGGCCAGGCCACAATTGTTCCCAAATTTTCTTATTTTTCAAATCCAACGGTTTACGGTATTCGCGTTTGTCGCAGTCGTAATGGTAAATTAGGCACCCATCTTCCGTCAAGAAACCTGGATGCATTGATTTTGTCAAGCCCTTTGGTTCTTTCTTGTAAAAAATCGATGGTCTCAACACCATAAATTTCGCCAGCCCTGATTTAGGGCTGAACATCTTCATGATTTTCGACTCAAAAGTGTCATCTTTATCGATTTGGAAAGTGTAGTCACTTTCGCAGTCGTCGTTCAACCTCACGCAAATCTCCATTGTATTCGATAAAGTAGCCAATAAGCTTTGAGGACAGTATCTCGATGCGATGTCCTTTCAATGTCCACAAGTTTTGCCACTTGATGTAAAAGTGGTTACTTACGGTAAGACTTCAATAAAATATCCAGATCTTTTTTTATATATTGGAAAAATCGAATGTGCGGGGCAGAGCCCGAAGAAACGAACAAGACAAGATCATTTGAGAGACGAAAAGAGTATGAGAGGAAGACGGAAGAGGGAATGGTAGTCAAACGCATTTGAACGAGATTATAGGCTGGGAGAAAGACCAAATTTAACGTTAAAGATGGTTTTGATAACACGATCACTTTGTACGTGCGCTGATTTTCACATTCACACACATCTGGAGCAGCAGTTGTCAAGAACAAGAAGCCGTAAACTGAGTGTAATGCTCATTATTTGTAGTCTTGGAGATTTTGTCTGAACTGACAACGGGACTATGTGTAAAGACACTTCGAAATGCAAATCTCAGCCGAAAATGGCAACGCATGCCTTTTCATTCAAATAGTGTTCCATTTTGTTAATGCCTGAAGTTTGGGTCAAATGGGAATATTGTAGAGGTAGCTACACTCCCACAGAGATTGTCAGTGATCGATTGTGGACAGAATTGTTCAAATTGAGTTGAACAATTGAGGGCATTAGCAGCCAATTCTGGATAGTAGAGATGGCTGCTGGGACACCTGGCTGTTCAATTGAGAGTCTTGTGGTCTCTACTCTCAATTGCTCAGCACGGTGGCGTTTTGTTGCACTTATCCACATTTCATCGCTGATACTCTCGAATATTCGATTGCTCTTGTAAAACTCTCTAATGTTCACAACTGATCTAGTCCGCTTCGCTCATAGTCCAACAAATAGTGCCACAGCCTCAGTGTATCATCACCGCCTTTCAAAGCTCTTCTTAAACGCTGTTTACCAATCTCTAGTGGTTAGCACTTTCCTTCTATAACTTTTCTAAATTAACTGCATATTTCATCTCATCGCCTACTTCGTTGTGTAAATATAAAAATACAAATCACCCAAAGTTGACAAAATAAGCTCTCCACAAGTCTCATGGCAATGACTGGTACACCTACGGGACTGGAGCTCTACCACTTGACACTGCAGAGACAATCCAACTACGTCCATTCATGTGTGGGTCATTTTGTAGATCTTCCAGACGCCCCAATTGGGAAGCGTAAAACAAGAAAAGACTATCAAGTTTGTATCGCTACAGAAACACATCTTGAGCTTTATGATCTAGAAGAGGGAGATTTTCGACGTCTTGCCCTGATACCAATTTTCGCTACCATCACCGCCATGCAGAGCTTGCCAGTGGAGACCAATTACTCGTATTTGGTCTTGGTAACGGACTCTGGCAACTTATCTTTGCTTCAATTTGTTAACGATGCGAAAGCCATAAGACTGCATTCACTTTTCAATGAGCCATTCGCAAGAAGTGGGCTTCGAAAGGTGGCGCCTCAGAAACACATCGAGGTCGATCCCCAGGGAAGATGCATTTTCGTATCTGCTACCGAACGCAATAAACTGTGCTATCAAACTGACTTCAGAAACAACATTTTAAACGTTTCCTCACCCTTGGAATTCCAAAAACCCAATCGTATCACGATATCAACGACTGTGTGCGACGTGGCCTTTGACAATCCTACATATGCCTCATTGGAGATCGATACCACGGATGGCAGTAAATACTTGGCTTTTTACATGCTGGACTTGGGTTTGAACCATATTATTCAGCAAAGTGAGACTCTACTACCTTCAAGTGCTAGTTTTCTCGTCGCTGTACCGAATTTAGAACGTTACGGTGTCAACGCGAGGTCTGAGCAACACGAGTCTCAAGCTAATGACTCAATTAATTCGTTCGTGATAGTGGGCCTGGACAGTAGGTTGATGCTAAAAGATGCACACGGTTACTTTAGTTTAGAGGTGAATCTACCCACCCGAACTCTCGAGTCCCTCACCATTATCTCAGCAGCGGTGCATAAGCTGAAGAAGGAATTTTTTTTGTTAGTGCAATGCAGCAACGGAGACCTGTACAAAGTGAAAATAATACCCAACGAAGCATTCAATTTTTGCCCGAAGGTTACAGTGGTTTATTTCGATTCTATCGCACCCAGTTCACGGCTTCATATCTTCCGAAATGGTTTACTCTTATCACTGCAAGAGCTTTCTGGATACAGTCTCTATGAATTTGAGAGTTTGGGTAATGATGAAAATCTTTTGACATCTGATGAACCCGCAGAGCATCTTAAAATATCACCGACGTCGCAACTTGAGAATTTGTCTGTACTACATCAATCCGGTAGTTCAAATCCAATTTTGGCGTCAGAAGTGTTGGAATCCAACCCGCTCACACTGCTTATGAGTCAATATAAACGGGATTTGAAGTGTTTGAAGTCCGGCGTCAACTTCAGCGATCTCATCACTTCTCCACTGCCGCCAAAAGCAAGCGGACTTTGGTCGATTCGCCTGACCAGTGATCCTTGGCATAGGCTTATATTACTAGCCCTTCCCAAAACGACAATGGTCCTAAAAGTCGAGGACGGGACACTTGAAGAACTGGAGGCAGCTAACAATAAATTTAAAACTGATAACGATTCCACTATATATGCGGGATTGATGGGGCAAAGGACGATAATTCAAGTGTGCGAGAATTCGATGTTGCAAATAGATTATGAGGGACGCACAACGAAAATGAGCATTAATTCAGAATGGCTGCCCCCAGCCGGTATTAAGATATTGAGAGCAACCAGTTCGTCATCTCAGCTGGCCCTTGCTCTTTCGAATAACGAAGTTGTCTATTTCGAGCTGGATATCACAGCCGGTATGGAAACCTTGAACGAATATCAAGAAAGACTGGAGCTCCCCAATAGAATCACTGACTTAAGTCTTTGCGACGTGCTCAGAAGCGATTTTTTAGCTGTTGGATGCCAAGATTCTTCGGTAAAAGTATACGGGCTCAAATTGGGGTCTGACGATTCATTTCTAGAAATGCTTTCAATGCAAGTCTTACTTTCACCACCCAGTAGCGTCCAATTTATGCCCTCAAAGGCTTCATTACTTCTGCACGTTGGTTTAGACTCAGGCGTCTACATTCGTTCAAGCGTTGATAAATTTGATGGGCAACTTTTCGACCTGCGAACCAAGTTCTTGGGGTCAAGACCAGTCCGAATCACACCTTTGCCGCATGTTGACCATAACATCGTATCACAGGCTGAAGAGGAAGAAGGAGAAGAAGAAGAAGAAGAAGGGCATGGGGAAGAAGAAAAAGAGCCTGAAGCTCATGCGTCTTTAAGTGAATCTTCATGTGTTGTTTTACACTGCGATAAGACATGGCTTAGCTACGAGACTGACGATATGTTCTACGTCAGACCATTCATCCTTTCGAAAAACGTGTCATTGGAGGCGATTGCAGCATTTCGAACAAGTGACATAAAATCTAACGGGTGTTGTGCCATTTCCTCGCGCGGCTCTCTCTTAATTGGACGCCTGGATAAATTCACGAAACGTAACGAGTGGTTTCAACAAAACGAGGAAACTGACGCTGATGATGAAGCTTTGAAAACGACGCAATATCGCGGCCACAGGATCATCTCAGATCCTTTCGATCAAAAGTTATTTTACAGTGTTGAGAATAGTACTATCGGAAAGGCTTGCCGAGTCTCAGCGCATAGATCTGGCTTTTCGTTGGACATCAACACCAAGGAGAATAAGTATTTTAACATCGACGACATTTGTCTGGATGCACAGATTGCGAAGTTCGGAACCAGTAATACTTATTTAGTGCTGTCCACCAAGAGTATGCATCTGAAAACTTTCCTGATACAGAAAGGCTCGAAAGAAAATAAATCCAGCCTTCACATCGAATTCGTTCATGACACTGTGGTCGGTGAGACTATTCATTCTATTGCGTCTTTCGCTGACAGGTTGTTAGTCCCATTCTCCAGCAACTTGGTGCTTTACGCATTAGGACGCAAGCAACTTTTGAAGAAATCAATAAGCTCAATACCTCCATCAGTTTCCAAGGTAGTGAGTGTTTGTACATGGAAAAACGACAGGGTAGCAATCGGAGATATTCACGAGTCCGTGACCTTGTTCATCTTTGACAAGACGTCAAATGAATTCATAGGACTGGCTGATGATGTCGTTAAGAGACATGTAACGACTATCACATTTCTCGATAAATCGACCATCATTGGAGGCGATCGGTTTGGAAATGTATGGGTATTGCGAGTACCACCACACATTGAAAAGCTTATCAGCGAAGAGTATTCTTTCTTTGCAAGCAAATATGAAAAACCTGGTAGTAACGAGCTTCCGCGAAACATTATGGAGTGCCCGTGTAAGTGGGACATGATAAATCATTTCTACGTCAATGACATACCCATCTCATTTCGGGTTGTCAAAGGCTTAGATATGTCAGATAGAGTATCCATCCTATACACAGGACTGCAAGGCACGATTGCATGTTTGGTTCCGCTCTTGACAAAGAATGAGATTGATTTTTATCATGCATTAGAAGATACGCTTCGAAATGCCGATGAGACATTTTTCATGGACAATGAAACTGAAAGCACTTTCCTTGATAATGATTATCGTGACGAAGCTGGTATAGCGGGGAATCTTGTGGCTAAAGCTAAACAATCGAATCCAAGGCCAATGATAGAAGGTGCGTATAGTTTTGTGGGCCGCGAACATTTGATGTACCGGAGTTATTACGCGCCTGTGAAGGGTGTTGTTGATGGTGACTTCTGCGAAAGCTTCTTATCCTTATATCCAAGCGAACAGGAGTTCCTGGTGAACCGAATGTCCGTGAAGCACGTCAAACAGGTTCAGAGTCGGTTAAATGAAATGCGGACAAGTAATATATAGTAATCTATTACAAATTTGGCACACCTAGCAGTGAGCAGCTCCCACGATACCATGGCTTAACGATCTCCTTCTTTTCCAAATGATTAATCAACGTAGGAACTCCTGAGGGGAGAATCTTGCCGAACCAAATTCCGTCCACCTTCGCCGCTTGGCCGGAGCCGAGACCTAGAAACTTGTAAAAAATGATGTTACCGGCAAACTTGTGACCCCCAATGTGTGAAATAATAGCCAAGTCTGTATCTACCCGAGAATTGAGTTTTTGAATTATTTGTGGAGCAATAAGACCACATCTTTCATCTCGCTCATTGTGACCGCAAACCAAAATGATGTCTCTATGGTAGTCTCGACCTTGGTATACTTTGAAAGGAGGTCCCTCCTCCGGGTCGTTCCTTGCATCCAAAAGTTTAGATGCAGCATTAGCTCCTTTCAAATAAGTGAGGAATGAAAGTTTACCGTGGTTCTTAACCTTGCCCTCCCCAAGAAAGTTTGCGAACTCCTCTAATTCGTGGGCATCGACGTCGTAAATTTTCATGTCAGGGACAGTCAAGAATCTTGCCTTTTTAGTGCTCACTTGGGGCTGACGAAGTAGATCTCCCCGTGTCACAGAGATGGCGTTAACTAAAATCCCATCACCTCGGTGTGTGCCCTTCAAATGCGATTTGAGCTCACCAATAGCCGAATATGGCCACTTGTGGTTGAGTTCTAGTTTGCTTTTCCAACCTGACTTCCACGACGGGTCCTGCCCAGGGGCATCCGTTGGAGAAACAAGCATCACATGCCGATGGTAGAGTGGAATTTTGGCTGGGAGGGCTAGTGTGGTGTCCAATTGCTTACTACGGTCTAAACTTCTGTTGAGGTCCTTCACATCGCAATCACAATTGTGCTGGAACGCAGGATCCATCTCCAAGTCAACATGTCTGTAATTAGTGTGTAAAGAAGCCTGTCTGTACAGCCGGGAAATTCGTCCAAATGTTTGGCCTGCAGGTAGCATAAAACTCAAGCCTAAACGCACCATTGTAGTCCTATTTAGACGACAAATACGGTTTCGAAGAATTGCTGATGGAACCAACCAAGTTTTTTCTTCCCAAAAGCTTTTAGATTTCCTGATAAAACACTAGCCACAGTACTCAATTGATGTGTAATGCAGAATGCAAAGTTAAAAGTGAGAGAAGTTGTAGTAGCGGATCAACCTCTTGAAATCAAAAGTTCCATTTGATTGGGATCGTGGAATAAAATTTGCAAGTTTGACGACGAATTCGTAGACTGGTGGTCGAGATAGGGTTCTTCCTTTTATCTCCGCTGTTCTCCGTTGTGTGAACTCCCTCTAGCTCATCGAACTTGACTGAAATTTAATTTTTCAAAATTAAGCGATGAGCTGTGATGAGCTATGATGGAAAGAAGAATAGAACAATTCATAGAGATTCTTTAGCACCCCTAAATGACAATCAAATGCCAGATCTGTAGTGCCCAAGATTCGAAATATAAGTGTCCAAAATGTGGGGTCCGCTACTGTTCTTTAGCATGCTTTAAAAACGCCGAAAAGCATGTACACGATGAGCAGACAACGGAGTCCAAGGAGGAATCGAAGACGCTCAGCGAGAAAGTGGAACTGCCAGTGTTGAAAACGGCTGAATTAGACACGATTTATAGGGAATCTGCGGAAATTCAGCAGCTGCTCAAGTACAACACAGTTAAATTTCATCTTGCGAAAGTTTACCGGATCTTGGGCGCAAGAAGTGAGACGACAGGGGGATCTAAGGGTTCGGATTTGTCGTCTGAGGCCAAACAGCAACTTGCTGTGGACTACCTGAATGCGCTGAGATACGGAGGCGTGCATTTCAACGAGGCAATCGAAGAGTTTTGTCAAATAAGTGCAAAGAAACTTGAGTCCGGAAGCTAGCAAAAGAGCATGAGCGGGGGAAGAGGCCCGTCCAGTCAGGTATCTGGACCGTCATCGTCGATGGGTGGCTTCGGTACGGGAAGAGTAGCTTTCTGGTAGTGACTGCGAAGCACCACGTCAATAAGATTGTGAACCACAAGGGCATCCGTGAAAGTCGGAAATCCACCAAACTCGAAGCCTTGTTTGGAAAAATCGTCGGGCAATTTTCTGGAGGGATTAGCCTTGAAATGGTGATCTGCGATTGCCTCATAAATGCGTAAAATGTTACCGACGATAGAGTTGTAATTGCGGAGGTGGTAAACTTCCATGGTCTCTGCTGAGCTAGTGGAATGGTCTTCATCTGGCTTTTGGCCGCAGAAGTACAGCACCAAATTTGACATTTCTGCAAAGCCCGCGTCACCTTCTAGTTTTAAGTCACCTTTAGTACCGTGAATATCAATGACCAAATTTTTTGTAAATTTCTTGACTGGTGTTCCGCCTTTGAAACTGCAAGAAACCGGCACATTCCCGGTTTCCAGCGTACCTTGGAACAATAAATGGTCTGGTGCTGATTTGGGTTTCTCTTGATCCATACTTTTGTTTCGTTCATCGATCAATCGCTGCTTCGGAATGTTATTGAAAATCATACCATTGACTTCCGAAAAGTAGGACCCTGTGATGTACTGTAAAATATCAATAGTGTGGCCGAATGCCTGAGAGACCAGATTAACACCGCTTTCAGCATCGTAAAGATAATCTGGCGACTTATAGGGTCGTTCGTATCCATAAAATCCTCCAATAGCTGCAATCTCGATACTGTTTATCTCGCCAATACACCCTTGTGACACCAATTCTTTGGCCCTCAGAACGTAGGGTGATTTCCGGCCTTGTAAAGACACAATGGTTCGAATTCCACGTAAGGAAGCCAGCCGGTACACTTCTTGAGCCTCTTGTAGATTGCGGCCTATACTCCATTCAGCAAACAGATATCTGAAACTAGCATTGCCCTGAGAGTACTTGAACAGATCGGCTACCACTTTATAGAAATTGGGTACATTGATGGAGACTACGATGAGGTCCACATTTTCGTACTGCGCAAATTGTTTCACGTCCTCGAACGGTTTGGCCCGCACCAATTTCAATTTCTCAATGGTAGCCTTGGAAGCTTCTAGATCAACATCCAGAACCGCTGTGATCTGAAATTGAGATGATACTTGTAGGAGCGCAGGATAATGCGATTTTATGGCCCATCCCTTGTTAGCAGAAAGTCCAATGAACCCCACACGTAATGGACTTGTCCCTGGTACCGTTGATACTGACGATCGCTTATTCATGAGCACTTGCTAGACCCGTAGGAGTACGGCCTTCTCCACAAGTTTATCGTTAGAACTTGATACAGCTCAAATTGTGTACTTAAGTTGAGGTTGTCATGTGGATCTCACGCGAGCTCATCGCTTGACGGTTTTAGCTGCTCCTTGAACTGTCAACCTCGTCAACAAGAAGGGAAGCTTTAATGTTTTACACGATGGGAGGCACGGAAAGAATCGTCTGGGAAAATGCTAGACAGAGTTGTGGTTTTCAATTTTACGCCCTGACTTTCAAGTAGCTTTCCATAGAGTACAGATTTTACAAATTTAAAAGCAAGAGTACACTGGAGCACAATTGCAGGCCAGCAGTGTGTTAACTAGGGATCGTTCTCTATCCATTGTGAGGTTTTACCGAATGGATGCCTCTTATCTTGTTAAAGCTGTTCAGTACTGTTAAACTAGCGTTTAATTTACATCTCCGTTAGTCGTCAACGCTGGAAGAGCCTATCCCGATAACGACCTCAAATCGTGATCGATACACGCCGTAGACTTTCTTTAAGGTATCAACTAGCTCAGTTCTGGAATTCCATAACCTTACATTATGATCTTAACTCTATGATCGCTTCAATGTGTTGATGACGGCCATCACGTATAGAAGAATGCAAAGAAATAATCTCCGGTATTAATGATTATGCACTCTGGGATTAGTATATGACAGAGTTCGATAAAACGCTCAAAAGCTTCGAGACATAAAGCTCTTGGTCTTGGCAATAAACAATGAATTAAATGCTTAACGTACCTCTTAGCACTTTCGTTACATTAAATTATTAAAATGTGGTGGTATATGAAAAGTGTATTTTTTTAGGATTCGGGTTTTTGCAGGGCTCGAAATGTCGAAAGCGAAGCGCAGTATTAAAAGTGTTTATTGGTATCGCGTGCAAACGTTGGACAAGCCAGGTTTAGCTCCCCATTCATGAGTGATCCGCGTCCCTTCTTTTGATTTAGAATTGGTCTGATAATAGGAATATAGGGATAAAGATATGCATGTGCAATAGGGCAGTGTGCTTCAGAAATAATACAATGGATGGATACCGGAAGAACTTGAATGAAAGGTTGGGTGGATAGAAAAGAAGGGTTCAATGGTCAAAAACTTGTGCGAAAAAGTCTGTGGTGAACACAAAGTGAAATTTCCAAAGACTTAAACACTTTCTTGATCGCCTGGCTTTTGAGTCTTGCGGATCTTGAAAAATTTGATACCACTGTGATGGGACTCTGCTTGAGTTTCAGGAGCTGGGACCACTAGACCAGCAGAGTTGATGCCTTCGTTGGCCTCACCACCGTCGTGGATCGCGTAGGACTCGGTGTCAGGCTGTAGAGCCTCTTGTTTGCCTTGGTACATCAAAGCTTGTTCCTTGTATTTTTGCATTTCAACGTATTCCTTGTGGGACTGGTAGGCACGACGCAAAAAGGTAACACCGGTACCAAAGAAGATGTAAAGCGAGCATGCAACACTGGCCCAGGCGATACCGAGAAGTGTGGCACTGATGTTCGCAGAGTGACCAGCTTTGGTAAAAGTATTGCGGGCCATAACAGTGGCCGCAGTTTGACAACTCACGGCAGCAGCGTCAAAGAGGGCTCCGACAGTGGCAAGCAAAAACACAACTTTGGTGAACGCATAAGAACACCACGAAAGCGCGTACAACAAGAAGGACACGCCAATGAAAGCAAGGGCGATCCAGAAGAAACAGAATGAGAAACGGGTCAAATAGAAGTAAGTAGAGCGGGAATTCACGAAATCAGAGGGCAACTCACTGGAGGGAGCCTGGCCAAAGTTGTCACGAGGCGAGATCGGGTACGCTGGGGCCAAACTTGGGCAAACCAGCTTGTTGGACGAGTCGAACGAACACAGACCCCAGAAGGTCCAGCGCGAATTGCCGGAGGGGGCCCCAGTGATGCCTGTTGTGTCGGCCTGCAACCAGTAGAAACGGTCCACTGGGAAGTTGGTGGTCGAGCCGGACAGCACGATCAGAATGAGCAGCAGCGTAGCGCCTGCTAGAAACACCAGGGTGATTGTGCGATTGATAGCAGAACCCACAGCCATTGCGATTTTGATTAGAAATTTGGGGATTGATGCTGTCTTTTTTGGGATGCAAATTTAAATTTGTCTGTTCTTTATTGGAGAGACCTTAAATTAGGAACAACGTCAAATTTCGAACAGAAAAAAAATGCCAATACAATGAGAATGGAAAGAAAGGAAAGCAACTCAAACCAAAATAAGATGGTTTACCTTGGACCTTTAAAATAAATTTCCTTGGAGCCTTGGCTTTTCTAGCAATACCTGCAGTTTCTCGCAAGAGATTTTGATGAACACTTCTTAAATTCGTCAATATTCGCACCAGGAACCGTGCCCACTGTACCTTTTCTTCATTTGCCCTTGGTCCTATTTATACCCGAAACTTTCCGCGCTCTGCCCCGACTTACGTCAGCATGTTTTCCAATTAGGCTCTTTTTTCCCCTTTTTGCAATTTCTGAGGTCGGTTTGTTGCTGTTTTGCTGTTAAGGGTAACTTGAGGACAAAAGGGCGGCTGTGTGTTGGGCCGGGTAATGCGATGCCCGCGAGGGTGCTGCTGCATCTTCTAAGGATGTGAGCAAAGAAGCCCAAATAGCACAACATGGAGGAACGCAATGCGCAATGTGTGCTGCTGGATTTTCTGGGTGTGCTGTCGTCGTCGTCCCCCGTCCCCGCACGCGTGTGCGCTGCGACTGCATCTGACGGACGAGTTCGCAAACCAATCTAGGCGGCAATCTGAGCAATCGACGTAAGTCGTTATACTTCTGCGCTTCTGTGCGTCAGGGGTATTGTGTTCTTTGCATTGCTGTAGAACTGCGCTGCACAGCAAAGCAATCGATGACGACTCGAAAAACTCACAGTCGGGTCGAAGAGAGGTTTTATACTCTCCTTATGAGACATATAGACTCTCGGAGTGGAAAGGAAGAAGGGGAGGATTGAGTGTCACGTGGACCGGTTTTTACTCGAGAACAGCGGTAAATGCGCCGTGGGAACGGGTGTATGGGTGTATGGCGAATGCTGGGTGGCTGGGTGTATGGGTGGCTCTAATGATTTAAGTTTGAGAGAGTAGTGTGAGGAGGATGAAAGGTCGCTTGTGCTTGTAATAGCGATACTCTTGATTGATAGACCCTAGAGTGCGTCTTGTAGACGCGGAAGATGTAAAAAGGGCGAGAGACGTGGGATGGGTCCTGTTAATGAAATGATGAATAGGTTCTACTTGATGAATCAGTTCCTCTTGATGAATCGCTCTTGATGAACCAGTTCCTCTTGATGAATCGGTTCCATTTGATGAATCGGTTCCTCTTGATGAATCGCTCTTGATGTATCGCTCTTGATGAATCGGTTCCTCTTGATGAATCGCTCTTGATGAACCAGTTCCTCTTGATGTATCGGTTCCTCTTGATGAATCGCTCTTGATGAATCGGTTCCTCTTGATTTCTCCATGTAGATTAAGAGACCTTCCTTGAGAAAAAGATCTCCTTTGAGAAGAGGATTCCCCTTTTAATCACGACACTCCTGGTTGATGTGTATAGACTGGCCCTAGCATGCGTCTAGCTTGCTCCTCATAAGGGAGAATAAAAGACTCTCTGTAACCACAATACTCTTGATTGATGCTATGGTGTTTTCCCCTGCTCTGATCCCGTCAGATTGTATAAAGGGCAAAAACGTTCTGCTATATTGGAAAGAATTTCTTTCCATGAGAAGATACCTCTGCCATGTCGGAAAGATTCCGACACATGGAAAGATCTCTCTCCAGTGATGAAAAATACCTCTGCGATGTTGAAAGATTCTCTTGATAGATAAAAACCTCTGCAGAGTGTTCAAGACATCTCTTGATGAAGTAATCATTCTGTAATGATGAAAAGATTCCTCTGTAGAGATCAAGAGATCTCATTTGATGGAAAGGCTCTTCTTGATGGAAAGATTTTCTCTGCAGTGATGAAAATACTTCCCTATAGAGATCAAGAGATCCCCCCTTTTCATTCCCTTTCACTTGGTTCTCTTCTTCTTGCTTCTCCGATCGGGTTTTTCTCTTTGTTGCAAGAACCTTTCTGTGAGCTCCGGGACCACACACCGTCTGGGCGGTCTTTCCACTGACATAATAGGTTTTGATAACCGAAACGTTGGACTCGTCAAACCCGCAATCTGGTCACTTGACTCGGACCCCTTCTTTCCAGACTTGTCAAGGTCCCACGAAGAACATTTGGAATCCTCTAAGACGCCATTTTGTCCGCTTTTTTCTTGTTTCCTATCTTCACACCATTTGGCCAATTCGTGTGTCGAAACACCTTGCTCCAAAAGCTCCAAAACGTCCCCCAAACACTCCACATACCCCATGTGTCTACTAAGTGAGCTTCTCTCCGACGACAACCTGTACAGACTGGTCACCGCGTTGGCGGCTATTTTGAACTCTTGTGTAACCTGGCGGTTTAGCTTATCGATATTCTGGTCGTTCACAGGACCCTCTGGCGGGAGACTTTTTTCCAGACTATTCAACTGTTCCATGTTCGAGTTTATTGTGGTGTGGTCGTGAACGTCAAAAAGCGCTTTATTGCTGAAAACAAATCGCGTTCGATGTGTGATCTGGTGTGTAACAACGTTGAGGTTTTTCATAAATTTACATAATGCTATAAAACATCATTGGTAGATCACTTTAAACGCACTAAACCTTACTATATTCTTGAAATGAACTAAAGAAACTCGATTAGACAGTAAAGTTCGTACTCGATTTGTGACACATCAGACCTGAGATAGTGTTGTGAGTCAGCTGTGGGCGTTTATCCACCACATGCCAGTCAAACTCATGTCTTACCTATAGTCCTTTTCGATGAACTTCGTCTACACTGTTGACCCGAAATCTAACGCTCTTTGGAAACCTCACCCGAGAACAAAGGTGTTGATCTCATCGAAAGAGTATTGGCAGCTCTTCGATGTGCTGTGGAGCGCTCTTTCCCGGCAACTTTAAACGATTTGATTTTGAGCACCTTCTTCGCGTGAAACGTGACTTCGAGTTGATTCTCTACTCGAGCCGCTAAATGGTCCCATCGCACGTCTGGGTCGATTTTTTTCAGTATGGGTCCATATAAGAACCTGATGTATTATTTCGGAGCTATGGTGAACTACTGCCAAAAATTGATAAAAACAGACACGCGTAACGAAATTTGGCCAAAACTGCTCTAATAGAGGCGATAATTGCCCAGCATTGAGGTCCCGTGGGTAGCTATATTTAAGCATGTTTCAATCTTTCGATAGAGAAAGCTTTTTTTGCGGGAACGCAGTAGGCAACGCTCTAAAAAGAGACTTTCAATGCTATAACGAAATCGGAAACGGATCCACCAAAACGCAGACTAGTAGCCCCAAAAGACTGAAAAAACCCAAGGACTGCAGATCTAGTGCACAGCCATGGCCTGAAAGCTCTAGAAGCCCGTCACCCACGATAGACAACACATTGGAGGCAATCGCGATGAGCAGGCGACCTGGCTCAGGCGCCGCTCACGAATCATCGCCGTATGTTGAAGTGGAAGACTACATACGAGAGGGCTACGGTTCTCCATTCATCAATAGCGCCTATAATACAAGACTGAGTCTTGAAAACATTACGCCGGTCAATTATAGTTTGTACGACGTGGAGGCCGAAGAGTTCGAAGAAAGCGATTATACAGGAATGGCTAACCGAGAAACGCAAGAACAAACTCCAGATTCAAGTCAGGATGTGGAGATGGAGTTGGAATGAACAAGTTCACGAAAAATAATTGCATGAAGTGATGATAAACAACAAGGAATCAAGATAGAATTGAGAATTGGACAATGTTTGTACGTTTAATGTACGTACAGGTAACGAAAATAGCAAAGCTCCGAGCTCGGCTTGAATATACGTCTACTGGATGAAAAAACCTATCAAACACCATCCGTCGCAAAGTACCAAAAAAATATCTCCCGGGGGCGATTCGAACGCCCGATATCCAGATTACAGTGTTAACATTACAGTCTGGCGCCTTAAACCAACTTGGCCACCGAGAGGGATATTTATGGTGTTTAAAATTCTCAATAGTATATATAGACAGCATCTACCACGAGATTTCACATACCTCTGCTAAATAGCTGGCTCAGATACATCAACTTGCTTCGTGATGAGCATGGTAAAGCCTTGGTGTTCAATGAGAGCTGAGGTACAGCCTTTTAGTTTTGAAGGCTGTCTCAATTCTGATTCTCCCATTTGCTGATGCCGCGTGGTCTGCTCGTTCTTATCGAAGGGCTAGATAGAACAGGTAAAAGTACACAGGCCGCGAAACTTGTCGAAAGTCTCAATAACAATGCTCGTCTGGTTAAGTTCCCAGATCGGACCACCCCAATAGGTAAATTGATCAATCAATACCTTGTGGAATCCGAGACACAATTGATGGATCAGGCCATTCATCTTTTATTTTCTGCAAACAGATGGGAAGTCGCTGAGACGATAAGAGCTACTTTATTGGAAGGTCGAACCGTTGTAATGGATCGGTTCGTGTATTCGGGGATTGCTTATTCCGCAGCAAAGTCTGTACCTGGAATGGATCTGCAGTGGTGTGCCCAGCCCGACAAAGGACTTTTGAAACCAGATTTGACCTTCTTCCTCTCCAACAGCCAAACCGAGCAGCGCGCAGGATTTGGAGATGAACGCTATGAGTCCTCAAGCTTCCAAAGTAAGGTGCGTCAAGAATTTGAGATCATTTTTAACACCTTCGAAAGCCCAGACTACATAAAAAATCATATGGTGTTCCTCACCACCACTGGCAAAACCATAGACGAGGTGCATGTCATGATAGATTCAGCGCTCAAGAAGTTTATCCAAAAGGGTATTTACAACGAAGATTTTATGTACTTTTAATTTAGCCTATCCAAATAGTTGACCCGCTCCAGCAGTACTAGTTTTGAAGTTTCCTGTATTTCCCCACCAATAAGCAGCTCATCCAGCACCATGTATGCCTTGTGGAAGTTGAATACAAGATCCAGCTCACAAACATTGCCAAAAAAGGCATCCAGCACCTCCACGAAAAGGTGTATGTATGATAGATATATCACTTCTTCATCTTCGAGCTCTATCCCAAGCACAAAATAAAGCCCCGCATATCTCTTATACACGAGCTTTGTCGAGTCTGAAAATTCGACGAAATTACTCTGGTGTCGATGGTCTCTGGACGAGATCAACTTGTATATCTGTGCTATTGTCGATTGATTGTTGGAGGACTCGCCGGGGAACGGTTCAAAAAGTCGGATCAGTCGAAGCGCTCCCTGCTTATTCAAACAAAGCACAAATTTGATCGCCATCAGATATCAAGAGGTCTGTTTCCTCTATCTCTTAGAATTCCCACCAAATTTACAGGTTGGTCGAATTATAATAATGACTACCGTATATATAATCTTAAAACATTGAATCAGGTAAAGCTCTTGAAAAAGGTAGCACTTTTTCTGCAATAGAAGGGCCCCACGTTCTAGCCAAATTTGGCTTGAGAAGTTGTGATGGTTCAGGATGCTGAGTTGACTTTCCAATCCTTACGAATTGCGTTTTCAGACCAAATTCGAGGCAATTTCGTAAGACTTCCGCTTTCTATTGTTCATGTACTTGAAAACACCGCGATACCCGTTCAAGAATTCGGAATCACAGTGAGTACAGATGAAAGCAGGGTGTTTGTAGGATGGGATGGTTTCGAAGCATCGCAATCACTCAACGGACAAAGTTGTGTACAAATTAATCCTATCCTGGCCGCAGCGCACAAGATCAGGGAAGGATCAGTGGTGAACTTGCGAATCAGACATTTTGATCAAAGTTTAGTGGCTAACGAAGTCTACGTAGAACCGCAGTCAAGTGATGATTGGGAGGTTATTGATGGAAATGCCAGGTTCCTTCAGGACAATATGCTATCCCAGACACGAATTGTGGCACAAAATGAGTTGCTGATATGCTACGTTGAGCATACGGTGGCGAAGTTCACAGTTCAAAAAATCGTCCCGTCATTTTCAGGTGCTGCAAGAATCACTACTGATACATTGATCATAGTGGCGCCCAAAGTCAACAAGTCAAGACTTGTGAATGGTAAATCTGAACGGTTGGAAGATACGCACTCAACGCACAGACCAATTGTTCTAAGAACAGTGCAGCAGACTGAAAAGCTGCGAGGTTTATCTATGAGTGTTTCCCCGCAAGTAGTCAAGTCTTCTCTGGCCCTTATATGTATCGTAAGAAACCCTTTGGAGCCGTTGTCCGAGGGCAACTCAGAAGAAGAGACAAAACTTCAAAGTGCACAAAGCATTGCTGTTTCCGTGACAGTTGATACCAAATTATACGAAGGGCATCTCGGGCTATCTCGCCTTACTTGGGCTTCTCTTGGACTTGATCCTCAAAATGGTCACAAAGTAAAAGTGAGTTTTGTCTCTCTTCCACCCGAGCAAGCTCCACCAACCGCATTCGTTTATCCTATAGATCAATCCAAAGACATCAAGGAAGCTTTGATTGTTGGCAAGCGTCCAACTCCGCAACAGCGTGAATTTCAGGGCTTGAATTCAGAGATGACGGGCTCAGTACTGACAAATGGGTTAGTTTTGCCACTCGACCAGGTATACCTTGAATTGGTTTCAAAAACAGGAGAACATGTGCCGTTCTATGAATGGCAGGATTCAGAGATCGAATTTAAAGTTATGGATAAACCTGTTAAAGTTTCCTGGACTGAGCATTTCGAAACTAAAACGGAGCTCCCGATATGCGTTGGAATCGAAACGCTATTAGAACAAATTCAGAATTATCTAATGCTTCCGATAATGAACTCTGGTAGCTCGCTGGTAACTGGGTCTAGCGGTATAGGCAAGACTTTACTCGTTAAGCAAGTCAAAACGCACCTGGAGTCTACGACGGCTTTGCATGTTGAGTATTTAGACTGCGAAAGCTTCATGGACAATACCAATTTTGTAAAAATGAAGCAAACCCTGCAGCGACTGATGGCATCTTGTTATTGGTATGCGCCATCTCTACTGATATTAGACAATGCCGAAATTTTGTTTCCTCACAACAAATCCGAGGATGAACTTCAATCCCCAAGCAATGCAATCGACGTTTCTTCCAGGTTAAGCCGAGTCTTTATTCAAGAACTTGAGCAACTTCTAACAAAGGCAACAGGAAGTGTGCGTGTGCTTCTAACAGCAGAGCGACGTGAGAAACTAAATCAAACACTATTTTCAAGACACGCAATTGGCAAGACATGGAACCTAAATGCCCCAGGACGAGAATTTCGGGCTACTCTCATCAATCAGTTTCTGAAAGACAAATCTTTAAATCTTTCGGATGATCTTGACCTCTCTACATTAGCCACTGAAACCGAAGGCTACTCCCCGAGAGATCTTCTTCTCTTGTCAGAAACACTATTGTGCGAACATCTTTGCGATCAATTGAGCACATCTCTACCAGTGACACAAGATACTTTTGAGCGGACTATTTCCTCCTTTACGCCTTCTTCCCTGAGGGGTATAAAGTTGCAAAAGGACACGGGCGTCAGATGGTCTAGTGTGGGTGCGATGCACAAAGCGAAGGAACTTTTGTTGGAAACACTGGAATGGCCTATCAGGTATGCGCCCATATTTTCGAAATGTCCTCTACGGTTGAGATCTGGTATTCTGCTGTACGGGTACCCTGGATGTGGCAAGACAATGCTAGCGAGCGCTGTGGCTCAACAATGCGGGGTAAATTTCATATCTATCAAGGGTCCTGAGATTTTGAACAAATACATTGGAGCCAGCGAACAAAGTGTGCGAGAATGCTTTGAGAGAGCACAGGCTGCACGACCTTGTGTACTGTTTTTTGACGAGTTTGACTCTATTGCGCCTAAAAGAGGGCACGATTCCATAGGGGTAACAGACCGGGTTGTGAACCAAATGCTGACACAGATGGATGGTGCAGAAGGTCTGGAGGGCGTCTACGTCTTAGCTGCTACCAGCAGGCCAGATTTGATAGACTCCGCCCTTTTACGGCCAGGGCGTCTCGACAAAAGCGTGCTTTGCGGATTGCCCTCGGCTCCCGAAAGGTTGGAAATACTCCAGACCATTATAAACGCTGGGGACATGTTAATAGATTCAGATTGCGATTTGAAAGAGGTTGCAAATAATACTGAGGGTATGTCTGGCGCTGATCTGCAGGGCCTATGCTATACGGCGTATTTGAAAAGCGTGCATCGCAAGATGGAGCTGGAGCCCCAGCCAAAACAGGTACAAGACCGTACAGATGACGGCGGGGTCTCTTTTGAGTATTTCATGGCGAACGGAGATTGTGCTGACGCAGCGTGTGTTCTGAGAGCGAAGGAAGTTTTGGCAACGCAAAATGCCGCACCAGTGGCCTCAGCGACGCTGCTAAATTCCACTAATCAAAACAGCTCTAACGCTACCGAGAACAAATCTCCACGCATCTCTAGCGACGATTTACGAGACGCATGTCGTGAGACCAAACCTTCGATTTCGGTCGCAGAGCTTGAAAAATTGACAAAAATCTACGGCTCATTTTCTAGTAATAGAGATGCCAAAATGCCATCTGGAGAGGCTTCTAATGAGATTGGTGGAAGGATGACGTTGATGTGACAGAAGAGCATTGGGAATCAAGTCTTGGTGTCTGGGTGTCGGTGTAGATCGTTCACGTGCAGATATGGTCACATGCACAGGGCCATTATACTCCTTTTTCATTTTTCGGGTTTGCGCTTCCGTTCCCTTATATAAATACACCCGTGCATCCCAAGACCACCACCCATGGCTCCCTCAAAGAGAAACTCAGGGAAAAGCTAATTCATTGAAATTGAATAGTAATTTCGACCTAATTAAAGTGCAAATTGAAAATGGGAACTTCAAGACCAGAGCTTTAGACAGAGTACTCGAACAAGGTTTAGACAACTGAAGACGGATAGGACGATTGGGAGTAGCTGAAAGGGATAACAAGAAACGGAAATTTACACTCACGTAGATATTACGGTCCCAACACTCACGAGAAACGCTGGATTTTAGCAGGTTGTGCAGCAATTCAAACCGTCTCTTCACGGTTTTCCTGCGTTGAATCACTGGAAAAGACAGACTTATGGTCGCTATTAAGGACAGTCCAGGATTGGGCAGTGCAGCGGTACAAGCAGTCAACTCCCTGCTTCCCAGCAGTCCAAAAAATGGGAAAAATGGGGGAGAAGGAAAGATAAATGGAGAAACATCGTCTGGAGCAAATAGCAGTAGTGGACGCAGAAGCCCCGCAAGCCGTCCAACAGGCCAGATCAACAGAAGCGCATCGGTCAAGAGCCTGAATCCGCTGAAAAAAATATTTCATAGGTCGCAATCGCACCACGAATCCGTCGAGCGGACCAGAGCGGACCGGTCTCCGCTAAGTGCGGACCAGAAGTCTCGAAACCGAAGCTCCAGTTTTTTGCAACGCATGCATCCACAGCACCATGGTGCCACGGGCGCCACAGGGCTCGCTCCATCCCAACAGCATTCGGGCCAGCACCGGGAGCTTTCAAAACAGCCGTCGTCGCAAATGCTGAACGGACCGAAATCCCATAATGTGAATCCGTTTTTAACGTCGCGAGCAAACGGGTTTGATTCTCCGTTCAGTGCACTTGGTCGTGGTACGGATATCGCTGCTCCACGGCAGTCGTACATGAATGGATCGAACCCGATGTCGCGCAAAACCTCGTCCAACGAGTCTAATATGGTGTACAACCCATACGGTACACTTTCCAAAAAAAACACATCGAGTTCACAACACGATTTGTCTTTCTATCTGCACGACGGTAAAGAAGAGTTGCCCTTGCTGCCTACGCCGTTAAAGGATCCAAATGAATACCTCCCGGAGGGCTATAAACAGTACAGCGTGCAATTAGCCGACAATTTTACATATCCGGAAAGAAATTCGGCGGACGATTTGCATCTTGGTTCTGGTGGATCGAGCGAAGTACGCACAGTGCGGTCTGCGTTCCACAAGAAAGAATTGTATGCGTTGAAGAAATTCAAGCTTTTGAGGAATGAAAAGGCTGATCACTTTTACGAGCGTTGTTCTAAAGAATTTATCATGGCCAAGCGATTGAGCAAAAATCCTCATATTGCTAATACTTTCTATTTGGTGAAAGTCTCCACAACCACTTTTATGACCCGAGGATGGGCTTTCATCATGGAATATTGCCCTGGTGGAGACTTGTACAGTTTAATCACTCGGCCTGATTGGAGAAAAAGGTCGCTCAAGGAGAAATTCGATTACTGGAGACAAATTGTAGAGGGTATTCATTTCATTCATACGCAAGGCGTGGTGCATCGAGACATAAAGCCAGAAAACGTGCTCATCACTCAAGGTGGGTGGGCTAAACTTACGGATTTTGGCATCTCCGATTGGGGCCATGAGGATCCTGACGATTTGAGTAGTCCCATAAAATTGTTCGACACCTACGTGGGATCCCCACCATATACTTCCCCCGAGGTAATGTGCTTCAATGACGAGAATGCTACCAAGCAAGATAAAATGCCGTATGATGCTCACAAGATGGATTGTTGGGCATTGGGGGTAATTCTTTTCACCTTGGTATACCAAAATACCCCATTTGTGGAAGCGTACAAAACAGATTCGAAATTCAGGTCGTACGTTCTTTCTTATGATAATTTTGTCGATCACAACAACCCACAATTCAAAAAATCGGGGATTTACAAGCCTGGACCAGGAAGTGAATTTCAGTATGGGCGCGAATTCCAAAATACTGGTGCCTCAAGAGTGGCATGGCGACTTGCAGATCCCAACCCAAAAACAAGATACACAATGGACGATATTTTAGCCGACCCGTGGTGGGCTCAGATCTCAGAAGGTATCAGTGAACCAACGGATGCTGTTCCAAAACTACCAGAATTGAGAAATTCCAGTTATGACAGTAGTGGGGATAGAACGGCCTCGCGGTCGGCTGCCAATTCGGAAGAGGACCTTGTGATGCATACATCGAATCCTTTTTTGAATCACAATCAATCAAAAGCCAAATCGAAATCAATGCTCTCTATTGCGGAAGTTCGTCCTGCGGCAGTCTCCGGATCATCGCCTCGTGGTAATGAATCGCTGGCGACCCTAAATGAGGATAAGGCAGTTGAGGCAGAAGATAATTTTGTAGACGCTTCGGCCGCGGGACTTGGAGATGCAGTCAAGACTTCATCAACCGAGAAAACTGGAGCTGAATCAGCAGATGAGATGGGTGCTCCGGCCGCTGCTGATTTTGTAAATCAAGGAAGTCTGAGTCAGTTGTCGCTGCGAGACTCTCGAGATGTAAAGTAGAGCATGAGGACACGGAATCAGGTTGTACAACTTGTCGACGTAATTAGCGCAAGTAGGTATGTTTATTGTAATGTTAAGCAAGTGGTGATGACGGACGAGAGAAAAAACGTGAGCTTGGAAGTTGGGACAAAACATGTTTATGAATGAATTTGATGTTTAAAAGATACTTTGGCACTTTCAAACGCAAGGTAGGAAACGAAAGAATGGTGAGTAAACAAACCCAAAAAATTGAATCAATATCGGTGAAGGTTACTATAACAGGATATAGATCAGGTAGTCGAATGACCGTGTTCTACGAGGATGACTAGTACTGATGTTCACGGAATACTTTGGTGACAAATAAAATCTGGAAGGGTAGTTGAGAACTTATGGAAAAAAAACTGACATCATAAAAACCGTGAATGACCAGTGAATGTATGCACGCACAATGAATCGCTACATCATAATAGGACATTGCCTGATGCTTTGGAACCTTTACCCTTATCATTTTATTATGGAGCGTCGCTGACACGTTCTAAAGTTAACGTATTAGTATTAAGTGACACTACCCGAAGTGTTCGAATACGCTTGCCAGTGGCTATTCCAGGACATGAAAGCAGTGGCAACAGGTTAGTCGTGGGATCTAATGCTTGTGAAACCATAGTTAATGCTATAAGTGTTGATTTTTGTGCTGCTCTTTGAAAACAAACATTCACTCGAAATCCGGTGGAAGTGCAAATGACATAGAGCACTATCACTCTAGCCCTCAACAGGAGCCTGATAAGCAGTTCGATTGATTCTCATTCGACTTCAAGGTCCTTACACCCTGTGGCTGGAATCCAGAAATGTTCATGAGTCCAAGAGTCCCGTCAGGGTCCTAACCGTCAAAAGTGATATCAATATTCAAGTTTCCCGTAAGAAAGGATAACCTCATGAGTCCGGCTTGAGTCCGACTTCGGTACGGCTAATCCATTGTATCTTCCATTTACTCTAAGTCTCGAACGTTTAACAAGAAAGCACCGGGCTTTACGTTCGCGTTTGAGGATGCTGGAAACTTCAGAACTATGCATAAAGGACGGCACAAACGCCGAAGTACCTATGAAGATCTGAACAATGACTCCACGAAAACGCAGCATTCCAAGAGAACAGCTTTTTCTGATGATTGCAGTACTCTTTTACACGACAGTTCTCAGTTGCCAAAATATTTTAATACCCCGGAAATTGAAGCACAAGAGCAGGTTTCTGCTGATGGGAGCGTCAGACACTCGGAGGGTGAAGGAATATGCCGTGCTGATGTTGAAAAATTGCAGAGTCCGGCTTGCCACATAAATGTGAGCCAAGTTATCACTGGATCTGCAGCAGGGCTCATAATTAGCCAAAAAGTGGACATTCCATTTTCCAAGAATCCTCCGTTAACTGTGCGACAAGAGATTTCTGGCCTTGACATTGGGCAAGCATGCCCAGTCAATATAAACCAAGTGGTCTCAATTCCCATTCAAGAGCTGAATTTTCCTAAGCTAACGGCAGGAAATGCAGACCACACAAACATTCAACCTGTTAAATCTCATCACCACAGTGATTCAGGTGAACAATCGGGTGTGGAACAAAAAAATTCAGCTCATGATTATAGCTTAGTAACGCCAGATTTGGCTAAGCAATTAACGGAACCGTTCTTGAAGTTCCTCTCTTTAAACAATTCTAATCTTCTTCTATTGAGTGTGTTCATCGATGGTGTCATTCCGCCAAAGTTTGTCGAATTTCCTTCAATGCGGTCTTTGGTTAGCACACTTGGAGGCGAAGAACAAGAAAAAAATCTTATTTCAAGAGAGGACTTAGTGGAACTCCTGAGTCGTTTTGAAGAAGAGTTTAACTTGCAATTGAAGCACACGTTACAAAGTACGCATGATCTCAACCTTGTTGTGGATTCGTGGACTTCCGTAGACCAAACCAGCTACATGGCAATCTGGGTTTCCTTCTGCCCTAAGTTGGACTTGAAGCGCGAACTACATGAAGAAGACGTTACCGCATGCGAAAGACCTACTTCTCATATTCTAGGCTTCGTAGAACTCAGTGCCGAGAGGTGTGATTCAGAGAACATCAAAGCAGCTGTCCTGACGTGTCTGCAGCCTTACTCAATATGCTCCAAAATACGCAGCATAACCTTGAACAATGGTTCAAACAATGTCTCCATGTTAGAAAGTTTGAATAGAGATCTACAACAGCGGGAAGAAAATTCTACAGAGGGAGGCATCGTTAACGTCAGATGCATGAACCTTGCTCTAAACCTCATTTTCGAAGAGTTGCTGAGGCCCTTGGAAACACTGAATGCTAGTCTGTTTTCGAGAATTGATAAGCTCACTCATCTTTTGAAAAACAACGTTAACATCCGACGGAAACTCCGCTCATACATTGCTCACGCTATTCCTGAGCACAACGATGCAGTGATCTTCTCGCGCTATTTTCAACTCGAAGCCTTTTTGAAAGTCTCAAGAGGTGTCTGGACTTTTTATCTTGAGAATAGTTACAATCCCAAGTACCAGCTATTGCCAGAAGATTTGCCAATATTCCATTACGAGAAAAGGGACATGGAGTGGGTCTCACTATTCGTTCATCTGACAACCATTTTCAAGGAACTGAAGTTGATTTTACGCGACGACGAAACGAGCTCACTCTCTAGCGGCATTGAGTACTACATGCTAATGGACTCATATTTCAAATCTTGTGACAGTATAAGAAACGGTTCCGTCGATGGCAATTGCTTGGAAGATGTTGGGCTGAATGAGTCTCACTTATCTGCCCCCGAAGATGTGCAGGAACAGATTTTCTCTGCTATTTTGAAGGCGCGCCCTATATTTGACGAGTTTAAAGCTATTGCACACGAAGAACCCGGATATTGGACGGCGCATATGCTTCAACCAGGTGTCAAGACATATGTGCTGAACGAAAAATTTGATACGGCTGATCGAAATCGTATACAACAAATGGCGGATAGGCACGTCGCTTGGTATATTGAAAACTTCGCAGAAGAGCGAAAAGTCTCGCCTATTCGTGATGGTAAAGACTCTGTTAACGTCGGAAGTCTCATTGATGAAAAGTATAAAGTACTGAAAAACCTCAAAACGCTGCGTGCGAAGTTTACAGCGAATCAAAGTGGTTCAACCAACAATGACTGGCAGACATATCTGGCGGAACCTTGCGAACCTGGAATTGGCTATTTACAATATTGGCTGAGCAACCAGAAGCGGTGGCCGGAACTTTGTTCATTGGCGCTTTCTTTCTACTACACCAGACTTTCAACTTCCGATGTCGAGAGATGTTTATCAATGAGCAAAGAAGTCTTACAAAATAGATTTTCACTAGTCAGTGAGAACCTCAGACGAGCTGTGATACTCAGAAACAGGAGCAAATGCTTCAATCTGAATCCGGAAATGACTATGGTGAGAGATATTCCGCTGGAAGAGTGGATTAACGGAGACGAAGAGATGCAGTTTCGTAGCGTTTGTGCTGCGAGATCGAGGCGCTCGTGGGAAACTACTGAATCACCGTTCTCGAGCGATTCGAGTGACCTTGATTGATGGAGGGGACGTTGCACTGCACAAACAACAAACAGCAACGATTCCCGAGAATGGTACAGGTTTGTTGAAGTGATGATCCGAGTGAATATAAAGATAGCTGATTATCCGTCTTGTAAACTGGTCTAACACACGCTCGTATCGGATGACTTCAGACTCGACTTTCTCAAGTTATGACGGTAGTGAAGAGAGTATGCGTTTGGAGACGAGCTAAGGTAACTTTACGGGACGTAAATCGGATCAAGCTTTTGGTTGCACAAAGATTACGGAATCACTAGAAATCAAAACGATTTGAAGTACTCGACACTCCATTACCTCTTCACGTCGAGGAGAGTCATCGATTTGGAAGACAAGGACAACTATATACGGAAGGCACGTGACTCTTTCTTCACTGGCGTCAGCACCATTCAAAAGGATTTACCAATTTGATGGGTGTACGTACGTTGATGTCATTCTTCGTAATGGAATGGAATCAGTGTCGACAATGATTAATTTTGATCCATCAGAATCACAAATTTGCCCGTTTGAAATACTCAGAGTCTTGAGCCCCATCACGTACAGAAAAAGATTGCACACGCCAAAGTCAGCTTGTTCATCCAAAAGTGAAAGGGATACACGCACCTCAGGGCTTCACAGTAGCTTTTACTGTTTCAAATACCAGCGTCTAGCGGTCTTTTGTAAGAATGCGGACCTGGAGGACTTTGAAGGTACTACCACGTATAGAGGGTTGAGTCTGCAATGTTGAGAACCCAAGCTCGTATAGAACGATATTACCCAGAAACCCAGAAAATTCGTGGGTTCGTGAACAGTTTTGTGATGGAAATAGCCTATAATCGTCTAACATGGTTCTACTGGCTTTGATTGTTTAATCAAAGTGACCTTGCGGAATCTACAAAACGGTGATTGGTAATTCAATGTTTGCCATATTTCCGCATTAGCTCCTGCCTCGTTGCTGGTGATACCGTTTTCTCAAGTATGTCATAGAAACGCAGCGATTACGTGAACCTGCAGCATCACTGCTATTCACAATTGATTACTGACGCTCTCGATTTGTAGCAATGGAAACAGCCAAATTTACAGCTATACTAAAGGCTATTGAGGTTTGACTACGTCGGCAGTGTTTGAGTTGTTAAACTGTTCCGTTTGCTCCGTCATGATTTGCTCTAGGTGAATGGTTGTGGTTATGGATTCTACTTATCTCTCCGTGGCCTTCTTGGTAATAAGTTTGGTACATTCTGTTTGACCAAACCATGGATATTTAAACGGCTTTTGGAGCAACAATAACAAACAGTCTGTAACTGTCGGAACCTCTGTCTGTCTAGCGTCAGATCCATGACAAAGTGATCACATACACGTGACGGACGACAGCGTCATAATCAACAAGATGCTCAAAAAATCTAGAGCAAGTACTGATCTAACAAGAATGATGTCGATAGAACCTCGTGGTACCACTTACAATTGATCTTTTGTCTCCCAGATTAGACCGTTCTCACCAGCTGCACCCGAAATGCTTGAAAATTTCTACATTCCTCCGCGACAGAACATTTCCAAGAATTTGTATAAGGAGGGACGCTTTGTCCACCCTACAAGATTATTCCAGTTAAGCTAAATACATCACGGAGAAAAAACTCTAACTCAATAAAAATGGTAGTTGACACCTTACAATAATGGATAGAATCACTCAAGGTATGGGACGTTTATCGTGCAAGGACACTCCAGAGACAAAGTCTCAACACGAGTAAGAACAGTAACGTTCTGGAGGTCAGTCATTAGTAAGGATTACTTAATAGAAGTCCTGGATTGCTTGCATTCTGCATAGCGTCGACGTATTGTTGCTACATATCTTTACGGTTGGTTCATTTCACCTTAGAACTTAGTATGTCATTTTAGACCAATATGTCATGTTCAAATTGCGCAATTGGCACTATACCATATAGTTTACCAATACCAACAAAGGCCATCACTGGTATTTAAAAGTGATTGCTGACGCTCTCTATTGTACAGTAATGACTGATTGCCAAGGTTAGCGTAGATAGTAATTGTTCCACAAGCGGGAGCGTAAAGAGTGATAAGTGGACTCGAAGACAACGTCAGCTAGTAGCATAAGATCTCTTACTCTTGAGTTTGAATGCAAGTTTGAATACTGAAGAGAGCATCCTGATTCAATGGCCATCACATTCATTGGCAATTGAGAGTTATTGTGCGATGTTCTTAGCAATGCTCTGAATTAATAGCCATTTTGATGATGAATAAACGCTGACAATCTCAGTTGTTGATTTTTGGTATTACAGTGCCCGAGATATTTACAGCTGATCACTGTCGCTTTTAATTGTCAAGGTGATGTTATTACAATGTCCAGTGCTATTCACAACTGGTTACTGACGTGGTTAATTGTTGGAATGTGGTTTTGAAATCTCTACTGTTTAATTTGAAGGCTGACGCTTTGCATTTTTGAGCCAAATTGATTGCTACGCGCTCTTTTCACAATTGAGAGCTTTAGTGATTAGTTGTTCAAGTAGATGGATGACCATCACTACTAATCACAATGGAGAGCTTCGAGGATCAATTGTTGATGTATGCTTTCGACTGAATGTTCAAGTAGATAAATGGCCATCACAATTGAGAGCATCGGCGATCAATTGTGTAGGAATGCTCCTGGCCATTACTACAATTCACAATTGATTGCTGATGCATCCAATTGTTCAACTAGACTAATAGCCATCACAATTGATCGCTGATGCATCCAATTGTTCAACTAGACTAATAGCCATCACAATTGAGAGCGTCAGCGATCAATTGTGTAGAAATGCTCCTGGCCACCACTACAATTCACAATTGATCGCTGATGCTCTCAATTGTGTAGGAATGTTCCTGGCCATTACTACTATTCACAATTGATCGCTGATGCTCTAAATTGTTCAACTAGACTAATAGCCACCACTGCTGACGCTCTCAACTGTTCAGCTAGACTAATAGCCACCACTACTAGTCACAATTGATCGCCGATGCTCTCAATTGTGTAGGAATGTTCCTGGCCATTACTACTATTCACAATTGATTGTTGATGCATCCAATTGTTCAACTAGACTAATAGCCATCACAATTGATCGCTGACGCTCTCAATTGTGTAGGAATGCTCCTGGCCATTACTACTATTCACAATTGATCGCTGGCGCTCTCAATTGTTCAACTATGCTTTTAGCCACCCAGTCACCCAGCCACCCACACCCGTACACCAACACCCAGCCACCCCAAAGTTACCCTCCCGTCGCGCTTACCACGTTTTTCGCGTCTCAAATCCTAACCGTACATCACGACCTGAACGTCACCCACCCCTTTTTTTTTTCTCACGCACAAACCCCACCCGTGTTTGAAAACGTGATATAAGAAGGAAGAATTTTTCCATTTTCTTTCCTAACCTCATGATTATCACATTTTTATCATGTTTCTTCCATGACCTACAGGATTTGTTTATACCCAAGACAAACACACCAATTCACGCTTTTATCACAACAAGTGAGAGCCAAATAGCACGAGCGATCATCTCAACACGTGAAGCACACACATATACACGACATATTCATACCAGCAGCGATGGCTAAGAGACTTTTGCCCAGTGACGTGGAGGTTAGCAATGAAGAGTTGGCCAAGAGACAAAGAGCGGAGGAAGCAGCAGCAGTGGCAGCGGACCAGAGTAACATCGACGCGGAATTGTTGAAGGAGAAACACGAGGACGACGAAGACGCCCGTTTGCACCAGCAACAGCGTCAACAACGTCAGTTGCAGCAGCATCAGCAGCAACAGCAGCAGCAACTCCAGCAACAGCATCAGCAGCAACAGCATCAGCAGCAACAACAACAACAACAGCAGCAGCATCGCCATGCAAACGACGATGTCGAGGACCACGAAAACACAGCCGCGGCCGCTGCAGCGGCCGCTGCCGTTTACGGTGGCCTCATGAACGCCCAGGATGAAGCCAGCAACGAATTGCAGCACCATCACCATCAGCTGGCCCAACACCATCACCAACATGGCGGAAGCATCAACGAAGAGGACGACGAGGAAGAAGACGAGGACGACGAAGACCTCAAACATGGCGGCAGCGCCGCCGCTGCTGCTGCCGCAGCAGCACGTCGTGGACGTAAGCCAGTGCCCGTAACCGGGTCTGAAGAATGGCGTCAACAGCGTAAGGACTCACACAAGGAAGTTGAACGTCGTCGTCGTGAAAACATCAACACCGCCATCAACAAGCTCAGTGACTTACTGCCAGTAAAGGAATCCAGTAAGGCTTCGATTTTGCTGCGGGCTGCAGAATACATCCAAAAGTTGCGCGACACAGAAAATGCAAACATCGAGAAATGGACATTGCAGAAACTACTCAGTGAGCAGCAAGTTAGCACTTTGACAAAGGCCAACGAAAGCTTACAACTAGAGCTAGGAAACGCTTTCAAACAAGTCGACATCTTGAAGCGTCAACTTCGTAGCTCAGGTATCTCTGTTGATCAGGAAGTCGTTAAGCTTGAAGCGGAGGCCGGCAGAAACAATTAAGTCTTGGAAATGTGCCCGATACTTTTGCCAATTTTGTTTTTTTTTAAGCCCTGTCCTGGTGCTCTTGGTCGCCCCTGCATCGCTTCAGCGGCCAAGAGGGGACGTTTATCAATGGATGATGCGGTGACTAAATACCCTTCCCGAATTACACCACTTTTGTATTATGATCCGGTTGTATCGTGTAATTGTGTATAATATTAAGTTTTATGTACTACTGAGCCGGCGGGACTGCAGGTGAAACTTATAAGCGCTCGGGCCGGTTGAGGAATTGCGAGAGATCTACAAGGTGTTGAGATCGTAAACGACATTTCGTTTGGTGATGACAGCAGTTATTTTACTTTGGGAGTTGATTGTCGTAGCTGTGGAAAATTATTGTTGTACGTGAGAGAGCTTTTGGATTAGAGCAAGCAGAACTTTGGTGTTTTTTGTTGTCCAATTACATGGGCTATGGAACTGTCAGTAGGATATTTTCAATCTGCTTGGAGGCATGTGAACTACCCATTTTCGCTGACATGTCTTTTTTCTTAAAAATCTCAACAAAGCAGTGGAATCAAAGGCCCCGATTTTCCCACGTATCCTCACGGTTAAAGCGCTACTGAATGCCTCATAACGCTCGCTGAAATAGGTTGCTTGCTTCGTGCTTGTCGGTTGGTCCCACCACTTACTACCTGACCAGAGCTGCAGGCCGCTGACACTATTATCGCCGAGTCACATGACCTAGCTGTCTTTCCGTCCTAGGATGAACCCATCGCAGCGATACAGATTGGGGACATTGAGATAGGAGGATATTCCTCATCAGTTGAAAACTGTGTCCGTTATTCTTCTTTCCTTCTGCTTACTTTGATTTTAATGAAAGATTCGTTTCACCGTTTGGGTCATTTCGATTAACACGAGTCTGCACTTCTCACATCCGTTCTCGTGATAACTTTTAAAGATCTAATTACCTACTGGGATTCGAGCATCTAGCGGTCTGGATGGATGTTTCCTCCTTCAATTATCCCGCGGCCATTCGAACCTCGCAAGAGGCGTCTTTTTCTTGTTTGCGTCAACTTTTCAAATAAAGTCACGTTACAATCCGTTGCCATGGTTTTTGGAGGTGTATTTTTCTTGGCGAAAATCTTGCATGTCTGTTATCTGGAAATATCAGCCTCAACCATGTAACCCATAAGAACTGACATAAAAGAGCCAAGTCTAAACACACTGCACTACCCATTGTTTCATCTTTGCCTCCAAGACGTATGGCGTGTTGAGAAGGTGCTATAAGTAGCGAAGTTTTCAGTTTGAAGCGAGGAAAGCGGTTCCGGAACGGACTTTGACAAGTGGAAAAGGTAGAGGTTTCCAAGCTCCTTCTCACACCTCCTTTCTGAAACACGTCAACTTTCAAAAGTCGAGTCGAGATTCACAGATCCGTTGCATCGAAAAAACACCTTTTGGAGTGCTCACCGGTATTTTCCGCAAAAGCTAATATTCGCTGCTCTTTTAGCCAACTTCTTTTTTTCCTGTGTTTTCTGGAGAATGGACACTTCCGGCACAATGATTCCACGAGTTTTCCGTGGGAAAATGCTGCACTGGTTACAGCGGCATGCGCCTTTTATTTCGGTCGCTTTACACAAACGACGCTTTCTCAGCACCTTGACTATACTTGTTTGCATTTCCTTGGGCATCCTTTTCATGCAGACGTTGGACAAGAACGTTTACGATTTGGCTAAATTACCGCTCGATGGGCTACGTACCGATTCAGAACCTTCACCTCCAAGCATCGATGCAGCACACGACCTGCGGCAGCTGTACAAGAAATTTCATTTTGACACTGCATTTGAGTATCCAACCAGTTATGAGCTTCAAAAAGATCTGCTCACCATTCCATTCGGTCCACGGAAAGGCCAAAAGGTCAAATCCGTAGATCAACTACAATTCTATGATTCCGACCCCCGTTTGGTATGGAGCGTGCTGGCCGACCATTTAGTGGAGGAAGCCAGTTCCGCAACTCCCCTTCCATTTTCATGGTATGACTGGGCTGACTTCCACGATTACAACAAGCTTATTCCAGCTAGAGAATCTTTGCAAGACTGCAACTTTTTCTTTGGCGTTCATTTCAACGCTTCCCTCCTTATGCAGATTGAACATGAAACGGGCGAAGAATTATTCGGTATCGACAGGGGTTACTACAATACGGAAGGTGATCCCAAGTTTAGCGAAAGCGAGATCACCGAAATGATTCAAAGAGCAAATAGTTCCTGCGTGATTGACAGCCATTCGTTCGCAGAGTCGAAACGATCAGGACTTTCACATGCTTTTTCGGTAGGATTCGTCGTCCAATCGCTTCAAGACCAAGTGAGACCCGAAGTTTACCGATTGCAAGCTAGAAATCACCTTCTCAATACCTTGAGTATACCTTTGTCACTAACTATTTTAAACCGTGACAGTGGTGCCTGGCAGATTCCAATCAAGCAAGATGATCGCCAAAATATGGTGCAATCTGGCATGATTCAGAAGTATTTGAAGCGCGCTTCGAAAGATTCTTCGAAGCGTTTCGAGTTTGATTACGTTTCCGAATTTGACAGATTCTGCAAGAGTGACGCTTCAAAATCTCTCAATCTCAAGATACTAGGTTTACAAGAAGAGAAGGACAAAGCATTCAACGGCTTATTTACACATCTTCAAGAGAATGATTTCGAATTTGATGCTCTAGCTAAGATCGAGGAGTTGTCAGCGCGCACAGAATCTCTTTCCGCCCACGAATCATCTTATTTGAACAGTTTACTCTTTTCAACCCAAACTCATTTCGCTTTCGCGCCCAAATACTTTCACGAACCGGGAGGACTCAAGGATTTCCAGCAGCTAGGAAGACATCACGACGCGCGGTTTTTCAACGGAGCTATCTTTCGGGACCCAAAGGAAACGCTTCTACGTCTAAATTCAATGGTAATCACTTTTCAAAAATTTCTGAAAGCGAATCATCTCAGTTGTTGGCTAGCGCATGGTTCACTTTTTGGATACCTTTACAATGGACTCAATTTTCCGTGGGATAACGATTTCGACGTGCAAATGCCAATTGGTCATCTGCACATCCTTGCTCTGAATTTTAATCAATCGTTAGTAGTCGAAGATCCAAGAGAAGGAAACGGTCGATTTCTTTTGGACGTAGGGAGTTCAATAACTCACCGTACGCAAGGAAATGGCAATAACAACATAGATGCCAGGTTCATTGACGTTGACTCCGGTCTCTACATCGATATAACAGCTTTGAGTGTCTCTTCCGCCATGCTGTCCACTCACGATGCAGTTTATTTCCAGCAGAACAAAGATAGCGTTGGGACCGAGGTTAAGCACCGTGATCCCAATCTGATAGCCAACGTAACGGATACCCCTCTTCAGATTCTTTACAACAAGTTACAAAATGACACGACGTATTCTGATCAAGAAAGACGTGACGTTCAGGGCCTAGTGGAGAAATTCAACAAGGACTTTCCTAGTAACCAGTCACCAACGAAATTCTACTCCGCGGAACAGCGCTACAGTATAAATCATGAACTAGGATTGTACAACTGTCGCAATCATCATTTTGTCCAGTATGATATGGTTTCAAAGCTGGTCGCTACCAAGTTTCATGGTGTTTCTGCACTGGTTCCGAACAAATACATTACACTTCTAAAAAGGGAATACAGGGCGCCAATGAAGTTTAATGCAGTTACTTTCCAATCTCGAACATTCATTGAAGGTCTAAGATCGTGGATCCAAGGGCCCTTGCTAAGAAAGCTAATGAATGTCGCGGGACGTAGTGAAAACTTGGAAAGGGTCAAATCGCCTGCCAACAATTTACTCTCGATTGATGTTGATATTCTTCTGAAAAACTGTGCGCGGTCTAACTCCATCGACTTCCTCTCGTATGTGCATAATAGTAAAGAAATTAGCACTTACAGGAGAAAAGAGATTGAGCTGCAATTTTCAGAAATCTATTCGATTGAGGAGAAACAATTCTTGCTACAAAAACTTGACGCCAACATAGGGCCGCGATTGAAACCGATCATGGAGGATCCGCGTATAAATGATCTTCGCAAAAGGATGTGGCATGAATTGTCTAGTGATCCTGAACTGAATGATGAGATTCTCATGGAGCTCAATCTCGAGGTCGCCGATGACACAATAGCATGGAACTCACTGCTGGACGGAGGAGCTCTTCCTTTTTTGGTCGGAGTTGAAGAAAGAGAACAAGCACGTGAGAACTATGACTTCAACTTGAGGCCTCTTGCTATAAATCCTTCCAACGTTTTCATTAGGGATCCAACTTTCTAGCAATTTCATGGCGTTTGCCTCGCGGCAATCTCCAATCATCTAGTAATTGTTTTACGCATAGGATGCAAGTCAAGCAATGCACTTGTGCTCTGAGCAGTAGAATAGTTTATGCATGTCTCAAAATTACCGATCAATCTCGAACTCAACGTCTCTTATCAGCACACCTTCGTAGCCTTTAGAAAGATTCCCAACAAGCTCGACACTACTGTTGGAAGTGTCCAAATTATTTTCAGTGTCACCGTGCTGGCCGTTGAATTTCAAAATGCTTGAAGTGCCTGCAAAGACAGTAGAACCATCCTCAACTCCACAACGGTTACACAAAACTGCCACGGCATTCCTATTTTCAAACAGCCATGGCTTTTCCGAGCTTCCCCCCATGTATGAGAAACGTAGACCACGAAGCTTGCTCAAGATGGGATCGAGAAGCCCTTCCATGAACCAGCTCCCCCGTCCTCCATAGGCGAGAAAGGGCATGAAACGTAAAATCCAATAGTTCAAATTAGACATATCAGGTTGCCCTGGGTTAGCAAACGTATCTGTTGCTGTATCATCTGAGTTTTCATGACTGGGCCCCAAGAAATTATGGCCCGGTTTTTCCTCCACACGAGTGCCATCGAGCAAGCTCACGTCCCATTGAAACTCGCCTTGTGAGCCACTCATCGGAAAGCGAATGGCTTCCAAAGATTCTGCGATCTGTTTTTCCCGTCGCTTAGGATTTTCTGTGTTGGCAGTGACAGATATGGAGTTGAGCCAAGCCATAGGAAACAAGATGAGCTCAGTGGCATTTTCGAGATGGAAGCTCGAAAATTCGAAATCTTGAAAGGGTGCTTCAAATTTGTACGGACTTAGATCCATGCAGATACCAACTGCACTTTTTATACTAACATCATGCAAGCCTCCGCTTGAGTCTCGTGCTTTTTGCGCGAAAGGAAGTCTAAACGTCTGAAAACCTGCTGGATTCTCGCTACACCCCCATTCGTCATCGGTTTGATACAGGAACGATTTGCGATAGTTGAAAGCCAGCTCTCCCTTCGAGTTGACCACCATCACAGAATTGTAGACTTTTTGTCCCGTGGACCCATCATCACTTTTCTCTGGATAGCCCATCACTGTGACGCACGAAAGTTGACGTGAGATTTGGTGACACAAGTCCCACTCAGGACCCTGACCTACCGTACTCAAGTATGGCCCGATTTGTTGACGACAATGAAAATTGTAGCCTGAAAGTGCGAATTCTGGGAACACTACGATATCAGGCTTGTACTTTTCTATCCTAGATAAAAGGGCATTTACTCTGGCTGTCGTCCCACTGACTTGACCGATTTGAGGATTCAGTTGAATAACAGCTATTCTAAGTCTAACCGTTAGCCTTCCAAGTTGCTGGGTCATCTCACTGTTCTAGTATGCGCAGTTTGAGTTACCTTCACCTGCGTCGAAGTTGGAAGTAGATTTATAACTGGAGATGAGTACAATATGTTTAAGAACTAAAATAGTGAGATAAAACCGATGTTGTGAAGAAGGCTCGATTGGCGAAGCTTCGGTAAATCGACTAAACAATTGTAGAATTTTGTGCACTTCCTTGATTATCGTGCCATTACTGATGTTCGTAACTATCATTATACAACATTAACATATAATGTCTTGAATACGGGTGGAATTATCTTAATGAGCTGAAAAAGCATGCAAATTTTAGTGTGTTGATCTGTATCAGCCGGCCATTGCCTGACCTATGCATTGATGAAAGAAGACTCGCGCGGTGGTAGAGAGCCAAAGATGCAAAATGATTAAGTGCACGTATTGTAACTTTCAAGCGATGGTTTGATTGACAGTGATGTGCTTCGAAAAGGACAGTGAACATGTCGATTACTTGTCTGCTTCTTTTGTGCATGACGTGCGCAGCACCAGGAGTCACACAGCCTGCTTCCTGCACTAACCCTCGTTAGGGGGTTGGGGCGAGGGAACATCTGGATCAGAGCTGAATACCTCATTATGACTGTGCTCTCCCATTACGAAGAATTTGCTGCCCCGATGATTGTAGTCAATTGAGCTAGGCGGATGTTGATAGCCGGCTTCGCTCGTCCAGGGGAAATTTCCTTGATTGTATAAAATATTCAATTCAAGAAGGCGGTCGGCATTTAGCAAGCTCTGCTTTTTGAGAAGCTTGTCGAGTCGAACATAGGAAGCGGAACTTCTATCCAATAAATTGTACCACACAACTGTTTCCAAGCGATATTGGAAAGGATCTTTGTACCCACCAGTAAAGGTGCGGTCGCGAACGAAACTTTCTAGAGAAGAACGTTTTTCCGCAGGTGACCGATCCTCGTCATATATCAATTCCAATTCTTTTTGACGGAATGTAGTCATTTGGAAACTGTTCCACAAGAAGTCGAAAAATCTTTCGACATTTTCATCGCTGACAACAGCAGCGTTTTGAAATAGTGCGACTGTGTTTCGGAAATCGAGCGCTTGTAGGGATTGCTCCGGAACACGAACAGGCGAGCTAGGCGTTTGCGCCATCGTCAGCAACGTGGAGCGATCAATCCATTGACGGAATTCTGGTACAAACGCGCTGCCTCCATACTGCAAGAAAGTGTAGTTAGCTGGAACACCGTATTCGTGTTTCAATAATTCAACCACTCGATGTGGCACATACGCTTTCGCACCGTGGAAAAAAGTGAGCCTTAAGGGTGACAGTTCGGAAAGGTGGCTAAAGTGATTGTTCCTGCAATTGTAAACTTTGGCCGCCTTGTTCATGTTGTAGCGCTCCTCGGGTGATTCTTTCTCATGTCCATTTTGGACACCTTTCACGACATGCGAGTACCAATTGATGTGATTCAAGCGCCCAGCCGTTACATTACCTTCCTTCTGCTCTTTCTCTAAAACGTCGAATGCCGAGAGGTTTGACACGCCTTCAACAATATTAGGATCTTTGAAAAAAACTTTACTATTATTAGTTTTCGAAGCTTCCTCAGCGAACGGTTTGTATCTATTGTGCGCTCCGTCTGATGACACCGATAATCCAGTGATGTCCACGTAAAGACCAGAGTCCACGTCAATAAATCTAGCATCAATATTGTTGTTCCCGTTCCCGTGAACACGGCTCGTAATTGAGTTTCCCACGTCTAAGAAAAACCGACCATTGCCAACCTCTGGATCTTCTATTATCAAGCTTTGGTTAAATCTCTCTGCTAACAAGTTGAGATGTACAATAGGCATTTGCATGTCATGATCACCATCCCAAGGAAATGCCATTCCATTGTACATCCAGGCATAGAGGGTCCCATGAGAAAGCCACGAACTGAGACCATTAGAATGCACAAAATTCAGCCATGCCCGAACGATTGCGTCAAGCCTAGATCTCATATCATCGTGCTCAACCATCCCTCTGAAAAACCTAGAATCGAAATGATGGCCCATGTGTGTGTAGTCGGTGACAAGTGAGGCTTCCGTGAAATACTTTTTATGATCCATAGTGAGGGTGTTTAAAGATTCTTGAAGAGATTCCATGTACATTTGCTGGTGCCGTGTCCTCTTACTCAAAGCCTGAAGTTCCTGCAATTTTTCCTTTGCATTGAATTCGAAATCTTCTTCGGTGAGGTCAATGAAATATGGCATCTCCACATTTGTAATCGGACTTTCGGTTTCTACGGGAGGATCCGATGTGAAAGTTGTTGATGGACTCTCGCTTAAATCGTGGCTCCTGTGCAATGAGTTGAAAATCTGCGTTTTAAGTTCCTTGAATTTCATTATATTGTCAAACGAATAATCTCCTTTTGGAATTGACGGAAACGATGGCAAGTTACGTTCCATGTAGTTTTGCAACAATCCATTGAACAAAATATTCTGAGGCCTGCCTTGCAAGTCGAGTGCTTCCGCGTTACTCACCTCAATTTGTATCGAAGAGCCGTTCCTATTCAGAAATGTCAAAGAGTTTGGAGAATCCATTGAAGTTAAAAGATTTGTGCGAGCTTGTAGTCCATAGAGCTCGGGTCTAGAAAATTTGAGAGGAGCGGAAGATTTGAAACCCGGGAGTAATACATTGGAGAGCTCATTACTACAATAGTCATCAAGCTTGAATTCGGGGTCTTTTTCGGCAAGTCCAGATATGCTACTAAATTTTGACGCCCCTAAACCTTTAGCGCGATCCTGCTCAAATAGCTTGACCCCGAATTTGCGTTCATATTCCAGAAGTTTTTCGGGATCGTAAAACTTACGCACGACATCGCTACATCGTGGTTTTTCAGACAGCGGCAGATCGATAAATCCATTAAGAACCTGCGAATCGGTCCAGTCATACCAGCTGAAAGGAAGGGTTAAATTTTTAAATGATGGGAACTGAAGTCCCGTGGCTGAGTCGATTTGGAACTCTAAAGAACCGCTTTCACGGATCTGGTGCAAAATTTCGTCATAATAGACAGATGTGGGGGCCCGCGGATCGTAATTATACGTCCGCAATGGGAACTCGTCATTAATGTTGGTGGTGTCCCCATTATTGCTGTCAACTTGGGACGCGGGGAACAATTCTTGAAGGGATTTGATGGGCTTTTGAAGGCGGCCTAGGAAGGTCTGGGACAAAGTGCAAGGGATCACATAGCGGATCGCAGTATCGAATTTCCAGAACCAATAGTAGTTGACGAGTTCGTCAACGCTGGGCTTGACAGTCAAACCTTGCGTGTTCGGAAGCGCGTATGCGAGTAGCCGATCAGACAGCCTTTGACGGGACCCTGAAATCAGGCCCGGGAGCTTTCGGTTGGGGTCTGCGTATCCTGAGAGCACATCCAGCGGATTACCGCCGAACAGCGACGTCAGCTTCGACGGGATGGAGTCGCCATCGCCTTGCACTGCGTACACCGACGCACCCACATACAGAAGCTCTGCTATAACTACGGCCAGCAGTAGTGCTATCAGTCGTCTGCTGTGTTGCTGTAGACGAGAGCGCATTTGCGATTATTTCCGTGGTCGTGATGATTTCTTTTCGTTTTTTTTGGTACCTCTAAACCACGATTTCACGACAATTCTTCAAAGACGGGACCTGCGGGCCTAAGAATCGCTTGGTGTGTGATTGTAGTGGTGGAAGACTTGAAGGAGACGATTGATGGTTCCAGATATTTAGGGTTTGCTGGTGATCCACCGGAGGCACGTGCAACCAAAAAAAGCGGGAGTGCAACGACACAAAAAGCGAAAGCGATAAAGCGGAAGAAAAATTAAAAAAAAAAAAAGTTTTTTTCGGGATCAAACACGTATCAAATGACACGAAGCTGTCTGTTGATCGGATCCGGATAGGAAGACAGGGAGACAAAGACGGGATAAAACGATACCGGCGGATATTTTATAATTTTTGGGCCAGCCAAAAAACGCGGTGTTTTGGACGAGGAAAAGATTGGTCTGGTTTTGGATGGAGTGCGTACCCCTTTGCCCCAATCTTCTTGTACTGTATTATTGTTTCCTTTGACCGGAATCGGGTGGTCGCGTAAAAATTGACCGTTGTCCAGACGAGAAGAAGCAAGCTCTTGCTTTATTCTCTCACTCAACTGGCTAAACTCGAGTGTTTTATACCTCAGAGCACACACCTGTGTGGGCGGTGGCTGAATCGAAACTGAAAAAAAAAAAAGGAAGAACCCTCAGATTTGAAGCATGTCCAGATTTTGAATAGGCCAGACTCGAGAATTCGTTAGTCGCAACGATGCGACAACCGTGCCTTTTATATACTTCGATAGTTCTAGAGGTAAGCGACAAAGCGACAGTGCAACACTGGGTATATACCCCAATCTCAAAATCGCGGCAAGGGCGATATAGCACAATTTGCTGCGGCCGCGGCCGCTTCTGAATACTCATGCACATGCACATGCGTCTGCGTTTTGACGCATGTGGGCTTAGACTCAGAAAGAGCCATGGGAGACGCACAAGGCCACATTCCGGGTGCAAAACACTATGAAACACCCGCGCCATTGTGATAAGGCGGTTGTGTCAAGCTCAGAATTCACAGGCGACATTGCAGGTCTGGCGTTTTTGAGTGTTGGGGCATTTAGGGTGGTGCACGGAAGTGCGGACGGGAAATGCAGCGATTTTCCGGTAGCCACAGTTTTCGGCCGACGAAAGCAGCGCAGCGTGCAGCATGCATGCAATGCAGGTGTCATGGTGACATGATGTAGAAAGCCCGCAAGGACCGGAGAGCTGTAATGCATAAACGTCGCTGCTTGCAGTATATGGTGAGGGCGTCTTATTTAAGGGTGCTGTTGCTGTTAGAGAGGGGGGTCACGTCATAGCGACGGACTTAAGACGGGCGTGGTTCTGCCATCGGCGGCTACGAGCACAAGAGGAAGAAGAAGAAGAAGAAGAAGAAGATGATGATGATGAAGAAGAAAAGAATATGGAAATGCAATATCGGCCGTGAATAGGGCCTAACAGTCTGGTTTGTGGAAGATAGGGTCTAACGGTGGGGGTTTGTGGACTTAAAACGCAGATCCTGGTATGTTCCGTGGAAAAGTGAATGTTAACGGATAAACGTTGATATCACGTTGTACGGAAATGAAAAAAGGGCTACTCTTTTCGGTAGCTTATGCATGTTTGTGTACTCGAGTACCATGCGCTACTGCATGATGCATTTGGCTCGAGGCAGACGAGGAGGGTACTCGCGGTACTCATAAAGATCATGTGAGAACAAAATACATCACCATCGACGAATAATTTGAAATTTTTCATCTACACCACACGCTAGGCACATCTCATCTCATCTCATCTCAACTCACCGCTAAAGATCTACTTCAATCGCGTTGAAACCAGTCCTCCTCCAGCTCAAAACGCTCTCCTTTTGCACCGCTTCTTGTCGCCAACATGTCTGTGGTAGGGTCTCTCATATTTTGCACACATTGTGGTAACCTTCTCGACAACCCTTCCGCTGTGCAAGACTCCAGGATCCAGTGTGCACAGTGCGGAGCTACTTACGACAAATCCAAGTTTTCCGATCTGCGGGTCGTGACGCGGACCGCGGACGACGCGTTTCCATCGAAGCTGAAGTCCAAGCGCTCTGTTGTGAAAACCTCGCTCAAGAAGGACGAGCTCGAAGAAGGCGCTACCATTCGCGAAAAGTGTCCCAAGTGTGGCAACGACGAGATGCACTACCATACTTTGCAGTTGCGGTCTGCGGACGAAGGTGCCACTGTCTTCTATACCTGCACCTCCTGTGGCTATCGCTTCAGAACCAACAATTGAGCCAAGCGCCCCATCTCACGCAATACGCTTTTCAAGAAAAGTCAAGCACCCCATCTCACGAAATGTGCTTTTCCCCAAAAAAAAAAGACAAGCTCAAAAACTGCATCGCTCTCGGCCCCCTGGCCCCGGAGAGTCCGTCATCATCAGGCTACAGCCAACACTAAATGTTCAAATTCGCACCTGATTGGAAATCAAAAGCACCCGAAACTGAACCACAGTGAGACCAGACTATCCAATTCCTGTCTGCCTCCAGCTCAACCAGCGTCAATTCGCTATTATAGGCTTTAACCCTGTTGAATCCATGGGATTATTCAGTACTCACGCTTGTACTTGTGTGTCAAGTACTCGTCTCACATAAATTTCTTAATTTCATTGTATAATCATCTTCTACAAAACTTCTGGATGGCAAAATTTTAGAAAATGTAATTTGATCCAGGTAAGCCCTAGTGAAAAAGTTCAACTCAACCTCAGCTATAAAAACACTTCAATAGCGTTTCGAATTCAAGTCAATTGGCTATTTTGCTCCAACATTAAGCCACAACAACTTCCGCTATTTGAACAAAACGGCAGAAATGGCTCAAATGCATCCACAAGGTATGGAAATGCCCGACATGTCCAATGCCATTGTGGCACAGGATGAAATGGGAAGACCATTCATTATTGTTAGAGACCAAGGTAATAAGGAAAGACAGCACGGACTGGAGGCGAAAAAATCACACATCTTGGCGGCCCGCTCCGTGGCGTCGATCATCAAGACGTCTTTGGGTCCAAGAGGTCTTGACAAAATCCTAATATCACCCGATGGTGAAATCACCATCACTAACGATGGTGCTACAATTTTGTCACAGATGGAGTTAGACAACGAAATCGCCAAGCTCTTGGTGCAGCTTTCCAAATCCCAGGACGAGGAAATCGGTGACGGTACGACCGGTGTGGTGGTGCTGGCAAGCGCTTTGCTCGATCAGGCGCTCGAACTGATCGAAAAGGGCATTCATCCAATTAAAATCGCCAATGGGTTCGACGAAGCGGCCCGGATGGCTGTGGTCCACCTTGAGGCCCAAGCAGACGACGTGGCGCTCGACGAATCCTCCTTTCACGACTATTTGTTCAAGGCTGCCAAGACCTCGCTGGGGTCCAAAATCGTATCCAAAGACCTCGACAGATTCGCACAAATGGCCGTGGATGCTGTTACTAGCGTGATGGATCTGGACCGGAAAGACGTGGATTTTGATCTTATCAAGTTAGAGGGCCGTGTGGGTGGTTCTCTACAAGATTCCAAACTCATCAAAGGTGTTGTTCTTGACAAAGATTTTTCTCATCCACAAATGCCAAAGTTGGTCAAACCTAAAGAGGGTCAGGACGGCGTAAAACTTGCCATCTTGACATGTCCCTTCGAGCCTCCCAAACCAAAAACTAAACACAAACTCGATATATCAACTGTTGAAGAATATCAAAAACTGCAGTCCTACGAGCGGGAAAAATTCACGGAAATGATCAACTACGTGAAGAATGCTGGTGCCGACGTGGCGATCTGTCAGTGGGGCTTTGACGATGAGGCCAACCATTTACTATTGCAAAATAACCTGCCTGCCGTAAGATGGGTCGGTGGCCAAGAGTTAGAGCAAATTGCAATCGCTACCAAGGGTCGTATAGTACCTCGTTTCCAGGATCTGTCGCCCGAAAAATTGGGTACGTGCGGTAAGATTCGTGAAGTCGAGTTCGGAACAACAAAAGACCGCATGTTGGTCATTGAAGAATGCTCAAACTCGAAAACGGTGACTTGTTTCATCAGAGGTTCTAACAGGATGATCGTAGACGAAGCTAAGAGAGCTCTCCATGACTCTCTCTGTGTTGTAAGAAATCTGGTAAGAGACTCCAGAGTTGTTTACGGAGGTGGTGCTGCCGAGGTTACCATGTCGGTGGCGGTGTCTGAAGAAGCCGATAGACAGCATGGTATTGACCAGTATGCATTCCGTGCCTTTTCTCAAGCTCTTGACACCATTCCAATGCTATTAGCTGAGAATTCCGGGCTAGATCCAATTGAAACTTTGTCCCTGCTGAAGAGTTCCCAAATCAAAGAGAAAGTCTCCACAACAGGAGTGGATTGTCTGTCCAACGACTCGAACAACATGAAGGAACTATTTGTTGTTGATCCATTGATTGGTAAGAAACAACAAATTCAACTAGCCACTCAGCTTTGCAGAATGATTCTCAAAATTGATAACGTCATCATAAGTGGGAAAGACGAGTACTAATTTGTAAATATATAGGTAGCAGAATGTAACTCGCCACGCGTTTCGATAAAACTTCATTTAGCCTTTTTATTTTAAGAGGTCCTATTCTGTACACAGGAATGATACTAATTTTTGTAAATGATTTATCTACACCATGTTGAAAAGACTGAAATTTCTCACAATCTCAGGTCCAATTTCATCGTAATCTTTCTTTGTGTGACAGTAGCTCTTAAATTCGGCCGTCTGTGCCAACAAAGAGCCACCGAACCAAACTGCATTTCTCTGTCTTCTGTGCGAAATAACCTGTACATCGACACCTGTAGATTTTGTACCGCTTAGACTCTCACTCAATGCAATCCTGTTGTTTACTATGCCCTTGATATCTCTTTGGAGACGGCGACCGAAATCTCTAAACATCGTAGATCCCCCCGAGAGTACAATGTTGTTGTAAAGCCCTTTACGGACGTCAATGGGACATGCCTGGATTGTGTGATCAACAACGGTAGGTAATGGCGTTAAGAAATCCGAGGATGCAATTTCCGGATTGAAGAAAATCTCAGGCGCCAAAAACCTTTCATATCCCACGTCTATTACCTTGCGTTTTGTTTTCTCTGTATTTTCAACAATGAATTGGGCGAATTTTTGAGCATCTCTATCAAATTTGTTGAATTCTTTGACGATGTCCGAGCAAACATAACAGTATTCTTGCTTGATACGCTCGGCCGTTTTCAATGTGGTGTCTTCCTCGCCACGTTCTCTTAGTAGCGATTGGATGAAAAGTGTAATGTCTCTTCCCGCAATGGGAATGTTCTTGATTGCGGAGCCAACCACGTAACCTTCAGCCACTGGGATGACGTGGGTGACACCATCACCCGAATCTATAACAGTACCGGTCAGTGATCTGTCGACAACTTTCGAAGACGTCCAAGAGGCGGCCAACGCGAGTACCGCCTGTACCGCAATATAGAGACCGGCACAGTTGAAACCCTCGAAAAAAATTTCGGCTACCTGTTCCCTGTTTTCCGGAGGATTGAGAGGTGGCTCAGTCAATAGGAAAAAGTGGTCTTCTGGTTCAGTTCTCAGGTACTTGAAGATCGAGTTTTCCCAAAATCTCTCCATATGATCCCAATTTTCGACTTGACCGTGGCGAATTGGGTAGCTAAGGGAATACGAAGGTCCCTGGGCTGCGGAGAGTGCTTCGTTACCGATGTAAAAGTCCAAATCCTCGGTACCACGTTTCCCGGCCAAATTGTTTGACATGAGCGCCGCGGAAGCCAAATTGTTGAAAGAAGTGGCAGAGGTGGAGTTTCCGAAATACGGATTTGATGTGCTTTGTGCAGAGCTCCCACTTGCCCCACTGCCGCTGCTTTTTGTCGCTGATCGCTGTGCCGTGGCTATGGCTGTAGGAAAAATCCACGATGGAGAATCATTACCAGCAAATCCCAATTTCGTCAGTCCAGTACCATTGTCCATGACAATGGCCGGATTATTCAAGTACGACATCTCTCAAAAAGTGCTTGAAAAATCGTCCAACTAGCTCAATGGCAGCCTAAGACCAGTCTAAAGAGGCTTTCTCGTGCTTGATCTTCTGGAAAGGGGTTGGTTGACAATCAAAAACCACCGGTATAGTTTTCATTATAAAAATTATTATTCATGAGTTGAAATTTGACACGGCACGTGACACTTGCTTTTTGACATTGAACGCCGTCGTCGTTTTCTTATCGAACTTTTGAAACTATAAGTGATTTAATATATGTGAAGAACAAATTTAGCAGAATGTTAGTAGTAGGGGGGACTCGATAACGGGGCTATGCAAGACTCGGAATTATATCTAGACTTGTTGTCGGTATTTCCTCTCTAGGATGATGTTTTCGTAGCGATTACTGTCACCTCAATTTATAGTGTGAGTCACGTGACCAGAGTAGAGAGTCGAATTTTACAGTCAAAGGGCAATTGTTGGTGAAGTTCGCCAAAACATAGGAGCTTAATTGTGTGCTAGACTCTACAATAGTGTTATCAAAGTACTCATGTATGTCTAACGCGCGTTAGAACTATCAGGAATGTGAATTTCGCTAACACGTATCACGTGATAGAAGCTTGCTTTTAAAGTTTCCCGAAGAATCAATGTGTGGAGACAAGATATGAAAGTATAAAATGATCGAATAGGTCTCTTGGACGGTTCCGCAATCCATTACAGAACGTTCAAGCTCAAAAAGGATTCCCATGTACCGAACTCTTTAAATTGTGACGTTCGTATATAGTGACTAGCCAACAATAGATAATTACCACACATATTACACCAGTATATCTATCTATCTATCTATCCATTCGGTTGATGTAGAAATTAGGAACAAGTTAGTTTACCCACCTGGGAGCATTGAGAGAACCATTTGAGACGCTGAACCTGGCCCGCATTCTCTCATGCTGAAAATGAAACATGATATAGTCAGGCGCAAGAAGCTTCTGTCCGGTGGAAAAGACGGATCTGAAGCGGTGGACGGTGTCAAAACTGGAGCCGTTGGTAGCGGAGCTGCCCCGGTTAATGCGACTGGTTCAGTCGAACACGACAATGCCGATTTCTCCGGACTTACTGCCGGCATTCCAAGCGGATCTGTGGGGGCAGACCAGGACTCGGAAACAACTTTCATGGCATTTGCAATTATCTTCAATAAACTAAAGAATCCCAGCGCTCAAGAGCGATCTGCGGCTTCGTTTGAGCTGAAAAATAGTCTGGTATCTCTTGCACGTCAGGTATCCACCGAACAGTTTCAACGGTTTAGCAATGACATAAACAATAAGATATTCGAGCTCATCCATGGGTCTTCCTCGAATGAAAGGTTTGGTGGTATTTTGGCGGTCGACACTTTGATCGATTTTTACGCGCAATCGGATGAACTTCCCAATCAAACTTCACGGCTAGCAAATTACCTCCGTGTTTTGGTTCCGTCAAGTGATGTCGATGTTATGCGAGCTGCTGCAAAGACATTGGGAAAACTTGCGATTCCTGGTGGCACATTAACCTCGGATTTCGTTGAGTTCGAGGTCAAAACTTGCATAGAATGGCTCACAACATCTCCAGAAAATTCTTCCTCAAATTTCAAGCAAGAGCTCAGAAAACATGCTTCACTTCTCATCCTTAGTGCCATCGCAGAGAACTCTCCTTATCTTCTATATCCATACATCAATTCCATTTTGGATAACATATGGAGAGCTCTGCGAGACACAAGACTTGCCATTCGCGTAGATGCTGCAAACACGCTTTACAAGTGCATGGAAATCATACAGGGTAGGGACGCGAAACTTTCGAAAAAATGGTTTGAAAGATTGCTTGAAGGCTGTTCTTATGGCTTGCAACTCAATACCCATGAAGCTATCCACGCAACTTTGATCGTTTACCGACAACTTTTGTCTTTAAGAGGAACTTACCTGCATGAGCAGTTTGACGAAATTTATGAGATGACCATGAGATACAAAGACCACAAATCAAGCGTGATTCGGAATGAGATTTATGCAATTTTGCCTTTATTGGCAGCTGCCGACTCTCAAATTTTCACCGAAAAATACCTAGATCAGACTATGATTCACTATTTGACTTTATTAAAAAATGCATCTCCAACTAATAATACGGACAAAGCCGCCATATCCGTGTCGATAGGTGACATTGCACAGCAAGTTCAATCGAGCATTGCACCTTACTTGGACTCGATTTTGGACAATGTAAGAGACGTTTTGATGATGAAATTTAAACTGCGGAAAGAATTTGAGGCGGAGATTTTTTACTGTGTTGCGAAACTGGCATGTGCGGTAGGTCCTGTCTTGGCTAAATACTTGAATCAAGACCTCTTGGATCTTATGCTTGCTTGTCCATTGTCGGACCATATGCAAACGACTTTGACGACAATCACTGAAAAAATTCCGTCTTTAAAGACTGTCATAAACGAAAAGTCCCTTGATATGCTTTGTTTCATTTTATCAGGGGAGAAATTCAAACCACCAGGATCTCCGATTCCACTGAAACCTTTAAACAGTGAGCGAGCCAGGCATTATAGAGATCAATTGATCTTAAGGAAGACAGGTGAACTTAATGATGACATCTATGACGTTCATATCCTAAACCAGGCATTGATAATGCTGCATAAGATAGACTACAGATACTCTCTGGCATACTTCGTCCGGATGATCACAGTCTCGTACATTGAGCACGAAAGCCCTCAGGTGAGAAAATATGCTGCCCTTGCGTCATGCGATCTGTTTGTGAAAGACCAGATTTGTAAACAAACGTCACTGCATGCGCTAAATACTGTGTCTGAAGTTTTGGGTAAGCTGCTAACGGTCGCCATTACAGATCCTGTTGTGGAGATCAGGTTCGAGGTTTTGAGGCATCTTGATATAAGTTTCGATCCCCAACTGTCTCAGCCAGATAACGTCCGTCTACTCTTCATGGCATTGAATGACGAAGTTTTCGCGATCCAAATAGAAGCGATGAAAATCATTGGGAGACTCTCCCTTGTGAACCCGGCCTATGTTATTCCATCTCTCAGAAAAACTTTGCTGCAACTTTTAAGTCAGCTCAGTTTTTCTACCATGTCGCGCAAAAAAGAAGAAAGTGCCTCCCTGATTAGCACGTTAATAAGCTCAAGTCAGGACGTAACAAAACCTTATATTGAGCCTATTTTGGACGTACTTTTACCCAAATGTGAAGATAATTCCTCTGCGGTAGCTTCAACAGCTCTTAAGGCGATGGGCGAATTGTCAGTTGTAGGAGGAGAGGCATTGACTCCGTTTCTTGGTCAACTGATGCCACTTATCATCAATACATTTCAAGATCAGTCAAACTCATTTAAGCGTCTCGCCGCATTAAAGACGCTCGGTCAACTATCAGCTTCTTCTGGATATGTCATAGAACCTCTATTGAGTTTTCCGCAGCTGCTGGGTGTATTGATTAACATTCTCAGGTCAGAAAGCTCGCCAAATATCAGAAGGGAGACTGTTCGTCTCATAGGAATCCTTGGCGCTTTGGATCCTTACAAACATAGGGAGGTCGAGCGCACTTCAAATGCTACCACTACAGCCGACCAAAACGCTCCGCCGGTAGACGTTGGTTTGCTGATGCAGGGAACATCACCCTCTAACGATGAATACTATCCAACCGTAGTGATTACTACGTTGATGAAAATTCTCAATGACCCCTCCCTGTCGTCTCACCACACTTCCGTGATTCAAGCGGTAATGCATATTTTCCAGACGTTAGGCTTACGGTGCGTGTCCTTTTTAAAACAGATTGTGCCGGGAATCATTAACGTCATGCAGGCATGCCCGCCTTCGCTTTTGGAATTCTATTTCCAACAATTAGGTGTTCTTGTTTCAATCGTCAATCAGCATATCAGACCGTTTGTTGGAGAGATATTTGAAGTTATCACAGAGTTTTTTCCACTGGTCAAACTCCAAATCACAATAATCACAGTGATTGAGTCGATTTCTAAGGCTCTCAAAGGTGAGTTCAAGGCATTCCTCGCTCAAACTTTAGCTCTATTCTTGGATGTTTTGGAGAAAGATAAATCAAACAAAAAAGTGGTGTCGGTCAGAATAATGAAATCGCTTGTCGTATTTGACGCAAACCTCGATGAGTTTGCGCATCTGATAATTCCAGCAATTGTGAGGATAGCAGAATTCGGTGCTGGTACCCTGAATAAAGTCGCGATCATAACTTTAGGGAGACTGGCGAAGACTGTCAATCTCTCTGAAATGTCCTCCAGAATAGTCCAAGCGCTTATACGCGTGTTGAATAGCGGGAACCAAGAATTGATAAGGGCCACAATGAATACTTTGAGTCTTTTGTTGCTCCAGCTAGGGGTGGATTTTGCTGTCTTTATCCCCATCATAAACAAAACCTTGTTACGAAATCAGATACAACATACGGTATATGATCAACTTGTTAACAAGCTGTTGAATCGCGAAGCGCTTCCTACAAGTATCATAATTGACCGAGACTTCGAACTCGCCACCAAAGAGGCTACCGATGTTGAGCTGCCCGCAAAAAAGCTTCCTGTAAATCAACTTATCTTGAAAAGTTCTTGGGAATGCAGTCAGCAGAGAACCAAAGAAGATTGGCAAGAATGGATACGTCGTTTGGCTGTTCAATTACTAAAAGAATCACCTTCGCATGCCCTTCGAGCGTGCTCAGGACTGGCAGGCATCTACTACCCATTGGCAAGGGAGCTGTTCAATGCCTCATTTGCCAGTTGTTGGACAGAGTTGTACACTCAATATCAAGATGACCTTGTGAGCTCCTTGTGTGTGGCGCTTTCGTCGCCCAACAATCCACCCGAAATTCACCAAACGTTGCTGAACTTAGTAGAATTTATGGAACATGATGATAAGCCTCTTCCAATACCGGTGCCTGTTTTGGGCGAGTACGCTCAAAAATGCCATGCCTACGCCAAATCTCTGCACTACAAAGAGTTGGCATTTATACAAGAACCGAACGCATCCACCATTGAGTCTCTCATTAGCATCAACAACCAATTGCATCAAACTGATGCCGCCATCGGTATTTTAAAACACGCTCAGCAACATCACGATCTTCAGCTCAAAGAGACGTGGTACGAAAAATTACAGAGGTGGGAAGACGCTCTTAGCTCTTATAACCAAAGGGAACTAGCGGGCGAAGACTCCATTGAAGTAAGATTGGGTAAAATGAGATCACTTCACGCACTGGGCGAGTGGGATAGACTTTCTGAGTTAGCTGCTGAAAAGTGGGGGTCCTCAAGTTTGGAAATTAGAAGAGTTATCGCACCACTTGCCGCAGGAGCTGCTTGGGGCTTGGGTCAATGGGATAGAATTGATCAATACATTAACGTTATGAAAAAGCAATCGCCTGACAAGGCTTTCTTTGATGCTATTTTATGCACGCATAGAAGTGACTTCGAAAAGGCTGAAACGCATATATTTGAGGCCAGAGATCTTTTGGTCACTGAAATTTCAGCCTTAGTGAACGAGAGTTACAATCGAGCATACAGTGTGATAGTCCGCTCCCAGATGATATCAGAACTGGAAGAGATCATTGAATACAAGAAACTTCCTCCAGCGTCAGAAAAAAGAGCTACTTTACGCAAGACGTGGAATAAAAGATTGCTCGGATGTCAGAAAAACGTCGACGTATGGCAAAGGATCTTGAGAGTGCGTTCTCTTGTAGTGAAACCGAAACAAGACATGCAGGTTTGGATCAAGTTCGCAAATCTTTGCAGAAAATCCGGAAGAATGGGATTGGCGCAAAAAGCGCTGAACTCACTATTGGAAGACGGTGGGGATCCTGCGCATCCAAACACAGCGAGGGCCCCCCCACCTGTGGTATACGCTCAATTGAAGTACATGTGGGCAACTGGGTCTCAAAAGGAAGCACTACGTCATCTTATTAGCTTCACCTCCAGAGTTGCTCATGACTTAGGATTAGAGCCGAGCAATATGATTGCCCAAAGCATTCCACAAAGCAGCACCATACCGCTTCATCACGTTGAGGATTACACGAAGTTGCTAGCTCGTTGCTTTTTGAAACAGGGAGAGTGGAGAGTCTCCTTGCAGAGTAATTGGATCTTGGAAAATCCTGACGCAATTCTAGGTTCTTATTTGCTCGCGACTCACTTTGACAATAAGTGGTACAAGGCGTGGCACAATTGGGCGCTTGCTAACTTTGACGTAGTTTCTATCAACTCCAGTGATGATAGAAATCGAGAACAGGGCAACCTAAATGACAGCGCTATTCAAAATCCTGATGGCCCAGCGGGTATGGGCTTAGAAGGTAATGGCGCTGACTCCAACAACTTATCTCCAGAATTGGTGCAGAGACATGTCGTGCCTGCTATCAAGGGGTTTTTCCACTCTATTTTGCATTCTGAGTCGAACTCTTTGCAAGACACCCTGAGGCTCCTTACCCTGTGGTTCAAATTTGGTGGCATTCCCGAGGCTACTCAAGCAATGCATGAAGGTTTCGATTTGATCAAAATCGACAAATGGCTCGACGTAGTTCCACAACTTATAACACGTATCCATCAACCAAATCAAACTGTCAGCAGATCTTTGCTATCGCTACTCTCTGACCTAGGAAAGGCTCATCCTCAAGCTTTGGTTTATCCATTGACGGTTGCTATAAAATCAGAATCTGTCTCAAGACAAAAGGCGGCTCTCTCGATTATCGCAAAAATGAGAGTTCATAGTTCAGTTTTAGTTGACCAAGCGGAGATGGTAAGTCATGAGTTGATTCGCGTCGCAGTCTTATGGCATGAATTATGGTATGAGGGCTTAGAAGACGCGAGTCGGCAGTTCTTTGGGGAGCACAATACAGAGAAGATGTTTGCCACTCTTGAACCGTTGCATGAAATGCTAAAAAGAGGGCCTTCTACCTTGCGCGAAATATCTTTCCAAAACTCATTTGGAAGAGATCTCAATGATGCCTACGAGTGGGTCATGAACTACAAGCGGAACAAGGACATAACAAATTTGAATCAGGCTTGGGATATTTACTACAATGTGTTCCGCCGAATCAGCCGCCAGCTACCACAACTCCAGACACTTGAGCTGCAGCACGTATCCCCCAAACTTTTGGCTGCTCACGACTTACAACTCGCTGTGCCTGGTGCTTATCAAGCAGGGAAGCCCGTTGTACATATATCGTACTTCGAGCCAATCCTCTACGTGATATCGTCGAAACAAAAACCTAGAAGGTTGTCTGTTAGGGGCAGCGATGGTAAAGATTATCAATACCTTTTGAAAGGACATGAAGATATCAGACAAGATAATCTGGTAATGCAACTGTTTGGTTTAGTCAATACACTGCTGCAAAACGATTCAAAGTGCTTCCAGAGACATTTGGATATTCAAAGATATCCAACCATTCCATTGTCGCCCAAATCAGGTTTAATAGGATGGGTCAACAATAGCGATACATTTCACGTTCTTATAAGAGAGCATCGTGAAGCCAGAAAAATTCCATTAAACATAGAGCACCGAATCATGTTGCAAATGGCTCCTGACTACGATAATCTGACCCTTCTACAGAAAATCGAGGTTTTCACGTATGCGCTTGACAACACGCGGGGTCAAGATTTGCACAAAGTGTTGTGGCTCAAGAGTAGATCTTCAGAAGCTTGGCTTGAGAGACGTACCACGTACACCAGGTCTTTGGCTGTTATGTCAATGGTAGGTTATATTTTGGGTCTAGGGGATCGGCATCCTAGCAACTTGATGTTGGATCGTATTACGGGCAAAGTTATACATATCGATTTTGGGGACTGCTTTGAGGCGGCAATTTTGAGAGAAAAGTATCCAGAGAAAGTGCCCTTCCGTCTCACACGTATGCTAACGTATGCTATGGAGGTCAGCGGTATCGAAGGTAGTTTCCGTATCACTTGCGAAAACGTAATGAGGGTCTTGAGAGATAACAAGGAGTCGCTGATGGCTATTTTGGAAGCATTTGCATACGATCCTCTGATCAACTGGGGATTCGACTTACCAACACAGACAATTGAGGAACATACCGGTACAGAGCTCTCACTCGCAAATCCCAGCGAATTGTTAAGAAAAGGAACGATTTCGGCGGAAGAAGCTGCCAGGATGGAAATTCGGCAGAAGTCTGAGATCAGAAACGCACGGGCGATGTTGATTTTGAGAAGAATCACAAATAAACTCACAGGCAACGATATGCGGAGAGTTCATGATTTGAACGTCCCAGAGCAAGTGGAAAAGCTTATCCAGCAAGCAACTTCTGTTGAAAACCTGTGCCAGCATTATATAGGCTGGTGCTCATTCTGGTGATACTACGTTGTGTACTAGGAACTTTTTGTTTAGCGAGACGAAATCCGTGGGTACTTATTTCGATAGTCACCAAGTATTTTCTCCCACCGTTGTATGGGACTATTGACATGTATAGGATTGCAGTTTTCGTCGAAATGCTGCTTACTGAGCACTTTGTTGATTCGAAGTTCTAGTTGTGCCCGTTGGAAATCCTCGGTCAATGCTTTGTCACTTCCGCCATGTAAAAGTGCAAGTATCTGTAGCTCACCTAGAATCACACCAATGCGAACACCAAGGTTGGATCCTACACTGTACGAGCTGTCGAATCCCTTTTGTAAATTGTCCTCTTTGGCAGAGGTGATGCCGTCCAAATATCCTCTTTTATTATGTACCGATCGAAGTTTCCGTATTTCAGCCGATTCTTGTTGCTGAAATTCGCTGGAAGCCAAATCTAAATCAGAAGCCCAAATATCACTATCACTGACGCTCATGATGCTATCGATACTGAAAAAGAGTGATTGATAATTTGTATTGGTAGCTGCTTACCTGGATCAGTAGCTCATCGCTTACTCATGCCTCATCGTCTATCTAATTCATCTCAGTATGTGAACTGTAGAGATCATATTCACTATAAAAAATAACGTGACCTTCAAGGATTTAGCTAAGAACAGAACTCTTCGAGTCCGGCATGATATTTGCACTATTTAGATACTCTCATAATGTTTGAGAATACTGTTAGAGCTCTCAGTGCCATGGTTAGCAAATTTGGACTCTAAATATTGAAGAACCTGTCTCTGAAAATAGTATGCAGTTTTAGTCTGAGAATCTGAGAGAATCGGAGTAGCGTCTTGTGGTAAAGCCCAGATCAATTCACTCAAGTTCCATAATCCTGCACTTGTTTCGGAGAGGTCTTTAATCCGATTTCTTTGAGTTAAAGTGAGAGCATCTCGCCGTATTGCAATTTGTTGTCGGTACGGAATTTTGGCGATTTAACAAGCCACCCGGCACTGGTCTATCGAAATTAAAAATCATTTGACGCTTAAGTACTTCTAGTGGCTTGACGCTTGGCGACTATAGTTATTCAAGCTTCTCTCTTCTGTCGCTGTCATTGATCACGTGAATTAACTATCACCTGGTAATAATCCTGACGCCAAGAGGAGGTTCCGACGAAAAATGTACGTGAAATGGAACTAGTGCTGGCTTCTGGGTTAACTCGAAATTTGGAGCATAGTTTTGCTAAGAAATGCTTCTTTGCGAATTGTCCACGGTGCTAATGGTTGGCTAATAATTGATCTAGTATTTATTTTCAATCATTTACCAGATGTCATTGATTTCTTTTCCTCTCGACAGAGACCAAATTTGAACACAGAAAAATTGCACTCTTATGCAAGAAGCCGAGTTAATCATAGCTCCTCGACCCTTGTTGATGGAAACTCGGACTTTCAAAACCTCCAAAAAAAAATCAAACAAAAGACCAACAACATCGAATCAAACAGAAAAACACGCTCTCAGAAAGATATTCAATACCAAATAATTAGCAGGTATCAAGCGCTAGTTTTGGTTCATAATCTCAGGGCTACTAACAAGCATGAATAGCTATTCTTTGGTAACTGGCGTTCAGCATATAGGGGATCATGTGACTTTCATTAAACCTTAATAGCCTGGTAAAACTCGAGAGAGCCAAATCAAACCAATCCAACTTTCAAAGCTCAATTGACAACTACAAGCTCACGCATCTATAGCGAGTCTGAACACTCACATTCCCGCTGATTGGAGCATATACGACTTATAAAAAGATAATGAGTGAGGGCTTCTTCAACAAGCGGCAGAAAACGGCCTCTTCTGAGAGGCCTAATAACGAGGACTCGAAGCCCTGGATCGAAAAATACAGGCCAAAAAAATTGGAAGATGTAACGGCACAAGACCATGCAGTCAATGTTTTACAGAAAACGCTGAAATCTGCTAATTTGCCACACATGCTATTTTATGGGCCACCTGGAACTGGTAAAACTTCGACAATTTTGGCGTTGACTAAAGAATTGTACGGCCCAGAGCTGACTAAAAGTCGAGTGCTGGAACTGAATGCTTCAGATGAAAGAGGAATAGCAATTGTTCGCGACAAAATCAAGAATTTTGCTAGACTGACAGTTTCAAAGCCTTCTGCATCCGATATAGAGAAATACCCATGCCCGCCTTACAAGATTATTATCTTGGATGAGGCCGATTCAATGACCGCTGACGCTCAAAGCGCTTTGAGAAGAACCATGGAAACCTTCTCAAATGTAACGCGCTTTTGTCTCATTTGCAATTACGTTACCAGAATTATCGATCCCTTGGCATCGCGTTGCTCAAAATTCCGCTTCAAATCTTTAGATGCTTCAAACGCGCTTGGACGTCTTCAGCACGTAGCGACCCAGGAAAGCCTTAATCTGGAAGACAACGTGCTGGAAAAAATAATGGATGTGTCTCAGGGTGATTTAAGGAGAGCTATCATGCTTCTACAGTCGTCTTCCAAGATTGTTAAGCACCTAGACCCACCTATAGTTACTCGCCTTGCAGTAGATGAGCTGGCTGGTACTGTGCCATCAGATTTGGTCTCGAATCTCACAAGTAAGATCACAAGCATGGACTTCTCTGAAATTATGAATTACGTGGGTGAGCTCAAAAGAAGTGGTTGGAGTGGGGCTGCAATGGTCAATCAGCTTCATGAGTATTACATCAATAATGATCAGCTTACCAAGTCTTTCAAAAATGAAGTTTCTTGGCTAATATTCGGTTCAGATTCAAAGCTAACAAATGGGGGGAACGAACACATTCAATTAGCCAGTTTAGCTATCGGTATCGCCAATCTGTACAGAAAAGGTATGTGATATATACTAAAAAATAAGTAAAACAAAAACTGCGTGTTCATCCCACGGCATCGTTTGCATCGTAATCGTAAATAACACTGGTCAAGCTTTTCAGTGTTGGAAAATAAGCAAAATTTTGCAGCCCTTCAATTACTTAGCCTCGCGCGGACGCATACCTTGCTGCTGAACGTTGCCGTTCAAAGCATGTGGGGCAATTTGAGGGTTCCCATAAGGAGGAATAGGGCCTCCTTGATTGAAGAATCCGGGTGGAGGAGCCATCATGTTGTTGATAGGGAGAGGCATTTCTTGTGACATGTTTGGTGGAGGCATACCGTGCATCGGGCCGAAACCTGGTGGTGGCATGTTGTGAGGGCCCGGAATGAACGGGAGTTGCATGTTGGGTGGACGAAAGACCTTGTTACCTTTTTCACTAGCTTGCCCCTGGTTAGTGAAAAAAGGTTGAGGCACGCCAACTCCTGGAGGTGGCATCTGGAATTGCTGAAATCCAGTAGGTGGCTGAGCCATCGGTGGATTTTGAGAATACGTGTTCATGGACATGCCCATATGATAACCGGAGGGCCCCTGATTAGGTGCAACGGGGGCGTTTCCTGGTATCGACGACAGACCGGGAGGAGCTCTAGCTCTTTGATGCTCTTGGACCTTTGATTGTTCACCACCAGGGGTAGAATAAGGTACTGTAGCACGCGCTTTCGTGGCAACACTATCATTCGAGGCTCGCGCGTCATCTGCTTTTGGGCTGGGGGATGCTTTGCCTCTGTTCAAAAGCCCCTGGAAAAAGTGGTTATTTGTCTGTTCTTGCACCGGTGGTGATGATACAGATGAAGTGGAGGAAGTTTTGTGTTGTGGTAGTTGCTCTGCTGCACCTTTCTCGGTCTCCATATTGTCGAAAAAAGACAAGATACGGGAACCAGCGTTAGACTTTGCCTCGGCCTCCTTGGGTGTTGGGGGTTGGGCTAATGTGCTGGATGATTCATTTTTGCTAGCTGCTGTTCCAGTATTGAAAAAAGAAGAGAATCGAGAATGCGAAGAGGTCTTGGCGCTTTCCAAAGTTTCCTGGTCTGGTTCAAGTTCTTCGAAATTGGACGAGCTTTGCCTGTTTAAATTGAAAAAATCAGAAATTGAGCTCCCATTATTGGATAGTGTAGGTCTTTCAATTGCATCGGAGCTACTGTTCGTTGAAGGTCCCCTCTTTTGACCCTCCAATTCCTTCATTTTTTTCCTCCAGTTTTCAAAATCTGTGATAGAGTTTCCTGTGGGCTTTATCTTCTCCTCCAATGCAAGCAGATCATCGTTGTTCACTTGCACATCTTTTTCTTCCAAGTAAGGCTTATCTCCCTTGGCAAATTTGCTGCCACGTTTCGCGTTGCGAGTATTTTTTGCCCTGTGATTCTTCTTTTCAGCGTTGGATTCCGGCATTCGGAATGTTGATCCATTTTTGTGACCATTTCCCATACTAGCGCCCACTTCAGACTGTCTTCTATCTGGGTGTCTGTTGGTCAATCTCCAGAAACTCTTTTTTGGAATATGTACGCTTAGTGAGACCTGAGACTGATCAGATAATGACTTGCCTATTTCCACCAGTTCCTGCATTGTGTACAGATGAGATTTTGTGCTATTCAAAGGCTTGAACTCTTCAATCTTTTTGCCCCCAAGTTCGTCGATAACCGTAGTCGTAGCTCCGGTGTCCTTAATATCGCCTGATGCAGCATTTTCTACTATATCATCTGTAAAGGCTATTTTCTCCGGGCAAATTTCTATTTTACCATTCATCAATAGATCTTGCTCTAGTCCAGACATCTTAAGACCCAAAGTCTCTCGCTTGAGCGTTTTTGACCTGCCCGTTAATGTACGATCTCTTCAATCTTTGGGTGAACTATACCGTAAACTTGCTAATTTAACGATTTTAGATAGAGTCATTGTGTACGTCCAGTACTTACCTACAAGATAAGCGGTGACGAAGAGCCAGCGACGTGTAGAGGAAAGGAGATGGTACTCTGAGAGTTATTCAGTTACTGTTCCGAAATATGGTCAGGATCGAACTTTACAGTTCAACCTTGACGGTTAACTCGCACCTTTGTTGATTACAGTAACGGTTAGGAACAATTGGGATCACGTGACTGATGAACTCTTGAAATACTGACACCGACAGTGATAGGGCCATCTTAAAATGGCTTCTGAGAACTTGAAGGACTGTTGAGCTACTGATGGTCTCTCTATCAGTTTTCTCTATTTTCCAGTTGTGATATGACATGTTACAAATTTACAAATTTTTGCATCTCAAATGGATGGCGGACAGCATATTCTATGAATATACAGGCAAGACTTGGAGTTCCGTCCCATCTTCCTTCATTAGGAAAACGCTTGTTGCTTGTATATGCTTATATGCTAGATTGTGGCCTGTGAAGCCATGCCATGCTAAGGTAAATATTGAAAAAAAGAAGAAAAACCAAAATCCTTATGTCAAGCATAACTCATGAAAATGGATGCCCCGACATAGATTAAAGATCGCCTCGGATAAAATAGGCTTGAGCCTGCATGTCCTTCCTATTCTCCTGTTTTCTTTCTTCTTTATTTTTTTGGTTTTGAGACGCTTTTCCTTGTATACCTGCGATGTCGAATATAGATGCAGGACACACTAAAGAACTACAGCGTGTTGTTTTTCGCAGGCCTATAGAGACTCGGGCGACTCTGGCACATCTTTTGACAGACCGTTTAGACAACACAGTGGGTTAACCCACCATGTTCGATATAAAAGTCACAAAATACTTTTCGAAGCTTTTGTCGTCGCTGTTCACCAATGCATTGACAAACTCGGCTGATAGTTGATCGGGAAATTGGACCTGAGGGAAATAGTTTTCGGTCAGGTAGTTGATGCACAGGTTTGAATTTGACTGCTCATAAATTCTGTGTAATGCTTTCAACGACCTAGAAAGGTCGCACGCAACTACTCTGCAGCTGGCATCTCGGACGTTGAATCCGTACTCCGGTTTGAATGGTATCTCGAAAACAAGTGGAATGATTCTAGCAATGAAAAATTCTCCCAGCCCATCCAGTTTTCCAAAATTGTTAGCATTGGGATCCTCTGCGTCTGTGCACGTACCCGTTCCCAAAAACTTGACAAAATTGACCAATACATTTAGAGCAAGTTTCATCGACGAGGTTTCCTGTATTTCATCTGGAGTGTAACTGAGTAGATCTTCTAGCACTATGGGTAGCACAGCCCTGTTTGATTCCGTCAAAAACAGAGAAGTGGAGTGATTGGTCACAAATGACTGCAAAAAATTGTAATATGCCTTTTTCAGAAGGATCTTGTCACGAAAAGAGTCCGTTATTACAACATTTTTTTCATTTGTATTTTTAATGATGCTTGACGCCATGACGCTGCTTTGGACTGATTCGGCATCGCTTTCTTCCTGAGCAACTGCGTTGAAGACTTTCTCGATGACCGGCGAAAGTAAATTGTTTAGCAGTTGATAGCAAACATCACTCTTGTGAAAAGTGTGTACAATCTGACCCAGAAATCCCAAGAAATCGTTCAATTCCAAAACCTTAAGATCAGACGTCAAAAATATAGCAATTAACCGACTTGTGAATGGCAAAATCTCCTCATTTAAAATCGGGATCAAACGCGCAAAAGCGAACCTAGTCGCATCACGTATAACTTCGTGTTTGTTAAAGTAAGAGAACGTAACCAGTATTACTTCGGCCACGTTCGAGAACTTTTCAACCAGCGCTCGTGAAAAAAATTTACTCGCAACCTCTGTGCTATTGACCTGATTGTCTGGCACCAACCCGGAATGAATGCCTCGGGCTACAGTACCAATCGCCATTAGAACATGATGGGCTTGCATCACCCCATTTGACGACTTAGTTTGGTCTGAGATGCAGGACTCCAAGCTGGAAAAGAGGGGAACCAAAACACCGTCGAGTAAATTATAAGTCGAGTCTGAACTAGCACCGATTAGCATCCCAACTCCATCAAATAAGTAAAGTTGATTGTTAAATGTGACATTGTGCTCTGGTGACTGCTGTGTTGTTTCCACCGCTTTGATAACCAGCAACTGGGATATCTTGATGAGCAGCTGAGAAAGAGGCTCTGCTGCTAGTTTTGGTTTAGTTAACTTGACGAAGCGAGTAAACAGGTACCATGTCCTCAATCTTACCCTTTCCTTGCTGCTAAACATCCCAAGTTCGCTGCAGAATGTATTCAAAAGAGTGATTTCGTCTTTTGAAGACGCCTGCAAAAACAAATGGTGTCTCACGATGAGCTCGAAGAAGGACACCTGTACTAATGCATTTTGAACCATGAAAATGTTGGTGCTGTCTAGCAACGTCGCCATGAAGCGACACATGACATTGTGAGGTTCTGAAGAGGTTATTTCCTTCTTTGTAACGCCAAATAGATTGTTGCGGATGCTTTCTGCTAAATTATGCATTTGATAGAGGGCAAATTCGAGCTGCCTCCAGTCGGTTGAGCCCAAAAGACCCTGTACATTTTCCACAACATTCCTCAGGTAAATTCCCGGATTTATTATCGCTATGGTATCCTGAAATATTTTAAGTTTTGACCTAATGGTCTCGTTAAATTCGTCAATATCGTCTATTGAATCCTCATCACAGCTCTCATCTATCATCATTTTCTTCATGCATACTTTTATTAGACTATCCAGGAAGTTTTCGTGATCGGAGTCTAACAAAAGTCTTTTCGAATTCATGGCAACAGCACTGCCAGGTTTTCCACCCAACGCAAAGAACTTTTTCAGAAACTGAAGATAATGAGAGATAAATTGGAAGCATTGCTGAGTGACTGAATCATATTCATGCTCCATAAATTTCAACACCAATGGAGAAACTTGATGTATAATTAACCTGTCAGCAGCGCTTGCAATTTCTTGAGATTCTTGTCCTGATGTGTCTTCGTTGCACCGATCCAGAATTATCGAAGCTTCGAGACCAACGGATGCAACCAAGTTAGCTAATTGTTCTTGGACCTCAAGGTCATCGTCCCCCACACTAACAACTTTTTCTGTCAAATTGAGCATACTCAACAAAGCGAGTTTATCTCCTGATTTCATTTTCTTGGAAATGATTTCGCACAGGCACTGTGCGCATGCAATTTTAGAAGTAGGTTGGTCCAAAAAATCGAAGATAATGTTGATATATTCGGGGTTCACAATCAAATTAATTTCTATCCAAGAAATGTACGAACCGATGCAAGAGAGTGTAAGATTAGCAAGCTGAGCTGGAAATTGTTGCAATTTGAAGAGCTTCAGCGTGTTCAGCCAAAGTGAAGATAAGAGCTGTACGTCTCGTACTCTCATGGTGTCTTTGAGGTCGTTATTCTTAGATTGAATGTCTTTAGATCTCACGAAGGTCTGCTCTGCAATTTCTGAATTGACCGCCAGAGCGATCTTCAAAAAGAGATCAAGGCCCACACTGGAAAATTCGGCTGATGTACCGGTTTGTAACCCATCAATGCTGAGCAGTTGAAGCAGATCGTCGAAAAACGTAGGCCACAAATTGTTGTTGCACTCGCCGTACATACAGTAGAAAAGCCGCGTTGCCATTTCTGCAACCTTATTCCTGACGTATTCGGGTTCTTCTACTTTACTGTTCGCTGCCCCTCTGGTGCGCAAAAGCTCCACACATGTGTTTTTTAGGAATTCCAGCTGTTCGCCGGAGCTGGCCACCACTAGATCACTCAAAACCTGCAATGCCACAAACTTGCTGACATCTGTGCTTGCCGCATCTTGCAAGAGAGAGGCAAATACCTGGGCTGCCGAACCACTTGTCTTGGCTTCTTCCAAAAAGTCTAGAGCCTGTCGTTTCAACACATTGTCAGTGGTAGACGAATTGGCAATTTCGACGGCGTGTTGAATTTGTTGAATCATCAACATACGATGTTAGTGATTAAGAATCACACACTTGAGTGATGTATTAATGCAAATGTAAAAATGCGAACTTGACGGTCCTGTTTGACCTAATATTTTTCAATTTATTTGACCGTAGCGCAGAGACTCAAGAATCGAACTCGATTTTTCCAGCTGCACAACCTTTCAAAAACGCTTTTTCCCTCTAATTACTTCCGTGTGACCCAAGATGTCCATATATGTACAAAACTCTGTCCTTGGCACCAAAACAGATTGCTGTTCTTTCCTCTCGAACAAGACACACCACTTGTATTAAAAAAAAAGGTCTCTTTCGCAAGTGAAACGGAGTTCCTTGAAGACCAAACAACACTCTTCCTGGCTTGTAAACGACGTGAATCAAGTCTTTACGCTTATGTATCCTGGACCTCGAAACGTTTCGATTTCATATATTGAAAACTTTTTTTCCAGCTGCCAGATCATATATAGTCATCGAGATGAGATGAAGATGCTGGAAAGAGTGACAGTTTAGAGGGAAAAGGATAGTAAATACACATAGAGTCTTGTATAGAGAACGATTTTCGTGGTTGGGATACTGGAACGGTCAGTTTACTCAATTTTAAACCATGTTAGAGGTGTTCAGTGGTCCTCTGTAAACGGTAAAATGACTTGGTGATTTTGTCACGTGACTTGGTGATCACTTTTTAAAAGATCCAAACATGAAGGTAACGAAAGTTCTCAACACTTGTGTGATCCTTGTTCTCTTTCATATATCTCATCTATCTCCTTTGCTATTTTGGTGTGTATTCCAGTAATTATTACACTCCAGAGTTGGACGCACCGTTCAAATGTTTGCTCAGCAACGCAAACGCTCGGGACCTCTGCGATATTTGGTTCTTGTCCTTCTTCTCCATCTCCGCATACGTCTTTCCAGCGCCTTCTTCGGGCTCAAAAATGCAATCCCAGCCAAACTCGCGGGATCCGCGAGGATCCACGACCTTGCCCTGAGTTTTGCCCTGGAAGACATGTATTTGGCCATTGGAGTCTGCAAATGCAACCGTGGTTACAGCCTCGGCTTTCTTATTGTCGAATCCGGCAAGCATACGGACCAATCCCTCTGGTCCCACACTTTTCAAGAACCATTTAACATACGCGCCAGGTAGTCCATTGTAGCTATCAAAACACAAGGCCGTGTCCTCCACAAAAACTGCAGTCCCCTTTGCCAATTTTTCCTGCGCTTGTGACACCTTGTGACGGGCGATGTTTTCCAGGGAGCTGTCTTGAAGCTCGTCTAAATCAAAATCAATGTTCGTCAACTCAAAAGCAGGCACTTGCCCTTCTGCAGGTGCCAGCAGCATCCTCACTTCCTTGAGCTTATTGACATTACCGGTAACAAACACTATCTTGGAGGCCATTGTGAATAATCTATGGGCTTCGTGGGCTGTTCTTCTAGTCTTTTAGTTGTAAGTTTCCACTATCTCTTATTGCAGATCTAAACTTTCAAGTTAATAAAGGCATCAATGCAGATGTCAGTAGCGATCAAGAATTCCACAGCATAGGGAAGTACGATCAATAGTAGCCAGAATTCTCACTATTACACCCTTTATAAATTTATAAGCCTATATTTCATTTACTGTGAGCACAGCTTTTGTCGTAGCGCTGATTTCAGGAAGGAGCATACTCCAACTCATTGCTGTTCTCGTACTCGTACATGTCGAGAGCTACAATGGCCGATTCCCTCACCACGTCGTCTTTATCATTAAGATGACCCTTGAGGATAGGAAGTACATCATCGGTGGCTATCGAACCCAAGGCTTCTGCCGCTTCGTGTCTCACCATTGGTGCTTCGTTTTCCCGGTTCAGCACCTCGATCAATTTGGGCACCACGATAGCATTACCGACCTGGCCGAAAACGTAAGCAATTTCGTGCTTGAAAAGAGCCGATGGGTCGTCGAATCCTGAAGCCAAAGCCATACAGGCCTCGTCGTTGCCGATGTCTCTGAGTCTGAACATCGCTCTGTATCTTTCGAACAATGGCTTTTCCTGGTCGTTCAGGATCTGTTTCAACTCTTCCACTTTGATGTTGATGTCCAAAGTGAGGGGTGGGGCCGGGTCGATGCTCGAGTAAAGCGAATCCTGGAGGTTTTCCTTCTTTCCCGACTCGCTGGTCTGCCATTTTATGCGGCCGATGGCCAGCTCACACGTTTGCCTTATTTCCAACAGTGGGTCCTCTTTGAAATACGTCTCAAGCATAGGCAACGAGTCCAAATCTCCCAAGGCCCCAAGCGCTTCAGCAGCCTCGTGACGCACCATACACTGCTGGTTTTGGTCTTCTAGCACTTTTCTCAAAAGCGGGGCACCGACCATATTTTTGGTTTGTCCCAAGACGTATGCTACTTCGTGTTTCAACAGTTCACTCTCGTCTGCAAAACACTCGTTGATGTATTCGGTGGCCTTGCGAGCATCTTCAGGATTTGATGCAAACTCCTCAGCAACACCCTTTAGGTTGAAAAGAGCTCTGAAACGATTTGCCAGTTTGGTGGTTCCAGACTTATTGATCAAAATGTCTCTTAACTGTTCCAGAGAACAGTTGTCGACATTTTCTTCAAAGTGTTTTTCGAAGTTAGTGGACATTGTGAACTTCTAGGATTGATGGTATTACGAAAACTAGTTCTAAATGAACACCACAAGTGATAAATGAAACAGCAAAAGACGATGATGTTTGTAGCTTAGTTCTTAACTAACGTTACTTGCTTTCGATTTCGAGTTCGCAGCGGTTACAGTCAGGGCTAAGCTCATCTCATCGCACATATCATCAATGCAAGGCCTAGCTATAAAAAAATTTTTTTCCACACCACGTCAGCTTTTCGTTGGAAGCCATACGACGACTGTGTGTAGGAATAGAATGATATTTGAATAAGCACACTAGAACCAATTGTTATGATTTGCTGAAGGTGTGTACGAATGAAGTCGGTTTTCTTACATTTCGGGAGAGACTGTTTTGAACCAAATCTTGTAAAATTTAAAACTCTCGGGCATTGTACGGTATTCGATGCATTAAGCTTGTGCAATAATTTTGACTAATGGCACAAACTGGTGTGATTTTATTGACTGCTACCGGGCATCTTGCAGTGTTGTGTTGTGTTGTTATTTTGGTTGAAGTTCGCTCTTCCTTTCTTTAACTGTCAACCCACTGCCATTGTTTTCCACAACGTCAGAATTAATTAGTGTCATTAAACAAAGTCCGACAGTTTTCTTTGAAAATGATCTCAATGCTATAAATCCCAGTTTTGATGCTTGCGATAAATCGTATAATAGGTGAACCTGTAGTTTTGTATCGCTTCTAGTGACCCATGGCGGGAAATCGCTACAAGACGTCACCTACAGAATTGCTTTGTTCTTGACATACAAAGCTACGGGGCCAGCCAGACTAGCATTCACCAACATAGCCACTTTCAACTGAAAAAGCCAAATCTCGATTCTCTCCCAGAGGTAGCGGGCCTCAAACTAGGAGACTGTGTTGAGTACGCTCTCTAGCGGTTAATGGGAAATGCTACTAAGAACAATAACATCATCGATTTCATGAGATATACGATTCCCGTTTCGTCTAATGTGATACGATAAGTGTTCATGAGACTCAAAGCTATCGTTTCACTAGTCTTGATCCTTCCGTTGTTCCATCACTAGGTTTCGTCACCTTCATGATTGAAGGTCTTTTACTTTCCACTGCTGCCACGGGATTATCAGGACCGAACTATGCGCCGTCCTTGACACTCCCATCATTACACGGCACAGTTCGCTATATCCACCACACCTTTCTCATAGAACCCAAGGCTAAGAGCAGCGTTGGAACATCAGTTAGGGAAAGAATTCCTTTGCTCCCACGTTTAAGCGATTTCTAACATTCAGTCCTAAAGGGTAATTCGATCTACAGAACTGTCAGATATTGTGGTTCAGTGCTAGTCTGATGATCTCTAGCTATTTTATTATTCTCTACCGTCTGCGCCTCGAGTTATTCAGAAATGAAATTGTCGCGGCAGCATGATGCCAGTTGTGAACGTTGAAAAAATCAAGCAAACAAACAAAAAACACACAAATGATGCTTCAATGCGTTCATCAAATGTGTTGATGACCAGCGACCTCTATTCCTCACGTCACTGCTGAAGTTTTCGCAAGTAAGTTTAAGTATCACTATGTACGCTGGTTCGGTATTTGATCTAGTGTAGATATATTACCTATAGATTCGAACTATCGCCTAGACTCAAAGCTTCCCTTGATTTTTTTACAACTTTCGAGCAGGTTTCTATTGAGGATTTCGTCATTATCCGCCCATTACTGCTAGCGGTACTATTGAAGTATCTGTCCTTGTCCTTGTTTAAAAAAAAAAGCTGCTTTGAAACCTACAATCATTATCCATGAGTACTCTTCTTTTACCACTCGTTTCCACTGGAAATGTGCCACAGCTATCAACAGATTTGATACTACATTCTTTGAGTGCAGATTTCAAGTTTGTAAAAGAATTGGATAGCCTCTATCTTTTCCCTTTCGCTGGACCTCTTGATTTCGCTAGAGGATCTCAGTCCAACCTTTATGAGCATACCGAATGGAAGTCGTTGACCACACCCCTGGAGCTGTTCTACAGCCCCAAACTAAAGATGTACGTGGTACAGCAAAGATCACCGATCATTCAGAAGTATGAAAACAATTTTTGTCAAGAAGTCCTGATTCCGCTGATCGAAGAGCTAAAAATCAGCCAGCTGGTCATTTTTGATGCTACAGATGAAATAGATGAAAATGTGGCTGTTTCACAATTTCGCAAATCACCCTTTTCTCTTGGCGTATGTGATTTATCACAAGTCAATGACATCGTGGCAGAGTTCGAGGCAAAACTTCAGATAAATGATGTAGCTCCTCAACCTACGAATATCGCTCTTTTCAACTTCTCCGAGAGTAGTTTCCAGTCAAGTATTAGCACGCAGCAAATCACGTTCAAATTGTGCTACCATCTGCTGCAATCACATAATATCACAAAGTTTTTGAAAGGAATACAGTACTTCAATACTTATGTTCAGGAAGGTGACAATTCTGAGGACGCCGTTGCTGCTTGTAATCAGCTTCCTCTTTTGATCAAAGAATTTCCAAAAATCGAGCAATTTCAGACGCCTGTGTCGTGGGAAGGTGTGTATGGTGTACGTAATGCCCCCACCTCCTTTGATGAGGGATTGTATATATGATACCAACGCTACATTTCAACCCAGCCCAAAGCTTCATTGCCTGATGTAACGCGCTATGTTTTCAGCGGTCTCGCTGCTTGCCGTTTTAGCGACTTGTTCAAGAGCTTCTTCATAACGTTTCTGTAAGTCTGGAGCGGTGTTTCCATTCACTTCCCCATTGGTTCTATCACCAGCAAAAGTGTATTCCCTCTCAATACCCTCATCTTCGTCCCTCAATACAATTCCGTCGTTTTCGTTTGCATCTTCTAGGTCACTGATCACTTCAGCCTCATCATCTTGATCCTTTTGTCTTGATGAACCTTGGTTTTCTTTTAGTCCCAAATCCTTCATCAAGTGAGTTAAAGATTTTTGTTTCCTCGTAGCTTCTTCCTCTTCTTTACGCTTGAGTATTGCTTCTCTTTCAGTCTTATAGTAAGACTCATACTCGTCTACTTTTTTGTCTACAGCCGTCAAAAACTCGTCAAAACCATCGCCGGTGAAACTCGAAACGCCTACTATGTCTAGTTGCGAGTAAAACTCTTCGAGCATTAAAGACATAGAGTTCACGAGCGAGCCCATATAGCCGGATCCCAAGCCGGACTCGCCATTAAGGTCCTGATCCGACCTAAGTGCTTCTTGAAAAGCTTCAAAATCTGTCATCCACTCGCGGGCGAAATCAGCCTTGCATACATCTGTCTTATTGAATACTACGATCATGGGCAGCTTGGTCTTGTAGAGGATAGAGCATGCATAGAGCATATTGCTCATGAAAGTAGTGGGCGAGGAATTTCTCGGCGTATCGACGATATATGCTATGACCGTAGGAAAACTAGAAGCAAAAGACTCCGTGATGATGGACCCCGATGCACTCCAAACGAAGCATTCAATTTGTCCCGGTGTGTCTACTATACAATAATCGTGGGCGTCTCGCTTATTTTCCACAAGTTTTATAACCTGATCGATTTTCGTACTGAAGAGGTTCAAACTAGTTACAATAGCACCGTTAGGCCCGAGTTTATAGTTTTCCATCACCTTTTTATATTTCACTGAGTCCCTGATATCAATATTGGCGCCGTATGGCACATTCAGAACCGCTGGATCCAGATTAACAACATATGGAGGTGATTTGGCAGCATGCAAATGGGAATTTAGACGCTGCATAAACGTGGTTTTCCCGGACCCCGCCATTCCAATGCAAATCACAGTCTGGATAGCCATGTTGTTTGATAGATTTGGTGGTGCTCAAACGCCAGTTACGGTTTGCTAGCTTGTAAGGTCAAGTTCAGTCGGAAACGGCGATGAGATTGTTCACTGAAAAATGTCGACGATGGTAATAGCACCTTGGTCACGTGACAGGGGTCGTAAGTCAAAATATCCCAGTCATGTGATGTTCGACGAAGATAAAGCTGAAAGAAGACAGCAATTTGAATCAATGCAGACAGGGCCATTAGCTTTCTGCTTTAACACAGCTTCTGTGTAGGAAGGTCAATCTGTATTCAGTCTGCGTAGAGTCTCAAGACTCTTTCTTCTATTGCATCAAAGCACGACTCGTGCTGCGCGATGGTGAGGTCATTGGAGAGACCTTTCATCATAACATCGGGAGCTGGGCCGCCAACGACAGATTGAATCTGTTGCTGCTGCTGTGCGATTGCTTGTAGTTCTGGCTCGTCGTTGCTTCCTCCGAAAAATAAATTGTTAACAGGCGCTAGTCCCAGCGTGGAGATAAAGTACCACGAAATACTGCTCACCCAGCGTGGATCCAAATCGGGGGTCATTATCCCGTTCTGCAACATTTCTTTGAATTTGATGGTCAGAGGGAAGGGTAGTTTCATGAGAAGAAAGCCAGCGAAAAAATGATTGACCCACCACATAATAAGCGTCTGTGGGATGTAATTAGCCAAATTTGAAGTCGCCATGCCCATCATGGCGTCAGACGCATTGGGATCGGTAAGTGGGTTTGCAGGAGTCTCTGGCTTCTCCTTTTGCGCCAAAAATTTACCCTCCGCTAAGATGTTGGCCAAATATTCTTGCCGCATCTTGAAGGATTCCTCGCACAAATTACTGCCATTTCCAAGCAGCGCTTGAGCCTTACTGATATATTGAACCTCAGTTAGCCTTGTTTGCGACACAGTTTTAGTTTTCAAGCTCAAAAGCACCATTATATACTGGCGACAAACACCTACCAAAATCATGACAATGGAGATGGGGAAAAGGACCCAATACTTTAGCATTGGGTCTAGTGTCAAGTCCACTGCGGCTCCAACAGCACCGGTAAACAATTCAGGGAAAAACATAACCAATTGAGTGTACTGTTGCTTTGTCTGACTCGCAAACCTTGGACTGGAGATGGCCAGTTCATTAAATACTATATATTATATATATGTACTCTTTTAGGACTATAGCCTTTATATTTGATATATCACAGCTCACGGAAGAAGACATGACAACTCATCCGCCAGAATAGTATATGAACTAGGGCGTTCGTTCCATTTATTGTTGTGAGTCCACTATGGGTTATTCACTCCATTGGTTTGCGGCCGTCTTCTTAACTCGCTTTTATGAAATTATCGCGAAACCTTGATCATAAATTCGACTCATTTAGGCCATGTAGGATCTTCCTGCTTAACGTCCTGACTTTCACGCAGTGCCGCTAGGAAACTCTGTAGCACAAACTCCTCGCCCAGGAATTGTTTATCAAAAATGAGGTGTGGCCTTGTCTCTGCTAGATGAAGAATGGTTTTCGCAAATTCGGAATTGGCCCAGGCAAACCAAGGTCTTGTAAACGTGTCTCCGCCGGGCTTGAAGGCTTGAATAGATTCATGTATTAGTCCGAGTCCACCTGTGCTATGCAAAACAGCTGACAGAGTATCGCTTATTTCCTGATCGTTCTCTGACGTACGAATAGCCACAATCAAGCCGAGGGGCCACACATTGTGAATCCCAATGTGGGGACCACCAATGCCTTGCAAATATTCTCCGTCGATATAGTAGGGATTGCCCTTTTTGGTTGTGATCATCCGTCTGGTATTTTGGTACACGGCATCGTTGACGCTGACGAATCCTAGTTCGGGCAACGATAGCAACGATGGAATATTGGCATCATCCATAAGCACAGAACTCCCGTAGCCGTCAACCTCATAGGCGTAAACTTCTCCAAAAGTTGGGTGGTTCACAATGCCGTGCTCCATAATACCCTCCCTAATTCGTTGAGAGAGGTCAGCCGAGCTTTTCTTCAGATCCTCAATCTCGGGAATGTATTGCTCTGATGCCTTTCCGCTATTGACATAGTCCTCCAGGATGTGCGACAAAGCCTCTAATTCGACTGACATGTAAGCGTTTCCTGGAATGAAAAATTGGAAGATGGTAGCGTCATCACTTGGTCTGAAGGCAGATCTGACTAACCCTGTTCCACTATTCACTGGGTTGCCAGTACCAGCAAGCGGTAAAGTTTCAGATGCCACATTCGTGTCTCGTTGGAAAGTGTAGGGAAACTGGTTGGGGGCTCCTTTATCTGAGAATGTCGACGACGACTCTTTCACAACAACTTCCAAAACTCTTTTCACTGCCAAAAGCCAATCGAGATTGATAAAGGAAAGTCGCTCTTCCGGAGGTGCATTCTCACAAAATTGTCGAGATAATGTTAGAAACGAGGCCAAAGAGTCAATTTCGTACTTGCATTCGAACACGCGGCGCCAATCTGGGTAGGGACGTACTTTGTCAATTGTGATGTCGGCTCTTTCAACGTGACTATAAGGCGGAGGGTGGAAGGCGTTGCAAAACGGATTTTCCACCACCAATTGGGCTTGCGTATTGATAGCACCCTGTAGCAATTCTTTAAGCCTAGAATCGTGCTTTATAAAGGGCTGGTAGACAGATAACTGCCATGCTGAATCTCTTAGCCATTCGGCATGGATATCGCCGGTAACGATGAAAGTCTCTGGGAGGTCATTTCTGTACAACAAAGGTTTTTGCTTGTGATTGACCGATTCCTGATTCTCGCGAGCTGTTACGTGCCATAGCACGGTAGTATCCAGAGTGTTAGGAAATGTGTTTTCGAACAATTTTGCCAGATCTCTATCTTTCAGCATTTTGGTAAACTTGGACAAGAACAAATCCACAGTTGAAGACTTGAAAGTTCTGCAGTTTTCCGGCGGCCTTTGGAACGGAAGATCAAGTGGTGTCGCTTCATCTGTATCCCTGGTATGTGGGACCGAGGCATATTCTACGTAGCTGGAGCATTTTTTGGCCGTCGCTTGATATCTCTGGCTTTTTAATGCTTTGCGTTGAGTTACTGGTCTTGATCGTAAAATGGAGTTGTCAAAACTGCCTATCCTTCCTTCAGATGCGTGATGACCATTACTCGATAACAGGCTGTAGAAAAGGAAGACGAATAAGAGTGAGATCAGAACAGGATAAGAAAGACTGGATCTTTGACGCATAATTGATAGTAAACCAGATTTTATCCCGTACTTTTTGTCTCGAAGAAGGTATTCCCTCCTCCCTTGAATAGACGTTTTCAGATCTTAGGGCTGCCTTAATGAAAACCGGGACTCTCATCAGAGCCAGATCACATGCGTCTCCTACCGATTGACAGCAGGGGACTCAGCAGTAAGCAAAAGCCACCGGCCTCGTTTTGCCATACGCGGGATCAAGAAACCGTTTTCTGCAAATGCTTCCAATATTCTCTTAACCTCTTTACGCATAGGATCAGAGCTTTTGGTCTGAGAATGCTTGGCAATTCGTAGTAGCTTCTCATAATTAAGATCGCTGTAAATCTGAGCCGAGTCTTCAAGCAACGGCTGTATATACGATATTGCTGGAGAGCTGTGATCATCCATATTGATGGCCACCGCAACAGGCTCGAAATCTGTTACGCTCTTGGAAGATTTCGTACGTTCGAGATATTGGCGGAAAGCGGCTGTTGAATGCAGCGAGTCGAGGTTTTGAAAGAAACAAAAGCAGTCCTTGCCATTGTCGTTCAGTTCACAGCCCAGTAATTCATTCAGTAGTGCCATTTTGGGTGGTTTTTCGAAAAACACAGGCGAGGGTGCCGAAGTAGGATTCTGGACAGATTGTAGCGTGGATTCTTTATCATATAAAGAGCTAGTATCTCTGCAAAAAGACCGCCACAGTAAGTTCTTGTGTCTCAAGTGAAACCTGCTATCGCGGGGCCGCAGTAAAACGAAACAATTGTAGAAGTTCAGGTACCTCGAATATCGGTCTAGAGTCATGGATTTTATGAGTTCTGTTGAAATTTCAATTTTAGATGGGTCGCCTTTGAAGCCATATCGTGAGACAAACTTTCCATTTTCCAGTAGGTTCCCATACTTGGTGAGTATCCGAGACATGGAACTTCCTTTAAGCTTTCACTGCCTCTTGTATAACGAGCTCATCATCATGACGATCATCGTCACTGGAACTTCTTGGTACTAGGACTACGAAAGAGCTCAGGAAATATCCGTTTTCACCGTTAGCATTCTTATGTGACGTTTTTTTCAACCACCTCACAAGAAACATTAGCCTCTTTGGCCAAGTGGTAAGGCATCGCACTCGTAATGCGGGGATCGTGGGTTCAATTCCCACAGGAGGCATTATACATTTATTTTTGTAAAATATGAACTTTTTAACTTTTGGAACACACAGTGGTATCAGTCGTTTTGTGAGTTGTCGAGCTAGCTTCTATTGACATGCTATACTCTTTCGATTCTAGTGTTTGAGTTGGCAGATATTATTTCAGTGCTACAGGTTGATTTGACGATTTTAGATTTACGTATGGTGTGAAATTCTCGCCATCTTTACAAAACATAAAATTTCATCGGGGCGCGGAATCTCATCTACACAAACACATTCATGAAATCGAAATAAACAGTTGATGCTTTACTGAATTTAGTCTTCTGAAATTGCCAAAAACAAGTCTAGAGCTGGTCTTAGTGATCTACCTACGATCTACAAAGTCGATTGATCTTGATTCGGACGACACTAAAATAACAAGTGACGTGCGTGTCGGCTTGAACGACCACTGTAGAATTTCAAAAACACCTTCGAGGTCTAACTCGGAGTAGTGCAATTACACCTTTTGCCATGATATGTCCGCAGTGTTGGCATCATCGAAGACTAAATATGACATGATTCAAGTCCGGAAGTCTTCGTGTCTGTTCTGCAAAACATGAGTATCATCGACGATCTGATTTACTCAATCGCGTCATTAGAAGCTTTTCCAGTAATTCGATTTTCGTTCGAGTCTCCCTTTCTCTCTTTTTGAGTATAACGTTCTTAAAGAAACTCTAAAAGCAGCTACTAGACGCTTCTGATCACCCCAATGCCAGCTATCCAGCGAACACTGACTTGTTAAAAGTATCTTTCCCCGGCTATTGAGAGCCAGCGTTTAAAGAGAGATCATCTGACCTTTCATGAAATTCCTCGAAGAGCCTGTACTCATCTACTCATCGTGAGTACTTTCTCGAATTTGTCAAAAATTTTCTAGAAATTAAGAATTCATCTCATCTCATCGCCTATCTCAGCTCATCGGCAACAGTTTGTCAGTCAAAAGTGTTTCATAAAAAGCCCTCAATAAGGTCCAAATACAAGCTCAAGAACCACGAACTTATAACTTCAATGACAGGAGACTCCGAAGCCAATCGTCAAGATCTTTTTCAGCCGGTAGGCGAGTCCGTTCAGGAAATCGATCAGCAAGGACAACAACCCAATGTTGTCGTCCCCACTAATACTGGCGCTGCCGATGCAGAAGGCCATCCAGTCCAGGAGATTGAGTCTCTGTGCATGAACTGTCACGAAGACGGTATCACCAGATTGCTTCTGACTTCCATACCATATTTTAAAGAGGTCGTCCTTATGTCGTTCGAATGCCCACATTGTGGATTCAAAAACAGCGAAATTCAACCTGCAGCTCAGATAATGGAAAAGGGTAGCAGGTATACTTTGAAGATCGAAGAAAAGTCTGATTTTAATCGTCAGGTCGTCAAATCGGAGACGGCCACATGCAAGTTCCAAGAGCTGGATATCGAGATACCAGCCCGGAGAGGGCAGCTCACGACCGTAGAGGGACTTCTGAGCGAGATGCTCGAAGATCTGCAATCCGATCAACCGGCCAGGAAAGCCATCGACGAGAACCTATACAATCAGATCGACAATTTCATCTCCAAGGTCAAGTCCTACCTAAATTGCGAACCGGGAACACTACCTCTCACATTTACGCTGGACGATCCAGCGGGAAACTCATGGATTGAGTACCAGCCAGGCGAACCGGCTCACAAATGGTCGCAAGCCCAATACGTCAGGTCAGGGGAACAAAACGTTCAAGTCGGTCTTCTCTCTCCAGACCAGCTTGAACAACAACGCAGAGAAGAGCAGGAAAAGCTCGCCGACAGAGAAAGAAACCCCTCAGAGGCCCAAAAACCAACATTCATTTCCGATGAAACAGAAATCGAAAATTTTAACAACGAGGTGCAAACTTTCAGATCCACTTGTTCATCTTGCGGCCAGCCTTGTGATACCCACATGAAACCTGTCAATATTCCTCACTTTAAGGAAGTCATTATTATGTCTACAGTGTGCGAACACTGCGGTTTCAAGTCGAATGAAGTGAAAACCGGTGGAGCCATCCCTAGCCAGGGAAGAAGAATTTCACTTGTGTGCGATGATCCTGAAGATTTATCTCGTGATATCTTAAAGAGTGAGACTTGTTCAATGACCGTTCCCGAGCTCAGTTTAGATATTCAGCAGGGAACATTGGGTGGCAGATTCACCACTTTGGAAGGTCTCTTGAAACAGGTTTATGACGAGCTAAGGACTAGGGTTTTCACGCAGACCTCAGATTCCATGGACGAGGAGACGAAGGCCAGATGGGAGAATTTTTTCGCCACTCTTGAAAATGGTTTGAACGGCAAAATGAAATTTACCGTGATAATGGAAGACCCACTTGCTGGGTCCTATATTCAAAACGTCTACGCTCCAGACGCAGACCCAAACATGACGATAGAGGATTACGACAGAACTCCAGAGCAAAACGAAGACCTGGGGCTCAACGACATGATAACTGATTAACCATGCTAGAGCTTCGGTGGAAATCAAATTTGCGAAGCTGAGTTGGGGGAATACCTTTCTTCGCTGTCTCGAACTGCACTTCCGTAATAACAGCCCAAATTATTCAAGTTTCCATCACTCAGTGACTCTTTTATACGGTTATCAACTGAAGAGATATTTCAAGTGGACGCACCTGTTGTAATCATTAGTTGAGGTCAGCGCATACCAGTCATAGACAATTGCCTGCGTGGGTGAGCAGCTTTCTGTAATTTTTAGATACCTGTGTGATATTCGGAGTTTTTTGGAGCTAAACGAGAGAATAATGAAGGTTGGTGAATAAAACCACAGACAATCAATTCATGGCATTCAGTTAATGCCCTCTCCGTAATCATCCAACAACTACATTCTTGGCAATTTTCAGCCATACAGATGCCACTCTCTTCAGTGATGTAAATGATGCAGTTATATACCAAAGTGATGAACAGCAAGGACCGATTCAAGCTTGAACAAGAATTTGAACATTTCTTGAGCAACTGAATATTTAGAGACAGATTTGAAGAAAGTCAGCAGTATTGTCGGCAGATACTTCTTTCACAGTTATCTCACCATTTCTTGTAGAAGCTGCTGTCGCACACCACGGTACCTCGATGATTTATTTATATAATCAAATTGTTGTCTTGGCAGGTAGGTAACTACCCAAATCAAGCTCCGCATCTACTTGGAAATGGACTCGCTATCGGGAATTGAGAAGTTTCATTATCATCGTAGTAGACTTGAGTATCATTCGTGTTTTTATGTCGCTGTAAAACTCAACCAGGCACCTGATAATGCGTCTCTGAGATCGGCATTGGAAGTTACGATCTCAAAATTTCCTCTGCTTTATTCTAATGCGTTTACAAACGGTGGGAATGTGACGTTGATACCCCTAAAAAATACCATTATGCTGCAAGACGTGCTCAAACCCGTCGATTTCAATTCATTGGATGAGTCGTTCAACAATTACGTATTCAACAATGTGGCATTTGATTACGAAGTTGACAAGCCTTTATGGAAAATCCTAGTACTAAAAGATCGGCGCACCCTTGTGCTCTGCACCGATCATTTGATCATGGATGGAATGTCGACCGTGGCATTTTGGAAATCCGTAATTGCGGGTTTGAACAACTCCGACCTTTTAGGAGCACCGGATAGTGGCCCGGTCTTCACTCCTAAAGCAGGCTTATGCAAAGTACAGCAACATCCGTATGATCAAGTTCCATTTTCGGTGTTGGGCCTGCTATTATGGGTATTTGTTCGTCTGATGGTTCTGTTGGACTTTGCCAACCTGGGCCTTATTGAAAAAGTGTTTATCCCGCACTTGGCCAGCAAGGACCTCAAATTCAAAAACTACCGATTTCCACAGGGACTGCTGGATAGTGCAGGAGGTATTCGCAATGATAACTGCCAACTCAATCTCCACATTTCAAGCCCAAAAATGCGGCTTCTTCTCAAAAACTGCAAATTGCACAAAGTTTCCTTTACCTCATTGCTCTCAGCGGTTGCTGCGCATGCTCTTCAAAGCATAAGCTCCACGCAGGTCGAAGGATCATGCATAAAAATCAGTGTACCTATGAACGCCAGAGGAGATGTTCAAAAAATACTAGAAGGAACTCCGAATTCGTCAGAGTTCGGAAATTTCATTAAAAGCGGAGAGTTTTCTCGAGACCTATCAAAACTGACTGAGCTATGGGGGACTGCTAAATCCCTGGATGAAGAAATGGCATCTCAAAGATATTCCAATCTTTCGATCCAAATGACCAAGCTTTTGAACTTGATCGATGTTGAGAACTTTGTGCAAGGGAAAGTTAATGCTCCTTATCCAGGATCCACTTTTGAGATCACCAATCTTGGATACCAAACATTTGATTGCGGTGCAGACGACAAGTATTTTGTTGAAGATGCGTTTTTTAACGAGCCTCAGGGTATTAATGACGTTTTCACTTTCGCAGTTGTCAGTACCCCGGTTGGTGGACTCAATTGCTGGCTCAGTTACCCAAAAGAACTCCAAACTGACTTACAACCCGCAATTGCATACATGCAAAAGATATTGGATGGTCTGAGCAGTGAAACTTAGGCAAACTGGACTGTCCCATCACTGCTCACTCCGAGTACTGAAGGACTCGGGATTCTGAAATTGAGTCCCTAGCCCATACTTATATACCTACTTATACATCAACGATCCCATCAAAGGAGGACAGTATCTGTGAGGCAGCTGTCTGTGCCGTCACCACACTTCACAAAGTTTGGATGTGATGAGAAAAACCAAACTGTGGAGAAGTGGTTTCCTAGGCTCTTTGGTCTTACTTCTAACGATATATCTGGTTTCCCTTGGATCTGGAGATTCCAACGTTGGAACTCAGCGAAAAGGCTTCGTTGCGGTTGTAAAGAAAGTAACAGGATCGAATATCATCAAATTAGCGAACAGCATTCAATTGAGAGACTTTTTTCGAGCTTGGCACCTTGATGAACTTGATGCACTCAAAGCAGGCCCACTAAATGACGATTTAACTTGGACCGAAGTGTCTTCGACGCAAGAAATTGTTCGTGGACCTGGTAGAAATTCTGAGTACTTTGTTCAGTACAATTTCGATGCGAGATTCACAATCGCTGTTTATTACCGGTACTTGAGCGACTCACGAGGTGTGAAGGAAGTTCCTTTCAGTTGGTACGATTGGAAAGATCTTGGCCCGAAGCTGAACAAACTGATGTCTCCAGAGGGCCCTCAATGTGAAGATATCTTTGTCGAAAAGGGTTTTAAACAAGCGGATAATTATGAGCAAAGATTTCCTGAGATACTCGTGGAAAAGGGCAGTATTTCAAATTTCTGCGTACCCAACCTCGTCTCCCCGGTGCAATTCCAAGTTAGAAAAATACAGGTAAGATGCGAAGCAGAAGCGCTGGCGCTACAGGCAGCATCCTTTTTATTTCATAACGAATTGAAACCAGCAAATTTGATATTTTTGAATAGCGAAGGGCAATCAACTACAGTTGGTACTAAACTAACCAAAGACAGGCACTCTCTGGCAAACAGCTCGTTGCTGGAGCCATTTTTTCCAAGTGATTCTCTCCCGAAGCAAGATTTAGACGAGCCATTCGCAGAAGAGGAGTTAAATGTGATTTTCGATACGCATGCTGAATATGATAACCTATTTCTTTCGAATGGATCGTTGATCAAAAATCATCCGCGGTATCTCACCGAGGTTCATCCCAAGACATTTGAATTTTCTTTAGAGGAAGAAGTGGAGACCCTTGAAGCTGGGAAGAACTTGAGCCCAAGTGAAGAAAGCTTCCTGCATAACTTAATTTACGTGCAAAACCATTTGGAGGAAGGCACACCTGAATTCAAGTACTTTCATGAAGCTTCGGATATTGCCGGTGATGGCAATAAGTTTGAAAATTCTATGGATAGCCGTTTTTTCTCGGGTTTAATAGATGACCATTGGCAACGTCAACGTATTTTCAACGCCCTCATCCGAAATTGGCTTCGTTTCACAGAATCGGAAAATCTAACCTCCTGGATCGCTCACGAGTCTCTACACGGATATCTATTTACTGGCTCACGCTTCCCATGGAGTCTTTCCAACAGCTTTCAAATGCCTCTTCATGATCTTAACCTTTTGGCCAAGTATTTCAATCAAAGTTTAGTGGTTGCACCTGCAACAGAAAGCATTGGCAGATATTTCATTGACATCCAACCATTCATTGCGTCCCGAGACAATCGGGACGGTGTCAACAATGTTGACGCGAGGTTTATCGACATTGACAGCGGATTCTTTATTGACATCTTTGGGCTTGGCTACTCATCACATCCCTCAGAGAACATGAGACTTCAAAACCACTTTGGTCTTGATCACGGTGGCCGTCGAGATATAGAGAGCTTCAACCGGGAAAACGGTATACTGTCTGAACGGAACGGCAAAAACTTTTTGTTGTCTGAAATCTTCCCATTACGTCTCTCTATGTATCACGGCTTGCCGGCAAGGGTACCATTCTCCACTTTAACAATCCTCAAAGATGAATATCACATCTCTTCCTCCTTCTACGGGGTTAAGGTTCAGCTCAACAAGCACCGGCTGGTTCCGAGTCTTGGTGTCTGGATTGAAAACTCAAAACTGAATAATTGGCTAGGACCGCGGCGCGCTGCCAAGGCTCATGAGTTGACAATAAAAGAAGTGCAATCAATACTGTCCGTCTTGTTAAGCGAAGGAAGCTATGAAGACCTCATTTACTGGATGAGATCGCAAGAACAATTTTCATTCCGGCTTGAAGAACTCGCCATAGAGTCGTCTAAGCTAACGCGCGAAGAAAAGCTCGCCTCACTTGAATCTTTGCAACATGTTCAGGTTGAACTCGCATCCGCATTCTCGGATCCATTCCTCAGTGAGAGGCGATCAAACAAGTGGAAGCAGCTGGTAGAACTTATGGACCATGCTGTTGGAACTGACATGTTTTCCAAAAGAGTATTGAAGGACATCATGTCCGAGCTGTCTGACGCCTTGGTTTCGTGGAAAAGAAAGCAACGGGAGCAGCACATGGAAATGAGTAGACTAGCTCTGGATGACAGCGCGCATACGCAATCTACGCGCTTATTTTTTATGAGAGAAGATGCAAGAGAGCGGTCTCTGAGAGAGCCTTTGATTTTCAAAGAAGATTTCACAGCTTGACAAGAATAATCAAATCTGTATTACATTTTTTGGACCTCTACATTAATCGTATAAAACTAATTGAAACTCACAATGTGAAGCTTTCTTCATGAAAGTGTAGCCCGCCGTCATTGGCCCATCTCTTTGTATTTCCCACCAGCTGAGAAGGGCCTGCCGCAATTACCCAAACGCGGCACAAGTCGTTAACATGCGCTTTCGGAGCATTAGGTTGACAACAGTCATTTGTATCAGAGGGACCAATGCACTCTTTTTCCAGACACCACTGGTAATCGTGATTGGTCAGGTTGGGCCGCCCAAAGAACACTTTCACACCGGCCGGGATTTTGAGGCTTTTCGTTGATCCTTCATTTCTTTCTCGAGCAACGTCGCTCTGATCAGGGGGGGGAACCAAGATCGAAGGCTTACGGAAAGCATCTTCCTTTTGAAGCATCGTTGGAGATGAACTCGATTTTCGTGAGATCTTACGTTTCGTATTCCCAGCGCTGAATATTTGAGTGAAATCAATTTCGTCTTCCTGATTACTTCTTCCTTGGTTCAGCATGCCAACTGAGCCAGTTGTATCCACTGATTTGAATGTGCCATACGTACTAGATTGAAAGGAAGCTTGATTAGGCTGATGCGATACGCTTTCCACTCCACGGAAGGGTTCCGGGTCATCGGACGCTGGGTCATCAAAATCAACGTAGTCGATACGCAAGTCTTGCTCATCCGTATCTGCGCCTGTGACGTAGATTTCAAGACCCTCGAAGTTGTTTTTGAAATAATTCAGTAACTTCAAGTCTCGATAGTCTCTGGTCACCCACTTGAGGCGAACCGTGACACCGTTGAAATTTAAAATCCTCAGCAATGGCAAACCAAAAGATATTGCACTTCCACCTGTGACAATCAGCGCTCTTCTTATATCAGTATTGTAATGGAGCGGCGAAGCCAAAAGTGCTGGGCTTTGGTTTTGGAAAGAAAAGTTGTGCTCTCCAAGTTTTACGTTTTTGCCTTTCGAAAGAAAATCCAGCTTTGGTTCAAAAGGCCCAGTGACAAGGTAAGACGAATTATTGCGTAACTTAAAATTACCAGAACGCACAATTAGTTTGACATTATCGTCATTGGGAAGACTCGCAATGGTGTATGGATGCTGGAGTGGGACACATCGCTGAAATATTCTCTTAAGCGGAGAAAACTCATGATATAAGGCCATTCTTATATGAGCTGAAGGCATGCTGGGCCTGTTAGATAACTCTGATGTGGGAAAATCAACTAACATCAAGCTTGGCGAGACTTCATTGACGCAAATGAGTACTCGTCTAGTGTGGAAAGCTCTGTACGCTATTTGGCCAACCAACAGTGAACAGTTCATCGCAGTATAATAAGGAATCGATGGCCTTGCATGATAATGAATAAGAACAACCGTCAGCCATGTGGCCAAGTAGTGAGTGTAATAAAATAGTTGAAAGTTGTATCTTCGTATTTGGGACACAGATGTAGCTGCAATGAAGAAGAACAAAAGCAAAGCCAAGACTCCCCAAAAATTTGCGGGCTTGCTCAATTTGACCCAGAATGCATGACTTTTTAAAAAGTACGCCGAGTATAGTGCAGTATGCAAAGTGGAAAGTAGCACCACGACTCTCGAGATCCACTTGTGAATTGGAAGAAGCGAGAGGTATAATGTGTGTGGCAAAGGCGAAGGTCGCAGCGTAAGAAATAGCAGTGGAGGCATCAAAGCGACAGCAACTCTTCCTAGCCTTTTCGTTATTTGAATGAGATCGCCCTTCGTGCCTGCCAAAGAGCACATCAACGAGATTAATAGCCAGAAAACACATATTCTGAACGCTTGGTTGTGTAAGATTCGCGAGCTATGTAGCCAGCGTATTTTTCGGAGCACATCATACCTCATGTGGTGTCGTAGCTTGAAAGCCCAGTGTTTTAATGCCAGATAGTTCCAAAGTGGTAGCATCACGCAGAGTGCCAAGATCGAAATACATATTGCAGTAATTCCGGCTTTTTGAACCAACGCAACACGCATCATTTTATCGCTCGATTTTGAGAAACTCGGAAGCGCATCTCTGAGCTGTCTGCCGTAGCTGTAAAGATACTCGCTAATACTTTGCATCATTTTTGAAGAACTGACCGTTGTGAAAAAGCTGGTCTGTGAACAACTCGCCTTATAATCCCAAAATCAAGAAGAAATATATCTAACAAACAGCTTGTCTTTGGAGACAACACAATTGACACAGACAATAACCATTAATAAATGTAATTGAACGTGTGTGTGAGTGTGTCGTTGTCAACCTGTAATGTGCTAAGAGTTACGTTATTTCCTGGGTGTAATTATAAGAGCTATGACGACAGGAAAAGTATAGAACGATGGATTTTTTGGATATTGTTTAGCCGGTGACTCAGCAGCAAACTACGCAGCAAACCACGCAGCACCATTACGACGATATGGCTTGACTTAGCCATAGAAATATGGTTGATCAGTAAGATTAGCTTATAGATGAAATATATGAGTTCAGCAGGTGGATGTAAATGCTCCAGATGCGTGATACGACGGTTACAGATTGAGAAGTTTGACGAATCGCATATAGCGAAACAGAGAATTAAAGCCCAGAACTCATCACAAGCCTTCTCTAAAGCATTTCGGAGTTTTCGACGTCAGCTGGTATGTCATCAGCAGTCGATTACTGGCGTGTATTCGATGCCATTGTCGATTAATTACATGGCGAAAGGCACTTGAGAAAGTCTTGGCATATCACTTTGTACTTTACTGTCGGCCAGGAACAAACGAAAGGCTGAACTTTTAGATGTTATTTCGAAGATGTTTTCGCAGTAAGGGGTGATGTTCAACTCAGATGTTCTGTGTACGTATTTATTCAATGACATTTGCTACCAGCGGCCCGTGCATATTTATGTCATGCAGTTTGTGACTGAGGGTACTTAGAAACTCGGCACAATGCTCGGAATAATACTACAATTTTGAGTACACGCAACGGGCATAAGCTATCAGGCCTTTATGTTCATGTACGCTACTGCGCAGTTTCTAGTTGTAAAAGGGCACATCTTGCATGGTAGAGACGCCTAGAAGCTTAGATCGACGGCTTTTCCAGCTTAGATCGATGGCTTTTCCAGCTTCGGTCCTTACTATGTCCGATTCTGTCTAAAACGGGATGAGACTGTTTTTAACACCCATACACCTTCAAAAACACAAGTACTATAAAATTTTAATTATTGCAAAAAACTCGATGCCCCTGGGTGAACAATTTCCACAGCGAAATAGTGAGTCAAGCAACGTGACATTAGAAGGAGGTCGGTTCTTCGCTCCAGGCAGAGCTCCGTCTTACTAGCCCACCATCCCAGCCCAGCTCTCCCCCCAGCGGTGAGCTGCCCTCCCGCGAAGGATGTACTCAATGTCAACCGCGCAGCTAGAATTAACAGCGCCGTACACGTGATGTAATGCGCGGTGGCTGCATATATTTCTACATGATGACTGGGTGCCCAGAGGCTGCCTAGGCTTAGCGGTAGGCCTCTGCCTAAACTTAGGCAGAGGCTCACAGAGTTTAGGCTCAAAGGCCCGTTAGAGCCAGGCTACGTGCGCGAGCCCACGGGTTGTTCCTCCGCCTAGCTTCTCCCTAGCTCCTGCCTAGCTCACACGATCATGAAAAATTATCAACATCACCACTATAACAAAATTTTTGGAAGATTAACAATCTGAGTAACCCTAGTTAGAATAGCGCATCATTTGTTCAACACAAGTTGTATTTGTTTTGAAGTCCCGACACATAGCAAGAGCAAGATAAACAATGTCTTTACCAGCTACTTTTGACTTGACCCCAGAAGACGCCCAATTGTTGTTGGCTGCCAACGTTCACTTGGGTTCCAAGAACGTGCAAGTATGTTGAGAAACCGGTGTGGATTATAGCGGACCACCATCCTGATGAGAGCGAGAGAGATTATATGCCGAGGAATAGTGTAATAAGAACCAAGCCATTTGCAGATGAATGATTATGAGGATTTTCAATGAGTCCTCACAGGGTTGGGCGATATTTCGGTCTTTAAGCAAGCAGGCATCAATCTACGGTGCTTTAAGCAAGGCTCAAACCCATTCTGCTCTCAATACTCATCGAGAAAAAAAGGCCGCTGTAACGTGGTGGTCTTCATTTTTACTAACCAGTTTTTTTCATCACAGGTTCACCAAGAGGCATACGTCTTCAAGACCAGACCAGACGGTGTCAACGTCGTCAACATCGGTAAGACCTGGGAGAAGATTGTGTTGGCCGCTAGAATCATTGCTGCCATCCCTAACCCAGAGGATGTTGTTGCCATCTCTTCCAGAACCTACGGCCAAAGAGCTGTGCTAAAGTACTCTGCTCACACTGGTGCCACTGCCATCGCTGGTAGATTCACCCCAGGTTCTTTCACCAACTACATCACCCGTTCTTTCAAGGAGCCAAGATTGGTGATTGTCACTGACCCAAGATCCGATGCCCAAGCCATCAAGGAATCTTCTTACGTCAACATCCCAGTCATCGCTTTGACTGACTTGGACTCTCCTTCTGAATACGTCGATGTTGCCATCCCATGTAACAACAAGGGTAAGCACTCCATCGGTTTGATCTGGTACTTGTTGGCCAGAGAGGTCTTGAGACTAAGAGGTTCTTTGGTCGACAGATCTCAACAATGGTCTATCATGCCAGATTTGTACTTCTACAGAGACCCTGAGGAGGTTGACCAGCAAGTCGCTGAGGAAGCCGCCCCAGCTGAGGACGAGGAGGCCAAGGAAGAAGTTGCCGCTGAAGAGCAAACCGAAGCCGCCGACTGGGCTGAAGGTAACACCGAGGAAGTTGCTTCCTGGTAAGCACTTCCCTCATATGGGGATACGGGATTTTCCGCGCAAATAACAACATCAATAAAAAACCAATGTTTCCAATAAAATGAAACCACTTTTAGTAAAGTTTACACAAGGCTCTCACCACCGCCGATCCGCCTTTGTTCATTAGTAATTTTATCCTTTGTCAAATTATATATACAATAAATTGATGAATCTTGTTTAGCATGAGAGCTTACGCTGGTACTAGCGAATGCTCAAGCCTAACTTACAAAAAACGAATTAGAGCGCTTTGATTCCGAGTACGTTATGTAGACTGCAGCAAACATCAAACGCATTTGGAAGAAGACGTTACAATGTTTGTCCTACTCTTTATCAGCTATCCCAGTCTAACCTTTTACTGACGTGCTTAATAGTTTACAGAAGTAAAGCTGTCATTTCGAGCGTCGCATATTAGAAAGTGAAAAAAACAGCCAGATATGAAGAAGCGAACTTATCTAACAACACGACATCTGACTGCTAACACATACCCCATCCCTTTTGTTGCAATTTTCTATTTATGTTGGGAAGATTATCAAAGATTCTTTCATTCACGCCTTGGCTGACGGGAAATACAATAGCTCAACTCATGTTCCTAACTATTTTGAGAGCTGTAACTCCATATATTCAGATCAATTCCGGCTTCACTCATGAAAGAGTAAAAGGTTGAATTAGACTCATAGCAACCAACTAACCGACCTTCCTGACACTCTTTCAAAGGCTAACGATAATGTCAACCTCTCCTAAAATGACAAGAAAAAAGAGAGCACGTGCCAGAATTCCAATTAACGAAAATTGGTTTCCTGTAGGAATATATATATCGTCTGTTGGTCTCGACGAAGATGCGATGGTTTAGAAGAATCGTATACTCCATATAGATCACCGATGTCCATACCGAAGCAAAGACTACTGCAGGTAGCAAGCTTATCTGCACGGATCTTCAATGAAAATTTCAACCCCACAGCTGCACGTAATGGTGGGAAAATTCTGTCCAAAAGACTAAAAGGTGCGTCAATCGCGGGCTACTACGGGAATCCTGATTTCTTGAAATTCAAGCACCTAAAGACTCTATATCCAGAATTTCAATTTACCGATGAACAAGAAGAATATAGGCTGTCTATGAATGAAGCCCGGAAACGTAGAGGCAAGGGTGCTCCTACAAAGAAAAAAGAAGCCAGCAAAGACAAGGGCAAAACGAAAAAGAGAAAGTAGCTTAGCACGTTAAGCACGGTTGCAGTGAAATTCATTAGGCCGCAGATAGCATCCGGGATTATATTAGTCGTCGAGTTCGTCCCCTCGCCTCATGTATATAAGATAGATTAACCAATGAATTAAGCAAGTTTTGGTAGAATCCGAGGGCTGAACACCGCATTAACTGTTCGTAAATGACATCAATGATGTCCACACTTCGCTAGTCTTGGTAGGGACTTCAGGAAGGGTTGAGTATAAAACGCGATACATCCTGTGTCTTTTGATGGTCATTGGAAAGCCTACTAATATTTCGCGGAAAGTGGATAGCGTGAAGTAATTGTCGACCATGGTAGCGAGAAGCACCGCGTATGGTCTCAAAATCTGCTTCAAGCTCAAAGGGTTGTTCTTCAGCTTAAATTCGGGACCTCCGCCAATAGGCTGTAATAAAATACCGCCTGGAATACGCATCGGGTCTTTTATCCTCAGCAGTAATACAAATAAAGGAAAATGATTTAACAAAGCCATGACAAACTCGAGAATCAGCTCCGGTAATAATACTGACAGGCGTAAGATGGTGAACAGGACGTAAAAAATTAGGAAGGTGGGCAACAAAAATATCAAAATTGTGAAGAAAAGTGTTCCCATCAACAATTGATCTAATTCGAACAAGTTCGAATCCACCCTATTCCGCAAAACATTACGCTTTTTGCCGCAAAACAAGTATAAAAGCGTTTGCATGACATGCAATTGCCAGTGATACATCTTGGCACTGATGAAGTAAAAAAGGGAAATATGCATGGTAAGAAACGATACGAAATCGACCGCGATTGCAAGAGCAAAAGTAACACCAAAGAAGCACGACGCTGTGGAAACAATGCTGATGAAAATGCTGATGCATCTGGTGCTTGTAATGCGCTTGATGTACATGGAATACGAGAAGTCGATGGTCCACAAGAAAAGGTCGCTTAGAAACTTTGCAAGCTCTCCATTCAGCTTGATTCCCAATGGGTTATGACTCAGAGCTGTTGTTACAAAGTGCACTCTTTCGTAAAGGCATCTGGTAAACATGTCATTCAAAAAAACGGCTATGTTGCATTGATTTTCAGCCAGTAACGCGCCCAAGGATAGCCCAAAAGACACATCGTTAGCTATGAGCCATATTGTGTTGTAGAATCTGATGTAGTCTGGATAGCTGTTGCAGGGGAACATTCGAATACGAGAGGTTTGGGATTTCACGTCTGTTCTCTGTGAGCTGCCCGAGGATTCGCTGTTGTTAATGCGAAGAAATTGCTCAGGGAAGTAGCACAGCTGGCGACATCGTAAGTCAATTTGCTGTGCTGTAGATGAGAAGTTCACCAGTTTCAGTGGCTTCATATTAAGAAAGGTGACCAAAGTAGCGGCCAAGAAATGTGCACAGATAGTCAAGTAGACTGCGCAACGTCGCAGCCCTGTAACTGGTCTTCGGAAAACTGCTCCACGCGCTAATAGGAGTGACAACTGTGAAGTTTCCCTATAATGCCCTTTTTCACTGGCAAGATTCAGCCGATGTAAATGCTTGCGGTACATATTAATGAGATTAATGGATTTTCGAAGTCCAAATTCAGAGAGCTCTGAGCCCTTGTGAAACTCACGCAATGAGTTATGATTATTACCAGCTGCGGAACCGATCAGATAGTCTTTTTCGGGTAAAACCAGCGCAATAGGCTCTAAGCTATAAAATTGCATTAAATTAAGTCTTGGAGGCTTGAACTTCACTAAAAAGAGCGCAGTATTTTTGCTAAATTCAAATGTAAATCCTGAGCTAGATTCCCACTTTCCGATGTTGGTAAACCCATATTTTTCACAGCTTCCAGCTTTGACTAAACTCGAATATTCTTGTTTTTCAAGAAGTGCCAATACCATCCATCCTGTATCAGACTCCCGTACAGCTACGACCGTCCTAGAGCCATGCTTTCCTTCTTCCAGAGATTGTGGCCAGAACACGTATTGCATCTAAAGTGGACTTTGGACAGGGATAGAATCTCCGGCGATGGATCGCATGTCGATAATGTGTCCAGTTACTACTTCACTGGTAGATTTGATGATGCCTGACGCCAATATAGTAATTCTCCAGTAGATGCTCGATGGTCACGTGTTATATATATATAAAATAGCTACCGTATTGTAAAGTAGAGACCCCATGTAAGGCCCTGATTAAGGTTATAGTAGTCTTGTAGGGATTATTCAGTCGAACTGACGCGCTTATCGTTGTTTTTTTTTAACTCCAAGCAAAATTATGTTTAAGACCGACTTTGAAATTTTCCCTAATTAGCCAAAATATAAAACTGACACTGGACCTGATATACATGGACGTAAATTCTATCTGCTCTTGTCAACAGTGCCAATTATGCTCAGAGAAACCTATCTTGTTGATAAAATCTTATAAGAAACGCTTCGTTTTTCAATTGTCAATTGTCGCACTGTCGCGTCAGTTATAATAATGATTACGTAATGAAAACTATTGAAGGTGCTGTTTCGCTGTGAAGGTTAATTCAAAAGTTTTATAATGGAATACCATAGGATGCTGCGACGAGCAATGGAGGAAAGATTCAGAAATAAGATTGAATAGAAACCGAGCTCTTATAAAAATGTGTTGTTCTATCAGCCTTAGTAGGATGCGATCCAGAATGAAACCCAAAAAAATGTCACAGTAAATACAATACAACGGGGAAACTATCCATCATAAAAACTAAGTAGCAAATGGCACTCTCAAACAAAGTACCACTCGCTAAAGTTCTACAAATCTCAAAATGAAGTTCGATTCAAAATCCCACCTCATCGTCACGTGCCGTGGGTTCTATTTTAGTATAACTGAACATATAAATATATATCCACGTACATATATATATGGATATATGATTTACAGCGGATGATCATCACTCAATCTGCACATCAGAAGTCCAACGGTGTTGCGTTACCATTTTATTGCAGGCTCAAGAGGTATTCTTTCAAAACTCTTTTGAGAGAAGGGTAGATCTATCCAGACACTGTCAGTTTTCATGGTCATAGGGTTTAGATAATGTCAAGAAGACCCTTGACTCAGAGCAGTTCGTCCAAGGATTTTCCAGAAGTTGAAGATGAGACAGGAACTCAACATCAGAGAGTGCCCGTTTTGGTCACAATTGATAGGGCAGAGACAGATCCGGAACTAGAAGCTACAGCGGCAGACTCCTCGGCGAGAAAAAATTCGAAGACGGATTTTAAGGATTTCGAATTACATTCTGATGACGTTAGCAGTAGCGGTCTTGTAAAAAGGCCAAACCTTACGGTGGTGACACAATCTGGAGGCAATTCTTCTTCAAGTATTCGAAAGCCAGGCTCTGGTCAGCTTTCTGCTACTAGCATAAAGTCTCATTTCAAAAACCTAATCTCACCGTCAAAATCACGGGAGACTTCAGATGCATCCCTTGACGAACAACAGAGTGCAGTTGCGGACCAGCGTTCCGGCACTGAAGAGCGGAGACTTTCGTTTGACTCCCGATCTAATAGTCATGGAATCCATGACGACAATCCTTTGACAGGCACTATAATATCCACCATCGAAGAGGGCGATTTGGATGATTTCAAAGACCTACAGGATGAATTCACTAATGCAATGGGAAAAGGGAGCTCTACATGGCTCCCGCAAACGAAAAGAGGCTCCTATAAGTCGGACATAGCATCAGCCGACGACAGATCCCAGCACTCCCACGTCGAAGAGCAACATGAGAACACAACTGTGATGGAGGACATTAGCCAAACTTATCCTGGAGAGAGTAGCTCACAGGATCGAATCAATACAACAATCGATGGCTCCAGTAATTCCATTAATCCTAGTCCCCAGAAATCCAAAAAAGCCACTTACGAGGAAACAGAGGAGTACGAGGAACGCGAATCGTCGGAAAGTACTGAAACGAACTCCGCAATAGAGTCCGACGGTGGCAAAACATTGAAAAAACCCCCATTAATTTTGTGCGGGAACTCCTTAGGTCTTTTCCCGCCGAACAATCCCTTACGCGTTAGACTCGCCTCAATTGTGACAAATGAATGGACCCATCGTGTCAATGTACTGTTTTTGGTCTTTCTTGTTGCCATTCTTTCGGTGGCTTTTTCATTTGAATCGGACGAATTAGCGTATTTCTCTAGTACGGTTGGTGGATTGATATTTGCGATCAACGTGTTATATACACTTGACATGCTAGCGCGGATAATTGTTTTCGGATTTTGGGACGACTCAGCACTTTTTCAAACACGAGGGGAAGACTATAAGACAGTCTACCAAATTCTCGGAATTGATTCTTTTTTCCGCGATCTGAAATCTAAGTATGGAAAAGATCTTTTTCGGAGAATCCTACCCTTCAAGATTAGCTACGATCAACTTGCTGGCAAGTCTGGTCATAAGCCGGTTAGAAGTGCTGTGACGTTCGTTGGTTCTGCTGACGGAAAGAACAGCGAAGTTCCACTGTATCGTGCATATTTTAGGAGTAGTTGGAACAGAGTGGACCTGGTTTCAACCGTCTGCTTCTGGATATCTGCATTTTTGTCGATCAAAAGTTTTGATGACAGTCACGGCATACGCATTTTCAAGACTCTCGCCGCTTTGCGTATCCTCAAACTCGCAAAAGAGGAAGGAAGTCAGACGAAAATTTTGAACAGTTTAAAATTCGGGCTACCACAATTGGTCAATGTATGCTTCATGCTCTTGTATTTCTGGACATTCTTTGGCATTTTGGGGGTACAAAGTTTTCAGGGGTCGCTGAGAAGGACCTGTACTTGGACCAACCCTGATGACCCGTCTGAAAGTTACACCAACAGCATGCAATTTTGCGGTGGGTATCTGGAGGCTGTAACGAAGAAAAAAATGTCATACGTTTTCTCCGATTTTCGAGATGGTCCTACTTCAAAAGGATTTTTATGCCCACAAAACTCGAAATGTGTTTCTGGTGATAATCCTTATGGAGGCCGAGTTAGCTTTGATAACATCCTGGGTTCTATGGAGTTAGTATTCGTTACAATCAGCGCTAACACCTTCACTGATATCATGTACGACACCATGGACTCTGACAGCATGGCCTCTTCTCTTTTCTTCATCTCCTGTATCTTCTTTCTGAACATTTGGATGATAAATTTGATGATCGCTGTCCTGGTCTCTTCTTTTGAAAAAGCGAACGAGCTAGCCAGAAAAAGCGGATCCAAAGAGACGCCATCCCGACTCAAGCGCATGGCAACAGCGGCTTTGAAATACATCGAGAAAAAAGCTAGTGCTAAGGAGTTACCGGCCTGGAACTTGAATTGCATAAAATGGTACAAAAAGATAGAATTCCTTTTCGTCATAGCGATAAGTTCAGATCTGGTAGCACAAGCAACGATAACTTCAGATAGCAGTGATCAAGACATGGAGACGATTTTCAAGTTTGACCGAGTTGTTAACTATATTCTTTTGGTTGAGTCGCTGCTTAGAGTGATTTGCTACCTCCCCAATCTTTGGAAACTTCTCAGGAAACCTTCTTACTTGTTTGATATCTCCACGTGTATTGTTTCGGTTGCAATAACTGTACCCGCTAATAGAATAGCACTGGGCGATACTTATTACTGGTTAAACATTTTCCAAATACTGCGGTTTTATCGCGTCATCAAAATGATTGAGGTAACAAGAAATCTTTGGAAGCAAGTTTTAGGAAATGCATTACTCATACGCAATTTGTCCGGATTCTACTTCTTTTTCCTATTCTTGGTGTCGCTCATTATGTCAGTTTACTTCACAGGCACAGTACCGAAATCAGAAATCGACGACACACCATTTGCTTTTTACGACGTTTCGAACTCTTTTTTGACTCTTTTCATCATTGCTTCGACGGAGAATTGGACAGAATCGCTATACGCCGTTCAACAATACGCTTCTAATTATTCTTCGCAGTTCTTCGGCTCCATTCTCCTGATAGTGTGGTTTTTCCTGTCGAACTTCGTTATGCTGAATATCTTCGTGGCGATCATAGCAGAAAGCTTAGATGTTCCAGAAGAAATGAAAAGGTCTTTACAAATCAGGCATTACTTACAGCACGTCTATCCAGAGAAGATCAAAGAATTTACGAATGCCACTCTCGCTCGCCGCATCAAAAGAAAGATTGTGAAGCACGCAGGTGATGAGGACTCTCGGGACTTCAGACAGTTTCTGTTTAGAGGAACCGCAATAGTTAGCATTGCGCAGCAGCACAACATCATGGATCTCAAGAACGAAAAGAAAAAAAAAAGTCACGGATTTTCTGTCCGATTATCATTTCATCTATTGAACATGATGAAAAGACTACCTTTTATCAAGCCCTTTATTGAAAATCCGTTTCACAAGAAAGCAGAAGTTGTGTACATAGAATCTACTGATTCGGAGGGTTTGAATAAGAGATACACTTTGAAGCTTAATGAATTTGAAGAGGAAAAGCTGCAGTATATGAAAGAGCATCCATTTTTCAACAATGCCTATTTTATTTTCCCTCCAAACCACATCTTCCGCCAATTTTGTCAAAGTCTAACTCCCCCTTCAGTTGGCAAGAGAACGGATGGTTTCCGTTTTTTTGAAGACAACACCAATACTCACGAAAGGAGTTATAGCTTTAGAAATTTCAAACGAGACGTTTTTGTGGGTTTCATTTCGATTGCAACAGTCTTAATGGTAGTTTACTCGTGCTTTATCACTCCTGTTTATCGCATGAAGCATCCTTCAGTAAGAGTATGGTCAAGGTACTTTGATGCAACATTTGTCGTGATTTTCTCTTTGGAATTCGTCATCAAAACCGTTGCGGATGGCTTGTCACACACACCCAATGCTTATTTGCGCAACCCCTGGAACTGCATTGATGTTACAGTACTAATTTCAATTTGGATTAACTTTGTTGCAAGCTTGAAGAATGATGATGATCTATCTCGCGTTTTCAAAGGACTCACAGCGTTAAGGGCTTTGAGATGTCTCACAATCAGCAGAACAGCTAGATTAACTTTCAATCAGGTGCTTTTCGATGGTATCGGCAAAATCATAGGTGCAGCCACTATTTCTCTCACAGTTCTCTTCCCCTTTTCTGTATGGGGGTTGGGTATTTTCAGAGGACGTCTCGGCGTTTGTAACGACGGTGTCGACTTATCAAAATGCTATAACGAATTCACAAATCAGGTCTTTGATTGGGATGTCCTTATGCCCAGATCCTATTCAGAACCATATCTTTACATGAACTCCATTTCGAGCGCATTTCGAACCCTTTATGAAATTGTCTCTTTGGAAGGTTGGGTTGACATATTGACGAATAGTATGGCAAGTACAGGAATAGGTACTGTACCAGAAAATTTTTCCACGACTGTCAATGGTTTATTCTTCGTGCTATTCAATTTTTTGAGCATGGTATTTATCCTTACACTGTTTGTGTCTTTTATCATTCGTAACCATGCTCGAACGACTGGAAGTGCTTTTTTAACAGTTGAGGAAAAATCATGGCTTGAAGTCAAGCGCTTACTTTCACAAGCACAACCCGAACCCAGTCCCGACATTTTGTCAATGAGTCCCATGAGACTTTTCATACATCGTCTAGCGGTTGAGAAAGCATTTTTCTCATATGCCCTTTTACTTCAGCTAGTGCTCTATGTCCATATCTTGACCTTGCTGTTGTACACATACGACGAAAACTACTCTTTGCGAAACTACCAGAATACTGTTTTCATGATATCCACCACGATATTCTTGATCCATGAGGTCTTTTGTATTGTTGCCAAAGGAACGAGACTATGGTTTGCGAGAAAATGGGATGTCTTCAAGTTTATCGTGGTTATTTCATCTTTTGGTCTTAATATCGTCGTTTGTCTCTCAACCCCCGAAGACATTATAGGGTTCGATAACATTCGAAATCTTTTCCAGCTTGTTATCTTTTTGTTTGTGATTCCGCAAAACGACGTCTTAAGCGAACTGATAAGCACCGCCATGGCGAGTATGCCCTCGATTTTATCTTTAACGTATACTTGGGGTATTTTGTTTCTGGTGTACGCAATAGCATTGAACCAAATATTTGGGATGACCAAGCTAGGTCCCAATACCACTGGAAATTTGAATTTCAGAACTGTTGTCAAATCCCTGATTGTTTTGTTTCGTTGCAGCTTTGGTGAAGGATGGAATTATATCATGGACGATCTAACCGTGACGTCCCCCTTTTGTTATGTCGATGATAGCACTGGTCGCTCTGATTGCGGATCGAAACCGTATGCATATTTTTTAATGATGTCTTGGAACGTGCTCTCCATGTACATTTTTTTGAACATGTTCGTGTCACTCGTTTTGGAGAATTTCAGCTACCTGTACCATTCCGGCTCGGGTTCCAAGGCTGTCGCTAGTAGGGATGAGATACGGAGGTTCAAGAACGCATGGAAAAAATTCGATCCTGACGGAATCGGAGAAATTGATCACAACCAACTGCCACGATTGATGCACTCCTTTGAAGGACGCCTTTCGTTTAAAATTTGGGAAGGGAGACTGTCAGTTAAAAGTTTGGTGACGAACTACATGACGGTCAACCCGCTGGATCCCTACGATGTGCAAATCGATTTGCAAGGCTTGAATGAGGAATTAAAAAGTATTGACCATCTCAAGATCGTTGAGAGAAAACAGCAGTACCGTAGATTTGTACAGGAAGCGCATTACTCCAGTGCTTTTAAGAACGGCGTTACTTTCAGCAAAATTATACAGCAGGTTCCGCTGTATACTGCTTATTCCCCACAAGAGTGCCTTGGAATCGATGAGTACGTGAAAAGATTGTATGTGATGGGTAAAGTAGACAAGTTTCTGGACAATGAGAGAAACGTAGAAGTGTTAAAAATGGTGGTGTCAAGATGGAAGTTTCTGACGGAGCGTCCAGGATTTCGGACTGCAGTGTCAAGAAAGACCGGACCGAGTTTTCTATCAAAATTGTCAGCCATGGAACTCGATCCGCCGGCTACGCCAAATTTGGACGTAAGCTTCAACAACTTTAGCTGGTCGCCCCGACAAGCTGATCGTAACCGATCCGGCAGTTTCGATCAACGCTGGGGACACCTTGATTAGAGAGCAAGGGAAAATGACCCAAAAAAGAAAGAGGTGAGCAATATAAATCTGGTCAGGATGACCAATGCATCACGAATATTGGTTTACTTTTCATGCTGATACTGACATTGAAACTGACACTGACACCTCCAGGTTTCTTGTTAGTGATAGTAGTAGAACATTTCTCCTTCGTAGACAATGATAAACAATTTCATAAATATAAGAATTTTTAACTCAAAAAACGAGAATCAAGAGAGATATACCTTTAAAGTTCAGGAAAATACGGCTCTGAATGCCAGCAATTGCTAGCTCTTTCAACCCGATTCTTTTGTTTACTGTTATGTTCAAATACAAATTAATACATGATGGGATTGCCTTAATTTTTGTTTAGGCACGTGACCATTGATTAGGGTTCAAATCCTTGCGTGTTCAAAATTTTTTATAAAATCTCCTGAACACACTCTAAGTCTACAAATTTGAACTAACTTCTGTAAAGATAGACAGTTTTAAGTCTACAAAAAGAACGCTAAAAGACGGTCAATTCACGCTTCTAACAGCCGTACATCATCATTAACACAGCTTCCGCCTTTTGACTCGAAGCGTTGCTGTTCTTTGTGCTTTAATTAACAGAGCCGATACCATTATTGTCTTGTTTCTGACTTCAAAATTAATCTGTAATTGCAACAAACAGTACAAGATACTTGGGCAAAGATCACCTAAAACTGCTATAAAAGTTGAAATATGGAGTCGATATTGGACTTTTCGCGAGATCTAGACATCAATGCCTTAGACCAAGTGGTGGATACCTTGTATAAGGGATCTGGTGCTCAACAAAAGCAAGCTCAAGAAATTTTAACAAAATTGAAGGACCATCCGGACTCGTGGCAAAGAGCCGACCAAATATTGCAATTCTCGCAAAATCCGCAAACCAAATTCATCGGATTGTCGATTCTGGATAAACTGATCACCACGAAATGGAAAATGCTGCCACCAGAGCATCGAATTGGAATCCGTAATTTCATAGTCGGAATGATCATCTCACTGTGTCAGGACGACACCGTTTTCCAAACGCAGAAAAACCTGATCAACAAGTCGGACCTCACACTGGTGCAGATCTTGAAACAAGAGTGGCCACAGAATTGGCCGGATTTCATTCCTGAATTGGTCCAAAGCGCACAATCGTCAGTAAATGTGTGTGAAAACAACATGGTCATCCTCAAACTGCTGTCAGAAGAGGTTTTTGATTTCTCAGCGGAACAGATGACCCAGGCTAAAGCCCTGCATCTCAAGACGTCCATGTCAAAAGAGTTTGAGCAGATTTTCAAGCTTTGCTACCAGGTTATGGACGCTGGTTCGACCACCTCGCTCGTGGTTGCTGCATTGGAGTCATTGCTAAGATACTTGCATTGGATTCCTTACCATTACATCTACGATTCCAACCTTCTGGAATTGCTTAGCACCAAGTTTTTGATGTCCTCCGACACAAGGGCAGTGACTATCAAATGTTTGACCGAAGTTTCCAATTTGGAACTACCCCAAAATGATACAAAAATTGCGGAGCAGACCGTTCTTTTCTTCCAAAACACCCTACAGCAAGTAGCTGAGAACGTTATGCCCGTCACTGCCGATTTAAAGGCGACGTACGCGACCGCAAACAGTAGAGATCAATCCTTCCTGCAAGATTTCGCCATGCTTCTCACAACGTTCCTAGCTCGTCACCGTTCTCTTTTGGACAGTGACGAAAGATTAAGGGAACTCCTTTTGACTGCCCACCAGTATTTGATACAACTGTCAAAAATTGACGAAAGAGAGCTTTTCAAAACGACCCTGGATTATTGGCATCATCTGGTAGCAAGTTTGTTCCAGGAAGTCCAAAAACTTCCCGTCGCAGAGCTCAATCCACTGTTGCAGCTATCTGTAGGGTCTCATGCCATCAATTCTTCTGGAGGCGCGCCAAATCCTGAATTTCTGAAGAGATTCCCGCTCAAAAAGCACATCTACGATGGTATCTGCTCTCAGCTGAGATGGGTTGTTATAGAATCTATGGTAAGGCCAGAGGAAGTTTTGGTGGTGGAGAACGATGAGGGTGAGATTGTGAGGGAGTTTGTCAAAGAATCTGACACAATTCAACTATACAAATCTGAGAGAGAGGTTCTGGTTTATCTTACGCATTTGGATGTCGTCGATACCGAGGATATCATGATAAGCAAATTATCAAGACAGATTGATGGATCTGAATGGTCGTGGCATAATATCAATACGTTGTGCTGGGCTATTGGATCCATTTCAGGCACAATGGGTGAAGAAACGGAGAAAAGGTTTGTGGTAACTGTCATTAAAGACCTATTGGCCTTAACGGAGAAAAAGCGGGGCAAAGACAACAAAGCAGTGGTAGCCTCAAACATCATGTATGTTGTTGGCCAATACCCCCGCTTTTTGAAAGCACACTGGAAATTCTTGAAAACTGTTATTCTCAAGCTATTTGAGTTCATGCACGAAACTCACGAAGGTGTTCAGGACATGGCTTGTGATACATTTATAAAAATTGTCCGGAAGTGCAAGCATCATTTTGTTGTTCAGCAACCAACTGAACCTGAACCATTTATACAAACCATCATCAGACAAATCCAAAGCACCACTGCAGATTTGCAGCCTCAACAGGTTCACACCTTCTATAAAGCATGCGGCACAATAATCTCTGATGAAAGAAATGTTGGAGAAAGGGAACGTTTACTAGGCGATCTCATGCAGTTGCCCAACATGGCATGGGATGCTATAGTGGAACAGTCCTCTGCCAACCCAGATTTATTGCTTGATAGTGAAACCGTAAAAATCATCGCCAATATTCTGAAAACAAATGTGGCTGTCTGTTCGACAATGGGTGCAGAATTTCACCCACAATTGGGTCATATCTACTACAATATGCTTCAGCTTTACAGGGCCGTATCCTCCATGATATCGGCTCAAGTTTCTGCCGAAGGGCTCATTGCAACAAAGACTCCAAAGGTCCGTGGCCTAAGAACGATAAAAAAGGAAGTACTCAAGCTTGTTGAGTTCTACATCTCTCATGCTAAGAATCTGGATGAAGTCGTGAAAGTATTAGTCGAACCACTCTTGAATGCTGTTTTGGAAGACTATATGAATAACGTTCCAGATGCCAGAGACGCAGAAGTTTTGAACTGCATGACGACTGTTGTTCATAAGGTTGGTCATATGATGCCCAGTGGTGTCATTTTGATCTTGCAGAGTGTGTTTGAGTGCACTTTGGATATGATTAATAAAGACTTCACGGAATACCCTGAGCATCGGGTCGAATTTTACCGACTTTTGAAAGAGATCAACAGCAGGTCCTTCAATGCTCTTCTGGAACTACCACCAGCTGCGTTCAAGCTGTTTGTTGATGCAATCTGTTGGGCATTTAAGCATAACAATCGTGATGTCGAAGTCAACGGTTTACAGCTTGCCCTAGATCTTATCAAAAATATTGAAGGGTTGGGTTCAACACCATTCGCAAACGCTTTCTATGAGAACTTTTACTGTACGTTCATCAGCGAAACCTTTTACGTTCTTACAGATTCGGACCATAAATCTGGATTTTCTAAGCAGTCCCTTCTTCTCATGAGATTGATATCACTGGTTGAGGAGAACAAGATAGCTGTTCCGCTTTATCAACCAGGCGAAGTTGCTGAAGGTGCGACTAACCAGTTGTACCTTGCTAATTACATGGCCAACATGCTAAGCAGTGCATTCCCTCACCTCAGCAAAGAGCAGGTAACCGGTTTCATCAGCGCTTTGATCAAGCAGTATCAGGATCCATCCAAGTTTGCAGCAACTCTAAGAGATTTCCTAGTTCAGATAAAGGAATTTGGTGGTGATGCAACTGACTATTTGTTCGCTGAGGACAAGCAGCTGGCATTGGAAGAACAAACCAGAGTAGAAAGGCAAAGAGCAGCGGCTGTTGGTGGCTTATTGAAGCCGTCGGAGCTTGAAGATTAATTAAAGGAAGCATGGGTCTTCATGGGACAAATTTTTAACGATTAGGTACCGCAGTTTTACTTTTTAAACACTGGAATTAACGTCAACACTGATTGCATCCCCACTGAATGAATAGCGTCATTGGCGTAATGCGACATTCGAGTTTTGACTTCACATAGAAAAAAAACAATGCTATACTTATTTACATGACTACTATATCATTCAGACATCAAAATTTTGGTGCCTTCTTGATGGCATCCTGAATTCTAACGTAGGAGCCATTAGGTCCCGCTATTGAACCTTTGACTAGCACAACACGATTTTCATCGTCGACCTTAAGAACTTGCGAATTTTGTATGGTTACTTGCTGAACACCCATATGCCCAGGCATTTTTTTCCCTGGAAGAACACGACCGGGTGTTTGATTTTGACCATAAGAACCACCTTTTCTGTGCGATACAGAAACACCATGAGAAGCCTTGAGACCTTTGAAGTTGTGACGTTTCATGACACCAGCAAAACCTTTACCCTTGCTCACAGACCTAACATCCAGGTACTGTCCTGGCTGAAAAAAAGAAGGCTTTATCACGGTCCCAGGCGGAAGAAGCCCAGACTCATTTTTCACTCGGAATTCAATTAGTTTCTCCTTGGGGTTTACGATTTTCGAGGCGAAATGTCCCAGCATTTGTCTCGAAACCTTGTCAGGATGTTTGTTCCCAAATCCAACTTGGCAAGCAAAATATCCATTTTTTTCAACTGTTCTATTCATGATCACCTCAACGTTATTGAGTTCTAAAACAGTGGCCGCAATTCTCTTCCCACTGGCTTCGTCGAAAAGCGGGATCATTCCTCTTTTCACACCCAATGCACCACACCTATTGGGAAGTCTTCGCCTCAATTGTGCTTCCTCTGGACAATGGTTGATGATTGGCGCTTTACTTGCAATTGTAGACACGATCGATGGTGCCGTCAAAGAAGCCCTAGAAGACGCAGATCTCGTCTGAGATCTCCACAAATTTGCTATCAGGCGACTCATCGTAAAGGTATGACAAGCCGAAATATCCCGTCCTTGAAAATGATGTGATTTTGGACTATAATAGTGCTTCCGGATGTGCTGGAAATATGGATTTGGTCGATGTCTACTTGAATAATGTATGTTAAAAAACCCAAAATTTTCTTAGTGCGAGCTTATCGTTAATAGTGACCAACAATCCAATTTAAAATATGATTTGATGACGTAATCAATGTCCAAGATTCTTTAAAAAGTACCAGTCACGTGACTTTTGAGAATTGTGCTCGAATGACAGGTTTAGCCATATCAGCCAACGATCGAGGTAGCTTAGATGGCCAAGATAGTATATGTTACGAGTACCGCGGTGACAAGAGCTTAAAGTTTAGTGTTTGGAACTAAGAAGGTCCGGAAAAATAAAAATATCTTACTTTCTTCGACAAACGTCTCATCTCTCTCTCTCTTTCTATATACAATGTTATTTCATGCAAAGTGAGACTACTTGATCTTCTTGTCCTTCAGGACAATTTTCTCGTCGTTGACGTAAATGCCTTTACCCTTGTAAGGTTCAGGAGGGTGAAACTTTCGCAAGTTAGCAGCGAAGAGATAAACCTGTTGTTTATTACAACCTTCTATGATTAGCGACGTGGGCGTTGGTGACGTGACGGTGATGCCGTCAGGCACCGGTAGACCCTGCATAATGGACGCTCCAACCTTCACGCTGACAAATTTGCCCTCCTGTTGCAGTTGCGCACGGTAACCTGTCCCCACGAATTTCAGCACAGCCATGTGGCCCTCGTTCACGCCAACGACATGGTTGTTCAAATGACTTCTCACAGTTCCCCAAAGCGATTTTTGCATTTTGTCGGTTTCGTTTTGGACGGAAACCGAGATTTTGCCGTTTCCAACGTCTTCATTGATCTTGACGAATTCTGGCACCTGCATCGATAGCGTTCCTCTGGGGCCTGTTACTGACAGAATTTGTGAAAGGGTTAAGGATTTGTTACCCTTTCTGATAACATGGGGCGGCCTTAACTCGGTCAACTCGAATTTTGTATCTCGCGTGGTGAATACAGGAAGAGAACCGATGTGTGAATGTGCAACTCTAGTACCGCTAAATTGTCGCTTGAAATTCAGCGAAACAAGTTGGGATATGACGTTAGAGCTCATGGTAAGATTTCAAATCGAAATGGCTCTAAAAAGGTAGTGAATGAGGCCACAATTCGTAGGTTGTCAACGGCTTCATTGATATTCTCTCTGCTGGCGTTAAATATCATCTCAATCTTTAATTGTAGAAATTTTTGAATTTGTCGGGTCATTGTGTACGTTTGTGTCGCTGGCCAGTGAGCACCAAGTAAAACAAAACTGGTTGTATTGGCATAGGAAATGAGACTGTCACTGATAGTATAGCAGGGAATCCCATTTTTGAGCTAGAAACTGAGTTTCCTCTTCTGCGTTCTTCTGCTGTCTGTTTCACCAAAAGGAGTCGCTTCTCAAAAATGATCATGAAAAGATTAAAAAGTACACCACCACTGAGGCGACGAGAAGAACTTAGAATTCCGTTTACCATGCTGAAAACCATGATTTAAGAATGAACTAACATCAAACATCGAATCCACTCGAAATGCTGTCTATGTTTTCTTAGTCTTGCAAAAACAGTCACGTGTCACAGGTCAATTGGGAAACAAACAGTTTCTAGCAAGTATCTACACCGAAATGTCTCATACAGAGCTTTTCTTACGCATTACTTCCGGAGAATGGGAAGCGTGGGCAACTTCTGTGTGTATTGATGTGATGAGTCTATCCTTCTCCCCCCTTCCCCCCCCTTAAGTTTTAAGGTATCTGATTTCCCTGCTATGAGAGTAGGATTTTGCAAATCAAACGAACAATAACCGGCTGTTGCTACTTCTCGTTTACTTTCTGATAATTGAACTATCCGTACCAGCGATTGATCGATTTTTACTTCTCTTTTGATTGCGACGTCACCTACTTGATCCTCTACCCAATGTCTTAACGACTAGATGACGCCAATTAGATTATCGGGCGGAGAGAATTTTTATATACTACAAGATTAACACTCATCTCATCTCATCGCTCGTGAACTGACAAAACGAGAACAGGACATCTAGGACCTAATACATATCAGGACGGCTCACACATTAACCAAAAGATGGTTCGTAAACTCAAGCATCATGAACAGAAACTTTTGAAAAAGGTCGATTTTCTGGATTGGAAACAAGACCAGGGTCACAGAGATACCCAGGTTATGCGAACATACCACATCCAGAATAGAGAAGACTATCATAAATACAATAAACTGTGCGGTGACGTGCGTCATATTTCACACAGACTTTCACTTCTGCCGCCTACCGATCCCTACAGAACCAAGCATGAACAGCTGCTGCTGGAGAAACTATACGCCATGGGAATTCTAACAACAAAATCCAAGATTTCCGACCTTGAAAACAAAGTCACAGTTAGCGCTATTTGCAGGAGGCGTCTGCCCGTTATTATGCACAGACTCAAAATGGCAGAAACCATATCAGATGCCGTTAAATTCGTGGAGCAAGGCCATGTTAGAGTTGGTCCCAATCTCATCACAGATCCTGCGTTTCTAGTCACACGGAATCTGGAAGACTACGTAACCTGGACAGACAGCTCGAAAATCAAGAAGACGATTCTCAGATATAGAAATCAAATTGATGATTTTGATTTTGCATAAATGGCTACGGTGTGCTCTTTTAACACAATATCAACATAGTTTCAAATTCGAATCAATATTGTCATGCTTCAATGCTGTTATATATACACTATTTGATACACATTTGTCAATCAGACAAATTTCCAAAGCATACAGTCTATAAGAAGAAACTCCTACCTTTCCAATACCATAATTTACCCATGTAGTTCCTTCCATTCATACATAATCACCTTATGGCACGTTGTAATTATCAGAAGAGCCCAACTGTTTCCTTAGCTCATCATTTGACCCGTTATGTGGAAGTATTCCACCTACACGAGGACGTGGGAACGCATCGTGATCGTCCAGGATACCACTAACTCTTTGATGTGCTAATTGCGACTGATATTGCTGTGTGGTATGCTGGGAGGTCATGCTATTGTTTCGAGAGTTTGCGGCGCTTATATTTCTGAAAGATCCGGCAGGCTTGTGTAGTTTTGGAAACGACAGCTCATCTGGGTTTGTCATTACCACACTTTGTCTCAAGTGATGGGGCAGTACTTGGGCTTTAGTGGTCTCTTGCTGATTGAGTGACGATGGCGCATAGTTGACCCCTGATGTCTGGTTGTAGAAGAGCTCTGGGTGATCAATTGGGTTCAAGGTCGTGCCGTTATAACTCGAGGCTTGTAATTGCAAATTTGATTTGCCGTTTTTCCTATAGGATGTGAGCGATCCCGTGGACGAGGAGAAAGGAAGATTTGATGGGTTTGGTAATTCTTGAATATTTTCTAGAGTTTGAGGATGGTGATATTGCTGAAGCCCAGCACTCATTTGTGGATAAAAGTTTGGTGGACCCGAAGCACCATGGTATGACTCGTACTCATGATTTTGATAATCACCTTGGTGAAAATACTGGTTTTGTGGGTAATATTGTTGTTCGTTATAATATTGTGATTGAGCAGACTGCGGTGGAATTGTTGGTAGTTCTGAGTAAATGGAGGAAACTGCCCTCCTTCCTACAGTCCCTTCGTCACCTGCTTGCGGCAGCTGCAAAGCATTTTGGTCGTTCTTGAAGACTCTTTCACCTTCGAACTGTTGGGATTCTATGTTGTTTTGCAAACCTGTGGCATGATTAATAGCATTACGAGCTTCATCCGGGAGTGACTCAGATGCAACAAAACCATTACCATACTGGTCCGACTCAACTGGATCGTCAACGATCACAGGTTTAACTGTCCTCAAAGTGCCATTGCGATCCAAATAAACTTCATAGATGCTTTTCATTCTCTTAATGTTTTCCTCTTCTTTGCTGGTCAAGAACACTTCTTCGCTCTCGTCATTTTCAAAATTCGTGGTACCCTCACGATGATGATTGTCCGAATTGGCGTTATGAGAGCTCTCTAAAGAATCGCTTTCTCTTTCACTCTTCTCTGGATCCAGTCCAACGGGATTATTCACATACCCAAGTTTAACATCAACTGGAGCCCTTTTGATAGGACTATTTTCCAAATCAGAAGTAGAATCGTCAGCCATTTCGCTTGTCTGTGATACTCGATCTCTATTATTCGGGGCCCAATCGGAAGCAGATTCCACAGATATCATGTTACTGCTAGTGAATGAATGACTGCGGCCATTTTGAGCAAAGATTTGAGGCCTTTGAAGCGCGCTATCAGAATGAACTAGAGATGCCTCACTCACATTGCGGGACGCAAGTCTATAAGCATCCATTTCGTGATTGTTGATGGATCGAGCAAAAGATCTTAGTTCGTCGGCATCGTCACCTCGCGGCAATTGAAATGGATTGAGCGGGAAACCGGCATTAGTGGGGGTATATGGGTTTGATGGGGTCGTACGGCTTTGACTTTTGAGTTCCAGTTCGTCAAAATTGCTATCCGAAAATGTTCCTGGAGCGCTACGTTCCCGAAATTTAGCTAGATGGTCGTCAGGCGGGAGATAGTCACCATCACCATCAAAGTCTGGATCATTGTCCTCGATTGCCTCTTTTTTTCCGCGTTTCCAGACTTTGTAGAAAACGAATGCTAAAATCAAACACACAACGAAAACGGGCACCACGACAGCAATAGCCACTGCATATGATTGGGTATCATCGGAAGGTTTAGCACAGCCAGAACCATGACACAATGAGGAAGACGAGCTTGATGAAGAAGATGACGACGACGATGAGCTCTGGGATTGGGAAGTAGAATCCGCTCTGGGAAGCAGGCGAAGGAGGCCAACACTCTCCACTAGTGCACTCATCACGGTCTTCTGGGCTAGTATGATCTTGGGGCTGAAGCCAAGCTTTTGGTCAGTATCTTGTTTTTATTCACCACTTCTTCCGCGATGGACCAGACACGCGAAATAAGAACGGTGGGATGCTAGAACATCACTAGCATCAAATATTTTTATTTCACTTTTTTTTTCCCGTCACATTAGCTCCAAACGGCAATATCGCATGAACGGTAAGGTCGCGAACTGGGCAAACTCGGCTACGTATCCGTAGGCTTTTTCCCGGATAGCATTCCAACGCGAAAAGTCGGTTACCTACTAAAGTAAGTGGTCACGTGATCTGTCAACAAACACTCGAACAATCCCGTATCATTCCATAAACGGCGGATCGAAGTGACAATTCAGGTGGGCAACGATGTTGTTGGGTAGCCCACACACAATGCTTCTTGGTGGAACAAGGCACTCACAGGTAGAAAGTGAATTTCTGGCATTATCGGACTTGACAAGTGAACAACTAATTGAACCCGAAAAAATGGGAAAGGCGTGTTTACCTGGAAACGAGTGCGAGTTCCAAGGATGAGAAAAGACGCTTATTCTCGAACCAAGTCAGTCAGTTTCCGCTGCAGTTACGTGATAGTTCGCTGGCGGTTATGCAGTAGTATATAAACAAGAAGGAGAACAAAAAAGATAAGGGTCTGTTTCGACAAAAAATCGAATCTACATGCTGAAAAAAACTTCCAAAAAAGGGGTTCTTGCCGATGAGCTCATCGTGCTAAGTCTTGGAGATGTATAAAAGAGCAGTGCTCTCTCAACAAGAAAAAAAAAAGGATTCCAAAAAATAATCAGTACTGGACCTCGCACCTGACGAAGACAACACCCGGATGGTTCTGGTAAAAGGCAAGAACCATGTTCGATATAGGTTGGCGAGTGTGTCTAAGACACAACCCCGCCAGTCTGATGTTGATCTTGCCGTTTAAAAAGTGCGAAGCAGACCTTGAGGTTTTCCTAAATATAAAAGTGCATGCAACGCTTCTACGTTCCATAGTGGAATTTCCGCTCTTTATATATAAAAAAATTTCGATGGTGCGGGTAACCCAGAGGTAATTTAATTACGAATTATATAAATCGCTAGTAGCGTGAAGATGTGAATTGAAGATGTCATGTAGAGAGAGATGAGCTGTGACGTTGAGAGATAGATTTGAATCACAGCTCAACAGGAGACAGGGATTGTGGTTCGGGACGTGTTTGTCTGTTTAATGGGTGTAGGAAAATCTGTGAGAAATGTTCTGGGACATTTGAAATATGGCGGGAAATTGGCGGACACCTTTCCCCCGGACTCAAACAAATCAGGAACCGCTGTGAGGGTTGCCGCTGCCGCCACAGAAAAGTATCACAGGCCGCATGTCTTGGAGTTTCGAACGTACAATCCGAGTTTGATCAGAATGGATTTTACCAGACTTCTTCCGCAGCGAAAAGTCCCGATTGCTGGAACAGACGAAAAGGACGTTCATTTCGAGGTTCTGAAAGTACGAGACCCCAAGTATTTCCAATTCAAAGACAAGTACCAGCTCATTTTCCCAGACCATAATAACATGAAGAAGTTTGCGAGAAGCGCTGCGTACGGTAGGATAGAGGGAGCCAAGGCAGAATTCACACCCATCACGCTGCGCCATCCTGAGCTGCGATACGCCAAATACGTCCGCAATTTGGAAGCCGCCTTCGACTCCAGCAGTCGGTATTTTGAGCTTCTGAAGACAGCAAAGCAACCACTGCATGATCCGGAATCGTCTTTAGAGACCCTGCGACAAACGGCAGCTCCGTTGGAAGCCAAATCGTTGTTGGTATGGAATCTCCCTGCGAACATGCCACCGTACTCGATCATGGAGCGGTTTTGGCTTTACGATATCAAACAATGCTTCAAGATATATTGGGATGTTGCAACAGGCAGGACTTTGACCTTCGTAGCGTTCAACTCCGAAGAGGACTGCCTTAGTTTCAGTCGCAACTTCCATGGCGTTTTCTTTCGCGATACCGATGATTGTAAGCTTTTAGTTGAAGCACTCACTTAGATTGAAAAGCCTTTGGTCACGTTCAAAGTCATGGCTTCCACTAAGGCATACGGGTATGTACGTTTATGCGTCACAGTTTCCTCCAGCTCTCTCTAACAATTTCCCACTCCTTCTTGTGCGAAGCTACTGGCGAAGTCTGCAAGGTCTCGTTTACAGCATACGACCTAGGTTCCTTTTCGAGAAGCACATACTTTTCCCAAATACCACTGTCCTTCCATACCAGAACTAAGGAGTCCTCGTCACCGTCATGACACCAACCTACTTTACACCGGTCATTGTAGAAATCCTGGTCGTTCATGGTGCCCTTCCCCTTGAGTGCGGAGCGCAAATGCAATGAGCACATTGCCCAAACAGATTCAAGATATTTTGGTCTCCACAAAAGTGGTAAGTCCTTGAGAACGTGCGTCTTATTTTTGGTGTCACTATCATCATCAGTTATTTGAAAAACGTGTAACGTCTGTTTATCGCTGATGACCGCGAGTCGTGAGCCTCGTGAGCTCCAAGCCATTTCGTATAGATCTGCGCGGTTCAGACCTCTTCTAAACTCTCGCATTAGTGAACCATTCTGAGTGCTGAAGATTCTGATTAGTGTACCCTGCATCGAGCAAGTGGCGACCATGGTTCCATTGGGGCTGATTTTAATAAGCCTTATGGGACTATTGTGAGCTTTTATTATGGATGTTGGAAGCTGAACCGCGTTGGTCTCTTCAGCTTCACTAGATTGCAAATGCGACAAGTCTGCCACCTGTACCTGGCCTGGATTTCTAGCAGAAGGAAACGCAAGAATGCCACGCGTTATCGTTTGAGGAACTGCAGGCTCTGATGTGGAACCTCTGCGTGTCACACGCTGACACACAACGAAGTCTGCAGCAGCTCCTGCACATGTATCGAGGGGTTCTATGAGTCGTTTTGGAGTGCCACCGAACTCATATATTTCGAGAGAGCTCTCCAAAACTACCACAATGTGTATGCGTGACAGAAAAACCCCTCTTACTGCAGACATAAAGCTTAGCGTAAGGGATTCCCGTTGCTGAAGGTCATCCCAGATCACCAATTTGTTTGGAGGAGCCCTTGGTTTTCTACCACCCCCAACAAGCGCCACATAGTTTGTGCGATACAGCATGCGTGACATGGCTATTCCGCACGCATTGACATTACTAAATTGTTTCGAAAGTTTGCATTCAAGAGGGTCTACATTAAACACCATGAACCCGTTTTGCATCGAACAACTGAAGCATGTGTAGTCCTGATTAAAGTCCACACTCAGAAACTTATTAGCACGGGCGTGGTTTCCATCTACAATTGCATTGCGAGTGTTCATGGCATGTACTTTCTACGATCTTTTGGAGTGTGCACAGGCGATTTAACGAGTATGTTCTTAATAACAATGCAATTATATATTATCTATTTTGGTTTAAGCACTTTCGTAATGAACGATGAAGTTAAACCGTACATTTTGGTGTGTGTGGAATATCCAATGCGATGGCCCGACGATAGGGCTTCAATTCGTCGAGGTATTTTGTTCTGGGGCACCTAGTTTGATCTTTTTGATAAGACCGAGCTTTGGCTAAGAATCGTAACACTAACGTTGCACGAAGGTAGGACTACGAAGCTAGGGGAGCTTTAAAGAACATTTGTAGGCATTGCTAATGTTTCGCTTGAAGAGTTGTGTGAAACTGCTGAATTTGGGAGTAGCCTAATGGTACTCGATTCGGTCTCTAGCTTTGAGAGTAAATAGACAAGCTTTTCTCAGGGGAAATTTTACGACAGAAACTGGATACTGACAAAATCTAAATTGCAATCACAGATGTGCTGCAAATTCCGCGTTTGCTATATTCTAATTGCTTATTCTTGCGTGAAGTGCTTTCTATCACTGTGAACGAGTGTGTCACTACTAGTGTACACGCCTACAATACATCAACTTCAATTTAAATAGCGGGAAACATTTCCCAGATTGCATTGGAAAGCTTTCTGACAGAGCATTAAGTTTTTAGAAGACTATTGGTAAGACCAGGGGAACGCTCGAATCCGAATTGTGAACACATCAAGGTCTCAAAGCCCGACAAACTCTTGAGCACGTGACCTTGGCCGACGACGGACGACGAACAGGGGAAAAATGATTGAAGTAAAATCTGAAGTTTTGCACCGAGTGAAGGGTTTTCGAACCTTTAGATGCGGTTTCGGCAACCGACTACATAATTGAAGACTCTAACTAGCTTCTACATGTAATGAGGATCTTATTCGGATGCCAACGGTAAACTTTTAAAAACACCGTCACTTATTAATATTATTACCCGGACGTCAAGCCACCAAAACGTCCGCATCGCCTCAATCATACTGAAAACACATTATCGCTCTGGAGGACCCCATAAAAGCAATCCTTGGTTCCGCTCCAGCACATTAAAGGGAGCCATATCCCATCCACTAGTAATAAACAAGTTGAACCTATCAAACAACATATCACCTTTGACGAAACTAACCATTTTCATTTCGAATTAATCAGTCGAAGACGGAGATCCAGCTTTGTAACAATCAACTACTAGCATGGGCTTCACGGTCTCAAATCTGCTCCAATCTTTGTTTCTTTCACACTCCTATAGAAATCTCTGTTTTGCGCTTGTCACGTGAGTAACACGTGGCCAGATTTGGACGCTATATATAAAGCCGAAATTGTCGAAGGAATCAACAACCTGACTGTGCTTCAAGGTACGTCTGATCAAAGAAAACAATCATCAAGGGTTCAAACAGAGACGATCTAGAACCATTGTATTGACAATGCAGAACTTTAAGAAGAAATGGAAGGAGCTTGTATACTCCTTCAGCACCGAAGACCGGTACGCAGACTACAACGGTAAAACTAACGATTCCGTTGTCCCGAGTAGACCTGAATCTTCGGTTGCTAACGCAGCGGCATCATCGTCTCAAATCCAACTTACAGATTTCACGGACGGCCCAGTGGGAGGAACAAACGACGGCGTAAGCGAAGCCATGCTTGCATGGAGACATATCGATGCTTGGGCTTCAGAACATCATTCTGATCTGTTTGCTACCTTGAGCGAACCGTGCACACGGACCGATATATCTAGAGCAGAAGCAGATCTCAAAATTGTGTTTCCGGCTTCCATAAGGGCGTCCTTTCGGCTTCATGACGGACAAGAGGGTCTTGAATCTCTGACGGGGACTTCGGGCTTGCTTTTTGGACTACAATTGATGCCTCTCGACCAAGTGGTACATATGACCCAAACCTGGAGAAACGTTGCTGCAAACATGGCAAAACACAACCGGTCGCTGTCACCTACAACCACGAACTCAACAGCATCAGGATCTAATGTAGAAGCGCCAAACAAGGCCGCCACCCCTCAGAACCTGAAAACAAAAGGATACGGAAAACTAGACACTCAGGATTTCCAAAGCATGAATCCAACATTGCAGCGTGACATTTCTCACAACAATAACAAGCAATTCAAGTTAAACTCGATCCCGCGACAAGATTCTGTTCCACCGGAAGCCACTCAATCCGTATACGCCAGTCAGGGCTGGATTCCTTTGGTCACAGACAACGCTGGTAACCACATTGCAGTGGACTTGTCACCTGGTCCCAAGGGACATTATGGTCAAATTATTCTATTCGGAAGAGAGTTTGATATCAAATACGTGGTTGCCAGAAACTGGGGGGACTTCCTCTTGTCCTTTGCAAACGATCTGGAAAAGGGCAATTGGTACATCATGGATGGCGATGACGACTATCTCAGCGGTGCCGGCGAACTAGTGTTCAGAGACAAAAACGCTGGAAATACCGTGAGAGACTACTTCGAAGTACTTAAGTCAAGAAGCCGCGAGACATGGCAGAAAACAACCACTGCGGCAAAGGATGTGAACGAAAAGCTCTCTGCCGTTCCATCCGCTGCACAGGGCAAGAATTTGACATCTCAGACCCTTCTTTCATCACCTTCCCTCTTGGAGCAAGAAACTACAGCTGTTACAGAGACTGAGGGTACCGAAGAGGTGAAAGAAGCGGAGAAAAAGATCGAGAATTCTAATGTGCGCGAAGCTTCGGTGGATTCTACCCAAGCGTCATTATCTAGCGAAGATGCCTCGAAAACGAAACAATCGGTGCAGCAGACAGCTACGGCCATGGTTTCTAAGGATGAACCTTCGGCGGATAATATAGAGTCTGGAGCAACGGGTTCCGAGAAAAGTAAAGTCCAAAGTGAAAACAAAACGGAGGCTCACAAAGAGGCCCCCGCTCCAAAAGATCAAGATGAAGAAGGACAGACACTATCATCAGAACCTCAACAAAGCTCAAAGAAAGACGATGTTCAAAACTTGAAAGAAGAATTCGAGAATGTTGCTCTTTAGCGACTTTTGATTGAGTATTGCGTCGAACAAATAAGACAAAAGAAATACTATATAACGATTTTGGAACCGGTTTGTTCTATTCATAATGTCAAAAAACTAACGGTTAAGTTCAAGTAAGCACTTTTACCAGATTATCCTTTGAGGATATACCTCGCTATCCCAAGTGAAGGAATGAAGTATGAATACTGCCAATGTGACGGTATTGATGCAAAGGAACCAAACAAGTTCCAAAAAAAGCCTTTTACAAACTCTTAGCTCTCCAAAATCGGTTTTTTGATCCGCAAAAAGACCTTCACCCACCGGAGTCATAAATATTCTCCAAAACATGAACGGTAAAATGTAATACCGTGGCTCAAATAAAGGCGATGGAACCACTGTCAGAAATGTGCAAATAATCAAGGCTGTCCAAGAGATATGTGTAAGTTGCACTGGAAGCTCTGTTGGATTCTTTATTTCTATCGGTAGAACAGGGTGGAAATGCATAATCTTGCTTCTCATTGCTTCCAGGTAATTGAATACAGAGAAATGATAAACCCAAGGCATCAGAACATACTTGAAGATGAAATTCCTGGCAATAATTCGTTTGAAGACGTAAAAAGTGTAGTGCCGGTTATCAGCCAGTAGGAACGGGTGGACGACAGTGAAATACCTTATGATGAACATGATCGCAAACAGTTCTAAGCCCGTGCGCACCTTTTTGGCCTTGATTCGACTTTGATACTGGCATATACCAAGTTTGGAGATCCATATGGGCATGCTAAAAACGGTAATGAAAGCAATGCAGTAAAACAGCTGGACCAGATGAATACCCGCGGTATGGTTATCTTTGTCACCAAGCGTCAAAGACCGATTATAGATAACGAATACCACGAAAAGCACAAAATTGATGCAATAGGGAGCAATTAGTTGTTTCCAGTTTTCCAGCGAATGTATCACCAATTTTAGGTAGTTATTGAGATGAACCGTGTTAAAGTCTTTTTGGATCATGGCTCTTCTTTCTACCAGAACTATCATCACGAAAAGGTTCCACACAATGTTTGTTTGTCTGAAAAAGCAACTCACAAGCGCACATAGCGCACTCAACCAAATGCTCTTGTTTTCCCCAAACGGCAGGGTTATCGCTAACGTCAGTGATTCCAAAATGAAGATGGTGGACCACACGTCTGTGTAGTACAGGAAGTAGAAAGTTGCCAGAAGCGGGAAGCACATCAGCGACACAGGCCAGAACCCTATTGCGTTGAATAGAAACAATGGCCTTAAAACCACCACGGGCAAAATCACAGTCCCACCAATCAGATTGGTGAGCCGCAGGATGGCCAGCGTTGACCACGATGTCAATGCTCGCATCACACGATAGTTGAACCATCCAAGTACATACAAACCGGGAGGTGTGGTAATTTTCGGATCCCACGAACTCCAGGCCCCGTTAATATATTGTATCGTCTGCGACACATGGAACACCTCGTCTATGTAAAGATAGGGTATTGTTCGGGTAGTCAGCACATGGAAACACAGTCCACATATTATCAACAAAATGGGCCAACTCACCAAGTTTACCAAAAACCCAACCTCAACCTCACGCAATACTTCCTGCTCCAGTTTTTCATCCGAATTAATCTCTGCCTGCTCCTTGACATCCATATTATAGGTAAGAAGGGCTCCAAAAATCGATTGGAAATGGTCTCAAGGCTCCAAACCTTCTGTAAGCTTGGGGTTCTTGCTACTTTTATAGTTTTTCCATCAGTCAAGAGCTTGAATTATAGTTGTAGCTGGTTAAATTGATGTAAAACTGACATAGTTTATGAAAAATACCTAACTCATCAGATACTTTACTTCGAAACAAGAGGAGAACCAGTTACTGGCCATACAATTTGATATACCCGGGAAGCTAGTCTTGAAACTATTCAAGACGCTCTCAAAAAGCTATATGCGCATGGCTTTTTATGAGTTGTTGCTTAGCCTTTTCGTGAAGGTTGCGTTATGTCAAGAATATTGGCCATCTTTGTCGGCCGAACCTCAGCTGGCGCTGCGATCGCAGAGAGATCTTGGTGTGAATGTTAGCATTGACCAGATCTACAATGTGGGTGTGAACGTGGATAAAGTATTGGGTAGTGGAAATCAGCCATCTAACGAAACAGACTCGCTAATGACCTTGAATAGCTTGCTCAAAGTGGGCGTACAATCATACGTTGTTGACTTGAACGTGAGCGATCCACAAAATCTTAGACTCCCGTCCTCTAATATCAGCTTTTCTAATCTGCTCGCAACAGTACGACAATATGTGACATCCAGTAATAACTATCTGAACGCCAATATCCTGGTCTTGTTACTGCGACCGAATTTCGACTCTACATCAACAGCTTCAAATTCGTCTTCATCTCCGCTGCTTCCGAACATAACAGCTCAGCTGGAAGCAAACCTGGGGCTCTCCAGTATCTACACACCATCTCAACTACTTTCCGATCGTGAACAGGGCGTCACAGTGGGTTTCACGGGAGATTATAGCAAAGCCGGCTGGCCGCCTTTGGAACATTTTCTATACAAGATACAAAAACGAGTATTGGTTGCTTACATTGATGCAAACGTTTCAGACGTTCTACCGAGTGATTATGTCTTTGACGGGACAGCGCTAAATTTCCAAACTTCGAATACTACCCTGTCGTGCGCCTCATATCAAAGTCCAGAGCTTGCAAATGTGGCAAAGCGTGGCTGGAGGTTTTTAGAGAGCCAGTTCCTTTCTGATAACATCCGAGAATATGCAATGTGCGGCTATTCTCCCATTATAGGCAACAACTATGACCTACAAAACATTTCAGCCATCGCAGACCTTTTGCAAAACTCTCTGTCGTGGTCATGGGCGTACAACGAACCGAACAGCTATAATGCGATTCGCAGTAATGCTACTTCTTTGGTTGCCTTAAGGTGCGCTGTAGTCCATTATGTTGCTACGAATTCGACCATTAACTGGGCTGTCGCGAACTGCTACGATAAAAGGCGCACAGTGTGCCGGCATAAAAATGACAATCTGGATTGGTCAATATCCAAGACAAACCTAAACTACTTCTCAACGCACGACCAGGATAATGACGATGTTTGTCCCGATAATTATACAGTGAGTCTACCGAAAAATCCACTCGAAGAGAGAGCTTTGAAATCTGTTTTGACAGAAGTCGGGTCAGAAGAACTTGATGCATGGATAGACATGAACTCAATTTCTGTGCAGGACTGCTGGGTTGCCGGGGGTCCGAATGCCCCGTGCCCGTACGAGAAAGAAACCAGCTCCCGTAGCTTTGTGGGGATCATCACGCCTGTCAGTGTTTTCTCAGCGATTTCAATTGCTCTTCTTTTCTTTCTCACCTGGCGTAAAGTGCCTATACAAGACAACAGGAAACATTGGAAGAAAATCGTAAGCACGCATTCAACTTTACAGAAAGAAGGAGTTCCTTCTTAGCATATTGTAATTAAAATACCATTCCCTAGCATTATAAGAATACGCATTACATCCTTCCAATTTTGCAGTATACACAAGCGATTGTGATCAATTTACCATGATTATCATTTATATGACGGTTTCCGTGCAGGATTAGCATACCTCAAGACTTTGCGAGTCAATCTGCGCCGCTTGAATGAGCTATCCACCAAATATTCGTCCTCAATGTCAACTTCAAGCGCCAATCCGCGATCGCAGGACCATCCTTCAACGTTGTAGTCAATTTCCCAATTTGAATTGTTGTCGAAAGCCCACGTAATCGGCGGTTTGATCTCCTCCAAAAAGTCTACTCCGGGAGGAGGCGTTTGAGCTTTCCTGAAACTGTCTTGAGCATCAAATACAGTACTGGAGAATTTGAGGAACGACCAATCTTCGGGAATTGCGCCGCGCTTATGAATTTCGAAGATTTCGATAAATCTCACGTCCGGAGCTTCATCTAAAATGATATCGTAGCGCTCTGTTTTTTCTAGTGCCTTTTTGCCCCTGTTGACTTGATCCTCTTTTATTATTCGAGCAAGTTTGGATCTGACTTTTGGGTGAATCGCTATCATTAGTGTCCAAATACTTAATGTGGATGCGATACTCCAGTTTATGAGTGGCGAAATCAGCCACAAGATTAGCAATGTACCCAGTCCGGCTAGAAATAGGGCTGTTGATCGGTGTTCGTCTTTGAAACCAGCAGTTCCAAACACGAACTTCTCCATGCTTTTTGACAATGCAACCATTGTGGACATGCTATTTTGCAGATCTCGCAGATTGACGATAAATTCCATACTCTGTTTTATATGATGCGCTCTCTGATACTCCTCTGGATTTGCGTCCACATTGTATTCGTATTCCTGAACATCATCACTGGGATGCCAGCTGACTTTCCTTCCGCCACTTGCAAGAGAGACTAAAAGTGATTTTCCATATGTGCGTCTGGAGAGAAAAGCTGTTCTGTGTGGTGGATGGCGATGCATGTAGCCTGGCAGCATAATCCCATACAGGACGTATAAGAGCGGTATGATTGCCAGAAATATTGGATTGAAGCATATCATGCTTACGAGTATGAGCATCGTAACCGTTCCAGACGGATTTCGCCACGTAATAAGACGGATGACAGAGTCTTGAAGTTCAAAAACGGCCCCAAGCTTTGTAGTCAGAACCTTCAGATTATTAGCGAGAATAGTAGCAGAAAGTGTTTGTCGTTTTTTGTGCAAAGGATCTTTAACTCTTTGCGTGAATTGTTCACGCTCAGGAAAACTGTCCGGCAAGATCGTGGAGATCATTTTGTCCAGCAAAATGTCCACAAAATGTTCCTGAGTTGAGTTTTTTAACTTTTCATCCTTTGCGCCGTTCTTAACCTTCAAACCCAGCGGATCATTTCCCGTTTCATCAGGACCATTAGGAAACTCGTATTCTTGTCTGAAATTCTCATCCTTCCAAAAGCTTTCTGAGTTTTCGGAAACACTTGTTTGAGCGTAGCTCTCGTAGTCATCCTCAATCGTGATCTTATCAGTAGCCTTACTTGACTGCAGCCTTTGATAAGCCGCTTCCAAAAACGAACTGGCAACTCCGTGAATTAGTTCTCGATTACTGAACCTGTTTGGTCCGGCATTAACCTCTGGCCTCGCCTTATTTTCATATTTTCGTGCCATCAACCCTCCAATCAAAGAATTTCGTCGTCCACCTCTAGACGACCGTTCTGGCATCGGTATAACCACGTTGCAATCGCTGAAAAGGCTGTTATCGATATTTTGAATTAAGGATCGTCAACGTCATCTTAACTTCTTATTAAACATATTTCATTTATATATACATATATATATATATATATAGGTACCTATACCAATACATCTCATCTACATCACATACTTCACAAGCCATGAACAAGCCATAGTAGCCTTATTATAAGACCTTTTGTTATCCCAATTGGTGTGCTCGTCTAACCTTCACCTTAGCAGTTTATGATTGTTCTGTATTCCTTCGGTGTACTCAATAAGATCGCTTCCATAGATACCTTTCTCTTGAGCTTCAAAAATGGTGCAGTCTTTGACGTCCCAGAGCTCGTAGAACCTAACTGTCTCGTCATTTGTAGCAACACATATAGACCCGGATTCAGGTGAAGGAACAGCACTCAGGACGCGAAGCGCTGTCGCTGAGTGAACTTCCAAGGTCGGTTCCATGGATGGGTAAGAGTACACTGACACCAAAGTTGGTTTTTCTGCATCTCCAAACCCGAATGTAGCAACGATTTGTTTTTGTCTGAGTGACCATATTAGTGAAGTTATTTGACCTGGGGCCTTCGTCTCACTGAGTAGAGTTCCGGACTTGGTGTGCCAGAATCTGATTTTCCGGTCTTTACTGCCCGCTCCAGTCGCTAAAAGTGACTGAGACCAGGGACAGAAAGCTACAGCTTTCACAGCTGCTTTGTGCGGAAGCACGAATTGAAGCCTGGCAGACGAAAATACGGAAATATCCCAGATTGTGCACGAATTGTCGTTCCCACCAACGGCCAACTGTGTGCCATTCTTATTCGAAGAAAGACCTGAATAGATCAAAAAGTTAGTATAATGCGAAGAGGGAAGCCGAAACATGGCGTAAGAGTAAAGGTTTGTGAGGTATTAAGTACCGCAAACTTGCTGGCTTTGGGCTTTTAGCTTTGCCACGGTCTTGAGCACCGAATTGTTGCCTGGCGGCATTCCCAGCCGTTTTTTAAAATCCATTGAATTCCAGTCGCGAACGGTGGTACCTTCAATTAAGCTTAAAGAAGAATCGGTTGCTTGCTTGGGTTCGAATTTCTGGCCGGTTTCAGAGACCCTTGAAAGATGGTCGGGACGTTCGTTGAGTTCAACGACATGTACAGCTCCATTCTCTTGACCAAGCAACAGAAAGGTGCTCCCGTCCCTGTAAATCCACTCAACACAGCATATCCCGGAAATTGAACTGTCTGCTCCTACCCATTTCGGTTTATCAGCTTCCAAGCCTGACTCCTCCTCTTCAAGCTGGTCAAAAATCAGTATTCGCCCCTGTTTTGTACCGACGGCGAGGTGCTGGTCGAACGGTGAAAAGGACACACAAGTCACATAGTCTTCTCGTGATTGCAAATAGGAGTAGTGAAGTACATTTGCGGCTCCTCTTGTGTTTGACCACAAGTAAACCGCACATCCTAGACCTACGGCGATATTATCCGTTTTCTTTGACCAGGATACCAGGTTACAGTAAAAGTCATTGCGAAGAGAAGGAGCATCAAGCACACGGTATGGAACATGAGATTTTGGTTTTTTTTTGGGCCTGGGGGCTATGGGCACAAGGCTTCTGGTTTTAAGACTTTTCGAAAAACTTTGAGCAACTAAGTAAGAGAGAACTTGGTTGGGTGCCAGTACAGAGAGTAAGGGATCGACTTTGAGGTTGTTCGGAACGTAGAGTTCCGCTGAATTTTTTTTATTGAAAGCAGGTGTGTTTGCAGTGTGCACGTCGGCGGCTAAAAAGTGGTAAACTCGACGTTGCGAGTTCAAACCCAGTGAATCAGCTACGTGTTGCCGATAAAGCTTTTCACAATCGGAAAGTTTCTGAATCTCAGCTTTCTCGCCCTGAGTGCTGGGGGTTGCAACTGAGGATTCGGAGGTAATTGAGTTATAATGAATTGTTGATCTATAGTCTTGGAAAAAGGCCGACATGCCCAATCGTGATGGTGACTCCATTGTCAAAGTGCTTTCGGACGGACGCGCAATCGAGGTTTCCAGAGATTTCAGTCTATGGGTAGATTTGAAAGCGATTCCAGAAGTCATCTTTGGGATATACCGGTCGCTTATTTCATTGGATCTGCCCGTATTTTTCGCCTGTTTGCGACCTTTTGGAGTGCTGGTAACGATTTTATCTTTGCCAACCTTAGACAGTGTTTGGTGGCCAACAGGTGAATGATGTTGCTGTTGTTGTCTTGTAGACATGTATCGGAAAATCTTGGAACTTGAAGGGTGGGGGTCGATGTGCAAGTTTCGGTCGAAACTCTTTGGCAGGGAAATGCCAGATTGATGAGCACTGGAGTATTAATCTCTTGTTATAAGCCTTTCTTGTAGTTTGATGAGTGTTTGTGTGTAGATGATGATGTTTTTAATGGTGATGATCTCTAGCGAAGCTAAGGCGACTATAAATGCTTCAAACAAAAACGGTTGACGAAGTATCGTGGAGATACGTTAAAATACGATCTGAGAGCACTTTAGTGGGGTTTATAGATTTGAGATTGTAGCAAATGATGTTTTGTATTATGTCTTCACAACAATCTGTGTTTCAATGAGTGCGCGTTCTGTATTTTTTGTATTTATATAGTCTTTGTTAGCGACACTGTCGCACAGCAGATGAAATTTACTAAGAACGACCATGGGAGGCGAGAAGACTTTTTGATTGATGAGACCGGCTAGACTATTCAAGCTCTGAAAGCTGGCAATGCAGGGGTTTCTTGTTGTTGAAGACAGGTCAGATAATACTTGGTTTGGCATGGCATTACATGGCGGTGATTTACAGAGTGATTTACGCGTAGCTCGAAGAGGTGGGTGGGGAGATAAAATGAGCAGATACTTTTCCGACGAGAAGGAATTTTTTTGAGCTTTTCTTCCTCTTTTAGGGGTTTCTCTGCCTCTATTTGGGCGTCTTTTGAGCGGTGACAACAAATGACATTTTCCAGTCAAAAATATCGCCTTTTTATAGTTTGAGATTTCGCTTTAGGGTTTGTTGGACTGGTCTGATAGCATGAAAGTTCGCTGAGCAGTCTCTCAACAACAACTTCTCTTCTTCGAAAGGTGAAGCACTATATGAAACTCCTTGCAAGAAGTACATCATCCATTCTTGTCTGTCCATAACTACTGCTGTCGTCAATATTCTGTCGTCAATAATCTGTCATCTGTCATCTGTCATCTGTCACGTGATCCATGAATCTTCGCAATATCAGCCCTCCAGTATCACTACAAGACAAGACCAGATTCAATCGCCTAAATACAATAAGCGCTCCGTTCATTCTGGTCTCTACTGTTAAAAAATCGAGCATAGTATCACACTTTCTTCGTCAAAACCTCCCATTTTCCTGCTATCTCTCATGTACTTGATATAAAATAAAAATTAAACTGTCGTCGCTCCCATGCCAAAGACACCAGATCCATAGCAAACCACACCTTACAAATCGCTGATTTTAACCCCAAATAGTCTCCCACATAACCGCAAAGACCAGCCATTCTAATTTGATCTCATGCTTTTTTTTCACTATGGGCATTGACAACTAATAAGTATCCCCGATCGGGCAAAGAGTAAATATCCATCTTTATGATTTCGATATTCTGATCCATATAAAACTGAAAGCCTTGGAAGATCTCCACTACAAGTACGACGCGTCACAGATTCTGGTCACTTATTGATTCAGTGTAACATTGTTGTAATCCGTTGATCACTAAATTTTTTGACTCATCCTCAAAGTTTTTTCAAAGTTTCCTCTAAGTGCACTCGATTTTTCAATATATTCTTCCCTAAAGCCATGTCTGCACCAGCAATTCAACCTCTACACCAATCCCAGCCATCTGCCGGGCCAAATTTACACAGATCCATGTTCAAGAAACAAAGTCAAAATCAAATTTCCTTGCCCGTCAGAAATAAATTTGCATCACCCACTGATGAGATGCTGTCACCATGCTCTCAAAAACTTAACGATCATAAGTCCAAGCTTTTCGCATCCAAAGCAAACCCCACAAAGTTGAATTTTGCCTCGAGACAGAGTGGTGAAGACTCTGATGACGAATAAGAAACCACGCCTGTTTTCATCTACAAGGGCCATAAAATGAAGTTGAAAGTGAGAGTGGTTTAAGGGAAGCGTTGGGAACGCATTCCCTTTTTTCTGGTTTTTTTAAGTTCTTTGAAGGTTTTGGTTTTTTTTTCTCCTTCATTCGCAAACCTCTCCTTGCAATCACTCATACGCGTTTCAAGTACTGGCACAGATCTGGTCCGATTGAGCTGTCAAGTTCGAGACTTTTCGCACTTGGTGACAGATATACTCCCTTTTGGTTCTTTTGGGTTCCCGGTCTCGACGCAGCACCAATGTCGGTCAAATACCCCTCCACCCTCCTTACTTAGAATCGACATACTTCGAGCATTACGGGCTATACACAAGATCATGCTAATATTTAAAGTTAACACTGTAAAAAATAAAGATTGGGCGGAATTTTAACACCAAAAAAAATGGGCACACGGCAAGGTCCAAAGTCCCTCACGTTGAGACTCATTTCTTGAATCTGCTGTCAGCCGTCGTGTTTAGTAACAGAGACTCGTTATCGAGAATGACTCTGTTTGGAGATTCGCTCAAGATTGTGGCGATTTCACGAGCGGTATCCAGTCTTTTCAACTCCACGTAATCCTTCGACTTCTTAATAGCCTCACCAATCAGTTCAGCGGATTTGGCTTCACCTTGGGCCTTCACGACCATACCTTGTTTCTCCTGTCTTGCCTTGTCTACCACGAAAGCAGCTCTTTGGGCATCTTGTTGCGCAATTTGCTTGGCTTCAACGGCGTTAGTGAACTCTGGAGAGAAAGTCATAAAGGTGATCGAAACATCGTCCAGTAGCACATTGAATTTGGACGCACGACGCACCAAATTTTCGCGAATAAGTCTTGAGACTTTTTCTCTTTGGGTGATCAATTGGGAGGCGTTGAACTGGGCAACCACTGCCTTCAACACCTCGTTGACAATGCTAGGAAGCACTCTTTCGTCGTAGTCCTGGCCTAACGTACGATACACAGTTGGCAATTGCGAAACATCCGGTCTCGACAAAACCCTGCAGGTAATATTCACCATTTGCAAATCCTTCGTACCAGTGAGCGATGCTACATTTCTAGGTCTGGCCCTAACATCGTAGATGATAGGCGTTTCTAGCCATGGAAAAGCGAAATGAGTTCCTTCAGCGAAAATACGCGATTGAACCCCGCTCAATCTCGAGTACATGATGGCTCTGTGACCACCGTCAACGTTGAAAAGAGACGCATTTAGCAGCATGGCACTGCCTCCAAGTAAAACCAGCCCTCCCACACCTGCAAAAGCGCCTCTTGGCACTTGTCCCCCGGTATTTCCACCGCTGTTCTTGCCTGCCTGTTGCGCTCTTGATAGCTGCTGTTGGAACGCCTTGGCGAAACGCTGGAACTCTCCTGGTGATCTGTTCATCGTAGGTTGTATGCCACTGGTAAATCAACAAAGTTAGACCAAATAAGTGGCCACCGGCTGCGCTGATCTTGTTGTTTTTGGTCAGTTCAAGAGCGTTGTCATAGAGGATAGGTTCAAGGTAATTGATCCTTTTAGATTTCAATATAATCCTTGCCACTATTTGTGACGTACAGTATGATGTCTAGGTCCCGTGACGAGGTAGTCTCCAGTACTCATGAGTACTTGAATTTTGTTTATTCGCATTCATCATTGAAACAAGCACTCGATATCAATGATAGACAAACTTACCTAGCTTACAGGGAGTTATAGTACCCATTGATGAGCTTATCGTAGCAAATCGGCCATTTTTTGGAAATTCAAGAAAACCCTAAATACAAATTGCTGGAAATTTAGAAAGTTCGTGGATTTGAGCAGCGGCAAACACGCACAATTTACATGAGAGGCATACCATTGAAGACTGTAGCTATCATACGGGTCGAAAAGTGAACAATATGAAGCTTTCGAGAACATATCACTATGAACGATGTGAGCAGCTATAATATCATCTCATCTCATCTCTCATCTGATAACCTAACTCGAACAAACTAAGACTCCATTTACTTAGGTGACATCCTTTTGGTCAGATAATGGTCGCATCTCAAAATGGTCACTGGTACTAAGTTCCCATTACATGAGGCATGTCGCGAAGGCGATTTTTCCAAAGTCAGAGAACTCGTGGAAGAAGATCCCAAGGCTGTTCTTGCCAAAGATCTCGATTCCAGGTATCCTATTCATTGGGCAGTTTCGTACCAGCACGAAGCTATAGTCGAATTTTTGCTATCTTTTATGCAGAAAAGCGACTTGGACAACCTTGTCGATGATTCCGGCTGGTCCGTTTTGCATATTGCAAGCTCTGTGGGTAACTTGAACATCCTTATGAAATTAATCAATCACACCATCAAACCTGATGTGAATCTGGCTACGACCCAAGGAACGACCCCGCTAGATCTGGCTTGCTCCAAAAAACAGGTTCAGATTGTCGAAGCACTTCTGAAAGATGGCGCTTCGATAAGACATAAGGATTCCAGAAACCAATTGGCCCTCCATAGAGCTGCTAGCGTCGGATCTATGCCCATCGTGGAAATTCTCTGCGAAAACAGGTCACCCGTTAACACCAAAGATACCCACGGGTGGACACCTCTTTTTCACGCTCTGTCAGAAGGCCATGGCGATATTGCAGTGGTTTTGGTTCAGAAATATGCGGCTGAATATAAGAATCTGGAGGATGTCAACGGCAGATCAGCGCTACAAGTAGTTGCAGATGATAAAGTGAAATCGTTTTTTCTCCAAAACGTTGAATGAACCGATTCTTCTATGTCATTAGCGTGTCTATAACTCATCAAAAATGCAAAACTTGACTATGTACATAATGAACCTTGAGAGATAAAACTGCCCTACATCTCAATGCTTCCTCTGAAATCTAGGTAATCCCGAACCCTCAACCCGTTGATGTCGTCGACCCAAAAATCAACGGCACTTTTATCCGTATCCCCTTCCAGTGTAGAGCCAATTAGCAACAGCCCGCGTGCTCTAATTTCAGTAATCAATTGTTGGCTGGCCCCTAGTAGATGTAACGGAATAATAATTCCCAAAAGGTTGTTGTAAGTAGCGAACTGTACGCTTTCGCGAACACTACGAGAGCACAGATCTGCAAAATCCACAGCATCAGGGTTCAACGCCAGTTTCGACAAATGGTGAGGGGTGTCTTTGACAAGATTGTTGTTTTCGTTTCTTAATCCATTCATGTAGAATAAGACCGGAAAGTTGGGTTGTTTCCAGTTCAATATTGAGCAAACATCAGCATTGCAGGAGGTGAAAACAATCGACGACAATTGTCCACCAAAAGAGTTGTCCCTGACGTGAGCAAACAATGACGTCAAAATTCCGTCGATGAATGTGTTGATGTTGATATGAGGCGAAAGCTTTAGAGGTATGCTCTTGAATTCGCACTCTGTGGGAAAACAAACTTCTATGTCCAAGTGCGAATTCAAGGGTATTTTGCTCAGCAGTGCATCTAAAGTGACGAAGCGTTCAGCAAGCAGCTCCTGAAAGCTGAAAGCCTCAGAATCTCTAGAAAATCCATTCAAAGAGTACCCAACAAGGCATTCCAATTGAGCAGCATTCAAGTCCAGTAACTTTAAACTCATAGGACCCACCGTGATGGTTTTGTTTGGTGCCACTACTATGGTACCATCATTCAAAGCTGTGACAAAAAAGTTGATGTAGCGACCTGATAAAGAAGATGATGTGATTAGCTGATTTCCACTTTTTCCCGTCTCATTACTCATTGTCGACTTCCAATAAGTTTCATATTTCGTGACATCCAGCGGTGTTCCATTGTATGGGAACACCAATCTATAATTGAACTTCAGTTGACCTACGTTTTTCAAGCGACTGTCAAATAATGGGAGAACAAAGTCACCCTTGTTTGAGGGACTCGCTTGAAACGTCTGGAATTGTGATGAAAGAGCAGTGGTCTTTGCAATCATGCGAGTACCAAACGACGGGAAGATTTCAAAATCAATGGAAAATTTCTCCAAGGAATCAACTTGGAAAACAACGAAACTCTCTTCACCATCTTCAATAGGCAAAAGAATATTCCTTGGAATAATGTCAGATATGTTCGACGTGAGCGTAACACGACCAGGTGATGACAAGACCATCTCGTCTTCCTTGTTAAGCACAATTGAAGAAGTGCCGGGAGAAAAACCTATTTCAACAAATATCTTCCTCTCCAGGAAATTGTGACCATACTTACGCAATGGTATGATAGGAGGCGGTAGGGCAAAATCAGGGATTCCGTTTAAAGAATCTTCTGGGCTCAACAAATCAACCGGATCGAGTGCCGATTTCAGAGGGCTGACGATCAAATCTGGATTAGGCCTAACAGCACTTAGATGATCTTTTAAAAGGTTTATGACGCCCAAGTGTCCTTCCCAAAGGGCGAAAAAAAAAGGTGAAAGGTTATCATCGTCCTTGATGTCCATGCGAGCGCCACATTTGAGCAATCCGGCTACAGTTTCGCGATGACCTTCCTGAATGGCGTAAAATACGGGCGTCCATCCATTAAACCCATCAACACCGTTTGGATCTGCACCGTGAGATACAAGCAGCTCTATCAATTTGGCATCTCCACCATTCTTAGCTGTTATGTGCAAAGGGCATCTGCCCTGTGTATCCCGGACGGCTGTAGGATCAATATTGCTCAAGTTAAGTATTGACTTTGCGGCTTCGTAATTAAGATGAGCGCAGGCCACGTTTAGTGGGTTGAAATGAGGCTTTTTAGATTCAGCCGCTTCTGATGAAGTGTTAATCTGAGAGTTCAACAGTAGTTCTGTAATCTCGATGCAATTATTACTCACCGCAAGAACTAAAGGAGTCTTGGAGTCATTGTCCACCACATCCACCGTATCCAGCAGCAGAGATCTCATCAACAATTCAACAAACTCCTTTTTCCCTAAATCGCAAGCATAATGTAATGGAATACGTCCGTTTGCATCTTGAGCGTTTAATAGTTTCCGCAGAACCTCCTGGGGTAAAGTGAAGTCGCGACACTGCTCTATAGCTTCCTGAAGTACGAAATTTCTAGCATGCCCTTCGCAGCTCGCTGCTTCATGAAAAATGTTACGTTTTGAAAAGACGGCCTCGTCTTCCTCTGCATAAGAGAAATCGATGTTCGGCGCAGCGGCTTTTAGGAACACGCTAAGAGAAGCATCATCGATAGAACTACTGACTAGCAGTAGAAATACTTTTGTTAACGCATCTCTCATTATGACATCTTTGTCAATTCGGCTTTTCGGTACAGTCTTTTCAACAAAATTAGGTATTTTCTCGGCTGCAAATTGACGCAAGAGCCGTGTTCGCGGTTCTTCATCTTTCAATTTGGCGATATTTTGGGCTTCCATATACCAGGTTTCGATCTCCATGCTAATGTCCATATTTCCTGTTCTAAAATCCGGCTGGATGGAGTCAATGCCTGGTGCTGGAAGCAAAGTGGTAGAGGCAATTCGATGAGAGGTATTGGGATTGGAAAGATCTGTCAATTTTGGGTACGAAGCATGGGACGGGAAGGATGTCGAATAGGCATATGGATCTTCCTGCGCGCTAATGGTGTTCAGTTCCAGCAAAATGGTGGAGACCTCATCGTTCAGCCTGGAAGCTTCGTTGCGTGTGAAAACGGGCTGCACCGACACTACAGTGGCCAGGTAGAAATCTTTGGTTTGCGAATGCGAACGTTTGTCCCATTTCTTCAGTACTTTGGAAAACCCAGTGCGATTGAGCTCTACAAACTGTTCTAAATGGGACAAGTCTCTTTCGAATTTTTTGGCTCCCTCGCGCAGCTGTTTGTAGGCAAGCGTGGATTTTGACGACAATTTGCCACGCTTGACGCAATCTTGGTACCGGGATCTCAAAATATCGAATTTGACACGCATATCGGCCTCTTTTTCCAAGTAATATTCGTTGACTTTTTCCAGTTCCCGTTCCACTTTGAAAAAAAACGATGCCCTGTGTTCTTGCAGCACTTGATATACGTGTGTTTGGTCTATTTCGGGCGCCTCCACCGTGGGCGGTAGTGGTGGGCCCGAGAGATGCTTGATAAGCTTTTTCAAGCCCTTGTAGTCGATGAAGTGGCCATTATACTCGGGCAACGTCAATTGTCGCGATTCCAGGTCTTTACCAAATTTCATCGTAAAACCGTCGTGAGAACGTCGTTTGAAAGCCCTGGGAGAGTAGAAACGGTTTCCACTGAAATCTAATGCAGCTTGTTAAGCGAAAACAACGTTCACCACTGCCAAAAGCTCGTATTCCACTTGATTTTCGCTAAAATTCTTGCATTTCTCAAATGTGCCGTTAAGTTCTCGTATTTCAGGTTATATAGTAGTACTACACTATAATTCATCAAATCTGTGCCGGCGTTTCTAACCCATCTCTTAATAAACGGGTTTTAGGACACACGTGCGCCTAAAGAAATGTTTATTCTGTCGCATGTGACAAAATGAAATTCAAAGTATATAAAGGGCGATGAGATGAGTTGGGATGCGATGAGATAGAAGAAAGGGACGGGTTTCAGATACAGGGAGAACGGGAGTAGAGGTTTTGTAGTATGAGTGGTCTGTAGATGAGTGTATATGGGAATGAAACACAACGATGGATAGTGTGCTACTTGGGTGGTGTCAATATCACTGATCACGCTTGCTCATGTTTGCGCAGTGCATGACTACATTGGATGACAGTTTCGTCGGGCAATATTTGAGATAGGCTACATAGAAGGTTGTCTTTCTCATCGGAAGTGTGAAAGCTCTCGAGTAGTCAGTGGAGTGCGCCCAACGACGATCTTGAGAAGCCCTACGTGTAGTTCAACAAATTTAGGCCACGGGACTAGGCCTTCTGCTATTCGAATAGTCGGGTTTCAACGCCGAGTTTGTGATGGTAGCTTATCAACATCAAGACTAGCTTCTAAGTGGACTTTCAAAAAGGTCTTGACTGTATATATGAATACACATACCCACTCGAGAGCGAACGGCCACAACAATTTGGTAAAAGATTCGGCAATTGTCATTCTGAGTATTAAAACATGCCATACAAGACCGATATTCACGTTCAGTACCCCTTAGGCATCTTCAAACGTCAAGCGCGGGAGAACAAGTCACAAACCTGATTACGATAGATTTTATTTCGAACTGTCCTTACGACACTCAAAAATGTTGTTTCAAAAAGTAACTCAATTGAAAAACTATCGTCCACACTTTACATTAGGAAGAACGTCCAAGGTGGACATTTTGATTCAAAAACATGAACGTCTGCCTTGCAGTTACGAGAACTTTCTTTCCGAATGTCAATTTTCCAGACGAACACCCTTAACGTCCTGTGCAGAAAATTAATCAATGCACATATTACTCGCATCCATCACACTAGCAGTTCACGTCACACAGGGACAGGTTTCAGAGATTTTTTTGACTAATAAGATACTTGAACCATGATTCGAACGTTAGTTCTGAACACATTGTGTGAAGGTTCGAGAAATGACATGAAAATATGGTTGGCAGGGTAGGCCGCCTAGCGTCTAAGATTAAGTTCGGTGAACATTGCAGCCAGTACCCAAGCATACCGAAACAAGATTTATATCCCGATTTAAACAGTTCTTCGTGTCTCCCTCGTTAGCAGAAGTTTTAGACCAGTTTTACCTGGAAAAAGCGCACGTAAAGAGAGAACGGCGATACTATCCTGTCCCCTCCAGAAAACATAATGCCCCTAAAGGTATTTTTGAAGTAAGCTGTATTTATGCAAGACGATGATCTAAATTTACCGTACGGGATACAATCTTTGACGCAGCTTACAATATATTTCGCGGCGTGTGCCACGAATTACGACGATCTATTAAATGCCAATATCAAAATAAAATATTCTAATGAAGTGAGTACTACATGAATCTGTTTTCAAACATATAACTTTGATCATTTCAAGTTACTTGTCATAGGAAAAGTGTAATCCGTTTAAAAGTGTCATAGTCACCAAATGTGGGTTTAATACTTCCACGTGTGATGTTTCATTCTACACGTAACAATACCTTCGAGCCTCCGTTGACATTCCAAAACAATCCGACTTGTAGTGAATAATGCCAGGGGTGGCAAATATTTTACGTGACGTGTGAATCTCTTTTTATTTTCAGATCAACAAGCTAACTTTGACGTGTGCAATTCTTCAGAGACGGACTATTGAATCGTTCTCCCATCCTGGTAATAATTCACACTATGCGCCGCTCGCATATAGTCATATACCTATTGCTATTATTCACATATTTGCCGTGAATGAGTGACCTTTTACCAGCCAGCACTTGTATCTACTCAAGTATACGTATTGTGTTTTACTGTCGTTGCTAGTATTGGTCAGGTGCTCGAGTGACACAGAAGTACAAAGTGATGTATCTGAAGATTTAAAATCACCTATCCACTTCAAGATTATAGCTTCAAGACTGTTCCACATCTCTCAATATCTTCTAGAGACACCGATTGGCAGCATCGGTATGGATCTACAGCTCATGACATTCAAGAAAAACTCTTGATACAAGAAAAGTTGTCGCAATTGAGCCCTAAAAATCCGCCTTCTGAGACCTGGAAATCCCGCAATTGGTATTCACTCCTGAAACTAAGGAAAAAGTTCATGCGATTAACTATTCTTAACACTAGTCTTCTAAATCTTGAAAACTCTCTTACACATAGCACGTGACTAAAGTTGTATTTGATTATGTAATAAAATTATGGTCACGTGATAGATTTTAGCGTGTGTCTAAATAATACGGCTAAGGAATAATTCATAAAGTAAATCATCAATCTGTCTCTGCGTATAAGCAGTGTCATCACCACTTTCTTACCGCGAATCAACATCCAGTGAGTAACCCAAGGGTTCATAATGAATGGCGACGATGACAAGAGGATAACGGTGGAGACAGAAACGGTTCAAACGCCGGCCCAAAACCTGCTGCCAGTGCAAGCGGAAGATAAAGCCGATGACGAAGACATAAGTAGTAGAACACAGGGTGAAGCTCCTGCCAAGCTAATAGACCATAATCCAATGTCATTGCATAACAGCAGTGGAGCTATACGCAACAAAAAGTCAAATCTGTTCATGGACTCGTTTCTAGGGAAAGAATCGTCTCCCTCCGTAGCATCGGGGATCACCCACAAACCACATGCAGCAGGCAGCAATGCGCCTACAAAAGCGTATAGGGAGTCTACCGACGACTCTGGTCTTCCTCTGCCGTCCCGGGCACTGGTGGCAGAAGAACAGAGGATAGACGAAAAGTTGGGTGGTTCAGCAACGCTTCCACCTACACCGGGCGAGCATCCCACAGAAGAACCTACACGCAAAAATAGAGAACCCGCTAAAAAATCAGATTTCTTTGCAGCACGACTGGCATCGGCAGTAGGTGAAAATGAGATCAGTGACTCGGAAGAAACGTTTGTGTACGAATCAACTGCAACTTCCAACAAAAACGTGGTACCCGGTGAAGCACGTTCTCACGGTGTACCTACAAGGACAAGTGCACCTTTATTAAACCATACTTCACCAAATGCCAACGGCTCAAAACTTTTGAATAGGGCCAAGGCCACACGTCACACCAGCATAGCAGTCATTCCACCACCGGTGTCAGAACAATCCGATGACCTCCACAGTCTCAAGTACGTGAACCGCAACAATCCACAAGAAATTCGTTCTGTGCGATCCTATACTACAATGCCCCAATCTCCAGGGAAGAGACTTTCCCTAATATCACTCGCGCAAAATGGTGGAAGCTCCGCGCCGCGTCGTACTTCTCGCAAAATCTCTAACAGTGCCAATGCGAACAACGTAAGGCGGAAGGCATCACATAGAAGACAGCTTCGTACTACAGCATCTAAAATCTTCGATGCGCATGGAGCCTCTTTGCGACGGTATTCAGGCGTCCCAGACGACGTTAACTTAGAAGATTATATCGAACAAACCGGTGGAGAATTGACGCCTAACAAATTCGCGTATCACAGCGATTCCGATTTCGAAGATGAGCCTGTTAGCTATGCTCGCCAGGGCGATGACGAAGATGACACACATTCAATGTTTTACTACTCTCATCCGAAGACAGATCTAGAGGCGCGTCAGGGCTTATCAGATTACGAAGAAGAAGAAGCTGGTGGAGCGGAGAACGATCGCGCAGCACAGCTAGGATACCCTGCAGGCATGGAGTACTACACAGATAATTACTTTTACCAACCGACTGAGGCCACCCCCTTAAAGAAGAAAGTCTCTCACCACACCCGATATTCGCCTCACAACTTTTACACAACCAAAACCACATGGACGAAACTTAGAAATTTCGTGTATTTTGCATTCGTGGTCTCATTTCTTCTTACACTGGGATTCATTTCTGGATTTTTGTTGGCAACTAACAAAGAGCTTCATGATTTAGAAATTGCCAAAGTCACTTCCGTTCTGGTGAGTGCAGACGAATTGGTATTTGACGTCATTGGAACAGCATTCAATCCGGGCTTTTTCACGGTCGAAATCAAAAAAGTGGAACTTGACATTTTTGCCAAGACGTCACACCTGGGAATTGAAGGTGATCCTCTAGGTACACAATATCAGACGATTCTACTGGGTACAGTAGAAACCATGGAGACATCTCTACAGTTTCAAGGTGGATTTTTTCACCGGAACTACGACATATCGAGATCGAGTGTGAAGTTAGTGAAACCTGGACTTGTGGATGAACACGGCAGACAGGGTGACGAGGATCCAATTGGACGCGTGAAGACCCTAGCTGGAGGAAGATCTGAAGGCGAACCAGTCGCACAGGTGGAGGTAGAAAACGGTCTGGACAAATGGCGACAACTGATACGTTACGATTTTGAGTTGATCGTTAGAGGCAACATGTACTATCGGATGCCATTTTTCAATAGTGAAAAAAGCGTAGGAGTACAGAGCTCGGCGATTGTGGACCCGGATGACGACGGGACCCACAATAAATTACTAAGTGAATTGTAGCATCGACAAATAAATGTTTGTGATATAGGAAAATGGATAAGACGGATTATGATTAAGAAAGGAGAGGAACAGAGTTGGAAGTGGTGACCTGGTTAAATGTGTCAATTTTAACATTATGGAAGGTCAAGCTTGTTTTCAGAAATGTATCAAAAGATCAATATTCGCCCCAATTGACACAATCAGCTCAAAATCCTGAAAAGCAGAAGTAGAGGGAACTTGGGGGAAGACGATTAAACGCCGAGAGGGCTGATTCTGTTTTATCGCGATTCAAGACGCGAATAGGCTTCACGGCAACGGAAGAACGTAAACCTCCGGGACTGACGAAACTGCATACCGTGAGTCACGTGCCGTATATAAGTGTACGTGATTTGGCCCGTTTTGGCAGGAAATACACTCAGAATGGTCAGCTATTATGTGGCTTCATTCGTTCTTGCTGATGTATCCAAAAGGATCTTGGTATTGAAGCGGATACTGGACGTAAACAAAAGACCACAAATGATTACTCGTCATTTTTTTCGTTCGAGCTCTTCTACGACGTCACTCCAGCCCAATCACATGATCGTTTGATCAAAGCAGCACGTGAGAATCACGTGCTTATCATCACCGTGTTTAATCACTATACACGGCAATTTTCATAAGTATTTCATATGGGACTAAACTTCATATTCAATACTCGAAAGATGAAACTAGAACTCGACTCAGAGATACCCATCAAACCAACTTTCACTGCTTTGCCATAGTCAAGCGTTTACGACCGCAGAAACAACCTCACATTTCTGGGCATCTGTATTGGAAAGCATACGGCAAAGACGGGCGGTCGAATAGGCATTGTAAGACGCAAGCTGGCTTGAAAAGGGAATTGCTGAAACCTGTCGAGTTCGACTGTGTTTTTGCCCTATCTACACCAACGGAGACATGTCAGAAGCTGAACAAGCCCCCTCTGGATTTACTCTGGGGTCTGTCACGGAGAGTGCAGTGTTCGAGGTGGGAGAACCTTCGAGATTGGTGCGGAAACGCAATACAAAAAATCTATTTTTGAACATCGACAACTCACCTACCCAGAGGATCGAGGCGCTGGACGCCCCATGTGGTTTCAAAAGTGAGGATAATGGACGGCTGCGAAATATCCAGGAACCCCGGGCTCTAGAGAGATGGAAACACGTCTCAAGCGACGCTCACATCTTCTCCGTAGCTAACGTGACAAACGGCTCATTCACAGCTAAAAAAGAACCCAAGTTGGTGACAAACCGGTTGAAAAGGGGCATGTCGTTGCCGCCACAACTCAAAACTCGTTTTATAGGGTCACAGAGTGACTTGGGATTGTCTTCGTCACCCATAGAAGCTCAGAGCCTGTCTTTGGGATCTGAGGACGCTGTGCTACAGAATAGTGGTTCGCGTGCATTCCATCGGGCCTCGCGCTCTGTTTCTACGGTTGTGGACGAAGGCTGCACCACTAAAAATGCATATCCGGACGGACCATTGCTGGTTTATGGTTCATATCTGTATCTGTGTTCTGAGCCGTCCATTACAGATCTCGAGCGTTTTGACGTGACGCTGAACGTTGCTCAAGAGGTCTCAAATCTCCGCACTATGTTGCCGCCCACCAAACAGGTTGATTACCACCATATTCACTGGTCTCACACGTCGAAAATATGCTCAGACCTACCACAACTAACCAGAATCATACACGAGGCCGTGGAGGCTCGACGCACAGTACTGGTGCATTGCCAATGCGGCGTGTCTCGCTCTGCATCGCTGATTGTAGCGTACATTATGCGCTACGAAAACCTTCCTCTTCATGACGCCTATAACAAGCTCAAATCTGTGGCCAAAGACATTAGTCCGAACATGAGTTTGATCTTCCAGCTCATGGAGTGGCGCGAGGTTTTAAGTTTACCACGTATGCAACCGAAAGCCGTAGGCAGGGCGGATGATGCGATTTTTCCAAAGGCCCCAGGCGTGATGTTATTGGATCAAGAAGAAAGTGCACACGATCCTACCAAAATACCCCCAACAAGCCCTGACTGCTCTAATGTTTCAACTGAAAACACACCTTGCACTCCAAGCGAGTTTTTCGACTGCGGTCGAGTCTCTTCGCATTCCTCCGTTACTGCAAGCGATTCAGGCACTGGTACACCTTTCCTGTCGGCACCCATGTCCGATACCGCACGATACGCATCAATGTTTGAAACATATGCCTCAACCGGCGTTGAAACTGGAAACAAATCCAGCAGTGGATGGTGCTGACGTCGGTAACTGTCTTCACCTCTCTTCATTCATTCTGCATAAAAGACTACAACTAGTAATTCAAGCGTATCTGTCCGAGCTGGAATCAGTACACTCACCACGCTCATTAAAACGCTTTTTAAGAAAAGATTTACGATGAAATCGTGTATATCTATTGTAACTCTTAACAATTCAAAGACATTTAGGCCACCGTTGTGTACTCACTTAGTCGTGATATGGTTCTTCAGATATAGACTTCGCACCATAGATCATTTTGCACTAATTCAGTTCTTAATCCATCGAAAGTGATCACCAGCGGGATCTGCGAAGAAGTACAGCTCAAGAACAGCATCTTGCCATTCCGAGGAGCCATGAACAATGGTACAGAGCACCCAACAGAATCAGGTACCACGCCGGCTGTTAAGAGGCGCTCTTTGAGCAACTATTTATCCAATATTCAGAAGAGAAAACGGGAACTGGAGGAAAACAGCAGGAAACAAGAAAGCTCTGAAACACAAGGAGATAAGGACACAAGCACATTTAAAGACCCAGTGAGTTTGGAAAGCGATCAGAAGACTAAGCCGGTGGTGGAAAGTGATCCAAAGACTAAGCCAATAGTGGGAATTGATCAGAATGATGATCTAACGAATACTACTTTCAATACCGCTGATGCAAACACAGGCGTAACCAAGGATCTCCCTAAAGGAAAACTGGGGAATCCATCTGATAGTACAACTAATTCAAGAGAAGTTACGGCACCGAAGAAGGACGGAGGTGCTCTAGAGGTTGGGGAATATCACCCAGAAATTGATGCCACAAATGTATTGGAAGACGAAGGGCACACATCAGATATCAAGAGTCCGCCACTTCCAAGAGAAACGAAAGAAGATACAGTAGCGAGCAGCGATATAGACACTGTCGAGAAGCTCAGTGGTCGCCAGCTCCCGAAACAACCAGTTAAAGATGAGGGAAACGGGGAAGATTCTGAGATTGGGACACAAAACAGAAATATGTTAGGGAAGACCAAATTGGTGAACATGCTACGCAATACCGAAGCTAACGAATCCCTTGAGCTTGTTGGTGATAACGAAGAAAGTGAGCTCAGCGAAGTAGAAAGCGATGCGCCTACTGAGCCAGCATCTCCGCCTAGACCGCGTTTGGGCCGACTAATACGTGGCGATGAACTGCGATCATCTCCTTCCAGCAGAACTCCAGTTTTGCATTTTAACAATAGCGATGAGTCAGAATTATCAGATTTGGACAATTTGAATCAAATTCCGCTTTCAAGCAGCATATTACACGCTGATTCTCCGCCAGACAAATCATCACATTTATCACTGAAATCGTCACCAGGCAGTATTCCCAGGGCTTCGCAGGTATCCCCGACCCATCGCAGGGCATTTATCGGTCTCAAAAAACAAGCAAAAGTTAAGAAAAGCACTGTCCACAGAGACGCTGGGGGACGGACCAAACTGCAGATCTCATGCGACAAGGGTAAACTTGAAAATGCAAGAAAACTCATTCAAGAGGGCTTCAATGTCAACGATCAGGATAATGCAGGGAACTCGTCTCTGCATGAGGCTGCCTTGAATGGGCACCTCGATATTGTGAAGCTACTACTTGAAAGCGGAGCCGACGTCAACATACAGTCATTCGAGCCTATCAAAGATACTCCCTTGATAGATGCAGCTGCGAATGGTCACCTGGAGGTAGTAAGACTACTTCTCAAGTACAATGCCGATCCTACAATAGCTAATGGCAAGGGCCTAACCGCCATTGAGTCGATTGAAGAGGACTCTGATCTGGAAAGTGAAGATCTCCATACTGTCGAAGATTTAAAGCGTGCGTTGAGAAGAGGCATGGAAAGATTCGTTGAATCAGGTGAAAGACAAGTGCGGTCGTCCTCTAATAACAGGCATTCCGACAGCGAAAGGTCATCTTCAAATATTAGAATAGAGGATGAGTTTTACTGGACCGATATCTCTTCTAAAGTTGGACGAGAGAAGCTTTTGAGAGCTTCCAAGGAGGGAAGACTACCATACGTGGGATCTTATCTTGAAAATGGTGGTCGTGTTGACGTCAGATCTTTTCTTGAGGCTGTCAAATATGGTCACGAAGATATAACAAGTCTATTTCTGGCGTTTGGAGCTCAAGCAAATTTGACTACTCGTGAAGGACAAACTCCATTGATGATCGCGCTGGGTCGCGGTCACATAGGTACTGTAAAACTATTGTTGGAAGCAGGTGCCGATCCACATATGGAAGATAGGCATGGAAGATCGGTGTTAAGCTATGCAAAACATAGTGAATTGGGACTTCAAATCAAGCAAGAAACGGAATTGATTCAAAAGGCTTTAGAAATGGGCGGGAAAGGAGATGCTGGCATCTCTCGCGACGAATTACGGTCCGACGATGAACCTAGCTCCAAAGATGTCAATTCCAAGTTGAGCACGGGGAAAGAGAGTAGCGAAATGGCAGCAGCTACGGACGCTTCGCGGAAGGGGAGTGAAATCTCGCAAAAAGTATCTGCCACGCGTAAACGCTCCAGCTCCACCCAGCGAGAAGATCACCACCCAACAGCAAGGGACGAATTGGCAACAGGTGCAGCAACAAAGATGCCGGCCGATTCCCTTGTGACTGACTATGTGTTGTCTGCTGCTATTAAGAAACCCAAGTTAAGGGACTCGTGCAGCCCAAGCGCACCAGATCTAGTGCCGGAAGCGCCAAGAAGCCAAAATGCTACACCTCTAAGCTCTACTACACCTAAAGTTGCCGAGACGCCAGAAGAAAAAGAAGAGCGTTTGAAGGCTGAAGAAGACTACAGACAAAAGAGACTGCTTAATAAAAAGCGGAAAGAGCAAGAGTTGTTGGCGAAGCTCGCCCATGATGAAAAAATGCGTGCAGAGGAGCGCGATCGTCAAAACGCGCAAGAGGCGCAAAGGAAAAAAGAAGAACAGGAAAGAATGATGCGGGAAGAAGAATTACAGCGCGCTGGTGCGGAACTTGAACGCAGACGTCAGGTCCGTAGACAGTATCCGCTAGGGTTGCGATTAATAGACTTCCAGGCTACTCACGAATTTGAAAAATTTCTTCCTCTCTACTTCGTTGTCCTGGATGGGCAGAAACACGTTTTGGATCTACAGATGTGTGTGTTGCTGAAGGATTCTACGTTCCTGTCCCGTCACCGGAATGGTCCTGAGGTATCACACACTCATAAGACTCAGATCTGGAACATTTACAAGTTCATTTTCTTGCGCGGTGGGCGTCACCCAGCTGGCTTGGCTCGTCGAGCGCAGGTAGAAATCGATCAGCTACCATTCACCAGTCGAGCAGATCTCGAATCCCAAGAATTAGACTTATTCGTGGCATTACCACTTCGATGGATACCTTGGAATGGAATCGAGCTATCACGTGAACAAGCATCATCTGTTAAATTGGCAGAGTTGGAAAACCAGATGATTGAGATAAGTCTTTACACCGACCCCGGCACATCCCATCCAGATCCAGACAATGCTATCAAGACGCCACCCACTGTATCCAATTCCTCAAGAACTCAAGAACTTCAAGTCCAAAATTCCATTTTGAAATCCGAGACGTCACCGATCACGAGACAGTACTTTTTCCCATTTGACAGCAGCCTACCGGTTAAGTTCCGCAATCGTCCAGCGATAAGCAGTCTACTGAAGGGCAGCGTACCCTCGTGGTAGCTCCCACGTCAATACGTGCTGTGTTCTAGAATTTGGAAAGACGTTTTAGTAGCTAAATGCACGTGATAAGCACGCGACCTCCACGTGTTTTAGGCGTGCTTGTTTTTCCTGCTATTTGATTGGCTCTAATTCGAAGATCGATTCCAATATTAAAATTTTTTGGATATATCGATTATAACCAGATAATAGAGTTTCTCGACTCTGATTAGACTTCGAGCTACAATATTCATTGGAAAGTCGAAGTTCTTTAGCGAGCTAGCCTTTCATCGATCCATATTATTATTGAGACAAGTATGTTGGTGGGCTTTACAATTTAAACGAGGCGAAAAGGTGAATATTTGAGCAACTTCGGAGCAAATTATGGACGTCTAAGAGATTGAATGACGAACTTATAAAATGCCCCAATTGAGATTGACAAAAGTGGGCAAAAAGAGGTCTTGGATACGATATTGATTGTGGGAAGCTTGAAAACACCAGATGGGTCTTTTGACGGAATTTTCCGTACAACTTTCAAGCTGTGCACTCAACAAGAACAACATATATGGACCCTAGCCTTTTGTGGAGAACTTTATAGTACTGCGTTAGCGATTTGCGATCGACACCTTGCTGTTCTTCAAGACCTGATTATTTACTAACTTCGAACAGTGTTGCGTTCGTCAGTCAGCAGAGTAGCGCGTGTCGTGCCTTCAAGATTCGCACAAACACAGGCTATTTCCAAAGCCGCCATTGTGGATCTACATAGCCGTTGGGAAGACCTTCCAGCCGTTGAACAACAGGAGCTGGTCACCAAGTTGACCGAACGTCAAAAACTACCATGGTCCCAGCTGACTGAAACCGAGAAGCAGGCCGTCTGGTATATATCATACGGCGAATGGGGACCAAGAAGGCCCGTGCACGCAAAGGGTGATGGTGCCTACATCGCCAAGGGTGTTGTGTTTGGTCTAGTGGGCTCCGTGGGTCTTTTCGCTTTTATTAGACAGTTTGGTGGTGAAGACCCAAAAACCATGACCAAAGAATGGCAATTGAAGTCCGACGAGTACCTCAAGTCCAAAAACGCCAACCCATGGGGTGGTTACTCCCAGGTTCAATCCAAATAAGCATGATACCTTCAACTTTTCAACCCTCATTCACTTCAGGCTATCAGTGAAGTTCTGACGCGCATATTCATACCAATATATTTATGGGATGGTCTTGATCGGAACAAAAAGGTCCATACAAAATTACGACTCTTATTTTACTCATGAACTCTGGTTATCTAGTTCGAAAGTCATCTATAATCTTATTTAAGTCCGACAACATACAGTAATCCAAGGAAAGCAGGACTGCGATAAAAGTGTAAGTTATGCTGAAAGGATGAAGACTCATCACGATCCAAAAGAGACTCAATTCTTTCATACCTCTCTCTGTGACAATTTCGTTTAGTTTGATTTTTTTTGAGAAACTAACCTAGCTCATCGCAGCTCATCGGTGTTTCTTATTTCGAAAGAATTGTGAAAAGTCACTATACAATCCTGACGCTATCGCTCGAGATATGTCATTTCAGTTTGGATTTTCTAATCAGGATCTCAGTGATGATGAGCTGACTGACCAACTCGCTGATGGTATCGAGAACTCTGACGTTGTTGCGAGTGCAGAGGTTCCGTCAATCAGCGCATTAGACTTGCCCCACTTGAAGTCCACAGGTTTGAAACAGCCAAAATGGGAACCGTTGCAAAATGTCTTACAGAGTCTGGTCGACGTTAGGGTCTCTTTTGAAAAGATACTCACACCTCAATGTTCTATTCCGTTGTATCGCCGAGAACTTTTCGATGTCAAACACCAATTGATGACTGAGTCGGAAGAAAAACAAGATGAAGAGGCACAAGCCGAACTAGAGATTTTGATCGGAGATACGAACGAAGATCTACGGAAAAACGTGTATGAGGGGGGTCTTAAATCATGGGAATGCTCGATCGATCTGGTAGAGACACTTTCAACTTCTGCACACCGCAAAACGCGTCATACTACTATCTTGGAACTTGGCTGTGGCACATCACTGCCCTCTGAATATCTTCTCAGCCAGCTTCTGTCCGAAGACACTCAAAGTTGCGATGCCACTTTCGTTTTAGCAGACTATAACGAATCGGTACTGCGACTTGTATCTTTGCCAAACCTTATCATAACATGGGCGTTGCAAACTTTGAACCCACAGGAGCTCACAAAACTACAACAAGGAGACGATTCTTCTGTCCCAGTTGTGGAGGACGAGCTTTTGTTCACGCAATCGTTACTTCGCAAATTCCAAGAAGAAATTGCTGCTCGAGGAATCGACATCAAACTTGTTTCTGGAACATGGGGTCGTCAGTTCTACGACCTCTTGTCTGCACGTTTACATGGTTCATCGTCAGAACTTTTGATCCTGTCCTCTGAAACCATTTACCAGCCAGACATGCTTCCTGTGGTTTCCGATCTAATTCTACAGCTGCTTACCGATTCACAGTCGCAGCAGCGCCGCGCAACAGCTTTGGTCGCTGCTAAGGACATATATTTCGGTGTTGGAGGTAGTGTCATTGAGTTTCAAAACTATATCCAGAAAAGAATCGCTGGTAACTCACTGAACCTAGCATGGCAAACCTTCAAAGTGCAGGCCGGACTCAAGAGGTCCATTGTTTCGATATACGGGGAACAAGCCTGAATGATTGCATCAACACAATCTTACACTTATGTATATATTTAGTTGCAAAGGACAAGAAAGCTAGCGATTGTGAGGGCAGTCAAGCACTACTTGTAACAATTTGACTTGATTTATATTCTGAGGCAAGTAAGCTCACAAATCATGAGCTGTGAATACTGAACTCAACTAGGTCAACTTTGTTCAAGTTTGGCTATGGTATTTATTATATATACCGGGATAAATTGAAGCTCATTCTGAACAAAATTCAGAACTTGAACAGACGAGACATCTTTTGTGTTCAATTGACACCCCATGAGTGCCGCCAAGCATTCAGAAGACTTCGAAGAGTATCTAGAAGATGATTTTAACGCAGTAAAGGCTTGCTCAGCTGTACTGAAAAGCACACACATTGATATGGATTCTGACGAGCTTGATCTACTGACATCGATTAAAAAAGTGCGATACGCATTGAACGAAGTTGACAGGAGAACAGAGGAAACGATACGTTCTAACCCCTTACATTTGATCGATACTCTGAATGACCGTGCTATAGCTCGTGCCAAGACTCAAGCCTCTTTGGGTCCTAGCATAGAATACTTGAAGATGTCTTACGGCAGGCTTGAGAAGGACGTTCTGGAACCGCATGAAGAGTCGCTACAATTACAATTGGCGTTGGGCAAAATCCACCAAACTTCGAGTGTTTTAAGAGATGTGCTCATTTTCCTGCATTTACTTAGACAAGTTATGAGCTTCGTATCTCCTAATCCCAAAGAGGAGCAGGGTTCTTCAGAACAGAACTTGTTGGCATTGGCTTCTATTCATTCCCAAGTTCAAAGTACTTTAGCGTCCAATCCTAACCTAAGGGCTCTGAGACTTGTTAAGAAACATGACTCAGAAACTCTCACACCAAGCCGTCGCGGGACACTCAAACTCATAGGCGAATCGCTAGTCAGCAATTACTCTGGTGAGTTGAGATCAACTCAAGCAAAGTTTGAAAGTAGCCAGTCTCTCTTACTTGCGCTACACAAACTTTCACCGAAAGATTTCGTTAGCACCATAGACAAGGTGGTACTAGCCAGAATCAATTCCAGTAATCAAGGCTTATCTAAGACAATAACATCTATCAAAAACATCAAAACAGCGCTGGAGAATGCCTTGCAAGACGCACAAACTGTGTTGCTCCTGGAAAAAACGCTCAACTCCACAAGTACCGGAACCCTTAGTTTGCTGAGTGAGTATATTTCACACAAAAAGCACGCTTCCTTGATGGAAATGTTCTGGAGCCGGGTGTCTAAAGCGTTTAAGAGAGATTTTGAGACTTCGTACACCCGAGGCGGCCCTGTGGGCAAGTCTCTGGCGGCCAACTCCACAAGTATTGTTCAAAGCATGCAACAGACGCTAAGTACTGATCCAGCAGCGGCCAATCAAGGTTTGGAGAAAATGCTTGATTCGGTGTCTATACTTGATAAAACAGGTTCGAAATAGTTCAAGGTATTCAGCATACTCACTGAATAGACACATAGATGCAATAAAATACTCACTCTGTTCCAAAGAGCGGCCGCTATTTTGCCACCATCTCGGTAGTTTTATGGTTTTTTTTACCACCACGCTTGTGAAACTTCTTTTTAACAAGCTTCTTGACGTCTTTTGCACTTTGCAACCTCTGTTTTAATCGTTCAGCGCCCTGTTTTCTTGCCTCTCGCTGCTTCTTCCCGGGCCGTCTTCGCCTTACCTTGAGTTCGCGAAGACGCTCAGCTTCAATCTTTTTATTATGCTGATCCAAATTTATGGGAAATCGCTTGTCGACGGTAGCAGACTCAGACGTCGGCAAGGTATGATCTTGAATCGCTACTTCATAGTCTATGGCACTGATTCTGAATCTTTTGATATCGTCTTGAGAGAAGTCAGCAAAATAGTAGCTACGAGGCCGTTCCTGTTGCACGAGATCGGGCGATTCCTCCCTCAGTGAAACTTTGATGAGCCGCGTAGGATTCCGTCCTCTCGATCGCTCCTGATTTTCCGATAGATCATCGGATGGATCACGGTCATTTATAATATCCATATTTCCGCCAAAGGAGAACAGTGGGAAATCGAATACTTCTTCTTCTACCATAGCACCTTCACCTATATCTTTACCCTGGGTTTCACTGGTCTGATCCACCGTTACAAATTCAAACTTGGGCGTCATCTCTTCTTCCAACTTTGTAGATGATGCCGCGGAATCATTATCTTCATTGTAGAGGTCACGTCTTGCAACGCTGGAACAGGTTTGTGTTAGTACTTTTATACCACTTGAATAGTTCAACGTAAGAGCCTGTACCATACATTTGAGTAGCGTCCATTGCTTGAATGCCTTGAGCTGTGTTAACCGAATGGTCTGTATGACGAGATGAGTTTTGTTCATATTTCGACCAGATAAAACATTGTCGATCAGAGGATCAAGTAGAGGGCGTCCAATTTTTACACTATTGACAAGCGTAACATCACTGAACAACATACAAGCTTTTAGTATACTTAGTTAGCTGTATCTCATTCGACGCCAAGATATTTCATGCTTAATGACTTTTACTACCGTAGCAATAATATTGAATAATCAATCCAAGTTACTAGAGTTACGCTTGCTTGACGGAAATGCGATATACCTTAACGATATTTTAAAAAGCTCTCTTTAGATGCTATTGATTGGTGTCTTACTTGCTAATTCTTGTCTTCATATTTTGCAAGAATTCGCGGTAAGATTGGCTATTTAAAATTTTGTCTTCCACCAACGTGCTGGTGGCCCATAGTCTCAAAGTCGCGACTTCTCTGGCCGAAGGATGGTTAACGGGTTCACTCAACGAGGCACCACGAACAATGTATAAGGGTTGGTACGTGATGACATCGTCGTGCTCTCTTAGTTTGGAAATGATGTTTCTGACTCTGCTATTGAACTCTGAGTTCTCCAGAAGAGGCAGCTCTTGTTTACCGATTGGGATTTCTAAAATGTCCGGGGTGCCAAATACATCCATTGTGAGCTCATTGACAGCATCACCACCGACCCACAGGAAAAGCTCTGTGCTGTTGTCAATGAGGTATAGACCATAGCGTTCAAGTAGCGACGATGTCGCATTGATCCGTTCTGGCAGCGCGATCTCTCCATACTCGCTGGGGAGACCAGCCTCATCAGGCATATCATGCAAGGAATAGACCTTAGCATAAATGTTCTTGATGAGGTAAGGAAGGGGACTAGACTCCAAAAAGTTGAGTGATGCGGCGCGGTGATCACTTGGAACCAAACCGGAGCGGAACGCCATATGCTTAGTCAACGAATGCATCAAGAGAGGAAACATTCTCAAATTCGCGCTCAGTCTCAATGGAGCACCTCCTGCAGTGTTCGACACCACAATTTCCTTTTTGTAAGTACCTAAAATCTCCTGCACCGATCTGTTCAGATACTCACGAGCCTCTTCCAAATTGGAGTAAGCCTTTTCAATCGCTTTTTGGGAGAAAAAGGCAGTCATCGCCAATTGGTCAGCAGAAGCATATGTTTCAGCCAACGAATCAGTAGTTGGGATAGCGATAGTGATAACTCTTATTCTACGCTGTCCTGTGTTCAAAGACAACAAGACCGCGATCTGCAAATATGCGTAATCACGCACTAGTTGTTCATCTATACTGATCTCAAAAACGTAGGATTGGTCTCTTGGGAAAGTGGGGAAAGCGCACAGGTCAGACGATCTGTTGAAAAAGTGACCGTAAAATCTTGTCATTCTAAGACCGGAAGAACCACGCGCTCTCATGACAGCTTCCATAGATAGATCCATACTGAGATGCTTGGAGAATTCCTTGGTGAATTTTGTCACATCTGTCAGTTTAGAAGCAGACCAACCGGGGTAGAAATGAGTTTGCCCTGCGGTGAACCTAGCTAAATTAGACAAAGATGCAACATCAATGTAGTCTTCAGTAGCCAAGAACATATCAATTGTAATTTGATTCTTGTTGCAGTCAATTGTAAAATTTTTGTAAAAAGCATCTTGACAGCTTAGCAGCTGGGATGCTTCCTTTGGGGTGTTGGCAACACCTGCTTCGCTTCTTTTTTGCAACTTTCCTACACCTAGACTAGGGATGGTGGAAGCAACGACAACAATTTTGCCACCAACAGCCTTGATAAGATTGAAAGCTGCTTTTAAAGCAGGACCTAGGGCTAGTTTGGACATGATATTGTACTGGAAAATTTCGGGTAGTTGGTTCAGTAGCTTTTCGATGTTAGATCTGCAGTCTTGCAGTGAAACGTACATCGAGCTTGGCATTGGCAAGAAGGGCTCATCCAAATCAACCACATCCATCATCTTTATTTGATCACCGTCTTCGTCAAGAGGAATTGCGAAGTAGTGGATGGAACTATCAACAGCCAAGATGGTGATTCTGGTTCTTTGATCATGGTTTGGAATCGAGTCCAAAGTCTCAAGCAAAGTTCTAGCGGCAGTGGCCAGCAAACCATTCTTAATTGCGCTCTGAGACACGTCGAGAACAAACGCGTAGGACGAAGGTGGAGGCTGTCTGGCGGCGTATTCCTTTGGTGCCAAGTACTCCACCACCGCGTGTTGCATTTCGTTCCTTTCGTATCGGTTAACAGGCAAACCTTGCTGAGAGGCGTCAAATGCCATTGGAACATCGTTGGCAAGGTTACAGAAGTTACATCTCCATCTGCGACCGCCGTCGACAAAAGTGACGAAAGGGTTAATATAAGAGCGACAACGACGACACCTGACCACCAGCCCATCTGTGTTAAGTGGAACGTTACTGTCAGAGTCCTGAAGAGTCAAATAGGGCCTTATCACCAAACCAAATGGTAGTTTACTTTTTTTCAGCAACGAGTTTGATTTGGGAACCGAATTCAACGTGGAGCGCACGAAGTCCGGTGGAGCGTTAGCAGTTTCAACTGGAACCACAAATTTTTCAGGTGGTACCATTAGTGGTGGAGGAGGCAGGTCCAGATCCGAGACGGGAGGAGGCAGCTCAGTCAACAGATCAATTGGATACAACTGGTTCATGGGCCTGCCCACGGAGACCGGCTGCTGCTGCTGCTGCTGTCCATAGCCTGCACCAGCTTGTGGGCCATACAGGGTTCCACCGCCGACGTTTGGATACTGGGAATCGCCAACTTGTTGTCCCACACCACCAATTCCCGCGGTCTGCGCCAAGTTTGGGTCCAAAATCGGAACATTGTGAAGTTGCATGCCTCCCATTGCCTGTGAAGCCTGATCCACCTGCTGGTGCAGCTGTTGTTGCAATTGTTGCTGTGCCGGCGTCAAAAATTGAGCTTGTTGGTGCGTCACTGGTGTTTCCACTTGGGATGCCAAATTCGAGCCCAAAATAGGCGAATTGGACGCCCCAACACCCTGACCATAGTTCGGCTGCTGTTGCGGATACACACGCTTCCTATGAGACATCTCTAACGCGTAGAATATGGTGTTTTTACGCCGTGAAATGCGTTGTTGATGTTTACGGTTGATGTTCGAAAGCTAAGGTTTGCCATTGCCACCTGTCTTTTTTTTAAGATTGGAAAGGGCACGAGATCGACGACTGGATAAATGGGTAGACTAATGAGTAAAGAAACAAGTAGAAGCTCGAAAAGAAAATGGACTGGGTAAACGAGTAGCTGACGCGGAGTTTTGAAATATTTAAATTAGGTAGTGTTAGCCATATAAGATTCGAAAACAGCTTTACCTAGCTCGAGAGTTGTCGACAGCTACATTCACCCGCAAATCCAGCGTGAAAGACTTAGTATTGCGCCCTATCCGTACTAGTTGTCTTGACGTTTGTGCGCCACACTTTCTTGTGAGCATTGGTCGTTGGTCCTAAGGAAACTACCAAAAATGGGTGAAATTTCATTGTATAATGCCGTAGATGGCAGTGAGACGTTTTCACCCTGCTGCATTATCCATGGGAAAGTCAGCAAGCCACAAACATCTGTTGTGGAGGTGCGTAATCTTGAGTTTCCCCCCTTGCGGTTTCCTGTCAATGCCTCTGTTTTCAAATGTGTCGTTATGTTGAGTCCCGGAGAGAATAAACTTACCTTCACTAGTGACCAGGGCGAACGAAAGACAATCACGTTGCGATACACATCACTATCGCAGAATTTGCCCATTCACATGTGTCTTTTGGTGGCCAAAGACTCGCCGCTGGTTTTCGACTCACCACGTTCCCAGCGGGACAAAGAAGGGGGGAACAACCTGGAACTTGCCTGTCGTAAGCTTAGAGTGGGTACTAGGTTAATGCAGGCGTTCACAGCCGAGCAAATGCTACGCAATGGGTTTGGGCCCCGTACTTTCGGTGTGGTGGAAGAATATGCACTTGACACTTCATTTCAGAACTCTTGCATGCGCAATAGGGTCAAGATCCATATCGTGCGTTCCGACAAAACCGTGAAAGAGCTACGGGATCCAAATTTGGCTCAACAGAATCCCAATGCTTCGGACGCGGGTGGGCTATTTGGTATCGCCATGGATGCCTTGCGCAACTATGGAGGTCCTTTTGCGTGCCACGATGGAAACCCCGTGCAAGCTGCAGTAATGTTTCTAGATACGCATTGGGATCCCAAATTGAAGCTGATCACAGCACATGCAGCCTTAGGTGGTGGTGATGACCATATCAAACTCGCTATCTTTGGATCGCATGGCCTTTACTCCTGGCCAACTTGTATGGAAAGCGTAATCTCGTATTTTACTGACGAGACTCGCTGTTCCGAATCTGAAGTCGCAAATGACTCCAGAGACTGTGGATCTCATTGGGAATGCTTTACTTTAACGTTAGGCGCTTTCATGCACGAAATCGGCCATCTTTTAGGCAGTCCTCACCAAGAACATGGTGTTATGCTTCGTGATTATGTTCGACTCAATCGCTCATTTCTTACCAAGGAGGCTTTTTCAACGAGAACTAATTCAAATGGCGCTTCACCTCCCATATATCCAAGGGAAGAATGCGCGTGGCATAGAATTGATGCACTAAAGTTTTTGAACCATCCTTCATTCACGACCCCACAGGACTACGCCGATAGCTCTCTGATGCGGCCCTCAGTAATTGGTGGTCATAAAATTTCTTCCCCTTCTGTTTATGTGCTTCCTAACAACTGCTGTTTGCTTAGATCTGAAAGTGGCATATTCTGTGTTCAATTGATATGCGGAGATCTAGCACGCGCATTCATTGAATACCTTCCAATATCCATAGGCGGTACGGGCCCTCAAAAGGAAATTTTGTTATCCCTGGACGATTTAAGATCTCGCATCCCACCTGAGCAGCTCGCAGAGTATCGTGATACGTTTAAGTTGAAAGTCTGCGCTCTGAACTCTCCAGAGGCCGAATGGGAATCGTTCCCGCAATTTCTACAAGCGCCACAAATATCAATGGCTCGATACGGCTTCTCTTCTAATGTTATGGGCATGAAGTCAGTTCTATACGGTTCAGCTGAAGGGGGAGATGATGCTGGAATAGTTGCATTCGATGGTACCAAGGTTGGGTGTGTGAGAGTTTACCACGGTGCAGCGCTCGATGGCCTTAGATTTTTTTTAAACAGGGAGAATGTTGATGCCAAACCGCCTCCTGTTCCACCTAGATCCTACATGAGTAAAATCACCAACGCCATGAAAAGCGTCCAAACACAAGGTAGAGGTGGGCCTAGTGTACTATTCGGTCATGAAACAAACTCATACACGGATATTTTCCTGGACAACGACGAGTATTTTCGTGGTTTCGACATTCGATCTGGCTGTTATATAGATGGAATAGGCATCATAACCAATAAGCATCGTTCCGGGAAAATTATGGGGAATGCAAATGGAGGAAGTGGACATCAAATTTTAGTACCGGGTGGCCAAGAAATCCTAGGTGTTTTCGGGAGAGTAGGCCAATGGGTAGACGCTTTGGGTGTTGTTTACGGCACACTTCAGTAGTCAATTTCGTTCCATGTCATTAAAGATAAAAGACTATACAAACGCACAAATTACAGTCAATAAATAAGAGTAGTCTGCCTCCAATTCGTTAGCCACTGCTAAGTCTGCGTCTCCATGGTGATTTAAAATTCGCTCTGACTTCTGCTCATTTGTGCAGGTCTGGTTGCGACGCCTCTTTGAGGCTCTGCTATCCCCAGTCGAGCCAGCTTTTCATTAAGTTTACTGATTTCGATGTTTTGACGTGCACCGCCTACAATTGGTGGTGTCGAAATAGAGCGGTTTTCCCCCTCAGTCCAGCTGTCTAGTCCTCTAGCCAGTCTACTGGAGCTAGGACGGTGCGATGTTTGAGGTCTTAGGCTGGGCCTTGCAATAGAAGTTCCCCCGCCTACCACTGGGAAACGCTGGGATGCGCTACCAGCTTTTAGAGAAGAGTTTTTGGTCAAGTTGGTAGCATTTGCATTACTCGTCAAAAACTCACCTTTTGTATTAGCCACGCTGGGCGGTGCAGTGGGAACTATGGAGTATCTTCTCTCGGAATGAACCAGTCCAATTTCCTTTACCTTCATTGTGTTGAGCTCATTCTGGGGAACTTTGAAAAACGAGTCTTTGCCTTCATCGTATTCGTAAAGTGACCACGTAACACCATATGGCTTGGGCTCTAAACAGTAGACACAATGCAGAGGAATGTCAAGGTTTGCTATTATGTCTCGACTCAGATTGAGAAAGTAGCCTAAAAGAACGCGAGCAACGACTCGATGTGTGATTATCAAAACATTCTCTTTTATCCTCTCAATTTCCGTTATAACGGGCCTCAGACGATTGATAACGTCCATGTATGATTCGCCGCCTATCCCCGGGTATCTATACCTTAGCTTGTCATTGAGCCTTTCTTCGAACTCGGCCGGATGCTTGGCTTGTATCGAGGCATATGTCAATCCCTCACAATCCCCTGCACTCAGTTCATCCAGCATTCGCATTTGTTTATTAGGATAGTCGTCTTCGTTAAAGTAATCACCCGACTCAATTGCTCGCCTCAGCATCGACGTCCATACGAAAAATTCCGTTGCACTGAAATTCTTTGTGTCTTCGTGATCTTCCAGGTAAAGTTTCATTTCATTTTCTGTGAAGATGGCGCGCTGTTCATCGATGAAGCGAGCGAGAGCTTTGGCGTATCGTTTACCCCTAGGTGTTAGGTCCGAGTCACCACCTATTTTGCCTTGAACATTATACTCACTTTCACCATTTCTCGTAATCCAAATCTGCCTCTCCGCCAAATTGAAATTCAAAAGGTAGTATACTGTTTGAGAGGCCAAAAACCCTTGAATGTTGTAAGAGATGACCTTTTTGCCAACGTCGATCATCTTGATGTACTGCAAATTTTCATCATCTTCAACCTGCTCGTAGGCCTGCATGTAGTTCGCGAGCCTCTCCTTAAAATCATGTAAAGAAGTTTCTGGATCTTTACCCTTGTAGTCGGGACCAAATAGTTTGAGTTTGATATTTTTTTCCACCGTTGTCTTGTCAGAACACACACTTTCTAGGTAGAGCACCTTGATCTGGTTGTTACGAGAGTAGATCTTTTCCAACACCTTTCTACGCCTGCTTTTCGTCGAATTGGTGGCATCGAATATTCCCACAGAACCTGGACCGTCTAAAAGATAATCCAAAAGCTGATCCAAAGTATCCATTGCCCATTTTTCCCGCAAAGCCTTACTTTCTGGATTGGATGGGTCAAAAAAATTGGAATCTTGGTCTTGTAGGTTGTGGTCCTTGGCGAATTGACGTCTGGTGTTTCCCACATTGAAAACTTTACAGTAATACATCGAGTAGTTTAGAAAACGCGACAACTTGTTGGTGATGAAAGACTTTCCCGTAGCGGGTAGCCCTACCATTACAATCACCAGTTTCGAGCCCGGGTCTTTGCTGGAAATGGTGCCGTCCGGCGAAGTGCGCGACTTGGTCAATCCCGGTACGTCAATGGTTGTAGGCCGTACTTTAGGATGTATGAACTGTGAGTGACTTGAGGCTGTGGATCCATTGTCCTCTTCGTATTTGTCGTGCAGTTGTTGCAGATCAGTTGAGCTGTTTCGAGGTGAAGGGATGGGAGTCGAGTCCTGTGAGTTTTCTTCAGAGTCGTTTGGTGAATTCCAGTAAGATCCTACGGGCGTATCACTCAGTGGTCGTTTCTGAAATATTGGTAGCTCATAGCTATCATCGTTGGGACAAGCAGGCTCGCCAGATTCCGTTTTGATATCTAGACGAACATGCTTTTCAACATCATCGCTCGCTTTGTGAGGCGTTTCCAAAGGTTCTACCTCCGAATCTGAACTTCCAGCTGATACGTTATTGGAAAATTGAACCGGCTTGAACATTTCAACATAGAATGTGTAAGCTGGACAGTGACTGGAGAGCCTGTTTTAGGGATTTGATGAGTTTTGTAGATCAATTGCTAAAGTTTGGGCTTCGCTTAAGCGAAACTATATATTATACCAGTGATGGATTCAATTTAAAAACATAATATTACGAGTCACCAAATACGAGAGGCACCAACTTTGAATTTACCGTCGTTTTCGAAGCTGAGGGTCAGCTCGGTTCAAAAGACTTGTGAAGCAGACGTGAATTAGTGATGGCAACATAACTGGGGTATAATTCTGTCTATTTACCCAGCGTCAAGTCTATCTTAAGGTCATGATACATCACGTGATCTGACGACAGCGTCAGAATGATACTTCATATTTTAAGCCAGAACGTTCATTACACGAAGAAACTCCAGGGGAAAGGTCTCTTGTTGAGACTGCATTTATTCATGCTCTATATATTTAGCGCCAGATTCATTAACATAAGCACGTGACACAAGACAGCTACAGAATCCCACAGTATAAGTAAGAAACACTTGGCCAAGCTACACCAGTCTTCAGCCCTGAACTGAATGTGCAGTATCCAAGGCACCAAGATTCAGCAGACTATATATTCTTCAATACACTCGGTGTAATACGAGAAATCTCACTTATCGGATATCTAAACTGAGAATCTGAACCCACGTTCTATAGATGACATTATCAAGGTTCAAACAGCTGCTTTACTAAAGCACCCTAGTCTCACAAAGAGTTTAAACAGTGCTTATTACTTACAATTCTATTCATTACAAAGTCAAGCCACAATTGCAACAAGAAAGCAAGGCATGGTAAAGTTTTTCGGGACCATGGAACTCCTTTTAGTAACACTAGCATTGCAGCGTTGTTCCACGGAAGTGGAACGTTGACTAATTGTCTGGTTGATTCCGATCCTCAAGCTTTCCTGGTGGCGGTACACATTTCTAAGAAGTTACTACTAATCATGTCTTAAAACAACATATGAAAGATCGCTATAGCTATTTACTGACGTCGCATCTGCGGATTTTGAACGGACTAAAGATAAATTGGCCATAATCCGCCTGCTTATGAGTTTGTAATAGCCAAGTGACCAGCGTCTTCCGCGGGAAGACACTTTGACCAAACGAGAACTACCAAGCTCGTGTAAAACCTATAAAAGGGGCAAGATGATATTGTTACAGCTACCGAAATCATTTGAATTTGGGGTTCTCTCCCAAGTAGGTCAATTCAACTCCATCTCGAATTTCCGTTAAAAAAAAAAAAAAAATAAAACAAAATGTCCAAGTCGTACTTCATTTCTGGTGCTAACCGTGGTATCGGATTCGCCCTTGTCAAGGTACTCAGTGCTGAATCTAAGAACACTGTGGTAGCCGGTGTCCGTAACGTGGACGGCGCTGGTGAATTGAAAAAATGGGCTGACGTGCACACTAACGTGAAAATTGTGTCGTTAGACGTTTCCACTGCAGAAAGCAACGAAAAGGCTGCCAAGGAAGTTGCAAGTATTTTACCTGATGGCCTTGACGTGCTGATAGCAAATGCGGGCATTGCAAACTCAGCAGGAGCAACCATTTTGGAGAGTGCTGACGTTTCGTACTACGAACATTTCACAGTCAACACTGTGGGTCCAATCAGACTTCTTCGTGCTTTCAAATCTCTGCTGGACAAGAAGTCAACCAAGCACTTTGCGGTGGTGTCTTCAGCAGCTGGCTCTCTTGTCAGCAACATCAACTTTCCCTTATCTACCTCTTCCTACGGTTTATCAAAGGCTGGCATTGATTTTGCAATCATCAATTTGAACAGAGAATTGGGTCCCGAAGGCTACAAGGTCGTGGCTTTACACCCTGGTGTTGTCAGCACCGATATGGGTAAAAAGGCTTTGAACGACGAAAGGTTTAAGGACGTGCTTGATGAAGTGAGCGAGCAATTCCCAATCATCACACCCGAAGAGTCTGCAGAAGCAATCAACAAGAACATTTTAGAAAAACTGCCCGAAATTGCTGGTAAATTTATTTCCTACGACGGGACTGAGGTTCCATGGTAGCAGGATCGCAAATCGTAGTTAAGAATATGTAGGGTATATCCCATATTGTGACACACCACTATAAGAGATTTCCGAATCCAAGCAAAATTGGAGCGCGTGAATCATATGTCCTTACCTTTTTGCTTACCTGCCAGTTGCTAAATTACAATTTTCGTTCCCAAGGTCTCGATGACCTTCCATGCCTCGAGCCTGTGTTCCATGCATTTAAATTGAAGATCTGTGCATGATCGAAAGTGCTTTCTTACGAATCGAAACTTTCAACCAGATAAGGATAATATCCTAATATTCGGAGATCCGTTAGGTTTACTCCACCCGGAATACCACGCAAAACGGCTGGGCATGTTATAATTGTTAAGTAAGAAGCAAGTTTGCATGTATCATCGACTCGAAAAGTATCTAAAGGTGTCACCTCATGGCTTCATGGCATCATTTTGGCAGTAGGAACGAGCTTAAGGACCCGTTTAGGACAAAACGGATCCTTTGACAGACCCTGTTTTTGCGATTTATTTAAGCCTCGTCAAGAACTGTTTTTACCCGTGGTTGAGACTCTGTCTGTAAGCTACCGTTGCACGAAAAAGGGCTCAAACTGTTGGCGATAATTTCCATTGAAATTAGGGTGATATGCTCAGGTTGAAATGGCCAATGCGCATCTGGGAGTTAACCGTCTAGGCTGACTAGACTATTTCGTTTCGTACAGTTAAGAAATATTGCCCCCTTTGACACAATGAATATTTCCACTGAGATATGGGCCCGACGACGAAAAATTACACTATCACAGAAAAGATTTCTTTGCCCTCATGGTATCCCCAGTATGTTTGACTTTGTAGTTATCAGGAGACAATGTAGATTGTAGTTGTTTCAATAGTTCTCGTGCTTTCATTTTGGCACGTGATGTATGGTAGCTTTGACACGAGAATGACGCTGGGTAGATAGAGGTTCCGAAGTTGATTGTATGCGTCTGTAAAAGTTCAGGCATGTTATCATCTGTTGTAGTCACCAGGCACCTAATATTTTGTTTCAAGAACGGGGGCACTGGGTAGGGGAGTTTTTCGCAGATAGGTTTCGTTTTTCGCAGATAGGTTTCGTTTTCTCCTCAAGTCGAACAGGAAGTCGAAGCTTATTCAGAAAAAAACTGCCTAGCTGCCGGAGCTGCTTAAACCTGTCTCCTTTATTCAACCCTTTTGTCACTGTCGTCACCATCCATGATCACGTGTATCCTGCTCTTTACATTAAATGCCTACTACAAATTGCATTTCGAGCTCATCGCATCACTACTCTATCCACTCCACATTCTGAGCTGCTCCGACTTTGATGGTTCGAAGGTTTCACACAGTAGGAAAGACACTACGTCGTGCTTTACCTCATGCAAATAATGCCAAAACGGCGACGCCTCCTCCATCATCGTTAGGAAAACACATATATGAACGAGCAGGACAAGTAGAGCCAGGTTTAGAAATTAAGTCTCTATCAGAGATAGAAGCTGGACTCAAGGAGCGTTACTACAATAACTATTTGGTTCCATCGAGGGATTGGTGCAAACATAATGAAATCAATTGGTCGGGCATGAAAGATTGTTTGAACATGGATCTTCGTTCACTTTCTATCAAGCACCAGAAAAACCTGCAATGGTACATAGACGATAATCTCTTCGATCCAAAAAAACGCCAGTTTCTTATCTTTCCTGAACAACTTCTACAGAAGCCCCTAAGTGTCGGAGATGTGGTGCTACTCCGATCAAACCCATCACAATTGTGCATGTGCGTCGAGGTGCCAACTGACGTGCTAAACCCAAGTTACGCTTTCGCAACTACCGATGGCCATATTAAGTTTGGGATGCGCAACATGGTTCTTTTGAGAATGCCATCATTTCACCATAAATCTGTCGACTACCTCATTCGTCCGGAGAATCCATATCAGGAAACGCGAGTAGGCACGGTAAAGGACGATCCGCAAAAAACGTACATCTTGCCGGTTCTAGCACGCTTATTATACACATCATATGTTCCTTTTGAGATCACAAAGGAGGCATGGAGACGGATGTCAAGCGTTACTAAAAAACTGGAACTTCTGCATAGATTTCTGCAACGCAGCTCCGGGCCATGGCAGGTGTCAATGTTCAAATTGTGCGAGTTAGTGACGCTTATAGATCTGGACAAAAGCCGCTCATCGCCTACTAATGAGTATGTCGAAGAACTACTCGCCAAAGCAGATGTCATACCGTATAATAATCTCACACCACAGAAAGCCACGACGCCAGAAAAAAAGAGCTTTGTTGATGCTGCTACATTTCTTGCAACATACTGGGCCGTGGTTCAGCAACAGGAGCATAATTTATGGGGTGAAATTCATCTCCATAGAGCGATGCTGACACCTATATGTGTTACTGTATTGCCCTTAAGAACGCACCACCTCTATTACGATTCCGTCCTCAAAGAACTAAAAAAAAACAACTACTCAGAGCTCTCGAGATTTGCTTACCACGTCAATTCCAATGATGTAAAAACGGCTAAAGACGAGTTTCCCAAAATTGTCCGATTGCTGCAAGATTATGCTGCTGGAAATTTCCCCAATAACGGCGCTATTGTTGCCATGGTCTCGAGGCTTTTCCGAAAAATTGAAGATTACAAGAGCAGGGATATTACTAGAGACTTGTGCCATTCTCTACTGCAAAAACTGGAGCCAGGATCGGTTGTCAATCCGTTATTACTCAACGATAATATCACAGCTCCAATCAATTCTGGAAAACGCTCTCTCGATCAAAAAACTTTCGATTTGGTAGCCCCAATAAAGCATCGAAACGTATCTCAGAGGCATAATTTTGGGGATATGAATGTTTATTGTATTGACTCAGAAGACGCTCATGAAATTGATGACGGTATATCGGTCGAAGTCAAAAGCTCCACCAAGTTTGGACTTCATATTCATATTGCTGATCCTACCCCATTGTTTGCCGATAGTATACAAAAATGCCCAGAGAACGAAATCTGGAAGGTTGCATTTGAACGAAGCTTTACCAGCTATCTTCCTGACTGTGTGACCCCAATGCTGCCGAAAGCATTCAGTAAAGCAGGGGATCTTGGTCGCGACGGATTTTCATCTAAAACCCTGTCCTTTTCGGTGGATGTTGAGTATCGAGGAGATCGATTAGATATTCTAAACGATACTTTTCAAATTCGAAAGGGTGTGGTTTCTAAATTTCCAAAAGTAACGTACAGGAGCGTAGATCAATTGTTGATGGCAAAAGGGAACACAACTGAAGAAAAGCGAGAGCTATCTCAAATCCTCAAAATTGCGACGATGTTGCGGAAAAAAAGAGTAGAAGAAGAGGACGCGATCATTTTTGGTGAGGGTTTCAATAAGGGCCTGGTCAAGATCGAAGCGGATGGAAAAGAGAATAATCAACCCCGTATTTTTTTTGTGGATCAAGTAGAAAGTGCTTCTACGCTGATGGTGTCCGAAATGATGATTTTAGCAAACACGCTTTCCGGGAAGTACTTTTGTGACAAAAATCTTCCGGGTGTCTTTCGCTGCTATCAGGAGCTGATCTTGAAGGATAAGGCTTTGCAAGATTATGACTCGTTGCGAACCATGACACAATCCCAAAAACTACCCTCTGTGACAGACATAGCGAAACTGTCATCATTTCTGAACTCCAGTTACTACACCGGTAAGGCAGCAAGACACCAAATGATCGGCGCACCTGCCTACTTGACGGTGACGTCGCCTTTGAGGAGGTTCCCAGATCTGGTTAACCATCTTCAACTCCATGCACATTTGAACGGGGAACAACTACGATTCACACAAAGCGATATCGACCGAATGATATGGCACATTCAAGAACGCGATGTTGTACTGAAAAAAACTGCCCAACAGTGCGCTGCTTTCTGGACTCTCAAATATCTGAAGTCGAAGCAAAACGAAGATCCAGCCTTCAGTATATCTGTTATGGTGACATCTGTTCCACAAATGGGATATGTGCGATGCATGGTACCCGATCTCAGCGCTGCTCGAGGAAGTTTAAAACTGCGCCCAGATGTTTTTTCCAAATGGGCCATCGGCGAAACGGTGACCAATTGCAAAATCAAAAGCATAGACTGTCTACAAGGCACAATGGAACTAGAAATGCGGTGATTATGAACCACAAAATTTAAAAACTACTGTAAATAATCTATTATAGCATTTGATAGACGCTTAGATGTATCCGGTCGATTTATCACGGGTACCTTCCATCTGCGCCCATCCTCCTGTCGCCAGCGTTCATCAGGCTGGCCTTAGATCTGTACTCGCGCGAAAGCTCAAGTACAGATAAATTCGAGATCCATTAATTTTTGTAATGGGTAATTCTAAACATATCAAAGAAACATAGACCTTCATAGTTAGATCGCTGACATCGAATCCAATTCCGGTACAGAACATTGAAACGTCTCCGTAGAACGTGTCGCTGATAAATCTGTTGGAGAAAACGAGAAAAGGCGCTTTTTTTTAACCGTTTTTGAGTATTCGTACGCTTATTTTCGTAAACAAAGGATACCGTTGTTGAGTCATTGAATAGGTTTATTCAACGTCTAGTCAAACATTGAGTGCTCAAAACATCATTTCGGTTATAGAAAACGGTGAAGTTAGCAGTGTGACTTTTTTGGTAGAATATCGCACAATCCTGGTTTCCAAACTTGTTTTTGATTGAACCTTGGGATGATGAACTATCCAACACCAAATATGTACCACTCGCCCCAATTCCAACCGCATAATAATTTCCCAAACAATGTGGTGTATCTTCCAGCACCAGGACCACCCCATATGATGCCTGTTTACGCCATGCCCGCGTTGAATAACCAACAATATGCGGCCTATCACATGGGGAATAATAACGGCGGTTCAAATGGCGGCGGCCAAAACAGAGGCGAAAGACGCACTTTGAAGAACACGAGTCCGTTGAGACGCTCATTGGCTATGAATAACAATGGTGCCGGTGGCAGAAGCGGGCCTTCAACCAGAACGCCGCATTCACCAGCCCAGAGTGCTGCCAACGGACCAGAGTACACAGAGGTGAAGTCTATTGACGACATTAAACCTGCAGAACAGCAAGAAACTGATCTTGAAACTAGGTACACTAAGATGTTTGATCAGGACGTGGGACTGCGTTCCAAAAGCTCTGGTGTAACAACCGCCCGCACCCAAGTTTACAAGGTATCGGAACTCCCCTTAACACAACCAGCCTCGATGAGTGACATTTTCATGAGGGATCTTATAGAGACGAAACGAGAAGCCTACCATGAAAAGCAACCACTGGGACCCACGGATGATCCTGAATACCAAGTGCAGGCGCTGGCAGATCTCCCGGATGCGGTGGAACGCTTTACTTCTGCGAAACGCACCTCAAAGCAAGACCGGACCGCTAAACCGTCCGCGAAAGACTCCAGAGCCAACCCCTTGGCACGCGTGGCATTTCAGGAGCCGATCGACGCAAATGACAGTGTTGATCTGAGCTTTGACGGTAAGGCTATGAACAGAAGCGATGTATTCAAAATTGTCGATTCTTTTTACCAAGTTCCTGGGGAAACCTCGGACAACGACGACGAACACGAAAACGGGAACGAGGAACCATCCTCAGGATTTGCTAACGTTTCTATCTTACCACCGGAAATGACTTTCCGATGACTTGCTGCCATTCAATACGTTTGCCGATCCCGAACCCAATACGAACACACAAGACGCACAACCTACAAAAATCAACCAAAATGCAATTATTCCTTTATTCTCTGGTAAAAACTCGCTATTTACAGATAGATGTTTGCGCTAGATCCTCTTCTCCACTGTGAAGCCCGGATTCGACTTCCGCAGCTCACGTTGTTGCTCGGGCGATAGTGCTTGTTCTGTCACCTCCACACTGACAACTTCTTTGATCTTGGCAATCGACCCCGCTATCGACGGGCTCACTTTCCGATATACTACAGAGCCAGTTTTGCCCAACCCCAAGCTTGAAGCGATGTTTTTGGTTGCTTGAGGAAGTCCAATGGTCGACCTTGAAAGTGTTATTTTATAGAAAACCATGGTCTTTATGGCCAGTCAACGCAGGATGGATAATGGCCGACAGTTGTAGACGCAGTAAACTGTGGTTAGAAGATCAACCGCTAACCTTATGGGAACTTCGAGCTATTGGTCGATGAAGTTCGCACTCAGAAGTGATTCTTTTACTAGAGTGTGGATTTTTCATTTACAGTCTCCGTACAAAAGAACAAAACATACCAAGGACACGTGTTAAGATATCAGCCGAGAGTCATGTGACATTTTTGTCACATGACCTACGATGACGAAATTTTGACATCAACACTTTGGACCCCGGTTAAAGGTCCAAAACTCTGAGTTTATCCAAAATTACCACCGAGTGCAAAACCCTCAATCCGTTTCCTTCTACGTTGTCACTTCTAGTTTGTCGATTTGTCTCGAACTCCAAGTAATGTCCATGGATGAACAAAAACTGGCAGAGTCCATCAACACGCAGATCGAACAAGATAAAGGTAAGCATAATCATGCTAAGAAGAAGCACGGGAAATCCCAAAAAAATGGTGGTAAGGGGTCAAAGGTAAGTGCAGAGCACATTGCAGAGGTACGAGCGCAGCGTGAGTTGGCTAAGAAGGCCAAACGGGATGCAATGATCGCTAAAGGTTTAGATCCAGACGCTCCCCCAGATCTTCAATTCATCCGCAGACCAATGCTATCTCTCGTGCCCAAAAATACACCCAGCACTGGGTTTTCATTCCGTCTCATGACATATAATTGTCTTGCTCAGGCATTGATTCGCCGCAAGCTATTTCCCACGAGCGGTAATGCGTTGAAATGGTTCAAGCGCTCGCAGGTTCTTCTTCATGAATTCAAGTACTATAATGCCGATGTTCACTGCTTGCAAGAGGTGGACTATATCCAGTATCAGTCTTTCTGGAAAGAAGAATTCTCAAAGATGGGCTACGACTCCCAATTCCATCGGCACGGAACCAAAAATCACGGCATTGCGATAGTATGGAAGCGCGAGCTTTTCACCATGTCGGATAAGATGCTTGTAGATTATGACAAGGAAGAAGCAGGTCACATCTCTCCAAGAACAACTACAAAAAACGTGGGTTTGGTGTTGGCATTAAATTTCACCCAGAAAGTACTCGATAAATTTCCAAACAGCCGCAAACGTGGAATTCTTGTCGGTACGACACATCTATTTTGGCATCCATTTGGAACATTTGAAAGAGCTCGCCAATGTTACGTGGTTTTAGCTAAGATGAAGGAGTTTGAGCACCGCGTCAACCTACTTCAGAACTCAGATGGAGCGCAAGGTGGTTGGACGCCTTTTTTCTGCGGAGACTTCAATTCGCAGCCTTTCGATGCGCCTTATCTATCGATGTGCTCGAAACCCGTTGCTTATAAAGGCCGCGCCAAGACTGTCATCCAATGTAGTACCTCTTACACCTTTTCGAAAGCTCGCGATGGGGAAGAATGCGACGATGAAGAAGGCGGAAATATCGAGAAATTTGGTGACGGCCAGCCAGAGCATCCAGTTCCTTCTGAGTTTGCTGCAAATGACGAACAGAGAAGCTTAGTCGAACGCATGGAATCACTTCATAATAGCCTTGATATGAGGGCCACGTCCATTTATTCGGCTGCGTATAAACATGTCCATGTGGAAAATGCAGGGTTGGACAACGACTTTGACGAACCAGAAATATCTAATTGGGCAGAAACTTGGAGAGGGCTCTTAGACTACATATTTGTCATTCGAAAGTGGGACTTTTCAGATAAAACAACCCCTGATGACATAGATGATCTCGAAAAGGCCGCTGGCATTACAATCAAGAGTTTATTGCGGATGCCGTCTTCTAGAGAAATGCCCAAGCACGGACAACCGCATGAGGGAGAATACGGAAGTGACCATTTGTCGATGATGTGTGAAATTGAACTAGTTATGTAAACCGTATACACTACGCACTGGTGGCCTTTCGGCACCAGAATTACATCAAAATTGTAAGACCTGCTCACCGTAGTATCTACTTTTTTCTTGACTTTTTGGATCCTTCTAGAGGCTCAAGCTCCTGGTTGTACTCCTTGTTGTACACGCTATTCCAAGCTTTCACATAGTTGCTGAGTCTTGCTTTTTCAGGATCTGTTGAATTCGCGGATTCCATAATCTTGTCGTGCACTTGCTGCAATTTTAAGAGTGTGTCATCTTCGCTCACTAATTGTTCCGCCTTATCGGGATTCTTACTGACCTCTATTTGCAACAAATGATCGTGTAGCAATCGGAAGTGTTTACGCAAAGTTGGATTGCAAAACTCTGAGGGTTTGTACGGGCGGCGGAGACTAAAATAACTGATCAATGTATCGGATATTTTGTACATCTGTGCATAGTTCTTACCGCTTGCGACTTCTTCGTAATTCGGTAACGTAGGTAATTTCCTTGTCTCATCTGCGAACGGTACTCTGGTGAGATAGAATCCCTCATTTGGATCCCGATAAGTGGAGGGACTCAGGACGTAAATTGATGGGTGAGAATTGTGTTTGAGTTTACCCCACACAATAGCGCATTTCATTTTCCTCGAGAGAACTCGATGAAGGGAAGCTAAAGTTTTGAAAGAGCCCACATATTTCGATTCATCTGGAACTACAAATACGCTACTGGAAATGTTATTGTAGAAAAATAGGCATTTGGCAGAGCTCCTGAAGCCCACGAGCTTCAGGAAAGATTCCTGCTCCGAAAAATCCTTGTTTATTTGAAGAAGCTCGTCATTGGAAAGCTCAATGTCAACCTCTGCAAATTTGTATACTTTGGCGGTTGAACTGGTAACGTCCTCTCCAGTGTTAGCATTCAAATACTTCCGTCGCGAACGCACTTCCTTGCGTAGACCGTTGTGATCGTAAACTTGTTTGTATTTCGTTCCTGTTCTTTCATGCGATATGACAGTGTAGCCCTTGAGAGAAACAACAAAGTCTTTTGCCTCGTCGAGAATCAATGGGCTTTGGAAGCGGATCCGTTTGATCTCCTTTTTCCGCAAGGCGCGCGCTTTGATCAAATTGGCGGAAATTGGTGCTGTACTGGGGCCTTCAAACTCGTAGCCAGAATCCAGGACTTTTTTCTTGGAGCCAAATTTGAGCACATCGCTGTAGAAACTTTCGTCAAAGGGTTTGTCGTCTGTTCCTATAAAAAAAGTGGTGAAATTGATATAGGAATCGTCCAAATCATCAGTTACTTTCCGTAGACGCTGGCGCGCATCAGAATCACTTGCCTCCTTCGGTTTATCGTTATCGGTGAACAGAAATATCTTTCTATTATTGTAGGGTTTTTGGCCTGGTATGTGTTGCAGAAATTGTTCTTGCAGCAAGACGAAAACTGTTTCCAAAGACGACGCATGCTTTTGATCGAAAGGAAACTCTTTCTCCACCGTTGTGGTCCCATTTTTGATATCTTCTATCAAGTCGTTCAGTTTCTTCATCGCTCTTACATTTACATCCAGCAAAGGCAGAAATTCGTAGATACCTCCTCGAGCACTCTCATGATTGCAATGGTAGAAAAAGCACCCAATTCCCGTTCCCGGCAATGTTATAATCACTTGTGACATAAGTTCCAGAAGCGTTTCCAAGATTTCGATAAGTTGAACGTTGTGCAATTCAGCAGGTCGTTCGAACATTGCATTGGAAAGCTCAATACAAAAGATAATACCCTCATGAACTTCGTATTTTCTGTAATTGCTCCCCGACTCAGGACCTTCATCATTGCCCGTTGGATGCTCCATTGAGGAAGACCAAACTGTTGTTATGATGTGTTGCGAGTTGTTATTTTATTTTGAACCTTATAGTTTAATCTATCAGGAAACTCATCTCATCTCATCTCATCGCTCAGATCTATAGAAATAAGTAAACGGAAAGAATATATATAAAGCCTTGAGATCAGTTTCACCACTAGTAACTGAACGCCCAATTATGCTGCAAGTCATTGATCTCAACGTTGTCACAAGTGAAGACGAATTGTCACCGATTATTCGGGATTGTTTAAGATATCATAGCGCTTTTCTGCTGAAAAACTATGCTAACATGGACGCAGTGCAATCACTGCTGTCCATGCTGAAAAGGGAGGAAACGCCGAACACTTTACATGGATTTGATAGGCATTTTACTGGTGCGGAGAACTTGGAAGGTGGAATATCCGTTGAACAATATCTGGGGCAGCCTGACCGCTTGAGTTTACGAGATTCTACTACTGGGAAACTGACCTCTAGACTGATGAGAATCTCAACATTTTTTGCAAAAGTGTGCTTGGAATCTGTTGGTGGGGCAAATGCAGCCTCGGCTTTAATAGGTGATGCCAGTAATTGCTGTGTCAAGGTAACGAGATTTTACAAATCCACCTCCAATTCTATCATGGATCTGAATTTTGACTACGAGGACGAGTATAGACTTCACAGCTCTGCTGGGATCATAACGGTGTTTCCAGCGGCCCAGGGAATCAAGTATAAAGTCAATGACGGATGGAAAGTGATCGAAGAGCCAGATTGTATTTTGATTCAAACTGGAAGCTTGTTGTCTCCCTATCCTAATAGCAGCACCCAGAATGTGGAAGCGATAAAGTTCCCTATGTCCAGCGTAATGCATTTCACAATATTCCCATTATTACACACTGCCTTTAGTTCTGAAACTGTTTTTGACGTCTTGCTACGCAACCAGATCCAAGAATTTCCACACATAATGTCAAAGCTGTACCCAAGAGAATCATCCATTGACGCTCTCACTGCAAAAGTTGAGTACTGTAAAAACATTTTCAACGTTACAGATTCCGTTCTGTCGCTCTACTCGATTTCAAGATCGCTAATGACTTCTGCTCCAGAGCTGTATACTTTGCTACCACAAATTTCCAACATGCTTAAGCGCAAGGTTTCGCAAGATGACTTTCTCCGAATGATGAGTATTTGGGATGAGGCCTACGCCTTGGAGTTTAATAACAGTTTCGAGATTACGATACGACCTCCCTCTGCTGGGATAATGAATCATCTGTCGAACAAGTCTCGAAAACTTGAATACACTGAAAGGGCGGACGAGTGGTTTCAACATGCCATAGAGACTGCCCAAATTCCATCTAATGTTCCCGTACTCAGTGTTAAGAAAAGACGAGGAAGTGACAGTCTTGGAAAATATCAAGAAACCGCCACCAATGGTGCCACTGCACCTTTTGATCGTAAGCTGGCTAGCTTGAAAAAAAATAGATCGAAGGGGTACCTTTTCAATACCAAAGAAAAGTTCATGTTCAAAGAAGGAATTTCTAATGCAGGGGATGTCTCTTTACTTGAAAGGATTCGTGAAAAAGAGCGAAAAGCAGCAGCTTTGCTTTCTCAAAGAGAACGCAATTATGAACAGTTTCTGAACGTTAAAACTTACCAGATATTCAACATTCTGTTCTCGCTGCCCCAAAATAAACCATACACCATCACACATTTAACATCGCTCATTATTGACAGCCTTTCTGACAGTAATAACCCTATTGGCGATAACGAAACACATCAGGTTCTCTCCCGCTTACAAAGTTTATTGCCAGACCGCATCAATATGATCGAAGCTGAGGGAAACTTGAAGGTGTACAGGTGGGTAGATCTTGATAAAGAATTGTTAGATGAAAGAATGAAGTACTTGGCATAAGAAGTGTCCATGTATGGGAATCTTAAGCACGTTCGTTGTCTTCGCACTTTTGAGTCATTTTTTGAAGGTCAAGATAGTGTCCATCTTCAAGTGACTGAATGACACAACTAGAATCGAAAAATTAAGACCAAACGTTATAGCGTACAGTTGTTAGGTTAGTGATCAAGCTTACCGACCTTCACCGAGATACGTAGTACAACCACCCCACCTATTACGAACAAACTAAACTGGCCCAGTACAATGGGAGGGCACGTTTTGGAAATTTTGTTTGGTCGAGAAGCGTGTTCGACTTAGGTGATTTTAGATAGAGTTCGCTGTGAGACCTTCTTTCACCTATGAGTGATAGGAACGGAACTGCAAAAGAATTTATCAACGTCAATATATTGGTTTACAGGAAAAATACATGAGTGACTTACTGTCATATTAGCTCCGTTGAGCTATGTCGGCGGCCTTGGAATCCATGAAGAGATACTTGAAAACCAGTTCTACTGCCCAACTTCCAAAGAAATCAACCAATAGTGTTCCTGTTAGCTTAACCTTGAATAAATCATCCATGGGCACGAACTTCATGGCAGCATTTAGCTCCGGTGAGAATTCAGTCGCTCCAGCAAGAGCCAATCCGCCGACACCAAGCAGTCCGTAGTACATTCCCTTGTTGCTTCTGATACTTTCCCTGAAAGGTTCTCCCTGGTAGTTTACTGCAAATGTCGAAACTTGTTGAGTCAATTGAATCATAAAGATACCGGTATTCAATAGAGAAGGAGAAAACTTCTTCTCCAAGTCAACTTGTGGCTCACGAGGCTCTATCTTGTAAATTTCCAACGTGATGTAAATCAGAGTGAGAATGTGAATGGCAAACTGACCTAAAATCGAACCCATGATATAGAAGTTGAAAATACCAGGCTGTGGTCTCAACTTCGAAAGTTTTTGCAATGGCTTACCACGAGAGATACTGAGGAAGCATACGGACAGTAGAAGGCCTGATGCAGTAGCTTGGCCATCGCCAAACTTAACACCAGCAAGGTAAATGATCGACAACGAATAAGCGCTGATCAAACAGTTCAAAGCCAAAATCTTGTACATCTGAATGGTATTAATTAATGCACAACGACCTTGTCTAACAATATTCGTGACCGCTGATACATTGGCTAGTTTGGAGGTAAAAGGGGCGGCGCAGGAAGCGTCCCCTAGTTTTAAAGTCGGGGCTTCTTCACCTTCAGCATCACCCAAAGAACCCATCACCATTTCCGCTAAGTCGCTAGCCTTCTGTTGCGAGGCATCGGCTTTTTTGGTAACAACCGGTTTGGTAGCTGCTTCAGCAGCCAACAGTTTCATTTCTTCCGTAACCTTGACTCCCTTCTTCTCAAGAGCTTTCAAGTAATGTGGATTTGATGGACCGGGTGGGTAAAGATGTGCAATCGGCTCTGGAACGGGAGGAGGCTGTTGATTCCACTTTTGCATGAACAGACACTGCTTCTCGTAAAGTAATTTTGCGGTATCAATACGGCGCTGGTCGTTCATTTTCTGTAATCCTTTCTCAGTACCGTTGAGCAAAGCGATACCAACGTGTGCTTGCTTCAAAGCACCGACGTCATTAGTACCATCACCACACATAAGAGTTTGATAACCCATGTCTCTCAGGGTGTTCAAAATGAATTCCTTCTGAGTAGGGGATACACGAGCATAAACCCAGGTGTTACGAATTAATTCTCTCAATTGAACATGTTCTGCCAAAACATTGAGGGCATACCCAGTGACAGCAATATCGTACCGGGCAAAAACCTCTGCGTGATCAAATTTGTCGCTAGCAGGATCGAATGGGATGGTGATGGTTTCACTCACATTTTTTAGAACCAACGTGTGCTTCGAGCCATCGGTAGGTTCATCAATGATCAAGCATTCCCGCTCCACAATTTTGACTTCTTTGGCTACGTGAACAGCAGTAAGTGGATTATCACCAGTGATCATAACACAACGGTGGGAAGATTCATTGAGCATTTCAATAGTTTCTGCTGCGTCGTCTTTGAGAGGACATTGAAACACCAGGAAACCTCTAAAGATGAGGTCGACTTCCACGTCCTTTCTGTCAAGGTTGTCGACTTGCTTTTTGGACAAGGCTCTGAGCTCTTTAGAAGCCAAAGCCAAGACTCGGGATCCTGAACGGGTGAAGTGCTTGTAAATATTGTCATAATTGGCAGGAACGGAAGTTAATCTATCGCGAATTGTCTCTGGAGCACCTTTCACCGCAGCAAATAACGAGTTTTTGTGCTTTGCAATACAAGATGATCTTTTTAAAGCAGACGAAAATTGGAACCGGCGCAAAATTTCAATTTGACCGACATTTTCCTTGCTGGTGGTGTCTTTTGCTCCAACTTTCCAGTCGAAGGCTCCCAGAGTCGCTTTTTCCATCGGGTCTCCCACGACTTCTCCATCGTCAAGTAAAACTAAAGCATGAGCAGCTCCAACAGCCAAGACAGTTTCGAAAGAGGCTTCGCCCGCAGAAGAAAGGGCATCCGCGCGTTCTGAGTCTCCAGCGATCCCAGCCAACCCTTCAAAAACCAAGTCTTCGCCAGTTAAAGTACCTGTTTTGTCAAAGCAGCAAACATCAATTCTTCCTGCCAAAGGAATTCTGAACGGCTCAGTGCAGTAAACATAAAACTTCGACAGAGCAGCCAAGGAGTTATTCACAGCCATTGTGAGTTCCATTGGCAATTCAGGAGGTACAACAGATGTGATAATTAAAATACAATCGACAATCAATTTGGACTGAATTCTTCCCATTCTAGTACCCTCGGTCCAAACATACCAAGAAGCGACGATTGCGAATACTAGCAGGAAAAGAATGAAGTAAAGAGCTTCCTTGTTTCCAACAGAAACACGCTCCGCAGAGTAAATCATGACTCTTACGAGAGAGCCTTGTGAAGTTTCAAAACCAGTCTTAGTCACCACAGCAAGGGCACCATTGTCAGGAGGGAGAGGAATACCGGAAAGCTTTTCTGGCACGTTCACTTGCAAAGCTTTAGTACCACCATGTAGCACTGAGTTCTTGTCCAGTCCCTCAATTTGCAACGGTTCATCGTGTGGACGTAATTTGACAGATTCTTTCAACAGAGGAGTAGATTCACCGGAAAGCATAGCTTCGTTTACAATGCAGGATCCCTCTACGAGTATAAGGTCGCATGGTAGGGCACTCTCTTCAGCAGTTCTGGTGACAGACACTAGATCCATAGGTAGAAGCTCGGTAGTGGACAGCTCTTGCCATTTGTTGTCACGGAACACATTGATGGGATAAGGTTTAACAGCCATCGTTCTAAATTCTTTGAGAGTAGTCAGTCTTTGGAAAACACTAGCCCCTTCCATGGCGACGATCATGAACAAATTAAATAGCGAGTAGTACCACAATTCGTCCAGCAACCACAGTCCGACGCAGAAAATTTGAAAAACGAAGAATGGAGCGACTGCATGCTCTTTGAAGAGCTCTGTAAATGAAGGAATAGGAATATCGAACGAATTGTCCCCATAAAGTCTTCTTGCGTGAGTAAGGTCACCCGAAAGGCCCTTCGAACTTTGAAAGACTTCGAGTTTTGGAGCTTCATCAACAGCGAACTTTGGGGTAGTAAAAACGCCAGTGTCGGTGTCAAGTAAAAATCTTTTCTTTTGGAATTGAAAAAACACTTGCAAATGACCGGCTTCTTGAACACGTCTGATCTCGACAATGTCATCCACACCGCTGTTTGCTGCAGTATGAATCAAAATGTGGGTGGCTTGATCTAGATCAGTTGCGGGTGTGTAGTCGAAACGACTTGCTAGATTGACGTTCCATTGTGGCAGGAGCAGAACCAAAATGTTCAACGACACCAATCCTCCCAGATATACGAACGTCCATTCACCTCCTCTGATGTACAGGTCATACTGTCTGAAATACAGGTGGGCGAAAGTGGCATAGAGTGGAAGAAACGGAAGCACGTAGGGCCTGAAAAGTTTGTCTTTTTGGTAAAGAAGCTTTGAGTCCTCTACGAGAGGACTCACAACTGGGGACGTCATTTCAGCCTTGATCTCGAGACGTATTCAAGAGTCTTCGAAAACTGAAGAAATAAACCAGTTGAAAAAATGGGCCTCTGGAAGTCTATTTCTTACTCTCGAATGCTTCGAACAGCACTGCGACTACAGGGTTACGATCTGAATCCGTGCATTGTTCAAGTGAAAGAGAAAAACGGCCATACCTTTTATATTCGCCACTCGTGTATAAATATCGTATTATACGAGGATTATTCGGTGACGTTTTAACCCATAAGAATTCTAGCGATCATCAAACCTGTTTCGAGACACTTTTGAATTTTTCACTAGGATTCGCTTTCTCTTTTTATCTGTCTCATATTTCTGGAACTTCACTATTGTTTTTAGGGGGTCTCTTCTGATTTGAAAAAAATCAGCATTTTGAAGTAGTCATTATCGTTAAGACTTTTACTGTACCAGAGTCTTAGGTGAGACATCATCCATGTAAGTCAGCTGTGCGTTTGTTTGTTTCTCGACCTGGACCAATACAATGATTTCTTGTTTAGCTTAAATTGAAAAGTTTTAACGAAGCCATGTTGACATCTCGGCTGAGTCCACAAGTAGAAGCCGTTTGTTACTTCCAGCAGCCTACAAAATACTAGTGGCTGGCTTTTAGTACTTAAATTGATGTAACGTATCCATCTTCTAGCTTATTTGCTCGTTGATCTTGCCAACATCATTGAGGCAAAGATCCATAAAAAAAGCTCCCCAAAACCAATAATCCCTCAAGCATAGTATTCAAGTAAAACGAAGACATGGGGTTTTCTATTTGGTTTCTATTTAAACCTAAAGGTCGTTTTCAATGCACTTGTAGTGGTATGTTTCGTTCTTAGTTCTAGTAGCCGCCCAAGTATATAATTTATATTACAAGCAAGTGAAATCATTTACTACGATTCATAGGGCGTCTGTATGTGTACGTGTCTTCATGGCCAAGATATGCAGTTAGTGGAAGCCCGGTCTGCTATTGAATGCCCTATTTTTCAACAAAGTACCATTCTTGTTATTTATATAATCCTGTATTTAGTAGCACAGGCTCATACCCTCCAGACTTTTTCTTCGGCTACCATCAGATTATTTCTATCGCTCATGATCTTAAGGCCAGCCAGATACTCGGGAGCGTTGAACTTATCCTCTTCGGCCAGGTCTTCGTTAACTTTATCCAGCAAGGAAGCCACCGGATAAGACTCATCTTCAAAAAGATCACTTTGCATCAATTGCGCCATGATGCCTGAGAAAAGAGACAGCCTACTGGTGGAAATAGATCCTGGCTCCATCGTGTCAGTGGATACAATCTCCTGGTCATGCTGAGGAGGGTCCGCGGCAAGCAAAGGTCTACTGTGAAAGTTCTCGGACGCCGAAAGGATTTGACGACCGTCTTCTGTGACAGGAGTTTCAGCTGTAGTTTGTTGGAGTGGCTGTCTTCTACGTGGAGAAACGCGAAGTCCACTTTCTAATCTTCTTTGTAGATCACTCTCTTGTTCTTCCGGCAGAGCAGTCATATCAGATGGATCCTCCTCCATGAAATCATCCTGCTCCAGGTTGGGACTTGCGTTTTCTTCGTCGCTTTCAGTGTCCGAGAAGATATTTCCGCGCCTGTTATTCCCACCTCTCGAGGGCGTACTCGTACTTGGGAACGGGCCTCTGGTTGGTGAAGACTGAAGCGGCGTGATGACAGGAACCCCGTTTCGTACTCTTTGTTTTTTGCGTGGAGATTTGGTTGGTGATCTCTGCGTGTCGTTGCCAGAGTCTAGATCAGGACCAAAGTCTTCTTCGCCCAAAAGAGCAAACTTCAGTAGTTGGGCAGCAACTCGGGCATCTTGGCGATCCACGGTTTTCGACAATCTAACTTTAGCATGAGCGGAAGCTAATCTGATTAGTGTTTCCAACGTTCTTGGAGTAATTGGCGATTTCTTTGTGTTCTGATCGTTTCTAAGATCGGAATACGTCTTCACAACCAAAATAGTCGCTTCTTGAGTTAACGTCGGTACAACCCTCTCTTTAGTGTATTGAACATATTTCCGTAGAAATGGGATCGAAACAATCTGAGGCAATTCTGTTCCTTGACGATTTCCTCTATTTCTGGCTAGTTTGGCACCCGCATGCAATAGGGGATTGAACTTTTCGAATACTTTGTTTTCGTCGTCTTCATCATCATCCTCTTCTTCTTCATTAGCAACAGCTTCTTCTCCTACAGATAGAGATAAGTTGATGGCCTCCCTGATGGGCTCGCCTTCCAAGTAACCAGGTGGGAGATAGCGATGTGTTCTTAAAACGTGTTCGCTGATGGCCCTATCGGTGTTCTCATTTATATCGTCCGTAACCACGAAGAGCAAATCGAATCTCGAGAGCAGGGAATCCGGGAGAGCAATATTGTAATGAGGATCTTTATTCAAATCATACTGTCCAAACACAGGGTTCGCGGCAGCGATCACACTACAACGCGCGTTCAAAGTTGTGTGAATGCCGGCTTTGGCAATTGTCACAGTCTGCTGTTCCATAACTTCATGAATTGCGACACGATCCACGTCGCTCATTTTGTCGAACTCGTCAATACAAACGATACCACGATCAGCTAAAACCATGGCACCCGCTTCTAACCTTCTCTCACCGGTCTCGCGGTCCATGGTCACTGCGGCAGTTAAACCGACACCTGAGGATCCTCTACCAGTGGTAGCTATGGCCAAAGAAGCAGTGTTCAAAACAAATCTCAAGAGCTGAGACTTCGCTGTGGAAGGATCACCAACCATCAAAACATTGATGTCACCTCTCAAGTGTGAGCCGTTTTCTAGATTCTTTTCGACACCACCCAACAACATAAGTAAAATAGCTTTTTTAATGTGATCATGTCCGTAGATGGATGGAGCCAGCGATTGTGATAAAAGATCAAAAATATCATCCCTCCTTGATAATTTGTTGATATTTCTAATGTCTGAATCCGACAAAGCCTGTATTGCTGCTACACCAGTTGATCTCGCATGCAAGGGATACACTGTATTTGCTAAAATCATAGTTTTGAAGCCGGACAGTGTTGCACCTTGGTCGGAGCCCGAATTGAGCCCACCACCACCCAAAGACTTGTAGACACCTACGATGTTCACTCTATCGCCTGGTTTAGTCTTGTCAACGAGATCCTCATCCATAATCACGTCAATGGAGCGAGGCAATTGTCCCGGTGGAGCTTTTTCTGGCATTTCTTGTACTGTGACACGTTGATGGTCGATGTAAGTCGAATAGCCATATTCTGTGGTAAGTCTGTTTCCCTCAGGATCTTCGGTAGGGTATATGGCTGGAGTGGGAATCTGAGTGGTTAAACTGGTGGTTGCGTCTCTGTAGTCCCTGTAGTGAAAGCGGCCAGTTTTCTCAGCGTAGTGGACCGACCTCAAAAGTTTGGGTCTGACCAGCGATACTTTGGTGACAATTCCCTCGATCGAAAGAAGTTTGTTGAGATGATGTGAGTTCAGAGTTCTTGGCGATAGTGCATGAGCACCAAAAGACCCACGAAACGAAAGTTTCCATTGCTGTGCCGATGCCACATTGACGCCAGCACCCGTACTTGTATGATTTTCCTCTAGTATCAGGGCTGTTTCCGTAACAGCTCTCTCAGCAGCCGGGACGAATTGTGCCGGAGTGTTCAGAATACCGATCCAAAACGACCGATCAAACTCCCGTAGGTCGTCCAGCGACACGGTAACCCGCTGTGGAAGCTTGGCGCTCTCTAACCCGGCTTTTTTTTCCTCTTCATACGCCTCTGACTTCGCGTTGTCTGGCAAATTGAACAATTGAACCGATCTTATACTATCTTTGTAGCTCGTGAAAGTGTCTAGAAACTCTTGAAATCGACGCACTCTGTCACTAAACACCGCATCCGGCGTTGCATTAATTGCATCCATATTTTTTGACACGTCTTAGGAGCTGTTAAGCCTTCTCAATGGCAGGTTTCTGTGCAGTTTTGTTGATTCTTTCACACTTCCTCTCGACAAGTTTAACTTTCAATACTTGAAAAGTTCCCATCGGGCTAAACTAATATGTTTTCCTTAAACAGTAACTGACGCGAGAAAGAACAGAAGTATATAAACTAAGGGCTACAACGAGTTTGGAACGTTACAACTCCTCGACGTTTCGATCGAAGTGGTGACCAAGACCCAGTCGGATTTTGTGGCTTGTTTGAGGCTTGCAGAAACATAAAACGCAGCGATGAGATGACTATTCGTTGTCTGGGTGTATAAAGTAGGATTTAAAGATGTAATTAGCCTAGAGCTGCGTTTTGGTCTTGTCGATATGGTATCGTGCAATCTGTCTTGAATCCTCCGTCAATGATATGCCAGAAAAACGAAAAACGATGGGTAACGCATGGCGGAAACTAGGAAGCGAATGCTGTGGTATTGATTAGTGGGGTTTCGTATGTATATTGCCATAAAAGCCGGAGAGTAGATTTTTGGAACCTTCTCACTAATTCAATGAGGCGCCCCCCCCTTTGCCTCCTCACCTCTTGAACGTTCATTCTTATCGGCATGCAACTACACAACAATCTCTAGTCATTCACAAGCCCAACCACGTATTACCTGTTGCCCGAGAAGGGCAAAATGTTAACTAAACGTTTAAATACATGGTACAAATATCTGGAATAAAGACTGGTGCTGATAGTATGACCGCCCCTGCTTCCTATGAAGCCGTTTAGTCGGATCTTGGAGCCTCCTTGCAAGAGATGGCGGCTTCTTCACCCATGGCGGAGATGATGGTGACCATCATGTCCTTACCTTCGTCGAAACCGGCTTGAATCTGGTCACCGATTTCTCCGTCTGGGGCACGGACATCGTCCTTTGTTTCACCGTCCATGGTCATCAAAGACAAGTAGCCGTCGTCAATGTCCAACAATTGGAATTCGGTTCTCTTGACGTTTGGAACGTCCATGTTGTGGGTCGATGGAGACAAATCTTCCAACTTCTTGCCGGTGAAAATGTCGATAGCGACCAAGTGGACTTTGGCGTGACCGTGCTTACCGGTCTTGGAGGTGGACATGTCCACAATCTTACAAGGTCTGCTCTTGATAACAACGAATCCGTTCTTTCTCAAGGCGGAACATTGCATAGGGTAGGTCAAAGAGGAACCGGCATCGGCGGTCTCAAAGGTGTGTTCTTCTTCAGCCATTGTGTATGTGGAGTGGTTTACAAATGTGAGTGTCTGGCTCTTCTAACCAAAAAGAAGAATCTTTCAAACAGGAAAAATATCTGCCAACAGATGGGCGGAAGTACGCCCGTCGATGCCTGGCCTTACTTCCTTTTATACTCACCTGTTCGCCTCTTGAAAAATTTTCATCGTGTAGCTATGTAAAAAGCGATTCACCATGTTGCGGACGGACGTGCATCTTGACAAGCTCAACAGCCCTGGATGGTCCCGTGGAAACGTGCGGGTAATAGACAGGGTGGGTGTAGAGACCGATACAACATCAACGCGATTGAGTTTTTTGTTGGCAACGACGCTGAACAGCGCACTGAGAGTAGTAGATTCATTCTTGGAGGGCTGGCTGGTGGTATGGGTCGACATAAGGGGGCGGTCTAGATGGCCCATTTCTTGAGAAGTTTTGACTACGGATTTATCGGAAATCGCTTCCAGGTGTTTAGTATGAAGAAGTGTTTGTAGGGGAGGGCGGGTGTAAATGTACTCGTGACAACGGGCGAGCTTACGTTTTTTCAGTATGACGCGACTTGGCTGTTCAGGTGTTGTAGTGTGATGGACATAACGTTGCGCGAATTGCTTCAAATGTATGGCATTCACGAAACGAGTACCAAGCAATGGACAGGTCGTGATGGTCTTTTTCTCCAGACATTTTGATCTCTCTTTATATGTCTGTTCTTATCGTCAGGGTTCCTTATTCGTAGCGGAATGAGACATCTTTTTTCTCTAAATGACCCTCTTTATATACAAAAAAACAGAAGCTCGGCGGCTAAAAAGGGGTTGCCACAATAGCGGTACAGCGTAGTCGGGAGCTGTAGTGAATTTTGAAGGAAGCGATAGTTTGTTGAAGGAATTACGATAACGACACACTCTTCAGATGAAATTCGCTGAGGTTCGAAACCCACATATCTTGGTGGCAATATCTGTGGAAAGAGGGTTGACCTATGTATGAGAAAGTGTATATACAAGATCGAAAACCGATGGTGTTTTTGAGCGCCTGGAGGGCATGAAAAGTGGTATGATTTGGCATAGATCACGGTAAAGCGAATCGATTGCGTACGCTTGGGTTTGACTATGATGGCATAGGATAAAGCACGATTGACCCCGGACAGTGTTGAGCAAGTCTTAGTTGAGTGTCTGCGTTAACACGTATATAGTGATTGGACCGCGACGAGTTCAATTCACAACTACGACCTTCAAGCACACTATACTGTTGCCATGCTCATCTTTCACACGACCCCCATTCACAAGTTTGTACAGAAATGAAATATGTGAAAGGTATATCAACATCCTTTGGTTTTAAGACTTCTGTTTGTACTGGACCCTATATAGGGTATAGGGTCCAATATATACGTGTGTAATGATGTACCATGTTTTGGCGCGGGGACGAATAGACCCGTTTTATATGGCTAGTTTACTGCTGTGCGCATCGCGCGATGTTCACCAGAAGCTTCAGTCACAAACCCTGTGGATTAGGTTTCACTACACCAATGACTGGTAACCTGAAGCGATCGGGGGATTTATAAATATAAGCAAGTTTAATGTGGACGACAAGACACTCAGCGCTCACTTCGTGGAGGTTTTTCATTTTGATATCGGCATTTGATTAACTAAAGCACTTGAAATAAACGAGATCGGAGCTAGCAGAGCTGTCTAGAAATAGCTTCATGTTACCAGTGTGGTGGAATAGTTCTACTTGTACACGTGACTAGTTCATTTTCGTAGAACACGACACGCATTGAGAACCCTAGCGCTACATATATGACTATTTATCTCACAATCACATCTCCTTTGAAGCTTTTCAGTCGCTAGCTTAAACTGTACTGTCATTAAGACCATTTCATTTCAATGTCCGAACCGGCTTTCCCAGCACGAACAGCTGCGTGACAAGGCGCTGTCCGTCTTTTTAAGCCACGTGCTTATCACGCCTCTTTTATCACGTGTTGTTTTCGCGTACTGTTACCCTCCTTTTGTGTTTTTTGCACGTCACATGATCCATAGTAAACAATCATTGGCCCTAAGATCTCGAGAATAATAGATTGAAAAATGAACTTGACTTAACTTTACTAGACTAGATCAACTCTTTCAAAACAATCATACCAACACCTATCCTCTATTCGGCATCCCACCAGTTCCAGTTCTGCAAATGAAACACTCGACAACGGTGTCGGTGGCCGGGCTGGTGCTGACGGCCCTGGTGGTGATCCGGCTACTTTTAATCGGGAACAGTAGCATCGTGGTACGATTTGCATGGCCTCCTTTCATTGTGTTTAAGTCATATGTGCCATCGTTCGAAAACGTTCCGGGCGTTCAATACTACGATCTGCGTAACTACAACGGTAAGCCCGATGGGTGGCAACGTGGAGACCGCGTTTTGTTCACAGTGCCGCTTAGAGACGCAGCTGAACATTTACCCATGTTTTTCGAACATATGGCGCGTACTTCCTATCCGCATAATTTGATCGATTTGTCGTTTTTGGTCAGTGATAGTTCGGATGACACCATGGGTGTGTTGTTGGCACATCTGCAAAAAGCGCAATCGCAAACAGACCGCACCAAGCGGTTTGGCAACATCGAAATCTACGAAAAAGATTTCGGTCAAATCATCGGACAGTCGTTTTCGGACCGCCACGGGTTTGCAGCTCAGGGTCCCAGACGTAAACTAATGGGCCGGGCCCGCAACTGGCTGGGATCTGTAGCCCTTAAACCGTATCATTCATGGGTTTACTGGCGTGATGTGGACGTACAAACCATCCCACGTACTATTTTGGAAGACCTCATGCACCACGACAAAGACGTCATTGTTCCAAACGTTTGGCGTCCCTTGCCAGATTGGCTAGGTAATATCCAACCTTACGATTTGAATTCGTGGCAAGAATCTGAAGGTGGTCTTCAATTAGCAGATTCACTAGACGAAGACGCTGTAATCGTCGAAGGGTATCCGGAATATGCTACATGGCGCACACATTTGGCTTACATGCGGGATCCCTCCGGTGATCCTGAAGTGGAAATGGAATTAGACGGTATTGGAGGCGTGTCTATTTTGAGTAAAGCCAAAGTCTTCCGCGCGGGTTCGCATTTCCCGGCCTTTTCGTTTGAAAAACACGCTGAAACCGAAGCATTTGGTAAATTGTCTCGCAGGCTGGGCTACAGTGTGATTGGGCTGCCGCATTATGTTATCTGGCATATTTACGAACCTTCGTCTGACGATCTCAAACATATGGCATGGATGGCCGAAGAAGAAAAACGTAAAGTGGAGGAAAACAAGATTCGTGAGTTTTACGATAAGGTTTGGCAAGTGGCTTTTGACGACGTTCGTGACGAATGGGAAACGGAAAGACTTAAAGTGATGAAGAATATTGATCCCAGCTCTGTAAATCGTCGGATCACGGTCGACTGGGACGGTATTGATGACGATTTTGCCGTGGATGCAGATGGGGAAGACAGCTCTCCTGAAAATGCCCCCAAAGACGATGAAACCGATAATCAACAGGCCGAGGATAAAAAAGACGAAGATTCTGAAAATGCAGATGCAAAAGACGTCGACGTTAAAGATGCCGACAAGAAAGCAGGAGGCGACGACGCTGGAGCTGCAGAGCAAGACGGAGGCTCTAAGAAGCCCAAGAAGAACCCGGACGAAGTTGAACAACTCGAATTCGATCCCGATATTTGATCGAGCATCTTGGCTTATTGTTTTGGCCCAAAATCTCTACCAATGTTATAGAGTTCCGCTTAAGTAAAGAGACACGCGATGCGGCAACCTAATATCAATATCAAAGTAAGATACGAGAAGCAGGACCGGTTTCAGTGGTTGTCTCAGTACAGTTGCCTCTTGATTGGCGACATAATGGTACGAAGTGACATGTCTTCAAAAAATTAGACCATAAGGCTACGGTGCGTACACGACAGGACGACTGAAAAAACGTCGTTCCCTTCCTTCAACCGTTGAGTTCAAATGGATATTTGCGAACCACAGTTGACAAATAACCAAAGTTTGAGCAAACACACTGTTGCACATCCCATGATCAAATCTTTAAGTCATCAAATGGAAAAGACTTCTTCATGAACTCACTTGGCCACCGTATGAAGCCAAATCTATCTGAGCGGGCGATTTTTTCCCAGATTTCGAGCCTCATTTTCGTTAATCCAGCAAGGAATCGTTCGGACATCCAAAATTTACGAGTTAAATTGCATTAATTACAGAAACTTCTACTCGACAATAAACAATCTCGTTAGCTCAACATTGCCCAGTTTCTTGCCTCAAATCGCTTCAAATTCAACTCTTTTGACTACTCTAGCTTTATCGTGTCGTCGACCATGTGACCTGTCTTTCTCGAGCCTGGTGGCAAATATACAATATATATTGAACTTGAACCCTCATCGCTTTCAACCTTGTCCACTTGAACAAGAACTGTACAAACGCCCTGACACACGTCAACCCAGACCTATTACCAATGGTTAAAATCAACTTCAAGGACTTTAAGAAACAAGTTCTGGGCCTGGAGTTCGAACCAACCGACACGATCGGAACCGTGAAGCAGAAACTAGCTGAAAGCAAGGACTGTGAAGAATCACAGATAAAACTTATCTATTCGGGTAAAATTCTACAGGATGACCGTTGCATTGAGGAGTACAAGTTGAAAGAAGGCGATCAGGTCATTTTCATGGTTTCCAAGAAAAAATCTAGCGCCACAAAGACCACGTTACCACCCACAGAAAACAGACAGGTAGCTTCCAACGTTTCACAGACCTCTCAAACTCAACCCACACCGTCTGGTGAGCAAAGTTCAACAATTGCCGGAATCTCTGGTGGGGCAGGACAACAAGAAACCGCTTCCCGTAATGATACCGGGTTTGTGACCGGTTTTCAACGCGACGAGACGATTCAGAGGATCATGGAAATGGGGTACGACCGCGATCAAGTGGAAAGAGCGCTCAGAGCCGCATTCAACAACCCAGACAGAGCGGTTGAATATCTTTTGATGGGCATTCCCGAACATTTGCAGCCGCAACAAGCACAACAACAAGAACAACAGCAATCACAAGCGCAAAATCCAGGTCAGGTCGAAACTCAAGGTCTATCTGAAGCACCATTACCACAAGCGCCAGAGACTTCTCAGGACAGTAATCAGGAAATCACAGCACAGGGATCTGGAGACCCACAAGATCTTCCGGTGGCAGCAGACGATCTGTTTGCGCAAGCAGCTGCCACCCCTGGTGGCCCTGAAAGCGGTGAAGGTGGGCGTGCCCCAGGTACCATTGGCTTAACCATGGAAGACCTTTTATCTCTTAGACAGGTTGTGACAGGGAACCCAGAGGCTCTCGCACCTCTTCTGGAAAGCTTGAGCACAAGGTATCCAGAGCTACGCGAACAAATCATGAGCAACCCCGAAATGTTCATCAGCATGCTTTTAGAGGCCGTTGGTGGCTCTTTGCAAGAAGGAGACATGAACTTGGAAGGAGCACTTGAGGGTGGCATGAATGCCGAAGGAATAGAAGAGGGACAAGCACCTCCAACGATCGAGTTGACCCCGCAAGACGAAGCTGCCATTTCAAGACTATGCGAACTGGGCTTTGAAAGATCTCTAGCTGTTCAAGTCTACTTTGCATGCGACAAAAACGAAGAGATTGCCGCCAACATGCTTTTCAGCGAGTATGCGGATTGAATTGAGTTGAGTTGTGTAATTAGAAATATGTATATATTTTCGATGTCAATTAAAAACACACCATTGTAATGGTCTTCTTCTCACAATACATTGAAGTTGGTGACAATATCGTATTTGCCCTGGTAATCGACTGGTGCGTTTCCAGGTCGAATGACTAGTTTTACTTGCAATCCAGCATCTTTAGCAGCATCGAGTTCCAAGGAATTATCGCTGAGGAACAAGATTTCTGCTGGCGGAAGCCCAATATCGTTCGCTATTTTCATGTAAGATTGGCTGTTCGTCTTGGTTCCAGAGGTATTGATGTCATAATAGTTTTGTAGCTTGGGTCGCAGATCAATGGTCCCTTGATCACCAGCGACATACTGAAATAATAGTTTCTGGGCTTTGACTGATCCGCTGGAATATATGTACACAGGTTTTTCTGTAGTTTGAATGTAGTTTATAGCGTCTGTGTACACGGGTGCAGTAATTTCACCACTGGCGTAACCGTTTAGCCAAACTAAACCTTGTAATTCTTTGAGGACTGGATCTTTGATATCTTGGGATACCAAACTACGGATGTGGGCTACAACATCATCAACTTCAAATTTTTGTAGTAATGATCTGATGTGAAGGTCTTTTGAGTGCGGCAGAGAATCGGCTTGTTGCAGGAAATAAGGGAAAAGGGTCTCTTTGACAAAAGAAATGGGGCAAACGGTTCCTTCGATATCGAGCAGAAGTGCTGAGAAATTTGCAGTCATTGAGCCTTGTGTGGATCTACTGGGAGTTCGATGAGAGGAGGTTGAGTAAGCACTTTGAAGAGATGCATCAATTAGAGTTAGTTGAGCGCGGTCGTCGGTAGTGATGTTGAACACGATTGAAAGGTTCCAGGTACTGCTGAGGGGTGGCCAATGGTGCTTGGAATTTGGGGTTAGGTGGTTTGTAATGGGAGCTAGTGGTTAAACTTTTCACTGGGTGGTTTAGGACGATTTAGTGTGAGTTGAAAAGGTCACCCGAAAACCGTCATTCCCGTCCACAACATAAAAAAAAAAAAATGGAATTGTCACATACGGTGAGAGGGTCGGTTCACGATGTAAAATCCATTTCGACCGGTGCAAACACGAACTTATTACAAATATTTAACCACTGCTGTCGATACTGATGGTTAAACCGCGCTCACAATGACGATTCTCACTTGATGTCAGAAAGTGAATTTACTGATATCACTTTCTACCAATACGTCGCTGTCACCACAACATCACGTGACGCATGTCACAATCGTCCAAGATGATACGATTGTGGTTTTCCTCTTTATTGCAGCTTCATTTCAAGACATCTACTCTCTTCAGAAATAATACCCCACGGTCTGTGTAGTCCACATGCTCTGGTCCAGTGCTTATCTCTTGTCCGTTCCTCTGCCGCGTCCCACCCGCTGGCCAATCAGATCGCTGTGTTGGTATCATCCTCCACGAGCGAAAAGACAATCAGCATTTATGTGCGGCTGCGAAACAAATTCCGTGTATCCGTCCGCGTCATCGTGCATACGCATACTCAAGTTTCTATTGGGTCATATTTGAGTTATTCCCAATTGTGCCAGGTGATGGCTTTAAAACCCGATGTATCCGATCTTGAAAAATAGCGATAAAAAAAATTCAGACGATGAGATCGCATCGTACGAAATATATATTTTTTCCATGAGACTATATAAGGCTAAAATTTAGGCAAAAATACTTGGAGGGAGTGTTTTACCACCGGGTTTGGAATCATAGTCACTAGATCGCGATCAATCAAGCTATAACACACTACAATGCCAGCTCCATTCAAGAAGGGATCCGAGAAGAAAGGTGCTACTCTGTTCAAGACCAGATGTATGCAATGCCACACCATCGAAGAAGGTGGACCTAACAAGGTTGGTCCAAATTTGCACGGAGTTTTCGGACGCCGTTCCGGTAAAGCCGAAGGGTACTCGTACACTGAGGCCAACATCAAGAAAGACGTTGAATGGACCGAACAGACCATGTCTGATTACTTGGAAAACCCAAAGAAGTACATTCCAGGTACCAAAATGGCGTTTGGAGGTTTGAAGAAGGAGAAGGACAGAAACGACATTGTCACCTACATGGCCAAGGCTGCCAAATAAGGTGTTTTGGGAGTTGAAAAAAAAATCTAAAAATTCACAACCACCACGCTTTTCATGACCATATGTTGTGGCATTAGTATCGAGGAAGTTCTGCTCGTAGAGCTGTGAACTCACTCTCACGTTTACTCAACAACCGGCCACAACACTACACTATTTATTCTTTCGACCTGTGACCTCTTAATATATATAATATATACACATACAACAACCTGTACTTAGTTTGAACATAGATTCGTCCCGTAATGAGAAGAGAACCCAGAAAAACCACAAGATTATGGGTCCACAAGGAAAGGTCAACACGACCGTTAAGCACGGTTAACTCATCTCTCAAATAGTCCCCCAATGACGACAATAATTCTAATTTTTTATCAAAAGTGCTAAAAAAGACAGGTACACACGAGTACATATTCATCTACTCTATTAGAAGGCACTCAAGCGAATGCCAATGCAGCTCCAGCAACCGCCACGAAAGCGTGCAGCAGCTTGTTGGCGTCCAGGTTTAGAGAAACAGCCCCGGCTGTGCTCGAAGAACTGCTTTTCATGTTTTGTACAAAGCCAGATGGCACTTGCGATGACGAGCTGGAATCGCCAGACGAACCCTTCGCAGCCGTGCTGGTACCGGTACTTCCGCTAGTGCTTTTGCTCTTTGATGCTCCACTTTGTGTAGTGAAAGGCTTTGAGCTGGTGCTGCTGGAAGATGCTGAGGACGACGATGACGACTTCCCGCTTTGTGGGTTGAACCCGCTGTCTTCCAAACTGCCTAGAACCGTAGTATCGTTCGTGATGGCCACGCCAGCCTGGGTGAAGTTCTTGCTGTCCACGTATCTGTAAGCGGCCGATCCATTTTGTCTGGTGCCAGCAGGAGGGTCGTAGCATGTGATGTTCACACTCTCCACGGTAGCATAGTAGTACCCAGGATCTTTGATATCAGGAGCATTCCAGTCGATTTCACCACCGGCCCATAGTTTCGTCCAGTAAGCACTGGTGTTGGTACCACCTGGCCAAATCGATAGTTGGATACGCGCAGGCGTTTGTGGGTAGTCATATTGTCCGGTCGAAGCGTTGAAGGTGTGGTTCTTGTAAAGCGTTCTACCAACTTGACCGTCGATGAGCCAGTCGAGATGATCCTCGTGCCAGTCAATTTCGTAGACATGGTAGTTATCAAAGGTGTTGCTAACGGAAACGTTGCTCGAATGCGTCCAGTTCAAATCACCTTCAAAATAGTAGTTGGTTTGTGCATTAGTCAAGTTCGCTCCCACGAATTCGTAGTCGATTTCATCCTGGACAGAGGAAAACATGATGAAAGCTGTGATGACACCTCCGAGATGTGACGTCTTCATACGGGCGCTTACTTTTCCATACCACATGTATCTTGTAGACGACAAAACGGCTCCTGACGAATATTGAGGCATCGTCAACAAAAGCGCTTGTTCGTCGTTGTAGTCTACAATAGATCCCTCGTAGATCCAGTCATTAGCCGATGCATCTCCAAGGAAAGTGTACTGGTTGGCCACCTTGCTGCTATAGTTGTTGAAAATGGTCTGAGAGTCCTTGCAGATGGGCATTGCCATGCAGGCACTCAAGTTGTAAGAAAATCTTGGATTACAACCACCCAAGCAGTAACTGCCAGAACCACAGACTCCGTACTGCGAACAACATGGCTTGTCATCGGGACATGCACCGACAGTCCCGTTACAATACACGGTCTCGTCACTGGAAGCCTTCACTACTGATGCCAGTAAAGTGACAATTGGCAACAGTACTAGTCTCAAGCCTCTCATCTTCGCAAATCTGTACCGCAAGCCTCGAAAAGTTGCTTCCCAGGCTTCGATAAAGAACTTTCAACAAGTCTAGACCTTCCATCCGCGTCCACCCGCCATTTATAGCCTAAGCTTTATATCATCACCGCCAGTGGAAGTTTTTCAACCGTTTAGTTGTCTATTATCATTAGAAAAACCACGAAAAAAATTTTTATGTCCGGCGCTTTATCCTACAATTGGAAGTTGGGCTTCAGTTTGGGTGCTTTCGTGGCGTCTACCGCTTTAGGTCGGAATTGAATGTTTTCAACGTCCGTAGAATCCTCGTCTTCTTCTTCTTCCTCTTCGTCGTCCGAAGGAGCACGCACTTCTGGAGCGTCTCTTTTCTGGTTTTCTGTATCGGTGACGTAGTTCTTTTGATTCTTCTGAGAAAGCATGTGAGCGAAGCTCTTCTGTTGCTCGCGGGCGTTCCAGTTCAGGGTTCTGCTGATGCTGTCGATAAATTCCGTAGGACTAGACTCGAGCGTAGGAAATGAGTGTGGACTCGCAGTGATGCAGATGTAGTCACCTTTAAACAATTCGACCCGATTTTTACCGTCAAAAGCAGCCCATGCGGTAGATCTTGAATTCAATGGCACTTTAACTTTGAGCTTCATACTGTCAGGCAAAATTATGGGACGGAAACTTAGGGTGTGTGGACAAATCGGAGTGACAGCGATAGCGTTAACGCTTGGATAGACTAGAGAACCACCAGCGCTCAAAGAGTACGCAGTGGAACCGGTAGGCGTGGCTATAATCAAACCGTCCGCTTGAGCGACCGTCAGAAGCGAGTTATCGCCAAAAACCTCCAGCATGGAGATAAAAGCGCTAGGACCGCGGTCAATGGTCAATTCGTTGAGTACGTGGTATTCTCCAATCATGCTGAATTTCTTCCTTGAACGCGTACCGTCTTTGTGTGGCTTGCGTCTGCGGAACACCCGGCACGACAACCGCATCCTCATCTTGCTTCTGATCTTGGAGTTCAAAACGCGGGGCAGCGACTGTCTGAAGTTTTCGTAGTTGAAATTGGTCAAGAAACCCAGGGACCCGAGGGAGAACGACATTACTGGTGGTATACTTCGTTGGAAAAGCGATGAGACGTAAAGCACAGTACCGTCACCACCCAACGTAACAATAAGGTCGAAAAAATTGTCTTTTTTCGCCACCAACTCAGGAGTCCAACACTTGATCCTATGTGATGCACATCTGCTGTCTCTGATTATACCCGGGGTATCAAACTTGCCGGACTTCTCCACGGATTCGTCGACGTAAATTTCAATACCTGGGTAATTGACCAAAATCCACTCAACCATTTCCCTGGTGAGATACACAAGGGAACTATCTTGCTTCTTAGTAACGATCATCAGCCTTTTGACCTCCAATGTGACCATGGACTTTTGTATGTCTTTGGATAGCAAACGCATGCCATGTGCGGTTGACGATAGTTGCGCATGCGAGGTAGCCCGTCTCATATCGTTCGAACCCACAGAGAGTCGTCTAAACACCTTTTCAGCAGCACTGCCCGTATCTGAATCGTCATCACCAGAATCCGTTGTATCATGTAAAGCCACCGGCGCTCTTTCTGCATTCAATGGGGTCATTTTACTGTTTAAGATTCTATTGCGGTCCGCCAAATGCGAAACACTCTTGGACCTTTTACTCTTGTTTTTGAAATCTTTCTTGTCTTTGGGGTCTGAACCGGGTGAGGATTTTCCAGTGCTTTCCGTTAAAGTTCTGGACAACGGCGACAATTCTCTCGAAAGAGGTGAAGATACGGGAGAATCACTACCCATGTTTAGCTCAGAACACGTTCAATTAGTGCTGTATGCTCTGGAAATTTATTCCTAGGTTTCCTTGTATCGATTTAAATAAGATAAAGGCCGCTTCTAAAATGGTATTCCGGCTGTCGCTTGTCTTATGAGAGAGGAATTCAAAAGGGTGCAATTATAGATCACTTGTGCTATACTGTCTTGTGTGGAGGCGAAAAATTCGCTGAAAGGTCTATTCCAGCTTGAGATATGATCCTAAATCTTTCGAAAGCTCCTTGGAGTTCGAAAAACGATAGATGGAGTCTCTGTTTAACAGTTTTTGACTTACCTTTCCTTTAAAATGAAGCATCGCTAGCAAACTTGTATCCCTCCATTATTTCGAACTTTTAATATGGTGTATCGCAGCACACGAAAGGACATCAGCTTCGAGTTCTTATAGGTAAAGACTCAAGTATCGAGCCTAAACCTAGATGGACACAATAATTACTTTAAATACAAGCCTCAAGTAGACCATGGAGTTGCATTAAAACTAAAATCGTGTTCTTAAATCAATTTTCAGTTATCTTACAGGTCCAGTCTTCGCCATCGAGCAATGGGAGTGAGGCACCCAAGCACCACACGAGTTCGCTGTCTGCGAGCTTTTCCGCGGTCTTAAGCTCACGGTTAAGAGGTATATCATAACCGGTGTGAAGCAGCGACACTTGGAAAGTTAAGTCGAGACACCACTGAGGTTCTTTCTTAAGCTGCGAGACAGAACCTTCAATCCCACTAAATACGCTCTCCCACACTTCTTGACCACTGCAAACCATTCGTGCTAGGTCAGCAAGTTCTTGAAGGGTAAACGAACGTGGTAGACCCAAGGGATGTGTCTTTTCGTAGAAATACGAGAAAATGTACAGATCATTGGATTCTTTGAAAGTAGACACCAAAGAGGGTTGATGCACACCGTTGAAAGAGCAAGGCGGCAATGTGCACTTTGCTTCCTTCTCAAGAACCGTATCGGTCAGAGAGCGACATTGAGCTCCGGCAGGTGTAACGGGGCCCTTGAAAGTTACCGAATACTCGTCGCCGTTTGCCAATTGAACTTTAACACCGCTAGCAGTAGTGCCAGGTGCCAGACACGGCGATGTGAGTGTAACTTTCTTTTCGGTTTTCTCGATAAGTCCATCCTTGAGAGCTGTCTCGACTAGTAATGTATTCACTTTGTTTCTGCCCTCCATCAAGCCGTATCCTAAATGTGAAAACTGGTATAGTGTGTAAGTGTCTTCTGCAAAGTTCAGCGTGTACTTGTGCTCACCATCGGCCATTTTCTCATTGGGAGGGAACGTGGGCTCGAAAACGATTTGCGTAGACCCCCCACCAAGATCGAATGTAGCGGCCGTTGGCAGTTTATTGCCAGCACCGATGTTTCCCAGTAAGAAATTTGCAGTGATCCAGGCGTAAACACCTTCTTCTTCACCACTCATCACCACAACACCGTCCTTTTTGACCAAGGGGAATGGATAGTCGTTTTCCAGATGGGCCTTGACGGCCTCTAAGATCTTGTCAGACTTCACAGAGCCCAATTTTCTCAGACCTGCGGTAGCTTTGACTGCAACAGGCGAGCACCGATGCTTATCTTTGGGTATAACCTGTAACGCTTTGTCCAGCAACCCATCCAAGGAACTAGCAGCACCCACAGTATCGGTATCGTAGGAGGAAAGACCTGGTTTAACCGCTTCGAACGTTTCATCGACCAATCGAGGTGGTTTTGTGCAAACATCGAATTCATAAACGTGAACACGAGAACCAGTTGAACCAGCATCAATCATGATGATGAATTGGTGATCCTTTTCGCATTTGGCTGAGTTTGAATATTTGTTTCCGGGCGTTTGCGTGAGACCTTGTTTTACAGCGTCTGCCACAGTAGGATTTTTTTTGGTGGCTGCAGCGTCATCGATGTAGCCTGGGGCTGGATTAATAGGCAGCGTGCTCACTGTGTCATCGTCCAGTTTGGGCGAAATTTGAAACAATCCCGATGAGCTAGAAGATGATCTCAGAAGCAGAATCAACATGATAGCCGTTAGGGATCCAATTACGAATCTGTAATTGCGCACTACGGCGCCCAAACCTGCCATTGTCGTTGAAATCTATTGAGAGAACAGAAACGGATTAAGCTGTTAGAGTTTCCACCAAGATTAAAATTGACACGCAAAGTTCAAATAAGAGCTTTGAAAGTAGCGAGTGGGTCTCAAACTATTCAATTTTTCGACTGGTTGACCGCAAAGTTTGTTTACGTGTCTTAATACGCGTATCTCTTCAGATAGAGATGAGTTTTTCGAGATTTTCTATAATTGATGGGATTATGAGCCCATAGCATCACACGGCGACAACTCGAATCAAGTAACTTGAAAGCATCAAGACAATTCCTTTAGGCTAAAGGATCCGTTTACGTATTTGATACTTTCTACAGCGATAATCGGTTTGCTGTTTAATTTCCATCTAGCCGTAGTAAAACTCTTAGGTTCAAATCCTGGCGACGAGAAGCTGAGTTCTAGTGTCTGTACTCAGCATCTGTAGACGTTCAAGGAGCCGTTCGATACGGTGTGTAGGTTTCACTAGTTAGGTCAGCGTGTAGCGTCTTGTATTTTCTTCATTCAATTCATCTGCGTGTCTGTTTGATGACTTCCCCATCCATTAGTTTCGGTTAGACAGACTCTTGATGAGCCTGCCCTAAATATGCTTTTTTGAGGACCCCTCTAGTGACGTCCACTAAATACTATACAATACAAATTTTGATATATGTGTGTGTGGGTGACAGTTTTTACATCTCACGAATGCGCTGCGTGAACTTGTCCTCCACAGCGTCGCACAGATCCATGAGGTCCTGCAACCCTTTGTGTAGCACCTCCACCGCCGTGGACTCGCCGTATGTCTGGATCCGGAGATTCAGTAGGTTCTCACTTGGATGAGGTATCGAGTACCCGCAAAACTCGACGTCCGGGTTTTTCATGATTATGTACCGCAAAGCATTGCCCAAAGTGTGGTCTTCTTCCGATATCTGAAAAGATGCGCATTTGCCGTCCTCGGATGTCGCGCTTGACAACAGTTTAATCTTTTCTTTATCAAGTTCCTCCTCTTCTTCCTCGTCTTCCGAGTTTTGTTCATTGGCCATCATATCAACGTCCTGAGCTTCGATTTCACCCGCGTTTTGGGCACCGCTGCCCTCGTTAGAAACACTGGCATCAGCCGTGTCTTTCAATCCCTCACTGGCCATCTTATTCCTATGTTTAGCGATCAGATTCTTCGTTTTTCTGATGAGATGAGCTAGCTCTTCTTATTTCATAAGATTTTAAATAATTTACACCAAAAATTTTCCAGTAGTGAGTTCTATACACTTAAAGAACGTACCAAAAGATTAAGAGTCCGATCAACACACAACAGCCGTTTATATCAAACCATGAGCTCTCGATATCTTGATACCGAACTGTAGATGTATTGGTGCTTGCTCTTAAAACAAACTTTTTAGTTGTTTCGTCGTGAATACTACGTTCAATTTGTTCGAAATTTCGGCTTAAACTCGCAACCGACAATGCTGATTGTTAACCATTTTCTAGGTATTGCTGTTCTTGTTATTATACATCACTTTAACAGTGAGAAATGCTATATGTAGTTTGGGAATATTTACTTCGTTGGGTTTACAATAGAGTTTCACCAAGAGCGCATCTGGCAATAGCGCAACCGGCGGAAATGGTGTCGACAACGTGAATGTCATGAGCAGCAAGAGATGGGTTGCACTCCACCACGTCAAGGGCAACGAGTCTACCGGTTTCAGCAATTCTTTCGGTCAAAAACAAACTTTCTCTCAAAGTTAGACCGCCTCTCACTGGAGTACCGGTGGCAGGCACGTACATGGGGTCGACGGCGTCCACATCGTAGGAGAGATGGATTGGACTGGTTCCGTCTGGGTTGATGGCCTCTAGGGCCATTTCGATAACACCGTTGATACCGTAGCGATCAACATGGTACATGGAGTAGGCCTTGATGTTGTTCTCTTTCAAAATTTTCTTTTCACCTTCGTCCACGTCTCTGAGTCCGATGTACGCAATCTTGTTTGGCTTGACGCAGTTTGGTACCCATTTGAGGGAAGGAGGAGTGTTTTCAGCATCCAAACCCATCAAAAACGATACGGGACAGCCGTGCAAGTTACCGGAGTCTGTGGTCGATGGGGTGTTGATATCGGCGTGAGCGTCGATCCACAACAAACAGGCGTCTGGATACTTGCTGAAAACACCAGAAACGGTTCCGATGGCAATGGAGTGGTCACCACCCAAAGTGACTGGCATTTCTCCGTTGTCCAAAGATTCACGCACGGATTTCTGGATTTTTTCCGTGGCTTCTCCGACCAATTGGGGTCTCTTTACGTTTTGGTAAACGTCGCTCTTGTCCTGTTCGTTACGTTTGTCGTAATCAACGCCTGCTAGAGGTTCACGGACGCCCACTTTCCAGCCCAAGTCTTGCAGCTGGTCTTGCAGACCGTGTTTTAGCATGTATTTGGGACCATCTTCCACACCGGGTCTACCTTGACCACCGGAAAATGGAGCCAAAACCAAGCTGAGTTTTTTGTCTTGATAAAAATCGTAATGAGGACCAGGAAGCATTTTGATATGATATGGATATGTGTTTAAGTGTATGGATTTTTCTTTGACACTTGAATATTTTTATTAAGAAGCGTTCTTCTACTCTATCAGAATCCGTACAACTATTACACGTCGACTTCAACTTCCAAAGTACTCGCTTTATATACTTTTTCCAGATCTCCGTCACTTGCACTTAGCGGGAACATTGCTCGACGATACTAGTTTTCTAGATATCGTCAAATTTCACTAATTTAACGTAGTGACACGTCAAAGATGGGCCTTTATTCTTCTAAGTGAAAGATTTAGCGAATAAGAAAGAGCCGTGAAAATGACAAACTTTAAAGACCAAACCGTAGAAAATGAAAGCACGGTGATCGGAATAAGATAGAAAGCTGAGCCATGATGCAGGACATACGGATCTAGTTGAAACAAGAGATTTGCCCGCGATATGCACCGGAAAACATGAAAAAATACCCAGCTCGTATTGAGCGACCAATGAATTGGCGGAAATCTGTTCGAACCACGTGATGAGTTTTTATTATTACATTGTTCGACCTCTATTTCTCGAGAGAGAGAGAGAGAGAGAGAGAGATAGAGAGGAAAGAAAGGTTTGTGAACTATGAGTGACAGGTCCTAATTGATCGAAGTGCGTAAGGATTTTGTTAGCTTGAAAAAGCTGCACGAAATTTTCTTCAAATCGGTGGTGCCTGGGCCAAACACAGATCTCGTACAAAGTGACAAAAAGATCTACAACTTACTTTTGAAGAGTCTTGTGAACATGTGTGAAAAGAAGGAGCAGAAACCGATCCAACACACACGTAGACTTGTGTTCATCTTCAAACTTCAATATACATCGTAATTCGGTTAAAGAGGACGACTATCACGTGACCAACTAAGTGGGATTAACGTTGTTCATAACTTTTGCGACGTAAACAAAGGATGTCAAGATCGTCAGACTATTGCCGGGGATGAAGCTATCTATTCAGGACGTTATTTTTTCACCTGCGTATGAACTTTTCTTTGTGTTTCAACGATTGAGTTTTGACTCCAACGTAAACAGTGATGTATCGCACGTCTAAGTATTCAGTACTGGGGAAGAGGGTAGAGACTCGAGCAGATACGTATTTAGTAAATATCATACTCGTAGACTCGTGTGATATAGCTTGTTTATTGAGATGAGCGTCGAGCGAAGCCGATCTAGAATACCAGTCAACATAGCTTAGGTAACAGGCTTCTCATTTCAATGACCAGTAACTAGAGGTGATCTACCTAAGCAGGGTCATGTAGAAATGGGCACTAGCTTGAAGGCTCACTCCTTGAGATGCTTCATTTTGAAAGATAAGACGCCCTTATTTTGCTTGAACAGAAGAAAGTAGGTGGGAGAGTCGTGTTTATGATACCACTGGAATTTACTAACACTACTCATCATTAAACACGGCAATTCGAGATTGTACTCGTACTCATAAATAGTTTAGGAATTATTGTATATCATTGTATATCAAAACCCTCGGAGTTCAGAAACACACACACCGTTTGACCAAACCCTGACATTTACCAAAGTAAGTGTTCTCGAACATGACTAGACCTCATTGGCCTACTCTCAATGAGAAAATGGAGTCTAGAGAGGCTTCTAATGTTGAAGATAGAATTCCTTCCAAGTGTTTTAGGTCAGTGACCTCGTGGCGCATTTACGAATGGAGTAGATGGAGACCTTTCCAAATAGCTTTGCCTGTGTTACTGCTCATGTTCTTTGTTATTAGTACTTTAATCATATTTTCTGCGCAGTGCGTACTCGACAAAGTGCTGGAATACTATCTACTGTGCGTCGGATTATTTCCTCTTTCCCGTGTAATGTCATTTATCCTAAAGCGCAGAAAAATCGCTCTTGTCGAACAGCAGAAGGTGGAATTGTTCCGCAGGATCATGACACAGAGACCTGGATTAAATTTGACTAGCTGGGACTCTTTAGCAGTAGACATAAACGAGTATTTGAACCAGGAGCAGTTGTGGAACACACCATGGTTTTTTTTCAACGGTGCTAGTCTCCAACATATCTTCCGATCGTTTCTGTACCTTCCTCTCAAAGATGGAAAATTCGATAATGATGCAGAGATCATGCTTCTTCTTGACGCTACAGTGGCGTACGAAAACTCCGTTCACAATCCAGAGCAATCAAGCGAGAAGAGCGAGCAAATCTTTGGCGGTGCGCTGGGAAATGGAAAACTTCCTAGAGATTCATATCGCTTCAAGATTGCGTGGTTCATTGCTCTTGAAAAGATGCAACTAGTAATTACGGGTTTGGCGGTAGCCTGCTGCTACATTTTTTTTAATAATGGGGCTTTATTTGGGGCTATTTTGCCTTTGGCGGTCTCCCTGAAATCGTTTATCGATAGAGGTGCTAACATGCCACTTGATGCAACGGTCAAATTTATGGAGGCTGTTGACTTCTTTGAACCGGGGGAAGATGGTTCGATATGGGATGAAATCGCCTTGAAAATGAACTGCGAATTCAAGTCGCAACGCAAACACATGCGTGATGTTTTTTTTGACGGGGAAAATTGTCGCCAAATGTTCAGGTCCAAGATGTCCTCTATCATTGCGGACCGCAAGCCAAGAATGCCAGAGCTTATTTCTTTCGCGCATGAGCTGAATGTGGATTGTGGCTGGAGTGACGAAGATAAATCAAGGCCCTGATATTTGAAAGGAAATATCTAGCCAATAAGGTCTAATCAAAGGTCTAAAAACAAGACATACAAGCTATTGAGCTAAGCTTATATAACAAAATCCTATGATTTTTAAAAGGCATTTGAGATTAAGCTCAAATCAATGAACAAATGCTCCCGTAATCGTAGCGCAAAGCAGGCGGTGACCTTTCTTGTAACTCTCATGGATACGAAACCATGCGTCGGCCTAACCACAGAGTTAGGACGTTACATGTGTCTGCTAGCTGATTACTACGCCGTTAAATAGGTTTTTACTTACATGCTTCGTATGTTCATGAAAGACTCTCGCTGTACGACATGGATCATGCATACCTGAGACGAGCCTGTTTTAAATAGTTTATCGACTTCTACTCATTTGCGGAGATCCATCCTTGACCTAAAGAATTGAAAAGTTATGGGGTGCTCGGAGACTATGGTTCCAGTTTCTTAGCTATCCACCGACTCTGTCGCTGTCATTGATTGAGTCACGTGTCTGCTGAAAACTTACTTACGAATGTAATAGTAGGTCAAAGAAAGGTATGCAAAAGTTTAAAGCTCAATTTTGTAGTCGCATTTCATAGAACATACTATATGCTCACCATCGCGTAACTAATAACCACCTTTAAACGCATCCTCTACACATGAACATACTTGCTAGAATTCTAGTCCACATGCCACGTGATCAATGTCAGCGACACACATCTAGAACTTCGTGTCCTTTCACCAACCTAGTTCCATAGAAACTCCACCCAAGGATATAGACCTATTGTCATCTTTCCAAGCTTCGGGGGCACTGTTACTAGTCCTTTCATAGCGTTAGTCTCCCGAAATCTTGGTAACAATTCTCCACGAACTTTACTTGTATTGCCCTCTTTACCGTTACTACACTTCACGACCCGAAAATCTCATCCCACAACAAGCGTTTAAGGTCCCCAGCCCCAAGACGGTCCTTGCAGTCGTCAAATCGAAAAAGTTTGGGATCCACTTTCGTGGTAGCAGGTTCATCGTGCGGATCATGATATGCCTTTAAATACGGGTGTTTCAAAGCTTCTGCAGCAGTAATCCTTTGACGTGGGTCAAATATTAGCATTTGTTCTAGCAAATCGATGGCCTGGCGATTTGCGGTAGGAAGTAATTGTTCAAACGTTTGTTTCTTCGGATAATACGGTAATGAACGCAAATACTGCAAAGCTCGAGTTGAGCGCACACATTCAAGATCTGTAGAAGTGGGCGACCCAATCACTTGAAAGATTAACAATAGCTGATGACGGTAGTCTTTTCCTGGGAACAGTGGCCTACGCATCAAAAGCTCAGCAAGAATGCACCCGCACGACCATACATCCATGGCAAATGTGTATTCGGCAGCCGTTAGCATTACTTCTGGTGCTCTGTACCAACGTGTCGCCACATATTCCGTCATTTGGCCGCTGTCGCCATTTTTCGATCCGGATCCCGTTCCTGCACACCTGGCAAGACCAAAATCGCACAGCTTGACGTCACAGTTTGAATTAACCAACAAATTAGAAGGTTTCAAGTCTCGATGAATTACTTCGGCCGCATGCAAGCATTTGAGCCCGCGAAGAATCTGGTACACGAAATATTGGATATGGTCGTCTGAAAGCGTTTGTGTAGCAATCACCCGGTGCAGATCTGTGTCCATCAATTCCTGGATGATATAAACCTCGTTGAAACTTTCAAAAGATGCTGGTCTTTGGATATCGAAAATCGATATAATGTTTTCATGTTGGAAACACCGCAGAAGCTTGATTTCCCTTAGCGTACGTAGACAGAACAGAGTTCTGTTGAATGGCTCAATTTTCTTGATGGCTACCATTTGCCCTGTGGGTAAATGCCTTGCACTGCATACAATCCCATATGCACCTTCGCCAAGCAGCTGCTGAAGCTGGAACTCGGACGAGATGTTGAAAACGATTTTTTTGCCCATGGTGGCGTGAAGCTCGAAGCGCACACACACACAGGTCTCACAAAACAATAAAACTGAGAAACAAGCTGCTTCGTAGGTGCTGTTTTATGTAGGTTCAGGTTCTTGAGGCACCTACCACACGTGAAGGGCAAACAGGGGACCGAGCCTCACATTGGAGTTGAAACCGAAGATGAGCAGTCTGGAAACCTGAAACAGGGCACAGCACAGCCAACTACGAATTGTAGTTTTTTTTTGGCTGCAAGATCCCCACACTTTGTTTCGATTGAAGATTCTATGTTATCTGCGGTCTGGGAAAACGATTTTGATGCCATCATACTCTACACAGAGATAATTACCAGGATCGCATGGAGGGTCTAGATGGCGCTTTATGGCCATCTGACGTTGGAAAATAGCGCTTTATGAAGTTTCTCTCCGCATTAAACTAAAAGAATTCCTTTATGGTCTCGACTATTGCAGAAACTGGCATTTTGCTCAATCGATGTAGTTTTGAGCGATTCTGTCAGAACGTTTTTGCACCAAATTCCAGAGCCATTCAAATTCCTATTTGGTGGGAAACATGCAGGGTTCTTCGATCAATTGGCTTGAGTTGCTGCGTAGTACTCACACCGAACTCCGGAACTTAAAAGTTTGAACTGAAACCATAAAGAAAAAAGATTAGACACCAATCATTGGTTTGAAATATGAGAACATCAGAGTCGCCTCAAACCGACGTATTTTAGGCGGATTCAGTATATTGTTTTCAAATTTCTCGGTACTGATCCTGATAATGGCCTGTTAACCGTTGATTAATCACCTTTGGAAGCAGAGTCAAAGACTAAATCTACCAAAACGAAGTAAGCATTAACTTGATTCCAAAACGCTTATCAACAAAGATCCTGTATACTGGACCCAGTACGAAATAGCCATAAACATCACCACATTGCTAGTTTGACATGTTCTGAGGACAAATTATGACAGTTTTGATAAAAACGATAATGATTTTCAGTCATGTGATGCCAAGCTTATTACAAAATGTAAGAATTTCCACTATAGTCTCTATCAGTTAGAGTATACCTTGAATTTACTCGGACGATCATAGTTATAGACTAAAAAAAGGAGAAGACCAACACCAAAACATCGACCCCATTTAACGACTCAAGTGTATTGTGTGCGGCCTTAACAATTGAATCGAATTTTGGATCCTTATTATGGCGCTGATACAGGGTTTTCTGCTGCTGTTGTGGGCTTACGCAGCGCTGGCAGATTGGAGCCCCAAGATCAATAAGTCGAAATGGCCAGGTTATACCGTATTCGAGTCCTTCGACGACTCCCCAGTGGTATTGTCCATGGACCAGGGCACTTTGAAGATTTCCAAAGACAATGGAGAGCATTGGAACGCGGTCAAAGCGACTGGAAACGATAACCTCTTCATTCGAGTTGACCAGAATTATAAGAAGAACCGTGCGTTTGCTCCTGGCAACAAAATGAAAGGGAGACTTTTTATGACAAGCGACCAGGGAGAATCTTGGTCAAAACTCAATGTGCCTTTCGTGACGTTTAAAAAAAAACATGGGTATTTCGATATAAATCCGGAATCCAACCCCTTTGCAGAAAACGATCTGCTGGTGACCACAGTGAACTGCGATCAAACTTGCGAAGCCCATGGCTTTGTAACAAGCGATATGAAAAACTTTAAACAAATTAAGTTGCCCCTCAAGAATTATAACAACCTCAATTGCCGCTATTCAGGACTCACAGGCAATAAAGACTCCGCTCACGATATTCTCTGTGATGCAACCTACAACTACGAGGAGGGCATGTTTGTTAAGCTGTTCGTTTCCAGGGACGGCGGTGCGAATTTCGAATATCTCGAGCCATTTAGAGAAAGCGATGTCCGCGAGGTAACTGTGACGTCTGATTATATCATTGTTTCGACATTGGAAGACCGATACAATCGAGACTCGCCTCAGGAACTTTGGATTTCTCGAGACGGCCAAAATTTTGAAAGGGCATCGATCCCAACCAGTGTCAGGGGTTCCTTTTTTGTGTCACAGCTTTCTCAGTATTCCAACCGGTTGATGCTCTTGTCTGGATTTGGGAGTCCCAGAGAGCGAGGGTCCGGTCTTGTTCTATCGGACTCTGAGGGTCTCAAGTTTTCTCCAGTACCCTCTTTTCCCGCAGACCATGCAGGATTCCACATGATATCTGATGTAAGTGGTCTTGAAGGAGTTCTCGTGTGTTCTTTCACCGACTTTTTCGCTCATTCGGGAAGGCATCCGTCTGTCATAACCAAGATTACTTTTGACGGTGGATGGTCGTGGTCTGACTTACTGGTCGACGATGTAGATAACGAGTTTGATTGTAAATCCGACGATTCTCGTAAATGTGCTCTTACTGTTCTTCTCATGCCCTCCTTGATGTATGGAAAGAATCCACACGTTACATTACCAGGAATGCACTCTTTTATTGGGTATGTGAGTGAAGAAGAGGTGAATGAAGAAAAGGGTCCAACAATGCAAACATTCTTGACAATCGATGGAGGCCAGACGTGGAAAAAAGCTTTTGACTTTCCGGTGGTAATCCAATATGGTGATTACGGTAACATCATGGTTGCCTTTCCGTTCGCACCTGATTCTGATGGAGATCCGGCCGCCGAATTCTTTTACTCCCTTGACCACGGTGAAACTTGGATGGAGCATCAATTGGAAGAGTCCGTGTTCATGGGAGATTTTTTCGCTACCGCGCTTGATGGGTCAGGATCAAGCTTTATCATGCATGGCATAGACTCTAAAAACCGCGATAGATCCTGGATTTACACAATTGACTTCTCTGATCTCTTCGATAAAAGAAAGTGTGGAGAGGATGACCTGGAGGACTGGCTTTCAAACGGGGGTGATTGCATTGGCGGGACAAGACGGAAGTACGCAAGGAGAAAGAATGACGCGGAATGTCTCATTCGAGAAACCTACAAGGATCTTGAGTTTGAAGAAGAAGTTTGCCAATGTAGCGACGCTGATTATGAATGCTCTCCTGAATTTTACCTTGCCCCTAGCGGTGACTGCGATTTAGATTTCAACTTTCTTGAGCAGTCACAAAGTTGCAGCGCAGTGAAGCAAGGTGAAAAGATAAAACTACGCCCAAAGAAGCTTCAAAGAGGAAACAAATGTGATAACCCGTTGACCATAGATCCAAAAGAAGTTGATTGTGATGGGATTACGGACGAATATGGAAAGGAGCCTATTATTGTCATCGAGAACTCGCTCCAGTCCGAGCTCAAATCATATCAATACTTCAATACCAAAGCCGATGAGACTGTCCTGCTAAGGGATAGTAAGAACGAGGTTTACATTTCATACGATAGTGGCAGAAGCTTGAAGAAGCTCATGAATAAGGTCACCGAAGTCGTTTTCAATCCTTACTTCAATACGAGTGCTTACATTTTTGGTGATGACAATCAATTGCACATCACTGATGATCGAGCAAGGACTTTCGAAACATTTGAATTACCTGAGTCGAAGCAGCTCGGGTTTCCGTTGTCATTCCACGCAAAGGACCGAGACACTTTTGTTTACTACGGGGGCAAAGGTTGTGAAAGTGTTTTTGACCCAAAATGCCATGTCGTCGCTTACATCACCCAAGATGGCGGAAGTAGCTTCACTGAGATGAAAAGCGGAGCAAGGAACTGCGATTTTGTCGGTTCCTTGTACGAGGACCCATCACACCCAGATATGCTACTGTGCACAATTCGCGAGTCCGGATCTAGAGGACATAAAATAGTCACCAGTGTTGACTTCTTTCAAAGTGAGCCCGAAATTGTTTTTGAAAATGCTCTTGGATTCGTATCCGTTGGAGAGTATACCGTCATTGCCGTTCCTCACGAAGAGCAAGAATTAAGAGCATTCGTTACAATTGATGGCGAGAACTTTGCCGAGGCCAAACTGCCTGCTGGATTAGGAACAGATAAGCAACAGGCTTACACTGTGCTGGGATCTCAGAAAGGTGCCATTTTTTTTCACTTAACCACACATATGAATCAGAATCAAGAGTTTGGAGCGCTAATGAAATCCAATTCTAATGGAACCTCCTTTGTGACTTTAGAACGAGCGGTCAATCGAGGTCCTCGAGGCTTCGTTGACTTTGAGAAGCTGGAGGGTCTCGAGGGTATCATACTCATAAACACTGTAGCCAACGTTGACGAAGTGAAATCGGATACAAAAGCTCAGAAACATCTGAAGTCAAAGATATCATTTAATGACGGTGCCGATTGGACTTACCTTGAACCACCAAACAGGGACTCAGAAGGTAAAAACTACAAGTGCAACCCAAAAAATAAGGAATCCTGCTCTTTAAATCTTCATGGCTATACTGAGAGAACTGACCAAAGAGACACCTATTCCTCAGGCTCGGCTTTGGGCTTTGTGATCGGTGTTGGAAATGTTGGAGAATATTTATTACCTCTTGAACAATGTTCAACATTCATGAGTGTTGATGGAGGGTTCACCTGGAAGGAGATCAGAAAGGGTGTATATCAATGGGAGTATGGCGACCGAGGAAGTGTAGTAGTCCTTGTTAAAGATGGTGGGAAAACAGACTCACTCATCTATTCAGTTGACTCTGGAAAAACGTGGAAAGACTACAAGTTTTCGGAGGAAGAAGTATATGTGGAAGACTTGGTGACTACACCCCAGGACTCAGCCATGCGTTTTCTCATCATTGCCAAGTCTTCCAAGGTGACGGGCAAAGAGACGCGCACGTTTACGGTTGACTTTACGCATTCGTTCGAGCGTCAGTGTAGTTTGCAAAATGGAGATTACGTTTACCGCACTTTCGGTAAGTGTCTCTTTGGTCATCAAGAAGAGTACCTTCAAAAAGTTAATGATAATTGTTACAACGGCGCAGCACCCATCAAAGACATGACGAGGGTGGCAAAAACATGTGCTTGCACCAGAATGGATTTCGAGTGTGACTACAATTACTATAAAGCGAGCGACGGCACATGTAAGCTTGTCGAGGGAACAGAGCCTCTAGACGGTAGCGAAATGTGTGAAAAGAATCCCCTTCTTGTAGAGTTTTCTGAGCTTACGGGTTACAGGAAAATACCACTGTCAACCTGCAAAGGAGGGCTGGAGCTAGATTGGTCCTCCCGTCTTCATGCATGCCCCGGGTATGAAGGAGAATTTAGGAGGCGTCATCGGGTTACTGGTGGTCGTTTAATCGCCATCATTGTTCTTCCACTCGTCGTGTTCATTGCTGCCGCCTGGTTTGTGTACGTCCGTGGTGTTAAACGCAATGGCGGGTTTTCTCGTTTCGGGGAAATCAGATTAGGAGATGAGGAACTAATTGAACAAAATGGACTAGACAAGGTTGTGAACTCGATCGTCAAGATAGGTGTTCTAGGGTTCTCAGGTCTTGTGACTGCCAAGCAATTGACCACTCGAGCGGCTCAACATACGTGGCAGCGACTACGCTCAAAATTATCGGGTAACACAAACGGCCCAACATACTTTTCGCTGAATCACGACCAATTTCTGGATGAGGCAGACGAGTTGCTGGCCGGCCATGACGAGGATGCGAATGACCTAACGAGTTTCCTCCACGATGATGAAAACTACGATATTCCCATGGATGACGAGCAGAGCAACGAAACAGCGAGACCCTACAGTGACGAAATCGATGAATCCGAGGGTCATGTCAATGCCGATAATGCTACCGATAGTTGAAGAAACCGGAACAAAACTCAAAAATATTCAGAATTGAAGACAATCATTAGTACAAGTTCCTCAAAGTCTTTGATAAAAACTACGAACAGTTGTACTTGTGCTGTGAACTTTTCCACCACGTTGACAGCCTTCTCGATCCGTGTCCGTCGTCTGACGGCCTTTCTCAAATAGCGAACTACGAATGTTTAAATTTCAATAAAATTGGATCTTCAAGCGCTCATCTCGATCCGACTCTACTAGAACTACAACGGTCTAGACGTTCCAAGCCTCACACAACACCTTTTATGAGTGCTCAACAGCAATGTGGTAAGCGTTCGAGAGAGTGGGTATTCTATAAGCTCAAGCTGTAAGTTGAGATCTAATTTTTGAGCCGATTATAGCATTTTGACTAGTATACTAACATTTGTTCCGCACTTAGCACTTCTCATAGTGTCGAAACCGACAAGGAGCTGGTATTCGACGAAATGACGTGGCGTCAATTCATAAATAACAGCTTAAAGAAATCTCACGGACTTTTCGGTGAGGCATGCGAGTATTATTTTTTGAATCAGGACGGTAACATTGCGTATGTCAAAGTGTTCATGAAAGACGCTGCAACTTTCGAATCAGCCATATCGACATTCATCTCTTCTAAAGAACTGACCGAAGTTCCAGTTTTGGCTCTTATCTTGCAACGCACGAATGACATTTGCAGACTGGACATTTCCGAAGACGACTCTCTATGGCACAAAGCAGCGGTTTCTAACGAGATCGATGATGGCTCTAACGACAAGTGATGTTATCGCTGAGCTGCAAACCATATACGAATGAGAAAGGGAAGTGAAAAAAAGCTACTTCCATTGGAAAAAATCGCAATTAGCATCTCCATCTTGCGGGTCTCCTTTGGGCTTGGGACAGACCCAAAACTTCTTGCCGCGACTTTTTTCTGTTTTGGAAGTCCTTAGAATTGTTTTCTCTCCGTGCTTGCACAATGGCGGTTTCTCGAGCATCCCATCAAGCATTGTGAAAAATGAGTTAGATTTCTTGGCCGGCGAAATGAGCTGTGGCTTATTTTGTCCGAGGTCACACTCAGTTTTTTCCAAGTTGGCAGGGACTTCTAAGGCTATTGTGATTGGAGTTTGTCTCATTTTGGTTTCGGAATCTCTTTTCTTAATTCTCATAGGTGACTTAGAACGTGAATTCCCCGCATGCGGCGGCGCTGCACTCTGTCGAAACATACTTGTGATATCTCGATTGTTGAGATTGTACCTAAACCTGGCTTCGAAAGGGGGCACGACGAGAGTTGCTGCATTTTCGGTGGTGCTGGAATTTTGCAATTGTATGTCTGCATAAACAGGACAGTGGTCAGAGCCCATTATCTGTGGCCATATATCGGCTCGCTGAATTTGGTCTTTCATGCCGGACGAAACTAAAATGTAGTCAATTCGGGAACCGTAGTTTATAGGCCTGGAATTCTTCAAAGTGTTCCATACTGTGTACATCTTTAGTCTATCGCCTCCTTGAATATGTCTTGTTGTGTCCAGCAGTGTTCCGGATGTTGCTAGATGTGACAGTTTCGAATCTGCCAACATTTCGTTCAACAGCCGTCTTGCTGGTCTTGATGGGGCATAAATGAATTCCTTGACGGCTTCAAAATGGTTCGACTCCACTTCTGAACCTTTTGTTAAGTCACTCACAGTTATCCCGCAATGCCTCAAAGCCTCTGCTTGATCGATAAGATCCCGACAAACGTTGATATCTCCCATCAAGACAACAGTCTTACCCATAGCATGAAAGTTCCGTATTCGTCTGAACAGAACTTTTAGGAATTTTAATCTAAACTCTTCACCTTCGTCCGTCTGCGAAGAATTGGCTGGACAGTACGTGCTTATGACTACTGTGTTACATTTCAATTCCACCATTACACAGCGTCCTTCGCAATCGAGCGAAAGAGCTTCTGCTTCGTCCTCAATTCCCAACGAATCATAACCACCAATTCCAATTGAGCTATCATCACGGTACCTTACACTGGTTTTGCCAACTTTGATTCTCAAATAGCCCGTTATGCCCTCTTCAGCTTTTACTACTTGCAAAATGTCACTAAGAGGATCATCGGGACCAACAATCCGTACCCAGCAACCGACTCCCGAGTAACCACGTCGTTTGGCAGGAATGGAAATAAAAGAATGGTAGTTCTGAGTCTTCCCCCATCTAGTTAACGCTGGAAGATCTGTCTTGAGCTCTTGAAATGTAATAATATCGGATTTGAAGTGGTCGAAGACTGTTGCCAATGAGTTATTCATACCGCTGAAAGGTTGATAGTGAAAAAAGGTCCGTAGTCCATTGACATTGAAAGTCACCAAGCGCACATTTGATCGGCTCTTCTCTGGTATTTGAGTCATCGGGTGTAGGTAGCGTATTAAATGGCGATTAGGATGAGATGACCTGAAATTTCACTATATACATATTTATCTAAACATCTTTAGTGTCGTTCTTGTTTTGCATCAGATAAGCCTTCAAGCTATCTTTTTCTTTGTAGATGATCAATGCAAGCAGTATTAGGGCCATTGCGAGATTCAGGAAGAACTGCTGGAAGTTTTCGACCACACCGAAGATGCAAAAGTTACAACATGCAATGAGGCCTGCCACGATGGAAACAATTTTGAAGTTACGGAAATTCAGTAGAAAGGACGAATTGTGCATGTTGGAATCTGCATGCAGATTTTTGTAGAAGCTTCCGATAAACCACCCGCAAAATGCGATTCTTAAAATCATGTTCATAATATTACTGACGATCAGGCCTTCTAACGACATCTTGTATTGACCGATCGACACCCAGCAGCTGGCGAGAAATACACATGAAAAGCCCATCATGAAGTAGGAGTGCCTTAAAATGTCTTCCCCTGTAGCAACACTTTGGAAGAAAGCTTCGAATATACCGTTGATGGAAAGGAACGGCAGATACAGACAGTAAATCCGGATGGTGTCCAAGACACTGGTACTGGACCACTTGCTACCGATGAGAAACTGCAGTAGAAATGGAGAGTTGACGGGTCCAAAGACGACTATGAGAAGCGACAAATATAGGTAGAATTTCGTCAAGTTCACGAGAACCTCCATCGAAAGCTTCACATTTTTCGATGTAGTTACCGACAATAAACGCGCCAAGAAAAGTCTTAGTGATTCTTCGATAGGGGCAAAGATTAATCTGGTGAGCAGTGAACCGTAGTTCGAAAGCAAGGAATAGATTCCTTGCTCCTCAACAGTGCACATAGAATTGATTATAAGTTTGTCACCTTCTGTGAGCAAATGCTTGAAGCACAGCTGCAAATAAACTTTTCTGAAATGTTGCAAAATGTCGTTTTGGAAATAGAAAGGCTGAGTCTTGCTTGACAATTGGATCTTGGTGGGCCATACGCGAAATTTGTTTTCCTTTGAGAGACGCGTGAAATAGTCGTAGCTGTAGCCACACAGCAGCACAGTGGAATGTGCCAGCTTGCTGACGGCGAAGGCAAAAATTGCAATTCCCTCTTGCTTTGTGGTTTCGTGCAATGTAGCTCCGGATCCGTTGATTTTATTTTCGTAAACGTACACTATGGCGAAATTAGCGACACATGCTGCCAAGACACCTGCGCTCTCGAATCGACTTCTTACTTTGTAGTTCAGCATAAGCTGGTTCACGATGAAAAACGGTTCGCTGCAGAGTTCCAGCAGTATACTTAACCATATGATCACAATGGCCAGCTTGAAATACGGCAGCGAAACAAAGTACTCATTCAAGTTACTGTATTGCCACCCGATCAGTACAAGCGAGAGGGGAAGTCCAATTAGCATGGAAATGTAAGCGAAGTTGATGGCTGTTTGCAAAACTGCCTTGTCTGCGTCTTCAGGTTGCGCATCGTCATCCGATGCGTTAGCATGCAAAGATGCGGGTGATTTGATTCTCAGAGCTGATAATCTAACAGCTTCTCGACTGAAAAACAGTGTGGTTGAGAGCAGAAACTCTAGAAATGCGTTGATCCCGAAAACTTTGGGGGACAAGTATCGCACTAGAAGCGTATTCAGCAAAAATGTGACGACTTTTCCAAACAATTGCGTGAACATCAGTAAAGTGACCCCTTCGGTCGATTTTTGTAGGATACTTTGTGTACCAGACCCTTCTGATTGCTTGACCATCGTGTGAAGACTCAATTGAACTGCTTGCTTGAACAATTTGGACTCTTCAAGCCTCCTCAGGTTTGTCGAGTTCAAGAAGATATGTATATATGTATAATATATATAATTGTTTAAATATGACATCGAATAGCCATACTTAAACCATTCAACTCTACAACTTGAAAGGTGAACTCGAGCATCGTTTGATCATTGTACTGAACCAGCACATCAATCGAAGTTGTAGCGCTGTGTTACTTGTTGATATGGACAAGGAAGCAGAGAGACAGGAACTTCACAACCAGTTTGTAGCGGAACTGCGAGAACAGGATCGATGGCTTCCTATCAACAACGTGGGAAGATTGATGAAGAATACGCTGCCAGTTTCGGCGAAAGTGTCGAAAGACGCTAAAGAATGTATGCAGGAGTGTGTTTCGGAGTTCATTTCATTTGTTACAAGCGAAGCTAACGATAGATGCACTCAGGACAAGCGTAAGACTATTAATGGTGAAGACGTACTAACGTCGCTGAATGCTCTGGGATTTGAAAACTACGCCGAGGTCCTTAAGATATATCTTGCCAAATACCGCCAGCAACAGGCTTTGAAGAACCAGATGACATATATGCGGCGTGACGGCGTGTCCGACGAGGAATCGCCGTCTGCTCCTGGAGCATCGATGCAAGAGGGGCATCAAGAGGAGGAGTTGGATGGAGAAGATATTGTTAAAACAGGTGGAAAAGATACGGAATACATCAAAGCCGATTCACAACTGTATATGTAAGAATGTGGGTGGGGTGCAAGCGTAGTGGGATGGCTCTCATTGAGAGCCTGAAGTGTTATTATTTCAAAAGTGCTCTTGTCTGGCGTCCGTGAATGCTGGCCATTTTTTCGATTATGCGTGCATTAAGCTTGAAGATTTTTGGTTTCTGTGGACCAGAACCTAGAATAAAGCCAGTTTCCCTACTGTGTTGTTCAATGATTTACCGAGAATAGCCATGTAAACAAATCCGTCCAGGAAACCGAGAAACGCGATAACCACTTTTACAGAATCAGACAGAATCCGTTACCGAGAAAGATGGCTTGAAGCAAAGCAGAGCTACTGCAAGCGGCAGCGATGTATTGGGAAAATATATAGGGCTGGCAAGTATAGCTTATCAACAAGCAACCTGCAACTTACCGAACTGCTCAGGAAGACCTTGACCAGGTCCGATATTATCTCAAGCCTGGTTAATGGCCCAGAATGGACTTCCATAGAATCAAGTCGTGGTACGATCATTGACTCAATCCTTGATCCAGTCCTTGATCAATTGTTCACCCAACCCTCGACGTAATTCTCGACCCAATGCTCGACTCTATCCACCTCAAGGTTTTTCTTCCTTGGGCTCTGGTCACATGGGCTGAAGAGATATAGCCATTACGAGATATATAAGCAAGTATATATATAATGACAAGCTAGGAACACTTAACGGTTGCCACCCATCATCGCCAAAAGCTCCAAAGCCGCACCGATATGCTTCGTAGAAGAAGTTTGGAGGCCTTGAGGCGATTTTACAGGCGTGGTTTTGGTGCACAAGCAAGGCTCGCGTCAACAACAAACTCCCAAGGGCTTTTAAATGCTCGAGAAACATTAAACCGTGGTAATCTGCATTGGGATTTGTATCGCAAACAAATTGAGGATCCTGAACTTAGCAGCGAGTTTAAAAGACTTGAGGCTTCTTGGTTGCAAGGACTGTCGTTAAAAAGTGAGGGGAAAAGCGACTCAAAGGCTCCCGTGGATCCCAAAACGCCCGGAAAGGATGACAGTGATCCCAAGGATAAGGGAAGGCCAGATCCAGATACTTCAAAAAATGACTCAGAAGTAAGTAAATCTAATGGGTCTGGCGAATTTGCTGTTTCCAGTTCGGGTTCTTCGGGGGCGGCGCCCTCTGGAAGTGATGGAAATGGTGGGGATGATAATTCTGATCGCAGTAGCGATACAAAACACTCCTCAAAAAAACCCAAGCTACCAGAAATTTATCCGCAAATGCTAGCGCTACCAATCTCCAGACGGCCCCTCTTCCCTGGTTTTTACAAAGCCGTAGTCATTTCTGATAGCAGAGTGATGGCGGCCGTCAAAGATATGCTGGACCGTCAACAACCTTACATCGGTGCATTTCTACTAAAGGATTCTAATGTTGACACAGACGTCATTCAAGACACGCGCCAAGTTTACGAGACTGGTGTTTTTGCGCAGATTACGAGTGCCTTCCCCAGCAAAGACGAAAAATCGGGCGCAGAGACAATGACTGCACTTCTTTACCCCCATAGACGAATCAAAATAGACGAGCTTCTGCCGCCTACGGCTGCGAAAGTGACCTCCGGTACTCCTGCATCCTCGAAGCCTAAGAGCTCGGAAACCGTCCCCAACAACAAAGACGACGGTACCGACGATCAAAGCCTTCAACCAAAGGCGACTTCCTCGGAACACTCAGAATTAGTTGAGGGGGAAGAAAACCCGACTGAGTTCTTGAAAGATTATGATGTTTCATTGGTTAACGTGTCCAATCTCGAAGACAAAGAATTCGACAGAAAGTCCCCAGTGATAAACGCATTAACCTCCGAAATACTCAAAGTATTTAAAGAGATCTCACAATTAAACACCATGTTCAGGGAACAAATTGCGACTTTTTCTGCCTCCATTCAATCCGCTACCACCAATATTTTTGAGGAACCTGCACGTTTAGCTGACTTTGCCGCAGCTGTTTCAGCTGGGGAAGAAGAAGAGCTACAGGAAATTCTGGAATCATTAGATATTGAGCAAAGATTAGAGAAATCGCTGGTCGTGCTTAAGAAAGAGCTCATGAATGCGGAATTGCAAAACAAAATCTCGAAAGACGTTGAGACTAAAATCCAAAAAAGGCAACGCGAATACTATCTCATGGAACAACTCAAGGGAATCAAACGTGAACTTGGAATTGATGATGGGAGGGACAAATTGATCGAGACATTCAGAAAAAGATTAGAGAAGCTGCAACTACCGGAAAATGTTCAAAAAGTTTTTGGTGACGAAGTCAACAAATTGGCTACCCTTGAAACATCCATGTCTGAGTTTGGTGTCATTAGGAATTATTTGGACTGGATTACGACGCTCCCATGGGGTGTAACCTCCAAAGAGCAATATTCAATTCCATTGGCTAAGCAGATTTTGGATGAAGATCATTACGGACTCAAGGACGTTAAAGACAGAATACTTGAATTCATCGCTGTAGGCAAGCTACTCGGAAAGGTTGATGGGAAAATAATATGCTTCGTTGGCCCTCCAGGTGTTGGTAAAACATCGATCGGTAAATCCATTGCCCGTTCGTTGAACCGTCAGTTTTTCAGATTTTCTGTCGGTGGTATGACTGACATTGCTGAAATCAAGGGACACAGAAGAACTTACATTGGAGCTTTGCCCGGTAGAGTGATTCAAGCTCTAAAGAAGTGCGAAACGCAAAATCCACTCATTTTGATCGATGAAATTGATAAAATCGGTCACGGTGGTGTGCACGGTGATCCATCTGCCGCGCTTTTGGAGCTTCTAGATCCTGAACAAAACAATAGTTTCCTGGACAATTATTTGGATATTCCAATGGATCTATCGAAGGTTCTATTCGTTTGTACAGCAAACACTCTAGACACCATCCCAAGGCCCCTACTAGACAGAATGGAAGTGATTGAGCTGACAGGATACGTCGCCGAAGAAAAAATAAAAATCGCTGAGCAGTATCTCTCACCCAGCGCTAAACGTGATGCTGGTCTCGCCAATGCCCACGTTAATTTGACTGAGGAAGCTGTCATTTCCTTGATGAAGCTCTACTGCAGAGAGAGTGGTGTACGGAACCTAAAGAAGCACATTGAAAAGGTCTACAGAAAAGCAGCTCTGAATGTTGTCAAGCAAATGAGCTTGGATGAACTACCTGCAGATGCCAGCAAAAAAGACGCTGGAAAAGACACAAATGAGAAAACTGTTGGGGTTACTGAATCTCTGTCAGAGAAGGACGCAAAGGTGACTGTCCAGAAGACTCAAGACAGTGAGGAGGCTGTGACTGTTCCAAATACTATACAAATTGACATCAATCCAGATAATCTGAAAGACTATGTTGGGCCGCCAGTCTACACGTCCGATCGACTATATGAGACAACACCGCCAGGTGTTGTTATGGGTCTGGCATGGACAAGCATGGGTGGCTGTGCAATGTACGTGGAGTCTGTTCTTGAACAGCCCATCAGTTCGAAATCTCAGCCCTCATTGGAGCGCACTGGCCAGCTAGGTGATGTCATGAAAGAGTCTTCTAGGCTCGCTTACTCCTTTTCAAGAATGTTTTTGAGCAAGACGTTCCCCGAAAACCGCTTTTTCGAAAAAGCAGCCATACATTTGCATTGTCCTGAAGGAGCGACGCCCAAGGACGGCCCAAGCGCTGGTGTCACCATGGCGTCTTCTCTTCTTTCGTTAGCATTAAACAAGCAACTCGATCCAACAGTTGCCATGACCGGTGAGTTAACCTTGACCGGGAAAGTACTGCGTATTGGTGGGCTACGCGAGAAGGCCGTGGCTGCCAAAAGGTCCGGAGCAAAGACTATAATTTTCCCCAAAGACAACTTGAACGATTGGGCCGAACTACCGGACCATGTCAAGGACGGTTTAGAACCTCTTCCAGCAGCTTGGTATGACCAAATCTTTAACAAGCTGTTCCCAGATGTTTCGCTACCGGAAGGGAACTCCATGTGGAAGTCAGAGTTCGACATAATCGATGCTAAAGAAGAAAAGAAAGACAAATAAACTCGACATATCTGTAAATATTTCAACTATTTCAACCAATCTGAAACATACCTCATACGTTTCGCAAAACCTTCTTTGTTCAATCCCGTCAACTTCTTCACTACTTCTTCACTACTTCTTGAATACTTCCTTTATCTGGTGGCCTTGTAAAATGTGTCGCTTACCTTAATATTGAACGTCAGTGTAAATCCTGGAAGAAACCTGACAAGCAAAACACTGGTAGCCGACAAGAACTAAACATTTCAGATATGCTTAACACTTGGAGCTTAAATAATACTGTAATCAAGAGATTTGGACGCTTCGCGTCTAGTTCAATCGTTGATTGTTCGATTTTGAGAACCTGCGCATTAATCAACGGACAATGGAGAAAGGGCGATCAATATGCTGTCACAAACCCATCGACATCTGAAGAATTATGCAAAGTGACCAACTGCGGAACCAAAGATTACCATGCGGCGATAAAATCTGCTAAAACAGCGTTCAGCAATTACCGCTATTCTACAGCAGCTGAAAGATCCCAAATTTTGGCTGATATACACGATTTGATCCAAGAGCATGAATTTGACCTTGCTCGATTGTTGAGCTTGGAAAGCGGAAAAGCATTCAAAAGTTCGATGATCGATATAGCCAACGCTGCGAGTTGGTTTCAATTCTTTTCCAGGGAAGCATCAAGACCTTCTGCGAATTCAGAGATGGCAAGCTCACCACATCCCCGAGTGACATTACAAGTCAGTCAGCCAGTCGGTATATTAGGATTCCTTCCACACTGGTCTTTCCCAGCGGCAGTCTCCAGAAATATGGCCGCAACAATAGCGACAGGCAACACATGTGTGGTACAACCTGCGCAAGAAACACCATTGACTTCACTTGCGTTTGGATATCTATGCACTCAAGCTGGGCTGCCCGATGGAGTCTGCAACGTACTACCCACGACCCACCGGCCAAAATTTGTGAAGCTTCTGCATAAGAACAAGGCCGTCCACGGGTTAATGTACATTGGACCCCATTATATGAGTAAAACCGTCATGAATGAAAGCACTGGAACAGGAACACCTAGAAAGGTTTCATTAACTCCAAGAGGTGAGGTACCTTTCATTGTCACGGAGACCGCAGATGTTGGGAACGCGATACAAGATTTGATCCAATGTCGATTTAGACTATCAAACGAAGAAGGAAGCCGCATCAGTCGGGTTTTTGTTCACGAGACCATCTATGATGAATTCGCATCCAAGCTTGTATCATTCGTAGAGTCGAATACCTGTTTAGGAGACGCTTTTAGCCCCGAGGTCACATATGGGCCATTGAGCGATTCGAATGAGACCCTAAAGCTTTGTGCGTTGATTGAGGATGCAAAAGACAAGGGTGCTATTGTCTTGTGCGGGGGAATGAAGGCTGAAAGCCTGGGACCCGGATTTTACCGTCCTACGGTGCTAGGTAACGTCACCGAAGACATGAAAATAGTACATGAAGAGTTTTACGGTCCCATTGCTTCTTTGGCAAAGTTCGATTCACTTCAAGACATCTCCAACACTGTCAATAGGGAGCACGTTGGATCTGCTGCATATCTATACTCGTCCGACTCAAGATCTGTTTTTGACTTGGCAGCAAAACTAAACGTCGCAATTTTGCACATCAATACGGCTTCGAACGAAGATTACGGTAGAAAAAATGCTATTTTGTGGTGGCCGGAATCACAATTTTATGTCAATACTAAGGCCCTGATATGGGAACCATAGTCTTGAAGTAAGGTGTAAAACTATTCATTATTGTCTGTTCTCTTCATTTTGAAGCTTAAAAAAATGCCGTATATCTTCCTCCTTTACCACTTGTTTTGACTCTGCAAAGGGCCGCAAAAACTCACTCAACTTCTGTTTGATACCGTCCATCGCTTTCAGACCAGCTGCGGCAAGGTCTTTATCCACGTTTGGCCACAACGCTTGTGTTCCCAATTCATATGTTGACGTATCATCATCAGAATCATTTGGAGGCTCGTAAGTGGGGTCATCTTCGGCTAAAAATGGTGCGATATCCATCAAGAACACGTAAATCTTGCTTGACTTCTCAATTTCGGATCTCAGGTCTTGCAATAAATTTTTATAGCCCGGTGAGAGCATTACGGAAAAAGCTTGATCAACATCATCTTCATCATAATCGAATTTGCGTTTTCGCAGGTTATCGTCAGTCGATGTGTCTGCATTAGATTCCACCGCGTTAGTTACTTCCAGATAATCTTTGTGGGGAACTTTGTGGGCTATCAGATCTTGAGACCGCGGATGCGCCAGTAGGTCTCGAAAGACAGATTTATAGCGCGATACACATTTCCAGCATAGAAAAGCCTCGAAAGAGTCCAGTTTTGGGAAATTGATGGGTATTTGATCCGTTGGATCCAGCTGTATCTTTTCTCCCCGTTCCTGCTCCTCTTCATTTTTCAAATTTTGTGTTCTCAAGATACAAGAGCAGTGATACCAGTCCTCGTTGCATTCCAAACCCAAGGTACACTGGATCATGGTGGAATCAGTATCCGGATCGTATTGCTTGTGACAATCGCAGAAATATCCCTTGTAGTTGGGACCATAAGTATTTGATGTGCTTGCTATATCCTGAGTAGTATTTTTCCGCAATTGACACCAGTAAGCGCTGTTAACATTCTTTTTCGCAGTTTGTCGCTCCGTTCCACAGTCGCATGTAAATCCTCTTTTGGTGAATAATTCGACTAATTCGCAGTCTGCATGGCATTGAATTGAACACGAATAACACACACCAATCTCCCCACAGGTTAAGCAAGAAAAAACGGGCTGTCGTAGTCCACCATCGATGTATGTGCATTGATTTGGACTCCATGGCATGACTTCCCGGGCTTCATCTTCCAAAGCATTTTGTTGGTCGATATACTCCGAAGCACTTATATCAGACATTATTCTAACGGTAACTGAATTGAAATCAAGGACCGACCACAGATCGAAGCAACGAAGTCCTTGCAAAACGGTTCCGATGAAAAGCGTTGTTGGCAGGCTACCAGACTATTTCAGAGGTCATACTACTTTAATTAGCCCGTAGTGGTCACGTGCTTAAAAAGAGATGTTTGACGACAACGATCGATAAGGGCTTTTATTTAGCGGGTTGGACGCTGAGTACGGACCCTATTGAGCTGTTGAGAGTTTAAGCATTTCATTCGTGGTATCTTTGGTTTCCTTATATCTCGGGTAGAAATAAACATGGAATTATCGGGCATAAATTGTATTTAACCGTAGCGATGCGTTGAAAAGCATCGATTCCACGGCCTAAGCCCAATTATATGAGGTTCTGTATCTTACCGTAGTAACAGTTGCTTTACATTAAGAATAATACGTTAACGAGGAGAAATGGCAAGTGACACAATTTACACAAGAGTCAGCTCGATTTGTTAGAAGGCATGAAAAGTATCTGGAAAATTAGTGCAAAAATATTGGGCAATTTTTGAAACGCATCTTGAAAAGAAGTTGTGGGTATGGGTTTGACGGGATAGGATTTAGATGTTGACTTTAGTTTTTGGAACAAATGTAGCCCTCTATATGAAGGTAATAGCTGGTGAAATGTTCAAGTCAAAATCTCATGATAGCTGGTTTAATTTCACAGCATAATCGCGGCGTAGAGGCATGTGCCAAACTCATGGTGTTGCCAATCCAGACCCAAGTTGTGCTGAAAAGTCAGATATCACTTTACCTCTGACCTGACGCGCGTCACAATCGTTCGCGATGATGTTAAAGCTCGTCAAGCTTCAAATAAATACGCACGCACACAGCTCGAAAGTTGTCGGAACCTCTGTCTGTCTAGCGTCAGATCCATGACAAAGTGATCACAAACACGTGACACGATGACAGCGTCAGAAACAACAAGATATTCAAAGAACCTAGAACAACCAACGATCTAACAAGAATGACGTCGATTGGACCAAGTGGCACCATCTAAAGTGATCGTATAGCTCCTAAATCAGACCATTTCCGCAAATTGCACCCGGAATCTTGAAGATTTTTTCACCTGTTAACGACGGAACATTTTCGGGAATTTGTATAAGAAGGGACGTCTTACGCACTATATAAGCTCATCCCACTTATACTAAATAAACTACGGAGAGATAACTCTAACTCAGTAAAACAATAGTTTACACCTTTCAATAATGGACAGGATCACCCAGGATATGGGACGTTTATCGTGCAACGACACTCCAGAGACAGAGTCTCAACACGAGTATAAACAAAAGTATGCAATTCACAGCTTAGTATTCGGTCATGCGTGTACAGGTTAATTGCCTTTAGATCTTTGATTTATATCGGTCTAATTTCAATGTTGAGCTATAGACGAAATATACTCTGTTGGTTAAAAGTAGCTTGATTTACTCTAATCGATTGCCCACTTTACCAGAAGACACATTGTCCATCGCAGCACTTCTTATCACTCACTTAAACTGAAAACGAGTTCATTTCATAAAATTGTGACACTAGAAAAATGACCAAGAACTGGGCATGAGGCTAAAATACAGTTCATAGAATATGTCCGTATCCTCTTAGTGACAATTGAAATGTAATTCCTCGCTATCTCAACCCCGTACTTCACTTCTGTCCGGTATTTTTGTAGTTTTTCATAATGAACGTATTTAGCCAAAGTAAACGTCTTTCCGGCATTAAAATCTGCTCTCAGCCACAAGACAATACTCGCAATCATTATAATACAGTTTGAGTCACAAATCGCTCTTCTTTGATGTGTTATCATCAATGTCGGCAAAATAATCGATGATGCTGGTCGCTCTCACTACCAACGTTAATTAGCCATATTAGGTAAAAACATATGTATTAGACGTAACTCGATCGAAGATACAGACCAGACATCACCAACTTCACTAAAGTTCGACAAGTAAACCATGGATCGCAGGAGAAGAAGAGCCGATGATGATGATAACAGTGATGACGAACAAGCAGTACCACCTTCGTCACCACAGGCACCGTTAACAGGGAGATCTTCGCCCTTGGGGTCTCCAGAAGAGATTGATTTCGAAAATCCAGATGGAGAACAAGTGAACCAAAACCAAGACCTGGACGAGATTGAGGAGCAATTGGATGAGGAAGATTTGATGGGAGACGATATGTACCGGGATTATGACTCTGACGCCAGACGGGACATTTATGAAGAAGCTGGAGTAGATGATCGCGATCAAAGCGAATTGGATATTTCCGCTAGACGAAGAATTGATGCTCAATTGAACGAAAGAGACCGGCTTCTGCGAAATGAAGCTTACATGGACGATGATGAAGACATGGAAAATACCAAAGTCGATGAAATGGGGTTGCCTATTCAAAGACGCCGCAAAAGGCGACAATACGAAGATGACGACGATTTACTTTCTGACATAGACATAGATCCATTGGCAGAAGAATTGACCCTTGAGTCGCTCAGCGACGTGAAGGCTGCGAGCTACACTGAATGGATCACTCAGCCAAACGTGGCACGTACTATTGCCCGTGAATTGAAATCCTTTCTGCTGGAGTACACAGATGATTCTGGGAGATCGGTATATGGTGCACGAATTAGAACTCTTGGTGAAATCAATTCAGAGTCGTTGGAAGTCAATTATCGGCATTTGGCTGAATCCAAAGCTATTCTGGCACTTTTTCTGGCCAAATGTCCCGAAGAAATGCTCAAAATTTTTGATGTAGTGGCGATGGACGCTATTCAATTGCATTATCCGAATTACGCAAGGATTCATGCCGAGGTTCACGTTCGAATTTCTGATTTTCCAACAGTTCTCAATTTGCGCGACCTAAGAGAAGCCAATCTTAACTCTTTGGTGCGCGTCAGCGGTGTTGTTACAAGAAGAACAGGTGTGTTTCCACAATTAAAGTATGTGAAGTTCAACTGCTTAAAATGTGGTGCCGTTTTGGGTCCTTATTTCCAAGACTCCAACGAGGAGATCAGAATCTCATTTTGCACCAACTGCAGGTCGCGTGGGCCTTTCAGAACGAACGTTGAAAAGACTCTTTACAGAAACTACCAGCGTATAACTTTACAAGAGGCACCTGGAACGGTACCGGCGGGAAGATTACCAAGACATCGCGAAGTCATACTATTATGGGACCTTGTAGATATTGCTAAGCCGGGTGGGGAAGTCGAGGTCACCGGTGTCTACAAAAATACCTATGATGGTAACCTCAATGCGAGAAATGGGTTTCCAGTCTTTGCCACTGTGATTGAAGCAAATTCTGTCAAAAGAAAAGAAGGTGGTCAAAGGTTTGGTGATGATGAGGAGGGATTGGACGTCTTTGGCTGGACCGAAGAAGAAGAGCGAGAGTTTAGACGCATTTCCAGAGACCGCGGGGTAGTGGACAAAATTATATCATCTATGGCACCATCTATTTACGGACACAAAGATATAAAGACAGCTGTGGCCTGTTCATTGTTCGCTGGTGTTCCAAAGAATGTCAATGGTAAGCACTCGATCCGTGGTGACATTAACGTACTACTCTTGGGAGATCCTGGTACCGCCAAATCGCAGATTTTGAAGTACGTTGAAAAAACAGCACATAGGGCCGTCTTTGCAACAGGACAAGGTGCTTCGGCAGTCGGTCTCACAGCATCGGTGCGCAAAGATCCCATCACCAAAGAATGGACACTGGAAGGTGGTGCTCTTGTGCTTGCAGACAAAGGTGTGTGTTTGATAGATGAATTTGATAAAATGAACGACCAGGACAGAACTTCCATTCACGAAGCTATGGAACAACAAAATATCTCTATCTCGAAAGCAGGTATTGTAACTACACTGCAGGCACGGTGTGCAATTATTGCTGCCGCAAATCCGAACGGAGGTCGTTATAATTCGTCTCTACCTCTAGCTCAGAATGTCGATTTGACTGAACCAATTTTGTCGCGTTTCGACATCTTGTGCGTGGTGAGAGATCTAGTCGATGAGGAAAAAGACGAGATGTTGGCTCGATTTGTGGTGGACTCGCATGTCAGGTCTCATCCTTTAGATGAGAACCCCAACGACGAAGAAGAGGGAAGGAACTTGGACGTTGGCGAAGAAGTTGTTTCTGCAAGGCAAAAACGTTTACAGAGGGAAAGACAGCGAGAGGGAGAAATTTCTCCCATTCCACAAGAAACATTGATGAAATACATTCAGTATGCAAGAACCAAGATTTTCCCTAAGCTTCACCAGATGGACATGGATAAGGTCAGCAGAGTATACGCTGACCTAAGACGTGAAAGTATAACAACAGGGTCTTTCCCCATTACTGTCCGTCACTTAGAGTCCATCCTTAGAATCGCGGAATCCTTTGCCAAGATGAGACTCTCGGAGTTTGTTTCGTCGTGGGATCTGGATAGAGCGATCAAGGTTACCGTAGACAGCTTTGTTGGTGCTCAGAAAATCAGCGTTCGCAGACAGTTACAAAGGTCATTTGCCATTTATACTCTTGGTCAAAATTAAGAGGCGTGTTTTGCAAAGGTCCTCGCCCATGTAATTATACCATTACCTTAATATCATGTAATACAGATCTACAGATTTGCGGTTTTTTTTTATTTCAATGGTCTCTTTATAATCAATTTTCGGTGGTTGGGATTGCTTCCTCAGCTGCCGGAATTGGAGTCTCCTCTACTTTCGAAGCAGCAACTTTTTGACTCTCTTTTGCAGCCGCAGCCTGCTTCAATGCTGCTTCGTCGCCAAAAAGGCGATGCAAAAGTTCTTGCGTGTTTTCTTTGCACACCATTAAGTTGACGCATTTACTTCCATTCCATAGAGGCATGAACAAACTTTCCTTGTCCTCTCCTCTATTAACGTTGACGAAAGCGCAGCCAGCAGAAAGAGATTTCATTTTGCTCAAAAAGTTGTCGTCAATATGGCTATTCTCCATATCTTCAAATCTGGGGAACGATTCCATCAGGAGCATCTTCAAACACTCCAAATTGACGTCAGCAACTCTAGTCTGGTTCATGTGATGTTTCATGATTTGCAAGGCCTCGTTTTGAATTCTCCATGAGCACTCAATGTCAGATCTTTGAGACACGAAAAGTTTAACACCAGAGTAAATCAATTTCAATCTATCATCGTTGGCCTCTATGATGTTTCTAAGTGATGAACTCGCATAATATATCACACGAGTTGGTTCTCCCGCAGCGTTTCTCACCAGACAGGAGGATTTGTCAAATTTATCGTCAATCCCATAGAAGGACCAGCATTTTTCCAGTTCAGGGTGCTTTGGATCTAAAAAGACAAATGGCTCCTCATTGGCGTCTCTCGGAAGTTTCTCCTTCTTAACTGGCGCAGGTGCGGCAACCCCGGTTTCAGTCTTTTGTTTTTTCTCGGGTACGAGTCCCTCCTTGGGCTCTTCTGTTCCAGCGCGTTTTGGCTTTTCGTCAGAATCTCCATCGATTTTTTCAAAAACTGTGATGAAAAAGCCTCCTGTGTTTTGTTGATGAGGGTAGACTCTTATGCAGCGATCGAGGGAGAACATTTCCGCCTCTTCTGACGTTGGTGGGAACCACGTTTCATGAGTTCCTTCGTCACCCTTCTCCTTCTTGACATAGTTCTTATCGAAGACTGGCCAGTTACTAATACCCTGACTTCTTACCAGACCTGGTAGCTTGTCCTGGCAATCCAGTAACTTGATCTTATCACCAAAATGTCTAAGAGCTCCGGCAACGACGGCCTCATTCTCGATAGGGTTCATGGAGCAAGTCGAGTATACAAGTTTGCCGCCTTTCTTAAGTAGGTTTAGACCTCTTTTCAAGATATTCAACTGAACGGTGTGCAAGCCCAATCCAGAGCCCGTGCACCAATCTCTCCAAACGTTAACATTTTTGCGCATAGTACCGTCACCCGAACAAGGAACGTCGCACAGCACTCTGTCGAATTTTAGAAATTGGTTAGAGTCCTTATCGGTCTTGACACGAGGAAAAAATTGGGCATCGTGGTTGACTACAACAAGATTAGCGCTGTTGAGCCTTTTCAACTGATGCACAAGCATGTGGGATCTTCTGTGGTCCGCATCGTTGGCGACAACGAACCCACTGGGTTCGTCTTCATTGGCATGAAGGGCTTCGATCAATTGAGCAGTTTTGGAGCCGGGAGCGGCACACATATCGAGCACCGCATGTTCAGGCTGAACGTCCAGGACAATTGGAGGGATCATAGAGACAGCTTCTTGTCTAGAGATGTTTCCCACGGCATTTTCAACCACCAAAAATCTCTGTACTTTTGAAAACTGCTCGTTTTTCCGGATTACCTGCTTGGAAACGTCTAATTGCCAAGCCAAGTTTTCGGGGTACCATGGCAGCCTTGTGGGCGCCTTGATGACCTCACCTTCGAACTCACAGTTTGTGAGATTTGGCAGGTGTTGCTCCTCGAAAAGCGAAAGAACTTCGTGGGCATGCTTTCTGGACCCGGTGATTCGGAAAGTCAAAGGTAGTTGGGCCTGGCAAGTTTTCTTGAATTCGTCCCATTGATCTTCTGGAATCACACCTAGTTCCTTATAATATTTTTCCCATTTTTCGTTCTCTTTCTGGAGTTCTGTCCAGTTTTTCTGCGCATTGGAGTCGTCTCTGGCTCCGAACGTTTTCTTGTTGCCCTTCTTGAAGTTTCTCTTCCTGGCCATTGTGAACAGTGTATACGGGACGGGTGATTCAGACGAGGGTTTGAAGTGAAATTTGGTGTGTACTGCCTATTGCGACGATGATTACTTCTGGAAATCCTGTGCGATGATCATCAACTAAACCTGCCAGCTTTGAACTAATTTTTTTTCCCATACCAGGATGAAAGAAAGAAGAAAAAAAGTCGAGGTCCGTATACAGCGATATCTTTATCGGGGTCACGTGATCCCGTGTAGTTTTCAGGTTTTCTTTCCACTTGCCATTCCTGTTTTCAAATATCCGATGGCGACTGTCTGTAATTGGTGTTCTTTGAGATGAGTTCCGCAGGACTGGAGAGTCCCTGGTCTGTTTGTTTGAGGTAGTCAGTGACCCATTTTTCCACCAGAAGCCCCAAGGTGATGAGCGCCGTTTCGTCGAAAGAATTGATCAAATGGGGGTATCTCTGCACGATTAGCTGCGTAGCATAGTAGTGTAGCACTTTGAGATCGATCTGCGGCATGAGATCGCCCGAAAACACACCTTCTTGTCTATCGGCCATGGCGGCTAATTCCAGGTCTTCTCTGGATTTGAACGGAATGGGCACCATGTTATTGACTTTCTGCGACAAGATCTCGTCCGCACTCACTTTGCGACCATATTGTTCCACCAGTTCGGCACACGCCTCATAAATGGAATGGTCCATAGTCTTGGGTTCTCCTTAAAGGGATGGAACTTACATGAAAGAGTGTAGTTGGTTGAACTTATATATATATATGTGTGTATATTTATTTATGTATCCGAACACAAAAACGAACATATGTAGACAGTAATATATGTGATCACATGACACGAGTACTCCAAATAATTGCGAGTACTTTTGAATCTTTTCACACTCATAGCATCTGCCAGTTAAACTGTGATGAGAACGTCAAAATACTTGAGACTTCACGATTGTCTTCGTAGTTTGAGCCGTATATTCCAGCTGGACAATAAAAAAGAGAATTGGTGCGGTTCCAGATGGTCCACATTCCAATGGAACGGATCAAGACCCACCAAGTTTGGTAATCATGGATTACCACCGAGGACAAGTGTCATCCCAGTCGCCTCCATCACGGGTTGCTTCTGCTGTGCTGGATTAAACTCCCCTTCAGCGATTAGAAGCACGAGAGACGGGTTAGACACAGCAAGCTGTGTCACCCACGTCTAACATTGCCGTAACTAGGCATTCAATGGACTTCTCGCATTGAACCCTAGACAGCCCGCAAGGATCGATAAGTACCAGGGCACGTCAAAACTCGTTATTGGTTGAAGCCTCGTCGAGCTGCAAACGTCATGTCGGACAGACGCCTTTAACACAAACTCGTCCCGCCGCAGGGTTCGAACCCAGGCAGGATATTCCGGGACCACCAGTTCCGCCACCGACCATTACAGTGAGAGAAAAATGAGTTTTGAAGATCTATAGAGAGATGGAGAAGGATTCGAGGAGGATATGGTGCAGACAGTTCAACACGGAACAAGATGATGTTCGTTACCAAGTTGTTACCAAGCCAGTCTTTGAGTATAGATAGAGACTACTTGATGATTGGTCAGGAGAGAGACGGAAAGAACTAAGGTACTCATGAATATGGAAGCATTATGTCCGGCATCGGGGTTCAAGTGCTCGTGTCTTACGAAAAGCTCATCGCATCTCATCGAGTTGCACTGTGCTCATTACAATCATAATGTATATGAAGGTCGAACAAAACTGTCTTGCCTCCCTTAAGGGCCTTTAAGGTCTCTTGTTGTTTATTCAAATCCAATGGCCACGCAACCAGATCCTCACCAGGTCTCGCAGGCCGTCGACGCCCTGGCAAGATCGATTCTCGCCCAAAGAGTCTCCAATCACCAGAACAAACCGGCACGACTGCGGAAATTAGAATCGCTGAAACAACAGTTCGATGCTTTTTTGAGAGCAGATCGGGAATCAAGCCCATTGGAAGATTCTGTCAAAGCCGCACCACCATTGCGCTTGGACGCCTCAAAACTCGACGAAGAGCTGCAGCAGGGACTCAAGACCGTCGCAGTCGACGGTACGCAGTACGTACTGCTGCCGCTGGTTCAAGCAACAGGGCCGCAAACATCAACCCAAACCGACCCTGGAACTAAAACCGCAACTACACAGAAAAAGAAAAAGAAAAAGAATAAGATTTCATGCTCATACTGCAATACCCAGGGCCATACCAGGGCCAATTGCGACCGAAAAACCCCTGTCACTTGAAAAACAAACAGATGATGAGCAACGAGCTCAGCGCGATGAGAAGTCTTCCACATTGGAGCTTTGAGTTTTGCATTTTTAAAGTCTTTTCTGCTTTTCTTTGATTTGGATACACATCTGTGCCCTATATTGTACATATTCGCGTGGTTTCGTTTTTTTTTCGGCGAAAAAGCACTTGTTCAGAACCTCATTTTTTCGTCGAACCTATCGCCTCCCTTCTTGCGGCATCCTGCAGCAGATTCGTGTCCACCATGTTCTTATCGAGATACACGTATCTGACGGTCGAACCTCTGATGAAGATATTCCTTACAGAAGACAGATGAGGGTATTTGACCTCATCTGAACACGATATGTTATCCAATTTCAAGTTCAGAAACTGGTCTACCGACTTCAGCGTTCCCTTCAGTTCTATGTCATTTTTCAGCTGGGATGGTAAGTATTTAGTTAGTAACGCTGAGGATCACTTATCGAGAGACGCGAATCCGGCTGGACATACCTCCACAGTGACTTCTTGGTCCACCAAGGTCTTGAAAAAGGAGAAAAAGAGCATTGGAGCTAGATGTTCCTTGGTTCTTTTAGAAAGTTGTGGAAAGCCTAACAATGAATGCCTTCTCTTGACGAAATTTAGAACTTGGAAAAAACGACTTGATAATTATTGACTGTATATGATCACGTGATGTATTTACGAACGTCAAAACTCCTAACAGAGGTCAACAACTGCGATGCCAGGACAATAAATCTCAACTTATTTCAACGTTCTTTTTTCCTGCTTAGGGCTGAATATATTATGGTGCTTCAAAGCTATTTTCTTTCTTCCGTTTGTCTCTAATCTTGTTCACTGTTTGTTGGGCACTTCAGCAATTTCGTGTCCTCAGTGACAACCAAGAACCAGAGGCCTCATACCTGTCTTCTCTGTAGCATAAGAGCAATATTAGCGTCAAAATGTTGTGGTATAAACTAAAGATACTTGATGGTAAATCTTTTAAAACTAGTCGTTAAATCAATCTCAAAGACACTTACTCCTCTTCTTCATTATTGTCAGACCTCTTTTTCAAGACTAGAGGATGACCAGTAACTCTAAAGTAGATATCCTTCACGTCGTCGGTCATAGATTCGAAGTGAGAGGACGAGTCGTAGGACCTTGACAAGAAAACGTGATCAGCAGCACCGCTTTCTTTGGGCTCAAAAATTTCGGCAATTCCCATGAACCTTTCTTCAATGGGTCCCAAAAGCTTGAAAGCGGGTTCGAGCTCGACATGTGGCTTGTCGGTCTCGATTATGGTAGAAACAATGGCCAAGTAATGACCCTTAGAAGCCACATTGTGGGAGTCGGAAACCACAGCAACATAGATATCGTTCTTTCTGCCAACTTGGGACTGTGGAATGATGATCTGGGCGGAATCCGCGTTGTTGGTGTTGGGCACAGGATGATTTAACACGCAGATGGCTCTTATCACCTTCTGGTCGGTGGATTTGCATTTATCAGGGAAATAGGTAGGATCTGCGATAACTATTGGCGCCTTGGCTGTGCCCTCTTTAGTGACAACTCCTTGGAACTTTCCATCGTCACCATACAAGACTTTCTCGACCGGGGTGTTCAGCATATAAGTCCCTCCGTAGATGGCTGATAAACGAGCAAAACCCTGTGGTAGCTCTCCTAGACCGTATAGAGGATACAAGTAGGGAGATTTGCCATAGCGAGCAACACTTTGTAGGTAAAGCAATATTCTTTCAAACGTAGGTCTCGCTGGCTGTTCCAAATAGTCGTCATTGGTCCACAGCGCCATGGAGTGACCAATGAAATCTTTGGTAGAGCTCCCAAGTCCGAACTTGTAGTAAACTTCGTCCATGGTATTTTTGTCGAGATCTAGACCTTGGTGTGTGCTTGTTTGGTCTTCTTGGTACTCGCCAATCCATTCCAAAAACCGCTTCATGCGTCTTTTCTCAAAAATACCCATGAGGGGTGACGAAATCGCCTCAATCTCGTTTGCAGGAACTTTGTAGATTTTGGATTTGTTGTACACGTAGGAGCCCGTAACTTGTTTGAAGTCGATGTAGCGGGTCACATCGGTGTGCACCAAGATCTTGGTGAGTTCACCGTCTGCCATCAAGAATTTGGGGATCAAGTCCACGCTCCAGTCGCGATCTCTACCAAACTTTGCCTCCATGTCTTCTTTGCTCACAGGATTCTGCTTGAACTTCTGGTACAGTTGCGAGAGAGCCACCGAGGCACTTTCACCGCCGTAATGGTCTTGTCTGTCGATGTGGAGCACTTTTTTGCCGTCCACAGAAAGAAGGCCCGAAAGGATGCATTCAGTGAGGCCCGTTCCGAGCACTATAACGTCGTAATCTTCGTCCATGATTCAATTACGAAAGAAAAGGCTAAATGAGGCTTTAAATGGAGAAACTAACAGGTTGTGGTGTGGGCCTTTCGGTTTCTCTTCTTGTATTTTATCAAAATGTAAGTCACAATCAAAGGGGAGGAAGACAAATGTAACGGTGAGTTAAAGTTTCGTTGCCGTACGAGGTGCTGGGCACATTGACACGTGCTTATCACGTGCGCTAACCAAAAAACGGAACGTTCAGATACACAAACGTCAATCCTGGGTTACGATGAGAGAAGGAGGGAGATTCCAGAAGCACTTGATAGGTCGAAAGCCAATCCTGGTGTTTTGTGTGTCAAAAATGAGTGGGAGCGTAAAAATCGACTTTTACCCAAAAATTCCTCGTCACTGTGTACGTATAACAGCATTGTAGTCACGTGGCAACTGTAGGTTTTCTTTTCTTCCTTTGCATCCATTACTATCGCCTCTTCTTTCCCTTACCACTTCGGATCCAGCCCGTCCCTGAACCTCTTCACCTTAGTTCTTCGTCTTTCCGATCTTTCCCTCACTTCTCTTCTTTTTCGTGGACACTGCTGCCAGCCTGTTGCCTCGTAACAACCGGCTGCCGACTTGAAAAAAAAAAATTCTAGAGCAGATTTGCAAAATCAACTCAGCAAAATCAACGCACCGGCCAGAGCGACCAAAACCGATTGTGTATGTTATCGATTGACCCCCGGCCCCACGATATTCTTTTTCTGTCTTCGCCTCGTAAATTTCTCTCTTGCAGATTCTTGCAGAAAACCATCTCAAAATAGATCGAATAGAACCAGTGACAAGTCTGAAACGAGATGTAGTTCATGTCTCCCTGCCCTAATTTTCTTGCCCATTGATCGTAACTCCTCTCCCGGTTAACCTGTGTATCGATCACCACTCACCACCGACGGGTTGCCACCTATTGTCTCTATCTCTTTTTCTCTGTAACTTCGTATTAAGATGCTGTCTGTATTCCTCATGCATAATCCTACAGCTGTCTGCGTCGGAACAGGAACAGTAAAGCACTCACTCACTCACTCAGTAACACCGTCACCAGCTATCTAGGACGGCTGTAAGACAAAGAAAAAATGATGCCTGAGCTACTTTCGGTGCGGTTTGCCCAAAGGCAACGCGACGTCTATTTTTCTGTTCTGAACTTCCGGCAAGCAGGATCGCTTCTAAAACAGGAAGAAACGCGTAACGTCCGTAACTGAGGGGGAAGAGTCTTTAGAAAGTGTCTAACCGGGTGACAACTACCCTTTCTTGATTTAAGTCCTTTCTATATTCCCTATCGGTGTCGGTGCCTTTTGGCTTGGCTTACACCAAGTCGTTAAAATAGACCTCGTCTTCAGCAGCGACGCGCACATGGTGTGTTTTGCATGTAAAATTGATGGACAAAGCTCAGTGAGTAATATAATCGAAAATAGACAGGAAACATATATAAAAAAACAAAAGCTTTGAGTCGAAAAACGGCATGGATTGTTCAAGAAGACCACTCACGAGAACCAAGAATCGAAAAAGGTGCCGGACGCAGCCAGTAACGCTGAAGCTCGTTTCGACCAGGCATCAACCAGAGCATTTTTTCGCTTTTCTTGAAGTCTTCAAGTGTGTTGGTACGCTCACAAAATAGCACTTTTTTTTTTTGGGATACGAAACAAGCGGGCTAGGGCCGTTTTATTATACAAGAGCTCGCAAAGGCGTCAAGAATAGTGTGAAACTTTTGATTTGGGTTTTCTTTGATCTTTTATTTGAACCTTTTTTTTCCGGATTTTCAACAATTGAAGAAGTGCTCAAGGTAAGGTAACTTGACCACCAATTTTTCAGCAGACGTAAATTGAGACCTAGGTGAAAAATCTCCCATAAAGGCTTCACAACATGATCCGCCGGGTCCTGCACAATCTGCGGAAACACCAGCTACCGCTGCCATCGGCTCGCATGGCGGTGAAAACCGTGGTGCCCGTGCTGGCCATCGTGGCAGCCATGGTTATCTACATCCAAGCATCAAAACTGGGCCAGTACTCGAAATTGTCGCACTACAGGCCGGATTCGCGGTCCGAAAACTCGGCGGTCGCGCCCAATGGCGTTTCCTTCCACGACTACCATCGTATCGATCCATCCATCAAACTTGAGCAGATCAAGGGAACCAAGTTATCGCCGTTGGAGCTTATCCCAGGCTTTAATTCAGATATGCGTAGGCGCTACAAGGCGTCCTGGGATTATCTGGGTCGTGGCCACCGTTTCAAACAGTTTAAAGACCTCACCAAGGAAGCCCAGTGTTACTTCTACTTCCATCAGGTATACACTTTGACTCCCGACTGGAGTAATAGCTACGACAAATGGGACTTTATCATCAACGACGACTCCCTCTCACTAGAAGACGATGTGGACGACGCTACCAGAGAAGCTTTGATGGACCACAGGCGTGAATCCGCCATGTCACTTGGCACTGAACGCATGAGGATGTATGATATGTGTTTCGTGTCGCAAGTGGCCGAAACAATTGACATGGCCAAAATGTTCCGCACCATGCAGCAAAAAGATTCCTCTCTACCGTCTAACCTACAATGGGACTTCGAGCAACGTATGTGGCCTTTCTTGGCCCCTTACAACGCAACCTCTTTCGAGAAAGTCATGCCAAAAATCATCACTCCACAGGGCGAAATACTGGACCAAGGTTATATTCCAAACATACACCACATCGGCAAGGAACAGGGCACGCCCAGTGCCGTCAAGTACGTCTATGACGAGAAGCATTCATTTCTGTGGAACTGGAACCATATGAGTTCCACTGTCGCTCCAAGGGGTATTGTTCTCAGCTTTGGTGACGGGCAAATAGAGTTGGCCTCAAAGCTCATTGCCCATTTCCGGTTCACCGGTAATGAATTGCCAATCCAGGTTGTAACTAAGGGTGATATTTCGCGCGAAACGATAGACACGATTCAAAAACTAGCACATTCTGATGACATTCAATTCCCTACGACCGATTACAAACATAGTAAAAACGTCAAGCAAAATGTTTGGTTTGTCGATGTTTCTCCAACTTTGCACCCTCTTGTCATAGATTCTTTTGAGCGGTTCAAAAACAAGTGGCTGGCGGCTGGTCTTAATCTATTCGAAGAATATGCCTTTGTGGACACAGATGCCATCAACTACGTTGACATGAACTTTTTCTTTGATGAAACTGACTACGTCAACACAGGTGCTTTGTTTTTTAAGGACCGCTTTCTCGAAGAAACCATAGGGGAGCAAAAGTGTCCCGCCATGATCGAGACGCTACAACCAAGATTTTTGGAAAAATACTTCTTCGGCCATTTCCCCGCAATCATTAGTGATTACGTTGAGGAACAATGCGATAACTATTTGGACCCAAAGGAGATCACCTTCAAGGACTATTTTTTCAACATCAAGAAGCATCAAATGGATTCTGGCCTGGTGGTTGTTCACAAAAACTCGCATATTACTTCACTCATGATCTCACTTATGATGCATATGACGCCAAAATTGGGCGGTTGCAGCTACGGTGACAAAGAGTTCTTTTGGTTAGGATTTTACGTTTCCGGTCACGACTATTCGTTCCACACATCGCGGCCAGGTGCATCTGGCGTGTTAGTTAACGATCCGAAGGTCGACAGCCAGATAAAACAACGCAAAAGTGAGGTCTGCAGCATCACAATTTCCCATTTAGACCCAGAGCACGGTTTGCTATGGTTGAATGGTGGGGCTCAAAACTGTAAGTTTGATGCCTCAAAAGACGATTGGGAAGCTGAAAGCTTGCATATGTCTTCTAAATTTTCGAGTTTTGAAGAGATGCGAAGCAACTACAACGGCCCCGTTAATATGCAAGCTGGTATCATACCTGCTGATAAGCAAGGTGCTTGGGGTAAACCGGACCAGCGCTGTAAAGGTTATTATTATTGTGCCAGATATGAGAAACACAACAAGCCTTATTCCTTCAACAAAATATTTGAAAAGGGCAAGCTCGTAGTATTCAGCCCTGAGCAAAAAGACAAGTACAATGCTATCAATAGTGTTTGGGTTCATAACTACTTGTAACCTTTTTGCAAATGTCACGCTTCATTTTCTACTTATTTGTGAGGAAGAAGGTCGAACTCGTCTTGAGATCGATCTTGCGATAGTCGCGATTGACAGTATGAGCGCTCAAAAAATAAACAAGCATGTCATCTCGGCGGTGGCCGAGATACCAAAATATTGTAGAATAATATCGGAATTTTTTAAAAATTGTAAGTTATACTTGATGTTGAGTTGTTCAGCCAATGTGGCCGTAAGGAATTGTCACAACCAGTAACAAGCAATGAGGGGATACGTTGTGCAGATCAAAAACGCACTATTCAAATCGTCGTTGCGAAAAGGTGCACCCACTGTCTTCCCGAAAGCCATAGACCACTTTGAGATCAAACCCGAAGAAAAATGGGTAGTTTGGGGCTCTGAACGATCCAAGTTTATGGATGTCATTAGTAACAAATATCTAGCAGAACCACCGCTATCGCTCAAATATGGTCATGTTCGTGAAGGTGTGCCTAGAATAGAGTCAGTCAAGTTCACTGGTGTTATGCCAACTGCTCACTTGAGTGCAAGGTACGAATATTTCAAAGACGAATTCGACCAAACATGCGGCAAATTCATCAAAGATAACTCAATGGGTTCAATGGCGGTCAGTTACGAAGTTGCCAAGACCAACAGAGCATACAACCCTGAACTGTATGCTTCATTAATGAAAGACCTTAAACTCGAAGAATTGGAAGATAGATGGGCAATGGGGCTCAGCAACGGACAAATGCGAAGAGCACGGTTGGCTCGCGGCCTGCTGAAGGACCCAGATTTGGTTCTTCTCGAAGATCCCTTTTTAGGTCTCGACCCTACTGCAACCTCCATCATTTCAACGTTCATCGGTAGATACACGAGAACCCCAATTGTGATTGGTTTGCGACACCAAGATACGTTTCCAGACTGGTGCACGCATGTGTGCTATGTGGACGAGACTGGCATTGTTTTCCAAGGCGACATAAAGAGTGTAAAAGGCCAAATTGAGGCAGTCAACAGCCGCTACAACTTCGAAAAAGTTGCCCAAAAGTCAAACTCTCAGTTCACCCTTCAAGATCTGATTTCATTTCATCCCTTGGCTCAGAAATCGCAGCACGATATAGTCAAGGTCCCTGCGAGCATTGAACTGAATGGCCTTTCAGTTTCTTATAGAGGTGTTCCAATATTGAAAGATCTGCACTGGAAAGTTCATTCAGTGTCCAAGTGGCACATCAGAGGCAACAACGGAACGGGGAAATCTACTCTACTTTCCCTACTGACCGCTGACCACCCACAGTCGTGGAACTCAAAAATTGTGGAGAATGGTATTCCCCGCAAAACAGGCTCGACAGACTATTTCACGATCAACAAGAAAATTGGTATGTCTTCGCCTGAACTGCATGCAATTTTCAACAAGTCTCAGAGCAGAGATCTAAGCGTTAGGGAGGCGCTGGCTACAGGATTCCAGGAGAATTCGTCCAACAATTTTCTGTCATGCTACAAGGACCTGGATGAGAGCCAACGCCTAGTGCTCCATACCTATGCTGATTATTTTGGTCTCGAGTCTATACAAGACGCAACATACGGTGGTCTATCCGTAAGCGATCAGAAGCTTGTGCTCTTCGTGCGGGCGTTATTGAAGATGCCCCAGCTTCTGATATTGGACGAAGCCTTTTCGGCGATGGAAGAAGAGCCGATGCAAAAATGCTTTCAGGTTCTTGAACATTGGCCAGGAATTGTATTAGTGGTATCACACGTTCCTGCGGAAACTCCACATTGTGATCATTATCTGCAGCTCGTTTCTCCCGGAGAGTATGAGATTGGTGACGCTGAAAGCCAGAAACCTTTTTGAAATATGTAGGGAAAACATGTAACATATAAAGTACTACGTCCTGGAATCTCAGCGACTCCTAGGATCGAGGGTATCTGTCGTGAAGTTGATGCCCAATGAGCTTTCCAGGCACACTTCAAGGAAGTACTCGTCGGGCTTTTCCATGTACTCACGATTTTTGGCGGCATTCATATATAGAGTAATACTAATATTAGGTGAACTATCTTTCATCAAAGCCGACATAAAGTCCAAGCAACTCCGAGTTATTGAACCAAATCTTCCGTGGGCTGCCATGAGCTCAATCTCCAATACTAGAGTTCCTCTGATTGATCCAGCAGCGCAATCTTTGGAGGACAAAAGAGCCAATGAATACGGGCCTTTAACGTCCAAGGAATACCTTCATGAAACTAGCAGTCAACAGGGAGAACCACTCCAAGAACCCATAGCAGACACACCACCTTACTATGTTGTGGTAATTACGTATTTGAACTACTTGATCCTCATCATTTTGGGCCATGTTCACGACTTTTTAGGACTAACATTCCAGAAAGACCGTCATCAGGATATCATGGAGAAGGATGGCTTGGCACCATGGTTTTCGAAATTCGAGAGTTTTTATGTGAGACGCTTGAAATTGCGTATTGATGACTGTTTTTCAAGGCCTACAACGGGTGTTCCTGGCAGATTCATCTCCTGCATCGACCGTATCTCCCATGACCTTAACAGTTATTATACCTACCCAGGCACTGCAACGATGTGTTTGAATTTGTCATCGTACAACTACTTGGGTTTTGCTCAAAGTGAGGGACCTTGCACGACTGCAGCTTTAGAAAGTGTTGATAAATACGGTGTTTGTGCAGGTGGTCCAAGAACGCAGCTTGGAACGTCTGATCTTCACTTAGAAACTGAAAAATTGGTTGCAAGGTTTGTCGGTAAAGAAGACGCTATGATTTTTTCCCAGGGTTACGGTAGCAATGCCAATTTCTTTAATTCTATCTTGGATCCGAAATGTTTGGTCATCTCAGATGAACTCAATCACACCTCAATTAGAACAGGAGTTCGTCTTTCGGGTGCCACGGTTAAGGCCTTCAAGCACAACAATATGGAAAACCTGGAGAAACTGATTAAGGAACAGATTGTGAGCGGACAGCCCAAGACTCATAGACCTTGGAAGAAAATCATGATTTGTGTCGAGGGTCTATATTCGATGGAGGGAACTATGTGCCACTTGCCTAAGCTTGTGGAATTGAAGAACAAGTACAAATGTTATCTCTTCGTGGATGAGGCACATTCGATTGGTGCCATCGGCGCTCGCGGACGTGGTGTATGCGATTATTTCAACATGAGCCCTTCAAATATAGACATCATGATGGGTACCTTCACCAAATCCTTTGGAGCTGCAGGTGGGTACATTGCGGCTGACAAAAATATTGTCGACAGACTAAGATGCGACTTGACCACGACTAACTACAGCGAATCTGTTCCACCTCCAGTTCTAGCGCAGACATGTACTTCTTTGAGAATCATTGCGGGAGACCTTAACCCGGGTGAAGGTCTTGAAAGACTCCAGCGCATCACTTTCAATTCTAGATACCTGCGCTTGGCTTTGAGAAGACTTGGATTTATCGTCTACGGTGTAGCCGATTCTCCTGTCGTACCCATGCTTTTGTACGCGCCCTCCAAGATGCCTGCTTTTTCGAGAATGATGCTGCAAAGAAAGATTGCGGTGGTGGTGGTTGCATACCCTGCGACGCCTTTAATTGAATCTCGTGTGAGATTCTGTATATCGTCTGCATTAACCAAGGAAGACATCGACTACTTGTTGCGCCACGTTAACGAAGTAGGTGAGAAACTCTTTCTCAAGGTGAGTACCGGTAAGAGCAGCGTTTCACGCAATGGCAAGCCTCATAACTGGGATATTGATGAAGTTATCAGATTGACACCCGCAGACTGCAAAGACGACAAATATTTCAAAGAGTGAAGTTCAAGCTACGAGCAACACACCTTTGATAGTCTCTGGAAAGTCTTCCAAAAATCATTAGAATGTGCGGTAAAGGGCAAAGGTCAACTCTTCAAACTCATCTCATCCCAGAACATTTTCCATGACTTCGTCGAGAAAGTAAATTCAAATCTATAGAACGATCTTGGAATTGATTCAAGTGGTCAATCCATCAAAAATATACACTGTAAACTTTTAAGCGAGTTTGCGCGATCAAAGTGCACTTGCTGCTTTTCGTTATCCTCAGCTCCCTATGGTGTACGTGGTATTCATTGAGTTGCACCTTAGCAAAACAAGGAAAGCTACATCATACAACGAGACTTGTGATCAAGGTTCATTATCTCCAGGTAAGACTGGGCGTTTACTTTTCTTCCTGAGTTGAAGATGGTGTCATTTGGATTTATTAGAAAGGTATTTTGTTTTTGAGATTAACTCAATACGAGTAGTAATCGGTGTCAGGGCCTAAAGAAGAGTTGCAATGGCATCATTATACAACATCAGCGCACCAGTAAAGACGCAGATCAATAAGTTCCGTCTCGAAACAGGAAGATCCGAAAGCGTCAAGACACTTGTTCTCAAGATTGAACCTAAACCCTCGTATGCGATCACTATTGACGATGACGAGGGATATGAGGATATTGATTCCTTAGAGTCCCTTGGTCCAGAGCTTCCCGATACCACTCCTCGCTACGTACTACTATGCTATCCCATGACGACATCTGACGGACGGAAGCAAACCCCCCTGGTTCTTTTGTACTGGAAGCCCGCGACTGTGGTTTCACAAGAATGGAAGATGCTTTATGCGGGAGCGTTGGAGCTAATAAGAAACAATTGCGGGGTGAGCAAGGTTATAGAGATTTCCACCGGTCTGGAGGAGGAAGATGAGATCAATGAGTTGATAGAACAGATAAAATCGTAAAACGTGATGAGTATTAGAGCTAGTTTAACATTTTACTCCAATAGCTGTGCGTTTGCAGAGTCCATGCGTGAGAATTGATGAGTCTTGGCGTGATTCTCCCCTTAGAACTTCTAAAAAGCAGTCAGATTCAAGCTACGTAGTTTAAAGACGTCCAAAGTCGATTTTAATGACCATAATATATATTGGCGAAATTGAAATGTGTTGAAGGGTGATGAGACTCAAGAGGGAAAATATCATTTGTGAGCCCATGCCATCATGCTGATAGCGGTCATGGATATCGAAGATCGGGATCAAATTGACGGGTCAATTGGTCTGTTATTCGCTTTCCGGCGGCTTGTCACTTTTCCAGTGCGGTAGTCCTGCAGTGAATTTCGGCAAATACGTATAGCATGATATTAATAATCAAGCACATATGGATGATCTCACAGGTATTTGCATTAGTTCCAAGGTTCTAGGCCCACTTGAATCTGTTATAAACGATCTAAGTGAGTGCTTCAGGTTTCGATCCTCCCTTCTTACTTTCTCTTTGACGGCAAACCCGAGTACAGTTCAAGTCTCATTATATGTGTCACATTCACTTAATTATATATGACTGTTTTTTCAAAAAACACCCATACATCAGTGTAGATTTAATTTCAAATATTTTCATATTTGTCAGAAAGACTCAGTTTGCAAAGTTCGAGGAGGGAAAGACCCACGCACAACGCTCAAATCCCAAGCAAGCACTGCCTGGAATTTTTCAATGACTTCTTTATAAATGCTAAATTGTGAATCAATGTACTTCCGTTCCCGTTCAATAAATCTTGTTTAGAAACACATAGAATAAACTAGTCAAAATGGGTCGTCTACACTCCAAGGTACGTCACATACCAATGTTTCTGAGAAGTTCACCTTGAACAGCTCTAGAAATAATTCACTCAAACCAATGGAATGAAAGTCTGCTTAAAAGAGGATTCTTGAAATCGGTCGATTTCAAAACTTCTTTCAAGCGATTTGTCGGATCACAGCGATGGGTTTTGAAGCTTACCTTTTTGGAGGTGCTTTAAATACCATTCCGGTGTACATCCTTATGGGCTAAACGTGTACGTTTTTGGTCCTACATGAGATGTGCGGGCTGGGTGACTCCTATTTTGAGACGAGACTATTGGTCAATCATGATCTTTGGGCTCGTCTTTTCACTAGCAGATGTTGAAACAACTCTGCTTAACCCTCCCTGGGTCTGACGCTAAATTTCAGGTTTTTATGTCGTCTTTCCTCTGTTACTAACATTTTTTTTCCTTTCACAGGGTAAAGGTATTTCTTCTTCTGCCATTCCATACAGCAGAAACGCTCCAGCTTGGTTCAAGTCTTCTACCGACTCCGTTGTCGAGCAGATCACCAAGTACGCCAGAAAGGGTTTGACTCCATCTCAAATCGGTGTCTTGTTGAGAGATGCTCACGGTGTCACCCAGGCCCGTGTCGTCACTGGTAACAAGATCATGAGAATCTTGAAGTCCAACGGTTTGGCCCCAGAGATCCCAGAAGACTTGTACTACTTGATCAAGAAGGCTGTCGCCGTCAGAAAGCACTTGGAGAGAAACAGAAAGGACAAGGACGCTAAGTTCAGATTGATTTTGATCGAATCTAGAATCCACAGATTGGCTAGATACTACAGAACCGTTGCTGTCTTGCCTCCTAACTGGAAGTACGAGTCCGCTACTGCCTCTGCTTTGGTTAACTAGACGCTGAAATTAGTAATTTTTATAATTGAATTGAGTCTGGTTTTCTAGCTTTATACTGCATATGTGTACACTAATGGGTTTTTCGGAAGGAATGAAAGGATTAACAGCTCGAAGTGGTTATCGTCGCCGTTTTGGGCTAGCTTGTTGTCACCTACGCTTTAATTTTGACCTGTTCGCTGTAATACGAAGATAGCTATCTAAATCAATTTATCACGAGTGTACTGTATCGACCAAGTTATATGTTGGTAGAATATAGCTCTTTGACAACCTTGGCGTAAAATGGTACTCCATTTCTCACGATTACCGCATCATAGGACTTATGTCCTGCATTGGTATCGATACACGCTTCGAAATATTCCTAAATATGTATGCTCTGAGCATCTGCAATTGAGAATTAGAACCACAGTAAAGACAACTTTGACGAAGCATAGATGCGATAAATCCAGCTGGAGTATCTATAGGCTCTTAAGAGACCTGAAAACATTAAATAGTCTTCTCTTGAAATCAAAAACTGAGAAAGTCTGGGACCTTTTAACGCTCTATTCGCGGAAAACCTCGGGTAATGGAAAGAAGCTGCCGCTGCCGCTGAGTGCACCGTCAGAGGCCACTTATCAAGATCCTGTAGATGTGAGAAATGCCAAGATACTGCACGACTATGTTACTGAGAAACAACGACGTTTTCTCTTACCCCAGTACATTTCTAAAGGGTTCAAAGCGAAGCTTGTGTTCCCTTTAGCTCTACACGAACAATCTCTCCAAAAATTGCATCGAATAGAATATAAACTAGCGTTAGGGCCCCCAAAAGTATCGCTAAATCACACTTCTGCTGGTAAGAGTCGAATCTGGTTCATAAGATCTGCCATCAACAAAGGAAAGCGACAGTCAAAAGAGCTTGGTCGCATTATTCGTGAGCAGAAAAAAAAGGGCCAAAAAAACCTTGATAATTGGAACGCTTGTCATGCAAACAGTAGATGGGCATGGTATGAAGCTGTTTGGGAGCACTTAATAGAACACGGATCAGTATTGGGAGGAGGACCTGAAAAGTACTTGAACAGCGCCTCTAAAGCCGCTAACAGGACAAGGCAGACAACGACCAAAACCGACGACAAAGCCGTGGGCGAGTGGCTTGATCCCATAAAGGAATCCCTTGATTTCCTAAGCACCGAGAGTGAGCAGCAAGCCAAATATTTCGACGAATATAAGCAGAAAAGAATCTTTCGCGGCCAATACCAGTATTTCGTGCAAAAGACCGAAGTAATGTATGAGAACCGTAAACGGCGGTATACAAAGATGCTGAAAAATGACTTGCCGTTTGCAACCCCGTTTTTTGAGACACAGAATCTTCCGACAATCATGAAGGCCCACAAATTTGTATCTGGTAATGCGTAAAAACATAACTGTCATTTGATGTTTGCAAAGCTCAGCTTTCGTCCTTGGAAATGTCTCCCATAGGGTGAGGATTTTGGTTTTCCACGATCTTGATATGAGATAGCCACTCACTCAAATCTTTTTCAAGCTCATCTTTACCATCTCCACCTAACGCTTCGTCACTCTTTATATGTAGCTGTCCTATACCACTGACGATTGACATCAGGTCTTGTTGGCCTAACTCCTCACCCTGAATGAGCTCTTCAAGTAGTGAAATGTTTTGCAGCTTTGGTAAATTCCCTTTAACTTCATCATCAAGGTGGACGCCTATACGTACGAACAAAGCTTCTTCCGTCAGCTGAACTTCGTAAAACTGGGAACAGCGATAGTGAAACTTACTGCAATAATGTGAGAGGTAGGCGTATGGATTGTTTTCTTGCAGAAAACGGGTTGCTGTTGCGTTCCCGCCATATGGATCGCGAACTCGATTCTGGCTGCGAGTGCATAAAGGGTAACCGCACTTTCTATTGAGGTTTCGTTCCTCGATCAAGTCGTGGTATGTCTCTATCGTAAGAAAATTGGCCAGATACTTAAGTGTCTGTCGATCTTTACAATCCGATTGGCTCAGTAGATCCAGGATTTCCAATGATAATGTGTCTGCTTCCTTAATGCTTAATTGACGATGGCTTTGAAATGGCTTCAGTACAAGTCTCTTTATATCTTCAATGCTGGTCATCTGAACGGAAAACTATTTTGCGGGTACGATTGTCTAGGTAGTTTTAGAGGTCAAACCTATTTCTTCTCTTTTTAGATTCCGCTTGGTGGTAAGAATGGGACACTAATTTGAACTTATACTACTGCCGTCAAATACATTTAACTGTAGCTCTAAACGTAAAGGATGGTACAAAACATGCTGGATCAATTTGTTCGAAGCTAAGTGCAGTTCTTGTGTGTGAGTTGGTGGAAGGCTATCAGTAGGCATTCGTGCTGGCCAACCAGCGTTAACTCATCGCATCTCTCAACGAGATACTTGTATTGTAATATAAGGACTAAGGGCTAGAAATGGAAAACCCAAAACTGACAAGAGTATGGACGAGCATGGTGGACTGCAGAAAGATACCGCATCTCTGGTAGAAGTGCTGATTTTGGAGTGCTGATAGGCGCGAGCGGAAGGCAAATTTGATGGCAAGCCCACAAAAGAGCCAGTCCGGAAGTACTGGAGAAAAGAACGAGTAGTCAATTCACGTATCGCAGCTACTCTCGAATATGATACTTTGACGTCTCATTCTCGGTGGCGGTGACTGATTTTTACATATCTGTTTCACCAATGGATAGTGACAGCTCAATCTGACTCAGTCACTTGAGTTTTTTTTTAAGGAAAATCATCCTGAGCTGTTGCCGTGAACAGTTTACCGGTAGTTGAGCTTTTATCTGTGAACGAAATACGCTTTGGTTCGAATTGATAAAAACTTACACACAGAACGTCGAGCTTGATTCAAACATGCCTAATTTCGATTCAGATATTGAATATGGCCCCAAAACACGGGTGTCCACTTTTTTTTACTTACAGAGACTGTTGATCCTACGCCCGCACTCGAACGTCAAAAACTATATGATGTAACAGCGGCTAATTTTCTCGAACGTGATGTGACGCGGTTTACGTATGTCTGCTATCAAACCGGACCCCCTTACTTGTAAAGCTCAACTTTAGTTCTATTTAGACTTTATAAACATCCTTTTGCTGGCCATTTGGGTCTCTTATTTTTCGTAACGATCGCTGTCATATCCGCTCTTATATCTTTCCTCTACGTGAGAAAATAGCGAATTGTGTGATGGAAACATAAACAAACGCTAGTTTTTTTAGGGGAGCCATAAAAACTATAAAAGGTTGGCAATTTTTGGAGTCCCACTCAACAGTTTCAGTTTCAGCGGCTGTTTGGCCCTTCACTGACAAACAACAAGGAATGTTACTAGATACGTGGTATATAGACCCAATAGATAAAGATGTAGCTACTTATTTTGCGTATAATCTCAAGAGTTTTCAAAAGCCAGTTCGCCATCTTTTGAGTACATGCGTTCGAGAGCTGGGTGCTGAAGTTTTCAGCCCGGAACGCAAAGTCAGCACCCCATCACACCAGCATCAAGTGGTTTGTGGAATCCAAGGATGAATTTGATTTGAATGGCACCGAGAAATGTCCCTCGACCAAACTCATTTGTATTTCTGCTCCTGGCATGAGAAACCGCGCTCGAAGGTTGAAAGAGTTGTTGACCTTTTACGTCATGTGATATAGTACATAGATTCGTAACGTTTCTTGGGATCGATTTTGGGTTGGGAAAATGCCAATGCTTAGAGCTGCAGTAAACAGTGGGCCCATATTCAGGCCGCGGTTCATAGAGTTATGGCTCCTAAGGTCGCGAAGAATCGAAAATTCAGACGGCCAGACAAATTTAAGTATATTCGGGAGCTTTTGTTAGCTGAATTTGAGCCCACAGATTGCAGGCGAGATATACCATCTACCGGCGATGAGCGTAGAGATCAAGAAGCGGTCGAGGTAGCCGAGAGGAAAGAGGAAGAAGAGGCCGAAAATGAGATGGAACAGATTCTGAACATGCTTCGGCTTTTCTTACACATGGAGAAGTTGATGGCGTTCTCACTATTAGCATGTTTGAACTGTTTTCTGTACTACTTCACGGTATTTCCAGCACGCCTTATCTATAGCTGTTTCGATAGAAAAAGAGTTCAGAATACTCGCAAAGAGTTCATTATGCTGTTCGTGATAGCCTGTGCATCTGCCATCCTTTTGAAAGTGGATACTTCGCAAGTGTATCATAGAATTAAGGGCCAAAGCGCTATGAAGCTGTATATGATGTTCGGTGTTTTGGATATGTGCGACAAAATGCTATCATCTTTTGGGCAGAGCGTGCTATTGGTCGTAGGCTCCAAAAGTCGCTACAAGACTGGGCCGGCAGCGCTGCAGACTCTAGCTCTCAATATATGCGCTGTGGCGTATCTAACTTTTCATGGGTTCATACTAATGTATGAGACAATTGCGCTAAATGTAGCAGTAAACTCGTATTCCAATTCCCTGGTTACGCTGCTGCTATCTATGCAGTTTGCCGAGATCAAGGCCAGCGTTTTCAAACGTTTTGACAAAGAAGGTCTTTTTCAAATTACTATCGCAGACATTATAGAGAGATTTCAAATGGTGGTTCTACTCATTATCATCGGGATCCGCAACTTGATCGCGTCGACGTCATCTTTCTCCGCAGATACTCCATACTCCTGGTCTTGGAGTTTAGCATCCTACACTATTATGGGGGCTCTAGGTGGTCCGGTCATCACCGTAGTTGGGAGCGAAATTTTTGTCGATTGGGTCAAGCATGCCTACATTACGAAGTTCAATCGTGTGAGGCCCCAAATGTATGGGACATTTTTAAGAATACTATGCGCTGATCACACTCATAACCTCCAAAAATTTCAATCTCGTCTCGGACTGCCAGTGCCTGCTCTAGTGGTGCTGTTTCTTGTTATGATCAGGCCTGCGCTAGAGATAGGGCTTTCCGAAATATCGAGTTCCGTAATTCGGACGTTTTCGATCGTTGCTATGAGCTTTGTGTGCTTACTACTATCCAAGTTCGTTTTACATCTTGCCTTGAGTAAGTGGTCTCAAACATTGCAGGGTCATAATGGGGCCAGCAACTTCGCCGTTGGCGAAGCTATGTACGTTCCGGGGCTGCCATCAAGCGGGCATGGAAAGGTCGATGAGAGAACAAGGATCGCATTACACATGTCTGGAAATGATGACACCAGCCAAAGTCATTCAAGGCTTCCGTCAAACGCAGTTGACAAGCGTGTACTACACGATTCTAAACGCAGTTTGAAGAATGTGTCACGCTACAAGATGGTCTCTAAGCGTATTTGGTAAACCCGATATCCTTTCGAGTCAAGATGCGCATGTCAACTGACATATTAATCATTTTCGTCTTTAAACGAAAGGGCCGTAAAAACCGAGGTGATGAAAAATTGGATCCCGAAAGTATAAAGCTCTCAGTTACCGGTCAAGAGAGCTCATAGAGGTGGGCTTCGGGAAAAAGCACATGCGCTAATATCCAGTATCTTATTCCTTTGAATAAAATGTTGAAGCATTTTTTAAAGGCAGCGAGTCCTCTAGCGCGCAGCGGCGCGAGGATCGCGGTACCCCATTTCCCCAGATCTGCGATGGGCACAGGACCACTTACGCTCAAAAATATTACAGGCATATCATGTACTCAGGGTCTTAAAACCAAACTCCAATCACCTAGGTTTTTTTCTTCGAGCTCGTTACTCAATCAGGTTGCGACGACAGTTAAAAAGCAGCCCGCGAAAAGGCTTATCAACTCGTCAAAACAAGTGGGCTATTGGCTCATTGGAACGTCGGGGCTCGTTTTCGGGATTGTTGTGCTTGGCGGCCTTACAAGGCTTACGGAGTCCGGATTGAGTATTACCGAATGGAGACCTGTGGCAGGAACTTTGCCTCCGATGAACGAACAAGAATGGCTAGAGGAGTTCGCCAAGTATAGAGAATCTCCGGAATTCCAGCAACTGAATTCCCACATCAACTTAGAAGAATTCAAGTTCATCTATTTCATGGAATGGGTTCACAGGTTGTGGGGGCGTGCCATAGGTGCTGTATTTGTTTTACCCGCAGTTTACTTTGCCGTTGCCAGGAAAACGTCGCCAAGGGTTAACGGACGCTTGTTTGCCTTGGCTTCGCTCTTGGGCTTACAAGGATTCATAGGATGGTGGATGGTTAAATCTGGTCTGGATAAGGAAGAGTTAAAGGAGCGTAGGTCGAAGCCAACAGTTTCTCAATACAGACTTACCACACATCTCACCACGGCGTTCATGCTATACCTGGGTATGCTGTGGACTGGAATGGAGATTTTGAAGGAGGCGAAATGGGTCAAGGACCCTAAGAAGGCACTTGTAGAAATGGCCAAGTTAGACAATCCCGCTTTGAATCCCTTGAGGAAAACTTCGCTAGGTTTGCTAGCTCTGATTTTTGCAACTGCTATGAGCGGCGGAATGGTCGCCGGTTTGGATGCGGGCCTTATATACAACACTTTCCCTCATATGGGTGACGACTGGATCCCTAGCAAAAGAGAACTGTTTGACAAAACTTTTGCAAGGAAAGAAGACTCGAGTGATCTATTCTGGAGAAACATGTTAGAAAACCCTGCGACTGTCCAGCTCAATCATAGAATACTAGCGACAGCGTCATTTTTGGGTGTATTTGCGATGCATATGTGGGTCAATAGACGAAAACATATTCTACCCGCGAATGCTGTGAAGTCCATGCATGCCATGATGGGCGTCGTCACGTTGCAGGTGACTCTTGGAATGTTTACCTTGATTTATCTGGTACCTATATCCTTGGGTTCGTTGCATCAAGCTGGAGCAATGGCATTGTTGACCAATGCCCTAATCTTTGCTGCCCAGTTGCGCAAAGCTAGAGTACCCATGAGATTCTTAATAGGTGGTCTTTCAGTCAAGGCGCCACCCAAAGCTGCCAGTACAATCCTAACAGAGGCTGCCAAGGCTGCCAAATAAAAGTCATCCAGAAACAGTAGCCAACCTCTCTTAAAACGAGAATTACTTGTAAATATTTTATAGTTACACCTCTATTTATGACGTCTTGTCAGCTGTAAATTCATCTTCTCGTTTGGCCATCACTTCGACATTCGTGTCTGATATTCTCCACATCAAAAACATAAAGATTGTTCGGTAAGGTGCAAACAGTTCACCACATTTTTCCACAATATCCTCATCATACACCTTCCAGTTCTTCTTGACGTGCTTTATTTTGCTGCGTTTAATGACAGGACCACGCTTGCTCATGAGGTCCTTTACTACATCTGGACGAGCATCCAAGTACTTTGAGCAACCGCGAGCGATTCCTAGATCGTCAGCAGCAAAAATGTCCAAACGCTCCATACTCGTCACCAGAAACATTTTAGCACTCCAGGGACCAATGCCTTTGACATTCGAGACTAACTCAGAAGCAATGACATCATTCTCTTTGCTGAGCAACGCTTTGATCTCTTGTTCGTTGTCATTGAAATAATTTGCCAACGACTCCATATACTGCACTTTGCGTGCTGAAAGGCCGCATTCTCGAAGTTCTTGGGACTTACTTTGTCTGAAAAGCTCTGCTGTTTCTTGGAAACTCGGAAAGTGGCCATATCGATCGATGATCTTCTTCTTTATACTATTAGCAGCAGCTCCACTAATCTGCTGGGCTAAGATGCTGCTTGCAAGATTCAAAAAATGGTAGTTCAGAGTCATATCTGGTTGTTTCTTCTTGAGAAACAGCTGGAAGTCCTTTCTCGAAATTGCATCGTGAAGAGATGGGTCGATCTCAAGAATGGCTTCACAGCCCTTATTAAAATTGTCGATATGCCGCTCTTTGAAATCTTCAGACAGCTTTTGTGCAGTGTCAGAGCGTGATCTTTTCATGCTCACCAAATAAGCTGCGTTGACTGGTTCGACAACATCTTGGTATTGTAAGGTCTTAAGAACAACCTTTCCTTGACGAACATATCTGTATGGCCAAATCGCACACTTCATGTGATATATAAGCCTGAGGTCTCGAAGCGGACTCGAGTACCTTCTCGATAGCATGGACACCATGTTAAGCGATTCCTCTGTTATCCTCCAGAGCTTCCAACGTTCGATTGGCTAGCCAAGATTGGTTTGATAGTTTTGATTAGGATTATAGTCGCCATGCTTATGGGTAGAACCTTGAGGCTCCTCGCTTGCCATTGGATTCCCACTCTTGGATAAGATATGGGCGCCACATCGTCTTGTTAGATGCCTAAAAAGCGTTTTTCTTCTACTGAATGATGAAGGAACGGTGAATATTGTGTTCCTCGGTGTATACGGTGACCTCACAATTGAATGACAAAGTGTTGGCACATCTCTGAACCATTAAATCAACAGAAACCGTTTGTTAGCTTGATAAAAAAGCCGAAACAACATGTTTAATACCCCCAATTATGATGGCCTTCATGTAAGATTCTCGTAGTTTCCTCAAGACCTGCTCTAAGTGTTCACACCATGGAAATTGAGTCGCGGAAGCATACCTGGAAAACTTCCAATGCGTCTGATGGCACGATGGGTCCCCCCAACATTGGTGTGTTGTTTGTCATCTTCACCCAAACATCCATTTCTCTGATGGGTGTCAGAAACACTGCTGGATCGTACAATCATCCACGAAACTTTATCTTTCATGTCCAGGTCCCGTATATCGATGTCGAGATTGAAATTCTCGATAAATCCACGTTCATGAATGTTGATGCTTGAGTTGTACGTCAAAAACTCGTTAAATATCGATACCGTGCTCCAATACGACAGTTTTCGAAGACATGCCACCACTAGCGATGTCACCAATTCTCCGTTTGTGCAGTGTATATAGCATGGATAATGATTTTTATCTGCCAGGAACTGTATGCATTGTACTACAACATCGTAATCGATTGGAACGGCCTTTTTCTTGCGTTTCACCTTACTCTTCGACTTGTCCTTGGGTGCTTTCTCGTTGTTACATTCGATAAAAACGTTTTCAATACCCTTTTCTCGGCAAAACGTCTCCATGCATGAATCTCCCGTCGTCAAAGGCTCTGGTGTGAGTGAAACAATGTATTTCAACCCCAACGTTACGAGGAAGGGTAGGTTGATTTCCCTTGGTTGTGATCCTCTATAAAAGTTGGCTTGAACAGCACTGAAATACAACGGAGTAACCAGCGACATATCATTCAACTGATCCACTCTCAAGTATTGATATTAGCAAGGCGACACAATGGAAACCCAGCAATTGCTTCTCTTTTATTCTTGTTCAACTTGGCTTTAAGTTTGATCAAGTCAATCGTTTCCCTCAGTGATAACCAATATCTTTCAACTAGAAGAATAAGTTCATCAGACTCAACTTCAACCTGTTCATAAGGACAAAGAACTCAGGATGGAGTTCTTCTACGAGGAGCAAGCGGCCAACAATGGTCCAGGATTGTCAGAAGGTGAAGTGCACAATGACAAAACTACGGAGGAAGCTTTTGAAAAGTTTGAAGGGAGCATCGACAGACAGTACCAGAAGACAGCAGATGCAGTGAAGAAACTTATCCAGAGTGAAGAAAAGGGCTTACAACTAAATATTCCTTTGGATCCACACATTTCAGAAAAAGCTCAGGAAGCATTGGACTCGTTGGATCATCAACTTCACAATGTTGAAAACATGGCCCAAAATTACTGGCAGAAGGTGTCTAACCCTTCATTTTGGTCAAACGTGTCAGGTTCACTCGGTTTGAGTGGTGGGAACGATAGGAAACCCGTGGAGTCGTCAGTAAGCTCCCAGGGTAGAGCTTCTACTCCTCCAGTGGCTGGGAACAGAACAGAGGCGGAATTGAGACTTTTGTCTAGTGACAAGAACATCTATTTGAACCACAGCATCGAGGAGAAAGTTGAAGATGGTACTGCTAGCAATGATTTCGATGTAGATAAACAAACGGCGGAGATTTCGGACCTTTTGAAGGCTGATGAAATACTCTCTAAGACTATGAATAGTCTGGTCCCAGAGCACGTCACGTATGGACGATTTTGGGAGATATATTTTACGCAGAGACAAAAGATCGTGGACATGGAGAACCAAAGAAAATCGCTGCTTCAAAATAAAGAGTTTCAGGAGGGCGCTCCGGTGAGTTGGGATGATGACGATGAAGATAACGGTGCTAGGTCAGCCGATGACCGTAATGACGAGGAAGACTCCGAGACGCCCAGGGAAAAAACGGTCTCTGCTAGTCAGCAACCAATAGATGGCAGTGACGGGGACGATGATGACTGGCAGTAGACCCACACAATGCCTACTTTATGTTGTGCCGTTATTTCCTTGTTTACAGACTATATACCGATTCCTGTATTCAGATCATTAGTTCGTTATAAAGAGGATTCCTCCTGTCTATTTTACGCTAGAGCGATGACATTGAGGCGCGGTGATAAAACAAAACGTAGGCATTTGTCGTGATGTACTCATGCTGGTTCTTGACTTTCCTCCAGCTGGTGTCGTCAAAATAGCACCACCCATAAGGAGAGCCTTTATTAACATATGCCGTATAATGTCCACCATACAGAGTACCGAAATGGCAGGCGACCCCATACAAGTCGTAGTTGAAGGGAGGAACTTGGCCTCGGGTAGGTAACTCCGTCACACCAGGTGGGAGTTTACCGTCAAAATCATCAGCCCAAAATGGTGTCAGATCCAAGACATTAGGATAAGAGACCAATATGTTGTTCTTGTTCAGTTGGTTGTCGAACCGTTTTAAGTGAATGATGAGGTTCCTAGGCAGCCTTGTAATAGTGATCTTCTTTGTTGAAGGCTGCTTGACTTTGCATTGAGGACAAGACCACCGCTCATCCCTTTCCAAAGTTTCGATTTTGGTGAACTCTTCGAAGCAGTCGATGATGCCGCAGCGGGAACCGCTAGGAACCGGAACCGAGAGAACCGAAAACGGTTGATATGTGGTGGAGGTGCGACCGCAAACCTTGCACTTCAGCTGGGAAGCATACTGACCTTGAAAAAGGTCTACAATAACGCTGAAATCCGTGGTTAAGTATCTTTCCCATTCAATTGAGCTGGCAATCCTCATGCAAAGCTTTTCCCTTATTTTTTCTGCTTCCTCAGATAGCTCTTTCAAAGATGGATTACCACCGCATTGATTCAAATCTTCATGCAGACCATCAAGTAGGAATTGACAGAATTCTTGGCAATCTTGTTGGGATGATCCTTTGAATAAAGAATTGATGGATCCACTCGCAACTTTGAAATTGATCGGTTGGACTGCACTTTTCTCATCTCCCTTATTGTGATTTTTTGGAGTACCAGGTGGTGCTGAGACAGCCTTTTGGCGCATTGTATGAATTAATTGCGAGAAGTACTTGGCTAGAACGCCCTTCGAGCCCAGCTTACTATTCAAATTGATGTGATTTTTGTAAGAGTCATCGAGAAAAATCTGGGCAAGTTCGTTGGTTCCCAGTAGACACTGAATGATGCAATTCATGTAGCACGAATTTCCGAGATTTACTAAACCAACACAAAACCCCGATACCGGTTTGTTCAGCAGTACGTGATCGGCACTTTCATCTGCAGCTCTGGCTAACCCCTTTCCGTTCGTGTCAGCTGCTGGTCTCATCAATGCTTTGTCCAACCCGTTTTCTACCATTCCACCATTAATACGAGGTGGGGAAAAGCCGTTAAGATGAGAATTGAAAATCTCACGTTCGTGTTTGACTTGTGAAGGAAGTTTGTTGCCATTTGGCGATGGGCCCAGCTGCGGAGTTTCCGGATAACTTGTCGAATCTCTATGTACAATGGACTCATGGGTTGGGGAAGGGCTAATTGTCCTGGAAATGGGTGACATGCTGGAGAGTCTATCTCTGAAGCTGGAACTTCGCTGTAAGCCCGAAGGTCGCTGTTGGGGAAAGAGTAATGGAGAGTTTGGTCTGTCTTCATGAGAAACCGACCCGTTCGTTTCCGGAAAATTGGCAAAGGTTGAGGACGATGGGGCAGGTTTCATCACAGAAGCTTTTTGTGGTATCAGTGGAGGAATAGAATATTCCAAGGCGTACTCACGATCCTCTTTGTGATGCGAACTGTCGCATGGCCCTCCATTATTGACCCATCCTTCAAAACCCCCTTGTAGTATGAGGACTTTGACATTATTCAAAGGTCTTTCGAATGACCTCTGCACCAATAATTCCAAGAGACTAACTTGTTGTTGCTGGGAGAAGCCTGTCTTGTCCAGCTCATCCGTGTATATGACGATGTAGTCGAAAGAGTCCCGCTCTTTGAAGAGGGAAACTTCCCGAGCGGGAGATGTTATAAGCGACCTTCTGGTGAGCTCAATATCTGAGTAAGAGTCTTTGAAAGAGATCGGTTCAATGCATGTGATGGTTTCCGATTTGATATGCGATTCTATGAATTTCAGGCGCGGTCTGAGATCTATAAGCAGCACCCTGTGTTCGTTTGATAGCGTGGAAAGACGTGACGGGCTGATTCTTTGACCATTCGTCCACGTTGATTCGGTGTAAGATTTGATTGCCGCAGGTTTTTTCTCTGCTGTCGAATGTTCCTTTATAAACTTGCGAATCTCTGCGAATTTCTCGTCTGTAAGCAAAGTCTTGACCAGCATATTGTACAAGTCGATCAGACCCTTTTCACGTTGCGTCTCGGCGTTATTTTTGGCGTGCAGAAATTCAGGTAGTTCTGGGATCTTATTCAGCACCAGCTGAGATACGATCTTGTAGTACACATATGCAGCTTCGTAAGTTTCAAATATATTTTCGTCTCGCGAGCCTAAAGATTGCGGTGAGTTTTGTGAGCCTTTTCTTCGGAGTTTCTTGCATTCTTCCTGGTAGTTGACTAGGGTGTCGATACACTCTTGCAGAAGCGTTTCCATGTCTTGGTTTTTCCCATCATCTTGCTTGACAAACTCGTCTGCAATATGTATCAGTTGCGTTGTAGACTTGCACGTTGGTTGAGCAATCTTCTTGTGTGGCATACCTTCTTCCTCTCTCGAGGTAAAGTGGTGGGTTCAGTGGTAAACGGAGGGATGACATGGGCCAGGGTCTTCAAGTTACCTTCCATGACTACATTTAGGTGATTTGTGTTCGAGTTAAAGTGAGACGTGGAAAGTGATAGCTAAACGTTAAGGAATATTGATACTGGAATCACGTCGGTGATGGCATGACTGGTTGTGATTCATTGAGCTGAGACTTATGCTCAGCGTGTCTCTACGAACAAGGTCGTTTTTCCAGGCTTTCAAATACGAAACTCTTGAATGTCACTAGAGGACTATTGATGTCACGTGACCAGGGGAATGAACGACGATTCGACGTTGAGAAGAGGCACATTATCGTTGAACAAAGAGGTATACTTAGTAAAGTGGGTGCCCGTGCTGCCTATCTATTCTTTACATGTCTCCTGTGATTCTCATTGCCAATACCTAACTGGGGAAGAGCCTCTAAAGCCAATCCGCCGACTCGCTCGTTCATAATGATCAAGGACTCCGAAACATTCACGTGTTTAATTCTAGATCCATCCAACCGGTTAAAGCTAGCCTAATTTGTATGGAAGACTTCAAGATATCAACATGGAGCACTTTTTCTTTCCGTTTTCTTGAGAGCATCCGATCAACGCTTGACGTTTTTCGTTGCCACGGGATTCGGTAGACTCCAAAACACATATTCTTTTATAATAGTGAGGTTATAGCTAGGTACAAACACTGGTCAAGAGTTTAGTTTGCGCACGTGATCACATATTTTAAATTCTCGTACTTCTCTCTTCTGCTAACGCCAACATCATTCAACGGGTCTTTTCAGAAATGATGGATGTGCTTCAATGTGTTCTCATCAGATTAAGGCAAGTCGTTGTTAACTAGTCAGCCGCACGCAAATATTGTCATTTTCCACTCGTAGACACGAAGAGACCCAAGAACTCATAGACCCAGCCTCGTAGCATACGACACAGTTTTTGTCAGATTCGTCCCCCATAACTGTACTGTACCAATCGTTAACTTCAATCTATGTGACAACCCTTATAGTTTGACACCAACTAAAAGTTTGTTGAACCTAAGAATATTGATTTGTACGTAGCTTGCAGATTTCATAACGAATTTTATATATATTTGGTTGTTCTTCATGCGACCCTGGCTTATCGCAGAGCTATTTTTATGCTAGCTGAGCGCAGTGGGGTCTAATACACACCGTCGTCGGGTCTCTGCTGCTCGACTTGTGCTTCGTCACCCTTTTTCTTGAGCTCTTCACGGCTCGGCCTCTGGAAGTTGCCTCCTCCTATGGACCCGGATTTCTTCTCCAAGTCTTCCAGTTTCTTCTTGTTTGCGTCCATTTGCTCTTGTGATGAGCTTTTTGGAGTTTTGGATTTTGGGTTGCTTGAACTCGCACCGGAGATGCTTCTCACGGCATTCCCACTTCTGGCTGCACGCAAAGACAAAGTTTGGAGTGCTCTAGTACCTCTAATAGTATGTTGTAGCATGTTTGAGCTTGATGATATAGTTAGTCGACTGGGCAAACATACAGTTACCTCTCCCACATATTCTGGATCTATACTCCCCTTATATAGTCATGTTTCCTGCGATGCTATGCATATCGTATTGTGTGCTACTTGCTCTTGCTTGTGTGCTAAGGGACAATTGCAATTGTCTATAATTGCAGCATAGCAAGCCACACGAAAGCTGTGAACTATTGCTGCAACAAAGCTGACGACACTGACGTTGAATTCCCCGCTACGGAGTCGAGTCGGAAAAGTCGGGCTGAGAAATGGTTAGCGGGGCGGGGAGTACAATCCGGTAAAGGGAGCCTTGGACTAATTAGAAGGGTAGGCAAAAATAGCAGTATCTAAATGGAAAAATCTGTAGCTACCTTTAAAACTGACGGACGCATTACAGTATATACATAGTGAGCTTTTTAAGCAAGCCTTTATGGCTTTGCGTGAAAAAAAACCCAGACTCACGCACAGTGCTGTGTGAGAAGCTTTCAATGTTGTAAGTTGTATCTTGTTTTTCTTCCTGTAACGGCTATACGGCTGTCCAGACCACAATTCAACTTTATAATGGGGGCATCGTGTATTGACTTAGTTTCGGGACCTTCTTCGTCTTGGAATCAACTAATTCTCATACTCCTCCTTCACCAACTCGCGGACCATATCGCACCATTTGGACTTGGCAAAGGCAGCGTCGGCCTTGACCTGGACGTTTTCACCTTGGAGTAGAAACCCAATGCGTTCATAAAAGGGAACCAACGGCTCGTGCGTTATGATTGCGATTCTTTGGCCCACTTCTTGGTTGCTGAGCTTTTGAATGTAGTCGGTGAGCAGTAACGTTGCCAGGTTCTTTTTCTGGTGCTCGGGCGCAATCACTACCGAGTGGATACCAACGGTGGTGGAAGATTCGTCGTGTGCTTGACCCATGCTTTCCAAAGTTATTTTGGAACCATGCGAGCTATCAGACGATGAAGGGACCTTAGTACCTAGAATGTGGCCAATCAATTTTTCGCCCTTAACTTCGAGACCATCCACGTCCCGGATGAAAAGACCGGAGCACAGTTCGGGACAAACTTTCAAACGGAACTCAGTTGTTTCACGAGACGCTCTTTCTTCAGGTGGGAATCCCCTACTTTCAAGCTCGATTACTTCATGCGCGTCTTCAATCAACAGCGGACGGATGTACATGTGCAGCGGCAGGGTAGAACTCATGATGCAAGTGAGGGCGTTGTGCGATAGTTTTAGGACAGTGAGATGTTGAGTTTTAACAAACGCGTTTGATCAAAAGTAGAAGTGTAGTGGTGGTGTTGAGAACAGTGACAAATTAGTAGCAGAGCTATGAGAAGAAAGCACTGTGTACGTGAGGTGTCTGGGTGCTGCTTGTACATTTGATCACGTGTATATTTTTCTCCCATACTCATCGGATCCCAACATTCGACCATAGGGAAGACTTCGGAGATCGTACTTCTTACTCTGATCTTGCAGCGATGCCATTGATGGTGCTAATTTGGTCCATTTCAAGCCAAGCCCGCCGAAGAACGACAATGGACGTCACAGAAGGGAAACCGAACCAGATGCGAAAGAGCAGAAAATGACATAATACACCATACTACTTTGCACTGAGATCAATCCCCCTGTTATCTTCCACAACATCTACACCTCCTCTTTGCAGAATTGTATATCAATTTATCACGTGACGTTACAATTGTTTACCGTCCTGGCAACGAACAAATATCCCCCCAAATTTATATTCCAACCGTCTTAATGCACAACCTTCTGCATATCTCAACGCAACTTCCCTACTCTACTGAACTTACTTCTAGGTACAGAACCTCTATAAATCACTATTCACGATCAGCCATCTAACTATAATTTACGACCATATTTTTTATTCAAATTTCATTACTATAGAAGAGACAACCAAACCACGCTTAACAACACCTAGCCTGGCCCAACCTGGCCCAACAAAAACCTCCTTCATCTACCTTCTCACCTCACCCATACACATGTCAATTGCCGAGATTCTCCCGCTTGAAATTATCGACAAAACCGTGGGTCAACCCGTATGGGTTATGTTAACGTCACACCGCGAGTTTGCGGGCACTTTAGTGGGCTACGACGACTTTGTTAATGTAGTTTTGGAAGATGTGATCGAATACGACCACGACCAAGAAATTAAAAGACATGCAGGGAAAATGCTACTCAGTGGGAATACTATAACGATGCTAGTACCCGGCGGGAAACGTGTGTAAAATAATAGATCCAATTGTAATAAATGATGAAACCTTTATCATGTACAGACTAGAAAATGGCACTAGAATTGAATGTGCATAGAATGACATCGTGGGCCTGGAAATTTCTAAACGCTAAGATTTGAGGGAAGTTATCCCAGTGCAGAATCAGAAGCATGATGTGTTTCCATGCGGAAGGCATATGGACCCTAGAGTCGGAGAGTGATTTACAATCTATGTCTTAAGCTTAATTCATGGATTCCGTTATAATAGAAAATGTTCGATTTGTATATATACGCTAAGGACGAGAATAGAAATTTCATGCAAAAGGATCGAAAAACCATTCGACGTCTGTATCTTCAAATACACGCATCCCCATGGTCTTGGCCTCTTTATGGGTATCGGGTGCTGTGTCCATTCGTATCTCGCACCATTTTTTCAGTACTCGGGGTTGCAAGTAGAATGCATTTACGAGCAGATGACTGGTGACAGCATAACACAAACCAATAAAAAGGTCAAAGCGGAAATGATGGTCGAGATACATGGTACTCCACCATTGCAAAATCGGAAACATGGTTCCTAAGAAACGAGGAATCAAAGCCATGTGGAAAATGGACAACAATTTAGAATTGAGGGCCCTCACAGGCACCGGAGTACCGTAACGGAATTTGGGATGGGTCGACGTCACGGTGGATGACGTGAAAAAAGCTTTTGAATCACCAGAATCTCTGGACAGAAGATCGAGCTCGATATCTTCTGAAGACCAGTCAGGGTCAAGTGACGAGCCCCGTTCAAGAGCGGAATCTGAGATTTTCGACGTGGTGGACGACATTAGCGGCGAAGGCCCCACAGGTGTCTCTTCTGAGTCTGTATTTGGGTCCACAACGAGGGGAAGTGTAGCCTTGGTAGATGCCGCACGGGTGATCAAAAACAAGAAACATTGAACAGCCATGGCTGAATGCAAAGAGGGTACGGCACCGAAAACGATGGGGGACTTGTGGAAACCTTTGGAGTTAAGATGAGTTCCCAAATGGGAGTCTACACGGGTTAGACCCGCAGCGTAGCCATCTTGTTCGTACGAGACATGTTGTGTGTCGCGGATCCCGTACATATGGATGAACCAAGGTGGTGCCATGGGCAATGATAAATGCGTTAAAACACCACAGATATTTTGAGTGCCCATGGCTAATGAAAAGGCCTTGAGTGTGCCGGGCGGTTGGAAAACGTACAGGTACACGGCGGTGAGGATTGGAGCGATGAGATGCAGCAGCACGTACGAGACCCAGGCCAGGATGTCTTTGAATTTGTTAAAGTTGGATTCGCGTTGCCAAGCCAGCAGGTTAACGGAATTTAGTCCCACGAACGCCAGCAATAGATACAAAAAAGGCAGCAGCACGCGGCGGTTGGTGGGCGAAAACCTGTACCCACGGTGGAACAGATGTGCGTAGGGGTCCAAGACGTTGGCTTGGCATCTTTTGCAGTAATACAGGTAGTACCACAGCGATATTGGCAGTAGACTGCACACCAGCAGCGCGAAAAGCGCTGCTGCGAGCCACGACAACGGCGTGAGCAGCTGGCCTTCGTTGGTACCCAGCTGTGCTTTTAGTTCGCCCGCTAGGTCTCCGAACATGAAAACGTCTGCCAGAAAAGCGGCTTTGTTGTGGATGGGCGGACGCCAGCTGGTGGGGATCAGGTCTGCGTTTTTGAAAACGCACAGCCAGATGAACACGGGACAGAAGTTGAGTGCGAAGTTGAATGCAAATGCTGGGATGTTACGGGTGTTGAGTCCTCCGCGATACACCCGTCTTATGAACTCCCATGGCAGCGTAACCACGAGGCACAGCGAGCGAAGCGAGCTGTGCATGATGGGTGGGATGTGGAGCAGGATGTGTGGAGCGAAAACGAAATGCACTATTTTACACCTTGTCTCTACTTTTCTCTCTCTCTCTCTCTCTCTCTCTCTCTCTCTCTCTCTGCTTCTCTTCACCAGCTGTTTGATGATATTTTTTTTCCACTGTTGGTGCTGAAAAACTCAAAGACAATGTTCTAGAATGGATGAGTCTTGGCGGAGAAAACAAACTCGAGTTATATCTGAATGTTGACACTTCTCAGACCAAAGATTCTAGCAGAGATGAGGTCTACCAACTCCGTACCGCAACGTATATATATTTAGACTGTTCATGAACATTGAACAGAATGAGCCCAACCTATTCCTGGATCATCGCACTCATCGAGAGGCTCTCCGTTCTACGCCGTTGGCACTGTATGGGTCTCATTCTTTTACTGCATTGAGAGTATGTGGTGCAGGGGCGAAGCAACGGGCGTTGCCCAGCATAAGCGCAGTGGCGTAGTGCAGCGCGGAGAGCCCGGGAGCTTGATTTAGTCGTAGTGTATATTTTTTTTCGCGGGTCGCACTTCGGTTCCTTGTGAGAACGCAACAGAGAACAGAACGGGCGAAGAGCGAGCGCATGTTTTTCGTGGGTAAAATAGACAGAGAGAGAGAGAGAGAGAGAGAGAGACGCTTACGGTAGACAACCGACAACCGAGACGGCCTTAACAGATTTGGAGCACTTACCGCCGAAGCACCACTCTCAATAGTGCGTAGCTAAATAGAGAGACACACACACACTAGTGAGGAGTAATGACGACGACCCTCTGTGTGGGTGCAGACTGGTAGTGGTTGTGTAAGAGAGCTATTTGTCTGCAGGTGCGGAACGCTAGGAGGATCAGCTATGAAGTACTTGTGAGTACTACAAGGATCCGCGGAAGCAGATGCGGAAGCAGACGCGGAAACAGACACGGAAACAGAGGCACCATGTGGAGGACAAGAGTGGGCAGTGATCAGATATCACAGCAGAGACGTTGCGGCTATAATTGTTAGGCAATGTACAGAAGATAGCTGACATAGTCGATTGACTGGGCGTGGAGAATAGCGCCAAGGTTGTGGTTCTCACTTTTTCGGTTACTGTTGCTCTAACACTCAGGTCATAACGTATCTACACTTCGTATTTACACTTCGTATTTACACCCTGTCTGTGCATGATATCTTCCATGTTTTCGTCATAGAGACGCCAATGGCCATCAACGGACTGTGGTTACGTAAACGTTAGGGGGCAACAGTTTCTATTCTAAAGTTAGAATTGGGTGAGATACCCATAGGTCATTGACCCGGGGTGGGAGTGGTCACGTGATAGATGTTTTTAATTGTGCAATTCAAAACCGGTGTGAGAAAACAGGGATATATGGATTTGGCGGTTTTAGCGGTGGTCCCTTGAAGGCTTTGAATCCGTGGGGCTTTGAATACGTATGGGGTTTTGAAATATGTACGAATTTGAATACGTAGGGCTTTGAAATATGTACGAATTTGAATACCTAGAGCTTTGCAATACGTAGGGCTTTGCAATACATAGGGCTTATCTACTAGATCCAGAATGTAGGCTTTGCGGGGATGGAACACGTGACCAACGTCACAACTATGCGTTTACAAAATCATGTACATTGGCGACTCCTTCAATAGTCTACTGTGTCAAAAGCATTAGGTCACTAACCCTGGACAAGCAAATGAGTTTATTTTCATATTACGAAGTCGTACGATACACTGAGCTTATCGATGAAGTCTTTGAAAGCATTCAAGTTTTCAAATCTCTTAATGTCGCAATCCACTCTATAACATAAAAACAGAAATTTCAGATTCAAAAAGATATGAGGGCGACAGATATGGCCATTAGCATAGTCAAACAATTGAAAGCCCAAAAATGAGTATCTCCAAATCGAATTATACGGGAAGACTCTTCGATGACTTAAACTACCCACTGAAATCGTTCTTCAACAAGCTGGGCTCTTAAAATTTTCCGCGAAAGGACGTAGCTCACACCTTTGGAAAGCATGTTATCAACGATAGACGAAAATTCTTCGAAGCTTACTTTATCCTGGTAATGATCTAAGGCTACCATCACCAATATCCACAAACTCCGATTCACCATTAAACCAAGAGTGCATCACTGTGTACGTACCAGCAGTCTCGATTCTTCGTGTAACGAAAACCCGTTAGACGCTGATGTTCGTATTTCTCACGTATTCTCTTATTTCCTTTAATCAGCAGCTGTACTGAACTTTTTGGGAATACCTCTATTGGCACACTCAAACAAACATTAAAAGACCTCAATCAATTTCTTAGCACCGTAGTGCCTGAGAAGCGAAAATTTGTTATTCAAAACTCTCTTGCCAATGGACAAGTATCTTCAGTTTCGTGTTGTGAAGAGTGGTTGGGTGAAAATTGGCTTTGGCTTTTGAGCCACTACTCAGAATATGCAGCACTTCGCTAAGTGGCTCATTTGAGTATAGTTTCGCCTTCTCCCAAAATCGCAGTATTTCCAGCTGTTGCTGCTAGCGGTGGTAAAAATCAAATGATGTGTCTCTAAGTATTTCAACATGCATCGCTGAGTCAACTCCGCGTTAGGCTGATCTTGCGGATGGAATCCAAGCACCTCTGAAATTTAGGATGTGAACGAACCACTGTGCCAGCCAAGAACATCGTTCAATATTTTCTTAGAGAGCATTCTGTATCTCAAAGTGTCCGTAAGACCGCCTCTTAAACCTTCAACGACCCCACAATACCCCGACCCTGTTGATAAAAAAGCATCGTATGTTCTTCAAACATGCGCGTTACGCGAATGAAAGTAGTCATGGGTTTTATTTCACAGTGCTTACTCTGCAACAACCTCTTTGCTTGTCGTGGAAACCGTAAGTCTCGGGAAACGAGTACATGTGTATTCTGATCTCCTCGAGCGACCCCTTTTCCTTTCTAGGTGTGACTTAGCATTCAAGTTACACAATCATAATCAAAAGACGTCCTTCTACTTATCAAGATGTTGAAGTTGATGATCACTTAAATTGCCTACCGTACTTCATAGATTGGCCGCTGAGCTGTAACGACATGCTTTCAGAAAAACGGCACCACTAGGATTAGCTACCGACTCTGACTAATTTTTAACAGCTCAATCTACTGTGAAAAGACATCAAAGAAGAAAAGAAGCTTCAAGAAGCAACATACTTCTGTATCTCAGTTAAACAACTTAGCTTTGACTTGTTAGGCTGATCGATGAGCCAAAATTCGAATCTTTGAGCATTTCGAACGAAAGATTCGCAAATCGGATTCATCAATCGTACCCACACTTGTCTTAAACCCAGATTCCAAATCTTGCTCAGCCACAACATCATTCAGAGCCAAACCTCAGTAACATTGGCTCGCTACCCAGTCGTCCACAAGTTTCACTGCACAGCATAGAAACCATCATCACTACCCACGAAATCACCTTTATCTTCCTAAATTTCTGACACTCATCATACAACATTCCATGTAATTTTACAATTCGAACAAACATTATCAACTTACAACCCACAATCCTTCGGTAAGCGCCATGAACAACAATCAAACACACGCACAATACAAAGTCCAGCTGCTGTTGCACATCAACAGCGTGCTTCTAGCACGAATCAATCAAATGAACGCAAACCCAACGCAGTTTTCCGCCGAACAACAACAGAATATCACCGCCCAGTATCTTAAGCGCGTTCACGCTAATCTCCAATGCATTTCACAGCTCAACCAGGGCGTTCAAGATACCAAACCGGCCCTGCTGGATTCACCACAGCTGCCGATGCAACAGAACTCCCAAGACATCCTTGCGAAACTGTATCTTTTGACCAATCGTGTGTTCGAAGTGTGGTAATTACGACAGGATCGAATTGCCACAAAACCGTTTACGCATCGATCACGTGATAAACACACTGTTAAAAATAAACACGTGAATATCACATGTTGTCTCTATTTTTTTTTTTTTTTTTTTTTTTTTTTTTTNTTTTTTTTTTTTTTTTTTTTTTTTTTTGTTTTTCGTATCTCAAGCAAAAAAAAAAAATTGAATCGCGATCACCTGTTTGAGCGTTCCTGTGTCTGAAGAGTGAGGAAAGCTAAAGAAAGGGAAAGGGGGTTTAGTATTCTTGAGCTAACTACACCTCTAGAAGTTCGATAAAAGGTATCTGATACAAAACTTGGCAGGAAGTGAAGTCCGAAAGACGTTACGAAAGGCCTCAATGAGTGAAAATACCAATGGCTCAAATCAGCCAGAGTCCTCTCAACAAGATTCTACCGGGCCCGTCGTGTCGGGCCGGATCATAAACTGCGTCCCGCAACTTCCCTACCGTATCGGTCGCAACGACAAATATTCGGCATTGCGGGGAGATGATCCATCCGACGAGTGGATTATGGAGCCCATCAGTGGCAACAGCGCCCTACACTCCTCGTTGTACCTCCTGCGGGACTCTCCTGACTGGGAAGAACATGTAATTGGATGGACTGGCGAAATTGACCCCGGTAACGCATTCTCCTACATTGCACCCACAGATCCGCAGAAAACCGCCGAGGAGGCCACTGAGGATTCCAAATACAACTCTCAAGAGCTCAATGAGGATCCGCTCTATCTTTCCAAAGAACAAAAACGAGCCATGGCCGAAAAATTGCAAAGTCAAGAGGACTCGAAGAATAAGATGACCGTGCACCCTGTATGGCTATTACGTAGAGACCAGGCCCGCTGGCGTGCATTTGCTGAAAAGGTGGTATGGCCAGCATTACATTACATTTTGAATGCCCCTTCAGACGGTCAGCAGGAAAATACATGGTGGTACGACTACGTCAAATTCAACGAAGCGTACGCGGCCAAAGTGGCCCAAATTTACAAACCGGGCGATATTATTTGGGTCCACGATTACTATCTAATGCTTCTACCCCAGCTTTTGCGCATGCGTTTTGGAGACGCTGTCATTGCGTATTTCCACCATGCGCCTTGGCCTAGTAACGAGTATTTCAGGTGCTTGTCCAAACGTAAGCAATTGTTGGACGGTATTCTTGGAAGCAACCGAGTTTGTTTTCAAAACGATGGGTTTGCCCGTCACTTTGTGTCCGGATGCAAACGACTTTTGGATTCAACCTCTACGAAAAACAGGACAAATACCAAAGGCAAAGACGAATGGCTCATCAGTGCGTATGGTGGTGATGTGGTTGTCGACTCATCTCCTACAGGTGTCAACACTGAGCTAATTCTGCGCAAAGCATTCACTGCTGACATTGATGCCAAAGTAGAAACGATTAAGGCTGCCTATGAAGGCAAAAAAATTATATTCGGAAGAGACAGACTTGACACCGTGCGGGGGGTGGTTCAAAAATTGCAGGCCTTCGAATCTTTCTTGGCCATGTACCCGGAATGGAGAAACAAAGTCGTGTTGATTCAGGTGAGCAGACCAACGTCCGCTGACAATGCCTTGAAGCTGGAACAACAAGTCAATGACCTTGTCAACTCTATCAACTCTCAGTATGGATCTTTGAATTTTGCACCAGTGCAACATTACCATATGCGTATTCCTGAAGACGTATATTACTCCCTGTTGAGGGCTGCTGACCTTTGTCTAATCACAAGTGTTAGAGACGGCATGAACACTACTGCTCTGGAGTACGTTACCGTGAAAAGCAGATCAACAAAGGAAAACTGTTACGCGAATCCTCTCGTACTGAGCGAATTTTCTGGTACTAGCACTGTATTGAAGGGTGCAATTCTCGTCAACCCTTGGGATGCCGTAGCAGTCTCTAAGGCAATCAAAAAAGCTTTATCAATGACAACACAGGAGAAGGCGACCCTGGAGAAGAAATTGTGGTCGAAAGTGCCAACGACGCAAGATTGGAATGCTAACTTCCTCAAGAGAATGGTTGCAATTGCTGAGAAAAAGGACTCAGAAGACAGTAAGATAACTCCTGCACTCAACCGGCCATTGTTACTGCGTACTTACCACGCATCAAAGCGTAGGTTGTTTCTTTTCGATTACGACGGGACTTTGACACCGATTGTTCAAGACCCAGCAGCAGCCATTCCAAGTGCCAAACTCTTCCGCATACTCTCGAAATTGGCAGCCGATCCTAATAATCAAATTTGGATCATCTCTGGGAGAGATCAAAAGTTCCTTTCGAAATGGTTAGGATCACGTATGCCTCAGTTAGGGTTGAGTGCTGAACACGGATGTTTCATGAAAGATGTTGCAGCGGAAGAATGGGTCAATTTAACCACAAAGTTTGATATGTCTTGGCAAGAGAAGGTAGCAGATGTCATGGATCAGATTACCGTGCAGACACCAGGGTCTTTTGTGGAGAAGAAAAAAGTCGCATTGACATGGCATTACAGGAGAGCGGATCCAGAACAAGGCGAATTCTTTGCTTCCAAATTGAAAGCAACACTTGACGGGTTTGCCAATGATCTGGGGCTGGAGGTTATGGAAGGTAAGGCCAATGTCGAGGTTCGTCCCAAGTTTGTAAACAAGGGTGAAATTGTGAAAAGGCTGGTCTGGCATCCACTTGGTGAAAAACAGCTGTATGACGACGAGGGCTTTAAGATTGACGAAAGTATACCAAAGAATCGATTGCCCGAGTTCATTTTGTGCCTAGGTGATGATTTTACCGACGAAGACATGTTTTCACAATTGAATGATATTGAAAAAGTGTGGGAAAAGAAATTTCCGGATGGTAAGAATGAATGTGGGCACTACGGGTTTTACCCTGTGACGGTGGGCTCTGCTTCGAAGAAAACCGTTGCAAAAGCTCATTTGACGGATCCTCAACAAGTTTTGGACACGTTGGGATTGTTGGTCGGCGATGTTTCGCTTTTCCAAAGTGCGGGTACTGTTGATTTGGACGATCGCGGTCACATCAAAGACAGCGAGAGTAGTATGAAATCCGAACAGGCTGGTGTCGCCTACAATATGCGACGCACCGCCTCGTTGAAAGATAGCAATTGAGTAGTATCTCGCAGTTTACGTAAAGGCCTTGGTCATAAACACGATTATTATGTTTTACGTTATTTGGCAACTGGTGCTGCTTCTCGCTGAAATCCTTCTGTTAATAGACCGTTAACAACTTCTTTTAACCTGCTCCTCGTGATCGAGACATCCTTACTTTTCATGGCTAACCCGCAGTTCAACAAGTGTGACAGACCAGACGTATACTCCATTAATGGCATATGTTGTTGCTTTCCAAGATGAAAGCAGGTATTAGTTATCAGGCACTTTTCTTCAAGGTCATGAACGAGAACGGCACTCGCTAGATAATTCAAAAGGAAATGCAAAAGGAGAGATTTTTTTAGCACAGGTGCAGATTCGGTGTTTTGTAGAGAGCCCTCAGGTACACTTTTGGTGATGCGAGCAAAACTATTAGCCGAGAAGTAAAAATTGAGCTTTTCCAAGAACCCTGCGTCATCCTCTTTCGATAGCTTCGAAGTAGTAAAGGGTTGAAAGTGACTGCAGATCCACAAAACGACAATAGTGCAGTTCCAGATATGATTTTGCTGGAAATTATGTGAGTCGAACAGTGCGTTAATGCTTTTCCAAAGTTCAATAACTTCTTGGTACTCCGGGAATGAGACCATTCCTCCAGCCTTACTCATAGCGGCTATCCGAATGGTGAAAATTGAGCACAGGCCAATCAATTGAAACTCTGGTGAGGTTTGAGGACCTTGAAGCATAGAAAACTTTCCCAAAGCAGTTTTCGTGTCATGATTCAATTGAGCTTTCATTGCAATAATAAGTAGAGAGTAATCGGACTTTTCCTCGATGTCAGCACAGCTTCCGGTTAATATCAAACTTTCCAGGCACATGTAATACTCGCAAAGCTCGCTAATAAGTTTGTAAAAGCTCCTTCGACTGTGAATCAGCTCCGAATCAATTGCTTCCGATACCTGCTTGAGCTCCTCAGCAGCTATTCGAATTTTAGGCAAGAATCTCAACGAAAAGTTGGCCTTCTTATCATAGCAATTAGTTAGGTAGCTCACACTCTGAAACAGCAGAATGATATTCTTGAAATCTTTGTAGCGAACAATGGGAGTATCGACTGAGATTGAAACTAACTCGTCGAGATGCAAACTAAATGTGGAGTTTCCTAGCTTCCTCTTATGGATTGCTATAAGATCCTTGAACTCGGTAAGCTTTGTGGTTATATTACGATCGCGATGTATCAGGATCAATAACTCAGTCAAAATTTTCCAAAGCCTGAGTTGTGCAGGTAGCTTTTCGTCTTGAAACGAGTAAAGCGTATCGAGGTGCACCGTATCGATAGTTAGGTTCTGACTGAGTTGATAGCAAACATAAGAGCATATAACAAACACTTGCATATCCAGGATCGTCTCACAGCTGTTTATAAGAGCGTCGTAGAGTTTGGGTATCTTAGGATCGCACGGTGTATTTGCCACAACGAGTTCAATGCGAAGAAATTGGAAATACAATGACCAGCGTGAATTTGAGCTTTCCAAATCCGCGAGAGCCCCCGTTACCAGCCGTTGGGCATCTTTAAAGTATTTTGAAGAGCGTCTAGCCCTTGCAACCTGTACAAGAGCAGATGTAATGAGCATTTTTTGGTGAAGCAAAGGCGTACCGTAAAGGCGTTCGTACACACTTGACAGGTACATTTCGGCTAAATCTAAGTCGTAGGTTTCCTGCACAAGCAAATCGCAAAGCTCTAGCGTGACAATTACATCTTGTTCGGCACTGAGCTGGTGGCTTGACTTGATCAATTTTAGCGCGTTTACCGCGTGGTAAATCAGCATTTGGTACTGCTTGACTTGAGCTTCAGAGGCCAAAAAAGGTCGCATTTTCAGCGCATGCTCGGCATACTCATGACTAAGTTGATACAGAGTCTTGAAATCCATCTTTTCTGCGAGAAAAGCACAAAATACAAAGTAAAAACTTCCTCGAAATCCTGGTTTCTGAGACGTAAGTGCCTACAGAGCTCCAATTTCGCCGTTTGTAAAAGCGACTTGAAGCTGGAAATTCGTAGCACACAGTTTTTAACACAATTGGTGCTTTCAGCAACCAATAAATCTACAGCGGACTCTATTTTTTAGCCCAGATCATGGTATTTCTAGATCCAACTTATAAGCTTTAAATTCAAATTCATATATAAATGACAAGCTCATCACCATTGTTAAAATCATCAACAAGTAAGACAATAACACCGAAGCAACACAGAAGGTCGAATAAGCTTACCGATAGGTTCTTACACGGCATAGGATGTCTGAAGAAAACCGCCTCAAGGACTTCCAGGAGGCAAATAAGATTGTATTTGACCCCAGCACACGGTCTGTATGGGAATCTCAAGAAAAGAACTCGAACGGCGGTGTATCGAAAGCGGAGGATGACGAAAGTCATAGTGCCACAACTTCTGGTATAGTACCTACGCTTCAAAACATTGTCGCTACAGTGAACCTAGATTGTCGACTGGACTTGAAAACAGTAGCATTGCACGCGAGAAATGCAGAGTACAATCCAAAGCGGTTTGCAGCTGTGATTATGCGTATTAGAGAACCGAAGACCACAGCACTTATATTTGCGTCCGGTAAGATGGTAGTTATCGGTGCAAAGTCCGAGGACGACTCAAAATTGGCAAGCAGAAAGTACGCACGGATTATACAAAAAATCGGATTTAGTGCCAAATTTACCGACTTCAAAATCCAGAATATTGTTGGCTCGTGTGATGTGAAGTTTCCTATCCGTCTCGAAGGTCTGGCTTTCTCGCATGGTACTTTCTCTTCATATGAACCAGAACTGTTTCCAGGTCTTATCTATAGAATGGTTAAGCCCAAGATTGTGCTGCTGATTTTCGTTTCTGGGAAAATCGTGCTCACCGGTGCAAAGCAAAGAGAGGAGATTTATCAGGCGTTTGAAGCCATTTACCCCGTGTTGAGTGAATTCCGCAAATTGTAAGGAATACCAGAAGCTAGGAAACTTCTGAAATGCATGACAACACCTCACTCCTCCACATAAACCTTTTCAAATAACAAGCTTTCTCTCCAAATATATTATATTACAAAAATACCAGCGCAAGCGCCTTTTATTGAATCCGTGTTGTTCTCTATCGCCCCAGTTCCTTTTCGAGTATCTTACGCAAAGAACGCTCACGATCAAGCTCCTCTTCGTGCCTCAAACGGGTTTCGGTGAGTATTTTCTTAAATTCTGCTCTTATTGCACCGATCGAATAAGAATTTCCATTGCTGGTTGTAGAGTCGGGGCTTGACAGAGGAGATGTCAAATTGTTAGTTGGGGTAATGGACGCGGAAAAGCTTTCCATATGCTTCGACATAATGTCTCTTTGCTGCTCCAAGCTCTTGCACTTGCCTTCCAAGCTTGCTATTTTGGCAGTGTGGGAGGCGTTTTCTTGAACCAGTTCTTTATGGGTTCTGTTTAGTTTCTCTATGCTGTGAATGTACTCATTTCTATCATTTTCGAATTTCTTTGTGAGAAAGCTGTGGGCCAGTTGCAAGTCCTTCAATGCTGTGGCGGTGTCATCGTTTGATTCTGTATTTTGATTTTCTGGCGGCGGGGAGCCGCCAGTTGTGCTGGATTTCACTACGACGTTCATCAAAGCGTCAATGCATTGTTTAACAAACTCAACATCATCCTGGGGAGCCAAATCCCGTGGTGGTGGCTTGAGATCAATGTCACGCTGTAGCGCACTTGAAATTAAGTAAGAGGTCACTTCGTCCAATTGTTTCTGTTGTACATTCCTGCTTGCAGATGGGCTTGGAATCGAGTCCTTTTCAGGATCGTTAGAATCGCGCTGAACACGCCAAAGTGATTCCAGAGTGTTCTCGTCCAAAGCCAAAGATCCTAGCAGTTGTACCAAGCGCAAAACTTCATTTTTACCGTCCTTATTTGTGTCTTGTTGTTGTTGTTGTTGCTGTTCTGCCTTCAAACTGCCAGAACTTGCCTGAAACAAGGCGTATTCGGCCTGTAGTTTGTGCTTCAGATCGAGATCTCCGCCCTCTTTCCCATAAAGCACAGCATCCAGCAAATCCACTTGTGTGGGACCTGCCATGGGCACTTCAAGCCGCGGGAGGTTGTGATCGCGCTCAAGCCACGCGTTCAAATCGTCATAACTCGTCGGATAATAGTCACAAACAGAATCTGAAAAAAGCCTTGGGTTTCCCCATTTCAGAAGCTTCATTTGGTCTACCATAACTGCACAATTTCCTCTTATCAGGCCTCTTAATACGCCTAAATGTGAGTGTTTGTCTTAGACTCAAACATCGGATTTACACGTTAATTCCTATATTTAATTATTCTCTATAGTGTGTGTCTGAAAAATTTCAAGCGATGAGGTCGAAGAAAGCGTCAAATAATTCAATAAACTTAAAGTTTCAACACTTTAAAACATTACCAGAGATCTTTAGGACAGCTCTGAAACTAATTGCATCGTTTTCAGCGGGTCAACTTTAGTGATAGACTCGATAAGCCAGAGGTGGCGGAGATATTGGTAAAACCAGATGAAACTGGATGAGACCATAGCTCTGCTCAGACAGGGCAAACACGTCTCTGAAGAGACGGTGTTCGAGCTATGTTTGCGAGCGCAAGAGCTGCTCATGAACGAGGCAAATGTAACGCATGTGGATACTCCGGTGACAATTTGTGGGGATATCCACGGACAGCTTCACGATCTTTTGACATTGTTCGACAAGAGCGGAGGAGTGGAAAACAACAAATACATATTCTTGGGAGACTTTGTGGATCGGGGGTTTTACTCGTTGGAGAGCTTTTTACTGTTATTGACTTACAAACTGCGATATCCAGACCGTGTCACAATGATTCGTGGCAATCATGAGACTCGACAAATTACCAAAGTATACGGATTTTACGACGAGATCGTGCGGAAATACGGCAACAGCAACGTGTGGAGATACTGTTGCGAAGTGTTTGACTATTTGTCGCTGGGTGCAATCATCAACGGAAGGGTTTTCTGCGTACACGGTGGTCTTTCACCAGATGTGACCACGATCAATCAAATCCGTGCTATAGACCGCAAGCAGGAAGTACCGCATGAGGGTGCAATGTGCGATCTGCTATGGAGCGATCCGGATGAGGTGAGTACGTGGTCCTTGTCCCCGCGAGGAGCTGGATTTCTCTTTGGGAAGAACGAGGTGGACCAGTTTTTGCATACCAACGACTTTGAGCTTATAGCACGCGCACACCAGCTCGTGATGGAAGGCTACAAAGAGATGTTTGACGGCGGGCTCGTCACAGTATGGTCTGCACCGAATTACTGTTATCGTTGCGGGAACGTGGCAGCGGTGCTGCGCATCGAGGACACGTTGGACAGAAACTATATGATATTCGAAGCTGTACCTGCTCAGGATGATGTGGGTAACGCGATAATTCCAAGCAAAAAGCCCCAGATGGACTACTTTTTGTAAGTATAAGCTGGGATACACGATTCAAGGTCCAAGACAAGGACTATGGAACCATAAAACATGAAGTGGTTTGGCTTGCGAATCACTTTCACCCAACTCGACAAGACTAGTAACAAACGTAACAACCTAATTGTAACATTACATAGCATACAAAACTCGGCAATGATGTAGAGGTAAACTACGTCGATGCACTCAAATAAGCTTGCCTGTGATCCCTTATACGTCTCTTAAGTTTGGGTCAAAAATTTGGTTTTTCGTTAACTCATCTCATCTCAACTTGAACTTACACTCGAAGTGCACGAACCATCGCTATAAACAGCGATGTCCCTTGGCGTTTCGCTGTCACAGCTAATAGTCGAGCAACCTAACCCGTTGCTGAGTGGGTATGAGGCGCTGGATCAAGTTTTGAATGGTTTCCAACCTAAATGCATCTATGAAGTGTTCGGTCTTCCAGGAATGGGTAAAGTTGAGTTCGGCATCAACTTGGCAAAGAGGGCTCTCCAAATAAATCGATCGACACTATGGATTGACGCACACCATTTTACGCAATTAGACGAACTTGAAGGTTTGAATCATGTCAAATTTGATAAGTTTACGCATTATGTGTTTTACTTTCAACAAATGTCAAACCAGAATAGAGGGGACAGCCATGAAGAGGAACAGATATACGAATTGATTGTGATAAGAGGACTGTCCAAAGTAGTATCGAGCTATCTACACAATGGTTCATCATCTCAAGCGGTGGATTCTGCTCATCAATTCAAAAACAAGAGTCTTATTACGCTGTTCACAGCGATGACGAAGTATGCCCAACGCTACAAGACTGCGATTGTGATGTTGAATGATGCTATGAACACAAGTTACCTTACGACTGGGTCCCACAGCAGTAGTTCCAGCGACTCCTGGACTTCACAGTTCCAGTCTTACACCGAGGAATCACCATTTCTGGTGAAAAGTAGCAAACGGAAAGCCGTTCAAGTTCTGCGAAGTGCGTTGGTGGCGAACCTCGGTGTTGGGAGCAAGGATCAGGTCTGGGAGGTATTTCTGAAGCGACGAATTGGTATTTTCTGGGAATGGGATCGATCCAGGCCGTGGAATCGAGTTCCCAAAAAACACAGGGTAGCAATGGTGCAAAATCCTAGTATGGGGATCGAGGGAGACGTTACTGTGCCACTACTGCAAGACCTCAAGAGCGACAACAAGGCACTGAGTCAGTTACAGTTGCTGCAAGGTGAATCGCATGACGATGCGGACAAAGGATTGGTAGGGTTGGATGCAGCTACTAGCGCAGAAAAAGAAGATACAACTTTAGGGAGGGCGTTCAGTGAGCACGAATGTTATGATTCATCTCACCCATCACAAGAAGCAAAGCGGTCTAGACTTTCACCAAACGATTGGTCCACGTTACCGTTCACGCCAAGATTGAGCAATCTACATGAACCTACAGATCAACAAGAAGAGACAACAACAGCTGCAGCGGTAGAAGCAGCAGCAGTGTTATACGATAGTGAGGGAGAAGGAACCTAGGCAAAGAGCGGGGGTACACAAATGTTTTGCGCAAATAGACTGTTGGGTGTTCATCACTTCCAAAGAGGTCTGTGATGATCTTGCAAGCCACAGATCATAGTGTACCAACCAATGAAAGAACTCATAGCCACTGTGCAAAAGATCATGTTCACTTTGCAAAAGATAACAGATCAATACCCAGTTTGACGCCGGCACCAAAAATATCTTACATCAGTACAATCGGTTCATCAATCATTGACCATGTACTTGAACGCACACCTCAGTACTGAGGCGTATGTCCCGCTTGCAACTGCGTTACAGTCGCATCTGCACTAAGGTCGCATACGTACTATCACAAGGTACCCCTCAACACTGATTTTGCAGTTTTCAGGAACTTTCGCAAGTACCCTGTCGAATCACTGCTGCGTGCATATGCACGTTAGCTGCACCTGGGGTTTGCCTGCAGCATTGTTCAATCTCATTTACTTTGGAATGAGGGATCTAGTGGTCCACTATCGGTATGCTCAATCCTGTTTCGACGTTTAATCTATGCTTGTTCCCCTCACAGCAGTAGCCAGTAGCATAACGACAAGCACACGGTGAGCCACCTACTTTTTTTTTTTTTTTTTTTNCCCCTTTTTTTTTTTTTTTTTTTTTTTGCACGCTTGTCTCCCCGACTCAGGTCTCCACACTTGTGCCCAGTGCGAGCAACTGTCAAGGCATCTCCCAATGGTCCTGGGATGCCAAGACCTCTTCGTCTTTTCCGTTAAGGGTAAAAAAATCCAATAGCTTTAAGCGTTCGGTGGTGCAGTAGCTTGCAGGCAAGTCTGGCAGTCCCACTCACAAAGGCTAAAATTAAGTGCATGTGGTGTTGTTCGTAATGCAGTGGGGCAGCCGTCATTTTTGGGTGGTGTTGTGCTTCTTTTAATGAATAGGTCGTCTTTCATCGAGAGGATCCAAATAACACCGTACCGAACGTCAGATTGGTTTAAAAATTGGAAAAAGTGAGAAAAAGAGGGTATATAAAGAGCCTTTGGGAATCCCGAAAATGCCAGGATAAACCATATGCTGTGAGCTCCCAAGAATTTTTTTCCGACAGCATTCGCTCGGTAAAGCAACCACTACACTCGCTAAATCTATTTTTTCGAATATCCACAAGCCATGCGTTTCGTCAGCATTTTAATTGCCGCTATTCTTGGAGTAACTGCCCAAGCACAATTCTTTGCGAACTCGTCGATCGCATCGGGATCCTCTGTGGTTACCAAGGTTAAGACCAATGCTGTCACAGTCTTCACCACTTACTGCCCATCGCCTACAGTATTTACATCGTATGGAGTGACATACACAGTTTCCCAACCAACGACTCTCACTGTCACTGTTCCAAAATCCACAACCACTCAAGCTGGATCTGCTGCTTCTGTGAAAGTTACTCAGGTCTCAGTGGTTTCCATTTTGACCACCTACTGCCCTGCGCCTACTACGATAATCACTAACGGTGCATCATATACGGTCACCAAAGCTACCACGCTTACAATCACTAACTGTCCATGCACCGTGACCAATGTGATCGCCAAGTCTACTCCTCCTGCCTCGGGCACCGTTGTGACCACATTCGTGCCATCGCCCACCACCATCACTACCTACGGGAACACTTACACCGTCACTGCTCCTACAACGCTAACATTGACGTCCGGTACTACAACTCCCGTTAGCCTCATAACTACGGTTGCTGTTTCCACTGGCTCCTCCGGTCCTGTGACAAAGACCGCTGTGATTTCCTCAGGCTCTGCGGGTCCTGTCACCTCTGTGATTTCCGGTTCAACCAAAACTGCTGCCGTCTCTACATTCACAGGAGCTGCGAATAAGGTTTCTGTGGGTGGTGCAGCTGGTTTCGCCGCAGTGTTAGCTTTGTTGATCTGAAAGCAACGTCAAATACAATTTTTCAATTCTAAAGCATTATCCCAACAAATTGTTAAAAGCAATCGTTGGTTTCGTTCGTTCTGTCACAAAGTCCAATACCCGAATGGCTTAGACAGTTACAAATTAGTAGAAGGCAGTTTGAAATGTCGCAGTGATTTTGAACTCAAAATCTGTGCTGGCACTTGATTGCAGCGTTTTTTTCACTGGCATGGCTGCGTCTACAGAAAATTTTATAGGTTATGTCTTACGAGTGTAACATTTAGCGCTACACTTCCAACAATGATTCCAAACCATAGTATAGACGAGTGGACAGCCCTCTGTAACTGCCCTAAACCTTTCATAGGGTTGTAACTCGAAAAATATAATTTCGTACGTGTGTGTCGCAAGTTGTTGATAATTAGACGAAGCCCTCGATACTGACGTTGAAAGTCTCCGTACATCTGCGAATAAGAGAAGAGCGAGATCTATCAGTATAAATTTGACGATTTGTAGGAAATTTCACTCAAAGTAACTAGATCAAATGTAATTGGTATATATCACCCTGCATTAACGATACCTTCCGTCCACGGAATCTTTTTGTCATGATAAATTGATTCAGTTCACCAAGAGAGCCCACTCTGGTTTGGAATACTGAAAGGTGGACGACTGAAGGGCGGAAACATGCTAGCTTCGCCCAAAGGTACATCTCTACCAAACTTTTGTTGTTTACGGCTGCTATGAAATCAAGGTACTCTCACTCAAGTCTAGCGGTGACTTGACCCCAGGTTTCTACAATCCAGGACTCTTCTTCTATTGTAAAAAGGATTTCCATCGTATCATAAATTTTAGGTATCCCCCTGCGACTACCGTTCGCCCTGCCCCGAAGGAAAAAAGAAAGACTTTAGGATCTAGATGGAGGAGATTCCCCATTTACTCAAATACGATATCTCAAGGTAGGCGATTGCGGTTCGTTCTGTATCCATATACTGGTGTTCGTTGTCAAGGTAGCAAACCATGAAAGCTAATGTATTCTTGTCGCACTTAGCCATGGAAGCTATTAGCACTACATGAAGAAGGGCTGTAGTTGCATTTCTGATGTCGTCTAGACCATTGTTACCTCAAACCACGCAACATATGATTTGTAAAATTTGTCTTCACTACAGATAGAATGGGTCTCTTGCATTATTGATGCGAGTTGATCGTAAGCGCTTCTTACACAAGAGTGATCTTGTCTTAGAAAAAAGTAGCATCTTAGATACCAGGCTTTGAAGCTTTCCTTTGGAATGTAATTTCATCGGAGAGTTAACAGGAATGTGTAAATCAAAAATGTGTAAATCAAAAAACCTTTGAATTGGTTTCATGCACCGCTGTAGCTACAAAGCGCATACTTTCGCCTTGGTGTCTAAGGTCAGACCTCTTATTGAACTCAATTAGTCTTAAAGGTAAACAAGATTGTCTGATTTCCAGTAATTTTGCTCATAACATCAATTGCTTGTTACTTGATTCGCTTGATCGAGGCGCCTCGAAGAACCCACTGGGTGACACCTTCAACTTACATATATCAAGAAGCCAGAATCACCACAGTACTTACACGAATGCTTACACCGCTCGCCACCAATTCAAAAATCAAACTCTGGTACTCTGGCTCACCCACTTCTCAATCTTCTATATTTCATTCATTACACATTTTATTCAAAGACACATTAGAGCTTTTGGTACAGCAGTATGTAGGCAGTCCTTGAGTCGTTTCCTTCTTCTCCTCCACCGAGAACATCATCTTTTTCCAGTTCCTGCAAACTGATGTCATCTATTCTGTACCACTTGCTGAGATTTTCGTCGAAAACGTCGCATGTGTAGTGACCACCACTAGGGCTTAAACCATGGTGATATACTACACCTATTAGCTTGTAAGTAGATCCGCCAGGTTTGTAAAGAGTGGTGTTCGTCGCTATGGACTCGGTTGGTATCGTGAGTTCATGACCGTAGTCAATCTTCCTCCGAATCTTCTCCACTCGACCACTGTATGCATTGTAGTTGACAATCTTAGATTTATCCGTGTTATTAATAAACGAGAATCTTTTAAGCTGTATTAGAAGGACCTGCGGCAGTTTATCAATGAAAGTTTGCTTTTTTGCCTCTACACTGTTGCCTGTAGTGGTCTTGAATGGAATCTGTTCAGACTCGCTGAACTTGCGGAATGCACTAGCAACATCTTCAACAGCAGGATCGGATATGTCGAGTTGAATGGTTTGGAATGGATCAAGTGTAATGGATTGGGGTTCCTTGTTTTGTGGGACATCTAGAACAGAGCGGAATTGGCCCCCAAAAATGACAGAAATAGGAGACGGCTCGACTATAACGGTTCTCTTGGCTGCTGTCTTAGTCTTTTTGCCTTTCTTGCTTGTGCTGCTAACTTGTTGCCAGCCTTTCTCTTGGTCTTCTTCTGAATCATCGGAAGCGAGGCCATACTTCTCAAGCAGATTCTTTAGCTCACTTGAAGGGTTTTTGATAAAATTTGCGTCTTTGTAGGTGGTCAAGTTCCTGATAAGAACGATCTTAGAATGTTCGTCGTTGAGACTCTTGATTAATTTCAAAATATCGCTCTCCGAGAGTATGCATATGGATTGCACAAATTCTTCGTGCAATTGGTCGAGTAAATGGGTCAGGAATTCTTCTGCATCCTCCTGGTGACCCCATCTTAAATCCTTGAATTTAGAAAGCTTTGATAAGGTTTTATAGAAACCCTCTGGATTTATGGCGTCCGCTAGTGCCGATGAGATTTCCGACAAACCCTTCTCCACTCTCGCTGCTTTCTCTTTAGCCAAAATTTGTTTGTCAAATTTGCGGTAAAGTTCGAGACATGCATCTAAGAGAGCAGAGCCAGTAGGTCCCATCTTGGCCGCCGTTTTAGCGCTGATCAAATTCAGTAGATTCACGAATGGTTGGCAAAATAAAAGAGTTTGTAAGATTGAGCTCATGAAACAGATGTTCCCCGAGTTTACGATACCTCTGGCAGCGATAGTCTGAACAGCCATTCCGGAAGTTTTCAAATTCTCTGTGGTATATTTGACGTATTCTGGATCAAAACAAACCCTCAATGCAACTACACCCACGGGCTCAAGGCTTTTGATCGTGGGAGGTATGTATTTTTTGTCCTTCTTGTCCGCGGATGTAGCGGATTTTGAGATTCCACTGGTACCTGCAGCACCTAGCGCCACCGCAGACCATGATTTAAAGCTCTTAGGAGGAGCAGTAATCACGGGAACCTCTGCAGGTTGTTCCGACGGTGCAGCTCTCTCCTTGGATTCGACAGCGGCACTGGATTTTGGAGTGGATTGGATCTCTGGCTGAATGGAAGGCGCTGTGGCAGGTGCTGTTTGGAACTGTTCCGTAGTATCCTGGCCATTCTCCATTTCAACGTCACCATCGATATCGATGTCAACATTGACATCAACTTCGGCATTAATATTTTCGCCAAGCTTATTTTCGAGCTCAGGCGTTGAAAGCTCTAAAGGGAAGCCAAATTTTTCATTCAGAGCAGCGAGAGTCATCTTGGCTCTATTGACCTGAGCGTGACGGAAAGAACCAGCGTCAGTGTTGACGAAAAAGGGATATTTCAATTCAAGATCAACGGTGCTGACGGAATTGCTGTTACCAATCTCAAATTTGTACTGATTTTTGATAGTGATTGGGACACTCTTGGCAGTACTACTCGCCGTCGCATTGGTGTTGGTGGATGCACCTGAAAGTGATCCACTCTTGTTGGTGCTGCTTCCATAGTATTGGTGGTCGTTGTTCTTATTCCCATTTTCATGTTTGTTGGTGTAGTACTTTCTCTTCTGCCCACTTGGAGGAGGCACAGCATGGTTACCACCATTGTTCCCTCCAACATAGTACATCATGTTAGGATTCATCCCATAACCCATGAATGGTGCTCCTTGGCCCGCGTACATGTCCATTGGCATGGGATAACCGTAGCCGTACTGTGCTGCGAAATTGTTAGGGCTCCCGTATGCACCCATTTGATATTGCATATTAGCAGGTGGCACAGCTGGTGAGGTGGGCGGATACATGGAATACGAGGCATCTTGGCCATCTTTCGGTAGGTTGCTGGACATCGACACTCAGCTTCAAGTAATGCAATAGATGACGAGCTTCGATTCAAAAAAAAAAAATTAAGCTTTTGATGAAGCAAAAAGCCAAGAACCTCGGGTTTTTTAGGTTTCTAAAAAGACTCACAGAATTGCCGGTTCTAATCCAATTCTAGCCTTACCAGCAATGCTAAGCTCGTCGTATGGTAAGCTGTCGATCAAGAGCTTCACTTGGGTATATGCTTCTAGGTACTAATATTGAAAAATTTTGAAGTATTAAACCTAGTGACACTCCTCCGTGTAAAGCGATGGACTTCGAAAACTTCGATTTCCGGCCGTAAGATGTCGCCAAATGTGCTTGGTGTGGTGAGCTAGGATACTGAGTATCCAGTTGCTTGGTTTCTTGACATTTTGCACAAAATGTGGTCATTCTGGCGTTAGTCTACCACATTCAAATGCAGATTTAACCACTCGTCTAAATTGTGCACTGTGATCAGATAAACGGTCATGTTCGTGTCGGTAAAGTAGGAAAGAACCCGAGCGGAAGTCTGTAGAAGAATGGCAAATGCCAATAAATGAGGACACATTGCCATTTCATGACGAAAGTAGTGCTGGACGTGATCAGCCGGGTTGTGGGGCAATTGTGCGAATCTGTCTGATCGCTGTGGTACGTGGTCTGTGTTGAGATCTTGAACCGCTCGAGAATATAGAGTGGTTTGGTCGGGAGGGTCTGTGTTTGTAGGTTTGATGATGTTCTGAAGAAATTGGGTGTTGAACTCCTCGCACGAGCAGAACCACCGGTTGAGGTCCACACAAACGGGCGGTGTTTGGTCGTTGTTCTGTTTAATCACTAATCTGTTTACAATCCTTTGTGCGGGATCGTCGTCGTAGAGCGCGTCAACCATGTTCTTTCCTTGGATGCCGGACGAGACATTGCACTTTTTTTGTGATGTTTCCCTTGAAATACCGGTATTTGCAACGCCATTGAGATCGCGGTCTGTGTCTAGTTTCCGCTCTCCTGTAGCTTGTTGAGCACGAGTTTTCGTTGTTTCCGGGATATGGTTTTTTTGATCTTGTTCCAAACTCTTTTTCACGAGTTTGTTCTCTGAGCCGCGCGATGGGGAGCTAGAAGCGACAAAATCACGATCAGGTTCAGTCTCGGTGCTCTCGCTGTGTTTACAAGCATTTCGCGAATCATCGAACAGGTAGATAAACATATCTCTGGAGTCTAAGAGCGACATCGCTCTCACGAAAAGGTCCCCTGGAAACAGATGGTAGAGAAAAGACACCACTCCGTCATTCAGGTCACCTTCCTCTGTCAATAGGTGCGATAAAAGCTGTGAATAATCAACATACGGGTCGTTTGACATTTCGTTGATCTCGATGATTTAAAAGCCTTAAAACAACTTCCTCGAACTTACGCTAAACTGGCCATCACTCCCCGACTGTCGATTCTGGCTGATAGATACAATTGCGAGAATTGCCCTTAGCTTGAGCTGAGTATGTTGTGTAGAAAGACAATTTAACCTTCCAGTGATTAAACTTGGTATATTATTATACACATACTATTATTTACAGCGTTCTTTTGTCTGAATCTTGACGTGATGAGCTGATATCATGAAGGCGAGTCCTCAAAAACTTCTAAAACTCTAGATTGTTTTTCTTAGCGTAATCTTTGGCTACTTGGCCCCACAAACGGACGGCTCTTTCGATTTCTTGAGAAGTTAGGTAACTTACACTCAGTCTGACACTTCTTGTCTCCCAACCCACATGATTACCAACGACTTCGAAACGAGAACCGTCGGGTATATCCACATGGTGTTCTATAGATAACGTGTCGCAAATCTTTTTGGATTCGTAGCCTTCAGGAAGAGTGCACCAAGAGAAATAACCACCTTTCTGAAGCTCGTATTCGGTTTTCCGCGGTAGATACTTTTTGATGCTGTCGTAGAGGACTTGACACCGTTCGCCCAAGATGATGCGAGTCTGTTGGACCAGTTTGGCACAGTCACCGTTCTGGATCATGGTGCCAACAATCATGGAATTAAGCTGCGAAGGTGTACCACCGGATTTGTTGGCTCCTCCTGCGGCTAGTTGTAAAGCCAAGTTTTTGTTCACACTTTCCTGATACCCGAATCTCAAACCTGGGGCAATCAATTTGGAAAATGTGGTGTTGACGATGGTGTTACCGTAATCTTGGTTAGAGCCCTTGAACGTGGCTCTATCAAGGTGTGTGAATCTTGGCACTGGCTTTGGCAGTTTTTCTGTGGGTTGTTCGTAGTCCAACAAGTCGTATACGTCATCGGTAATGATCAGCATGTCGTGCTTACGAGCTAGCTCGATAAGCTTCAAACGGAACTCCAAGGAGTAAGTCTTGCCGCTCGGATTTGAATGCGTGGGAATCAGGTATATGACGTACCTGTAAAGTTTTTTGGGCTTCAAGTGCGGCGCGTTTACCACTTGTGGGTCGTCATGGTGGTTTTCGCGCTCGTAAAGCCCGTCGAAATGCTCCAAAAGCTCTTGAAGCGTTTGCAAATCCAAACCATCGTCTTTTTCACGAATCGCACTGATTTTCCCACCAAATCCAGCGTCAATGAATGCCTCGTTGATCAAGAAATACGTGGGTGTTACCACAAATGCCTGTCTTGTGTAGCCTGTGTGTGGAAGCGTGGTTTGTAGCAGCAAGTTCAACATTCCATAGGAAGCCCCTGATGTCAAAGTGATACTGTCAGGACGACTTTTAACCTTTTCATCGTTTTCCAATTGGAAAGCTTCGTTGCTTAACTTGCACACAGCATTTCTCACCCATTGTGCGCCAGGATCCGATCCGTAAACCAAAGGATGCCTATTATCGTTATCATCGTCATATTCTCGGCTTTCTGGTCCTAACAATGCCGTGGTAGCTTTAAGGATCTCTGTTCTCGGCAGCAACTCATGACTGATCCATCCTCTGAGGAAATTGATACGGCTCCTATGAGACGCTGTCATTTACCAAAAAACCTTTCAAATATCAAGAAAGATGGTAGTTTCTGACTACAGTTGCCGACGATGCTCAACAACGATAAAATCCGACTTCTTAAGTACTATAAAACCGCTAATGACCACTGTTTTTGTCGGTCTGTCCAGGCATCGATATTTTCGAGCCCTTAGTGTATTGATTGACGAACTTGTTCTAGTATATCTACACTATCAACACCGATCTGGTAATCCAGATCAAGAAGACTATAAAAAAGTCTTTCTAAGAAAGGAATCAGTTGGCGAACTTGATGGAGAAGCAAAAGTTAGCGAGTTAACCATCAGATAAACCGCCGAGAGCGTTAAAAGATAGATGTACTTGTGCCGTAAGAGACGGCTGTTGTTTTACGAGGGAAAGTGGTCGCGACAATCCAGATTAGTTGTTACTTCTATAGAGTATGTTGTGCTTTTGTAGTGGCAAGAATCGTCTTGGCTCCGCGTGGTGGAATCAAAAGATGGTTTTTTGTCAAATACTGCATGAGTTTGGTGGTTCTGTACAAATCGCCTCGCACATAATGCAACAGGATAGAAATGGAATCGCTGTAGAGTAGGGTGCGATGGGATTCCTGAAAATTGCAGAAAAGTCTTATCTTAAAATCGATGTCCAACGCATCGTCGAGCAAGACCATGTTCAGCAGTAGTGGTAAAGTTGTGGCGTTTTTGATCGGAATTTTGTTTTCGCTGAACAACAACAGTTCCAACAGCTCCGGATCAGCGTCTTGTGTAGACTGCGAGAGGTGCGGGAAATCATGGATTCGTAGTGCGCATGCAGGGCTCACTATTGCATCGATATCTTGTAGGAAAACTTTCCATTTTTCCCGGAACGTAGTGGTGGATCCGCGATTGCTCTTAGCGAAACTCTCCACTTTGATGCGTAGGAGCTCATTCCGGAACTTTTCAAACCCGGGTTCCTGGCCGTAGAAGGACTCGAAATGGTCACAAAGCAAAGAGGGCAAAAACGGCTTATTCCCATTTAGAGCCAGTGTGCCGATAGCACACAGTAATGTAGGTCTCACCGCCAAAACTTTGCGCCCCATCACAAACCGGTACCATAGCCAATCTACAGACGCGATATGCGCATGCTGGATGCTTTTCGCCAAAAACAAGTGCAAGAAGTTTTCGTCCAGTCTATCTAGTGGTAATTTCTTGACATTCTGTAACAGATGGTCAAAATCCAAATTCAAGCATTGGGCGATGAGCTTCTGTCGTGTTCCTGAGTCCAAACCAGATTTTCGAGCCGCATACCCCAAAACATAACTGTATCTCATTCAACCTCGGTAAAGCTCAATACGAAAGCGGTTATCGAATGAATCTGCCTTGATATGGAGGGTTATTTCAACGAATAGCTCATTAGGCTACTTATAGATCGAAAAAGTAGCTATCTCGATCGTCACAGCTCTGTTTTCGATCCTGAAAATTTGCGGATGCTCGAAATTAGTCCGCTCAAAAGTGCGCAGTGTTATCAGGACAGTAATTTGAGCTTTTCAATGCTACTTTAGATCGAATTCTGTCTTGCCTAGATCTGGCGATGACCTCTATACTCTTAACATTAGAATATTAATACTGAATAACTTTCAAGCTGAAAAATTATGGAATCTGGCAAGAAAATCGAACGTTGTTGACTCGAAGAAGATAAGGGCTGGGCTTAATAATTTGGGGCGGAAATGTTGCGTATATGTACCGGTAAAAGTGCTCAAATTGTAAGTGAAATTTTGATCTATTTTGGTGGAAAACTCATAGTTTTAGAACCAAATGTCATTGTCTCTACTTTACTAACCAAAAAACGATATTTCGTTAAAACTAGTGCCTGAATTCTACTTTCAGAACCGCAAGATTGAGGTCTGCAAACTATCAATTTGCAGGTGCCTCTTTTGTGCGCTTCAACTCCTCCAATTCCTCTGATCCACTCGTCTCAAAATCGGAAATTCAGACACAACTACCGTCATTTGACGAGACTACATCATCTGCCGTGGATGCTGGTTTGGCAGTCAGCGATCAGATATCGCAGGTTGTCGGAGAAGCCTCGAGCCATGTGGGATATCTCAGCAGTATAGGCATGGCCAAGTCGTGGTGGTGGCCACCTGAACTAATTCAGAACATCATGGAGCAAATTCATGTGTATTCAGGTCTACCTTGGTGGGGTACGATTGCCACTACCACAATTTTGGTGCGTCTTCTGATGTTTCCTCTTTACGTCAAATCGTCTGATACCATGGCGCGGAATTCTAAAATCAAGCCAGAAATGGACGCCATAAATGCAGAGCTGATGGCCGCTACTGATATGGTGGAGGGCCAACGCGTCGCAATGAAAAGAAAGAAACTAATGGCAGATAATGGTATCAAGAACAGGTACTTAGCAGCTCCCATTCTTCAGGTGCCGCTAGCCCTGGGCTTTTTTTCAGGCATCAGGCAAATGGCTAACTACCCTGTCGACGGCTTCACCAACCAAGGTATAGCATGGTTTTCTGATTTATCCTTGGCAGATCCATATCTAGGATTGCAAATCATCACCGCTTCTGTTTTCATCTCGTTCACGAGGCTCGGTGGTGAAACGGGTGCCCAGCAATTTTCGCCGATGATGAAAAATGTCTTTACAGTTCTGCCTCTACTCTCGATTCCAGCAACCATGAATCTCGCTTCAGGGGTGGTGTTGTATTTTGCTGTTAATGGAGCTTGCTCTGTTTTGCAAACTTTGACTTTGAGAAACAAGTGGTTCAGACAGAAATTGAACATTGCAGAGGTTGTTAAACATGAACCAACACCTGGCGCGCCTGCGAAAGGCATTATTGAGACTTTCAAGGAAAATATGGAGAAGGCCAGGCAGCAGGCAGAAAGGAGACAGGCTATGCAGGACAACGAGAAAAAATTGCAAGCGTCTGCGAAAGAGCTCAAGAGCAATAAGAATATTAAGATTGTTCACAGAAGCGATTTTAAAAAATCCAGAAACTGAAACTTTTCGTCATTCACATCAGCGGCTGATTTCTGACCTGTAAATAATATAAACCGAAATGTGTATCACAGAGTTGTACCCGACATTCACGACTTACTTTACTTTGCAAGACAATCAAGGAATTGAACATTTGCCATTATCTATCTTACATGCTAATGCTATGCACCAATGTTGAAATTATATATAAGTAATGATTCAAAGCTGCGAAATGCTAGCAATGAAATGCGAATTTTAAAAAAAGTCATCTGGTTTCCGGATGAATGCCTGCAAGAGTGCTTGTAAGGCACCCAAGCTTGGTCCCATACTAGCGGCAAGATCGTCCTGATCGAGGAAACTCATTGAGAAAACAATGGCGAGATTAGTCGCGTCCATGCGATTGTTCTCGACATGTTGATCAACACGATTTAAATGTTCAAATGTTCTTTTCATCATGTGGAAATTGTAAAGCGGCAAAGTCTTCAACGCGTCGCGAACCCCTAACTTAAATTGATCATAGTCTATTTCGTTCGATTTGTGCTGTAGGGCGAGATTGACAAAATCTCCTAGCTTTTGCTTAGTGAATAGCGAGTCCGGAAGTTCTCTTAGGTAAAGCTTGAAGCAGCCAGCTATTGTGTTGATTTCAAACCATCTGTCATCTTCTAACGTAAAGGTATTGCTCACCGCACCTTCTTCATCAAAAGCCGATTTGAGGGCATTAATACTACCCACAGATCCAGGAACCCTGTAGAGGCCCATTTCATCAAGACCGCGAAGTTCGATCTCCTCTAGTAGCTTCACTACAATATTGGGAATTATGCTGCCTTCGCGTTCGCACACGTCTTCAATAGGCACCCCAAATATCTTGTTTGATGTTTTACCTTTGTATTTTTGGGAATGGAAAGAATACCTTTTGGACAGATTTATCAATCTTAGCCACTCCATCATGTCGTGGTGACTCATAGCTTGGAGAATATGCTCTACTCCATTATCCATCGTGATTTTGAGACTGTGGTCGGCCTGAGGGAGTTTATTGATTCCGTTAACTGGAATGCAAGACTTGATCTCAAAGGTCCTGATGGAGTATACTGGTTTACTGTCCTTAAACACACTTGACGTGATATCGGGAAGTTCGTAAGGCGATATTGAACCATTAGGCTGTACGCCGCTCAGCAGAATTGCATTGAGCCCATGTGCAGAGGATGAACTCGAGAAACCGCCAATTGAAAACGGCCTTCTGAAGAAACCACCTAATTTTTTACCCATACTTCCATTGCTATGAGAAGAAGAGTTTGAGATAACAGAGCTTCTTTGAGTTGGGTTGGGTGCGAATGAGCTCCGCTTCATAGGAGAATGGTCAACGGGAGAACTCTGTTCTCGTGACACAAGTTCACTACCAATATCCCGGGTTGATGCGGATGTGCTCAGTCTGTTCCTGTGTTTTACTGCTTGCTCCAATAGATTTTTACGTTTATTATCGTTGTTTTGAATATTGAGTTGATTCATCTTTTTCTGATCGCGTTTTATTTTGTCCACCTCTGCAATAATAACACTGTTGAAAAGCCCCGCCGTTTGATATTTATTGGCTCTCGCCTCTGTTGCTGCCGTTTCTTTGGCGACTTTTCTAAAAAGTTTGCCGCTGTCAACAATATCTTGAAAGATAGTTTCATCATCTCTGATAACTTCTTGTGGGACCGAAGAATATGGGAGCATCTCTCTGAAATTCGTGATTACGTTATTCACGAACCTTCTCTTATCAAAGTTTATCATTCTTGAGTTTTCGATACTCATGTTAGGTACAAACTGGGAAATCTCCAAGAGCCTGGTTATTAACCAACCAGGGCAAGGTGTTAAGTTTTTGGATTTTGAGACTAAGGACTCATCAAATTCGACAAAATTTTTTATCTGGCCACTTGCACGTTCCAATACAGCAGATATATCTTTGATATCAGCTGCGCTGGACCCTGAGAGCTTTCCGTATGCTTCCTTCCAGAACATCTCAAAGTATCTCGATTCTGGGGCAATGAGAGCATTGCACAAACAGCTTTCAAGAAAAGAGGGAACATGTGGAGAAATTGCAGTGGTAGTTTTATCACCTTTCCCGTCGTGAAAAAGATCCATTGATGAATTCTTCCAATGTGTTAAATTTAGGAGCTGCAAAATGACAGCGCATATGTTTGTTCTGCTCTCGACGGACTGATGTGGATTGGAAATTTGAAATACCAAAAAGTTGGACACAGATCTATGCAGTTTGATGATTAGCTGAACTGAAGCAGGCAAGTGTTCGAAAAGGAGATCGCCTTCCTCTGTCGATAAAGTTGTTAACCAAGTGAAAACGTTCACCACTTCCAGGTCGTCCAAGTAAGAACCAGCTGACTGCACAATTGCCTGGGAGATAGAATGAAGGGGATACTGATATAGTGAAACCAGCGATTTATTCGAGAAAAGCTCTAGCATTTCAGAAACATCAACCCAGTCGTGATTTGAAACAAGAGACATTCGATCGCTAACGAATTCATCTAGTTCATACATCCAGTTTGACAGCCCACCGTAGTCAGCATACGCTAGATTTTCGAACGACTTATAAAACTTATTGCAAGAAGTGACGTCATCTGTATTTTCCATGAGACTTTTCATGGAAAGGGTCTTGACTTCTTTAAGAAAGCCCCGAGTTGTTCTTTGCACTTTACTGATGCCCAGAGGTCGATACAGCTGCTTTTGATAGCAGGATTTCAGCCTTTTGAACAGAGTCTTTAACGTAACGTGAAGATTTTCAATTTCGCTTGTCTCATCGCGAAAATCAGGTTGACTGTACCTGCTTTTCGCGAATGCGTCCAGTCTTTTCGTCCACTCATCATTAATCTCTTGGTCCATGATTTTCAGAATATCAAGGAAAGTTGTGTTGTTTGTTAAACAATCCGTGAAATCTGAGTAATGCAGACTCACTAAATGAAGAAATGACTCCATAGCACCAATCTGTATTTTAGCAACATAAGCCAGGCTGATTTCGTCATCCTCTGTGATTTTGAGATCCCATGCTGGAAATTTGGTGTTACTATTCGTGGCATCGAGAAATCCGGAGAACCTATTTGAGCTTGCTCCACCTGCATATCTTTGTCTGCCATTATTCATGATTCGACAGATCGAAACAGCGCCGCTTACAGCCCCAATAAAACGCTTTGCGAGATTCTCGAGCACGATGGTAGTCGTGGTGAAACTTTTATAGGTGTTGAAAAAGGTTTCGGTAAAAACGTCATTGTCCATTAATAGTCTAATGAAGGCACAATCAAGCGGGCCAACTGAGGCATGATCCGGAGTTTGCGCGCGAATACTCTGACGTCTCCGTTCGTGCGACAGATAATTTTCCAAGTCTTCGGTATCAACCACTTTCGAAAAGACGCTTGTGGTTAAAATCAAGACATCAAAGAGCTTTTCGAGCGTAGCAGACTTAAGCACGACTTGAATATGTGACTCATTGATGGAACCAGAAGATTTGCCCATTGTGCTGAAGAAGTCTAGAGATTCCATTGTAGAGCTGAGTCGCGTCAAGTCTTGAGAATCCCTGGTTGTATTTATTGACGAGTGCTGGGAAAGTCGTTTCGGCGTTTCGATGACGACACTTGCAGGTCTCGATCTACCGTCGATGTCGTCAACAGCCTTAAAAACTACATCGTCTGAGACATGGAACATGTCCATGTCGATGTTGAAAGCATCTCTGATGAGCTTTAAAAGTTTTTGCTTATTCGACACTTTTGAAGACAATTCTTTCGTTATAGGTTCATCGATATTTTCAACACCAGTGATTCCGCTTTGATCGTGTTCTGAACTCATGGGGCAAGTGATGGCTGATTTTTGCACACCAGTGCTTTGAGCGCCACCAGTTGCATCTCCAAGAGCGATGCCGGCGGCACCTATTAGAGAGTCGCGGGAAAAAAGTGAGTAGTTTGGTAACAGTTGATTAAAGAGCATTGGAAGGTAACTACCTGTCAATAGTGCGCTTCTTCTTGAGCTAGTTGCCGAGTACTCCTTTTGATCGATGCGTGGAGGTTCCATTTCCAAACTCAAGTTCATGATCTCATCAATATTCATAGGTTCTTGATCCAAATGAAAGCGCCAAAATTGATAAATCTTGGTTGTGCATTTAACGTAGTTATCCAATCTTAGCGGTGGACTAGGGTCTGCTTCTTTATCATTTCGTTTAGCTTGTTCTATACGTTGCTGCCACTTGAAAAATGCGTTTTTGGTACGATGAATCTTCTTCTCAAGATACTTAAATTTCGTTTCCGATGGAAGATCACTAGCATTTATCGACAAGTCTCCGAAATACGGTATAACGTTTTCTCTTGTTGATGCGCTATTCAAATTAGGGGGGGCCAAGATGAAGACGCTATTGCTAGATTTCGAGGCGATCTTGCGCCTGTCTAGTTGCACGATAGTGGGGACCCAATCTCTGAAAATAACTCTGAGTGTTTGTTCTGTTACATGTTGCCAGGTAGACACAAGTCGGAGGACAGGAATAGAGCAGATAATAGTGGCAATTGCCAGCCATGAGACCATATCTCCTATTTTTTCGAAACGGCAACCCAGTTGCACCCAAGCGGCTAATGTCTCAGCCGTTTTCTTGGGTGAGTAAGTGGAACGACTTGTAAATAAATGAGATATCATGAGCCTTCCAAGATAGTGAACATTTTCGGAGTTTTTGAAAATTGTTGGATTCATTTGAATGTGTTTTTCATTGTAATTCGACTCGTAGAGGAGCGAGTAATCTCTCTGCGGGCTCCATTCTCTGAGAAACTTCAAGTTTATTTGATGAACGCCTGTAACAAATTCGTCTAGGTCACTCTTCAAAAAACTATCGACAGATATCAACTGCTTCAGTTCAGTTGGATTGACTTTTTGTCTTGAAAAAGAACACAGTTGATTCAGACTGTTTTGCCTCTCGACAATTGCTATCTTCAAGTTAGTGGATATCTCATCGTCGTGTAGAGATATTACATCGACCAAGTTGACGATCTGAGAAAAGAGTTTATCGTCCAAGAGAAATCCAGAGAAAACGTCCAAGACAACTTTAACTACCAGCGCCAGCCTTTCCGTCATCAAAGAATCGGCCTTTGCCGATATTTGATGATGCTGTCTTGCAGAATTGACCAATTTGACCCGATGCCTGGTAAATGTCACTCCAAATAGCTGAAAGATGGCCAAAATCGTTCCGAATCTATCAATCAGAGGAAGAATAAGTAAAACATCTACTATTTTTCTGGTTTCTTCGTCGCTGAGAGGTGGGAGAAATAGTATCATATGGCAAATACTTTCGTTAGAGCCGGACAACAGTCGTCCGTCTTTGTCGAGTTTCAATTGAGGATGTGGATACTCAGAACTCAAGTAAACTAGATCTTTTTGCTGTCTTTCTTGTGAGATATTATGATCGCTCGATGCTAAGCTCTGTTGATGGGTAGGTGTTGTGGGTAAAGAGTAACCGGCGTCCGAATACATGTTATCTGCAAGGTGGGAGGGCGGAGGCATGGTAGGATCAAAATATTTTACATTGCCAATGCCGCTCTTGTAGAGATTGAGTACTGGACCTCGAAGGGCAGCTCTGTGAATTCTGTAGGAAACGGGCTTTTTCGCTTGGAGCTGCGGGTCTAGCGATGCGCCATTACCATAAACTCTGCTTTCGCGATTACTTGCGGTTGGAGAAGCAGCAGCCTTATTAACCCAGCCAATTTTGAAAGTATGGCTGTCATAATTGTCCCCATTTAAAGATGGCGAAGGCCCAGTTCTCATAGTCGACGGGGTCTTAGTAGTAACGGCGGTGGACTGCGAAGATAAAATTGACTGGTCGTCAGCAATTGTCGTGCTATCATCGTGGGAGACAGCTACGTAGTTTGCGGTATCGTTTTCGATGTCGTCTGTTTCTCTGTGGGACACGAGACTTCGAGACGATTTGCTGCTAGTTTCTGAAAGATACAGCGATGGCGACGAATTCAGGGTCTTGCCAAAAACCGTGGGTCGTTTCACAATCGATGGCGAGTGTGATGATAGCGAGTGATTTGAAGCGTAGTTGTCCTTTCGATGGTTTGCAGCGGAATTTTCTCTCGGACTCTCGCTGTGACCGTTGTCTGACGCAGCTGAAGACGATTTGCGGCCTCTGCCGGACCATCTCAGTGTTTTCATTATCTATACCACCAGAATTCAGTCTTGTTCTTCTTGAAAAACACAGGCTTCTTCTTCAGAATACAACAGTCAAGGCTTGGTGATATGTTGTACGACTAATCTGTATCAAGATATATGCACGATTGGTTTCACTATTTTCCTGAAGGAAAGCTTGTCGAAAAACAAGCTGGTTAATTGTTTGGTGACACTACCCTAGCTGACCAAAGAATCGAGAAGCCGCTTGGTGCTCGAGCTAATCGAGCGCTGATACCGGTTTGAGTTGTATAATCTGAAACTTAAGTATCCGATCTGGCTGTTTTCAAAACTTTTATGCTCTTCTTGAAGACGAACCGTCCCCTTGCTTAGCACTGTATACGGAATGGCTTGACATGACGGTTCAGAAGTTGAAAAGAGACGAATTGAACGTTAAGGTGAGGGGGTTAAAACCGCTAGAAAGTGTTGAAATGACCAGGAATTTACCACCCGTGAGGAATTCCGGTTTTTCCAGGGTTCTGCGGTAATCAATTGATGCGACAGCAGATAAATTGGAAAGAGATGGATGTCAGGTCTAGCTTTGAGTACAAGAATAATAGGTGGTACGCAGACGACACAGCAAAATCGAATTGATAGCACGGCGTTCTCTATGTAGGTCGTATGCGTCGAGCTCTTGACTTGAATAAACTCGACATTTCTACAGCATAACTTGAAAACTAAGTATCATTTACACTGCAGCATGTTTTTTGATCCGGGAAGTTGTGAAATAAGACACGCTATACAGGACCATGCGACATTTTAACTTTACAGTAGCTATTTCTGGCCGATAGATGGAACGTTTAGCCTTTTGTTTCTCGTTCTTAGAAGTTATTGTATATTGGACGACAGACTTGTCAGATAGATATTAATGAGTTCTCTTGCCAAGAACATTGTATTGGCCTCGGGAACAGTGAAAAATCGGAAAAAACCCGTGTTTTCTCAGATGATCAAATAAATATTCCGTATTAGGTTTAAGGAACCGAGATGGACCTTCATGCGTCTTCGTTTTTACAGCGTTTTGCATTCTTGTGCCAGAGCTCCAAAAAAAAGACATTTTCTTTCAGTCTTGAAATTATCATGCCACAACTGGAGAGAGAAGCGAGTCGGCTCTGAGTTGTGAACTTCAAAGACTCATCTGTGCAAGCTTCAAAACAGTTTCCTTCGACGAAGCTCCGCCAATGAAACCTGCAGCATGGATGAAAATGCAGCCTGGCAAACCACTCTTTTCACTTAATTCCTCGTCTCTCAGTCCTCTCAAAGGCTCAGGCAGACCCTTTCTGAATTTGAAAGATGTAGCAGATAGCGAAACAGTGGACACTCTCCATTTTCCAGAAGAATCCGCAAAAAGGACAAAAAGTATTTGGTTTTCAATCCCACGCTCCTTTTCAATAGTATACAGATGCTCCTTCCATGGGCAAAATTGGCTTAACACGATGATCTTTCCCGAGGCATCAACGTCGAATCTGGCATCGATGGCTTCTTCCACCAAAGTCTTGGCTGGGATCCAGGACTCGCCGTAGCCCTTGACAAGGTTAGTAAAGACGCCGCCAATAAAGTCCGATGCCTTAAAAAAAAACTCATCAAAAGTAGCATCGCTGCTGTCCTCATTCCAGCGTGGATTCATGCCGGAAACAATGCCTGGAATCGTGATGTTTTTGTCGTGGAACTTGGGTTTCACTCCCAGCTCCTCACTGTCGAAATTGCTGATACCGTTGTCATTAGCGTCCAAAGACTCTATAAAGTCTCTGTAGACTTTCTGATATAGAAACTCAGCCTGGGACTCGGTCAACTGCGGTTGCAGAGTCTTGATGATATCTAGACCAAAGTGCTTGTACACAAGTCCCGCGCTGGATAGCTTAGTCTTGTAGTTCTCACTGAAGGTCTCTGCAAACTCACGCTGGTGATGGTCTAATAGGCCCTTGGCCTCATCATATTTGCCGCTCACATCCACTACAATATCGCTTTGTTCCCAAACCGAAGGTTCTCTTGATCTAACAACGTTAGCGTCTTTGAACTGTGGTAAAATTCTCAGCATGTACACTGCTAACGCTTCATCAGCGTGGAATGAGCCAGAATGTGTGCAGATCTGTTTAACCATATTCAACTTTGTTCTTTTGAATGTAGACATAGATGTGATCCCAAAAACAAGTGCGATGCGATGAGATGAGATGACTTCTTGTTTGTCAAGAATTCTGAAATTTTTCAACATCATGGAAATTATTATACATAAAGTGTTAATTAGTGAAGTCTCGACGATGAGTTAGTTGACCATGATCTTTGTAAACTCTACAACATTCTAGAAACACAGAGGAGTACTGGTCTCCATTCAATTCGTGATAATTGAAGCTTCTGTGCTCTGTTAGATTCCCAAGTGATCAGTATTTCAGTTGAAGTATCTAGAGGTATTTTTCCAATAGAAGAACCTTCTCATGATGAAGCTTCCTTTCAAATACACCAGGTCTCAACTTGAAGTTTTCCGCTTTGCATTTTGTCTCTTATCACCAGTGGCAGTTATGTACTACATCGGTATAGATACCGACAAAAAGCTGAACGTGCCAGGGTTTTGGCCCGACCCTGAGACTTTGAACAAAATACCCAAGGAACCATACGAAATAAAAGCTGAGCTAGCAAGAATGAAAAAAGAAAGACTCGAGAAAAGACTGCGTCTTGAGAAGAAGATCTCAGAGGAATACGGAATAGATATTGAAGCTGAAAAAGCTCGTATCAGGGGGCAGATGAATGAAAAATAGACGGAAAAGTCGTTGGGGAACGTTTTGAGACCAAGGACTCAGACTTCTCCATTGCTCACAGCATATGCGGAGATTTATGTGGACACCAAGGGCTCTGAAATGTTATGAATCATAGATGTATAAAGCACGAAACTATATGACAGCTCGAAAAAAGACATTCCATTTATATTATTTATCGTTGGAAGGCGTAATAGATTGTACATTAATTCATTAAAAGACTATTTTCTCGAATATGTAACTTTTGAGCTACTTAGGGTCGGCTTCTGCATCAGTCTTGCCACTGTGTAATACGGGTGAGTAGGCGTACTTGGATTTCTGCCTGATTCTAGCCCCGAAAAAGTAGAACAAATATGGAATAGCGCAGCATGCTAGTGCAATAAAGGCCATTAGAGTAGTGGCCCATTGGTAGTCTAGTCTGTGATACATCTGGATCGTGAATAGTGCCACTGAACCACCCCACATGGATCTAACAAAAGTCTTGGCTGCAAGACCAGATGCCGCATAGTGCTGGTAAGAGTCGACAATGTAATTGTTAGCTGGGTTGTAGAGCATCAAGAACCCGAATCCACAAGCAAACCCACTAAAGCACGGACCGGCCCATGAGATGCGTGGGAAAGAGGACCAGGCAAAGGAGAAGAGGCCGATGGGAACGAACCAGCATCCGATCATCATGGGGATCAATCTGAGTTCGGCGGGAGGGATTTCTCCTCTGTCAAGGTATTTCTGAGCTCTTTTCACGTAGTCTTTGTTGAGGAAAGGTGAGATTGCCGTGGCAAGAAGAACTCCGGCGCCTACTGGAATGAACATGAGACTAGTCTTGATGGGGCCAAAGTGTTTACCCTCGGAGAACACGACGGGGAAGGCAAAGAAAAACATGTACAAGAGGCCGTAAATGACGGTCATGTACATGGTAATGAGGAAAACGATCAACTCCAAAAGAAGCACCATTGGACGTAGAAGAGTTTCAGAGGTGACTTCCTTCAAAGTCCGGATTTTGATCTCGCTGACGGTCCTGTAAGTGGGATCGTTAGTTATTTTGCGGAGATGCTTGGCTCTTGCTCTTAGAATCTTCTGGTGATGAGTTTCTGGCAAAAACATCACTACCACCACGTACAGGCAGGCGCTGAAGATCAACATGAACCAGTAAACCCATCGCCAGGAGCACTTTACACTTAACAAGGACCCTACGATGGGGCCCATAACAGGGCCCAAGAAGGGAGCGGCAGAGAAAATAGACATAGCTACGCCTCGCTCGGTGCTTCTCCACATATCACTTAAAGAACCGCCGATCAAACACATGGGCGCACTGAATGCAAGTCCGTCCAAAAATCTGAATGCTAAAAGTGTGCCAATGTTTTTTGCTGCTCCGCAAGGCACGATAAAAACAACAGCGATAAACAGAGTCACTTGGTAAACTGGGTTACGTCCAAATTCTTCCGAGAGCGGTGCAAATAGTAAGGGTCCCAGACCGAACCCCCACACCATCAGCGACACACAAAGACACATAACTTCGGTGGAGCAGTTCAGCTCGTATTTGGGCGCTTCCAAGTCGCCTGTAATGACCGCAGACATCATGGCAACGTCAAAGCATACAGCGCCAAGTAGAACCGTGTACTTCCACTTGTAGGCCTTGGTCCAGTTACGTGGGTCGTCCCGGTCGTCTTCCACGAAATCCACAATCCGGAGTTTGCTGTCCTCGTCTACCGGGTATTTCCATTTGTCGTTAGCATTAAAGGACGAGTTGGGAGCTGGGGTCGTTTCTACTTTTTCAAGATCGATTCCTGATTCCACTGGACCTAAACCGTGAGTATTGGACTCGTAGCGGGACAAGATCTTTTCTACACCTTGTTTGTTCTGCGTCAGGATTCTATGCAAATCCACGGCACTGTCGGTGTTGGCATTGACGAGAGAACTGTTGAGCTGAATTTGATGTTGCACGACGTTTTCGCTGTTGAACGAACTGGTAGCAATGACTTCCTTTTTTTCGCCATGAGGCCCTTTTTCGGATCGCTCTGAATCAGTTTCCAACGAAAGCTCAGAATTCATCTGCGGAAAGAAAAGAGACGGTTTGTTGCGAATAAGAGAAAATATATACCTCACTGGTATATGTGAATACAAAATATACCTTCTCTACCCAACGAGTTCGATCTTTGACTGGCCTCGAGACCCTGTTATATATACACCAAGAATTGCCGGCCTGTAACGCTTTTGTAAGAGCCGACACAACACTTATGAGCCGATCATCGATTTTCGGCTGATAACTTTTGATAGGCGCGTGAATCGAACCGTACGTTATGGCATTAAGAGCCGATTCAGATCGTAAAGAAAAATCGCGTGGCTTTATCAGCCGACGATCGTCATTTTCGAGTCCCGTGATCTTGACTATTCTGTAAACCCTTTATGTACCATAGTAGCTATTATAAAGTCCGAACTGGTCTTAAACCTCTGTGGGTTGCAGTGCCAAGATCGAGCCTTTGTTCAATACGGTCTCAAATTGAAGCCTCGCCAAGGCCTGTAGCCCAAAAAAACAGGGTCCTATACGTAACGTAAAGTTTAGTTTGACAAAAAACCATCGATCAAGGGCTAGCTGGGGCTGCTTTCCTCTATAAAGAGAAAGATTTGAAGTTTCGTACATATAAAGTGAATGTATTGTCTGTATACGGGACACAATGGAACATGGGTTCCAGAACTATTCGTAGCCAGGCCAAGGCCAAGGCCAAGACTCCTAGCGAGATCGAAATACTTTGCTATGACTTTGCATCACGATCGTATAGATAAGAAGTTTTCGAGGGAGATGAACTATTACTACGGCTCCCACCTCAACGAAAGATATCAAGAACTATAGCTCTCGCCTTCCACTACCGGTGTCATTGGTTGGTCACGTGATTTTTAAATTGAATGCTCGCCGCCTGTAAGTTCATGAGTGAACCACGCATCTTGTCAAAAACCATCAAGCACCAGCAGCAACTGGTTCTAGAAACGTACCCACACAAACATATCGATGCCCTCACGAACAAGATCTGGATCTCTGGCAAACACCATAGCGGTCAAGGGACCAGCCGCACCGGAACTTGTATGTCTAGCTGCCGTTATCGTTGAAATCAAAATAACAGCAATATACTAACTCTTTACAGACACCATCGCTTCTGGATGATCAGGATCTACTTCGCAAACTGCGAGAAATTCGCTCAACGCACCCTAAAAAACCCAAACCGCTTGACAGTCAACATTCTCAGGCTCGCGGCGACGGCCCCAGCTACGCAAAATATGAAAACTACCTGTCCAGTCTCAACAGCAGAACCGCGGAATATCAGGCCGTCATAGATCAAACACAAGCCATTGATGACCAGCTGGCTCTTGCTATTGCTGAATTCGGAAGTTTGTCGACCAAAACCGAGACTTTCACGACCACAATCGGCCAGTTGTTCCACAATTTCAACAACCTCGAAATACTGCACAAATCTTTGGACGATTACATGACGAATTTTGACGCTTTGGATCCGATTGTACGCTGGCTACACCATTCCAATTCCGCTAGTATTGTCAAGAGAGACTCTTTTCGCCTGAAACTGGCTAAAATAGATGCTTCTCTCTTGTTCCTCGAGCAACACCAAGACTTTGCTGATTCCGAAACGTACCGCATCAAATTTAAACAAAGCTTGATGCGCTGCTGTAACATGATGGTAAGCTACCTCACCAGCTCGTTGAAGGCTCTTTATAATGAAGTTGCCAGATCTCTAGAAACTACGACAGACTTAGCCACGCGTGAAGCACTGCTCTATAACAAGTTCAGATCGCGTGCTGTAGATTTTTACTCCATTTCCGAAGAGCTTTCAACCCGCTGTTCACACACCAGCAACAATAGGTACCGCGATGACGTGAAATCCGCCTTGCAAAATTGTTACCTTGAATATTTTCAGATCCGTTCAAAACTTTTGCAACCCTTGATTCGAAACCAGCTCAATGAACTGAATACCGAAGACTCTGGCTTCTCTTTGGTGAAATACATCCAGGACAGCCTACTGTTTTTTTCGCAGCTTTGCCATAATGAATACGATCTGATAGCACAGTTCTTTCCCGAAGCAGAGGGAAAAAGCTTTTTCAATAATGGACTTTTCCGTCTCTGCGAGCCCTTACATGATTCTGTTCGCGAAAAAGTTCTAAGAGAGAATGAGGTTACAGTTTTATGCGACTCCGTCACTCTACTCAATAAGTTCTATCAATTTGAGGAGGATTCTAAGGAATATCAAGACCAGTTCAAGAGTGTCTACTTAGATAAGATTTTTGAGCCAATTCTACAAGACGTTCAGTACAGACTGATATTTCGTGCTCAGAAATATGTCGAATCGAACATAGTGAACTTCAGACCCACCACGGATGCCTTCATAATCAATCATCGCAAGTCTATTCCAGCAAATTCAGAAAACAAAAATGCTGTTGTAACTTCCTTTCTTGACAGTATATCTGACTTCGAAGAAGAGGTGGATGAAGTTCGCAGTTGTTATCCCCCAGTTTTAAGAGCGGTAGCCCTTCTTTCGAGAATCTACCAATTGGTCAACTCCTCCATTTTTGACAACCTCGCTCATCACATTGTGCATGATTGTATCGAGTCGTTAAGATCGGCTTTTCAGCTTGTAAAACATTCCGAAGATACATTGGAGCCACGACTCGCCTGTTTGAAAAATTTGTTGATGCTTCGCAAACAAGTCCAGGCATTCGAGATTCAGTACGTCTGTAACGAAAAGTATGTTGACTTTTCCGGCCTTACGGAGTTTTTGAGGTCTTTCGCTATTGGAGGATCTATGAATGTCTCCAGCACATCAGTATTAGATCTAACCACGGAGAACGGACCGCTGGTGGTCCGAGACATGGTCGACGCACGTTCAGAGCTAACAATGGAGCTAAGAAGGGCTGTCAAAGATTTGACGGATGCGGCCGTCAAGGACTTGGTAGTCGATTGCCTCGACAATGACGATGACTTATTGGCCAAAAACAAGCAGCTGCGCGCCAATATTGAGGCGAACTTGCCCAGGCTTTACGAACGTATGTGCAATTTTGTCGGTGATGTTGAAATCAGGTCCCACTTGATCGACGCAATTCAAGAGTCGTTGGCTCGCTCTTATTCCATATTTTACGAACATGTTGCAGAACTAGCGTCAAATGGAAAAGTCAATAAAGGTGAATTTTCTGAGTTGATGTACGTTGACGTGCTTGTTGAGCTGGTAAATAATGTGGCCAGTTCCCTCGAGCAAAATTAAACTTGACTTGAACTTTTATATGTACAGATTACTTACATGCATGCAGGGCAAGTCAACGAAACCCATCACAACTATCTTTACAATGCCCTTGTGCTTTGATCAGGCTACCTGAGAGAAAACCAACGAGACCGCCGAAACTTATTTGAAAGATTTTCAAGGCTCTTCTTCTTCGTCCATCGCGTCGTAAATATTTTGTGACATTAATCTGTTCAGCTCAGCTTTGATGAACTCAACTTTCGCTGGATCTACCAATAGGTGTGTATCGTCTAATTCCTCTAGAATGATGTTATTTCTGTCAGTGTCCATCTGCAAAATCAGGGCTCTTATAGACGGATCGCACTGTATTAGTGCACCTTTCCTAGCTCTGGGCATTGAGCATACGTTTGTTCTGAACTCTTGCTGAACGGTCGGATGTATTTTACAAGCATAAATTTAGTTAATTTGAACATATCATCAAGTTCCTATATCTTTATGTCTTGAAATTCGAACCAACATGGAGCGTAGATGGCCCGGCGCGACCACCAAGCATCAGTGGGAGATTTTGATCCTCACAGAATAGCGAGCTCTGATGTTAAAGATAAAACAGGAGCGGAAAAACTCACAAATGAACTGAACTACGATCGTCCAAACGATGAACATGAAATTAAGGTAAAACAACGTCAAGGAAGAGAGAATGGAAGTACAGATAAATATGAGGAGAGGGAGTTTTCCAATGACACAAATCAAGATAAAAACCAGTTTGTACATGGTGAAAAGACTTCCAGTTTTTCTTCGAAAACGACAGACAAAAGCTCAAGTAATGCTGAAGATGAAGATGGAACAGAAGGAATTCTTAGACAAGTGGGAAAGAATGGAAAGAATTTCGCCAAACAAATGCCCCCAAAACATACTGATAGTGAAAATAACGATGCGTTGAGTTATAATATTAAGAACGAGAATAGTCGGGAAGACATCGGCCAAGAAGATAAAGAGAAAGTTGAAGTTGAAGATGATGAAGAGGACGAAGAAGACGACGACGCTGGGAAGGATGATGATGATGATGATGATGATGACGACGACGACGAAGATGAAGATGACGAACCTCCCCTACTAAAATACTCTAGAATCACGCAGCTTTCGAAAAACTTTCTCACAAGAGATACCATATCAGCGTGCCAATTCCACGACAAAGTTTTCGCTTTTGCTACACATGCTGGAATATTACAATTCACAGAGCCCGACTTTACCACGATAAGGACGCTCAAATGTCACCGATCGTCAATCACTTCGATATATACGGATGGAGAGCTTTTCGCAACCTCTTCAATTGATGGAACGGTTGTCATCGGCTCAGTGAGAGATAGTTCTGATCTACTTGCGTGCGATTTTAAAAGACCAGTCCATGCAGTGGTATTGGATGAAAAGTATAAAACTTCAAAAACTTTCGTTTCGGGAGGTATGGCAGGAGAGGTTATTTTGTCTCAAAGAAACTGGCTTGGGAACAGGGTCGACGTTGTGCTTGATAAGGGGCACGGACCAATCGTTGGGATCTATACTTTAGATGACGTCCTTTTCTGGATGAACGATGCAGGCATCACTTTCTACAGTATAGCGTCGAAAAGTAAGCTATTACAAATACCGTTTCCCAGGGATGAAGACGGCACAAGGCCAGATTTGTATTGGCCTTCTGTTCACTTCCCAGAAACAGACAGGATAGTTATCTCCTGGGCCCGTCATGTTTGGACATTCAAAGTCTCCTTAGCAACTCTGACTACTCACGGAAATCATTTGGGGTCCATTTTGTCCAGTGCTGCATCTAGTCTGAGAGCAGTCCCGGACAAAAAAATCGAGCATGACCACTATCTGTACTTACCCATGACCTTGGCAGGTGTAGTGTCTTTCCGTAATGATCAACTATTGTGCTTAGAGATACCTTCCTCCGAAAGCGCTGGAACAACCCTAAACAATCCACAGCTAAAAGTTATCGATATGTTCACTGGTGAAGAAATCCATGGCGATGAAGTTGTTTCCAAAAATCATCAAAACCTAAATGTCAATGACTACCATCTAGGTAAGCACATTGGTAGAGAATCCACTGAATATTTTATGATTAGTTCTCATGATGCGATATCTGCTCATGAGTTATCTTTACTGGAGCGATATCAATGGTTCCTCGACAATGGAAGGGACTATGATGCATGGAACATCGGCCTCTACGCTGTCGATAAGATGGAAAGATTGGAAACTGGAGAACGTTACATAAACGCGCTAATATCTTCTAAAAGCTGGGAAGATGCCGCCTCTGCCATTACCGAGATTTTCTCCAGCACGAACATCGAGGCGAATGATTCTGATCAATACCGACACATTATCGAAAAATGGGAAGCATATGTTACGCTATTGATCGAAAATGGAAAGGTCAACGAAATCGCTCCGCTGGTGCCTTTGCATCCGCAGTTGAGCTCTAAAATCTACGACAACATTTTGAAGTTCTACCTTGAAACTCATCAGCTCTCCATTTTGTCCCATTATACACACCAGTGGCCAAGAAACGCTTGGAACAGCCAGTATTTTGAAAACCTTTTTGAGGAGCTGATAGAAAAAAATGACGAACACGTCCGTGAATACAGAGAAGAGCTCGTTTTCTTACTTCTGACGGAGAATAAAGATGTAAAAGCTGTACCCCACCTCATCCAGATGAGAGATTTGAGGGCTCTCGATATTATTAGTGATCAAAAAGTGCTCTCAATGTTTGCGAGGCAGTTGTTGGATATCGTACTTCTTCCTTACAATGGTGAAGATGAAGCTCTAAACTCGCTGGGTTTAGATCACGCACAGCGGATTTTCAAAAAGCCGATTAACCTTCTAGTGCAAGGGACTCATATGGTCGATATCTCCTTCATCACTTCCAAGCTTTCGTCCTCTGAGACTTACGGCATTTTGCTTTACCTTTTCTTACGCGAGGGCTCCAAAGCTGAACCCATTTTGACCGCACCTTATGAAAATGATATGATTACCCTTTACCTACAATTTGATCACGAAGGCCTCCTAGAATTTTTAAAGACCAAGAAAAACTACGACGTCGATAACGCTATCGAGCTTTGCAGTTCAACGAATGACTATACCAACGAGCTAATATACCTATATGGAAAGATCGGAGAAACTAAAAAGGCCCTTTCGCTGATCATAGATAGAGGAAATGAGCCCAAGCTTGCTATACAATTTGTTCAAAGTTCGGGGGATATTGAGTTATGGCAGTACCTGATAACTTACAGTATGAACAAGCCAGCTTTCATAAAGGCACTACTCGAAATGAGGTCAACCTTGGGAGCCGGGCATGTCGACATTTTACGAAAAGTGCCTCCAACTTTGGAAATCGATGGGCTAAAAGTGTCTCTCGAACACATCACCAAAGAAAACTTTATCAACCTCAATGTGAAGTCCGGAGTCTTTAAAATCCTCGATGATGAGACAAAGCAATTTGCTCATGATTTTCTCAAATTAAGAGAAATGGGGAAAGTCTTTAATGTCGATAGTTCTTGATTTCAAGCATTACGATTGACATTGTTCACTCTAAGATGAATTTGCCCATTGGGAAAGGGGCGAAAGTCATATGCGTTAGTAGTTTCTAAGTTGATTATCATCTTTGAAGTTTCCATGTGTTTATCCGGAAGGATGGAACCCACCAAAGAAATTATTGCTTCCTACTCCAAGCGTTGGATCAACATTAGATTGAGAAATATCTTTTGTAGCAGGAGTTGTGCCTGGGCGCATAAGCGCATGCTCTTGGTGCATCAATTGACGCTCCAATAGATTTTCCCTCTGTCTTTTTTCCGGAGCACTTAAAGCTAGCTTTGCCTTATGTATTTTCTTTAAGCAGTTTCTGTAGCTGAACTTGAGCTCACTGAGGGCAGACTCGGACAATCCCACTTCCCTGAACTCAGCATGCTTTAAAATGTTGCCCATTGATTTCGCGATATCAATGTTTGTTTGCAGTGTAGTCATGATGAGGAGGCGCTGAGATCCGAACGTAGCTTCGGGTTCGCCGGTAGTCGAAGAATTCGAAAATTCACTGTGTCTTCCTAAATCAAATTCGTTACCCAAATTCAGGTCTGGTTCGTTCATAGCCAACAATTCATTAGGTGGCAAATTGTTAGAAGCTGGTGAAGTGCTGTCGGCTATCGAGTTCTGAGCGTGATTGGCCAACGTAGGATCTGTCGGCGCTGGTGGCGCTTCTGCAGGTAGTGCACTGAACACATCATCTAAATAAGCATTTGCCGTTGGCACCGGGGTTGGAGCAGTGTATAGATGGGTTTCTGATGCAGAGGGTGGAGCAACAGTGACACGATCCAAATGATCATGTCCATCAACAGGTGGTAGAACCCCACTGGAAAATATATCACCGGTTTTATCAATAACGCTGCTCACAAAAAAGTCGCTTTCAGGATTTGTATTTGCTCCTAAACTTGAAACATGATCGAACGTGTCATGGGCGGCACTTCCCTCCACGTTAGCAAATGTTTCCAGATTGAACGCTCCCGCTGAATAGTCCTCCTCATACGAACCAGTCTTTGGTTCTGGCTCCCATTCATCTACAATTGCACTTTCCACCAGTTCCTCTGAACTCAAAAAATTGGTATTTTTATTTTCGATGTTCAGATCCAGTAGAATATCGTAATCCCATTGTTGAACGCAGTGAAATTTCTCACTTACCTCGTAAAGTTTCCGTTCCAAGGCCTCATTTTTCTTGAAAGCCATGCTAACATTTTCGTTCAGTTGAATCATATGCTGCGGCAAAATACCGGAACTTTTCCAGTTAGCTTTTATGGTATCAACCGGTATGGCATCCCAGGAGTTTTTTATTAGTTTGAAGGCGTTGGACATATTCAAGGTGCTTTGATCATAGGTCAGTATTTTCTTCGCACCCGACTTCTTTTCAATTTTCTCTTGTAAGTCGATGAGTGCTTCATACTGCTGTACTCGATAATGTGTCTTGAATTCATCTAGGACCCCCCAATTGAAAGGTAAAAATCGACTGTTAGCAGAGGTGTACACTAGTTTGATATTTTTGAGCCGTAAGTTGACTATCCGATGAGAGCACGAGTCATCGAGAACTATGCAGATTGTTCGATTGTCCACAACGAGTCGTTTGTCCCACCATGCCAGCCAATCGTGAAACAGATTGCTGGTAAGCCAAGACTTCCGGTTGCTATGGTACGTCAAAGAAAACTTTCTGGCCATTCTGGAGCCTACCGAGGTGGGTGAGGAGCCGTCGGAGGGATCATTGGCAAAATGACTTCGAAAGCTTCGGTAATTCTCGTATTTTCCTATCACCAGGGGATTCATTTTTTCTGAACCGTCTAAGTTAGCGCAGAGCATCACAGTGAGAACTTCTATTTTTCTTTGCACCTGGCCTGTTTCGTACTGTGCGTTGTCCATGGGCAAGTTGTAGGCCAGAAAGGTTTCGTCCAGTGTAAACAGATCTTTCGGTGGGACTTTGACCAGTAGATCTTTCAAAGCGTCTCGTTCCTCGAAAGTCCAAACTTTGGGTGGCTTCGGCAATTCCTCATCTGGATTTGTGACGTTCAGGTCCATTTTCGATAAAAAATACGTGATCCACTTGTAACTGAAGGAACCGTTGCCCTCACGGTGTATGGCTGGAATGCGGTGCCATACGGACTGTGCGGTATCTTGAACGATAGGTGGAGTGATGGGAATCCCGTTCCAGATGCTTTGAGAGACCCATTCTTGCAAAATTCGTCGCACCAAAAGGTTGTTCGGAGTTCGCAATCGGTTGGCTCCCTTTTCGTGCTCTTTGGAATTCATAAAGATGCTTTTGCGAGCCAAAAGTCGCGAGATGGTACCTTGCGAAGGACGTGATGATAATTGGTAAGCCTCGTAAGCCCATCGCGCCAACTCCGCCTGAGTCCATTTTGGATGCCTCTCGGCCATCAAAATGATGCTATATTTCTGTTCAACGGATAATAAACCCATAATTTAATAGCTTCCTAGTAGCCTCCCATAAATTGTGGGCCTCTTCCTAGATCTCAGGTCGACGAAACGATGACCTTGGTGAGATAAAATGAACAAAACTGTTGCTTGATGTGAAATTGTGTTACAACTCTTCCACCACACCAGATAAAAAGACCAAGAAAATTTCAGGTGATTGCGTGAAAAGTCCGACAATTAGATAGCTATGAAAGAAGAGTCTAAAAGAACGTTGATCTTGTCTTTAAGTAGAATTTTGTTAACACTGAAATCAAAAAGTTTACCATCAATTACATCAAATTCAATAACGGCTTTAATATGCTATTCGACGGTGAATAGATTTCGGATCATATAGAGAGCGACATATCTCCAGAGTCTCGTGACCGAATATGAAATGTTGTGTTAAAGAGCGCTCGGGTCGCTGATGATAAGCTAAGACCATCTCCTTTCACTTCTGTAAGGTTTGTTTCGATATGTGTCATGTCCTGGATAATCCTTGTGTTCTAGGCGATTCTTGACCTCCATTCAGCTGCCGCGATATGTCGTGTAGCCGTAGTTACTGAGAAGCAATGGGATATGGTAGTGCCTAGCATCGCTTACTGTGAAGGCGATTTCCACAAACGGGAAGAAACACGATTTGCCTTCGCGAGCGTAGTATTTCGATGTCTGGAACCGGATCTTGTAAAAACCAGGAACCAAGGACTTCCAGGCCAGCATTTTAGATTCCTGTTCCACGATTCCAATGCTTCTCAGGAGCGTTCTTTTGGATGGCTCTGGTGCAAACACCCACTGGACGATCCTTCCATCGGCGTTGGTTTTAGCTAAAGCAAAGGGTGCATCGCCATTTTCGCATAACACTTGGGTATCGTCAGAAGTATCGTCGATCGCCATTTTGTAGATCGAACATACAACACCTTCAGCTGGCTTTCCAGTGGTCGTATCGAGAATATGGCATGTCACAGGAGGTCTAGACATGTTTGAAATATCGAACTGTAGTCTTATCAAGTCCGGTTATGCCCTCAAAAATCGAACACGAAAAGAAAAAAGAGGCTCAAAAACACAGTCTAGAACCTCTGGTTTACGGTTCAAACTCTTACAGTATAAATCGACAACGTCAGGATGAGATTCGACCGTTGTAGAGCATACTCCTCAGGTTAAAGTCTCAAACGATCGGGATAAGTTTTGAAGTTATATAGATAATCAATTCATTTCATGTAGGTGTATTATCTATATTGATGTCATCTCGGATACGCCCGATGAGGTGGAAGAAGAACATAAAACTGGCCCTCTAGAGATGCCCCGTTGGGATCACATAGCGTATCAAACAGAAGGTGTGGACTATTACATACCAGTTTTATTTAGGTATTCTGCTACATTCGAGCAGAAAGTGCCCTGTTTCGTGGGCGACCTCACTCGCGGGCTCGAGAAATGGGAAAAAGAGATACAACGATACTATCCTAATGGAAGCGCATTTTGGCTTCTAGGAAACCATCCAATTCGAAAATTGACTGTGCAAGGATACGTCGTTTCCTGGAAATGGAAGTTCATCGGTGAAATAGATTACGCTTTATTTAAGATCGACGATTGTACGCGGGAAGCGGCTGACATAGCGTCTTTACTACCTTGTAAATGCTCGAAAAGCTTGATATTGCAAAACGGGTTGCCGAACATAAATCTCAGTGGCTGCCAACTCAAAATGCATGGAAGTATGAATAAGTATCGAGAATTGGACGTGGAGAGTATCGAGGTTTGCACGGGCGTGCTGAAAGAGGTGGGATTTTGGCGCATGGCGATGCAATGGCGAGAAGTTTTAGCTGAACCCTGGGTGATAGACGAGAAGGCCTTGAATGAAGCGTTTCTTTCGCAAGATGAGGGTTTGGGTCCCAACACTACCTACAATTTCGTGCATTGGCTTGAGCGTGAGGCGTACAAGAGTGAAATGCAGATAAGTGGGGAGGATCGGCCGAGCGGCACCACACAAGAGCTACTGTTGCCAATGGATCTCGATTATGTCAATAGTGTGGTCGCGGATGGAAATTGGTGCGGAAATGAAGTTGTCGTTGAAAGTGCAAATGATAGAGATTCATCGCCAGTAGAGGCAAGACAACTTGCAGATCCCGTCGTGGAACTGGTTTCTCAGAAAAGCGATTTTTCGCTGAGCGATTACCGCCGTTTGCTGACAGAATATTTGATCTGCCAACGGAAAAATGAAATCTCGATGCTCAATACGTTTCGAAACCCCACACTAATGCAGGTCTTGCGGTCTTTACTACGTGGAAAGTGTGAGATTTCACGCAAGGAAGAAGAAGAACAACAACAAGAAGACGAAGAAGCCAGCCGTGTGTTCGCGCAGGCCGTTGCCAGGTTAGCTGATATGGGCGTTGCACGAGTTCTTGCTCAAGGCCGGATTCTGAATTTGCAGATGTTGCAGTTCTGTTATACACAAGCGTCTGCCAGGATCGCTGTGCTGGTCGCTATGCGACTGAACACAGGGGTGTTGGATTTTGAAGCTCTGTGCAATTCTGTGAACCTTTTGTACCAAAAACCGCTGAACGGAATTCTTCTGGATATCTACAAACGAGCGCTGCGATGTGCCACAGAAAATCCAAACTCACTTGTACGCTCATGGTGGATCGAAATGTCCAGTAGCAGCACTGCAGTGGTACATTTTGTGCGGGTCGCGTGATCAGTTCAAAACGATTTGAAATCTTAATCGCGCGCCTGGAAAACAATGCGGTTACGTAATCTTTTTGCGTTGTCCTAAGCGACCGAGAGAGAAAGAGAGACAAAAGAAGCGTCGGAACGAGAAAAGAGCTCGTAAGTCCGAAGAACGCCATGCATTGACGTCTCGCTTGGACTATTCAACGCCCAGGCTGTGTTGGATACACCCATCGTTTGAAACCCGCACCAGCACCCACATAATTGCATTTCGTCCGATTATAGCCTCCCATATCCGGCACCATTACCACAATCATATTTGCACACACCCTACAAGGTTCTCACGTGTGCCAAAAAAGCTGCTATCCTTTCACCACCACCACTTCCAACACTTCACTGCCCATTTCCGTTTTACTCGCGAATTGTCAACGCGACATTTTAATTCCAGCCCTTTTTTCTCCCCTTTCTGCATTCCTCCGCGCACTTTCCGTCTCTAGATTCTTAACCCTGTGGTGTGTGAGTGGACGTCTGCATGTATGTATATTTCCCTAACGGACTATAGTAGTATGTGTCCAGTGACGGCGATGATCGCAAATGGTGTGGGCCTAGGTGTGGGAAAAAAAAACTAAAAAAACGCACTCTCTCTACGCCGGTAAGTGTGGAAACAAACGGGTCCGCCATGGACCACCGTCCACCCGCGCGACAGCATGTCTGCCGTCAGTTTTTTCCTGGATACCACCAAAAAGACGCCCCAAATAGGGAATCGTAATGGATTATTAAGAACTCGATGCAGCATAATGGCAAGGGAGCGAGCGCCATTACAAATAATAACCGCAGATTCGGCACGGTATAGCGGATGGGATACATACTTGTACGACCGAGACGACTACAAACAAGACTATAGAAGCGTATATATAAGGGTGTTGAAGGTGTGATAGGGCTAGACTACGGAGCTAGAGAAAGTGCGAACGGGCTAAACAGAACAATAACAAGCTGGCAAAGACGTTCACAACCGGTTGTGAATGCTAAAATTTCATCAGAGGTAAGCTACTTGACAAAAACTATCTATTCTTTTGTCATCGTGTTAAAAATCAACTCGAAATTATTCAGTTTTCGCATGTTGCAGCTCATCACCATTACTTGGCATACATACTTATAAGAGACGAGGAAAATGGTAACGCTACAACTGACGGAAAGGATGTGCAACGAACACCACGGTGTTGAGAAAGGAGGGATTCTGGGACCCTTGATGGACACAATTGCAGGACGCAGCGATGTAGACGATATCACCGGGTTCGTGATTGTGTGGTTTGTTGTGAGCGTTGTGAGTGTTTTGATACTGGGAACTGTAGTGTTGGCTGTGGGGATCGTCCTGCGACCGGAAATTCGGGACAAAAAATCTGCCAAGACATCTGCAGATGTTTGGGGCGCAGATCTGGAAAAAAATGCTCAGATGTGAGGCCAAAAGACCTCCAGGCAACGAACTACTACGTCACAACCACCAATACCACCACCATTTATAATAACTAATACTACCTCTCGTAATTTGAATTTCATGTTCAGCGACGCTCAAGTTTTCGGGTCACGTCACGCAAAGTGGTCGTAACGGCTCTGTCGCTTGCCAACAGCAACGGTGGACACGAAGGCCATTGTGACAAAGACGGTGGTGGTGGAAGCAACGCCAGACTTCGTGACGAGGTGTAATCGGGTGTGAAAATGCGAGAGCGAAGGGTGTGGGCAGATGTCTTGCTACCGGTCCCATTGGTGCCAGTACCAACATCGCTAGCACCGTTGAATGCCCGACGATTGGCTCTCTGGGGCAGTTTATCCATTTGTACGGACTCGCCTGTATCGAGACGACACTCTGGTTTGAAGACTTTGGCGTATCCTGGCGATTTCGCATACAATTTTTCCAATACCTGGGCCCCAGCTTCGAGCTCTTCTGCTTGGAAGGCCCTGGATTGATGAGCAGCCCTGTTCTGGCGATTGGTGCCACAATGGAGTGTGAACTTTCTAGACTGGGGTGCCTTTTGAGGGTCCTTTGGCGATCTGTCGACTTTTGGCCCGCGTCTTCTTTCTCGTCCGGGAGTTCGGGTTCGCGGCAGCCAGTCTTGTTCCAACTGTCGAGCCTTGTTGCAGTAGTAGTCACCTGCGAGTCGAACATGGTTCTTGCCCAGCAGATGGCTTTTCCGAACGCTCGGAGTGTCATGTGTAAGGTACGAGTGGCAGTAATCACAGAAGAAACGCGGCATGGTAGAGAAACGAGAGAAACTGATCTAGATCAGATGTAACTGTGAATATTCAGCGTGCGATGAGCTAGGTTGCCAATAAGAATGCTAATGATGTGTGAAGGAGAGATCTATATTTCAACCAACATCACTAGCTACGTTACTCGACTAGATGCTCGCATAGATTATCGACTCTAAACTCGACTAGACTTTTTTAATTGGTCTCCAAATCATGCTATACGAACACGTCGCTAAAATTTTTCTGGCCATATATAAAAACTACCATCAATCCAATGGTCCAACGACCGTTTCTAAAAACCCATCGGTATTATACTACTCTAAACACGCCAGAGTTCTTCAAACTATGTTTCTAGTACCCCGTGTATTTAGCCTGGTAGCCCGGCCGGCTTCCAGAGGATTTGCCCGGTCTGCGGTCCGCTCTTATGCGGCCGCTTTCGACCGTTCCAAACCACATTTGAACATCGGTACCATTGGCCACGTCGATCATGGTAAAACAACTTTGACCGCTGCGATCACCAAGACGCTTGCCGTGAAAGGTGGTGCAAACTTTTTGGACTATGCTGCAATTGACAAAGCCCCAGAAGAGAGAGCCCGTGGTATTACGATCTCCACTGCTCATGTTGAGTACGAAACCGAAAAAAGACATTATTCGCATGTGGACTGTCCGGGCCACGCCGATTACATCAAAAATATGATTACTGGTGCCGCCCAAATGGACGGTGCCATCATTGTGGTCGCTGCCACTGACGGTCAGATGCCTCAAACCAGAGAACATCTGCTTTTGGCCAGACAGGTTGGTGTTCAGGATATCGTGGTTTTCGTTAACAAGGTCGATACTGTGGACGACCCAGAAATGTTGGAATTGGTGGAAATGGAAATGAGAGAGCTTTTGACTCAATACGGTTTTGACGGTGACAACACCCCAGTTATCATGGGATCTGCCCTATGCGCCTTGGAGGGCAAAAAGCCCGAAATCGGTGAACAAGCTGTTATGAAGCTATTGGACGCCGTTGACGAACACATTCCTACCCCACAAAGAGACCTGGAAAAGCCATTTTTGATGCCTGTCGAAGACATTTTCTCCATTTCTGGTAGAGGTACTGTCGTCACCGGTAGAGTCGAGAGAGGTAATTTCAAGAAGGGTGAGGAAGTGGAAATCGTTGGCCACAACTCCCAGCCTTTGAAAACCACTGTTACCGGTATTGAAATGTTCAGAAAAGAGCTGGACAAGGCCATGGCCGGTGACAACGCCGGTATCTTGCTACGTGGTGTCAGAAGAGACCAGTTGAAAAGAGGTATGGTTTTGGCCAAGCCAGGCACCGTCAAGGCTCACACAAAGTTCCTAGCCTCCTTGTACATTTTGTCTAAGGAAGAAGGTGGCCGTCACTCGGGTTTCGGCGAAAACTACAGACCCCAGATGTTCGTGCGTACTGCCGACGTTACCGTTGTTTTGAAGTTCCCAGAGGCCGTCGAGGACCATTCCATGCAGGTCATGCCTGGCGACAACATCGAAATGGAGTGTGAATTGGTGCACCCAACACCACTCGAGGCCGGCCAGCGTTTCAACATCAGAGAAGGTGGTAAGACTGTTGGTACTGGTCTTGTCACTCGTATCATTGAGTAAACACTGCTGTGATTCGATTTCTCATCACATATTCTAAACATATACGATCCATGTACATAGCAACGAACAATCGGAATTTTCCGACATTGAAAGAAAGCAAGCGTTGAAATGACAATTTTTAAGAAAGCGGATCGCCATTTCTTCGACTAACCCATCGATTTGACCAAACTTTAACCATCGAAAAACATTTGACTGACATCTGAAGACACACGGTAGACAACTGATACGTTTATCTGTCAAAATATTCAGTACTCGAGTACTTCATCTTTATCAGTCTCGAAAGGAAGCCACTATCAGTTCAAATGTCATCAACCAAGAAGATTCAAAGAACTTCTTCCCTTACAACGACAGAGAACGATAGCTCAACAACATCAAGATGGTAATTCTGTTACCAATATGGTGGACTTTACTGCTTGGAGGTTTTACTTCTGCAATGCAGCATTGTTTCATCTCCGAATCCGATCATAATATAGACATTAAGCCACTTCCCAGGAATCCCACGCTTAATCCCAACTCCTCCGAGGTCTTGAGAATCGGTAAGTCTGGTGCAATTAGCTCAGACTCAGAAACATGTAATCAGATGGCAGTCGAACAGGTTCTGCAAAAATTTGAGGACGCCAACGCCGCAGACGCTGCAGTGACAGTGGCACTGTGTCTCGGAATGACGAATTTCTTCTCTAGCGGAGCGGGCGGTGGAGGTTACGCTGTTTTTGTCGGCGGAAACAACAAAGAGACGGAAATAGATTCGAGTCCTCTCTTTTTCGATTTTCGAGAGCAGGCTCCACAATTGGCCCACAAAGACATGTTTGAACACAATCCAAATGCTTCACAAGTCGGAGGCCTGGCTGTTGCAGTTCCTGGTGAGCTGCAAGGGCTGTATGAACTGTATGTACAGCGAGGCAGTGGTAGTGTCGAATGGAAGGATTTGATAGAACCGGTTGTTGAAATTGGGCTTAAAGGCTGGCCCGTAAATGAGATCCTGGAAGCTGTCCTAGAGATGTACGAGCCTTACTTCATTGAACATAAAAGCGACTGGAGTTTTGTTTTGAACCCGGCGAAAAATAGGACATTGCGTTACGGTGAAACCATCAAAAGAACTGCTTTCGCTCATACTTTGCAGGAACTCGCTAATAATGGATCTGCTGCTCCATTTTACGACACTAATCACTGGATCGCAAAATCAATTGTCGCAAAGGTGCAAGAGGAGGGTGGAATTCTAGCGGATCAGGACCTAACCAATTACCATATCAATGTTTCTAGACCCTTATCGAGCAAGATTCGTGCCGGATGGTCTAACATTCCCAACAATGACCTTGAAGTCTTCACAAGTGGTGGGTCAAGCTCTGGTGCCGCTTTACTGTCTGCGCTCAAAATTTTGGACCATTTTCCCAGCCTAAAAGGTGGGGACTACAATACAGAGCAAGCGTACATCTTGGTAGAATGCATGAAGTACATGTCCAGTGCTAGAAGTCGCTTGGGAGATTATTCGTCTCAGGGTAAGATACCAGAACGCATTACTAGGGTTTTGGAAACTAATTGGACCGAAGCAGCTGTTGCGAACATCCAGGCCAACTTTAAAAATCTCAGAACGATGGCCAACTGGACCGATTACGACCCGCTTTATGAGTTGACAGAACCGCATGGCACGACTCATTTCAGCGTGGTTGACAAATTTAACAACGCAGTATCGCTCACTTCCACGATCAACTTACTTTTCGGGTCTCTAGTGCACGACCCCGCCACCGGTATTTTGCTCAACAACCAGATGGACGATTTTTCACAACCTTATAGGTCCAATGCATTTGGTCTCGCGCCATCGTTGTACAATTTTGCTGAGCCCGGAAAAAGACCGTTGTCGTCTTCGTCGCCTGTTGTGGTATTGAACGAGCTGGGCAAGCCCGATCTGGTCATTGGTGCGTCTGGAGGATCTCGGATCACTCCGAGCATCTTTCACATAATGGCCAGATTATATTGGTATGACATGCCTCTTCTGGAGTCCATAGCATATCCTAGGGTCCATCATCAATTGCTGCCAGACCAACTCGAAGTTGAGAGTTTCAAACTGCTCGGAAAGAGCACTATTCAGTCGCTGCGCGATATGGGTCATAAGGTGATTGAACAACCTCCCAAGAGTGTCGTAAATGCCATCAAACGTGACATCGGAGAATGGCATGCTGTAAGTGATTTTTGGCGTAAGAGAGGCATTTCGGTAGCGTATTAGTTAAGTACTCTCATTATTCATGGCAATTATTATATGTTGCCCTACTGTCCATTTACTTGATCACTGTCGCTGGCGCCAGCCGAACTCAAGTGTCACAATCGTACTGGGTGATACTTTGTGATAAATATATCATAGTTATGGTATATTCCAGGAATAAATCATAAAACAGCGAAATGTTTACCACTCAAGCATTTTGAAATCAACCGCCAGTGGAAAGATGGAGTCTCCAAAGCCGCTGCCGAGTCCTCCCAAGAGTTCGGAAGTAGGCGGTTCTCCAGGAAAAAATCATAAACGACATTCCGCTACTGCGGAGCAAGAGGAGGTAGAGGAATTCGAGTTTCACCACGAGTTTTCGCGAAGTAATGTCAAGAGCTTGATCCACTGCGTTTCACAAGAGCTCAAGCGCAATGCTTTGGATATCGAGTATCTGTTTTTGCCTTTTCGTCCGGAACAATCAAACGAGAAGCTTCTGAAATTCTTGAATCGCGCTTTCCCGCTTGGTAATGGTGTGGCCGTCGAGGATGCCAAGCTCGATCGGTTGGCGCGTTCTACAGACCCCTGGACACTTTTTCAGGCATTAAAATACATCTGGTGTCGTCTGCCCAAGGGGCAAGTTGTCACCTGGAAGGCGTATCATGTCTTTCAAGAGAGAGAAGAGGCCGATGGGTTTTCGCCAAAGTCGTTCTTGGATTTGATGCCCCAATGTCTGGCATCGCCGGATCATGCATCCATTGTTTACGACTTTTTTGATTTGATAGTCGCGATGGCTTCAAATTCTAAAAGAAACAAAATGAGTGCGCGAAAGATCTCCAAAATGTTCGCTATCTGGGCATTTGGCAAAGAAACTGAGAAAAACTCGACTGAGGGATATGATCTTAATCATTCCCGAACGCCGAAAATAGAAGGAATTACCTCATTTAAAGAAGGTCTCGAAGTTTGGCTACCTGCTGCGGACGCCATGTTCCATCTGCTTTTGGCGTTCATAAGAAGTTTCGTTCCAAACGACTTGAAAGACGCTAGCATACCCATGACCTTGAAGACCATATTGTTTAACAACAACTATCCACCCAAGGCTTCCTTCGCTAATGGCTCGGAGACTCCTTTGACCGTTCCGATAGTTAGCTTAAAGACCAACAAGTTTTCCAAAAAACCTTGGCAATTGATCGAAAGGTGTAACGAACTGTTTGACTTTAACGACCATGATGCATTCGAGGCCAGAGAAGACTATGCTCTTTTAAAGTCTCTTTTCAAAAAAAAGCATAACATTGAAGGTATAAGTCATAAGATGTCAAATGAATCTCGTAGACTAATGAAGGAAATGTCCACTAAACACTCCACATTCCAAGCTGGATGGGCTTCGCAGAAATGCATCCAGCAAGATCCCGTCACAAAGACTGTGAAAGACCATTTGCAGGTCAAGAGGGTGGATATCAATGACTATTTCATCTGGGCTTGGTTGTCCTCTTTATCTCACGAAGAAACTTCAGAGAAGCGGAAACTATTTGGGAGGTCGATTATCGTTGAATTTGAGTTCGATGGATTTAAAAAATGGATTGTGTTTGAAGAAAGTGATATCAACTTGGAACTCAAGATACTCAGGTCATTAGACTCTTTAGATGGCTTCAATATAGCCAAGGCTCCAGTTTCACACACGTCACCGGTGGCATTATCTCATAATGCGACTCCTGCATATGAAAAGTTTCAGAAAAACGCCGCTGATGACAAACCCATCGTATCTTTGAAAGATCGTAATCATAAGGTCCTGCCCCTACCACCTATAGGCGACTCTAGGCCACATCTACCTCTGAAGGACATGAGTAGCCCCAGTGTTCCAGTTGCGGAAAAATCGTCTTTATGGAATCCTCTGAAGACAATCCGCAAAATCAGCAATTCAACGAGCTCATCTTCTTCCACCAACTCTACTTCAACCGGGGAACGTCGCCCCCTGCCGGAGAAGGTAAAGGTTCCGTCCACTGTACATTCGAATGTACCCAGGTCTCGGGAAACTCCCACCAAGAGACAACAGTCAAGGATTTTGAGTCAATTCAGCATGCTAAACCCTGAAAATTATCAGCTCCCGACGGTAGAGCATGAGGACTTCAGGGTGGACATGCCAGAGCTAGATGGGCACTTTGAGGCAGAACAAAGTGAGCACCAGTCACCATCGCCGCCTACGCCAAAGAAAGATGAACGCATATTGCAAACAAAGGGGTGTTTAGACGATTTGCACGAAATGGTCGACAAGCTGAATGATCAAGTTTCCAAGTCCACCCCGACGCTTGCTCAATCTACTACTAATTTAGCTACTGATGCAGAAACATTTGAATCATTGACCATGTTTGACAGGTACAGGGAACATCCAAAAGACTCAGTGGATACCCTAGCCGAGAGCACAAATTCTAGCGTCGTTCCTCCCCTTGTACTGGCTAGTGATGAGGCGGACCTAGCACATCAAATTCAGGATGGTGAATATACGCTCCATAGCCCTCGAAATGAGTCTCCCAAGCATTCCAGCGGTACCTCGCCGATTGTATTTCCGATCGATAGAAGCAGTGACGAGCTTACAGTGAGTAAACAGGCAGGAGGCCTTCCTGTTTATAAAAAACTCATTCATGACCAGGACAAGCATACTATTTCGACTTACACGACTCCAATTGCATCGCCCACAGGTAGTCGTACTCATATACCCACAAATCACACGGTCCACACTTCTCATCTTCCCAAAAGCCCTTCGCCGCACGATCAACGCGAACGAACAAGCGCTTTACTTCAGAATGCTGGGGTTTCACATATACAGGAAGAAATGCTCTCCATACCTGTGGAGCAAGCAATTTCTCAGGAAGCTGAACAAGCAGTCCAAAAGCAAGGATATCATAGGTCTCCATCCCCTGCTGCGGCACAATCTGAAAGAAAAGTTTACGCAACAACAGAGACACTTCCTCAAGAACGATATCAAAACATGAGAGCAAGCGATCAGGAACTTTCGGCTGCACAACAAGCTAACACCAGAGTACCTCAAGCCGCAGTTTCGCTTGATGACCGCTATGACCTTCCAGGGGTGCGAGAGCGTTCAAATGGAGTGGCGCATCTCATGACTGGTTCCGCTCCCCCATTGGGACATGCTGGTCAGCAGCGAGATGTTCCTTCTGCTGAAAAAGTGAATAGAAGCGGTCATCGCAATCCTCAACCTCAGTTTCTCCCACCGGATTCGAGAACTTATCAATCGGCACAGTATGCGGCTCATGCTTCTTTTACGAATGTGCCACCTCAGCAAATAGCCCCGAATGGACCTCAAAAGACGATGAAATCGCCGCCACCTGCACCATTGCATTTGCCAACTCCACCCCAAGGACATCGCCAATATCATCCTACAAAAAATATGTATACAGCGAATCCTTCGCAGACTCATATCCCTCCACATGGTTACGCAAATATGCATAAGGCACACCCGGGTTCCCTCCCGATGTCGCCAAAACCATATCAACCGAACTATTTGCAAGCACGACAGGCTCCTGCGCCTACAGGTCCAAGTCATGCTGGTATGGTCGGACATTACCCGCCAACTAGTGCGGGATACCCACCTGCTGGTCCACAATACCCACCTGCTGGTCCACAATACCCACCTACTGGTCCACAATACCCTCCTACTGGTCCACAATACCCTCCTACTGGTCCACAATATCCACCAGGTGGTTATGGGCCTCCATTAAATTCACCTGGTCAGAATCAAGGAGCGTTCTACGCTCCTATGCATGCACCTTATCCAAATGGTCAAAATCCTGGGGTCCCTGGAGGTCCCAAACTGCATGGTGGGTACACTCGCAAGAGAGAGGATCGCAAACGACTGCATGATACCATCAAGAATGGAGCGTTTGGGATTTGAGAGCGTTTGAGAAAGCTTTGGGCAGCTTTTTGGAACTTTTCAACAGCGAGTGGAAACAGAGGTGCCTACGAGGGTACTAAATAGCTTGTAGAGACAGTTTTGTACCTATAAGTACAACGCATCACAAATTCCCCGGTGCTCTGTTGGGTTTAGGTCATACGCCGAATGTGTCACAACAAATGAGTGCACTGAATGTCCTTTTCTAATTCTCCAATGTTCAAACCTGTGTTGTTGGAACCCCATGAAGTCATACAGCAATTTTTGCTCAGAAACCTGACCACGAACAGTTGAATTCGTAATTCAACTCAATACAGCTGGAGACTCAAGCATTGCCGTCTCACAACATTCAAAACTCTAGGAAAGCACGTTATATCAGAAAATCCAAATGATCTTATTTGAATTTTTGCTCAAGTCCCGGCATGCAAACCCTAAACATAGCCGCCGAGGTCGATCGCCTCCGAGTTATGGCACATACGAAACGGGTAGGCACTTTGATAAGGAAATCAAAAACCCTCCTGTAAAAACGAAACCTTTCTGGGCAGAACAGTTAGACAGTGTGTCAAATATTTGAGTACTCTTTTCTTCAATGGTATCAGTTCGAAGAAGAGTCTTGTTTTCTTGATTCCAACTTTTATATCGATTAACGAGATGATGATGTACTCGTGGACTCGCGGATGTACTCCCGAACGTACTCGTCTTTTACTATAACTTCGATTAACTCATTGAACAGAACAGCCTATATAGATCAACAAACTATGATCACTGTCTGTTTCTTTGATGATCAATGTCGAATCGGTGAGTCAAGACGAGACAATAGTCAATGAAGCTGGACTTATTTGCTGTTTGAAAGACGATGACAATATTCGCAACGTCTTCATATTTAAAGATGACGGTGTGCACCTCTACGATATAATTCGGAAGAAAATCACGATTCGTAAGACCACGAATTTGAATGGGACGGTGGCTGTTACTCAGTGCGGACTGGGAGCTTCTTCTTCAAAGTTTTTGGTTGTGCTAAAAAGAGACTGTGAGCTATTAATGCTCGATGTTTCTAATTTCGAGATAGCTCAAAAACTACGACTCGAGCTTGCCCATTATTCAGAGGTACGCCGCGCCCTTATGTTTTTCGATGATGCTCACCAGAATCTAAATATATGCGTAGACGGGCACTCTATGTTTTGCGTGGAGGCTTCCAAATTACTAAGTGGAAACCTCAGTGTCCCCTGTCTTCAGTTTTACCATTCCAATGCAGAAATTGTAGGGGCGGTGTGTGTCTGTACGCACCGAAGAAACTATCTGTTGTTAAAAAAAGATGTCATTACGGGGTCACTAACCTTGGAGGTTCTATCGCCGTTCGTTATGGATCCTCAAATGCCTGGAGTCAATAAGCACTGTACGTCCTCCGCAACACGCATGATTGAGCTGATTGCTCAAAAAAATGGCAGGGAAAAAATACGAGGGTTTTTTCCTTTGAGCAGTCGCCACTTGGTTGTCGTCGTGACATCACAACGGGTCTTCCTGGCTGGAGACACTCTTGAGGCGTTCGAGAATACTGAAATGAACGGCCGCCCGGAGTTCAAGAATTTGCATGCACTCCACAAGGACTCATCTTTGATCTTGTCGATACAAAACTTTTCAGGAAATGTGTATACCTCTAAAATTGACACTCGAAGAGCAGCCAGCCCAATAAAATGGAGTTTGTTGCGCGTTGACCACCCTCGAGAAATGACGGGCTATAAATTTGTGTGTAGGGCACTAAGTTCCACCGAATACGCCTTTATCAGTGACACTGGATTTTGGGTATATGATTCAACATCGAAAAAGACAAGCTTTCTATTGTCATGCGAACAGAAAACGTATGTTGATGCCATAGTTGCTGAGCGAAGCGCTAATGGTCTACCGCTTCGAGTTATCGCCTGTGGAGGGAATTCGCCATACAGCGGTTTTGTCGAATGTTTTCGAATGGCTTTACATGCCGATACTTTGAGGATACTCAAGGTTAATCCTTCGTTCGAAAATAATGGGCTCACGGACTTCTGGTTGACGGATAACGGAATCGTCGCTAGCACATTACTTCTGGACGAAGAGAATGAGCTATGTTATGTTTCTAAAAGCGGCACAAAGCTGCGACAAGCCAACGTATGTTGTGCTACTCAGCTGGGAAATGATACTTCCGATTTGCTTTATCTCGATGTGGCTGGCCAACTGTACTTTGCAAAAGAGGCAGCGAAAATTGCCATCTGTTTTATTGCCCAGCTTTCCAATCATGGGACATGGTCAATTTCTGCATCCCACAAGACAGACGCAGACGGGTTACCTTCATTCATAGTACTCTCAAAGGGGAACATCATCTCTGTCCTTTCAAGCGGTCTGTTGCAAGCGTCCTTCCAGGTAGATTGTTTCAACATAGATGAGATTTTTGTGGACCGACTTTTTGAAAACACCCTAACAATTGTGGTAAGCTGTGATACTGGGGTCCTTCTGCTTATATCATATCTACACAGAGAGAAAACATTTCTTGTTACGAAAACCATAAATTTCGACGAAGGTGTGCCGCTGCAGTTGTGCGACATTAAGAATCATGGTGACACCATCCCGCTTGTATTTGTTTACAACAGGCATAAGGTCTGGATTTTGAATCTTGCTAATGCAAATTTTAACGAATGCATTTTGAACTATGGAATCAAGCGCATGAGATTTTTGGGAAGTGATCGGTATATTGTTTTGACCACCAATGACCTATTTGTTACACTCCGATTTAAACCCACGATGCAGCCGGTTTGGACTCGAGGGCAAGCATTGGCAACCAACAGCGTCCCGACTCACATTATAGGGCTTGAAAACCCTAGGTTCGTGGCCGTCGCTTCTCAAAATGACAAGAATTTTTGCAAGATGGCTCTCTTAGACACTGCCGCTCTTCAAATATTGGACGAATATACTTTTCCCGAGCGCGGTATAGTACGTGGTCTGTTGAAGCTTCAAAAACCTTACGACCACAAGATCTTAGTCTCATTCATGGGTAAATCAGCGATTCATGACTCCCTACTGGTGCTTTCAGTCAAGAACAACAAATTCGTGTGTGTGGCCGAGAAGATGATCGAAGGTACATCTAGCGCACTGACGCAGCGGGATGCAATGATAATTCATGCCGGACGTAACATCGAAGTATTAAAGCTACAGAAAAGAGGCGGTCGGTGGAATTTATGTGCAATCGAAAAACCTATTCATGGTTCAGGCCCTCTTTCTTTGGTCTGCAGTGCGTACAATGATGAGCAAATGACAGTACTGTGTGCAACAAAAGGTGTGCGAGTATACGAACTCAAGTCAGCTATTTGCATAGCTTCAAGCGCTCCCAGCTTTCACGCTGACAATCATGACTTCGCAACACTGTTCGAGGACACTTCCTTTAACGAAGAAAGAGACGTTGAGCTTCTACTAGACCCTGTTAAACAAGCCGAGACGGAATTGTATCTCATCAAAGTCCACGGAAGGAATCTGACTGCATCTGTCATTACGCCAGCAGATTCTGGAAAGGTACAATTCAAGTTTCTATGTTCTAAATCTCTACCGTTCAACAAAACTGTAACTAGAATCAAACAAGCGGGTTCTAAGGAGTCCCTGGTTTGTGCAAGAGGCGGACTTTACATAATTAAAATACGATAATGGACCGCACATTTCGATGATCTATCTTCAAATGTCACCTTTCCTTGTCAAGACATGATTTCGACACTATTATGCATTCTAGCAATGATTAATTCAAGTTGATAGAGAAAGTACGGTGAAAAAGTTCAAAAAAACGACTCCGATACGGGGAGTCGAACCCCGGTCTCCACGGTGAAAGCGTGATGTGATAGCCGTTACACTATATCGGATAAATCCTTGTTAGAGGTGAAAATCTGAGCACCCTACCATTTTGTAGGGCCACCTGACTCTTCAATTTCCATCGACGTGAAGTTTGAGCATCGATGAACAAGACAGATCTTCTATTTGCACTTGGACGGCCAATGTCTCAAGATCATCCTGATGCAGAACCGGCTCCTAGCTCCAAAGGTTCTGCTGAAGCATCAGCAGAAGCTGCAAAGCCCAGCAAAAGTGTCGCTGAGTCATTTCCTACTTTAGAATGGCAACAAGTCGATTCGAGCATCCCAGTTGAAAGCTTTACCAACTACAAGATACGTTTGACCGGATGGTCAAGAAAAGATCAGCTTAAGAAGAGACTAGAGCAGGAAACGCAGCTTCGTGAGGAAGAGCAAGCCAAAAAACAAAGATTGCAGCAGGAACAAGAAGAACAAGAACAAGAAGAAGAGGAAGTAGAGGAAGAAGAATCTAACAAGGTCAAATCAGAACACAATTCTCCTGAAAAAAATGGCAATGCCCACGAAGAACCCGCAAATGGAATCGAGTCTGAGAACGACGAGAAGGTAGAGGAGAAGGAAGATGCAGGAACCGCTGCTGGTGGAGAAAAAGCTGCGGATCCTACGGAGGCAGATGAGGAGGCGTGAGAACGATGCGCAATCCGAGGCCGATACTTGCATGGCCTTTGAAGAAATAGTGGATATAGGTTCCCAGCGCAACGGGGTACCACTTCTCATTTTTCCATGGACGACTTGAACGCCGTACAGGAAGTACTTTCATCGATGGGTGCAGGGACCTTACATAAATCTCCACGCACCACGTGATCTACAATTTATATCAATATTAATATCCCAGAGTGTACGACACCTCGTTTGACAGTGCATTGTGCGTTTAGAAGAATCTACAAGCCGCAGACAGTTCCTCTCTTTGTTCTCTCGAATGCTTCTCTCTGACAGCATACCAAGTACGTGACAGGTAGAAAAAAGATACACCCAAAAAACCCGATCCCATATGCGATCTTCCTCCCAACCAATTTCAACCACGTTTTTTGTATGTTTTCGTCCCTGTGCCCGTCTATACACTAGTTAGTTAGATCTTAGTTCCAATAGTAGTTCTGATTTGATGATTATCGCGTTGTATAGCTAGAGCCATTCCCTTAGGTTCAGCATCTCTGGCAGAGATCTCCACTTTCCATATTGCAAAACCGAGCTTCCACATCAGGCCCATGCACGATCTCTGTCCTTCGTTCATAAATCCACACTGGATCTGTGCGTTCGGCCGTCCTGTCCTATTCATAGCACCGTCCCGGTGTGTGTGGTCGGCCGACCTATTCATAGCTCTTCGTACCCTGTAACTCACCTCATCGTCCAGTTTCTTTTTCGTTCCTCGAGAACTTCTAAATCACCAGCCACGCGAAATTTTTCGCGTCGCGCAGTAAAGCAGGCGCATCTCAACTGTGGGAATTAAAACAAGATAGGGGCCAGCCCACGCTTCGAGTGCCAACCACCTGGTACAGTCCTTGAAACTGCAACCAAGTGACGCCGTGCGTAGTTGCACGGCAGCGGGAAATGCACTCTTCGTACTTGCTTTCTACAGTCGGCTCTTAGTGCTGGGCATAATTATGACGCACAATATTAATATTCGAGGACATTTACCCAGCAACGGCGGGCTCACCTTGAGACTATAAAAACCTGATGGTTGGGGAAAGAAGGTCCGGCAGCTGATACGTACATCTCACATACATTGATTTAATTTAAAGCCCTACGAAACCACGAAATCGGTTTCTTCTTGGAATTAACCCTTCTCGTCAAGCTCCTGAACAAAAAAAAAAGTTTTGGATCAAGATCTTCGCGATTTCTAAGGGTCTCTACTACGCACACCGTTGTAGAAAGTCCGTTCGCTCGTTCGTTTGCATCTGTCGCGTGCGTCAGAAGCGCTTCATTTCCCACTGTTTATTTGTGCTTTGGATCTCTGTCTGTCATTGTACTTTTCTCTCAAAGAAAACCAAGAAAAAAGTTTCAAGATCCGGAGTAGATAAAACCCAAGCGTTCCAGACGTTTGAACAAGTTGGCCATATCTTATTTGTATTCCACAAAAGGATCAAAACCTTCCTCCCGCAACCACTCGTATCCCACCTAAATGTTGCCCATCGCATGGATCTCAAGTCTGTGCATGGCGATCGCCACGGTGGTTGGCCAGCCAGTGCCTCCCAAATCGCCACACAGCGTCCAGTTCTTGCATGAGCAGAACAAAAAAAGATTCTACGATTACCAAAACGCAGTCCTCAGAGGTGTCAACATCGGTGGCTGGTTCGTGCTCGAGCCTTTCATCACGCCCTCTCTGTTTGAGACGTTCCGCACCCAGGAAAACAGCGACGAAGGCATCCCGGCTGACGAGTACCATTACACGCAGGCTTTGGGCCAAGATGTCGCCAGTTCTCGTCTAGAACAGCACTGGTCGTCGTGGTTCACCGAGAAAGATTTCGCTAACATCGCAGACGCGGGCCTCAACTTTGTGCGTATCCCAATTGGTTACTGGGCTTTCCAAAAACTCGACTCGGACCCTTACGTCAAGGGTTCCCAGGAGTACTATTTGGACCAAGCCATCCAATGGGCTCGTAACAACAACCTCAAAGTGTGGGTCGACTTGCACGGTGCGGCCGGCTCCCAAAACGGGTTTGACAATTCAGGTCTCAGAGACTCGTACGCCTTTTTGGAACCCAGCAACCTTGCCGTCACCACAAGCGTGCTACAGTACTTGCTCCAAAAATACTCCCAGTCCGAATACCTCGACACCGTTATTGGTATTGAGCTCATTAACGAGCCTCTTGGCCCTGTCTTAGACATGGATGGACTAAAGCAGTACTACGAGTCTGCATACAATTACCTCAGAAACGAACTAGGAAGCGACCAGATCGTTGTCATCCACGATGCTTTCCAACCTTACCATTACTGGGATTCCACGTTGACTCTTTCTGACAACAACGCCTGGGGTGTTGTTCTGGACCATCACCATTACCAAGTCTTTTCCAACGGGGAACTGCAGCGTTCTTTCGACGATAAAATCGCCGTTGCGTGCGAATGGGGTTCCGGCACTTTAACCGAAGCTCACTGGACCGTTTGCGGTGAATGGGCCGCTGCCCTCACCGACTGCACCAAATGGCTCAACGGTGTCGGTTACGGTGCTCGTTACGATGGTACTTTCCAGAAAGGCTCTGACACTTCCAGCTACATTGGCTCTTGCCAAAACAACGAAGACATCACCTCATGGTCCGACGAAAGAAAGACCAACACCCGTAAATACGTCGAAGCCCAATTGGACGCTTACGAGCTAAGAAGCGGATGGGTCATCTGGACTTACAAGACCGAAAACTCGCTAGAATGGGATTTGCAGCGCCTCATGTACAACGGTCTGTTCCCCCAGCCCGTCACTGATAGACAGTTCCCTAACCAATGTGGGTTCTAAAAAATTTGAGATCATGATGCAAAATGCTAGAGCCTGAAAAATCAGGTCATCCTTCCCTCCTTTTTTTTATATTTTTTTTGAACCAAGAGTATCATTCTTATTACTCTTCCATACAAGCACGTTAATGGTTCTTGTTTTTAAGTTCTTGATGGTAAGGCCAAAATTGAACTTACATCCTGAGTGCGACTGCCCATCCTTATCTTGACAACCTTGTCGCCACAAGCGCTTTGTATATGTCTGTCAAGGCCAGGCCAACGGTCTATAGTTCATATAAATTCTAAAAGTGAAATACAGCAGGAAGAGATTCCAGCCGTAAAAGGCCAACTACCGCAGCATCGGGAGAGGAAAAACGATTGCCCTTTAGTCAAACAACAACTACTGGGTGCTTGTCTCGAGCTGGCGTTCTCGTTGCCCATCATTATCGTACGATTCCCAAAACTAGTACTCGCGTACTCGCTTCCATCACCAAATCATATAAATAATTAAATGACACCTAAAGTCAACTGACAACGTACCGTCGTGGTGATGCTCATCACCAACAATAACACAACAACAAACCCAGTGCTTGTCAAGGATTCGTCTGGATCATTTCAATCGCACACAAGAAGTGCTTCTTGACAAAGGAAGCTTCACCAGCGGTAGAATGTCTAGTGTGTCGGCGATCGATTTGACGCAAGAGGACTCTGATGACGATATGAGAGGATTACTCGGGAAAAACGATTCAACGGATTCAAATGACAAAAACGAGAGAGCAGGTGTTTACTCGGCACAACCAGCGGATACGGTTTTTTCGAAGCATGAAAAAGATCAACCAGGGATTTATGATGGCCCACAAGATAGTCCGAACGACGCGATACCTCTGGATACTCCACGTGTAGAAGGGACGAAAAAGAGGTTACCGATCAACGAAGACCAGCCACAACCGAATGAACAGATTGTACCGCTAGTTCGGACAATGAGATACCAGGATCAGAACTCTGAGCCCGAACAAGGCCCACAAGTGTCCGGTTTGCGAAGTAGCAGCTCTGACGAATCACTTTTCAAGCGTCAAAAATTTGAGGTTAACGAGTCACAAATAAGACCACAAAGTCCAAGAGAAGACAGCTTGGCGATCGAGAAATTGGGCTATGTATCGCCCCTCAGTCTCACATCTCGCGAGAGCAGTCCTAAAGATGTGCTTCGCACTACAGGGCCTAGCAGTGTACATCGTACCAATGGAGGAGAGTCCCCAAAAGGTGAGGTGTTTGCACAGCAAAGTGGGCTGGGCAGTGATGATCACCTGCCAAAAATAGTGTCTTCAGATGTGGATAGAAGCAAGTTGGAACAAAATTCGCTACCACCATTCATTACTGATACCGCCAGCAATGATGCTCGTGAGCCCATAATAGTGCTCAGCGACGAAGAAGATCAAACATTGTTGGTAAGCCAGAAGAGTAGACAAGGAAGAATCCATTCCCCAGTTTCCTCGAACGGTGTGACAGCTTCCAATGAGAATGTCAGTGACTTGAGAGCTATACATGACACAAATCTCAGACTGAAAGCTCAGAGTGACGAAGAATTTGCTCGGCTCAAGACTACATGCCGCGATACAAGAATTATATTGCAGCGAAAGCTTCAAAAGCGGGAGAGACTTATATTAGAGGCCAAAAACTCCCTGCCATTGGTGACATCCACTGAGGAAGCTGCCAAGGTCGAGAGGGATTTGCGTTATATGGAAGGACGGAGAATGCAGACGTTAATGAAGCTCAATCAACTCGATCATAAGGAAACTCATGCTACAGAGCAACACAACAAATTCCTGAATGGACACGGGTCGAAGCTTCGACAATCGCAACTGGATCTCCAGAACGCCTTGAGCAACCGAATACATTCAAACATGGTAGAAAAGCGGGCCAAGCTCATGGAAGAACGATCAGATATCGAACATCTTTTCCTTAGTGGTGATATAAATTTGCATACCATGATTCGAAAAAAGGCGGCAATTGATAAAATGCTCAACGAACTACAGTCTAGTCATGCAGCTCCCGAAGCAGTAGCGAGTGCGCAGTCCTCAGACATTTATTTCAGATCTATTGATATCGCTCTTGACTTGATACAGAAGAATACAGTGAGATCTCTGGAGAACAAAAATTTGATGACTTACTACCTGAATGTGGTAGCACGATTTAAAAGAGATTGCGATAGAGGGGAGCGATTCACTGCAGAGACAAAGTATCGGGTTGAGCGCGCAATAACAGAATTAATGAAACACGGAGTCAAGATGCCTGCTGTTGTTGACTACCTGAAGAAAATGAATTTTATAGTGACGCCAGAAGAGTTCCAGAGGACATACTCTTCGAATGGCAACACCCAAAGAAACGATGACTTCCTTCCGGTGAAGAACAAACAGGATGGCGACAACGATATATTGGAACTCGTAAAGCACCAGGACGAGCAGCGCAACTCAAATTCTTTTCAACTCTCAAGTATTTACAACAACCAAGACAATGATAGCTTGCAAAAGTTACTGGAAGGGCTCAAAACTTCAGAAGCAGAAATCGAGGGCGAGGAACTAACTCCGCCTGAATTGACCGTTAACTTGATGAAACATCAACGGCAAGGGCTTCACTGGTTGCTACAGGTTGAAAAATCCAGCAAGAAGGGCGGCCTTTTAGCTGATGATATGGGTCTCGGAAAGACTGTTCAGGCGCTCGCCCTGATAGTCGCTAACAAGTCGGGCGATGAGAGTTGTAAAACTAACTTGATTGTCGCGCCTGTCGCAGTTCTTAGAGTGTGGGAGGCAGAAGTTAGAACCAAAGTCCACAAGAATACTAGACTAAAGGTTCTCATCTACGGAGGAAGCGGTGGCGCTAAGGTTCAGACCTATCGCAGCTTACTGAGACACGACGTTGTGTTGGTCTCATATCAAACTCTAGCAAGCGAGTTGAAGAAACACTGGCCTGCAAGACTCACATCAGAATCCGAAGAGCCAACCCTTGCAGACGTTCCCGACGTCAAGGCGATTAATTCGCTCAAGGAGCGAAACGAATATTGGTCACCGTTTTTCTGTGATCAGTCCAAATTCTACAGAATTATTCTGGATGAAGCCCAGAATATAAAAAATAAAAAGACACAATCTTCAAAAGCCTGCTGTGCATTATACTCAACGTATCGATGGGCGTTGTCGGGAACACCTGTGCAGAACAACATCATGGAACTCTATTCGTTGATAAGATTCTTAAGAATTCCACCGTACAATAGGGAACAACGATTCAGAATGGACATAGGGAACCCTCTTGGACGTGTTACTAACAATTACGATAGCTACGACCTCAAACAAGCTACCAAAAAGGTACAAGTGCTTTTACGAGCGGTTATGTTACGGAGAACCAAAGATTCCCAAATTGACGGGAAACCCATTCTTGAGCTCCCGGAAAAATTCATCAAGGACGAGGAACAAACGCTCGAAGGTGCAGAGCTAGCTTTCTACACTGATTTAGAGCAGAAAAATCAGAAGAAAGCTGAAAAACTGATGAAAAACAGAGCTAAGGGAAACTATTCCAGTATTTTAACCTTGTTATTGAGACTGCGTCAAGCTTGTTGTCATTCGGAACTTGTACTCATGGGAGAATACAAGAGTGAAACTTCCAAGGTGGCCAATGGTAAGAATTTTGAAAATGATTGGCTGCGTTTATTCGAGCTAGCTCGAAGAATGCCTGGTATTGGTAAAAGTACGGTGATCGAAGGCCTTGAAAAAATGACTTGTCCGTACTGCATGGAACAAATGGAGTTAGATTCTGCAGTCGTAATCACTCCATGTGGTCATATGCTCTGCGATGGTTGTGCAGATCAGTATTTTGAAGAGATTCGTATTCAGGGAAATGTGAGAAAGATAATAAACAGTGGCTACGCAGTACCTTGCTTGGTATGCAATAGAATCGTTGATGATAACGAATTGGTCACTTATAAACTGTATGACCACGCAGTGAATCAGAATCTTTCCGTTCAAGGTCTGAAGGAGGAGTATGACGTGGAAATGACAAATCAGAAGAGTCGGCTGAGACAGGGCTATAAAATAAATTTTGAAACCGTCGAGCCGTCGGTCAAAATTTTGCAATGTTTGGATATTGTTCGGAATGTGCTGGGTACTTCTGAACAAGAAAAAGTCATAGTCTTCTCTCAATTCACAACGTTTTTCGATCTACTTCAACATTTCATTCGGAAGGAACTTGGAATTCACTTTTTAAGGTATGATGGGTCGATGAACGCTCAACAACGTGCTGCTGTCATCGAAGAATTCTACAAAAACCCCAACAGAAGAATCTTGCTGATATCGATGAAAGCAGGTAATTCGGGATTGACTTTAACTTGCGCAAACCATGTTATATTGGTCGATCCGTTCTGGAACCCCTTCGTCGAAGAGCAAGCAATGGATCGATGCTATAGAATAAGTCAAACCAGAGAAGTGCAGGTTCACAAGCTTCTGGTTAAAAATTCAGTCGAGGATAGAATCTTAGAACTACAGAGGAAAAAGAGAGAACTAGTAGAAAGCGCAATGAGTCCCGACAAAATCCAGGAAGTGAACAGTTTAGGACGTCGCGAGCTTGGATTTTTGTTCGGACTCAACACGCTTGAGTGAGCAAAGTCAGCGCTGTTTCCTAAAACTCTGCTCTTGCTATTTAAATCGCGGATTGGCAATGTTTGATCTCGCCTGCCTTGCATGTCTATTGTCGCTCGCGTGTTACCAGGCGAGGCAGAGCAGCATTCATCATTAGGTACGCATGTGGCATCACTCGAGCTCTAGGTAAGCACATACCAAGGGTATATTTGACTAAGCTAGTGTACACCGTCGAAAAGACGGTTTGGATCTAAAGAGCAAATAAAAGTCAGGATTTACATACTTAACGTAATGGTCTCTCTCAATAGAAGATATACATTCCAGGTTGGCGATGCACTTGCCAACGAAAGAACTCTAACGTTATCGTCCGGATCAAACGAAGGCTATTTGATCTCATTGAGGCCCTTCGTTCATCCCAACGCATCGGAAAATGAATTTCCTTTCGAATGGGGGTTTGCTGGTCCACCAGCTAGCGCGAAAGTGGGGAAAAAGGATTCTGAGACTGATACCATTGATTTTAACTTCGAGTTCGATACTAATGTTCACTTGAAATTGGAAAACACTCACAGAGGCGTCATCAACACTTTCTGGAAGACGTGGGAAAGCGGTCTAATTGAGGAAAGAGGACAAGTTTTCCCATTTGGAGCTGATAAAGCAGGGATTGAGTTTTTTGAACTCTGGCAACCACTAGATTCTACACGCCCTGATTATGTGGCATTGGATGAAAACAGTGCCAATCAGGAAACAGCTCGCTCTGTTGTTCTGACTGTTGACTCTACTGACTTTAGAGGCCTGGTGATTACCGTGGGAAGATGGGTCCAGGGTATTCTTTTCAAGAAATCAGAAAACACCATTAAAGGCATAAACTTCTTGAGAGCTGTTGAGCAACAAGATGGCTCATGGAAGACACTACTAAATTACGGCTCCGACTTCGATAAGTTCCCTCAATCCTTTGTCGCACCGCTGCACGCTGCAATCGAGGGTAGTAGCGCACTCACTTGGAAAGTCGTTGAGTCCAATATTTAGAATTTCATAGACTGAGTACACATATATAGAGCTAGAAGATAAAACTGAACGACAACGGGTCTTTGAATCTTGATATGTCCCACTACTCATCCGCACTTCACTAGAGTCTCTTCAGTCACATAACTTTTAAAAGCTGGTATATACTTGCATAAGTTCTTAATCCTCAAGCTCCATCCGATATAGTGTAACGGCTATCACATCACGCTTTCACCGTGGAGACCGGGGTTCGACTCCCCGTATCGGAGCTTATGTTTTTGATTTTTTCAAATTTTTTTTTTGATGTTGCTGATCGCGACGCGATTTCCGGTAAATCTAGCCAGAAGGAATCGAATGTCGTGGAGAGACTTATTGGTCGATAGTCAACTTTCACTTGACCCGTTATCTCCAGTACTGGTATTTTAGTGACGTTTTTAAAGAACCGACAAAATAACCAATCGCTACGAACGAGACATTTTTCTATCATTGTCTCATTAAGAAAAAATTTGACAGGGGATTAAATGCGAATAATGCTGAAAATGTTGATCAAATCTCAGAGCTATAACCAAAGAAACGTTTGACTTACTTGAGTTAAGTCGTTAGTTACACGGATATTACCAGTGAATCAGAAGCCATGAGTGTGTGGATCTTTGTTATGGCAGTGGTGCTCAACTGTGTGAACTTATTCGCCCAAGTTCACTTCACAATTTTGTATGCGGACCTTGAAGCCGATTACATCAACCCTATCGAACTATGCTCGAAAGTCAACAAATTGATTACCCCAGAAGCAATTTTGCATGGTGCAATTTCGCTGTCGTTTTTGTTGACCGGCCACTGGTTTGTGTTCTTGATCAACTTGCCGTTACTCGCTTTCAATGCCAACAAACACTATTTGAAGCTACAGCTGTTAGATGCAACTGAAATTTTCAGAACACTAGGAAAACACAAGAAAGAAAGTTTCCTGAAACTTGGCTTTTATCTATTGATGTTCTTCTTCTATCTATACAGAATGATTATGGCTTTGATTGCAGAAGGGGACTAAATTGGGATTCAGAGCTGAGAGGACCTTAAAACAGCCTCGAACACGCTAAACACAAGGCACCTTGCTCTGTCTATGGGCGACGTTCGAAAACTGAATACTCGATAGATCGTTTTCCTGTGGGGAGTCGCAGGAATAACTATTACGTGCTTCTTCTGTCGGTCTATGGGTTTGTTTTTTTACTGGTTATATGCATATAAGAAGAACGGATCTTACCCACCAGTAATATAAAATTTTAATTAATCCAAGAGCTTTTCTAGAGATGTATTAAAAGTCTTTAGTGTTCCAAGAATTCCATCTTGTGGGTCCAATAAAGGTACCAAGTCGTCTGCAATCGATTCCAATGGTTGAGTGGCAATGTTTGCATTATTTTCGTCTGTTTTAGTCGAAACGTCGATCGCCAAGCCTTGTAGCTTGTCGTTCAGAACACTTTTTAGCTGCATTTCTTGTAGCTGTTCGTCATTGTCCTCTTTATTCTCCCAATCCGTAATCTGTTGCCGTAGATCTACTAAGCGTTCCGTGAGTATCACTTTCTGTCTCGCGCAATCCTTTAGCTGAGAGCACAGCTCATTATTAGATGCATTGATGTCTTGCGTATCTTGCAAATCGGACAAGGTGCCGTGCATAAACGTTGACAGTAGCTTGATGTCCAACTTGTGCGAAAGTTGTTCGGCTGGGTCGCTGGCCGTGTCGTAATCTGCGAAGGCTTGAGGTATAAGATGCTCCTCAAACAGATTGTTTAGTAAAGACCATATCACCTCAATGCGGGCTAGGGAAAAAGAGTTTGTTCGTAGTTGTGAAATAGGAAGATCTGAAAAATCAAATTCTGGTGCTGGCGAAAAGATCGGGGAGTTTTGTGTTGTCAAAGGGGGTGTCTCTGCCATTTCCAAGAAGTGATCAGGCGATTTCTGACCAGCAGAAGCCTGGTCACGAGTTGGAGACACGAGTGGAAGTTCTGGAGACGTTAGTAGACCGCCATTTAAAACCGGACTGTGCGGGGGTGTGCTTGCAGGGTCGTTCGAGTTCCCTGCAAGAAAGTGGCTTTCAGATGGCGGTTGTGGAAGATCAAACGAGGGTTCTCGTTCTGGCTCGTATAGGGTGTTCTTGGAGGGCGAAACCGAAAGGGACGGTCGGTCAAGTTTGGGTCTTTTGATTTGAGATATTACCACATCTTGATCGATTTTTCGCAGCGCACTGCCTCTTTGTCGCGATAAAAGCTTGACATGCCGGTCAGCAAGCATTGTGTGATTGCAAATTAAGATCCTTCAGCAGCAAATTTGAACAACGATGTCTTTGAACATTTTGTTTGTGTGTGTGTGTGTGTGTGTGATGTTTAGATGCGATGGTGGATCTTGAAATGCTAATTTCAAATGACATCCCGGACGACAGTAAATAGATAAAACGATAAGAAATTCGAAGATGGGCAAAAGTACAGAACATTCGTTGAATCCGTCAAGCAATTGGGGGGGGGGGGGGGG